ACACTATACTAGAAATAGAGTAGCTAGAAAAATATAATTCCTAAATAAACTAGAAAATAAAAGAACTCGAATTTTCGAATTATAGTTACGGAATAAAAACGAAAGATCGATTATCTTTAAAGGTTCTCTTCGTAAAGGCGATATAGATACGACCGAAAGGTAGAATATTAGCTTAAACTAATATCGAGGAGCTACTTTCGAAATATATAAAATATAAGAAATTATTTATAGAAAAGAAAAGTAAGGTAGCGCTTTTTAAATACTAGCCTTAGAATTACCGAATACCTATAAAAGAAGGAGAGGTACTTAACTATAAGGAATAGTTAAAATTATTCTTAAAGAAAGAAGAAGACTTCCTAAAAGACTATATCGAGAAACTAGAAGCGAAGGGTTTAGTAAGAAGGAGCTAACTAAAGATAGAAAAGTACGAATCTATATTCTATAGTATATTCTTCGTAATAAAGAAGGATAGATTACTATAACTATATATTAACTATAGACTACTTAACGATAAAACTATTAAGGACTATTATTCTATTCTTCGATAGAATAAGCTATAGAATCGCCTCTTAAGTATAGTATAGTTTACCGCGTTAGATACTAGAAACGCCTATTACCTAATTAAAATAGCTAACGGAGAAGAATAGAAAACGGTATTCCGAATAAGATAGGAGGTCTACGAATTTCTAGTTATACCTTTTAGACTTACTAATATACTATTAACGTTCTAAGAATTTATAAATAACGCTTTAAGAGAATATTTAAATATATTCGCTATTATCTACCTCGACGATATTCTAATCTTCTTAAAGACTTACGAGGAATACGTAGAGTATATAAAGAAAGTAATAGAAAAGCTAAAGGAAAATAAGATTCTACTTAAGCTATCTAAATACGAATTCTATAAGAATAGTATTAAATTCCTAGGCTATATTATATCTTCGGAAGGACTCGTATCGAACTAAGAAAAGGTTCGAGCTATTAATAAATAGCTAGAATCGATAATAGTTAAGGAAGTATAGGCGTTCTATAGATTAATTAACTATTACCGAAAGTTTATTAAAGACTTCTTAAAAATCGTAGTACTAGTTACTAACTTAACTAAGAAGGAAATAATCTTCGATTTTAGAGAAAAATATAAGAACGCCTTTAAAGAGCTAAAGCGACGAATAACGTCCGCGCTAATCTTATATATTTTCGACCTAGAGAAGAAAGTAATCGTAGAAATAGACGCCTTAGATAAAGTAATAGGAGGCTACCTTAAATAAAGAAACGAATAAGGAAAGCTCTATTTAGTAGTATATTATTTAAGGAAGCTAAGCGGATTCGAGGTAAATTATAATGTCTACGATAAGGAACTACTCGTAATAGTAGAATATCTAAAAATATAAAGAGTATACCTAGAGGAAGCTAAATACCTAGTATAAATATACTTAGACTATAAGAATCTAACGTATTAGATAATAACTAAAGAACTTAATAGAAGATAAGTTAGATAGACTAAAACTTTAGCCTCTTACGATTTTAAAATTATATACGTTTAAGGAATAGAGAACGTTATAGCTAATACCTTTAGTCGAAGAACGAACTATATAGAAGGACTAGAACCGGAGCTAGCGACGCTCCTAGAAAAAAGAGAAAATTACTTAATATATAAAAAAATAGAAATAAGAATACTCGTAGTATTAGAAATAGAACTAATACTAGAATAAAAATAGAGAATTATATAAGTAAGGTATAATAATAAAAGTATAGGATACCTAGGTATTAATAAAATAATCGAACTAGTAATACGAGATTTTACCTAGGCGGAAGTAAGAAAGAATATTAAAGAATACGTTAAGAACTACGACGTATACTATAAAGCTAAATACTTAAGATATAAACTATATAGCTTATTATAATTAGCGGAAAATATAGATAAAGTATAGTTAAGAATAGTAATAGACTTTATAGTTAAGCTACTACTATCGAAAGAATCTATAACGGATACGACTTACGATAGTATACTTATAATAAACGATATACTAATAAAATATATTTACCTACTACTATATAAAGAAGTATTAATAGTAGAGGAACTAGTATATATAGTTATAAGAACGGTATTCGCGTAGTACGAAATACTAGAGGTTATTATTATAAATAGAGATAAACTATTTAATTTATAGTTTTAGTAATCGCTAACTAACCTACTAGAAATAAAATATAAGATATTTATATTATATTATCTATAAACGAACGAATAAATAGAAAGAACGAACTAGACGGTAGAATAGTACCTACGGTACTATATAGATTACTAATAAAAAAACTAGGTTAAACTACTACTAATAGCTTAGTTCGCTTTTAATAATAATATATCGGTAACCGGGATATTACTATTCTTTACGAATTATAGGAAATATCTAGACTTTAAGAAAAAACTATTAGGCGATAGATCTATAGTAGAAAGGGTAAGGATAAAAGTCGAAGACTTATATAAATTATACTTTCTACTAAAGATAAAATTAAATAAAATATTAAAAATAACTATAAAAGTAGTAAATAAGAAAAGATCTAAGAGACTAGATTTCTAGGAGGGAGAAATAGTTTATATTAATATAAAAAATATAAAAATATAAAGACTAAGTAAAAAACTAAATTATACGAAGATTAGACTATACCGAATTAAGAAGATATTAGGACTAGTCTCCTATAAGCTATATTTACCGAGAGGACTAAATATATACCTAGTATTTTATAAATTACTACTAGAAAAAGTACTAAATAGGGCTAAACTAGGATTAATATATATCGATAAAGAAACCTAAGAACTCTATTACGATATAGAAACTATACTCTAATATAAGCGGGAAGGCCGCTAAGCGAAATATCTAGTTAAATAGTTAGGATACTCGGAATAGGAAAATACCTAGGAACTAGAGATAAACCTTAATCCGAAACTTATTACCTAGTATTACTAGCGGCGTAATCTAGCTAGGAAGGTTCTTCTATTAGAAAGTTATTAGTTATTACGGTAAAGTTAAACTCGTCGGGACCGTCGTCTACTAGTTCTCCGAGAAGTCGTACTTCTCGGTTAACTATTTTACTTTATTTCTTAATAATCTTCTCGAGGCGAGCTTCTACCTTAGATTACTCGATTTAAGCGGCGAGGATATAACGAGCTAGGCTAGCTAGCTCCTAACGTAGCTTCTCGTTCTTCTCGCGTAGTTTACGTTTTTTATTTTTAAGATAATCGAATTCGGTATCCGAAAAAGTACTACTATATATAATATTCTTCTATATATAGACGAAATAGCGAGAATAACCCTCGCGGACGATATATACTTTATACGCTTTAACGTATTAAGGATAAGGAGCTATAGTCTCGAAACCGAAACCGGAAAGTTTAATTTTAGCGGTAAGACGTCGGAGTTACTCGGACTTAGAGAGAGAGGCCTTAGAAGGTATAATTAGCTATAGAAAGGAAAGAAGAAGGACGGGCCGCCTCTAGCGAACGATACTTACCTTATATACGTTAAGGATAACGAATAGAGAAGAAGAGGGAATAGTATTACGAACTAGGTTACTAGAAGGGTCGTTAAGGATAAGCTACCTATACTCGAGGAAAACGAGGAAGTTAGCCGATAGAGAACGAGGCTACGTTACGTAACTAGGAAATAGACTATAGAGGACTATAGACTACGAATATAGTCTAAGTAAGTCTATAGTCTAGGCTAGTACTATATATATACGCTTACTTACCTAGATAGTATAGTTTATAGTTAACTTCGTTAGTAATCCTATACCTATATTTTAGGATATAGTCCGACGAATAAGTATTCCCTTTGTTATCCTGGTCAGCACTCTTGTACCTACTCTATTAAGGAACCCTACCTTGGTTAGAACTGCTTGCAGCTCGGATCATAATAAATATCTCGTTTTACCTCAGCAAATCGGTTCCCTTAGCTGAAGTTCCCGGTCTGGAGCGTGATATCCTCGACAACTAATTACTTAATAAGACCGCATCGGCCCGCATACGCGGACGGAAATCGGAGGGCGTCAAGATGGACGTCAAGGCCACTGTCACGAAAGCTTGCAAACCAGGATGTTCGAAGCATCAACCGCTTAGAGTTTCAACTGATAGAACGTTCGTGGAAACAGAAAGTCCATTGCCTGAGGCTATGGAGCATCCATAATAGATTGGCTCTCCAGTTCCAGTGACCATCGTCCTCCGGCTCCTCATGAACTCGCGACCATCGATGGCGATATGTGGGGACGGTGTGTACCACTCACACAATTGAAATAACACGCAAGAATACATGAACAGGATCTTGAATTTTATGTGCTGGATAACAGGCGTCAAAGACAAACCGCGGCCTGGCAGCGTGAAATTTGCGTTTTTATGACCAATGATGAACGCTCATCGCCATCAGGGTCAAAGTTCATCGTTAGAACTTTATCCTGGCCGAGCCTTTTGTGCCGAATTTACAACAGATATCAACTTGCAGTGGATAGATGGCACGGATTAAGGCCTTCTCGAACATCTACCTTCCAGTGGAAGATTGCCACAACTGCGTTTCAAATCATGTGTTCATGTTGGGTAGGCTATCGAGAACAGCATCATTGAATGGATGCAAAACCGTTCTTTTCTCGGTACCAGTGCCATCTATTAATTGCCTCTTACGTCAACTAGGCCCCTTGTTAGTGGTAGCCTTCTTTATTTCCCTCATCAGCAGAAAGACCTCAGAGGAACACAACAAGGAGAGAGGTTCAGACAAATCCTCGGACACAAGAATAGATATGCACACTCTTTTAGTATATCTTACGAATTAGAACATTAGATAGTCTTATCATTAAATTTTGGGTAAGCAACATGAGATGAGTCTCAATCATCACCAAGTAAATGATTCTGGGACGAGGCCAACACGCTTGGTCCGTGCACGCTTGCTCACATTGTCACACACTTCGTCCATCATACTTCCAGGCCCAGACTATACGACAGCAAAGTGATCTCCTTGCTCCTCACGAATAGACGCGAGATCGAGGCGTTGTCCGATCTTAATCTCACTGTAGAAGTTTTGGGTTAGAGGCTTCAGCGAGTTAACAAGTGCTTGGCTGCGCGAACCCCAGTATAAACACGGACTGCCAGGATGCAGGCGTAAATATGGGAGGCATGCAGTGATGCCAACGCCGCCAGCAATGCAAATCAAGGTGGGACATTCAGAAAGATCCTGCTGCTTTCCGTAGGAGCCCTCAATCAGGAGTTTGATGCGGGATCTATCTCGAAGCGCTTTGGTAGTCCCATCGAGAGTGTACGAAGATAGGAAGCTATACCTGGTTCTTCTGGCCGGTCGAGGCTGCTGATCACCGTCGACTTCGCTTTAGTATCACCAGCCTCCAAATTCACATCGGCGACAGAAGAGTCACTTTCGTTAGATGACGTAGCCCTTCTTTGAACAACATAGCTAGCAACGCTGAACGGATGGCTTTCCCAAAATCGCGAGTGGAGAAAGGAGAGATACACGTGTCCCGTGGCTACGACACCCCTAACGTCAATCCTAATGCAATCTTCATCGATGGAGGTGATTGAAGCAGTAAGGGCTCCATATCGAAAAAATCGGAGCATGCGTGTCAGCCTATCAAACCCCCAGATGGCGAAGACAATGTAAAGCCAGGTCTCATAGCCGGATTGCTTGTACTCGAAGTAGATGTGATACCATGAACCAAGGAAGACTAAAATTGACTATACAATGTGGCTGATGAGGAATAATTCATAGCGGCGGTGGCGTATGATCGGAACTGAGAGTGGCAAGAGGAGCGACGCAGCAATGGTCCCAATGTAGCCCCACCACCAGTATGGTAGAACTTGATCGGTTGAGAGCTTATCGTTAACAATATAGGCTCTTAAGAAGATGACTGAGTGTAAGATAGCTCCGAGGGCGACCTGCTTGCCAAGCGTCGGTAAGGCCCACCGACAAAGAGCAATAAAGCCATGGATAGATGCATTCAGAGCATATATACCCACAAGCCAGGGTGGCCGAATAGAATTATTCGACGGTGTAACAGCTGTAAAGCATGTGAACTCTGCCGAGGGATGGAAGGCCTTCAACGCATCCTGCACGGATGGAGAATGCTATATAGAGTTCGACAACTAGAAGTCAGCGCAACCCGGCAACCAGCAGTATCAAAGCAGACGAGTCTGGTATGTACTACTTCAGAAATCGATCATCAGCTCTGCGGGATTGAACGGTCTTTTCGCTTAAAACTTTTGTCCAATAAAATGCAAATGACCACAAGTTGAGCAAGTTTGTGAACCAGGGTACATCGCTCTGTGCTAGTGGTTCAGCGAGAACCAATTGCTATCAAACATCAACACCTCTTACTCGTAAATGCCTACAATCTCTGCTGAATATTGCCTTGAGTCGATTGAGTCACGGAAGAATTAAATCGCCCACCTCACATTTGGGTCCGACCACGGCCCAGATCACATTTTGTGATAACCCAGTGCAACCTATTTATGTACTGTATATAATTTACCAACATAATTTCTTGACGGCTATGGTCTCCTCTCCTTGGAGGCAGAACTTGAGCGTACCCAAACATGTTTCGCGTGAAGTATGCGTTATGGTCTTTGCAACTCCAAGTTTATTTGATATGAGATTATATGTTCTAGAGTGTGAGACTCGCTGAGGCTAGCTGGGCCCGGCAGGGTGGGCTGTATGAGGCACTCTCCTCACCTAAGGTTACATGTCCACCACCTTATGGAGAGCGTTTTGTGCGTTATATTTGCCTAATCCTAAGCGCCTTCTACTCGCTCGCTCCTTTACTGTTTGCCCTGCGGAGTACAAACTCAGTTTTGCGGGTCAGCGTTACAGGCTAGTACGACACTCTGGTTCCTGGATTACTAGACATCAGTGATGTGTATTGCCCACATAAAGAAGGGAATGGGTCGTTCGGCTTGTCCCAAATGTAGGTATGAGGCTAGTGACAGATTTAACTACGGATAGTCCTATCTAGGGTGAAGGGCGCGTATATAGGAGGGCTAGGCCGTCGCCCATGTTCCCATGCTCCATGAACATGGTCCCATGGTAGCCCTTCCTTCCCTGGGTGTCTCTTTAGGCGTAATTAAGTGACGGTTAGTGATCACCCCGCTTACCCTTCCTATTCATCGTTCCTCTATCCACAGGCTGCCGCTTCATCTTGGCCAAGGCCGTTAGAAGGTCAAGTCATTCCAAACACGGGACTTCCTAGCGAAATTTAGGCTAATTACCACGCGGTAGAGGTATGGCAAAGGACCCTGAACTAATTCTTGTATAAGGGTAAATATTGGTTATTTAAGTCATCACGACCTAAAGATAATATTAACCCCTACTCGGAAATAAGACCCTTGTCCACTCAGTAGCTGTATTACTCGCCTCTTAACATGAGTCCTCCGCAGCTCTTGACTAAAAGTGAGTCTCATTGCTTGTCTGAGACTGTCCGAGCTACCTGCCAGAGCTCCTTATGCCAAGCTATATTAATGTGTCTCGCCCACTTTAGTACATTGACTCCTACCGGATACCATACAGACTTACAGATCTAATGTAAATCAAATCACGTTTACGTGTGTCTGAAGGAGCACGAGAGCAACCGTGTGTTGAAGCACTCTCATCGTTCGATCAATCATACCATTCTGTCTCAGAACTAAGCCAGTGAATAAGCTACAAGCCAATCCTCCGGCAGAGCAATACTCCACTATTTTCCGCCAAATTGTTTAGCATCTTTTGCCGTTAGACACAGTCGATTGCAGTAGAAACCCTGAGACGACAGGCACGTCTTGTAAGGTATGAAGACGGGAATATCTCTATGGCCTACCTGTCTCGAACACCGGGCAAACTTCCAACCTGTTAGAGGTTTGTATTACGCTTCCTGCTCTTGTCGCCAAAATCCTTCGACCGCCTCTTCGGTATTATGTGCCGGACTATCGACCTAGGCGGACAGTCTGGACCCCAGAAATATGTGTGAGAAGTTGTAGTGTTGCTAATCCCTTTGTCTTGGTTTGTGGGCTCCTGTAACGCATGAGATATCAACGTGAGCGCGCTTCCAGGCTCGAAAGTTTATATAAAGAGGCTCTGCACTGCAGTTTTCTTGTAGCATTCATCACATTCCGTGGCTGTACTCCTGACTACTCCTCAATAGCTAACAACTATGGTATGCCGCAAGCAGCACCCTGTTCTCCTCCTCCTGTGCAACCTAGTTTTTGCTCATACCTTCCTCCTCCATCCCCGCCATGACGATGACAGCCAAGACCACGATGACAGCAGTCACAGCGGCACTTCCAGTGCTGGCGCGGGGCACGATATGAGCCACGGCGCCTTCAATTTCACGCCCTCGGGGATCGAGTGGCCACAGTGTCTGCGCGATTGGTGCGCCAGCTTCTTCGACTTCTTTCCAGAGCCCGTCAATAGCCCGCTTTGTGCAAATCAGGATTTTAGCACTAATGTTACTAATTGTGTGGCTGGAAATTGTACAGCCTATGAGCAAGGGGCATATGTCGTCGTAGCAAGCACCGAACGCCCTACAGATCGTGACGACCCAGTCATATTTACAGAGGAAGGGACCATTGTGGCGCTTGTAGATGCTGGAGGAGAGCCACAGAACTGTACGGGCGTTGATAACTCAACCATAATGTGCAATAGTGGGACACAGGAGGGGAATGTGAAAGGGTCATCTGCCTCGATAAATCTAGCTGGCGTTTTGCCACAGTCTGTGGATATAGCAGTATTGTTCGGGCTCTTTGCGTATCTTTAGCACGAGTCACACATGCTAAAAGGATATCTTGAGGCCTAGCTCTCTCTGAGCGCACTAGGCAGCTAGTCGAGCGTTTGCGAGGGTTGTGAACGCCAAAACGATAAAGGATGTTGGGAACTTGGTTAGTGTACACAGCGACCAGCTTTGATAGCTCCTCAGCCATCAGGCTACAGCGCAATATCTAAAATCAAAGCTACTATGCGCGTTGATACGCGGCTGAGTTAATAGGCATTGTCTATCGATAACAAATGACAGAAATATCGGAGTAGCGAGGTCATACTCATGGTCTGGATTTCATTTCTGCTCCAGCTGTGGAAGGCCCAAACTATTCAGCGGAACAGAAATCCGCTCTCATAAACCTTTCGGACCGTTGTGCTTGGACGCTCTCTGCTTCGATTCTGGTGGCTGATATTAACCACATTAGCAAAAATCGATCAACATTTCAGTGACATTGGAAAATAATCTTACCTTGGTTCGCATCGAGGTGAGTATAACCAGTGCATATACCGGTAAAACGTGAACAGTGTTGAATCGAATAAGAGTATACACAGGACTCTATGTAGTATCTAGAAGCGATAAGCGAAGACAAACGCTATGAGGAAGTAATGCTAGCGCTCACGGCTCATCACCAGCGAGGAAATAGGTGGGCTTGAAAGGAAAAATAACTTCGTCTAAGTTTGTATGAGAGTCGATGGACTTGACAGTCGCCCACCAGGAGTGGACGGGTGATGTGAATGCTCTTCCACGTGATTTTCTATCAAGACAGTGCATCTTCATTTGACATCGTGCCCGAAATCCTCGCTGAGATAGCACCCGTCCAACCTAGTCCGCTAATCATTCGATATAATCCTTTGCCTGCGAGCATTACCACGAGAAATCATCGACCTCCAGTTGGAAGATTGTCTTTTCATGTCGTCCTAGCCTAGCCGCAGTAGCACGCACATCGTCGCCAAGCCCGCCTGGACCACAGACTACGATACCAATACTCTTGTAGCCTTCTTGTACCTCCTTCCTTAGTAGCTGTTCGATATCGATCCTGCGGCCTACTAGTACCTCCTTCTGCGCAAAGCTCTGCAGCACCGGCTCCAGCTCGTCTATCAGAGCGCTGGAAGCCTCTTTCATACTCCACGCTAGCTTTACATTGGGATGTAAGTTGATCCAGGCAATCAAACCGGTAATGCCGATACCGCCACCGATAAGGAGGATTTTGTCACACTTTAGAACTTCCTTTGACGAATATTTCGGGTAAGGTCCGTCCAGAAATGTCAGAAGCCTTGAGTGTTTTTGGAGATTGCGGGTCATGCCTGTATGCTTCTTAATCATGAGGCTTATTCCGGCAGTAGTCCGGAACTGTTGGTTCACTGTAGAGCTGAAAGCTAAGGGCTTTTCTGTTGTTTTCTGTCGATTGTTCGATAGGTTGTCTTCATTAGAGCCAGTCTCTGAAAAGGCTTCATGGTTCCTCCATGAATAGAAAGATGTGGTCGAGTTTACTGAAAACGGATGGTTCTCCCAAGGGCGCCACTTATTGAACGTCGGAAAGTGTACGTAGGCATGCATGCCTGGGGCGGCACCCCAGCGAACGCCTGGAATGGTAACACGTACATGACCGGGCCCAACATCGGTCACTGTCGCATAGTGCACGCCGTTTTGGATAATGCGACCAAGACGAGCAAGACGATCAAAAATCCACACTGAAATCGCGGCGTAAAGCCAGTTTTCGTGGGAGCCAGTCTTTCCAAATCGGAGAATGACGTGATACCAACACGCGACAAGAAGGAGCACCACAAAAATGATGTGCTGGATTAGAAAGACCTCATAGGACCATCTTCTTAGCCAGAGGCTGTTGGAGAAGAGCATTGCAACAGCCAAAACAGTTCCAACAATGCCCCAGGAGAAGTATGCTTGTGGGAAGTTGCTCGCGTAAATGCCAGAACCCTTATATGCAACGAGCAGGGTTAAGGAATGCACTATGGCATGGAGGATAAAAAGTCTTGCAACCCATCGATGCAAGACTAGAAATGTACTGTGACTCCAGTTTGTCAACCACAATAGCAAGTTATTTCTCCCTGAAAAGAGAATGACTAAGGGCAAGATTGCATAGCCGAATTCTCCAGTACGATAGCCAATATATGCGTTGATTTCTTGGAACTTATTGTAGCCCCACGGGTGAGGCTGGATGGAGGTGTAGCCAACTGCGCTGAGAACAAGGTTTAGAATAAAGAACATAGCAATATACTGAAATTGACCCATGGTTGGCACGTTTCCCAAAAGCCATGGAAGAGGCTGCGTGTGACGTCGGCCAAATATTGAAGGGTAGACCAGCCATGGACCGACTTTTCCGTATAGGAATATCATAAATGGAGCATAGCCGATCCAGCTAACGAGCAGGGGTGTCGCAAAGCCAACGACAAGAATGATGAGACTGTATTTGTTGAGCAAGCTACTATTCTCCTCGAATTTTGGATAGAAGTTCTGGTACATGGAAAGCGCCGAAGAGCTCGGTAGCATTGTGCTATTGAGCGTGGTACCTGCGCTGTATTGTTCTTGCGGAGGCTCGTCAATCAACTTGAGCGCCTCAGTATAGAGTAAGGTGGGGGTGATGGTAGGATCACCGGTCGCCATCTGAGCCCACCATTTTTCCAATTCCCACACAGCAAGTTCTTCGGCGCCAGTGCAAGTGGAATTGAGACAGTAAGCTAAGCTAGAGAGAAATGCTTCGTCACCTGCATAGCAATCGGGTGGTGTCATCGGGCCATGAGAATGGCCGCCTCCATGATGGTGAGGTGTACAAGAAAGTGTTGCAGAGGCAAGTGCTGCTCGACATGCAGTACAGCAGTATGGTTTATATGCTGATGAGCCCAATCCAGTGAAAGCGGCTGAAGCAGCGGCTGCCAATAAACTAACTTCAAGCAGCAGTTGCAGCATACTGTAGAAATGTCGACCTTGCAGATGCTAGAAACTGAGCGGAAGTGTATTATACACAGAAAACTTCGTCTTGCCAAAACGCTTCCTCAACGCAAGTGTTGTCTATCTGATATATCATTTCCTGTTGATCCTTGGCGAGAGCAGTAACTGGCCTCGCTGGCTGGTATAGACTAACGATTGATGCCAAGGCCTTGGTAAAGGAGGCGGAAGAAGAAACCTGCTCACCTGCCCCACCCGATGCCGCTGCCTGCGGGAAGTTGGTGGCAGCATCGGATGTATTGAAGCGGTCTGACAGGTCTCACTGATTCGAGCCTCATCTGTCTACGAGTAGTAGGTAGATGAAACGATCTGTATACGCAATCTTCCTTCCATGGACCTTAGAGCTCTAGGAGGTGCGAAGCACGAGGCACTGATAGAAGCAGATTCTCTTCGAGCACAGTGTTTTGACGCCACGTCCGTATCGCACAATGTTCGGTCGAACCACTCGCTGAGTATTACTATAACGTCTACTGGCTGGGTAACTGGGGTCCTGGCCTAGGCCACTTGTCGAGCGCGTTCTAGCGAGTTTTGCAAACCACCTGCATATGCACCTAAGCAACTTCAACCCGCGACAACTCCACAATCTCTCCTCCAAATGGCCTGCAAATGCAAAGAGCGAATTCAGGCGGTCTCAGACGAGTACGAGACATTAGCTTCAAGCACCTGAATGTTACAGCTGAATTTCATGGGCTTGCAAGGTTGACACTTCGCCACAGACTCGATGAACGCCGTACTAGAAGTGTAGGCGACCTCAAATCACTCAAAAGTACAGATCGACCGGAAAAAATCCTTATGCAATGGATTCGAGACCTGAAAATTTAGCGTATTTCTCCAAACCATGCGTCGATTCACTCAATTATATAGAACCTGATGAGAGATAAATGGAGATCTCAGATAATGTGGTGAAAGAAAGAATGGTCCACCTGTGGAAGCTGGAGTCTAGCCTCATGTAAATGGCCAGATTCAGTGCCTGCTGATGTTTTCGGATTTTTTCATGCCCACGAGAAGAGTTCCATATGCAAGTACCTATCACCAGCTCTGGGTATCTTCAGGGTGCGCAAATTTTCTCGCCCGACAGAGTAGTGGATATCATCTTGCATTCCAAGGGGTCCGCACATGAAAATGCCTACAGCGTCTCTTGTGCTTGCTGCGGTAGTGGCTACTTCTTTGATGACCATCGGTAGATCCGGACGACAGCGTACCTCTTCCTGTTATAATGTCCGTAATAGATCCCTGTTGTCATTCTCTAAGCTCTTCTATAGGCGCTTCTGCGAACAAATCAGAACCTTATCTTTGTATATCGGGAGCCGATATTGTAGGGGGATACACGATATGCTCAGCATCACTAGTCAGGCGTACTTCGACACTTAGGTTGGAATATCTGCCTATTGGTTTTCCGTCCCGAAACAGACTGTTCGGGACTGTCTGAAACCAAGTCCCGTATTGCTAGTATGACACATAAGGACTGTGCTCCACGCCCAATTTGCTGTCGTCGCGGCTTGGGCGCTGGTCTGAGTCTCCTTGGGGGGCCGCTCTTATTCCCACATCGAAGAGTGATACCGCAGGCTTTTCTCAACGATACAGAGCATCCCAACCAGCCTCTGAACCACCAGCTACAACGATTATGCGATCGCTGTCGAAGTATTTCTGCTTATCGATGCCTCCGTATGGGCCATCCATAAACGCAAGTGCATGGAGCCCTGGCAGCGTCCGTGCCTCCTTGTACAGCCTTGCTGTAAATTCTCGGCGTCTGCGAATGTAAAAAGGAGCTCCGAAGGTTTTCCTTGGGCTGTCGAAGGTAAGGAGCAGATCGTGAAAGGTTGTGAACTCAATGTGTGAAAGCTGAAGCCGCGGATCCGTAGGAAGCAGTGTTGGCATGGTTACCATTTGAAGTCGGAAGATATCGACGGGTGTGATGCGCAAAAACCCATTATCTTCCAGGAATGCGTGTTTTGGCCTGTGCCGTACTCGACAGAGTGCGAAGCCGTTGGATTATGCAAAAAGAGAAAGAAGAGCAAAAAAGGCACTTAGACCGTTGTTGTTGCATCGAAATGATCGGTGATAATATATCAGATAAACCTAAAGCAAGATTGCACCACAGAATGTACCATGCTTTGAGTGTACTGCCATACTGCCACAATAAATCCACTATGAACACGCCAGCCGACAAGAAATGTGTAGCTTTAGAAAAGTCATAGTCAAAGCTCCTAGAGCGTAATCAGTCTTTACGTTCAAACCTTATCACTATATTGAGTTTGCTTCCTGAATAGACCCGACGGCGAAAGAGTAAGTCACGCTCGGAATACCAGAGCAGCAATGTCAGTCCAATATTCAAGGTTATGGCTAATAGTGAACGGATTAATCATGTCGTGATTTCGGGTTTGCCAGACAATGAACGGGAACATATGCATTGGTGCCACGATCATGAAGTCGTATGCGATTCATCGATGGAATGCCTGTAGCTTCTCATGTGTAACTCGGGTCACTAGTGCAAGCCAATTCGTCTTGCTTGCGGTCTCGCTATCCTTGGTCAATATGATACTATATAACTAATTCGTTGAGCGTACAATGGAAAGGCATGCATGCCAAAGCTAGTCAACCAAGATCTAGTACCCAGTGGTGGTGAGTTACCCCAGACCATGCCTGTACCAGGCCAATAGTAAGGGGATGGGGCCAAGCCCATGCCTCTTAAAACTTAATCTCACTTCTTCGACTCGCTGGAAGGCAGTATGTACCCACAGCGCCTAACATGAGTGTTTACCCATAGGTGCCGAGTTCCACCTCAAGGTTTCAATGCGAAATCCTCAGTTCGGTAAGTATCGAGTCGCTGCAATCATGACAATGTTCCTTATCATATTGGCATTGATCTGGTGCAATGCCTTTACGGTCAAAAGCCCAACTAGAGTGGAGTGAAACGTGCTGTCAGAGCCACCCAGCCATTATTTTCTCCGGCCGTCTTTGTAATAGCATTGGAGTTGCCCTGATGATTCAAAATCCTGGTCAAGCGGTTGTGAGGTCTTCGGGGCAAATTGAACGTGCACCAAGAGCAGCACGGAAGATGGTAATGCTTAAGCATCGCTAAGCGTAAACATGACATTCGAGCCTTTTGCTTGCTCAAGCTTGCAATCTATTACCCCTTTAGTTGGGTCGAGGTGGTCCTCGTGAAATACACAATGGAAACGCACTAGATTCCGATCCGTCTCCACTTCAAGCGAAGCCCCACGATTCATGACCAAACAAGTATGTGATCCGGACTATTGAGCAAGTTTCCTCTGCGGCGGGGAGGAAAACCCCCAAGCTATGACCAAAGGTTCGCTCACAATTTTGGGATGTGTGGCTCAAGTCATCGGACGTCCAACTATTGCAGTCATGGCAAGCCCAATGGGCGCGATGCCGATGTCCATGTCGTCAACCAGCACAATGTCAGGGATTTCAATCGCTAGCTCAGCAGGCGCTTCATTGCCAATGTCCTCCGATACCATGACGTTAGCAAGTTCGATGACACAATGAGATCCACACAGCATGATTCCGTCCAAATGTGAGCACAAGTGCATGTGAACACTAGTAGAAGTGTATATTTTTAGGTAGTAGACTTCGGAGGAGTTTCGTGCTGACTCAACAAGTGAGCAAGTTTTGAGCCTATCGTCTACCTAATAGTCAATGAGAGCTTGTATCGAACATCCAATGATTGCGAGACAAATCCAGTGCTATCAGCTACCTTTGTTATCCTCGTGTAATTGGTGTCCTGGCACTATTCTACAACTGCCACGAAAAGCTTATGTGTTTAGAAATGCAAAATAATGTTTGGACTGCGGATGAGACGCTTCTGCCCCTGTCATTAAATACCTCAGGTATAAATCGACCTGGCTCTACGCAGCTTTACCATCTAGAGAAGATATCGACAGATCAAATATGAAGCTCTTCTTTCTCGGGCTTCTAGTATTCGTCTCGAGCACAGTTGCTACTGGTCCTGTACCGGTCAGCAGAAGTGGCCTTGCTGGTGTTGACGGATTTACTTTCTACGATCCCTATTGTGCTCATGGCTGCTTTAGATGCTTCTCTTCTTTTAAACTGTCGTGCACCACTATAGTCAGCCCCGGAGGTCACACAACCGGCACCGAGGCTGCACACAACTTGGCTGTGTGTCGCTCGTCCAACTTTCCGTATCTAAGCTCTATAGCATGGTGCATACAATTATATTGCCCAAGCAATGTTCGTGCTTCAACTGTTGAGAAATTCTGGGAAACGCAAATCACCGGAGATGTCAAAATCCTTCCCAAGTGGACTTACGGTGAGACGTTGGCAAATATTACGACGCCTGTGACAGAGGTTGCGGAAGGGAAAGAATTGATTCTGAGCACAACCATGCTCACAACCCACGTGCGTTAGTCCTCCTCTCAAAACGTGTACCGTGAAGACCTGGAATTGCGAAAAGCAAGGACTGCCTTGAATACCCTTCCTTTATCTGCGTGATCTCTAGGTCTCCGGCCTAGCCGATACAATTTCTGACAACTCGATAGGACAGCTGGAAAACCACGCAGGACACGTTGATATACTTCTTCCGCGAGACCGCCCAAGAGTCGTACTATGGGTAGGTAGTTGACCTCTCCTCTTCCTCTTGGAGACGTACTTCAGTCTGGTGTTCTTGTTGGACGCATAATATCGATATTAATTGCATTTAACTAAATTTTATTCCGTCAGACTTTCTATTTGCCTGACAGCCTTTGCTTTACCAATTATACTGACTTGGCTGGGCTGCCTCCCTTTCATGACAACCGTACTGGAACAAATTAAACCTTGGATCTATCCCAGCATCCTCAGAACTTACCACGATAGACCCCTCCCTTACCTGATCGGAAATGTCCCTACAGTCGGACAGGGCTTGTACATCGCAGTCGTGGCCCTCTTGAATATCATCTTCCTTGTGGTCGGTTATAAATGTTTATATCCCAACCACGTCATGCAGTGGTATGTGAATCATTACCAGGAACTTATGGCTTATTGGATGTGGCGCACTGGAGTCTTAGCATTCGCCAATATGCCGGTTCTCTTCCTTTTCTCGAGCAGGAACAACATCTTGTTGTGGCTCACCAACTGGTCGCACTCAACCTACATGTTACTCCACAGGTGGATTGCTCGTCTTTTCTTGTTGCAGACGCTCCTACACTCGATTCTCGCACTTGTCTTGTATCAGAACACTGGCTCGTACGACGATTCGCTCAAAACTAAGTGGTGGATCTGGGGTTGTGTCGCCACAGTCGCAGCTGTCATTATTATGCTCACAAGTGTGGTTGTTCTGCGTCAGCGTGCGTATGAGCTGTTCCTGATGACGCACATCGTTATGGCTGTTATCTGTGTGGTAGGTTGCTGGTATCATATTTGGTACGGGTACGAAGGTACATTCGGCTACGAAACTTGGCTTTACGCCACCATTGCTGTTTGGTTTTTCGATCGATTGGCTCGTCTGGGCAGGATCCTGAAGACGGGCATCAAGCGTGCCAAAGTGTCTGATGTCGGTCCCACTATAGCACGTGTCGATATACCAGGCATCCGTTGGGCAGCGCCAGGCCAATGCGTCTACGTATATTTTCCAACGCTCAACATTCTGCGACCATGGGACAACCATCCGTTCTCTATGATCCCGACATCAACGCTAGTCCGGCCAAGGCACAGCGATAGAGCCGAATTAGATCCTGCCAACGTAGAGAAGAATCACACAGTGACAGTGGGCTCGCAGCCGGCCACAGATAACCACACTTACACAACCTCGGGCCTCACACTGTTCATTCGCAAAAGGGCAGGCATGACGGGCTCTTTGAAATTGAAAACAGGCTTACTTACCCTCCTTGAAGGCCCGTATCCTACCATTCCCACAAGAGCAGTCCTTCAAAGCGACCGACTCGTGCTTATTGGCGGCGGCATAGGCATCACTGGGCTTCTGCCATTCTTACAGCACCATTCAAACGCCAAGCTATTCTACAGTGTTAAAGCAGCCGATCAATCCCTAGTGGACTGTTTGAGGCCAGTGCTAGACAATATCCATGAGAAAGAGATTGTAGTCGGCTCTAGACTGGATATCGACGGGTTACTGCGGAATGAGGCAGGTCTTGGGTGGGCCAAGATCGCGGTTGTGGTATGCGGGCCGGCCGGAATGTGTGACGATGTCAGGGCAGTTGTGTCCATGCTTGCTAGGGAGAAATCTGGAAGCTGCTCATTTGAGCTCGAGGTTGATGCGTTTTCTTGGTAAGATGAAGGAAGGACGATGCTTGTTTAACAGTACAGTACTCGATGCGAGAAGGCAGAGAAGAAAAGAGTCGCGTAGATTTGTGCATTCCACAATCTACACATAGTATCCTTCCCTGCAAAGCGCGTGGGAGTCGTGGTTAACAAGTGGAATTTGGATCTATCAATGCCTTGCAATGTTAGTGCACACTCCCCAAACGCCGATGCATGCTTTGACTTCGGAAAAGTATCATCCGACTGGCATATGCCACACCAACAACCGCTTTCTGCTGCAATCGGCAAGCCATAGCACCCGTGGACACCATGCAGAAAGTCAATCCCTGGTGTCCGCAAACATTTAATGAGCGGAATGCCTTTAGAGTAGGGTTATTTTCACGAATCACCATTTTGAGGATCTTGGCTTGGGAGTTGGCGTACAGCTGCCTGTCTATTCTGAACTTCGTTTGATAAGCTGCGTATATTCTTCTAATCTTCTAAGATAATGAAGTATTTCCGAAAAGGCCTTGGAGTAGTTGAACTTAAATCCCTCGGTCAATGGGCGCGATAGCGAAGACAGTGGATGAAGATTACCGAGACTACTGAAGCAGGATCCGGCAGTGATCAAACTAGGGAGATCTGCGGGGCTTACACCTCTCCAAAAGAAGCTTCTGAAGCCTTTTAATTCGAATCCTTGGCTACTTGATCGTGGTAGGTCGTATCGCAATTACCAAACACGGCGCGGCGACTTCTTCTGTCAACCATTGGGTACCCCGTCCGGAAATCGAAGTCTGAGGCGACATTGTGGCTACCACCTGCGGCTGCTGACTCGCTCAAGGGGAGGAAACTGATTCAAATGGCTCTTAACCGACTTTCAAAAGGACGTCCCGAGCGCAATACCAAGCGATGATTTACAAACAGATCTGTAACGAGTCTTGTCAAAACAAGAAGCTCTGGATTTTGCGGTATATGAGTCGCCATTGCCCGCGCAAGCTAAATTTGACCGGCCATCTCGCACTTTGCATCAAGCTCTCATGATACTATGTATTCCGCAGCCTACCATGCCTCAATTCCTGCAGCCAAATGCCACGATCGATGTTCCTGTCAGCGTTCCCGGCTCGGCAGAATTACGACTGCGCAGGGCTTGAACCAACTTAACAAGCAAACGCTTCTTCTCATCTTCAGTATAGCTCTCTATAGCCTGCTTCATGATTGGCATGAGCAACAGCGTCTTTGCGAAGTCATCGTGTGTCTCATATCGTATCTCAGCATCTACTAAGAACGTCTCGGTATCCACGAAGCCACATGCCTCCAGCTCATTTTTGACACCTGCTTCGGAAGACCATGGCTCTTGCAACAATTGCAAATTTGTTCCCGGTCTGATTTCTTCGACAGCATCGTGAAGTGCATCAAGGTTTTGGCTGCCTTTGCCACTTGAGAGTGCCAGTACTCCGCCCTTGCTCAGAATGCGATATGTCTCCTCTAGCGCCTGCCTGGGATTGGACACCAGGAAGTACAGATGTCCGCCGGTGACATGAGAGACGGAGCCATCAGCCATTGTAGACAAATCATGAGCGTCGAGATTGTGCAGCTGCAATCGGTCCCATACCTGCTTGCCCGCTGCGACATTTGCCTCTTTAGTCTCTCTTAACTTCTCGAGCATATGCCGGCTGAAGTCCGCGGCAGAAACAAGGGCTGAATCCGGTATCTCGCTGCCGAATACATCGAGAATGTACGATATGACTGACCCTGTGCCACATCCATTGTCGAAGACGCCTCTCGCGGTGGCGAATGGTGAGCGCTCATTCAGTCGGAGAATCATCCTACGCAACGTGATTCCCACCTGCAAATTATTACCCTTGCTATCACTTAATCTGTCGGCGAGGTCTTTCCAGTCGTCTCCGTTGGCTGTCATATTGTTGCTCATGGTTGTATTTCTAGGCTTAAAAGCCCTTTCATAGGTCTGGAGTCTGACTAAAAAACTGAATCGACTAGCAACCTCGATAAATCACCAGAAAACTCAACACAGAGTGAATGATCTATCTATCTATATATATCTATCTATGGCATGAACGAAGGAGACTTTGGATAGAAGTCTCCGAAAAATTGGCACCAGAAGTCTCCGAACTGGAGACTAAGAAGCATGAATGACACTTACTAGACTGGGTGCTAGAAGAACAACACTAGTCGTCAAGGCAAGTCACCTCAACTTCCAAAAAAATTACCGGGACCTCATTCTACCATCAATACTAGTGTGTAGACAGGCGGACGCATTCATGTTCTGATCCAAGTAGCGATCAAATCACGTGACAGCGAGCAAATTCCATTAGAGGACTTTCAGTCGCTTGTTTCTCGAAAAGCGACTCAACAACGGTCCTTCTGTGATCCGAGCCCACCAACCATGCAGTTGTCTTCCTAATTGGTGGAAAAGACAGATTAAAATCTGCCGGCGCTCACTCCGGCTCACCCTAGCCGCGCCGTTGTGATCTACTTACCTTCCAGGAGTCGCTCGGTACGGGAATGTGATATGTAAATCGGAATTGGGACATCTGCTCGGGTCGGTAGGCTAGAGGCACCGTTGGGAATGGTGATTTACTGTCAGTTCGAACGTTCTCCAGCACGAAACTGGTAGGATGCCGGGAAACATGGGAGCCGCACATCTGAAACCCACGCACTACGTTCAAAGCATTACTTGATATCCCTACCGGGGTGCTATCACCGAGTTAATGATGCCTGTTTAGTCATATCCTCGTCGGCCCAATTGCCTGACTGGCCAGCTATACGAAGTCACAGTGTCACCCTGTAACAGGCGGTCGAACAACGTAGGGAGGGATTTATTGCTATGGCGTAAGAGGGTACTGTAGGAGCAGCCTAACGTAGTAGTTTAAATATAGTAGGAGGAGGACCGGATTATGATGATTTGAGATCTCGAACGGATCCTGTTGTCTAAAGCTAACGAAAAGCTAGTGTTGTAGATACAAGAGGGAAGAACGAAAAGAGGTAGTAAGGCTGAAGCAGGCTCCGGGGTCTTAGAACATGGCATGCGAGATGAGGGTGAACAAAGCGGCGAAGAACTGATCACAAAGGGAATACGGATCGATTGACCAATGAAACCCCGGATTGGGGGGTGCAGCAACACTCCCATTGGTCGGAAGCGAACTACCGTGTGTCTGGCATCATGTCAGTTCCACATTTATGCATTCCCACGCTTTTCGGATTTTGCCATCCACGAACCATTTCCTTTTCATCAAACCCTATCACGACTCTTGAAAACTTTGACGCCGAGGATATCCAAGCATGAGATCACCCGGGATCCATCATGACGTCAACTATGACCAGGCCATGTATGGAACAATCATTTCTGCGGCATATCCCCGATGATCACACATGATGTGATTCATTCTTTATACCAGATCAGTGGGTACAAGGAAGGTGTTGTATAAATTGTTGAATTCTCAAAAGAAAGAAAGGATTGTTCGCCAACGCAAGGCTTATCCAAACCTCATCCCAAGACTCGAGAGAATACGTACTATCCAATTCAAGAGGGAGCAGAACCCAAAATATCAATCAAGCATCAGATTACAGCAATATACCATGGCCGCTAGAAACGCCGATTCCATGACCAACGCCCAGGGCGAGTTTCATCCGCGAAAGCCCAGAGACGAGCCTGTGCAGACATCCGGAGTGAGTGCATTGACCTACATACCTCGACTCATAATCCGCACGCGTCCTCCCATTCACTCCGCGAAAGCAAAAATAACTAACACATGCACTTCCTCCGCCCACAGCATCAAATCGGACAAAAAGTGTCCCCGGCAGACCACGCACCCGAGTTTTCCGCAAAGACACTGCCAGCGGGCACGGCCCCCAAATCCGCAACATACCAACCGAACCCGGTTGACGAAACCCCCGGGCAGGCGAACAACCCAGACGTGCTGCGCTCGCACGGCAAGGAAGGCGTGCAGACGGACGCGCTCTCGACGCTGCCAGGGGCGACCTCCGCAGACGTCCACAAGGGGCTCGGACACCCAGGACAGGGCCAGACGTCGAACGAGCTGCGGCACGAGGGCGCACATACGTCCACCAAGCAGACGTCTGGACTTGAGGGAGCAGGCGCGCAGGGCGGATCGGGACTGCGTGAAGATGGCATGAACACGGAGTTCCGTCGTTTGCAGCAGGATGGGGATCATCCTTCTGGGCCCCCGGCAGCTCGCGCGCATAATGTTAGCCTCGACGGCGCGGAGTCGAAGTTGCCCGTTGCGAGCGAGCATTTGGCTGCTGAGGGGACTAAGACCCGTGCGCTGAATGATACCAATCGCTCCACGAATGCCACTGGCGTGCCGGATAGGGGTGCCGGTTCTGATCGATCCTAGGCAGAAGGGCCCTTTCCTGCGTTTAATGGCTAGTGGGTTGCGATATGGATGAGACGCTTGCTCCGGCATGGTATGTGCGTGGGTTTATATTTAACACGAACTGGATTCCTCATGTCAAGGTACTTGATTGTACTTCCAGGGTGGTTTGTACACGGTGTGCTTATTAAGTCAAGGATACTTTCTCCTCAGGAGTCAGGACGGCGTCGTCAGCTGAGGTCAGGACAAGGATAATCTCTAACGAGACCAGTCTAGTCAGTTGACACACTGGGCTCATTCACCTCTTGATATCCTCAGTAAGAGACAGTCTAGACCAGCAAGAATATATGGTATCATCAAAATCTTTGGAAAGTAACTGCTCCGCCAATTTACATTGGCCATGGTCGATGTATACGAATCCTAGGCAGTCGAGAAGTTAAAAGGTTGTCGTGTGGTCAGAGCTTTTTCGCCTTCTCAAAGCCAGCGATCGCTTGTTAATACAATTGCACCCCTAGCTCTAGATTACCCTGGTCGCTGTATACCTCCTTTATCGATCAATGAAAGCGCCTTTGCTTCAGCGTTTGTAATGCTTGGAAATCATGGAAACGGGGCTCCTGGAGATCAATTGCCTAGTAAACTTGCATATAAGCTAGAACAGAGGCCTTGGAGCAAGAGAGAGAGAGAGAGAGCTCAATCACTATCCACCTTGACTCGCTTAAGTTGCCCAGTATAGATCTGTTGGAGGATTTGGACTGTGCAATTGTACGAGCCAATCGATACCAGGCAAGTCAGCGTGGATGAGATTTCTGTCTTCTTCTACTCTATGATCACCGTTCTGGTTTATATAGAAAATTACTAGGCAAATGACCTCCTTGAGCCTATTTTCCATGATTCCAAAGCATTCCAGAGGCTGTAGCACTTACGCGTTTATCGTCGTCATGAGGTTGCCTGTGCCACTGACTTTAGTGCTTTATCTTGTTAGCGCGTTACGTGTTTGAGGTTTAGTATGCGCTAGTCACTTTGGCGCCAACAAATATAGAAAGCTCGGTCGAGTCGATTATGCATAATTTCAGGGATGAGTTCGTTTTCCCAGAGCTGTGGTTGTACGAGACATTTAGCATGAGCAGCTATACGCACAAAAGGGAGGTGCTCCAAAGAATCTAAGTTGTGGCCGTGCGTGGTTGCGGCGATGCAGTCGAACGCATACCAGTACTGCTGCACATCAATGTCATGGTTGAGTATCATCAGTGTCCAGTCATGTATACAATTGTGTATAGACCATGAAGCTGTTCCTTCCTGGACTTCTACGAAATGATAATCTGTTAGAGTTCTCATCGCACCAGCGAAGTTGTTATGATCTGCAATCACATCACGCAGCCGCTTTTGATTGTCGAAGTAGGCGAACATTTTCAACAACTGTTTCGCATCTGAATCCTCATCTTCAAGCCGGCTATAAGATACATCCCAGGTCGTGTAGAGTGTACGATCCTGATACTCTGGAAGTTTAATTTGCCGCTTACCATTGACATTCCAGCGTTTCTCATACTCCTGGAGATATGTTTTGAAAGTAAAAAAGTCCTTTTTTCTTGTGAAGAACGACCCCGGTAGTGGCTAGGGCGAGGGGAAGACCTCCCAGTCGTTCCGCTAGACGTTTTGCATAGGGGTCTAGTAACAGGAGTCAATGAGTATCACATTGTAGCTGCTTATGGCCTACCAGATTTTGTGGTCTCTCTTTGAGACCGATTTCGAAGATCTCCAGACTTTCAGCGATAGTTGATAAAAGCCCAAGGGCAAACTCCTCACCACCGAGAACAGCTGGCCCTCGTGCAGTCACGATGATAGCGCCACGAGACGCAGGAGGATAATAATTTCTGATTTTGAATTGTCTAGGATCATCATAATTGTCGAAGATCAAAAGCCATTGGGTATTCTTCGCGTTAGACAGCCAACGGAGTACTTGATATGGAATATCTTCGCAGTCCAGGGTCCCAGCCTCTTGTATGTCAAAGATTAGCCCGGCTATCGACCGAAAACTGTCTTTCAACGAAGTCTCGGACGATGCATTGAGGCAGAAGACTGACTCGTACTCATGCTCGTGTTTTTTTGCATAAGCGATGGCAAGCTGCGTCTTACCGAGCCCACCCATGCCACTCAGGACTAGTCGTTGTTGCTCTCGAGACGCGTCACGAGGCTTGAGAATCTTATGCATTTTATCGAGTTCGGAGCTGCGACCGATAAATAGTCGCGAATCGATATATGGCGATCCGCCGAGGCAGAGCCCAGCAGGTTCACGGTAACTGAAGTCTTGCTTCTGCGTGATGACTATGAAGGGCTGTTAGCCTTTTTCCATTCAATTACTAAGAGAACATTAAAAGCTCCAAGGGACAGTTTCAAGGACGTGGAGAGTATCTCTGAAGAGACAGGTGTCATTGGACTAACAGCATCAGGAGACTTAATTTTACTATATGCTGTCGATTCGCGACTGTCATTATTATGGCTCGTTCTTACCGGAATGGAAATGTTGAATTCTGAGTGCAGCGTTGTAGTTCGTTTGATGACCACTCCACCGAGCACATTGTTTGTCTGTGAGCCTGTGCCAGCGTTGTTGAAAGCTATGCCCCCGGGTTCTTCTTCAGGTACTGAGGGCTTGATCGACTTCATCTCTTCAATGATCTCCTCAAGCTTAGCATTTTCCTCAGGTGTAGCAGACTGAACTGCGTGGTGATTGACAATAAGCTGAACGTCTTGAGTGATTGAAAGCAGCAGTCCTTCAACTTTGTTTCCTTCGCCCAGTCTCCGGATGGCCTTGGAGTATCGTTTCTTCCACCCGTCGTGTTCACCAGTTATGACCTTTTCGAAGATTTCTCTCACCTTTCTAGCCTTGTCATCACAGTCATTAATGATCTCCTCGAGGGCATCCCAGACATCTGTTGGTATATCGTCTTGAATCCTTTTCAGGTCGGTTTCGCATTTTTGAAGGGTGTCACGGATTATAGGCAGTCGCTTGATGACGACCTCAAAGGACTCGGACAACTTCGAGTCTTTTCGTGTATCATTGTAGTATGTGATGGAGACATCGATTATTCCGATGATTGCAGATGTGCCACTGATCACATCAAGCCCCGACATCTAGAGGTCTTTCGAGGTCAAAGTCCGCCTGCTCGTGAAAGAGAATGAGCGTGAGCCACGGGAGATCGTAGCTATCATCAGGCTGAGAGGGGATAAATCCTTGCCTCTCATGGCGAACCATGGCGATAACGCCTTACTCCAGAGTGAGGCCAAGTTATGCGCAGAAGCGCTGAGCACTAGGCAGAAGCATGCAAGTACACATAGCTGGTGGCTAAGTCACCTATCATGTACTCTGGACGGAATAACACCATCCACAGAAAAACCACGCCCTCAGCCCTGGCGCTTCATTCTGCAGCAACCTGGCCGGCGCGAACACTCCTGGACAGGGGCTGTCCATGCCCACTCATGAAAATAGGAATGGTGGCACGAAGCACGGGTCACCAAGATAGAGGAGGTGAACCTCAAAGCCAGCATTACTTCTGCTTGGTTGCCCGTCTATTTTATTGCATGGAGCGCCAGGATGCTTACTTACAATCAAAGCTGCATTAGAGGAAATAGACCGACCGGGGTTTGGGGTCCCCGCATGTTTCAACTTTCTTGTTTGAGCGAGATTGGCAACATAGCCTTGACTAAAGTTGGTCGTATGCCGATGGTGATATGTACGTAGTAGGGTTTTGCGGTCATGTCTTCTAAGAAGTAAGTGGTCCAATCCTAAGCATATGAACTGGGATCCCATTAGCATCTGCTTTCTTGAGTTACAATATCACTCAATCAATCACAAGCCTTTCTTCAGCAACAACTCCATTTGCTGTGCCATTGACACTTCCATTCTCAACGGCTTTCTTTCCGCCTATTGTTTCCACACCTCCGTCCTTTTTCACTTTAGCTTCAAAAGTATCGACCTCAACACCCTTAATGAGCGCTTCACTAACACCTTCTAGCCCAGCAACGAACACACATAGACCGCTCCCGATGACGAAATGACTAATAGTGGTCCCGATATCTAACCAACTGCCTTCATCCTTAACCATCCAGAAGAAATTCAACGTCATCACATCGCTAATAGCCATAACGACCATGAACAGTGCCGATGATTGCAAACCGAGGCGACGATTAAGGATGCCTAGTGCTGCGGAGATGATCGCAAACGGGACCATGATTTTAAAGAGAAGGAGGGCACCTTGTGAAAAGGGGTCGAAAACTGGAATTAGTCGGTAGACTGCATCAAGGCTGAAGCTGGAAACTGATGCGATGTTTCCTGTAGAAAAAAACCCGGATTGAAGGAAGAAGAGGAAGAATAGTGCCCGGCGCAAATCAGGCAGGGCCAGGGTTCGGAAAGTGGTTTCCGACTGAAGATTTGCAGGCTGGTCTGACATCGAAGTAATTGTAACCCCATTTGGAACCTTGTCAGGCACTTGGGATGTCGAAGGTGCGACCGTTGCCACGCTGTGTAACTGGATGACATTCTCTAGGCGTACCCATGCTAGCAAGGTGGAACAAAATGTGAAGAAGAACAATCCCTCATATGAGATTGTCAAAAGGATGAACGATGGTGAGAACGTGAGAAAGATAATTACCAATCGATGGAGGTAATGCCTGTTGGGAGAGATTCGATGTACGAATGGTAGTATTAAAGACAAAATCAAGACGAACCATCCAACGACTTGATTTCCTAGTGGCAGACCTTTCTTGGCCTGAATGGATGCAGCGCTCGAGCGTGTGACGATGATTGTTAGTACAATAACTCCGATTTGAAGCCCCATGAGAACCCGAGAAATCTGGTTAGGTTGAGGTTTCGTTGCGTTCATAGACTTCGATCTGGAAGTAATCTCATATTCGAATAGGAGATAGATTAAACCAGCGCCAACCATGAGTAAGCCTCCAGCTGTAATAGCGGTCGAATCTTCGATCTTGTTTGCTGGTAGCAGAGTAAATGTGCTTAAAACCAAACAACCAGCTGCCCATGCAACGACAAGAAGAAGATTGTCGCGTACAAAATTCTTGCCGTAGGAAATGGGGTAGACGGCACCGATAATGTAACACACTGTCAGAATTGTACGGTGAAAATATGATTGTACCTGATTTGTGTAAGTAAGGATCGGTAGGGTGATCACCAAGAATAGATAACTTACAAATGCCTCGAGCACAGCAAGGTATAATGCTGCCTGAAAGGCTAATGCTGAATAGCCGGAAACTCCTTGAATATGCCCGAAGAGAGCTCTAAAGCCAGAGACCAATGCTTTTCTCCGAGCAAAGATTTCTTCCCAAAAGAAAACCGGGAATGCGGCATATGCATAGTATGTCAAGGGTGATCGATCAATGACAAAGGATGAATACAAGACAGCTAGGACAGATGAGAATGCGGTAGTCGAGGCAAGAGTTCTCTCATCTGATACGGCACCATGCAGAACATGTAAATCGATGACTGTAGTAATGGCGTATATGATCCAACCTAGATAACCCAAAGTGATCAAGGCTCGGAGAAAAAGCCAGTCATAAGTCTGCAAATAACGCAATCCTTGAATAGCATGATGTAACAGGTCCGCCGAAATCTCGATTGCTGCTTCATAATGCTGAGTTGATATGGCGGATTCAATAACGGCAATTCGATCTACGATAGAAGAATTGGTCCTTGAGAATGGTGGATAGGGTTGGAACTTCAATGCTGTGGCTTTCTTTTGCTCCTCTTTGACTGTGTACATCTCCAAAACTTGTTTGGAATTGGCGAGCGCTGCATTGGCCTTTTCTTTGGGAGTGGCGGAAAGATAGGACAATGGCAACTCCCCGACTGAATTCACAGGGAATTCTAAGCCAGCCAAGTATGCCATCAGAGCAGCGACATCAGCTTGGCTAACGTCATGTCGACGAACATGATCCAGTCCCCAATCAGAGGAGAAGCCGTCTTCGTGTCCAGGGGCTTTGCTGTTGGGATAGAGCTGCGGAGTAGCCACACCAGCGCCCCATGCAATCAAGGGCGTTCTTGTATTGTCCGGATGACCGTCTCCGTGACTGCCCCAATCACTCATGCCATGGTCGGCGGTAAACACATAAGCAGTTTCGCCATCGTCATAGAACTCGTCAACCAATTTGGTGATCTCTTGGACTCCCTGGTCGACGATCTTGATATTGTGCAGGTATTCTTTGGAGTAGGGGCGATAGGAGTGACCTGTAGTATCCAATCCCAAGAGATGCAAAAAGAACACCAATTTGTCCTGCCGTAACATAGTATTCAGCGTGGCATTTGTACTCGCCGACTGGAACAAATCCTTAACTTTGTCAAATACCCAGGTGTCCAACATAGTTGCATCTCGAGTGAAGTCTTCAAAATCTTCACCATATTGATCAGAATCTACTCGACCTGGAGTTGCGCCCTCTTTGAACATGGGAAGGATGTCAGGGCTTCCCCAACTCCATGTGTGCCGACTCCGGTTGAAGACACTGTCAAAATCAACAGGATTGAGTTTCCAACCGGTTGTGACAGCGGACACATCTTCATAGAGACCCGCTATCAGCGCAACATGACCCGGTCTTGATTCAGTAGGGACTCTTGTATGAGAAACACCAAAAGTGCCATGTTCTAGAACGCGAGAGCGAAGGAACGGGGCCAACGGTCGAGGGGTCAAGTCGGCGTTGGCGGGGTCAGGAGGTGAGGGATCTGGGAAGGATTGGAAGGCTTTATCTGCCCTCAGTCCATCGCCAACATACAAGACAAGTCTTTTCGCTGGAGGTTGATCTCGTGGGACATCATACGGCCTCATTCCATGGACGATGGGACTGACGAAATATATGTCGAAGATGGACAAGATGTAGACGAGGTGGAAGATAACCGCCAGGGCGAGGAAGCCTCCCCGGCCTAGTCGAGCCATTTGAAAACGTGGATCAACGGAAGGAGTGACTAGAGTGAGAGGAATTCATGGCTCTTGACAAGAATCTGTAATCAACGGTGTTCTGATGCTTCACCCAATGTTCATGGCTGCGGACCAAATCGATGTTCAGGAGCCAGAAATTGCCGAAGAGGAAAGTGTTCCGAGAGGACCTTATCCCGAGCCTGGTCACGTGCCAGGGGCAATAAATTCCAGGTCGGTCATGCAGGGCAGGGCATCGTCTGAGTGGCAGAGTGAGTTGTCAGCAATGAACCCTTATGTAGTCTAGCTATCCAAGGCATTGTCCATTGCACGCGAGGCTAATCATCTTCAATCAGGATATTGAGCCAGAATTTGAGCCCTTCCACCCCCTCCTCCCGACAGAGTGCCCCTGTTTCTTCCGCCATCTCTAGTTCTTCACTGGCAACTCCTAGACTCCAGCCAAACTTTGCGGCTGCTTGTTGAGCCGTGACTCCAAAGCTAAATATCTCTTGATTCCATGGCACAGGTTGCTCAGGTTGTGTATTCCTCAGTGACTTGAGCCAGTCCTGAAGTTGTCTGATCGTCTTCTCGTCACTAGCGTCTTTGCGCTGCACCACCAGCAAGCCGCTTCGATAGCGCCGCAGCTTAATAGGCAAGCCAAGTCTCTCCCAGGCTTCAGAAGCCTTATGAAAATCTGCAGGGCTGACTAGTTCAACTCCATTTCGACTTTTGTTAAACACTGCCCAGAGATCAACCAGGCTCATGGTTCCTCCCTGATGGCGAAGAACTCCCCTCCTGTCGTCCGTTGCATATTCTGCCAAATTACGTGCAAGCTCGTTAATGTAGAGCGCATTTGAGCTGTCTCCAAGGACATCTTTGGTAGTGATCATTCCTAGAACTGCGGCCGACTGCGATAGCACTGGATCGGATGATATCCCGGACACTTCTTTGCTTGATCCAGACTCCACTGCAAAATGTTCAGCCAACGCCACGATGTCTTTTGCTGAGGCCATCAAGGCCTCGAGGTCCTCAAATGCACTACCAAGGACAGCCTCATTGTTCTTGCGGGTCCGCAATCCTCGCTGTTCCAGCCCAGCAATTCCTGCTGCCACAACTTGAGGTTCTGGTGTCCCCCTGATTTCTGAGCCGCTCAGAGGGGTCGGGGAACGGCCTTGGTCTGCTTGCGGTATAGGCGGTGCTTGTTGCAACAACCATTTTCGCTGAATCATGGCGTTTTTCAGTCTGTCGTAGAAGACACGATCACCTCCACTCCGAAAGGAAAACTTGACCATCTGAGGTTCGTGGTCCTCTGCTAACGAAAGACCAGATATTTCGGCGCCTGGAGAATCAGCTCGAGGATTAGAGTTCTGGAACTGGTGTCTATGCACCGAAATTGCGTTCGATAAAGGCGCAGAGCACAGCTCACATATACTCATCCCAGGAGCATTGTGAAAAGTACAACGAGGGCAAGTATTCTCTCCAGAAGGGCTGAGCTCTTCGTGGTACGACTGTCTAAAGCCTGTTTGCTTCGTAGCACTGAGGCCTTGAGCACTGTCGGGAACCCGCTTTGCGTTGGCTGCAACGGCCGCCTTCAATACAAGCGAAAAGGCGGGCTTGATACCACAAGCAAGACATGGTGGCAGTGGAAATGCTTCTGTGGCAATAGCAGGGTCAAAGTTTGAGGGAACAGGATTCGAGAACGAGCATATTGGACAAACCCAGGTTCCAACGACAGCTGGGATGGTCGTCGATGGGCGGAAGGGACTAGTGGATCGGGAATTCGGCGAAGAGGCAGAAGCGACTCTTTGAAAGGATGGTGATTGTACTCCAGCTCCCTTTCGTAGTGTCCCAAAACCCCGTTTTAGTGGTTTGGGGAAGAGAGTAATTTTAGCGGACGACTTAAGAAAGCTGGCCTACCAATCTTAGTTTTGGAGAGCATTCTGTATTGAGCATATCCGGCATACCTGAAATTCGTGTCTTTCGACATCTTTCAGGTCGACTGCCCATGAATTGGCTCGTGGGTCAGCATCATCGACATAGCATACTCGATGGGAAGTCAGATAAGCATGGCCTTTCTGGCATGTGTCTATCTTGTATTTCCTGTCACTATCTCAGTATTCCAGCATTCACCTCTGCAACGGGAGAGAAAGCTCTACCCTTCATAAAGCCCAACCCCATCTTGAACAGAAAGCAGTGTCTCATCTTGAGATAGGGTGGGTCGAGAGCCAGCCGTCAGCTCTGGCTTTTTGAGGAACATCCGGCTTATAGGTATAACGCCTTGGTATCATTTTCGGACATTGGAACTAGGATCTAATCATTGTCACCAGGGGAAAGGTTAGCGATTTAATTGCCAGATTAGAGGAGATGCAGACGAGTGCGATATCCGAAGGCAGCAAGGATCAACACGTGACCATACTGATAATTTGTGGTTAGACCGCCAAGGCTTGTGCGGACTCGTCTTCGTGGACTTGGGACTTCACCTCAAACTGCAACCATCGGTCTCACCGTCTCTCTCACGCTTTCTCTCACAAACACGCTCAACTGATCTCAGAGATCCGTGGTCAATTACAACTCACTCGCAGTCACTGGCGTGGCGTCCGTTGAAGGGCTTTCTGCTGCCTTGGCTGGCGCCCTTTTTCAACCTTGCTGCGCTTCATCCAGTCGTTTCTCTTTCTCTCTTGCTTTCAACAGTCATGTACTCTTCTGCTTCTGGGCGCCCACCGTGGCAGTCTTCAAACTCTTATGCGCCAGTTAACAGCCAAAATGCTTACATCTCAGTTCCTGCTCGCCAGACCTTTGGTCATCGATCTAATCTTCCTCCGCCACCGTACTACGTACCACCTCCATTGAACTCCCAGCAGCCATACCTCCCATCACCTCAGGCTAGCCTATCGTCTACTTCCACAACCCCATCAGTACCACCCAAAAAGAAAATAAACTGGTCCCCAGAAGTCCGTGATTATGTCAACCGCTCATTTGCACAAGAGAACTCGATACCTGGTGTTACTAGGGAACAAATTGAGTCGAGATTGAAAGAAGTAATAACAGATGCTACTCAACATGGTAGACTGGAGAATACCAACTGGGCCAAGCTACCTCTACCACAACAGATGATCCAGGAAGAACGAACCCATGCACTGCTTGGCCCTTTATCCCCACCCTATGTTCCCGCACCTGCGAGCACGGATGGACCAGCCACATCCTATCAACCCGCCCACAGGGACAGGCCTCGTAAACGCAAGTCCGCCGAACTGGAAAATGTGACCTCGGTGCCCCCTTGGAGAACGAATGCCCAAGGGTCTGGATCCCTGGCAGATCGTGTCTCTTTTGCACCTAATGAGAAACGACCAAAGCTTGATATGAGCAAATCCGTAAGTAAGTCACATGCGAATCTGGAATCACGGAAAAGGCGGTTTGAAGACTCGAGAGCTGGATCCGATTCTCCACGCACGCAAGAGTCGTCTCGAGGTGTTTCACCGGAGCCCAAAGCCAGTGGACCGATTGTGGGGCGTTCGCAGAAACTGGAAAAAAATTACTTCCGACTAACATCGGCACCCAATCCTGATGATGTTCGACCGCTGGAAGTGCTGATGAAAACCCTTGAACTCCTCAAAAAGAAGTGGCGTGCTGACGCCAATTATGTGTACATTTGCGACCAGTTCAAATCTCTGAGGCAAGATCTGACCGTTCAACATATCAAAAATGAATTCACGACGAGTGTATACGAATACCATGCACGGATAGCGTTGGAGAAGGGTGACCTGGGTGAGTATAATCAGTGTCAAACGCAACTCAGAGCTCTCTACCGTCAGAATCTGGGAGGTCACCCGGTGGAGTTCAAAGCATATCGTATTCTCTACTTTATCCATACGTGCAACCGCACTGACATGAATGACGTGCTTTCCGATCTAACCGAAGCAGACAAGAAAGAACCGGCGATCAAGCATGCCCTTGAAGTGCGATCTGCTCTGGCACTTGGGAATTACCACAGGTTCTTCAAGTTGTATCTCAGCGTGCCTGACATGGGTGCATACTTGATGGACATGTTCGTAGGACGAGAACGGCTTGCGGCACTTGCGTGCTTGTGCAAATCGTGAGTGTTGGCCCTAAATTTTCTGAAAGGTTGAATCGCTAACATTGAGACAGGTATAAACCGGACGTGCGACTACGGTTAGTGACTGAAGAGCTAGGGTTCGAGTCTGATGAAGAAGCCTGCCAATTCATTCTAGAACACATCCCTGAGGAGTCACCAAGCTTACTAGAAGAGCGTGATGGTGATGTGCGGTTTTTGACCGGCAAGGTGGGAGCAATCTTTCAAAATGCCAAAACGAACGCGTTTGGGCAAATCGACATCAAGGGGCAAATTTAAAGTGGAATCGCCTCTTGCCTGCACTCTTTTTTGAGGAGGCTGGCGACTTGTGCTACATGGATATTACATGGCTCAGTGTCACTAAGAAAGCTGGGCGTTGATCTTTTTTGCAAGCGAAATACCCCGGGGAGATGGAGAGCTGGCACTGTTTTAGTGGCACATGGACCAATTCTCTGGAGCTCGATATTGATTAGATCAAAAAGGTTTCTGCAGCATTGTAGTCGAAATATGAGCATTTTGACTGTGGGCTATTTGTTCAGATATACAGTAGACAAATGCTCATGAGAGTAGATTTGGGGAGTGCAATGCCACGCAATGTTACCAAATACCTTGAGGAGCATATTCGCCCGATCGTATGTATTCGGCGTGCTCCATGCTTCAAACCCGCCTTGTGCACATATCTAGGAGGACCCGGGGTTTGGTCACTTCTTGGAAGCGCACAGTGACACTGGTCGCAAAAACATGGAGGATGGAGGGACAAGGAGTTCATGTCAGGCTTCCCTCCCACGTGTAGGGAGGATTCGGCACTCCGTCGAAGTGCATGACGGGCTAACTCAGGATTGCCTAAAAGGTGCAGTAGTCGAGTGATGGATATCCTATCAACGGACAATTGGGTGTGCAATATGCAATGTGCAATGTGCAATGTGCAATGTGCAATGTTCTGCGATTGCTAGGTGCCCCGTACATACTGACAACATCGGTAAAGGTGACACGGAGGATATAGCATCCGTTTGGTAGCCGTAATAGTGATGTAATAACATGCAGCCAAGAACTAAGCGCTCCAGAATCCCTGAACAGTTGGCACCCTTCTCACGCTATCAATGGGCTAGGTGGCTGCAATTATTGTGTAATAATTGTCACGCGTTAATACGTGGATAGTAACATGAGAGGGACCATGGACTCCCTCTCTGTTCCAAGGTACGGATACCTAATGACAATCGAAAGGGAGAGGAAAGGCGGACTGCACCATGTGAAGCAATCTTAATCTTCAATCTTTTTTCTCTCGTGTTCTTGTCCATCCTTGTCATCCTTGTTCTAGTTGGTCCATCAAACCTCCTCCGTACCGAGCACTCGTTCAAAGTCCATGTGGTCCGTGGTCTGGGGTCTGTGCCGGTGCCTGCGCCAGTGCCGGTGCCTATAGTCTCGGCTCGAGACTCACCCGTTGGCATTCTCCAGGCGCGCCGTTCCAACTCAACCCCCCAATCCCAGCCAAAGCCAGCCCCATTCTCCAGCACTGCTGCTACCTGGTGCTCCGTTCTACGCGTCCCGTTGCTTCGAGTACCACGACAAGGAAGCCTGGTACACCTGGAAGCCCGCCCATGAAAAGCCTCGCGCGGACCGACGTCCCGAACGCCCTTGCTCTTGTTTAGCAAAAATACCGACCCTTTGTTCCCTCGCAGCAATACGAGTTATTCCCCGGTTGACCATCCATCCACAATCGAATCCACACCCACACCCACACCCACATCATCCACGAGCCATCCACGAGCCATCCACGCTTCTATGCCGCCAGCCTGCGCAGCTTGAGCCTGAGTCTGAGCCTGAGCCTTGAGGTGTCCCTGACGTTCTGTCCAGTCGCTGGCTCCCCAGCCCACTCCAGTCCACTCCAGTCCGCTATCTACCCTGTCCACCCGGTCTACCTGAAACACCTTTCTCTTCAGGTTTCATCGTATTTGGAAATTTCAACGTCCCAAGGTTCCAATCTGCGACTGCATCTGCCCGCATCCCATTGATCTAGGTCCTCGAAGCCACCTCTATACTCCATTCTCGTGCGGACTACTGTTATCTCAGGCCACTCTTCTTTTTGCCTGTGAACGCCGCCGCCGCCGCCAACTGCGGGGCATCAATTTCACCATCTCGTCGTTCATGCGACCATGAAGGTTCGTTCACACTCTCGACTCACTGCCGCGTTGCCTCTCCACGCGCCCAGAACCCACAACAGCCAGACACTGACTCGCTCGTCTTTCTAGGGCTTTCGTTACTCTGTGAAAAAGGACAGAGAGAAGGAAGAGAGAAGGGAGACTCCCTCAATTACTCCCAAATCCGCCCTGGGAGCACCCCCCAAGAAAGTCATCAAGGCCCTCTACGATTACGAGCCGCAGAATAAGAATGGACAAGAGTTGGCATTTCACAAGGGTGATTTCTTTCACGTTTTGAGTCGCGAGGAAGACACCGAGTGGTACGAAGCTTGCAACCCTCTTGTGCCTGACGCCACCGGCCTGGTTCCCGTCGCCTTTTTCGAAGTCATAGCCAAACAACAACGCCAATCGGGCACCTCCTTATCTTCTCCAGGAGAGAAACCCGACGGCCATGATTCTGGCTTTTCTGAGAAAGGCTCCACCAACTCCGGCCATACCAGATCGGAGTCTACAGCCACCACCAGGCCACCAGCCCACGCTCGAGGCCCAAGTATGGGCGGAAAGACTGCTGGCGCCATGGTGTACGGCGTCGTACAGTATGACTTCAATGCCGAGAGGGCGGATGAATTGGATGCCAAAGCCGGAGAATCAATCATCGTAGTCGCGCAGTCCAATCCTGAGTGGTTTGTTGCGAAGCCAGTTTCGCGCCTGGGAGGCCCTGGATTGATCCCAGTGTCCTTTGTTGATATTAAGGATGGCCTCACCATGCAATCGGTGGCAGACCCTCTGGAAGCAGTGCGCAAGGCTGGCGTACCAAGAGTGGAAGAGTGGAAGAAATTTGCCGCCGAATATAAAAACAGTAGCATCAGCCTGGGCAAGTTTGATGGTGGACAACCCCCGAACCAGATGACGGTGGAAATGGCTCGGATGAGCTTGCAGAATGGCGGGTCACAGGCCTCTCTGGCCAGCAACAACTATGTGAGTATCGCTCTAGATCTTTGGCTTTCTATCGCGGCAAAGGCTAATCTTTCGCAAAGGAACCACCACAGCCGCTTCGACAGTCACAACAACAATCGTCCATGCCACTGGCGCCCATCAGCGCACACGTTCCGAGGTATTGTTTTGACAATGATATGTATTGGTATATCATCGAATGTCAGATGGAGGATGGGCGATGGTGGGAGTTATCACGATATTATGCCGACTTTTATGATTTCCAAATCGCCTTGCTGGAGATGTTTCCAGAAGAAGCGGGCAACAAGGGCAAACCTCGGACTCTACCGTTTATGCCAGGCCCCGTGGCTCACGTTACCGACGCTATTTCCAATGGTCGACGACAAAACCTAGACGAGTACATGAAGAAGATTGTCGGGATGCCACCACACATTTCTAAGAGCTTGTTGGTGAGAAACTTATTCAAACCCAAGCCTGGTCAAGATTTTGAGATCGACCCAAACGCATTAGGAGAGGATTATCGATTATCAGCAGGATCACAACAATCGATGCAGCCAGTTTCACGAGTCTCTTCGAATCAAATAGGGGCAGGCAGCGCCTACGGAGGGATGCCTCCATCCGGTCGAATGTCACAGCAACAACGGCAAGTGCCTTGGTCAGCAGGAGGTGGGATGGAACGACCACCGTTTCTGCATTCACAACCAAGCAACTTGACCCAGGCCTCAACCTCATCGAGTATGAAGGCAAGTAACAATGGAGGCGGGGGCGCTGGGATGAAGGTCAAGGTTTTTTTCCAAGACGACATCATTGCGATCCGAGTTCCACAGGAGATCTCCTTTGAAGCACTGAAAGAGAGACTGATGGAACGACTAAAGGTCAACGAAAACATCTTGGTACAGTACAAAGACGAACCGACGAATAGTTTCATTGACCTGGAAAACGACGACAATCTAGACGTGGCCCTACAGCGGAACCCCAAACTCACGTTGTATGTAGCATTCAATGTGGGTTGAGGCTAAGATTGTTGAATTTGCAGTGAAAGAAACCATGCCTGGGCAAAAATGTGTCTCAAACCGATACTCTTATACAAGGGAAGAAGCAGGGCGACCTGATGGAATGGATGAGCAATGCTTTTATGTGGTAACGTTTGGCGTAACTGGGTTCAAATTCGGATTTGGATTCGGATTGGAATGGAATGGATGGTTTTGATGTTCAAAATCCAGATCTCGGGATACCATCTCTCTTGCTCTCTCCCCCTCTCTATCTCAGGCCCCCTTTTTCAACCTCCCGGGGTGGACAACAAAAGTACAATGTGGTGATGGGACGGAATAAGTGGGAATGAGGGAGATAGAATGAGATTGCTTCCATGCTATGCGGAAGGAGTGATGGATGGGCGGACCATGTTTACAGTGGAGATCAAGACGACTTTCTTCTTGCGATTATCATCAACTAGCTAATGAGGCTGGTGATGAGGATGAGGATGATGAAGGAGAAGCAGAGAAGAAGCAGAGCAGCGGCAGATGAAGCACGACGATGTTGGATGATGGATGATGGATGATGGATAGTGGATAGTGGATAGTGGACGAGTATAGGCCTGGTGGATTTGGTCGCCTGTTGACCCTATATATGCCATAGCTCGATGCAGCCTTGGTAGCACCTTTTTTTAATGCCATTTTCCAACCACCTTGATTGTTGAATCGCATAGTTTTCAACTTGCAGACTAGACTACGCACCAGCAGAGCGACAGGAGAATGGCGTCGTCATGCGATGCAGTGTAGCACAGGGCGAGCCGTAAGTTGGCTAACACTAGCTAATGTTATGACGTTGATGGAGTGTGCGATAGGAATGTTCTAGGAATGTTCTGGTGTCTGGTGTGCAATTCAGTCCCACCACGTGACTCGGGCCCTATTTATGTAGCCGGACTCCCGATTAGATTAGATGGCCCCTCAGATCTCTATCTCTGTCTCAACCTCCGAGTTCTGCCAACCAACCACTCACACCCATCTCACTAATTCCCCGACCCTTCACCGAGTCTCCCTTCCGATGCTTTTTCGAGTTCCCTGGCCAAGTTACAGCTCATCGTTTACCCAGAACACTCGTTTTTATCTTTTGGAGGCTCTTACTGCCACTGCCCCCATCCTTCTTCTCAATCTTCCTCTCACTCGCTTCCTCTTGAGCTCAGCAACCATATAGCAGCCCAGATAATGAAGGCCTCGGTGCGGCCAGTGCCAAATGCCTTCCAAGCATACTTGAGAACCTTCCTTTCCTATCCTGCTGCGGTCCAACCGTTACGCCGCTCGATCTGTGCCAATTGCTTGAATAGACAGAGAAGGCACTTCCACCAATCTTCCCGTCGCAGTTTATTACACCAATCTTGTACCATAGATGCATCCCATGCTCCCAAGTCCACCCCCCGACTGCGGGTTCATCAGCGACAGCTTGCTACTGTGACCAATGTTGCAAAAAACGGACCTTTGGAAGAGTATGACGACCGGGTACACTCGAGAAAACTACGGGATGACGAGCATCAAAGAAGTGCAAACCCTCCATAGCTCCAAGAGTACCCCCTTCAATGTCCGTTCCTTGCTGACCTCGTTTTCCTCAAGCTCTGGTCGAACACCTCCAAGACCTTCACGACAGCCTCACAGACTACCACCCACCCAAAGTCATCCACCCGAGTATCGACGATCTACAACCCTCCAAGAAATCCCTCTTCGGCGGGCTGTTTGGCGCCAACAAGAAAAAGAAGGTCATCAATGAGATCCCCGAGAACCTACCCAAGGGCCTATACATGTATGGGGACGTGGGTTCGGGGAAGACCATGTTAATGGATCTCTTCTACGACACCCTCCCACCAAACATGACATCCAAGACCCGCATCCATTTCCACAACTTCATGCAGGATGTCCACAAGCGCCTGCACAAGATCCGCATGGAGCACGGCAGTGAATTTGACGCCGTTCCTTTTGTCGCCGCTGATATTGCCGAAACCGCACAAGTCTTGTGCTTCGACGAGTTCCAGTGTACCGACGTCGCCGACGCCATGATTCTTCGCCGCCTGCTCGAGGCCCTTATGTCCCACGGTGTCGTCCTCGTCACCACTTCCAACCGGCACCCAGACGACCTATACAAGAACGGCATCCAACGCCAGTCCTTTATTCCCTGTATAAATCTTCTCAAGAAACAACTTCGTGTCATAAACCTCGATTCCTCCACCGATTATCGAAAACTTCCCCGGCCCCCGTCTGGCGTCTACCACCACCCTCTCGATCGCGCTGCTGTTTCCCACGCCAATAAATGGTTCTCCTTCCTCGGTGACCCGGAAGGCGATCCACCCCACCCAGCCACCGTGACCGTCTGGGGTCGCGACGTTCAGATCCCCCAGGTCTCCGGCCGCGCCGCTCGCTTCACATTCAAAGAACTCATCGGCCGTGCGACCGGCGCTGCTGACTATATAGAGATGATGCGGTCCTTCGATGCCTTCATCGTCACGGATGTCCCCGGCATGACCCACCGCGAGCGCGACTGGGCCCGACGCTTCATCACCTTCATCGACGCCGTCTACGAATCGCAGGCAAAGTTGGTTCTCACCACCGCCGTACCGCTCTCGCAACTTTTCCTCTCCAAAACCGAACTTGACCAGTCCCTTGAGGGAGTGAACCGAAAAGTCGCCCGAGAAGGCGAAGCTGCCAGCGCCAACGATAAAAAGGTGGCCGCCCAGACCGCCAAAACCGAAACCCACGAAGGTGAAGGCCACGACGTCGACGACGTCATGCGTAATCTCATGGACGATCTTGGCATGAGCATGAGCATGTTGAAGCAGAGCAGTCTGTTCAGCGGTGACGAAGAGCGATTCGCGTTTGCCCGAGCTCTGTCCCGCCTCACTGAAATGGGCAGTCAAGAATGGGTTGAGCGTGGTCTTGGTCTGGAGAAGAAGGGCGGTCTAGGTGAGAAGGACTCCTGGCAGAGAGTCAGGAGTCGATGGAGGGAGGATAGCTTGTAAATATAGAATGGGCAGGAGGTCCCTGAAAGAGGAAAGAGGAGGGTGTAGAGCATGTAGCGGCGACATCATCTTCGTTGATATTGCTGAGGAATCAATCTTCGGTAGACGTAGATGTCGGCATGCTGGTGCATAGTTAGGACTCTTCAGGCCCACATACGGAGTAGAGTATATATATAGACAGATCACGACAGGACCCACGAACAACATCGCACTGTACATGGTACTATGGTAGGCGGTATATCTCATGAGAGAGCGTTTCCCCCCCTCCGAGATACAGTATAAGCCGCCACGAAATCGGCCTGGATGGATAAATCAAGATCGAACCATCCAAGCACCAGACACATATATACATCTGCTCCTGTATCTGAGAATTCTTGAATCCGTTCAACATCATCCAATTCCTCATGGGAAGTCAGTGGGTGGGGAGCATCACATCGATCTCCGTTTCTATGGTGGTATAGCTCCAGCTGAGAATAGAGCTTCTGGTCCAGACTCGGGAATAACTTGTCCTTCACATGTGTCCTCTCGTTCATAGTTGGAGGATAGAAGCATCATATCCCCGACGTAGGCCGTCCGACTCCGTTCGATTCCTGGCCTGCATGACCGACTCGGAACGGTCCTGGCCCCTTTCTGCTGGTCATGGAGGAAGATAGGCGGTGTCCCTCACGGGAGGGGTGAACGGTCGCGCTGGTGTGGCCGCCTCTGGGAGAGATGAACGCAATGAGCCTCTGCAACTGCGCTGCGCCGTGCAGAGATACTTGGTCCAACCATAGTTCATTTTCGCATCATATCACCCTCATACTAACGCAGTAGTGATTGAATCACTTGACGCCAACAGCGTGCAGAAAGACCTCGCGGTCCCCCTCATCCACAATCCCTTTGACCAGGTCCGCCATCGTCTCGACCTCGACGATCCTCTCGGCGCTGGAGGCGGCGGTTGTGTCTTCTTCTTCATGCTTGAACTTCCAACGTCGCGCTAGGCCGCCTGCTCCTCCCCGGCCATCGTCTTCCGATGAATCATACCGCACCTGGAAAGCCTGCCAATTGAGGTCCTTCAGTTCTCGCACGTGCGCGTCCACGAGGGCTGCGGCGCCGCTGAAGATCATGATCCCCGGATAGCCTGGTTTGGAGAGGCCGGAGACTGAAATTGCTGGCGCTGTGACTTTGGCGGGCGTGGAGGTAGCTGGTGACGCCACTGTCAGTGAAGGTGCGATGGCGAGTTTTCGCTTCGATGTCGCGAGCAGGTGGTGCAGCCAGATGATCACGGTCTTCGGAGCCATTGGGTCTGCGCCCTTCGGCTCTTGGGCGTGGGTCCCGTCAGATCTCAAGGACCTGGACCCAGACCCAGACCCAGACCCAGACTCAGCCGACTCCAGATATTGCTGTGATAATGAAGCATCCGGAGATGTAGCCTTGGATATAAGATCATAAACCAGCGCGTCAAACGCCACGATGATTCGATCGAGTCCCTCCTCGCCTTCCACAAGGTCCAGATCCGCGATCATGCGCCGCGTATGGTCTCTGAGATCGTTTTTCGCCCCATCGCGTGCTGATATCAAAGTCGGGAACCCCGCTCCAGGATATGAGTCCGGCAGTCGCAGCTTTAGTTCTCCCGAGGATGACGAGGCTTTGAACCATAGCTCTCGGCTTCGGGGCGCGTACGTGATGCTGCTTGGGTACATGGCTTCGAGCAGGGAGAGTTCTGCCTCGAGCCGCTCTGGGCTCTCAGTCATATTCTCCGTCATAGCTGGCGCTCGTTGGCACGGTCCATCCAGCCGGGCTATATGTTGGCTGATAGTGGCAACTCCCCCGCCTCATATGCGCACAACTGAGATGCTCGCTAGTTGTCTATGCATGAGGATCCTTTCCATCACAGGCGTGTGGATAGTTTGCTCTTTACTCTGGACTGCATGCTTTTCAGGTATTGGGGTGGTGGCGCCACACTCTTGGCGATCTCAAGATAACGAATACTTATTAGTTCAAACTCACAAGTCGGATGCTGCACCTTGGACGAGTTAAATATTCTCCGCTCGAACTAGTCCTTGCTCCACATCAAGACTCACCTCACATCCGTAACTTAGGAACTTCAACATTCTAGAAGTACAAGATAACCACAATCGGTCCTAGGGGACCGTCAATATTCAGAATAGCTCTTATTCTTTTACAACAGGCGAGGTCGCAGCCCAAAGCACTGTTATCAACATAGGAGAAGTCGGTTGAGTCATTATTGTTAAATGTTGTGTATATATACAAAGCCTCTCACACGGGGGGTGAATGGGACAAATACTTCTATCGCGTCTTCCAGCCCCGCAGGCAGAGCGGGCTAAAGATCTCTCTGCATCGATATGAATCAGGCCTTTTCCACCTCGACGACATCAGCGCCTTTTACCCCTGCGGCCAGGATTTTCTCATCGTGACCAGTAGGGTATTTCTTATCGAGCCTCTGTCGGGCGCCCCAGCCCATCCACCATCTCCCGGAAAACAGCTCCTCCATCTGCTCCATCGGGATCCCTTTGGTCTCAGGGGCCCAGAGGCCCAAGATGACAAAACCAAACGCACAAACCAGAGCCCAGAAGATATACGCGCCGTAAATGTGCAAGCTGACGAACATGTTGGGCGTGACACGGACGACGGCGAACTGGAAGAACCAATGTAGCGACATGTTGGTGGCGTAGCACACGCTGCGGATCCGCGTCGGGTAGATCTCGGTGCTGTACAGGTACTGGACGGTGCAGAGACCGATGGACCAGCCTGCGGCGTAGATAAAGACGGACGCGATCGCGGCGTCCGACGCGCTCTTGTTGTCGCTCCCCTTCCACACGGCCATGTACACGGCCATGTAAATGTGTGTGATGCACTGCAGGAACAGTCCCGTCAGCATGCACCGTCGCCGTCCGATCTTGTCCACCAGGCCCCATGTGAACACCATCGTGAACACAAGTTTGACGACTCCGTACGCGCCAGACGTGATGAGCGAGGTGTTGGAGCCTTTGACGCCCGCGTATTCGAAGATCTGGGGTGGAAAATGTCAGCTATAGCGCACGCGATGCACCGAGGGAAAAAAGGAGTAAACTAGGGAAAACGTATCGTGACGAGCCATACATACCTGTGGGATATAATACGTGATACCATTACCGCCAGACCACTGTGCAATAGTCTGCATGATCGCACCGAGGAAGAAGCGTTCCCGAAACGACGGGTTTGATGCGATGTCCCTAGCAATATCCCAGAAGGAAGAGCCCTTGAGCTGCTGCTCCTTCGTCTGACATTGGTTTAGGATCTCGGAGTATTCCTGTCGGATTTCAGGAGTGTCGTTCTTGGACGGCCCGCCGCGGAGTTTCGACAGGACCTGCAAGGCTTCTTCCGTTCGGTCTTCTGATGCAAGCCATCGCGGCGTGTCTGTCAGGAAGAACGATGCGATGAACGCCAGGCCGCATGGGATCAGTGGGATCGCTTGCACCAGTCGGTATTGAATCGGTGTCGCGGCCACTCTGGCATTCGCAGCGTAGTTGATGAAGAATCCTGGGGAGGAGGAAAGGGGTGTTAGTGGGTTGTCTCGTCATTGAATTGATGTAAGGATGAACAAATAGATACATACCCAGGGTCAACGTGGAAAGTAAAATGACCATGTAGATACTAACAACCATGCCTCGACTCTTGGCTGGGGCGATCTCAGAGAGATACAGCGGTGCAACGACAGTCAAACCTCCGGCACCGAAGCCACTGAACAGCCGGGCAAACAGGATGAAGCCGTAGATGCCAGACGAAAAGACCTGCATCATCAGACCACAGCCCCAAATGGTGATGAACATCTGCCAACACCGCAACCGGCCAAGTCTATCGGTCAGTGCATTGCAAAACAACGCGCCAAATGCTGCACCGAGCACGCCGAACGATGAGATATTGGCCTTCCGATTCGCGAGCCCTTGAGCATCATTCTCCCATTTGGCAGGGTTCAAGTCGTAGTCGTTCTTGAAAGATTTCAGGCCCACTGAGGCGCTGAAACCACCTTCATCGTAACCTGTTTGATTGCCGCACTTCAGTATCAAACCATGTTTTTTTGGGGGGAGGGGGGGATGTATTGTGACTCGTTGCCACCCACCTTTTGGAATACTGCCGCAAGCGATGACGATGATGGCGAAGACGTAATAAACGTTGATTCGAAACATCTTGATTAGAAGGCTTTGGTGCTCACAAGGACAACGGAGGCAATTGATCTGTAGAGCGAATCATGTCGAGATTATATAGTCCGTCGATAGACCCCATAGGATATGAAGAATCAATCCACTCCCTACGGGGAGGTCCGGGGTAGTTCCTGTAGACGTTCGAAAAACTCTACGGAGAATCGCGAACAATGGACGTCGGTCAGTCGACTCCGGTACCACGAAACGAGGTGTAAGGTTTGGCTCACGGAAGTTGACCGAGCTCCACTAAGGTGTCAGCGGTTCATTCTTTCATGCTGAAGCGGGCACAAACCCTGTTGACTTTGCCTGGTTGGCATCCTTGGGGCATGCATACTAGACTCGGTCAACTTCCGGACTCCAAGGTACTGATGGCCTCAGGACGGAGCGGTGGTGAATTCTAAAACATCATTATTGCCTGGCCCGACGACCGAAACCTCTTGCAAACTTGACAGCGCCAGTGGGAATGGGCCGACGGCAGTTCCACTGCTTCAATCATGGAGCAAAAATTACCTCTCTATGGAGGATGAGCTGATGATAAGAGGACCATGTCGTCCTCTAGCTCGTGGCGCCGTGTGCTTGCGCAGCCAGTAGCACATACCATCCTGTCTACAGTATCGAAGCAAATCCCGCAGCCTCGTCGTTGGATCGGAGGCTCACGACAAAGGTCGTTTACAATGGACATCGAAAGAAGTACAATCGGCCCAAGGGTGTCAGCCTGGAAGAGGACACGCCCATTCCGCCAACTACCCAGTGGATCTTGGGATAGCCATATGCACATCATTGATGCAGAACGGTACCCCTTCGTAGCGGATGCTCAATACATACCGCCATCGCACGTGCTTGAGCAGGCGCTCGAGAGGGAAGCCGAGCTAGGCATCGACAACATTGTTTTGGTCCAACCATCTGTCTATGGCAATGACAATTCATGCTTGCTCGACGGCCTGCGTCGACTCGGACCGTACCATGCCCGGGGTGTTGTGGCATTCGATCCAACCACGGTCGATCCACTGACGCTGCGCAAGTGGCATGAGCTCGGGGTGCGAGGGGTTCGAGTTAATTTTCAGTCAGTCGGCAAGAAAGTCACGGAGCAGGAGCTGGAGCAATTGCTGCGAGCATACGCCGATGTTGTTCGACCGCTCAACTGGGTATTGCAACTCTATATCTCACTTTCCTGCGTGGGCATGCTGGAGAAGATTCTTCCTCCGCTCCGGATCAAGGTCTGCCTGGACCATTTCGGCAGCCCTTCCCTACCAGGTCTATATACGAATGAGCAAGGTTCCGCCCGCTTCCTCGCCGACATGTCATCACTGGCTCGTCTGCTCGAATATAGCAGGACGTACGTCAAGTTCTCTGCATACTACCGACTGTGCAAGGACATGTCGCAGCTAGAGCCCGTCGCGAGGACCTTGCTCGGTGTCGCCAACGGGCAGAAGGTGCTCTTTGGAACCGATTGGCCACATACGAGGTATTCAGGCTTGAAGATCGAACCCTTCATCCAGGTTGTCCTGGACTGGTGCCATGCAGACGACGAGCTGATCAATCGAGTCTTTCGCGACAACGCCATAACTCTGTGGGATGCACAAAAGAATGCATGAATTTTCACCATTGGACGCGATGTGCGCGGATTTGAGAAGATCCTGCATTGTGCCATCAAGACAGCATCTGTACGCCCCCATGGCCCCCAATATCATTTTCGGTGGCCGGGTTTCCCTCCTAACGCTAGAGGATGAGGACCGAATGTGGCGTCGATTCAACCAGTGCGTATCTAGTCCCGCCTTGAATCTCTGTTCAAGAAGCCTTTACAGCATCCTGGCCATCCACATGCAGAGGAATCTTATATTAGCCTCGAGGAGAATGTTTTGTAATATTCATCATGACAACCTAAGCAGAGTGGTTCTACAGGACGCGCCTGGCTGCTTCACCTTCCCTGAATTTGTACATATACCCAAAAATAAATGGCATGATTAGCAACGGCTTGAGTGCCATGAGAGTTGTAGTATGTGGTTGAGCAGTGCGTTTGATACGCGAGATGAAATGCCCAACTACTCAGGAAAATGCAAGTGGTTGAACTCCTATGAGGTCACCAATTCTCCTCAAACCCACCGACTTGAACACTGATAGGCTCCAGGCCAGAAAATGCTTCGAAGATACTTGGATCCACCTGGACATCTGAAAAGTCAAACTCCGGTAGCCCAATGGAAGTGTTCGGTGAGGGTTCCTGGAAGTCTGGATTGTCCAGAAACATTCTCTGAGCTTGGTTATAGTCGGTATGGCCCGGCCTGGCAATATCCTCTTCTGTCGCTTTTGCCGATGATGAGCTGGGCTTGGGCTGTAGTTTAGACATTTCTCTCAAGAGAAGTTCCAGAGCATGCTTAAGTATGGGCGCTGATTCTTTGGCATGTTCCAAAGCAGTTACGCAGTAGTTTAGTTTCCTCGAAACTTGTGCATCAAATGCGCCAGAAGCTTGAATCTGCAACAAGAATATCGAAGCCGCAGTATAGACACTGTACGACAAGGAAAGAATGACTCGGCTTTCCCCAAATGTCCGACAAAACAAGTCATACTAGGCTCTCGGTGTGAGTAACAGGTCTGGAGATCATTGGCTGAAGAAAAGATATTGAGCCTTGAGATGGAGAAACATGTTCAGACTTACAATAAAAATAATAGCGTTGGCTGAAGCTATACATCTCCTCAGATAATCTGATTCTAGTGCGAAGCCGAGTGGCAAAGACGTGGATCCAAACACCATGGGGCGATACAATAAAATCGAGAAAGTGTGAAAGAGACAATTCAGCGTGATGATGTGACTTGGAGGCGCATAAGCCGGCAGGGACATGGGGTCGATCTTGAGATGTTCTGGGAGATCCTGCCACCAGATACTAAGGGCGGTCCCTTGATCCTCAACGCACTGTTGTCGCTCGGTGTCCATATGATCTTGCTCTCGATCATACATATGCAGGAGTATCTGATGGAAAGTAACTGACAACTTACACATCTGCATAAAACATGAGGTTGCATGCGATTTTCTCAGCGGATATTCTTGTCCACTTGGATAGGACAGCCCATGAGGAACCCAGATCTCATCTTCTGCAGAGTCGTCAAGAAGCATCTGTGGAGGAGATATTCTTGTGTGTTTTAATGAGGGTGAACGACCAAGATAGAGGCAGATGATTTTGTCCCAAAAGTAGCAACTCCAAAAGAGTCTGTTTCTAATTTCCAAATCCTCTTCGGTTAGATGTGGCTGTGTAGCATAGATCTCATTGTCGACACAAATTCCCATATCTTGAATGTAGCGAAACGCCATTCCACTATACAGCCAAGCCTGAGTTGCATTTCCAGCACCGCATTCCTGGGCGCTCAAAATAAGTAGAGTTTGAACTAGTGGAACAGTGCCCTTCCCTGCTACCACTTCTTCGAACATGAGGGTTCGTGCGTGTCTGGAAAATAACTGGCCTTGGTCGTATGGTTCGAGAAGCGGAGCGATGGCAGGATCTCGGCTACACCAACGAGCGGAGTGCGCAAGAACTGCATTCAGTAATGTGTGTGAGTAGTAAGGGCCCAAGGCTTGCATGTCACGCGTGAACGCGGGACGGTAGATGAAGTTGAAAAGAGGTTGAATCCAGCACCAGTGGTTGCTAAGCATGAATTTGAAAGGCTCAGGTGTTGCCGCCAGTAGTTCTCTTGACCTCTGCTTCTCAGCATTCTCGACTAGTCGCTCCCTGCGGCTGTCGAGATGATTTGATGTTTGTGTTATCGGCAGTGCACTGGAACCGTGGCCAGTGACCAGCTCGAAGAAACTAGTTGAGCTTTGGTATGGAATGGCATCCCTCGATGCCGGCCTGGCTCCTTCAAACGGAGGGACTCGAGGCGACGGCTCAGATCTGGATAAGCTTGATGGAGACTGTGTGGTCTGGGACCCTGCCAACGCTCTTTCAAGTTCCTGAACGCGAGCCTCTAGCTTTTGGGTGTACGAGATGGTGGGTGGCAAGTGATATACGCAAGCTTCATTGCGAGCGATACATCGGCTGCACTGTGGCTTCTCGCCCGTACACTTGACTTTGCGTCTCCTGCAGGGCTCGCATGAGAAGGCGCTTTTCTTCTTCTTTTTGACGTCGGATACGCCATTTGCCATGATATAAGAACGTGAGCGCGTGCTTCACCCAACGACAAGCGACAATTGGATATGATCCGATGTTAGTGCCAAAATTTAGAGTAACTTATGTCCCGTAGGCAGGTACGGGGTACGGAGTACATGTGGTACTCCCGGCATTTGAAGCAGAGTACGGAGAAGGAGTACGAACGAACTTCAATGTTCAGGGAACAATAGCCGAAGTTCCCACAGTAGAGTGCTAGTTCGATAGAAGGCGGCTGTTACTTGGCGAATACTTCAGCGATATCATTGGTCCCAACGAGTGATCAAGCATCTACCAGTAGCTTAAATGGACTGATCAAAGCAATTAACAGGAAGATGGTACAGTACGAGGTGCTGATGAAGGATATTGGAGCTCGTGAATTTAGTGTTTGATGAACAAAAGCAAATGAGGGGTTGCTTCCCGAGCAGCATCAGTTTGTCCCTCGCACTATCCATTTGTCGCCTCAAGCGACGGGGTAATCACGGGGTACTCGGTGGTACTCACCCATACTCATCGTAGGCAGGTGCTGACTAAGTTGGGGCACAGCGCTGCGCCGGGCGGCACCTTCCCTTCAAGATGAGAGCCTTAGACAGTGACAAAGGGGCGGATACCTGCGATTTGTCCGTTGGGATCTTCAACCAAAATAAAACGATTGCGAAGGGAGGGAGAACACTGGAGCAGATGGTTTATAAAGTTGTTTTCTTTTCCATCGTACAGACGAGCCGTCCACGGTTCATCTTGTCCTCTGTGCTTCTCTACAGCTGTGGTTGCGGCAATGCAGGTTCATGTATAGTGTGGTGGCATGACGCACTCCTACATTCCAACCACAACTCCGCCCAAAAATGTGCTTTCCTGGAATTGGGCCTCTTATTTCGAAAGGAGCGCTTCCCAAGCCTATGCAGGCGGCCAAGCAGTGTTGGAAGAACACGAGCAGCAAGACGAGAGGGGACGCACGCCGTTCAAGTTCCATTTTCGCTGATGCTCAACCCGATAATGCATAGCTTTCCCACAAGCTGTCCGTGTGCCGACCCATCCAATAAGTTTGCATAGCTCTCATCGAAGCCATGTCCTTTGAATAGCAAAGAAAGGGCTGTCGGCTTCAGAAAACCGGAATGACCGGGTTTGCAGCCCGTTGTCTTCACAGCTCTTCCTGTAGCTCTCTGATTGTGTGGTAGATCTCCTTCAGAAAGTCTTCTTTGCCAGCCTATCAAATAGTTAGCTCATCAGCTTTGCTTCCTGGTCAGTAGCAATGGTACCTTGATCTGGTAACCTATCGGTTTACCGTCTTCCAACCCTGTGAGAAACATTGTCCTGCCCGACGGCTCTTGTCCATCATGTGTTCCCACGTTCATATCCTTAAAGACGGGAGTATTGAGCACAACGCGGTGGACCCCATCCGTCCGCATGATAAGGCGGGCTTTGCGTTCTTGTTCGAGCGCCTCACCGGCTTCGAGATCAGCTGCGAGATCAGCTTCGGAATTGTCTTTGCTCTCTTCCTGCTCCGCCTTGGTTGCTGCACTTCCGGTGACGGGTGTGGATCGGGTCTCGTATCGCACATTGATTTTGAACACGCCTGTTCCGCGTTCTTTCCATTCCTTTTCGAAGTGGTACAGCTTCGCTCGGCAGCTGAATATCGTCTCCTCTTCCTCCTCTCCAGTTTCAACTATCGCGCCGTGAGTATGGAGTACACATGTTTCAGAACCCAAACCGTACTTACTGTGTTCTCGTTCTTTGAACCTGGGGTCCCGGTGGGCATCATCTTCCGTCTGATGGTGATCGGTGCCATCTTCGTCATGCTGACTGTTGTCATCCTCATCCTCCTTGGATGCTCCAAAAGGCTTTGGCTTTCCAAATGTACCAGTTATTCCACCTGGTCCAGCGAAAGAGCCAGTGCCGCTCCCGAAAGGCTTTGGAGTGCTGCTGAATCCGCTCCCAAAACCGCCGCCACTTCCAAAACCGCCACCTGAGCCAAAGCCTGACAGGGGTTTAGTCGCGAAGGGGGACGTGCCGCCGAAACCACTGGCAGCCGAGCCGAAACCTCCAGATGCAGCCTTCGCGGTGGACCCTGCCATTCCAAAAGGAGACTTTTCCGACGACGCAAATGCAGACAACCCGGAGGATGCAAATGCTGAGTTGGAGGTTGAGTTATCTGGAGAAGAGATCGACTGTGCAGGTTGCGGAGGAGATTTGGGAGACACGAGGCTGCCGAATGGCGAAGTGGCAGAGGCATTCGCAAACCCGGAGGACGATGCGATCTCGGGTGCCTTGTTGGGTGGTGGAGCACTCGGCTTCTCAATGATGGATGTGGACGATGCTACTGCACCGGCCGCCTCGTCCAAATCCTGCTGCGAAGGGGCTTCAACGAGAACTCCAGGACCACCAGGGGATTTTTCTGCCTCAATATCGTTCTCCTCCTGCACGGGACTTGTAACGTCGTCTTTGTCAAAGGTTTGAATAGCATCATCACCAGTAATCTCCCTTGACCTCATTCTCTTATGTAGACCTTTCTTGGGAAGGGGAGGACCACCATTTTCGACGCCGAGCCCAGAGTCATCATGCTGTAGATCTTCAAACGACCGTTTCTTGGACGGCCGGCCTCTACTTCCATTCTCTGTAGGTGGATCGCTCGATTCGATCTGGACAACAAAGCCGGCGTCTTTGCCTTCGCCTTGGGTTTCCTTCACCTTTTGAACAAGGCCAGCGATCGAGGTTTTCTTGAGTTTCTCGCGTGCACTTCTTTCCCCACCTTCGCCATCAGAACTTCCTGCCTGGGGCGATTGATCGCGCACTAGGGTATCGTTTGAGGAAGCTGAAGTATCAAGAGGCTTTCCATGCCCGGTCTGGTCTGACATCTCGACAGGTGCTCAGCCAGGGACCCTGACACCCCGAGTCACAAATTGTTGGCTGGCTCGATAGATCGAAATCAGCGTAGATTGCTGCCACCAGGGGCGTTGCTCTGGCAAGGTTGATTGCGCCTGCGCACAGGTGTAGGGGGATGATTTCGACTTGGGGACTGGTCAGTTGTCTGTCTCTGTCTCTGTCGAATCTAGCCAAAAGGCTTCTAGCTCACCGTGCGCCCTGTCGTTATTGTTGCGCCTTCTCTTCTCCCGTGCCCACTTCGATGAATAGGATAGATGCAGGGAGGTGATAGTCTTGACGGGATCTGAGGTAGAAGTCGCTGGTCTGGCAAGAGGGGAGCGGGGAGAGGGCAAAGATAGAGAGACAGAGATTGCAGAGATGGACGCAGTCGGAGGGTGGAGATAACAATGGATTACAGCACACAGTGCAGTCAATCGCGAGTTGACTTTGTGGTGATGAATCCGGATAATACTTGGCCTTGTCGGATGCCAGTGTGGCGTGGAATGTATCAGTACGAAGTAGATGTCAATAGAGCGAAGAGCGATACGAGGCGTTTGTGGGTTGATTGGGTGCACCGAGTGGTTGTGAGTGGGTGGTGGGTGGGTTACGAGCCTGAGCCTGAGGCCTGAGGTACGGAGGACGCACGATGGAGGAGAGGCGGTTCGGTTCTGCCCTCCGCACAATATTAATGAATCGAGTCTGATCATCACCCAATGCCCAATATCCAATACCCAATACCCAACTCTGCCCCACCTGATGTCGTTCCTTGGTACGGCGGACGGAGTAGTAACTTAATACTCGTGGAATATCACGGGTAGCCGTACAGCAGTCTCTAAGAATGAAAAGGCAGTGAATCATGAGAAAAAAAAGACCACTCATATCCCGATGTGATATCAACACTGGTTGCTTGTCTAAATTACAGGATCAGAAATAGTGACAGTCATTACGACTCCAATTTCATCGTTGCATCTTCTTCGTCTTCGTCTTCAATTCTGGCCTTAGCTGATAAAACACAGGCACCCTAGCCCAACATAGAAGACGAAGAGAGGATATACACTCAGTGCCACCCGGTTTTTGACCACGCCCGATCCTCCCAGAATACTCACTCCGGCCGCCAGAGACCAGGCAACTAGGACGACATACACCGGTATTCGCGCAATAGTCGGCAGGCCAACAGCGCTGAGGAGTGCTGCTATCGTCAACGGAAACAATGTGTAGCCGATAATCGAGACAGATTGCATGAAGGATCTAGCACAGGTCAGCGCCATGTCAACGTATCCTGGAGGGGTACATACATGTTGCCTCCTAGCAACTTGATCTGAAGGGTGACCACAGCCTCACCGATCCATACCAGCGAGAATACCCCTGAGAATACCAGATCACTCTGGCTGGCCGGAGCCCCCAGCGACAGGAACATACTGAGAAGTAGGCAGAAAATGAGAGGGCCCCTGTCCGCACGTTAGATACTAGTCTGAGGCTCATCCTCGACCCAGTGTCAGTGTCCCACTTACCATAGGTCCCAATCTCGTAGACCATCGCTCATGCCCCCTTGAAGAATGCCATCTGCATCTGGCCATCTTCCTACCAATCCGCGCAGGTCACGTCCGAACCCTTGGCTTTCTGCATCGCCTATACCTGCTCCCTGCCTTTGTAGGATACCACCAAGAAGGTATTTGGGCCAGAGCACTTGCTTCATCTTTTCCCACACTGCGAGCAGATCTCGCGACACCGTCTCCCATACGCTCTCGTCGATCGTGTTCTGTGGAGCTCTTCTGTCTTCGCCTGGGATCCGAGAAGTCAAATAGCCTTGGTTGATCGGCGTCTGCGAAGAAGATTGGATGTTGCCGGTCAAGGGTGTCCGGTCGGATGTGCCGTAAGAGGGCTCATCCGGCTCAACTTCTAAGTCCCGGTCAGCGATGACTCTCAGGACAATATCCCATGTACCACCTACCGGCATCAAGAAAATCATCATCAAGGACAGCGTGGTCATCATCGTAGGGATTATCAGACGAGCCGCTAGCCATTATTGCGGTAGTCTCATGTGCAGGTTGTTGGCCACTTGAATCTCTGTTGTGCTGGTTGGAGTGGTAGGATTTCCCTCGAAGCAGGGTGAATGAGAAGGACACGGTACAACAATTAGAATGAATTGATTCTTGGACGCAGCAGAATGGGAGGCAGCTGTCAATGTTCTCCTGTGGTCAACTGTTGGTAGGGCTGATCCATCCAGGAACGCGTCTGCGTCTGCGGCTGCGGCTGCGTCTGTCCTCTTTTCATGTTCCAGGTTGCATCATTCTTTCGGTGTCCGGTCTATCGTTTTTCCGCGGGTCAGTCCTGTCACGTGCCACAATCAACATCACCCGTCTATTCTGCGTATCTTGCATTGCAGCCTCCTTCAGCATTACTCCTGAATGCATTTGAAATCATACGCGGTGGGCATGGGCATCTGCTTTCGGTAATTGCTGTCCTATGCGTAGGCCTGATGCACTGAGAACAGATTAACGTCTCGGACTGGCCCTCATCTGATTGGCGTCATCACACATATTCATATATCAGTATAAAAGTCGTGCTGCCCCGCTTAAGCATTCTCAAGTACAGGTCGCTTTCAAGCTGTGGGCAAAAGCCATGGACCTTTCACCTGTCGTCAGTACAACCGGCATAATGGCCTCTTCTCTCTACATTTCACATTTCCTATCAATGTGGAACTCTAGAGGCTTCGAATTCGGCGCTATCCTATTCCTATCGAGCATCTATCCCGGGACACTGCTCCCCATGTCTGTTTATGCCTTGGTTCGCGCTTTGGCCGCTATTGTCTTCTCGTCGAAAATCGGTGCGTTCATCGATACTGCTAACCGACTTGATGTTGTTCGAATCTCCATAGTCGGCCAGAGGATTGCAGTCATGCTCTCTTGTGGTTTATTTTCAATTTCGCTTCAATCAAACAATGTGAGGCTGGCAGACTATTTTGCGCTGCTCATCTTCGCTCTCCTGGTCATCCTCGCTTGTTTCGAGAAAGTCTTTGCTGTTATGAACACCGTTGCCATTGAGCGGGATTGGGTCGTTGTCATCGCAGCCGAGGATGACGGTATGCTTCAAAAGCTCAATGCTCAAATGCGAAGGATTGATCTCTTCTGCAAGCTATTGTCCCCTCTTGGCATTGCGCTTCTGCACTCTTGGTCAGCTATGAATGCGGTGTGGGCGACCTTGGCTGTTAATGCTGTATCTGTCTTTGTCGAGTACTGGTTCATCGAGAAGGTCTTTCGCACGGTACCATCCCTCCGCAAAGAGTCTTCGGCTCATGCAGCCATCAATGATGTTGTGCAAGAGGGACCTGTCTCTGATAATTGTGATGAATCGGCACAGCTACGTTGGATTCCACCTCGAAGGTTCTTGAACTCCTTAGGGACGCCTCTAATTAGTTACACAGCCCAAGCTGGCTTCCTGCCTTCTCTCGCTCTCTCAATACTGTACTTGACGGTATTATCGTTCTCAGGTCAGATGGTCACTTTCTTACTGGCATTACCGGCTCCGGAAATCACACCCGGCGCGATTGGACTGATGCGGACTGCTTCGACCATATCAGAACTCTCCGCTACCTGGATAGCACCGATTATCATGTCCAGAATCGGTCCTGTACGAGCTGGCATATGGTTTTTGTCGTGGCAAGCAATTACACTCAGCCCTGCTGTCTTTCTCCTTTGGACTGGGCTTGTCGGTCTCGGTCAGGCATCACTGCCCCTTTTCATCATTACCGTCATTCTTTCACGCCTGGGCCTTTGGTCATTCGATCTTTGTGCTCAATTAATCATTCAAGAGTCTACCTTACCGTCGCAGCGAGGCTCATTTTCCTCAGTTGAAGCAGCGCTCCAGAATTTCTTCGAGCTATGCGCTTTTGCGATGACAATCGTATTCCCGAGGCCACAGCAATTCTGTTATCCAGCATTAGTCTCTCTACTGGCTGTGTCCTGTTCAGCAGCATTATACGCCAAATTCGTGAGGGATCGACGAGGCCATCTGCTGCATATGCCGGCTTGCCTCAAGAGCGATCAAGTTCGTGATGTAAACAACTACGAGCCTCTACGTGCCGAAGCAGATTCAGCATGCCATTTGCAACATCGCTCAATGGCTTAGCAGTTCAGACTGATTTTGCTAGACTCTGTAAAACCATGCATTACTCGAGCCTCCCACATCGAGCCATTGCGAACGGGCTGCCATTTGCGAGATCGACACGGCCAGCAACAGTTCTCAGCAATGGCTGCGGTCCTCGGATGACACTGCCTACAGAACAATGTCTCCGGCACTAGCTGTCCTGGTGCAGCCGTTACGTGACGCAACAGACCCGGACCAATTGAGAAAGACGACTAATACTTTCAGCAAGCCACATGATTTAGGGATAATGTACGGGGTTGATGCCCATTGGCATTCGATCACCTTACACCAAACGGACGGGCCTATGGCATGTGACTTGCACAATTTTGACAGTTTCACAAGGACTATCTTAGGCTTTTCCCTGCGTGATAGTTATTGAACATTCTAGGATGCTATTCCCACAAGGATAGAGCTTTGTCGAATGTGATAGGGCCAGAAAGGTGGGTTTTACAGCCTCGAGCGCTCTCCAGAGTCCACTTGCGCTTCTTCAAGCTACTCCACAATGTTGTCCAATTTTCGCCAGTTTAGAAGTCCATGCATGAGGGATCAGCCGACCATGTGGGATTTTTGATGGAACACATCGTGTGGCTTGGACTCATGGAGAACGAGCCTCCGCGCCAAAACAGGAAAATCGAGTTCCAATTCGCAATTCTATCTCAATCACAAAGAGTGGTTGCTGGGCTAGTAGTCCAACCATAGCAATCGCACGGCAGAATCAATGCAGCAGAGGCATTCGAAAGGGCGTCTTGATTGTGGCTATCTTGGGGATAGTCAACCGGCCTGACCATGCGCATTCAGTCACCGTCAGCATTAGCAGAACCCTTTCGTTCTCCGAAAGGCACTAGTAACTGCAAAGCTTGCGGTGTTCACGCTGAGACCTTGAGGTTCAGGCCAATAGCACAATGCCATTTGACTCGACAGCCTTTGACAGGGAGGGCAACGCTGCATAATTCTGCGGCTAGTGGTCTTATTGCCGATAACTAGCGAACCCCTGCCTCTCGAGTGACTAGGGTTCTAAATTGGTGCACCACGTTAACGGCCATGACAAAGCTAAGGATAAAGGACGTTCACCCCAGTGCCAGTGTTGGTACGGAGTACGGAGTACAATGTGAGACTAGGAGTCAACCTGTGGACGATGCACCTATCATTATGGTCATTTGTGTACTCCATACAGCACCTCTGTCTGCCTCGTTCTGGCTAAAAACTATTTTTCTGCCAAAGACAGGATCCGCTGATGATGGCGAGAGTTATTAAATCTTCCAAGGGATGGCCTTATCTGGGCGCGAGGCTCAAACCCCGCAGACCAATTCAACTACATGCAGATCCAAATGCCGCACTGCAGCGCAATGAGCATTGGTCCGTATCGCCGAGTTCATCGACCGGGAAGTTCCATAATGCGCCCAGGCGTTGTTCCATCTAGTTCCAGTGTCGGAGCATGTGCTTGTACACTGGAGACTTCTGACAGAAGAATGTGACTAGTGACTTTCCTCTCCAAGGCACGGCTGATCACGGAGAGGTACGGTATCGTAGGCTTTGAGTCTAGGCTACGATCGTACATTATCCGGCTCCCTGATCTGCAGCTAAGAATTCAGCGGGCCACGATGTGGGGTTCTCTGCTCAGGGCTCTCCAGGTATCCTGTCCAGGAACGAGTACGGAGTACGGATACGCGTTCACAGTCTGGATTAAGTATAATGCATAATTCTGATATGGAGCCGTTGAGGAAGAAAGACCAGCAGCGCGCAACTGGGCATCATTGGCTGCACGGTTGGGGATTCGATAAATCAATTATTGAAAAACTAGATGCGGCTCAACGAACATGCAGAACCGGAACAAGGAGTACCCCTGAAGCAAAAGGATATCAGCAACAGAACTTGACTTGTTTCTACTAATACGGGAGTCCAACAAGAGCTCTTCTTTTTTGGCCACGTGGAACAGGCGTCCCAGACTGCTTCGAAACAAGTTTCGGATCTGGAGCCGTTTACGTCTTGGTGTGCCAACTTCTACGAGTATGCCTTGATACGCTGATTTCACCCTAATACTCCTTCCAGGGCTAGCTCCTCATAGTTCCCCATCTGCACAGGCCTGACATCAATAGCGGCGGTAGTCAAGGGGACAAGCATCTTGGCCTGCGCGTCTGCTAGCACCTGATGGGAAAATGCACCAACAACCTATCTTTGGCATTGAATTCCAGGGGAGGGTTCGTCCCTCCGGTCGGAGGACATGATTCCCGGCAACAGGCTGTCACAAATTCACAATCCCAATGACTGGTTGATCACCGTGATGGAAATGCTTTTCTCCCTCCCCCCGAGCTAGATACGGATAGTGGCAAATGCCTCTCACAGTTTGATATAGGTGACTTGCTGTAGGATCTAGCAAGACACTACCTACCAAAGGTGGCTGGCTTGGTGCTAAGGACTATTTCGGGAGGGAGGAAGCCCACGAGTACACCGCGGATACTCCTAGCATATCTGCGAGACACATCTCGAGCATTCAACCTGCCTCTCGATGAATGACTTGATAGCCAGAGGTTTTCCCAAACCCTTACTTGTGACATCGGGTCTCTCTAGATATCCTCATTGCCCTACTCGTACAGTACGTAAATCACTATCGTTTCTCCATCAACTCGCCCTTTACGGATTATATGGAGCAAGTCTAGCAACAGAGTATCCATAGCGGTGCCGCTTTTGCGGGACTGGAAACTCTCATCCCCCAATCACCGGTACTGCATCCAATACTCGTAACACAACTACATACAAACCGGCTCAAACCCGTGCTTGAAGGTTGGAACGAACTGGGTAACAACGCCAACGCACACGCAAAATCAAGCGGGCACTATTCTAAAATTAGGTAGATCAAACCGTCTTTTGCTTGTGCGGCATCCCCCTTGAAAAGATGGAGAAATGATCCGTCGGCCTGACTGGCGAATGGGAGACACAATTGTCAATCACACATGATTCAGGCGAGATGTCTCTATCGAAACCTCCCCTGCTCCATACCCAACGACAGGCCGTGCTTAGCCTGGTTGCAGGGGGTGCTGTCCAGCCTATGCCAGCCAGCTCCATGGTATCCCGCGGTATGGGTCCATCCATGGAGGTGCAAGTGTAGTTACCCGTACTCGTAAGGAGTACATACAGAGTACCCCAGTTCACTGACTCGTGAGCTGTGTTATCAGCACTCCGTGGTAGAGACAGGTCCAAACAGGCAGCCCCCTCCCCTTGGACCATGACGAACGGTGGGGGCGTGAAAAACCCAACAACTTACTGAGGCCTCACACTAGCGGTTGACTGACTCTTCTATGGTGAAACACAAATTTCCTCCTTTTGCGGCTCCCCCAGAGGATAACGTACTGTCTATACAAGTGCAATCGCCGACGGGAGGGGAGTGGATAGATTGGCTCATTCATCCGTTTGTTCTTCGTATATTACAAGAGACATACGCATACACTACGTAGACCAACAGCAACAACAGGGGGATGCATAACAGACTGGTGGCATGCACTACTGCCCAAGTTTTGAGTAGGACGCCTGCCTGCTTGGTACTTCACTACTGTACGAGTAAGTCCTCCATATCTAGGTACCTACCGAGTACGGGAGTATCTCAGTCAGATTGCCACCCTCCGAGCTTCCTACGTACCGATAGTGCCTGCGTGCCTCCCTGCGCGACTGCCTTGCCTAGCTATCCACCTCCTTGTTCTTACCTGGCGTCGAAATTTACGGTAGATTAAGCGTAGACCAGACCAGGGGTAGCGCAGTATGAGTATCTAGCACTAGGGAGGGCATGACATTGTTGAGGTCTAAGGAGCGTAGCACTGGAACCCCGTTCGACTAAGCCACGTGGACTGTCCAGCTGCTAAGCACGTCGCTGTCGAAGCAAGCAAGGACAAGGAGGCACCTGACTGAGCACTGAGAGGTTTGTTTTTAGAGGCAAAGTGGAAACTTCACGTGTCTATTACTATACCCAGTCTTTTCGTCCACGTTGAGTCCTCAGGCTTCAGAAATTTGCTTTGAAGCAGGACACAGAACGAAAACCCGAACCGCAGACGATCAAAGTGTCATTAGTAAGGATGGCTATAGAGAGTTCTCTAGAATAAATAACACAATACAGTACGCCCCCACAAGCGAGGGGAGGGCTTTTATTCTGTGGTCTCTGGCTATATAGCAGGAGGAAGACGAAGGGAGAAAGGAAAGAATTGACCAGTGAGCCTGCGACCAGCTGGCGATTCTGTTGCACAGGAAATCTGCGCTGAAATAATCATCAGGTACTATGTAGTAACAATAATGGTCAAGCGGCGAGCGAATTCTGGCGAAAGATGAGCGAAAAGATAAATTCCAGTGGCTCGCGGTGGCGCAACAACATGTCAATTTGTCAATTGAATGGAATGTATTTACACAGAATAGTATAGTAGAAGTTAGGGATAAAGCGCGAGGGGTACTTCCAGAAGTACTTGATCCATGTGTGAAGATTGGTATTGTATCCGGAATTTTGGGTCGTTTGACTTTCGCCAGTACAGAGTATGTCTGGCGCAATTTGGGTCGAATTAGATTCCAGGAGACATATTTCTCACATGAAATGGGTCGCTAAGGGAGAATGGGAATGAGGGGACACACAATGTCCTCTTGTGCCCGAGGCCATCGAGGATCGGATGGCTTTGGAGTAATGTGTTTCATGAGCCAGCACTTGCGTGCCAGTGGAGCTCGTTCAAGCGTTTCATCGCTAGTCTTCGTTCGTACCGTTCATGGCATGTTCGTTACGTTCTTCAAGCTTTGCTTAGTTGCAATGGAGCCAATATCAATTACATAAATTTGTTGGTTTGACTCGTAAGTGTTGTTTTCGTGCCACTTTGATCCGACCGGTCAAGGTCGTGAATTGGCTCGTTTTGGCTGTCTCCTTTGGGTGCTGGGTTCGGGCCCAAATCCTGTGGTGCTGCTACTGCGTGCGTCAGAGAAGCTGGCGTTCGTCGGGCTGAAACTGGCGTTGCTTCCTCGATCGCTATTAGGAGCGCTTGCGTCGCTGCGTGGGCTGAGGCTGTCAGTGGTGGTCGAGCCTGGTTTCGTCGTCCCCTTTGTTCGGATGTCCAACTTGGCGAATATAGCCTTGAGATCGCGAACGCTGGCAAGCGACTCCATGCTCAACGGGTCGTTTTCATGCCTCTCAACAACCACTCGGCGCAGTTCTTTGAGCATCGCACTGTTGCCTTCGTCATTGGGTAACCACCAGTTCTCCACTGACTCTTCCTCGCCGACTTGTTCAGTGGTCAGCCCCCACATTTCCGCCATTTTGCGTCGGAAGGTGGCTGGAAATATGTAGCCTTGTCTTTCTACCTCCGCGACTTTCCTTCTCGCCCACATGGTGTGCTTTTCGTCTTTACGCAGGAAAACTAGAGCCAGGCCCAGTGTCGCGTGTGCGCCTAGGATGGCACCATTCGGCGATTCTGGCCACCGGTCAATCGCTTCATAGATTCGACATTCTTCAAGACTCATTTGTTCAAGTTCAGGCGGCATCGGGTTCTGAAACAGGGCCGCAACTTGGTACGTCCGCATCTGCTCGATCCCGTACCAGTCGAGCCACATATGATTCAGCGGCCACAGTGGACCTGTGAATAATCCGCCGGGAATGTAGGGGTTGACAATGTCGGTCTCGTTCAGAGGATGGACTTTCTCCTGTGGGAATTCTTGCACCCGGTAGAGTGCGTTATTTTTCGACTCCACCAAAAGCTTCATGTCGTTGACTCTAGAAGCAATTTTGGCGTTTTCAGCATGAAAGTCTTCGACCCCGATTTCGCGATTGGGTAGCTTGGCGTACAATGCTGCCATATCCATGCCGATCAGACGGTTTGTTGCGACAAGGTATGCAAATGTGTCCTGGATGTCTGTTTCACTCTCTGCGGCCGTATTCATCTGCTCGAAGTACCACTTTTCGTTCGCTTCGAACCACGGTCTTTCTAATTTCGTCTTGTTGCCTGCCATCAGTCCAACGACGACATCTAAACGTGCATACCAGCTGAAAATACGCCTCCCAAGATCAGTCTCGTTGATAGTTTCGGGAGTGAAAAGGTCCTTAAGCATTGTATGAGCAGCACGATGATGGCCCACAAGATTGACCCAGTCACCAATATATTCCTCGAACGTGGCAAGTTGTAAAACCGTCAAAATCGTCGCCTCGGTAACTTTTGAGCTTTTCTCTAGTGATTTCCTGAGCATAGAAAGCGAGCGAGAATGGTATCCTAAGAAATGTGATAGCTTGGGATTTGGTCGTCGCAATTCGTAGTGATAAGCAGCAAACCCAACCACGGCGTAGAGCAACGGCTCGTAATTGAGGGCAAGGTCGATGAACTCACAGTGAACAAAGTCTGTCGGGTCGAGCTTATAGAAGTAATGGTAGAAAGTCATGTAGTCTTGCTGAAATTGTAGGTATTTCTGAAGATCGGGCTTCAGGGTCTTTATTTTCGCATGAATGGCCTGCATCTCGGCTGAATTTGTCACCGTCCGTAACGATGAAGCCGGGGTCTCGTCTCGGGAACGATTATCTGACATGTCTGTCGATTGGGGGCTGGCTTGCTCCCTACCTGTAGGAGACATGCCTATGTGTGGTTTGGTGTCTATTGTCGATTCGGTAGACTGTGTGCTGTCGGCTCGCAATGGCCCTAGTGGTGGCCGACCTGCGGTATCTGAAGATTCCATGTCCTCATCTTCTTCGCTTTCATCCTTGATCGTGGGTAGGGATGAGCCAGTTTCATTTTTGTTTTCATTCCTTGTCGTCTGATCTTTAGGACTCCGACTGTCCGAGTTTTTAGATCGTTTGGAAGAAGTCGAAGCTTGAGGAAATTCGCACTCGCGATTGCCCTTTTTGCATCCTAATGGGTATGTTAGTCAAGTTTAGCTTGGAGGGACATCAACAAACGTACTGTCACATATAGGCCTGGTTTCATCACACTGTCGCTGTTGTTAGTGAAATAGCCATCAAATTGCAGACAAGAATATCCACCTTGACTCTCCTACTTCGGCATGTGAAGCAACCACTCCTTGTTCGCCGGTGCTTGATCGCAGCTGCCTCCATAGCGGTGGCTGGAAGAGCGACACCACGGCTGTTGAAATGGGTGGGATCTCGGTCATACAGTTGGTTGTTGTTGCTTGGGTTGTACCAGAACGCGACTCCATCGAAGTGGGTTGGCGGACCAGAGAGTCTGGGATACGGCGCTGCGAAGCCTGCATCATAGACAGGATAACCAGGATCCATCATATTGGAACCTGGCACTTCCGGCGCATTCATGCCATGACTGTACAATCCACTCATTCCGCCACGAGCCACTGCCACCGCAGCCCCAACTAGGTTTTCGTCGCACGAGTTGGCTTGGAGTTAGATCAGGCCGTGAGGTCGGTATCGGAACTACCGCCGTTGTCAAGTTCCAGGAACTATTCAACTGAGTAGCTCCTTGTACTCGTACGGCGTGATAGGACTGGTCGAACGGTTCGTGAGACTTCCCAATAGGAAGGTGGTTCACGCAACTGGTTGGGCGGGCTGCTATGGTCTGCACGACTATCTTTAACCAGACCGGTGTAACCAACGATACCCTGAGCTAAGCAATGTACCTGATGACAAAGGAACAAAGGAGTGACGATGGGGTGACGATATGGATGAGGGAACGCCCTGTTCCTCGGCGAGATTCAGATCTGCTTGCCTGCTTCAGAAGCGAAATTGTGATGTTGTCAATCCACAGCGACCTACGTTAACAATAATCCCGATGGCCTGTCCCTATGTGGCGTATTCCGACGAATGTAGGGCGTCGTCAAGTCTGAGACTGCTGAGTGTCAAGGGAGAATTATAATTCGAACGAGGCTGAATTAAGTCCCAATGGCGACACAAGGTCTAGTGCTTCTTGTAAGATGAGTGAGAGGTACGAATTGACTCAATCAATATTGATGCGACGACCAGGGGGAAATATCTTAATCTGTGAATCCCAGATACAGATTAATGGCCCTTGCAATGGGGTACAGCCGTCAGTATTAATCGCGAGGATGCCGAGATTTCCCTCAAAACTAACTCTTAGCCCGAGAGAAGAGGCGCTATCGACCGTGCGCGTGGGTTCTGTTGAAATTAGAGGAACGCATGCGGTACAGCGTGAAGGTGCACACGTTCCCACGCTCCCAAAACAGAGACACAGATTGCGATTGTATCACAAATGATTGTGGTTCTGGGACAAATATGAAAAAGGTAAAGAGGCCAAAGGCGAAGGGAGACTCGTTGGTCCGGCTTGGTTTGGGTTTCCTGGGGGCCGATGCCGAAAAAAACGAGTGGATTTGGCCAAAACGCTATACCAGATGAGTGATCCTTGGGCACGACTAGGGTCCGAGCAGCTACTCCCATAATAGTGTCGTCAGACCTAGGCGCTGTTGGCCAGGGGTGGGTCGGAGTCAATAAGTCGATCCCCAGTGTCGATCGACACACCAGAGGCCGGCCGACCTCGTAGTTAAGAGGGCTAATAGAGATCTAAAGAGCCACCGGAAGACTGCTTGAGACTCGAAACTCGAGCCAGATTTACGGGATATTCCTCGTATGCCCACCTTGAAACTCCACTCTGAAAGTATTGCCACTGTTGGCGCCCGCGACGTCTTCGGGAGGCTCCCTCTTGGATCAGACCCTTGTAGAGAGTTGTTATCATGATCTGGTCTGATCTGAAATGGATGGACTCCAATTTCTCGTTGAAATACGGCCATTAGACAGAGCCTTGTCGCAAGGTGTTTTTTTCCCTTGTACTCCGTAGCCGGTCAATTTATTTTCTTGTTTCCGAACAATCTCATTTGAGGCGATGATGAAAATGGCTAAGCCTTTGGAAGAATTTTTTGAGTTTTTCGAATCCAAACGTCTTGGATGTTTGCAACACCCAAGGGACATTTTGCGGCACGGATAGCCAGGATCATCAAATCCGGCACCAGTCCACTATGGGCAGTGTTTAACGGGCTTAGGATCAGTCAGACACGGAGCACAAAGTTGTCTATCTTGCAAGAACCAAGACATGGTGCTCCATGGAAACCCGGCGGTGGATAGTTTGTTCCCAGGGAGTGCATGTAATAATGACTGTGCTAGGCTGGGCTCGAATTACGGGACGCAGGAAATTACGAGTAGCTCTATATCTGCTGTCAAAAGCTGGATTCAGCAGAGGATTGCTTCCCCAGCTTCCCACCACATGAGCCATGCGGGTTACGAAGATGTCATCACTTTGTTTACACATGATCCTTCATGCGCTATGTTGCAGCAGTTAGATCAGGGCTAGGGCTCAAACAACGCCCACTCATGTCCTCCTCCAGCATTATTTTTTCTCGATCAGTTCTCATGATTCCGAGTACTCCGTGCACCTGCTCGCAAGTAGATGGTTTGGGTTCTACTAGAAGGGCGCTAGACCAGGTACTCGGGCTCTTTCTAGTCTTTTGCCTCTAAAAATCAGTCGGGGCTTATTCGACCCCTTTCTCGCGCAGAGTATGTAGATACAATCAGACACCGCATGGCTTTAGCCTGGCCTCCTGCCCACCTCGTACCAGGCCAGGGAGTTTCTCCGGACTTTAAACTGCGAGCCTCGGGGGGCCAATTTGGGGGTTGCTTCGAGCCCCAGCAGCCAAAGCTAAAGCCACGTTGCTCGGTCCGCAAAACTGGTCCACCAAGTTACTGAGGTTCGCAACCCACGTTCCAGGTTGCATCGGTGGCGTAGTACTGGCGCCGGTTAAAGCTCGAGGTAGTGCGGCAATCCACGCCATGTGGTCGTGATCATCGCAGATGATGTGAAGTCAATACCTATAACGTTCGTCCAGTTAATCCAGGGCCCTTATTAGGTTGCGAGGCATCCGGCAGTGGTAATCCAGCCAACGGCGAACCTATGCACCAGCCCATGCTAGCTAGCATGTCAATGCCAATTCCAAACCAAGGTGGTGTATTACTTCGCAAGTTCTCCAAGAACACCATTCCCGCCGTTGCAGCAGAATGTTCTTGGTTACTCGTAGTTTCGACGTCTCCATGGAGCCATGTGGGTTTCGAGATGAACAAGGTACCCATCAATCATTGGGCAAATTGCACTATCATCCAACACAGCTTCAACTCCTCCATAGCACAAGTTAGATGAACTCTGACAGGCTTGACAGGATCCTCCCAAAGACTGTTGCCTTGCATTGTGGGTGTGTGGTGATATTGACAACGACCCGCACGGCCGTTCGGAGCGGCGGGGAACGGGCGACACAGGCTTTCAGGGCGTCCAGATTAGGGTTCTGTTCCGTAAGTCCTTGTTGACTGATTCGTCCCTATTGTAGCTGGAGAGATGCGCAAGCCCAGGCATTCAACCATAGTCGAACTATCAAATAGAACGGTGCTTAGTGCGCCAGGGCGCCGATAATTGATCGGTGATGATGCAGTTTGCGCCCAATGGACATCATCCCCGGGGCGCCAACGGGCCTCGCAACCTTAAGAAGCACCTTTAGCTCGTTGTGTTGTTGGGCTCTACCCTTGCCGCAGATCCTGCTCTCCACGCTCGAGCTTTGGAGCTTTCCCTAGTGGTGGGGACTCGAGTGGACTCAGGGCTGTCTAACCAGAGGCTCTCATGCAAACTCAGTTTGAGCTCCAGAGCCCTGAAGGTGGAATAGGACTGGCTCAAGTTTTCTCGACACCTCAGTCGGCGATCCCGAGATTTCGTACCGGACCACGCAGGATGCCCTAGAGACGCAGGACGAAAAACTGGGTCGTGTCGATGAAACATTACTGTAGGTACGATATACATCCCTCGAGTAGTTAGTCTTTCACAGGGACCAAGAGAATGGTAGCGTCGCTGAGTTTACTCCGTACCCCGTAATCAACCCTGATAGGGAATTTCGGAAGAGAGAGAGGACCCTGTGAACATGGTGGCGGGAAGACAAGAGATAGGTAACGAATAAGCAGCCACGGCCCAGGCATCAAGCTGGGGGATTCTCAAGAAGGGCCCGCCCCTCCCCCCCCCCGGAAATCTGGAAGTGGACGCCATTATTCGTATGTGCTGTGTCTACTCGGTCCTCGCTGCCCTGGATAAGTGAGCACTGCCTATAAATGGCAAGGACACACGCTCTGCATGACGTGATAAAGCTCTCTCTGGGGCTGCATAGGTGACATATCAGATGGTTGGAAGAAGCAATGACCATGTTCATGGACTGGTGCGGTCCAGGCTCGTACTCGTGAACCATACCCAGAAGTTGTAATGGATGGTGGAAACTTCCACCAACGGACTGGCTATTTGCTTGAGATACGAGTGTGACATTCGTACTACTAGGTAACTAATACTACTGAGGAAGTCCTACAGGCGTACGAATACTAACTCATTTGGGACCAGGGCAGATCTGAGTTCATCTGCGTTGGAATCTTGTGTCAAATGATCAGAGCTACACATTACTCGCTTTCTCGATTAGGGACACCCTACCCTGGTCTGCACCCAAGATTTCGCATGCCGCCGGACATTAGCAACATGGACGGCATTCCATGTCATTGAATGTGGGTTGGTCAACGTCGCTCGCATCATCTTTGATTGCATGGAGACTGTGAGAACGCTATGAGTAGAGCCTACGAGTAAGTATCCGTATATGTCCCCATATGTCCCCATATGTCCCCTATATGGACCAGGTATCCGTATACCAGACTTAAAGCAGAGCTCCAGATTCATGGATTATCATACCCCGGCCGTCCTCTGGAAACAGGGACAGAAGCCAACCGCTGACTTTGGCCACTGGACACAATAAAGCCCCCAGCTTCCAAGGCATGCCGTCCATGTGCCGCGATTTACCCTTGTTTGTAGCACAGAAGAACAACACGTTCTATGTAAGACTGCTGAATGATTGGCAAGAAAATCCCGGTCCTCGGCCTGAGGGACCATCCTTAGCTCGCCTTCGGGGGATGCCAGCTGCTCCATACGGAATGCCTGTGACTTGACTTTGATCAAAGCTGCCTTAGATCCCGGGCGATGGAGGACTGCATGAATGAGAGCGGTCCGGGTGCTCCGTATCCAGCCCTTGATTATGTGGATGTGCTGGTGACCTGGAACGTCTACCTCAAGACCTGTACGGATACTCCGTACATCTGCCTTTGACGCGGTGCTGCTTCGGCCCTTACCAAACGGCTGGCTTCCCCACCAAGTACATTGCATGCCCTCCCACCTGGTGACCATGGGACAAACCTGAAAGCAAGATAGAGATTATCCGATCTTGCTCAACTTCTGTGCTAACACTTGCTCCAATCCATGTCCTCGAGCGTTCAGGTGAGTCGTATATACAGATCAGATACAACACAGCAGGTGGGTTCCAGATCATAGAAGTCGCTCTTTCAAGTTCTCTCTTCACTCAATGCCACCTGACTTCCCACTCACCCCGACTTCCCTTTCACATGAACCTCACTTATGGAGGTGAAGTCCTTCGCGATATTTCAACCCGGGCATTGTCCCTCTACAGAATTAGAAAACCTAGCCAAACCTTCCCACGAAAGCCAAACAACTAACTAGCAACCCACGACAGACACAAGAATGTCTGCGCCAAAGCCTTCAGCTGTTAGGCTAACACCCCGTGAAACAGAGACAGCGGTGGCAGTCCTTCAAAACCTACGCAGCGGTGAGATCAAGGTCAGTCCAATCCCCCCAGCAGCTCTCCTGTTTTGATGCCGTCGCATGACCAGCAGCCCGATCTGATACACTGTCAACCCAGATCGATTACGTCGCCATGGCCGCAACACTAGGGCTCAAGAACGACAAGGTCGCCGCCGCCGTATGGTGTGCCTTGCGGAAGAAGCTGTTCGCTGATGGCGGTAGCCCACCATTCAAAGTCGAAGCTGCCAAGGTCACCAAGAGTGCCACCAAGAAGACAAATCAAAAGAACGGTGCTGTCGCTCAAACCCCCAAGACAAAGAACAAAACCACTACGACCCCGGGCGAGGATTCCAGCCTGCATGATCAAACCTGAAAGGCGTGGCCACGACAGAAAAAGCGGTCTCGAGAGGCTCGGCTCCCGAATGAAATCGTAGGATCGCTTGGGATACATGTCCAGATTCCAGAGACGTTGGGCTCGCTTCTACAAACAACGTTCAAAACATGCGATTTGCATCCTTCATCCGAAGCAGCAAACCGGGCACATCAACATGCCAGTCCACACACAATGCGAGAGACAGTGAGGTAGAAACGACGATAGCTGACGAAATCGGAAATCCAACACCTTTCCATGTCTTGAAGAAAACATGGGACCCAGCCTCTGTTTTTGAGCTCTGAGATGGGATTGCCGAAGCTGGGCGACACGCGGATGAGCTACGAGGTACACACACATAGCTCAGGCAGTTAGTTGATGCAGCTACTATCCCTCAAAATGCTGGCGAAACGAAGACACGCGAAATATTGGTCTCTTTCCATCCCCTATTCCTATTCCTCTCCCTATCCCTCCCTTTCCCCGTTCCCCTTCCCCCTTTCCACCCCTGGCTCGACCACGCAACCCTACATATGCAGAAGTTCGGGACAGCGAGAGCAACACCACAAATTCGATGACATTCCTTTGCCAAACACATGTAGCTCTACATCCATGCCTCGGGTGGCCACTAGTTCTCGTCTGTGATCTGGTTGGCTGCCTTCTCTGTCCCTCGCCCCTCACCCTGCGTTCACCGTGTATATAAGACGCTCATTTCACCCATGCCAGTGGCCATGCCCACACTAAAATTCGAGGACACAGCCGGGAAGCAAACCTAGGGGGAGTTTTACGAGTAAAGAGAAGAGCGAATCAAGGCAAGGAAAACCACCATTGAGTTCTCCCGTGTCTCATGTCCGCCGCAATATGATCTCGCGCTCAGACTTTCGCGTATGACCTAACTTAGTGGGTATGTAGGCAGGTATCGAGGTAGCCAAAGATGCGCCGGAGCCTGTAGGCAGCCCTACACTCATTCACCCACCCAGCCAAAAACTGTCTGTCCCGTTCATTCATGCCTTCCGTGCCATACCGTACTATCCGTTGTTCCATTCCCAAAAAGCGATGCCGATAACAAGAGAATTCGTTAATGTGTCGTAGACTAGTCAAAATCTCTTGATCACAACCGTTAAAGAGACTCAAGAACCTATCACCATGTCTCTGACTGTTCCCCTTTCAAAATACATTTCAAATCGTTGTTGATGGCTGCGTCCCTGAGCTGGTGCCTGAAGTGGTCCCGTTCTCGCGGACACCCTGCCCTCGGCACATTGGACAACTGTTTCGGCCAGTAGTGAGCCACTGCGCATAAATCGTTAGCTTTGCATTATCTTGATTCTAGTCGTTCGAAACTTACCTCATCAATACACTCACGGTGATAGCGATGCTGGCATTTTGAAAGACGACGCACTTCCTCTGAAGCAACATAATCAGACAGACATATCAAGCACCGCTCACCAAGGTTGATAATCAAGGATTGGCCATCCTCTGAATCGACCGCATCTCCAACCAGGGAGCCAACTAGCGTACCATCTTGAACCATTAGACGGAAGAGACCACCAGAAGCCCCTACATCGTCCTGCGTGGCGACAGGAGGCTTGACTGGTCCGAGAAGAGCTGACAACATCTGCATGTCTTCGTAGGAGGGATGATCCGTGAAAAGACTGGGCATAGTGAATGCCGGATGATCAGGTGATACATTTGTGCCAACCACGTATATCAACCAGCTCCTCCCGACTCCAGCTGGAGGGGGGTCGGGCTCTACCATCCCATTTCTTCTTGCAGCCCCTGATCCCAGCTCTGGACGACGGGCGAACTCCGAGTCACTGCGTCTTCGCTGACGAGCGATATTGAACGACGACTCGGAAGGTGAAGATGGATTCTCAGGTGGTACTTGAGTGCGGTCTTCTTCCAGGTCGGGAAGATTTGGTGGCTGCACAGCTGAAGCAGATGAGGGTCGTCTTATGGGTGAAGCTTGTCCACTTCTCATGTCTGCTGGAGTGGATGGTGGAGGATTTGGGCCTGGTGGGCTTTCTGAGATGAGATTGGGCACACTATTCGCATCGGGAGTTGTGGGGTAGATTTGATCAGTCGTGTTTGAGGCTCGGGAGCCACTCGCTCGAGTACGTTGGTGCCTTTGTGTTTCATATTGAGCAGGGAAGCTGAAGTTAGTCATGGAGTGACGTCGATGGCTAGGTCGCACTCGAGCACTGGCGTCAGAACGACGGAACAAAGCCCCAGAGCTTCCATTGCGCATGACATTCGCGGGAGGGAGGAAAGGCAGACTCAACAGAGTGTCGAGACTTGGACCCAGAGGTCCGTTCTCACCATTGTTACTGTCCTGGCCATGCGGAAGTGATCGGACTCCCACTAACACCAGGGTGACAGAACGATCGTTCTCTCCGGGCCCAGTAATCGAGTCCAAATCCATCTGATTGGCATCCCTTGACTGGGCTTGGGCTGCGATGGGAGAACCATTTTCATCATTTGGAAATTGGAAAACTCTCATAAAGTTGACGGGAGGAAGATCGCCGTCATTCGAATTCAGGTCGATAGCTTCACCAGCCTGGGCAGTGGCTGCATCTTGGAGCGTCTGGACGAAATTTTGAATGCTGCCGTCGAAAGTCTCGCCCAAATGACGACCTCCGGAGTGACCACCATTTGCGTGCCCCGATAACTGGGCGGCTATTGCCGCTGCAGCAAGCTGGAGGACCTGCGACAACGGTGGATGTTCACCACGACGAATTAGGCGGGTGGAGCGAGAACGCAATCCTGGCTGAAACCGGCGAATAGTACTCATGCCTGAGGTGACTCTTGGGCCTGAGAGCAATGTCCTCGCTTCAGGTTCGACGGCATCAAGTTCGTGTGGAGCATCGTCGGTGTCATGCCGATGATCGGGTGGATGTGATGAGTGAAGAAGATGATCGGATTCGTCAGCAAATGTGACACGAGGCCTGGCGACAGATTCTCGAGAGCCTTGGGTTGACTGTAGCTGTTCGGAAGACCGGCCAAACAGGCTGGAGATGCGGGAGGGAAGTGAGATAGAGTCTCTAACTCTACCGAAGCGGTTTCGAAATCGGAGGGAGGATATGGTGGGAGAAGAAAGTCGTGTTGGTGTATCAATGCGTGGAGTGACAGACCCAGATTGGGATGGTGAACTGGAATCTGATATGACAGGGAAAGCAGGTGGGAGTGGATGAGAAATGGCATACGGATGAGAGTCAGCCAGCCTGGATATAGAATCAGTCAAGGATAACCGGTTGTTGCTATCATAACTTGGACGGTCTCTTCCCGGGCGGTCATGTATCATCGATGGAGGTGTGCTACCCAAACGTAAGGCCCGTCCTTCAGCAGCGGTTTCCTCGCCGCTACTGAGCAAGCCACGCACAACTGAGTCGGGCAACACTCTTGAACCTAGTCTGGACATCGTGGAACGGCGTCGGGCACCGTGGTGAGAAGGAGACATGTCCAGCATATCGACATCCTGAACACCAACTAGAGGTCTGTGTTCCTGCTCATACTCGGCCTCGCTCTCGGGAGGGGCGGGAGATGCTGAAGTATTAGGGTTCGGCATAGACTCGAAGGAACGATGGCGGCGGAAGGAATCATAAAAAGTACTGGCTCGTTGTCCTGCGGCGCGTATGGAGTGGACATTTCTTCGGGCGAGACGGGAACTTCTCCCAGTGGGTCTCGTGTCATTATTGGTATGTGTGAACTCTTGTAGATGTTCGTCGTCGACCTGCGTACGAGGAACTGAAGAGCTGTTGCCCATAGTCAGGAATGGGAAATTGCTAGTCGCAACTGCAGCGGGAGGATCTTAGGGTGGCATGTCCGGGTAAAAGGGACTAGCTGCGACGAGAAGGACGCACAACTGGAGGTTGGTTTGTGGAGGGCATGCGAGGATAGATTGCAGTGGGTTGTCAGCAAGTGGAGGGAGGGCTGGTGATGCTTCTGGCGATGATGATTGAATTCATCAAGGCGGAAAGTCAAGACGTCGGTGGCCGATTAAGTAGTTGGCGTTGGCGTTGGCGTTCGTAGCGGTAGAAGATCAAACAAACGGGATTTCCAAAGAGGCAAATAAGATGGAAGAAGGTATACAGAATCAGATGGATAGAAGGAGGAGAGACGGCCGTTGGGTGGTGAAGGGTGGTACGTTGGAAGAAGTTGAAGTTGAAGGTGTTGGATTGGTGATGGTGATGTTCAAGTCGTGATGGTGGTAGTGGAACTGGTTGTTGGGGGGAAGGAGAGCCACCTGCACAAGTGAGCACCAGACGGAAGGAGCGTTCGAGGCTGAGGTCAAGGCATCGGTCACGTGTTTTGTCAAGTCACGTCCATCTCATATTAATGCACGTTTTCATTCACTCACCACTTCGTCCTCCATCGCTTGTCACCACTCACCATCAACACGATCTCCCGTATCATTAGCAGTTGAAGCATTAGACGGTCGTATTGATACTAATGTCATAGTTATTCAAGCACACTTTCAAGCATGCCCTGCCATGGCCATCTTCGCAGTCCCCCTCAAATCCTCACAGCCTCCAGGTTTCCCCCAGGTTTCGACCTCGAGATCAAGAAGTAATAAACGCAAGCGATCCAACCAGCTTCCTGAAGACGAGGAGAGAGAAGAAGACACTCCAACCCATCAGCTGGCAGATCCGCCAAAACATATCCATAGCCTCGAATACACTTCTGTGCTTTCTCCTCTTGAGAACATCCAACGCCGAGTGGCTGGCCACCCTTTGGTTCAACCCCTTCCACCCCTCCCATTTCCACATGCTGCTCCCAAACAAACCAAGCCGGACCGTGCTGTTCTAACCGTGAAGCCTGCCCATACTCCCAGATCTCTACATCTCCAACATCTGGCTGCTTTGAGTGCCATCATCCACCGAAGTATGCTCTCACAAGATTATCGCAGGGCTGCAAGAGCCATGGGCTTAATGCTACACGATGATAAGGTAGCGGGACTCGCTTCCATAAGGAACAAAGGCTTCATGGGCATTGCTGCCGAGATACTGCTGAGGCAAGACCAGGGGAAAGAGGCCCAGAGACATTCTTCAGCAATCCACATCTCGACTGTGGGGTTAGAAAATACGAAACGTCTGTACGAAACCCTGATTATTCGACATCCTTATCATAAATCTTGGCCCGAATCTGTCAATGCCATCGATTTCTATCTCGCCCTGTTCAACATCTGGATCTATGCTATGGCCATCTCTGATGAAAACTCCGACTCGGCCCTAGCCTCACCTTGCCCTGATCAGCTAGATCCCCAATCCATTGCAAAGCTGAGGGAGCTTGATCAAGCTAATCAGATTGTAAATAGAATGGATGAGTGCATGGCAAGTATTCCTTACATGGATGAACCAGAGTTGATTAGGCTGAGAGCCATGGTGGGTCTATGGCTTGCAGACCTCTATGAAACATGCCATGCCTTTGCTGTGCCCCTAGAACAGGTGAGCGATTCGGATGACTATAGTCAAGACCGCCCCGAACAACAACAGGATACAGGTCCAGATTACATCCGCCTGGCACAAGAATCACGTGCCCGCGCTCAGGTGCTCCTCTCAAAATTAGCTGGTCGGCCGACCAGCTCCTAGTCACGTGATGGTCCACAGGCCTCCACTGGTGGCGGTCCCCCCCCACGGGTTCGGGATTTTGCTTACAACAATTCATTCTCTTCAAGATTTGCTGGTTGCAGATGATCAACTGCTTAGTGTTTCTGGTGGGACACTTCGCATGCTTGGTTTGTGGGCACGTGTGTCAGGACCCTCGCATTGTTCGAGCTGTCTAACTTAGCCTCGAATTGGAGCTCCGTTGGCGACAATCGCTGGCCAAGCCTTATGGCGCACGCTCCCAATTCGCTGCTCTGATTCGTCGTTTGACTATCCTTCGACTTCATGGCTTCTCCCATGATCTCGACTTCACGAAATGATCCCGCCGACTTTAGAAGCCGCACATGCGATAATTACTGTTTCAACGAATAGCCGCCTCTTTAGAACACTCATTGCCACTCAATTCATCATATGGCTGAAGCATTGCCAATGATTCGTCGAGAATGCTTCCTACTACAGCCCTACCGTTCCCAGGGGCTGTCAAAGTTAACAGAGTCTGATAATCGTATTTGCGATTCATAAACAACAGGTCTTGTGGTCGCTGCTCGTCCAAAGCAATTTCTTCGCCTTTCTCTCTCTTCTGTCTTTGCTTCTTGTGCTCGTTGCTCGTACACGAAAGGCAGAGCATTATGGATTCACTCAGGCTTGTTGAATGGCGGCGCTTCCGCGATTTTCAGCTTGACATTGCCTTGATAGGCATGGGTGCTTTTGTCCTCGTGACTGTCCTATCCTGTTTTCTCTACAGTCTTGGGAAACGGCTCAGCCTCGGGAAGCTCAGCCTACACCCCTACCTTCGATTTGCCTATGTCAGTTTCTTTAAACCACATGATGCAAAGAAGGATGCTGGACAACAATCAGCCCTGGAAAGCTTCTATTCCGCACAAGTAGGTCGGCAGATTTCACTATTTCTCCAACTTATTTTTCTTTAGGCTGGTGTTTATGATGCAACCAGAAAACGTCTTCTTCAAGGAAGAGAGGATATGCTAGCCATTCTGGTCGCCAAGTTGCAAAGCAAAGCTCCATCTGGGGAGAACCACAAGCCTGTCTGGTACGATGTTGGAGGTGGGACTGGCTATAACATTGAAATCATGGATAAAATCGTGGGCATTGAGAGCTTCTTCGAACATGTCTTCCTCATTGATTTGTCCCCTTCTCTCTGTGAAGTTGCCAATGAGCGGATCCGTCAACATGGTTGGAAGAATGTCACAGTGCTCTGCCAGGATGCTCGCTCCATCGCTTGTAACGCGGCATCGGCAGATCTCATCACAATGAGCTACAGCCTATCTATGATCCCAGACTTTTATAGTGTGGTTGATATGCTGACTGGATTTCTGGCTCATGGCGGCCTGATTGGTATCTGCGACTTTTACGTTCAAAGCATTGTGGATGTATCTTCCAGGAATTACATCGGAGGAACTTTCAATCGTCATGTCAACTGGGTTGGCCGCATGTTTTGGCGCACCTGGTTTGATGCAGATCGAGTCAATCTCGATGGCGGGAGACGAGACTATCTTGAATATCGCTTCGGTACGGTCTTGTCGATAAGTGAGCGGAATTATCTTCTAGGAGGGTAAGTCTTTTTTTGCACTGTTTTTTTCCGTGTCAAATATCTTCATGCCTTTTGAAGGAATATTGCATTATTTTCTTTGTGGCATTCATTCCTGACATTCCTTGTCCGAGTACCAGTATTCCGTACTATATCTTCATCGGATGCAGGCGAGATGCCGACACCATTACCGGGGAGGGTCAAAATGCGATAGAGAAGATCGACGCGGCACTGACGGAATCACCTTACCTGTCGCCCATGAAATATCGAGAACAGCAGACATTGGATGTACAGCAAGACATTCCCCGATCGAAATTGTACGAATCCGCGATCATCAACCTAAGTTCCAATCTTCCACTGCCGGCAGCATTTTACCAACAACACAACTGGAGGATCCACTACAATGATCTACTTCAGAAGCATCAACAATTTGGCAGTGAATACATCTATGCCTTCAACTGGGAGGATCCGGCAGTGGATCGACAGCTGCTGAAGATCACAAAGGACGATGTCATCCTCACGATTACCAGTGCCGGTGACAATATCCTTGATTACCTGCTCGAGCAACCAAGACGAATACATGCCGTTGACCTCAACCCGAACCAAAATCATCTTCTTGAGCTCAAAGTCGCTGCTTTCACAGCCCTCTCTCACTCGGATACTTGGCAGCTCTTTGGCGAAGGCAGACATCCGGATTTCCGCAACCTACTTCTTCAAAAGCTTAGTCCTCACATGTCTAGCCAAGCCTTCCAATACTGGTTAAACAAAACGAACGTTTTCACTTCGACGGGCGGGTTGTACGAGAGTGGCGGCTCCAGGCATGCGATCAAGCTTGTACGCTGGCTTGTCAAGCTGTTCGGCATGACCGCTAAAGTGCAAACGCTGTGCAAGGTGGAGACGCTGAACGAACAACGTGAGATCTGGCCGACGATTCGAAACCTATTGTTGAGCAGGCCTCTTCATCGTGCCGTGGTGTCCACTGAATGGTGGGCCTGGAAGGCTGCTGGTGTCCCTCCAGCCCAGCATGCTTTGATCGTGAATGACTTTGCCGAGAGGTCAAAGTCATCGAACGGTAAAATACCTTCTAGTGAGGCTATCTGGCAGTATGTCGTCGACACTCTCGATCCTGTGGTTGAGACAACGCAAATCAGCAGAGACAACTACTTCTACTACGTCTGCTTACAGGGGAAGTACTCGAGAAAGTAAGTCGAGCCAACCCCTTCCAACCTACTCCTGCCCGCCCAGTCTTTATCACCCTTTCTGCTGGCCAAGGTGATTTCGCACTTGACTGACCGGTCGAAATAACCAGATGCCACCCTCGATATCTCGGAGCCAAAGCACACGCAAAGCTATCTAAACCAGGCACATTTGATGGCCTCCGCATTCATACCGATGAGCTCATGGAAGTCATTTCTCGAATCAGCCCTTCTACATTAACAATCGCAATTGTAAGGCGTCTCGAACCTCCATATGCAAGCCCCTTCATAATCCCTTTGTCTCTACCATAATTCTTTCATCGTCCATCACTGACCATCCCTTCTCCTCTCAATTTAGCTCATGGACTCCATGGACTGGTTCAACCCTTCGGAAACAGCGGCACAGAAACAAATCCTCGCACTGAACAAGGTCCTCAAAATCGGTGGGCGAGTCTTCTTCCGCTCTGCTGCCCTCAGACCCTGGTACACGGATATCTTCGAGCGCAACGGTTTCGAGGCCAAATGTGTTGGTCGTAGAGATCCAGGGAAATGTATTGATCGGTAAGTTCTCTGTTCGTCTTCTTGAAGATTAGGCCAGGCTCGCTACGTTGAAATACCTGAGGCCGTTTAATTTGGATTTGACTGATTTCTCCGGATGCACGTGCATCAACAGTGTCAATATGTACGCTTCAACGTGGATCTGCACAAAACGCGCCGCCGTCTCCGCCAGCGGTGCTGGTAGTCCCGTTGTGCCGTCATCGTCGTCCTCTTCTAGGAAGAACACCACCGCCTCGCTCGACGACTTGACACTCACGCCAGCTGCCATGTCTTATTGAGCACACCTCCCGAGGAAGCCTTCCCCCCCGATCTTATCGAGTTTGGCACTGCCACTTCGAACCCGAACACTCGCGACACGCGAGACACGGTCTGACAGTGATGAATGCATATAGAGTGATTTGCGATACTACAAGGCATAGACGGAGAATCTGGACAGCAGGGCTGACCACTGCGGGGAAAGACGATGTGGGTGATTCTGCTGGAAAGCGTGATACCTCGGCCTCGTGCCTGATGGGTGGCGGTGGATCGGTATTTTCTATCTCCCTTGGTTACGCATGTTGCATGATTCCCATGAGTATTTCCCCAAACTACGTTTAAGAGCATACATGGATTTAGATGGTGAAGATGATCAAGCATCACGGCCGAGAAGCAGCAGGCCAGTCCAGTGGGGGTGGGATGGACGTCAGCTAATATAGATCAACGCTTGCATGGCGGCGTCCTGTCTCATGGAGCAAAGACCCGCTATAGCTACCCCTACCCTCAGTCCTTACCGAGTTACCTGACTACATACAGTCTTGTAAATGTAGTAGGTACAGACCGGAAGCGACACGAGACAAATAATCTTTCGAAAGCCACGCCATTCTAGTTGACAAGCACATGGGCATTTGCATCTCTAAGCAGAGTGGAGTGGATAGCAATAAGAGATAGATCGAGCTATAGGAGTAATCGTATTACAGTAATGAGTAGTACAACAGAAGATTGGAAGCCTGCATGCCTTCCCTTGTCAAAACAAAATAGTCAGATGCCAGTTCACTCAGTCTGCCTTGCCTTGCCTTGCCTTGCCTCGCCCACGATGCAGGGACGAAGTATCGAAATCTGTTTGGTGTTGGCCTGACCCATTTACTGTCACTGTCACCTCAAAAGGTCTTTGTTTTCCAAAGCCCTCAGAGCTGAGGGGGTCCAGGCTTCTCACGCACCACCCTCACGCTTGGCATACTCATCCTCCATGCGCTCTTCATATTCGTGGTCCCTCTTCGCCTGCTCCGTGGCCTGGTCTCGATCGTCGCGGCCGTCATCCTCCTCGGTACCCGTGACATCCTCGATTCTTCTCACATTCTCGCCCTCAACCCGCCCCGAAGAGGAATGCGGATAGTGCCGCGTCTCGTCGAGGGTTGGCCTGCCTGTCTCCTCATGCGTGCGCCGCACCGTCGTGCCATCGCGCGAGTTCGAGTGTGCCTGTTCCGTGTACCGCGTCGTGCTGCCCTGTGGATTCGTGGGCGAGGAGCTGCTATATGATGACGAGGTGAAGGAAGAGGACGACATGTAGCTGTATGAGTTGTTGGCGGACATGTTGGGCGTGGAAGTGTAGGGTTGGTGTTGATGATGTGGCGGGATTGAGACTTGCAAGTTTCGTCTTATGCCTGGAGTCGTTGGATGGATATGTACGTTTCGAGATGGCAATATCTGGTCGGTGAGAAGCGTTGGAGTAGTAGCAGAGAGGATCGGGTAGTTTGGTCAGTGTCCAAGATGAACAGCCTCAAGAGTAAAGTGAAATAACAAGTCTAAATCGGATGGAAGTCTTGCAGGAGATATTTATTTAGTTCACTGTGCCCCCAATCGCTCTTCACGTCACATCACATGAGTGGCGTCCTGCCTGGTCTAGGAGGTACCACCATTTTAACACACCATGTCACGGGTCCATGGCCATTAGAAAGGCATGGAAGGAGATCAGTCGACATTCATTTGGTTTGTTGGGTGGAAAATGCGGGGGAGGGGGGAAAGGCAATGCGGATATGTATTCCTAGATGATGTCATTTCGCTTGCCTCACAAGTACGGGATGGCCCATCGTCCCTGGAAACATACTAACATAGGTAGGTATGTGGGTATGTGGTTATTTTTACATGGGCGCAGGCCGGGGGTGTGAGGTGAGGACTTCCTCCCAGTATTCTTGGACAAAGGAGAAGTCGAGGGGAAACCGGGGAGTATCGAGGTATATCCGGTTTCAACTCGTTGCCCAGTGACAGACATTCATCTCCCTCGGATGCCCCGGGGTTGATGCACGAGCACAGTATCACGTACCCTTCTCACGGTGGAGGAAGAGCTTACGCACAACTTCATCCAGGAGATCTTTCCTCCTCAGATCTCGGCGCCACTGCTCCGGGATGGCGTCAAAGCCGTAGTATGCACCTGCTATGCCGCCGTATATGGCGCCCACCGTATCTGCATCGTCGCCCAAATTCACGGCGAGGACGGCTCCCTCCTCAAACGTATCGGTGCTGAAGAACGACCACAGAGCCGCTTCTATGCTATCCACCACATACCCTGAGCTACTAATCTCGTCAGAAGGTCTGGCCTGCCAATCCCCTCGTACGCGATAGTCCTGCAGTCGCTCCTTCAGAGCAGAGTCCAGCGGAGTGTCGGAGACAGACTTGGCTAGACTTGTGGCAAGCTCGTCCTTGCATATACCATTCAACGTCTGGTAGGCCAGGCCGGTGTAGAGGCTGCAGGCATGCACGCAACGTAAATGAGGGTGCGTTGGAAGAGAACTAGTTGCAGCCAGATCCACGGCCTCGGCCTCACTCCGGGCAACGAGCGCGACAGGCAGAACGCGCATCAGGCTGCCGTTGCCACAGAAGCTGTCGTCGGAGAAGGATTCCGTGATTCGTTGCTGTATGGATGCTAGAGCATCCTTGGGTGCCCGCGAACCTGGCCCTGTTCGGCGGAGCTGGCTGACCCAGAGTTCGAGGGCGCTCTGTGTGAGAATTCCCATGTCAAAGCAGGTGCCTGTGGATGACTGATAGCCTCGCTGCCACCATGAAATGTAGTTTTCCACTTGATCAATGACGTTGGACCGGCCGTCGTTATCGAGCAGGGCGTGTGCGAGGCACAGCGCCATGGAAGTGTCATCGGTGAAACATCCTGCTGGAATTTTGAAGTTGTCGTTCGGCTGCATAGTGGTGACTTTGTCGAATGAGCCACGAGCTTTGAATTCCACTGGCCCGCCGAGTGCATCACATGTTGCAAGGCCGTAGATTGCGCCTTTGATGCGTGACGGTAGTGATACAGTGTCGGACATCTTTCGGTGAAGGGTGATAATTGAGGATGGAATCTGCAAGGCTGTCGATCAAGCTGCGAGGAAATATCACTCCTCGCCTTTTCCTTCCAAGCCCTATCTCGACGATAGAACGTATTTGACACGGCTTACAGCCACATGGGGGGCCAAGGCCCTTCCATTGGCGTGACTCATACGGTACGCGGTCTGCCTAACCACCAGGATTTGATTGCCTGGAGGTGAAGATGAGCCAGGCACCACCGAAGCATTATTTACAACTTCCAATCTTTTACAATAATCCCCCGAACCTGAGAATGTATGAACGCGCTGTCCTGTTTCACGCGGAGTCTCGGACCAGCATATTGTTTGATCTCCCTGCTTTCATTGGACGCTTGGCAGGACGCCAAGGAATCACATGCTCTATCGATAAGCCGATAAGTCGCCGATAAGATTGCCCCGCTCGTCAGATGCACTTCGGCAGCCACACAAACTCTGGACCCCGCCTGACCTGAAGATGAAAGGCAGGGGAGATGGAAGAGGGGGGGATCACCCGCAGTCGTACAGATTGTGTTACACGGAAAAGAGCCTTTATTAATGATTGCCTCTTCTCAACGGTGTTTTCTCATTTGAAAGTTACTAGTACGTGTGTGCTTGACTGCTCTACCAGCAATTGATCACCACCAGGAATTGAATGCTCAAGGAGTGTGTTGGTGGACTCAGCAAAAGACCCCGCTTCGTGTCTGTGTGTATTTCATGCCAATCTTGTTTGCTGTTAAGACAGGTTGCTTCGTTGCAAGTAGAGTAAGGTACAGGGAACTTTCAAAAGGCAGTCAAGGTGCGTTTATTTCTATTGTCAGCGTCAGCGAGGGATTCGAGCAAGGCTCAACGACGCGCTCATACGCAGTTGCATTGTCCCGAGGGGCATGAGCCTGGAAATCTGGTTAGCAACGCTGAGAGGGCATCGACAGAGATAGAAAGTGCTTACAAGAGCTGCCACAGCTGCAGGAGCAGGGACCTGAAGGCTCAAGAGTCAGTCGGTCGGTCCATTCCAGTCTCGTTCCAAGCACCTGGCCGGGCTTCGCCAAAGGGGCATAGCGACTTACCCATTGTGTATAGCGGTAGGGCTAAGCGAGTTGCGTGTGGCTGGTTGAGGAGGGAAAGTGTGTATATGCTTGTAGCTGAAGTGGCTGGTTTCGAAGTGGAAGAAGAGATTGCTTGTTGCTGGATTGAGGAAAGGAAGAAAGGAAAAGAGAAGAAAGTGGATTGAAAAGGTGAGCAGGTTTTCCCGTTTTAATCTTGACGGACGACCAACTGGCAGGAGCAACCCGACCAACGCGACCGACGCCAAAGTCGCACTAAACTGTGTTTGCTCCTGCCCATCGGCCCATCCTCCATCTCACCCACCTATCCACGTCCGCGTCCATCCCTTCACTCGCCCTTCAACCTCGCCCTGCACGGCTCTCGCCATTCACATTTCACCGAAACACGCTCCATCGCCTGCTAGCATCTCGCGCCTGATTTCCGTTTGGTAATGTTCGAGGTGTTTGCGCTTGCTTTTGGCAGCTATCACGGATCCTGCGTGGCATGGCCCGCCTCTGCTTCATCCGTTACGGCTTTGCATTACTTCCCAGGCCCGGAGTACGGCGGCTGTAATACTGCACCTCATCCGCCCGTCACTCTTGAGCACGTTGTTCTGTTTGTTCGAGCCATTCGGACACATTTTGGGGCCACTGGGCTAGACTGTCTCCGAACCCTTACCTATTGAGACCAGATGTGCGGGTCTTCTCGGTGCCCAATAGACTCGTTTCGAAACGCGGTGTTTGCTTCTCATGCCATGGAACAACGGCTAATTTGACTCAGCAGTAAGGTCGGTTCACAATGACCACTATCGTTCATGTCACCTGTCTCTGTGGCAAGAATGTCCAAGTCTTGGAACTAGAATGCAGCCTACCCGTCGATAAGTCAGTCTGTTCTTGCAATGCATGTCGATACTCCACCGGTGTGTTGTACTTTTCAAGTTTACCACTTCATGGTCCGCCAAAACTCACTCAAGACCTCAAGGAGTACAGATCCTCCGAAAGATTGAGCAGATATTTCTGCTCTTCATGCGGATCGCAGATGTTCGTCCACGTGAAGGCACATGACGCCTGGGATGTCTGTTCTGGAGTGGTCGACCGGGTAGTGGGTCTTGAGCAAGTTTCCTACCTTAGCCTGGAAAATGTGACTGCCCATGAATTTGTGGGCGATACCAAAGACGGAGGACTTGCTATCTGCCTAGCTGATGCCGACGACCGCCCAGTCCCGTTCTTCTTACAGGGACCAGACGGACCTAGGTTCGAAGAAGTGCTAGGCGACCCTGTCACACCGACCCAGTGGGGCGAGCCTGCCGAGATGGTACTGTTGCAAGCTCCTGAAGCAGCGAACCAGGTGGCGGAACTTGAAGGGAAATGTCACTGTGGAGGCGTTTCTTTCCGGTTAACTCGTCCAAACCCTACCTCGAGGTTGTGTTCCTCGCCTTGGCCCGATCTTCTCGTCCCGTACCATTCAGCTAGTTCGGCAAACCCCGAAGATATCAAGTGGTGGCTTTGCGGGAATGATACTAAATATCTGGCTGGGACTTGCGCATGCAGATCTTGCAGACTTGGTTCAGGGTCTCCTATTCAGGCGTGGGGTTTTGTGCCAAAAGCCAACATTCTCCAGTCCAACGGTCAACCCTTAAATTTTGAGACCGGGACTCTGAAGCAAGTGGAAAGTTCTGCTGGTTGTTTCCGCGAGTTTTGTGATACTTGTGGGGCCACGGTCTTTTGGCATTGCCGTGAAAGACCCGAGTTGATCGATGTGAGCGTTGGGTTGCTGAGGGCGATAGAAGGCTCGAGGGCGGAGAGCTGGCTAGACTGGTGGACTGAAAGAGTGAGTTTTAGTGAAGAAGCATTTGACAAGAAACTCATTGAACGCCTTGAGTTGGGTTTGAAGCGGCTCAGGCAAGCTAGATGAGAACGACGCTTGAGGGAGTGAAACCAGCCTGATCTGCGTCCATGGTGAAAACGAGCAGACACAGCCGAGGGACTGAGACGATCTCTGATGTTACAGTTTTGAATATGATAGCGCCAACACAGGCTTTGACAAGGTATGAGGTTGATATCAGCCCATATGAACGAAGCACCTACCTGCGATGATCGCCATGAAGAGCCCAACCTAGACCACGGAGATCACTGGGTGGCAATGCTATCTGAGTCTTGTATAGACACAGCGAACTGTATATTCCCGTTGAGGTCGCAATCCTCAGGTAGACTAGGAGTGAAGAAACGATGGTGACGAGGAGGTGAAGTGAAGTGATGGTTGTAAAGCTGAATGGTCCATGTCCTCAAAATTCAATTTCGCGGTATGTCCAAATGAGGTTAGCCGTGATTGATATGTAATTAATTACACACTCTTTTTTTTTTCTACCAGTGCAGTCAAAGTGTATCGCAGTCATCGCCATCCATAGTCCACACTGACTGAATTCCTTCTTCATGTACAACTATCTCATCCAGTGGTCCTGTATTTTGTGGTCGCACTCTTTATCTACCCGTCCTCAATGCGATGGACTCGTACCGTCCTGAGAACTCCCTCAGGCGGCGCGCAGCCCCAAATGGTGACACTTACCGACCTCGCCGTTATGATGACCATGACGGCGATGATGCCTGGCCACCGCGCAATACCAATGATGCCGTGTTCTACTTTACAGCTGGTCGAGATCGGGATCGAGATCGAGACCGCAATCTCAATCGCAATCGTGACCGCAGCCGCAGCCCTCGCAATGAACTTGCTAACCGAATTCAACGAAGCTACCACCCACGGCGTGACCAGACACAGGAACGCCCTCCCAGACATCGCCCTCACTTTTCCTTCAAAGTCTCTGAGCGACCTCTCTTGCGTCTGCAACATGACGCTGTGGAAGACCCGTCGCTCCTTCAAAACTCTGCCGGCGTTAAGTTCCGAGCAATCGATGAACTCACCGATAGTGATGAGGAAGAGATGGCACAATCTGAAGATGAAGACCAAGGTCGTGCCAAGCGCATTCGGACTGAGCATGAAGATGATCAAGATGCTCCTGCTCCGAAATGGTCCAACCCTGACCCTTATACGTCGCTTCCTCCCGTGCAATCCGGCGAAGTTGCTAAGCGCAAAGATGTTCTGCGAATGATCCGAAAAGCCCGGCTCGATGCCGATAGGACTACGAAACTGACTGCACAACAAGACGACTACATCTCGTTCGACGTCAACGACGACAAATCCGAGGCATCACTCGACCTGGGAATCATTCAATCTCTTCCGCATTCCGACCCCGACACTCCAATCCGCCGCGCGCCCAATGGAAACAGCAATGCGTTAGGAAAGAGAAAGAGAAGCGATGCAACAGGAGACATAGCTCACCAGAAGCCTATGCAACCTTCCCGCTATTCAGACAGATGGGTGCTCTCAAAATGGTTTGCGGCGGATGATAGGGATGCCGCCCCTTGGTTCACCATGCATACTCCATCAGTCTTCCCTGGCGTGATGTAAGCATTCACCTTCTCGAAGCAGTCGCTTTTACTAATGCTCTTTATAGGCTACACAATGAGATCGTCAAGTTCTATGAATGGATCCGACCTCGTGACTTCGAGGAAAGAGTGCGCTCTGGGGTTTTCCAACGCCTTTCGTACGACTTCCAAAATTGTATGGCGGGAGAATTGAGGGCTTTTGGGTCCTATGCCTCTCGGCTGTACTTGCCAACTGGCGACATGGATCTGGTTTTCCTCACCAAGAGGTACCGACCAGGCACAATCCCAGACAAATCAGAAGTCAAGTCCCCACTTAATATGTTCGAACGATTTCTGAGAAACCGAAGGATCGGAGAGTCCATTGTTGTCATAAGACATGCAAAGGTGCCTATCATCAAGTTTGTTGATCGTGTCAGTGGTCTCAAAGTCGACCTTTGTTTCGATAATGACTCTGGATTCATGGCTATTGACACATTCAAAAGGTGGAAATCGGAATACCCTCTCTTGCCGCAACTTGTTTCAATTGTCAAACAATTCTTAATGATACGAGGTCTGAACGATGTGGCCACCGGTGGTTTGGGTGGTTTCTCTACGATATGCTTGGTCACGAGTTTCATGCAGCTATATCCCCGTCTTAATGCAATGAGCGGCCAAGCTCCGAACTTGGGAGAATTGCTTCTCGAGTTCTTCAATTTCTACGGAAATGTTTTCGATAGAGATGCAGTCGCAATTCGATTGGACCCACCTGGATATGTTGACAAGGTTAGCCTCCCATTCCTTATACATACCTTCGAACCACACTCACCATCTAAATAGGCCGCAGTGCGTCATACCTTTGGTGACAAAAGAGGCCGCTTGACAATAATTGATCCCAATCGACCAGAGAATAATATTTCTGGCGGTACCTCCCAGATACAGAAAATTTTCCATGCCTTCTCTTTAGCTCACCAAGGTCTCCTTGAGCGCCTTGACGATGTCCAAAATGCTGACCCGGACGATGGGCCTAAGAGTTTCTTGGAATACATTGTCGGTGGAGATTTCAGATCTTATGATACGCAGAGACAAACGCTATATGATTTGTATGACGCCAATCTGTACGTCCAGCAAGCCATTTCTCAAATCCCCCCTCCACCCCCTTCCGCCGGGCTACCATCCAAACCGCCGCCTCCTCAACCACCACCGCCCCCGCCACCACCCCCAACTTCAGAAGCTACTGCTGCTCCGCAGTCCGTCACTGGCGTCAATGGGAACGCGTCCAATGGAAAGGTAAGCTTTTAACGAAGAAGCGCCCGTCATGTCCTACTTTTTCAATTCACGTGGTAACAATGCTCAGCCTACAAAAGACGCGGGAAACGGACCAAAACCAAAACCAAAAAACCACAAAGCTCGACGAAGAGCCGAACGTCTGAAAACACTACGTCCTGATCTCGAACCATCAATTGGTGACGCGATTTCCCAACTGGAAGCTATGAAACTGGGTGGCTATCGGACTGTGGAGAGCATGACTAATGACCTCGCTGCTAGGGAAGCTGCTACCGCCGAAAAGCTCAAAGCAAAAAAGAATAAGTGATCAATGGTAACAGCTGGGAAATGCAGCAGATGTTTTCGTACGACTGTTTCGACAGTTACATGTTCGTAGCGCGATCTTGCACTCGAGCTAATATCTTTATCAGACCCCTCGCTTGGAGCATACCGAACAGAACATGACAGGTGTTATGTGCATGTTAACTATCTGAGTGTTCAGCGTGCACATGGCTCAACCTGATTAACAATTCAAATTATTCATTCGACGATCAATCCATATTTGGAACCTTGTGAAGCCGAGCCTACTTGGTCAAGCTGTCTATACAGCTCGAGTTGCTGACAGATTCACAGATATCCAAACGCTAATGCATCGTACTTGATGTCGAGAGAGACGCGATTCTTCTATCAACCCTCTAATACTTGTATGCCCCCCGTCACACTCCTCCTCATCGACATCTGCCCTTCACCATGTATTGATGCGTTCTACATAGGTGAGTATTAATTTCTCGTGATGGCTCCACTCTATCTTGGTCTTATTCGTGCATGTACCTGTCTTGGATGGTAACATGCAATACTTTCGCCATGGGCGATTGAACCTGTCACTTCTCACTTGATGGTTAGTTCCATTCCTGCTCTACCTGTCTATCATGGGCTGGGAATAAAAGGAACAATCACCACACGAAAGACAAGTCGAAGACAAATCACCGTACGTACCTGACTGCTGGCCTGCCTGCTGGTCTTTGACTCGCACCATTTTTCTCATCACTATCATGCTTTACGCATGGTGGTGGAGAGGCAAGAAACTACATACTATTTACCGGGGGACCTGCTCAGTGGGCTCAATTGGCCGAGCGAGGTATCATGATTCACCCGCCTTGCTGAGTTTAGGTCTTAATCCACGGCCGCAACGAATACAGCAAAACATTCGTACGACTCAGGGAAGTATTTTAAGGGACAATAAAGCCGCAGCTGTCCTAGCGTCGTCCCGCTTTAATTCTTGCCTCTTGGTTTTTACATATAGTATTCGCGCAGATGTAGACATACAGTTCCTCAGGATTTATATCAATCACGCCACACCTCCTCGAAGCCGTTCGAGATGACAGCGACTTCGCCGTTGCGTGGGCAGAGGATTTTTCCGTCGTTGGTCAAGGCAGCGAGTTCCAACCAGTCCAAATTGACCCAGTCGCGCGGCAGGAAAAAGTGCTTGTCAATCCGGCCCGCCTGGTTGCCTGTGAACGCAGCTGTGCAAACCCAAAAGTCGCGGTTGATGAACGCCAGAATGTGTTCTTCTCCGAGCAGTAGGGTCGATGACGAATGTGATGATGATAGCGGCGTTGGCCGCCGTAACGGTGATGGCGACGTCGATCGTGGCGACGTGGGTAGTCGCAGGCTCGATTGGTCTGATAGTCGGCGGTGATGATGGTGAGATGGGGCCGATAGCCTTCGCTGCCCAACGTCAACGGGGAGGAAGCCAAGCGAGACTTCTAGCAGGGGCTGCACTTCTGCCGGGATCGCGAATGTGGCAATTCTATCGGTCTCGAGGTCCAGGACTGAACTCATGTCAATCATCATGTGCTTCTTGCGGCGTTTTCCCTGCGTGGTGGACTCGGAGATTTCGATCAAAGCCATGCGTCCGTCCAGGGACAATAGTACTTTCGTCACGAGCTTCGTGATCTCCGCGGGGCTCATTGGGTAGGACTCAGATGGCCTTCTTTTAGCCATCTCTGGGCGTAGTTCGAAGAATGATTCTTCCGTCTCACTGTTTGTGGCCAGATTTCTCAACACAACCTGCTCGCAATCGTCCCAGCGGCACACCTTGACATTATCGCAAGAAAATCCAAGCAGGAAGTTATTGTTGAGCGGATGATTGATCCACTTGCGAGATTCGGAGTCGGAAAATGTCTGTGTAGTCCCTTCGCCGCCCTCTGGTTGGTAGATGGCATGCGTTGGATTTGTGGAGACAAGAAGTTTGTTGCTGGCAGCGTTGAAGAGAACTTGTCGAACGATGTTGGGCTGGGCGGCCACAAGCAGAGTGGCTGTTGTGAAACCATCAGGTTGAGGGACAAGTTGTTCTACCAGCACACTGCGGCTGAGATCTACGGAAGCCACCATGGATCCGTCAGGGCTCCAGCAGATTTGCTCAATGGTCATGAATCTCTCAGAGAGGTCTGCAAGATGGTTTCCTTCGGAGGTGAAGACGGAAATACGGCCTTCGTCGGTACCCACTGCGTACAGGTCATTATTGGGGCACATTGCGAGGGCGGTCACAGGCTCCAGGGCATCAACCAGGGCCTCAGACGGTACGTTCGTCTGTAAGGAGGATTCATACGTGCTCGTGGTCTCGCTGGCCTTGTCGTCGGAATTTAGTAAGCGCATAATGGCGCTAGGCTCCCAAACATTGCAGAATCTGTCTCGGATGTCGTATATTCGTATGTCGTTGCGATCAATCGCAAAGTCTTGTATAGAGGCGGCATATGACAATTTGTAGATTGGAGTGAAATGTTCGAAATCCCAAACACGAAGCACTCCATTCCTGCTACTGGTGACAAAGTACCTCCCATCGGCACTGCATTCAATGTTCGTGGCTCGAGTAATGGAGCTTGCATAGTCTTGATCGAAGGGATGCCATTTGAAAATATATCCCTCATTTGAGATACCCAGCACATGACCCGTCATGGGATTCCAGCAAAGCGCATGCGCACCAAGGACTTTGCTACGGGTCACGTGTTTTGCACTAAGCTGCTCACGCTGTCCTTCGCAACGTCCGATAAGCCAGGGACGAGGTTCATCGAGGGACCAAGCCATGAGAGCATGGCCACGGAATGCGATTGCGACCACTGTACAATCCGCATTGAACGAGACTTTCTGCGGAGATGTGTACTGTGATTTTTCGGTTAGTTCGCCGCCGAAGACATCCTGCACGATCTCCCAGCCGTATTGCCATTCCGATACGTCGCAAAATCTCACCACCCGGTCGTCCGAGCACGTCAGAATGGTCTCACCGTTTTGAGTAAAGGCGATAGTGAGCGCTTTGGCCCTTGGAGGGTTGGTGATTGAGAACAAGTGTCGGGCTGTCCGAGTGTCCCACACTTTAGTCCTCAGCATTCCGTAAGTTGCGAGTCTGTCGCCTGAAGTGCTGAAGGACATTGTAAGTACTCTTTCGCCGTGGCTGAACACTCTTGCTTCTTCCGAGGTCGATGTATGGTAAAGTTTGACAATTCCATCACTGGTCAAGATCGAAAAATATCGATCTAGGGTGTAGATTTTCAGCGGCATGCTGGTTCCTGGAACTGTAAATTTCGCAAGACAATCATCCCATTCCGAATTCGTAAGTCCTGCGATTTGCGGCGCCTTGGAGAGCTTCCTTTGTGAGAATTGCCTGTACATGATAGACTGTACAGGGCAGAAGGCGGGAATGAGACTGAAAATGGTTCTGGGGTGGTGTATTAGCTGACTTCCGAACTTTCCCACGATGCGGACTAGGTCGTTTGCCCAGTCTGCAAGGATACTTTTCTCTTTCAAGCGATGGGTTAGAGGACTTCTAGCAGCATCCAATTTCTCTGAATCTTTTAGGAAGTCCATCATAATCTTAGACGCCTGGATTAGTACTCGCAACAGGCTTGCTTGGGATAGCAAGTATATCCATTGCAGCACACACCGACTTTGAAAAAACCTCGAAAGCAGAAGGACCGACTCCTGATCAGCCCATGCATCGCTAGCCATGAGGTGATACGGCCAGGAAGTTGCTGCGTACAGCCAGAAACTCCTTGTCTCCGAGCTCACTTTTGCAGCCCCAATAGCTTGAAATTCGGAATGGTCTAAACTGTGGAAGTCGTGGGTGAGTCTTGAAGAGTCTGTTCGATTACGAGTGCTGACAGCAGACAAAGCACTGATACACTTTGCGAAGAGTGCGTGGTGTGTCTCTGGCGGGCTGACATGGAAATGTAGATCAGGCTTGGTCATAAGGAAATCTCGGGCAGATGAATGAATCATTGAAACGTGTGACCGTTTATCAACCACGACAAATTCGCCACAAACTGTGCGTATTGTATGCTCCAGGTTTAAGACCCCCGGATGGTCTGTTCGCAATGCATCCTCCAGCTCGTCCAAAGTCAAAGGATAACGAGAGCATGTTGCCCAACGAAGAATTGCTTGACTAAGAGCTCGATCGGAGGGCTTCATTGATTTGGCAAGAGCTTCATCCATGCGTTCATAGAGTGGTTCAAGATCCTCCGGGACGTGATTCATCGCATCCTCCACATCGTCTTTTGTGTGACATTGCAGAATCTCATTCACGACGAGATGAGCCCATAAAAAGTTGCCGTCAGCTTTGGTAAGGATGCGTTCACTGATATCCTGTTTGAAAGCCGCGTCACCGTGCATTGCTTCCATCTCGTCCTCGACATACATGCGGAGGTCATCATCCGCATTGTCCACTAACATCGATTGTACACTGAGTCCCTTGCTGAGCTTGTCGAAAGCAACGGCTATATTCTGTGTTCTCCTGCTGACAAGAATAAACCGTAGTGGCAGACGGGCCTTTGGTAGTTCGCCCAGTAATTTGAGCAGAAGTAAGGCCGATTCTGTCTCATCCAGCCCGTCGACAATGATGAATAAAGGATGTCTAATGTTGGTCTTCAACAGAGTGTCGGCGAAAAGCTTCCGCCAAATCAGACGTGGAGCGATCTTTCGTACATTCAGTCCATCGTCGAAAAGACGTACCAAGCGTCTTCTGTACTCAGGGATCTCCGATGCAAGTTGCCATGCTACGGAGAGGAGAAATGAAGTTAGGTTGTTCTTGACTTGGTTTCCGAATCGGAAAAAGTAAAATGCATTCTTCATTTCCTGCTCTTGAAGGGTGTATATCAAAAATGACGAGATGACGGACTTTCCTGAACCTGGCCGGCCTGACACCCAAAGGATTTGTGGCACTGAAAGCTGATAATCTAAGAATGAGGCGAATGTTGGCGAATCTAATATCCATTTACACGATCCAGATAGTCGCTTATCAGCAAAATATTCCAGATCATCAAGAGGAATATCTGGATTGTTCAATGCTTCGCTGAGTACATCCATTTCAGCAGCTAGGTCTGGCTCCTCTTTCATAAGTTTTTGTGGGTTGACTTTAGTAACGAGGTATCTAAGTATGTCGCTGACCACCACATAGTTTGGATCTTGTTGGCTTGCGTACTTGCACACATCATGATGATCTGCATCGAGAGGTTTGCATACTTCTCCAGGGTACCCTAGACTTGATGAATCCTTCTCCAGAATTTGTACATCTATACCACCGATCCTTGTTGGTCGTGTTTCATATAAAGAAAAAAGCTCGATGTTGGAGACTAGGTTGCGGAACTGGTCATTGATCTCCAGCAAGGTCTGCGAATTAGCCCGGAGCTCTGCAATGTATTCCTGGGATGAGAAAGTCAGGATACATGCTGACAACAGGTTGTTCAACGTCTTTGCAAGGTCTGACCCTCTGTGCGGAGTGGATAAGAAGAGTACGGCTGAGACGGACTCAACGATATCAGTATAGTTGGAGTCATTGCGCCCGAGGATCAATGCCTTCTTGACGATCAGGCCGCCCATCGAATGTGCGACGAATATGACAGGCACGCTCCCAAAATTAAGGGGTGATTCACCCGTCCCTGTGGCAAATCGAAGTTGAAACAGCAGGTCTTTTGCAAAATCAGAGATATTCAGAATTGTTTTTCTTCCTGATGACGAGGAGAGGAAATGTGCGTTGTAGCCGAACGAAGATATCCTTGCCGATGCGATCGCCTTTTCATAAGGTAGCCATTCCAAAGGCCAGAATAATCTTGGGTCGTGGTCTTTTGACCATGTCTGTTGGCTGCTGCCTCCCAGTCCATGCACAAAAACAATATCCGCAGTTGGTAGTACACTCGGCTCGTGAAGTACCTTAAGTCCTAGAGGGTCAAGTCGACGATTCCTAGAGTGTTCGGTATTTTCTTCTCTCTTCCCACTAGTTGGGCCTTTCCGTAGAACCAGTCGTAGTAAGTTATTAGCTTCGTGAGGCTCACAATCGGTTTTGTTCGATTCATCGAATGATCCATGCTTTGTGCTTGACCTGGTCTCAGCACCTTGCTCCATACTATTCTCAAACTCTCTCTGAATCCGACCAGCGTTGTTCCTATCTCGGCGAAACATAACGAATCGAGTGTGGCTCAAACAAGTTCTTAAGTCCTTTGAAAAAACTCAGGATCTGAGCATCGTGTGGCGTAAGAACACCATCAGATCCCCATGACCACAATGTAGTTCCTCATGTGCAGATCTTGAGGCTGTAAGAGAGAGCCTGAGACAATGTAAACGAGTGATCATCTCCCAGTCGAAGACACAAGAGAGTGCTGGAGGTTCCGGTGCCAACTGCTAGATCGAGGTAGCAAGCTGGCTCCTCTCAGTCCTGGTTTGTATTGTTCCCCGAAAGTTATCAGCTAGGATGGACCGGGGAAGCGACAATATGACGTGGCGCAGATGCCAGTTTGACTTATATCCGGCTCTTTAGCCAGGCCGAGTGCATTAGCAGAGGCATCCGCGTTCCAACCCAGCCTTAAATCTGCATAAGTAGCTCTCGTGCTAAGGCGGGTGGTCCGGGTATTCTGCGACAATCCAAGCATGAAGATATTCTGTAGGAGCTTCCTCCGTGCCTCGTACGAGGTACTCCATCGCGGTAGCGAGCGTCTTCCCTCAAGGATCTTCGCCTATGTCAGGATCCCATTGGGCGCTGGTTTCGTGCGTGGTAACACCACTATCAGCAGTAGCTGTGGATATCTGTTGCACCTCCTATTCATGCACTTTGGTAAGGCATGCGACCCTCCCATTGCCCATGAACTTCTCCTAACTGGAGAACGAGGTCCTTAGTCTTGCCTGATCCGTGATGTCGCAAAGACTTTGTGGTGTACATACCAAGGGGCCAGGTGAAGAATAGGTTTGGTTGGAGGGCGACGCTCCATCGGCCCCTTGTTGGCGCCTGGTCCGTCACCTCGGCCGTCCTTAGCCTCCTATTTAAGCAAGTAGTAATTTTGCGGCTTCGCCCGCACAGCCTGGAAATGGTGACCCAAACTTGCTTTTTGCATTAGCGAGCCGAGAGCGCTTACGCCATTGGGGACGCGGGTTTTCTCATATCAAGGAGCAAGGGTCCGGTATGGTTAGACAATCAGCAGAATATGTACCGCAGGGGATGCGACTTGTGGGAAGTTAGCTAGTATCCATATGCCCCTGGTGGACTTGGACTCTTAAGAGGTGAGAAAGATTTATTGCCCTGTTGGTATCTTGATATTTGTGATACTCTCCTTTTGCAATTACAAAAGCTTCAGCCTGGTTCTTGACCTTTGGGTTTACCTTGGAGAACGAAAATGGGGATTGAGATTAAAGAGCTGGGAATTGCTGGAGACTTTCAGCTTGATGAGGCTATTCTCCTGGGTGCGTCTTTCCGTTCAGTCCAGTGAAAGTTGGCAACAGTCACTGATATTGCCAATCCAAAGCGCTTCCCAGTGGCTGTACAGTATTGGAAGCAACAAGTTACAGCACAGCGGCTTGGACCAAGGCGGCCCGAGTGTCCGTTATTCTAGCAGATGGCTCGCCCAAGTCATATTTCTTGAAGGTGCTTGAATCCTCCCATGAGTTGCACGACACACCAATTAAAGTCTATATCAGCGCGCCACAGGTGAACACGGCAAGTTGATGCTGGAGGGCGAAGAGAAATCCTTGAGAGCAATGAGCGGAGTGGTTCCCTCCTTTGTGCCCGAGCCTTACGTGGTGGGCCAGTCAACCGGTACTGCGCCAGAAACATATTTTCTGCTGATGGAGTTTCTTGAGTTGAGTACAGACTTGCCAGAGCCAGCGACATTCTGCGAGCGACTTGCAGACCTTCATCGAAATTCCGTTTCTCCGACTGGAAAGTTTGGGTTTGATGTGATAACTTACCAAGGCCCACACGAACAGAATACTGAATGGACCGATAATTGGTGTCTCTTCTATACCCGCTTGTTAACGCAGTATTTCGAAACAGAAATAGGGAACAATGGGCCCTCCGAGGAATATGAGGAGACTTTTGCGACTTTGAAGAAGCATGTAATCCCTAAGATCTTGGAACCCTTACAGGCGGGAGGCCGTGAGCTGAAACCTTGCTTACTGCACGGAGATCTTTGGGAAGGTAACTGTTCCACGAATCTCACAACTGGTGAACCGGTCACCTTCGATGCTGCATCATTTTATGGCCACAACGAACTAGACCTTGCCATGTGGCGGCGTGACATCAGTCGATTTAGCAAGTCATACTTCCGACAGTACTTACGATGCATGCCTCCAAGTGAGCCGAAAGAACAATGGGACGACCGAAATCGTCTCTATGCAATAACATATGAGATTGCACATTCAAACGCATGGCCGGCCTCTTTTCTAGACCAAAGAGAGATGTAAGTCGCAGTTCGAACTCGGGGTCTCCTTACCGTGCTGACCAGCAGGAGAATCTTGAACTCAATGCAAGTTCTGATCGACAAATATTATGTTGCGGATTAATCTTGGACGGTTTAAACGAGGGGTATCTATAACAAATTGAGGGACAATAGCAGCATATGAATGCAGGTGATCGGCAAGCTATGAGCACTGAGCGCCCACGTCGAAATAACTCTTTTGCCAGCGCTGCCGTTGTTCTTCGTTGAAAGCGATGCTCCGTTAATTAAACTGTCAAGTAAGCGATGAGTCGAATAGTTCACCTATCACTAGCTAGTTTGTAGGCGTAGTGAAATACAAAGTAGCCAGTGGAGCTCTTGAGCCGTTAAGCCGCCTCGGCCCTTCCGTCGCTAAAAGTAGGGCCGCTATTAACTGAGGAGCTTACGGAGCTGTCTCCGCTTGTATTGAGACCTGCATGGGCATCACATTTGCCCACACTTGTCTCATTCACCTCTTCGTTGTTCACTGGGCAATGAAAGTCACTGACTTCTTGTCCACCTCATGCAGTCATGTTAAGCACAGCGAAACATTTAGAATTGGCGTCGAGCCAAACAGCCCTTCTTGCAGTGACGCTCTCGATATCCTCCTCAGAAATGCACGATAGTACTACTGAGATCCTTATGCTTGATGTTTCTTGTATTAGCGCTTGAAAATTATCTAAGGCCTCATAAGCACTGCTGATTCGACTACTTGATCAAATGGCCGCGCTTCAGGCGAAGGGTCAAGCAGAAGACATGCATAACTCAAATCCAATTCGGGTTCTCTCAGCAATGCCACTAGGAAGTGACCATCCAAAGAGCTCGGAGGACCCCCTGGCTCAGACGGAGGAGAAAGTATCACAACTGGGGGAAAGAGAAACTGATATCGAGCATGAATCATTGAGGGTCAGAAATCAACATGCCCAGACTTCTGATTCCCAGTATACCGTCTTTTCCACAGGAGAAAAGCGACTGATCGTTTTCCTGGTGTCTTTGGGCGGGGTTTTCTCAGCATTCACGGCGTTTGTCTATTTCCCGGCTCTTCCTTCAATTGCCGATACAATCTCCGTTTCAATGGAGCTTATGAATATTACCGTTACTGCGTATCTCGTCGTACAAGGTGTCATACCTGCGATCCTTGACGAGATATCGGACACACAGGGTCGACGAATTGTGTATCTTGCGGTCTTTACAATATACTGCGTCGCCAGCATTGGTCTTGCTTACCAGAACTCATATGGCGCCCTTCTGGTGCTTCGAATGATTCAAAGCGCAGGCGCCTCGGGGACTGTTGCATTGGCATACGGAGTCATTGCAGATATTGCTCCACCCCACGAGCGTGGAGGCTATGTTGGGACCGCACATGTGGGTTGGTATGCGGCTCCTAGTCTTGGTCCTGTTATCGGAGGCATCCTGGCAGAATATGCTGGATGGAGGTGGATATTTCGATTTCTTGCAATACTGTCAGGTCTGGTTCTGGGACTAGTTACCTTCCTTCTGCCAGAAACCAGTCGGAAGGTTGTTGGTAATGGAAGTCTCCGTCCCTTGGGAATTGGTCAGTCGCTTCTCACACTTCGCAAACGACGAAAGACATCAAATCTGTTCCAAGAACCAGCGAATAAGGGCAGATTAGCAGTCCCAAACCCTCTTCGCTGCTTAAAAATGATACTGCACAAGAACACCTCGCTGCTACTTCTTGCCAATGCCATCTTTTATCTTCAATACTCTTGTGTGCAGGCATCTCTCGCACCCTTGCTGCAGGACTTATATGGACTGTCAACTCTGCAGTCAGGCTTGTGCTACTTGACATACGGAGTGCCTGGAAGCGTTGCGTCCTACATTGTTGGACGGATTGCAAACTACGATTATAGGGTAACAGCCAAGGCCCACAAGATTTTCATCGACACCAAGAGGGGGGATGATATCCTAGAATTTCCAATCGAGAAAGCAAGACTCCGAACGATTTGGGTCTACATCATCCTTGCATCTGGGGCCACAATCGGATATGGATGGGCGTTAGACACGACCACACACCTTGCTGTGCCACTCATAACTCAAGTAATAACTGGTGTGACAGTCACAGGAATCTTCAACGCCACAAATACACTAATAGTCGATCTCTATGCCAATGAAGCAATGACTGCGAGCGCGGCAGTGAGCATTACGAGATGCCTTGTAGCCGCTGGTGGAGTCTCTGTTCTCCAGCCACTTTTCAAGTCTATCGGCGTGGGATGGACATTCACAATGATCGGCATCATGTGCTATTCAACTATCCCGATGCTATGGGTTCTTCATCACTGGGGCTGGGAATGGAGGCGGCAAAAGACTCAAGGAATAGTCGCCACTCCTTTGGGATAGGGTTTACAATCACAACAGCCTCTCAGTGGTTGAGATTGCATACCTGTATCGAAGCACGACTGTCCTTGAAATCCTGTGGGGTCCAGCCCGCACAAGTCGCGTCTGCATGCCAGATCCTTACCCAGTACGGATCTGACATCGCGTGCTCTCTTCAAATGGAAAACAATGACATTGAGCAATTTGCAACCACTGAAGTCAACACCAAAAGCTTTAGCTTCGAGTGAATTGGATGGGGAGAAAGTATTCCCAACTACCAGAAAGATAGTGCTTCGCCGTAGACAAAGTGGCGAGATGAATAAGTAGATATCATTGAAATTCCGGAAACGAGAAAAGCAGTATGGAACTTTACGTAAGCAATCACGTGGGATGCATGAGCCGCCAAGCATGCGTCACGGGGAAACATGCGGTCGCATCCTCTTTCTCCCCCATCAGGAAATCCAACAACCAAAAGTCGTACAGCAACATCTCTTCAAGAAGCATCTCCTTCCCTCGCGTGTCTGTTATCCGGTCGTGACGCTTGACCTTGAGGACCATGGTAGTTCACCATGGCGTTGCAAGCTCAGGCTCCAGACCCGAGCGAGCGCATCTTCGTCGAGTTACGCAGCAAGAACGACGAGATCAAGAACAAGGCTGCCACTGAGCTGAAGGAACTCATCACCTTACTCTCAAGAGGTAACTTCTGCGCTGGCTATACTGCACCCAGACTGACATTGCCCAGAATGGCCCCCGGAACGCTTCAGTGCCTTCTACGATAGAGTCACCAATCGAATCAGTAACCTCATAGTTCAAGCACCGGACTCCAGTGACAAAGTTGGTGGTATCCTGGCCCTAGACCGCCTGATCGACTGTGAAGCTGTTGATGCCGCTCAAAAAGCCTCTAAATACTCCAACTACCTTCGAGCCGCGTTGAAAAGTAATGACTTCCTCGTTCTCGATGCGGCCAGCCGTGCGCTGGGGCATCTGGCTCGACCTGGTGGTGCCTACACGGCGGAGCTGGTTGAAGCCGAGATGACATCTGCTTTCGAATGGCTGCAGCCGGAGAACAAGCAGGAAAGTCGGAAACTGGCCGCAGTACTCCTGATCCGCGAAATGGCCAAGAACTCTCCTACCCTCGTTTACGGCTTCATCCCTCAGATCTTCGAGTTGATCTGGAACGCCCTGCGAGATCCCAAGGACCTCATCCGGAGAATAGCAGCCCAGTCTGTCAGCGCTTGTTTCGGGGTAATGGTAGCAAGAGACGCTCAATTTCAGGCTCACTGGTTTGCCAAAATATATTCAAAGGCTCTGGAAGGCTTTCGGCCCAACACTACCGTTGACGAGATCCTGGGTTCTCTTTTGATTCTCATGGAATTACTTCAGCAAGGAAACATGTTTATGCATGACTTTTATCGCAATGCCTGCGAAATCGTGCTCCGTCTGAAAGACCATCGAGATGCTAGGATCAGAACGCAGGTCGTACAAATCATCCCTGTGCTCGCGGAATATGCACCTCTCGACTTCATCAACAACTACCTTCACAAATTTATGATTTATCTACAGGCCCAGCTGAAACGTGAGAAGGAGCGCAATCAGGCTTTCATTGCTATAGGGCAGATTGCAAAGGCTGTTGGCAGTTCTATCGCTCAGTATCTCGACGGAATTGTTCTTTATATCCGCGAATCTCTCAGTGCCAAAACCAAGAACAGGGCAGCTGTGGACGAGGGTCCGATGTTTAGATGCATTAGCATGCTTGCGGGTGCGGTTGGACAGACTCTCAGCAAATACATGGAGGCTCTTCTCGATCCCATCTTCGCCTGCGGGCTGACAGAACCGTTGGAGAATGCTCTCGAAGACATGGCACACAACATCCCCCCTATCAGATCAACGATCCAGGACAAGTTGTTAGATCTCCTGAGTTTGATCCTGGTCCGTTCTCCATACCGACCCCTAGGATGCCCACCGAACAGAACCCCTCCTTTACCTTCATTCGCCAAAGACTATGGAGGCCTTCCAGCAGAGTACAAAGATTCGGAGATCACACTTGCTCTCATGACACTGGGCAAATTCGACTTCTCAGGTCATATCCTCAACGAATTCGTGCGCGATGTGACCCTCCGCTATGCCACAAACGAAAACCCAGATATTCGTCGAGCTGCTGCGCTTACATCTTGCCAACTGTTCATGCAAGATCCGATATTGCATCAGACTAGCAACAACGCGATCCAAGTCGTTGGTGAGGTGGTAGACAAGCTTCTGACTGTGGCTGTTGGTGATCCTGACGCCGACATCCGAATGACCGTGTTACGGGCTTTGGACAAGAAGTTTGACAAGCATTTGGCAAGACCAGAAAATATCCGTTGCCTCTTCCTGGCTGTCAACGATGAAGTATTTGCCGTTCGTGAAGCTGCTATCGAGATCATAGGAAGGTTAACAACAGTCAACCCTGCGTACGTCTTTCCACCATTGCGAAAGCTGTTGGTGAATCTATTGACGGGACTCGGCTACTCAAACACAGCCAAGCAAAAGGAAGAGAGCGCCCGCCTAATCAGCCTGTTCGTTGCAAACGCAACTTCTCTAGTTAAGACTTACGTGGAGGCAATGGTTTCCGCTCTCTTACCAAAAGCTACTGACCCAAATCCAGGGGTAGCCTCCACAACAATCACGGCTCTCGGAGATCTCACTTCTGTTGGAGGCGAAGAAATGGTGCACCATCTTCCTCAATTGATGCCCATAATGATCGACGCCCTGCAAGATCTTGCATCGCATGATAAACGTGAAGCGGCTATGAGGACGCTGAGCTCACTAGCAGTCAATTCTCAATACGTAATTGACCCCTACATCGACTATCCCGAACTTCTAGGGATATTGATCAACTTGATCAAGACAGAAGCTCATGAGGAGCTCAGAACTGACGCTATCAAATTAGTCGGTGTTCTCGGAGCCCTTGATCCTTACAAATACCAACAATTGAGCGAATCAGTGGCTGAAAAGCAGAGCAAGGCAGAGGTACAACCTGTGTCCGATGTCGCCTTGATAATGCAAGGCTTGACACCATCCAACGAGGAGTACTATCCAACGGTCGTTATCAACACGCTCATGCAAACCATATTAGCAGATCACACCTTGGTACAGTATCATAGCGCCGTAATAGATGCGGTCGTGACAATATTCAAGACTATCGGCATGAAATGTGTCCCTTTCTTGGGACAAATCATCCCTGGATTTTTGGGCGTGATCCGCAGCTCACATCCCAGTCGACTCGAGTCATACTTCAACCAGCTCTCTGTTCTAGTGAATATTGTTCGTCAGCATATCAGAGCGTTCCTTCCAGAAGTCATTGCTGTCATACGTGAGTTCTGGAACGTTTCGAGGCAGGTTCAATCGACAATTCTTTCTCTAGTCGAAGCAATCTCGAAATCACTAGAGGGGGAGTTCAGAAGATATCTTGCGGGACTCTTGCCCCTGATGCTCGCAGTGATCGAAAATGATTCAGATCTGAGACGCGAATCATCGATTCGCATCTTGCACACTTTCCTTGTCTTTGGTGCCAGCGGAGAAGAATATATGCACATGATCGTTCCAGCAATTGTTGGTATCTTGGAGAATCCGGCTGCACCCACGAATGCGAGGAGAGCAGCCATCGATACTTTAGGGAAACTTTCAAGGACTGTCAACGTCACGGATTTTGCATCGCTTATGGTCCACCCGCTTGCAAAGCTACTAGCTAGTCCCGAAAAAGTATCCACGAACTCCTCGGAACGGTCATTGAAGACTGCTGCTCTAGACTGCATCTGTGCATTAATTTACCACCTTGGTCAAGACTTTATTCACTACTTGCCGCTAGTTGAGCGAGCAACAAAGGCCGGACAAATTAACTCGGAGCGATTTCAAAAGCTCGTTGAAAACTTCAAGACTGGCAAGACACTGCCCGTAGACTTCTATCCAGAGGAACAGTATGGGTTAGCAGCTGAGGATACGACGTACGCCAATATCACATCACAAAGACTTCCCGTCAATCAGCAGCATCTGAAAAATGCTTGGGATACTTCTCAGAAATCCACAAAAGAGGACTGGCAAGAATGGATGCGCAGATTCAGCGTTGAATTATTGAAAGAGTCCCCATCACACGCACTGCGAGCATGCGCAAGCCTCGCTGGCGTCTATCAGCCGCTAGCCAAAGACCTTTTCAACTCAGCATTTGTTTCATGTTGGACAGAGCTCTACGACCAGTATCAGGAAGAGCTAATTCGCTCCATAGAGAAGGCACTAACTTCAACGGCTATCCCGCCGGATATTCTCCAAACACTGTTGAATCTTGCCGAGTTCATGGAGCATGACGACAAGTCTCTACCTATCGATATCAGAACTCTGGGAAAATATGCCGCCAAATGCCATGCTTTTGCAAAGGCACTTCATTACAAAGAGCTCGAATTTGAGCAGGATCAGAACAGCCACAGTGTAGAAGCGTTGATAAGTATCAACAACCAGCTCCAGCAGTCTGATGCCGCCATTGGTATCCTACGCAGAGCACAACTCTTTGGCGAGGTTGAACTGAAGGAGGCATGGTTCGAAAAGCTTCAGCGATGGGAAGAAGCGTTGGCAGCATATCAAAAACGAGAAAAAATTGAGCCGGAAAACTTCGACATTGTTATGGGCAAGATGCGTTGCTTGCATGCCCTCGGTGAATGGAAAATGCTCTCTGAAATCGCACAAGAACACTGGAATAGCGCCAGCACGGAGAATCGAAAGAACATGTCTGCCCTTGCAGCAGCGGCAGCTTGGGGCAGAGGCGAATGGGACCTCATGGACAACTACATCAGTGTTATGAAAGAGAGTTCGCCGGACCGAGCATTCTTCGGCGCTATTCTCGCAATTCAACGCAACAACTTTCATGAAGCTCACAACTTCATTCTTCGGGCGCGCGAGGGTGTCAATTCTGAGATAACAACTACGATCGGAGAATCTTACAACCGTGCCTACGGTGTGGTGGTCCGGACACAAATGCTTGCAGAGCTCGAGGAAATCATCTCTTACAAACAGAGCGACGGTATGACCGCAAGACAGAATTCATTGAAGTTGCTGTGGAACAAGAGACTATTGGGCTGTCAATCAAATGTCGAAGTCTGGCAACGTATGCTCAAGGTTAGGGCCCTTGTATTGACCCCCACCGATAATCCAGACATTTGGATCAAGTTCGCAAATCTATGCCGGAAATCAGATCGAATAGGGCTCGCTGAAAGATCGTTGGCATCTCTTGGAGGAGCAGGCGATCCACCGGGCGGACCAGGTGGTGCACCCCCGCCAGTGGCTTATGCCAGGCTCAAATTCAATTGGGCAACTGGGAGCCAACAATCGGCCCTGGCATTCCTTCGAGATTTCACCATGCGGCTTGCCGATGATTTCCAGGTCAATACTAGCTTGGCATCTGGTGTACATAACGAAAGAATGAATTCAATGAACGGTCTCGATATGAACGGACATGATGCATTGGCCCAACGACGCAAACACGAGGAATTAGACAAATGCGCTAAACTCCTTGCAAAATGCTATTTGAGACAAGGAGAGTGGCAATCATACCTTCTTCGGGGGGATTGGACTAGCCCTCGAGCGCAAGAAGCTGTCCGCGACATTCTGAATTCATACCAAGCAGCTACACAGTACAACGAATCTTGGTACAAGGCGTGGCATGCTTACGCTTTGGCTAATTTCGAAGTCGTTACATCAATGGTCTCTCATACAGACCAGGACAAAGTCAGAACTCTTCCGGAGCATGCCATTCAAGCCCATGTTGTGCCTGCTATTGGTGGCTTCTTCAAATCTATCGCGTTGTCAAAAACCAGCTCTTTGCAAGATACTTTACGGTTATTGACGCTTTGGTTCGCTCACGGTGGTCATAGTGAGGTCAATCAAGCCGTGATTGAAGGCTTTGCTTCCGTAAGCATTGACACATGGCTAGAAGTCATTCCTCAATTGATCGCCCGCATCAACCAACCTAATCCAAGAGTGAGGGCTGCAGTGCATCGATTACTCGCCGAGGTTGGCAAGGCACATCCTCAAGCACTGGTCTATCCTTTAACTGTGGCCATGAAGTCGGCAGTAGCACGACGTGCAAATTCTGCCACCCAAATCATGGACAGTATGAGAATTCACAGCCCAATACTGGTTGAGCAAGCAGATCTTGTCAGTCATGAGCTCATTAGGGTGGCTGTGCTTTGGCATGAACTTTGGCACGAAGGCCTCGAAGAGGCATCACGTCTGTATTTCGGAGATCAAGATGTAGAGGGTATGCTTGCCACTCTTGCACCTCTACATGAGCTTCTTGATCGAGGTGCGGAAACGTTGAGAGAAGTATCATTCGCCCAAGCCTTTGGTCACGACCTTGCAGAAGCTAGAGCCTTTTGCAATACTTTCCGTCGATCGAAGGAGATTGGGGACCTGAATCAAGCTTGGGATCTGTACTACGCCGTCTTCCGCAAGATCGCCCGTCAACTTCCACAATTGATGAGTCTCGACTTGAAATATGTATCACCAAGATTGAAGGACGCTCACGATCTAGACCTCGCAGTTCCTGGCACGTACGTGTCTGGCAAGCCTATCATCAAAATCATTAGCTTCAATCATGTCCTGACTGTCATTCCATCGAAGCAACGGCCACGGAAAATGACCTTAAAAGGTTCCGACGGTATACCTTACGACTTCGTCCTGAAAGGACACGAAGATATTCGTCAAGATGAACGAGTCATGCAACTCTTTGGTCTGGTCAACACTCTATTGACAAACGATACCGAATCATTCAAACGTCATCTAAACATTCAGCGGTTTCCTGCCATTCCACTTTCTCAGAACAGTGGTCTCCTGGGGTGGGTTCCGAATTCCGACACTCTACACAATTTGGTCAAAGAGTATCGGGAATCACGCCGCATCCTGCTCAACATTGAGCACAGGATCATGCTTCAAATGGCACCGGATTACGATAACTTGACTTTAATGCAAAAGGTCGAAGTATTTGGCTACGCCATGGATAATACGACAGGAAAAGATCTATACCGTGTACTCTGGCTCAAATCCAAGAGCTCTGAAGCGTGGCTCGATCGACGCACCAATTATACCAGATCGCTTGCTGTCATGAGCATGGTAGGGTATATTCTTGGCCTGGGTGATCGCCATCCATCTAATCTTATGCTTGATCGAATTACTGGCAAAATCATCCACATTGATTTCGGCGACTGTTTTGAGGTGGCAATGCACCGTGAGAAGTATCCAGAGAGGGTTCCTTTCAGATTGACCAGAATGCTCACCTTCGCAATGGAAGTTAGCAACATCGAAGGTTCCTTCAGAATCACATGCGAGAACGTCATGCGTGTGATCCGTGAGAACAAAGAGTCTCTTCTTGCAGTCTTGGAGGCATTCATCCATGATCCTCTCCTTAACTGGCGTCTCAACACCCGCGAATCACCACCGAGACCACATTTCCGCTCCGAGCGCAGACAAAGCATTATCGATGCCCCAGGCACAAATGCGGATGCCTATGATCGCAGCCCCATGGAAGTTAACAACCCGTCCGCGCTCATAACTGGCGGTGCTGCCCAAAGCCACGTTGGAGCACCTCCGGGTCGCCGGCATCGCCGAAGCAGTATTCTCGACCCGGCCATGGGAGGAGGCACCATTCTCGACGCAGCCAAAGGCGGAGACCAGAACGCGGCGGCGCAGGAAGCAAAGGAAGTCCAAAACGCACGTGCCCTGCAGGTTCTTGCACGAATCAAGGAGAAATTGACGGGACGAGACTTCAAGCCCTCGAGCCCTGGGTCAGCCAGCGCAGCGGTCCACGCCAATCTACGCGCCGATCTCAACGGACTGGGTCTTGGTCTCAATCTGGGACACATGGATGGTAAATTAAACGGTTACGGGCAGAACGGCAGGACCAGCGCCGCAATGATGGATGGAGGACCGGCAAAGTCGATCGCGATCGCAGGCTCCGTGCCGGAGACGACCATGGCTGGAGTCGGTGGCCTCGGTGTCGCCGAGCAGGTCGATCGATTGATTCTCGAAGCTATCAACGTCGAGAACCTTTGCCAGCATTATATCGGGTGGTGCTCGTTCTGGTAATGTGTCGTGGTGGGCGGCACGAAGCCTGGAGAGCCCTTTGATGACTAGTTGTAAGATGTCTATGGGTTCGCCATGGAGGGAATGGAATGGAATGGGCATGGATTGGAATTATACATTAGCTAGGAAATGCGATCAGGGGGAAGGGATCAGAAAAAGGGATCACGGGACGGAGCTCCACAATGGTGCGTGAGACGGACACAGAGCGAGAGAGAGTTGCAACCGTCTCACGGCGAGCGAAGCATGGCGTTGCATAACAGTAGCTTAGCACGGAGCACAAGGTACTACTTACTCAATTCACAGCATTGAGTCACGTTCTGAATCGGCTGTACAGCTTGATGTTGGATTCTCCCTCGTGTATGTAAGCTTGTATTCACCGTTGCCGGGCCCACTCCTGGAGCTTGTTCGCCTCAATGACACCTGCAACAACCAAGTATTAGAAAACTTGTATTCGTCCTCTTAAGCTCCAACGGCTCTGGCCAGCCCTGGACTGCCTATTAGCTATCGGGAGAAATAACATGGGTGGGGGAATCGTCGTTATGTAAGAGCTCCTTGCACATCCCTTTTCCTGACACCCTTTTCCTGACACCCTTTTCCTGACACCCCTTTCCTTTCCTTTTGATTCGACTGAAATCTGATGCTCTGATTGATACTCCTCCAGTTTTACGCCGCGCTGAGTAGTAGGTGAGAATGTAGAGGGTCGATGTGTCCTGGTCCTTTTTTGTAACCGTAGCGTAATGGGGCCAGGTCAATGGGCAATATACAGTCCAGTGTTTCTTTGGATGCACAGCTTCTCTTCTCTATTTCTATTTGCTGGAGCCGCATGTCAATGTTGTTCAATGAACGCCATTGCTGGTTCCATTTTGTGCTTTGCTTTTGACTTCTCTCCTCACTCTGACAGCTTCGGCGAGCTGCTCTAATACTTCAATGGTGGACTCCCAATTGATGCAAGCATCTGTAATACTGACTCCCTTCTGTAAGCTTGCAAGACCGCCTTCAGCAGGGACCTTCTGATTGCCTTCATTGATATTTGACTCGATCATGACGGCTACAATGGCGTCTTCACCCTGTCTCAGCTGGTCTCCAATAGCCTGTGCCACAGACGGCTGGTTCTTGTGGTTCTTTTTGGAATTCCCATGTGAGCAGTCAATCATCATGACTTCCTTATGGCCCTTCTTCCTCAGAGCTTCACGAGCAGCCTTGACGCTCTCAGCATCAAAGTTGGTCCCCTTCGACCCGCCTCGCAGGATGACGAAGCCGTCTTCATTACCGCTAGTCCTTGTGATGGCAGCGAGGCCATTCTTGGTCACACCCATAAAGTAGTGTTTGGCAGCGGCTGCACCCACAGCATCAATTGCCACGCTCAGGGAGCCATCTGTACCATTTTTGAAACCCATGGGGAAAGATAGACCGGAGGCCAGCTCACGATGTAGCTGGGACTCGGTGGTTCGTGCACCAATGGCACCCAATGAGATGAGGTCGGCGAGAAATTGTGGAGAGATGGTATCGAGCATTTCGCTCGCAATGGGCATGCCCATACCAGTCAGATCGGCATAGAGTTGTCTTGAGACTCGGAGACCTTTGTTGATCTTGTAGGATTCGTCGATATCAGGGTCATTGATGAGACCTTTCCAACCAACAGTAGTTCTAGGTTTCTCGAGGTAGGCACGCATTATAATGCAGAGGTCTTTGGAAAGCTTCTCAGACAGCTCTTTCAGCCGAGTAGCATATTCTAGGGCGGTAGCCGGGTCATGGATGGAGCAGGGTCCGACCATGACAAGCAGGCGGTCATCCCGTTGATGGATGATTTCTTTGCATTCTCGGCGACCTCGGGCAACGGTGTGAATGGAGGCTTGGGATTGGGGGATTTCGGTTTGGAGAAGCGCTGGAGGGATCAACGGGTCGTAGCCCAGAACTCGAACGTCTTCAGACAGCTCGGTCGGGGTCTGTGAGTCAACAGCGGGCATTTTGGGCAGCAGGTGTGTGGATGGAGAGACGGAAGAAAGTAGACGAGAGAAGGAGGGATGATTAATGTGAGAGAAAAGAGAGGTGGGAGAGAAATGGATCACAATGAGAGCAAAATAAAAGTGGTGTGAGGAAGAAATCCAGAGTCAAACGGGCGGACGGTCGTTTGGACAGTCTACAGGGACAGTCATACTCATAATAGCCAAAAAAAAAGGATGTGCCCGTGTGGTGGATGGTTGGATGGTGGATGGTGGAGAGGCAGAAAATCAATCGGTGCAAAGGTCCAAGGCGGGCGCAGGAACGAGAAAGGCGGTGAGCGAGGGGCGGGCGGAAGAGGGGAATCTTTGTTCCGGCAAAGTCACGGGACCTATTGTTTTTCGCTCTCGGTGAGGTCATTGTTCAGCTGGACATCGCCAGCCTGGACAGGGGAGGCTCCAGGCAGGAGCCACAGCACGGACACAACCAAGTCAGCAAGGAGGGTGGCTTGTCTCCTTCCTCCTTTGCCCCCCTCCTTCCTTCTTCAGGCAACGCCCCTTCTCCTTCTCCCTGCTCCTGCTCCTGGCCCCTCCTTCGTCGGCCCGCCTCTGTCCCTGCCATTTGGGAAGCCGGTGCCTGTTGGGTGCCTGTGAGCCTCACTTTCTCCTCCCGACTCCCTCCCTCCCCTCCCACTTCCCCCTCTCCACCTTTCCTCAACTCGTAAATGGTTCCTTTTTCGCTTGAATCTCCGAATTACCAACGACTGCGAGGATATGCAAGATGATGTAGCCTTCTCATCCTTCATTTCACGTCCTGGGGAAGAAACCCTACCTGAGGCACCGCCTCCAGGGTACTCGGTGCGCTACTTGTACTCTATCCTGGCCGGCCCTACCACTTCCATCATCGGTCACCGCCTACTTTATCAACGAATTCCATTCTTCTTCCATCAAAACTCTGGACTCCGTCCTCTGTGAGTTATCTGGAATTCACTGTTTGATCACCTACTCAGCCTCTGCTCGTCTACTCAAATCGATACGGCTCGCTGACCATCCGAGCATCGCGTCATCCACATCCGATTCGCTTGTTGAGTACGCGCCGTCTGGTTGGTCCTACAAAAGATTGGATCGTGTTTCATCAGCCTTTCTGGTCAACCCGCGACACTGCCACGTTTGATCAGATCCCCTTACCATCCGAACAAAGCCATGCAAATACCCTGCTGCAACTGATAAATCTCCCTTTAATCACACCACCATTCCACTACTCGTTTGGTCTCATGTCCCCTCCAAGTCCATCGACAAAATCCCACCCCAATTCAGACATGGCCGATGTTTATACTGCCTTTGATCATCACGCCGCTGCCACTCACAAGCGAAAGAGGTTCCTCGACGACTGCGATGATCTATTCTCTGACCGCGATATCAAAAGACGATCAATTCATTCTCTACCAATCCGAACTTCTCCGTCAAGACCTCAAATTGCCACCCCCCCCATCTATTCACTCTTTAGCTCGGTCTATCAGCAACCTCCGACGCCGGTGGACACCTCTGAAGATGAGAGCCCTACTTCTCCCCGTGATGAGAGTCACTGGCCCATGAAGCAGAGCAACTCCAACGCCTCTCTCTCCAGTCAGAACAGCGACGCTTCCTCGACGATGGCCCAACTTAGAGATGTTGGCGATGTCGATATGGAGCTATCTGCACCACCGCCCACTGAGCCGAGGATAAGACGCGCCCGTTCGAACGATATCGTTCCTCCTCATCGCGATCCCAACTTCCTCGGTGTCATGGACCAGTTGCTACGGGATAGAGTTCCGACTCCCATCAGTAGCCATTTCGATAGTCGTGTTTCCGACTTGCCCAAAGTCCCTCGCCATCAATTTCCTCCTTTGCGTACAAATCTCAGTCCGATGTTGGAGCAGGAATCCTGGATCACTCGAGATGGCCTGCCTAGCCCAGTCGAAGACCAAGACATGGACAGCGTAATGATGATCGACGAAACTAATGATACCATGAGTGGCCTTCGCGTGAGTGGAGGCAATGACTCCATCGACGCTACTCTTTCTTCGCCTGTCTACTGGACTCCAACTGACGGGAATTCAAGTCCGGGTCGGGGTAGGAACGCCAGACTTCATATGGGGTTTTTAAATGGCTGTGAGAAGTGCATCCAGAAGGTTCCTGGACACTACAGCCACATTCTACGCTCATGACACGAGCGCTCCAGGAGCGTGTGCCCATCACTTTTGATGAGAAACGAAGCATTATGAGACTACGGATTACATGATTGGTGGAGTCGGGACTCATAGACGTCGTCCGGATCAATGGCTAGGTTTCATTATACAAGAGTAGATTTCGGCTTCAGGAGCCACTATACAGCTGTTCTGCAACCCAGACACACCATCACTGCTCAATTGATACATATTTCTCTTTCTATGTGCGCCTGGCCCTTGGTTCGGATGAGCAGTGTACATTCCCATTCCCAAACAATGCAGTCGTGTTAAATGATTAGGTTGATGACTTTGTACTATCGCCCCCTTATCCAATTCCACCAACCTTTCTCTCCTCCAGCAGCAGCCTCGGCGACGTTTCCTGCCAGAACATCCAGCTCGCCACCAGTGATGCCGGTCCGTGCAATGACCTCTTTTTCTCCAGCCCTTCTCCGATCCTCGATCTTGCTCGACACATACTCCACTCGATCTTGAGGCACCGGGCGCCCCTTAGAATCAACACCGACACCTTTGATCCCACTCGGCGCAACAGCCACAGCCACAGGCTGCACCTCTCCCTCCACATAGCTGGCGTCGTGGATGTTCTGCCGGCCTCTCGCGCGACGAGCCTCCCTAGTCGCTCGTTCCTGCTCCGTCTCCTGGCCCATCTCACCCTTCGCGGCCGTCGCACCCACCATCCCCTTCAACCGACTCCAATAGCTTTCGCTCTTCTTCTGCTCGACCGCACGCTTATGCTTTAGCGCCATCTCCTCGCCCGCCCGCTCCTGCTCCAGCAGATGCAGCTGCTCCGCAGTGGCCTCGCCACGCAGAAACGCCTGCTGTGCGTCGCTCAGCCGCCCCATCTCGCGCTCGATCCACGCCCGCTTCTGCCGTCGGTTGTGCGCCACCAGGCTTGTGATGCCGTATACCGCCACTACCGTCGAGACCCCCGTGAACGCAATCAGCGCGTACGTCGTGATCCGGTGCATATTGTCCGCCCACCGCCGCCCGTGGATCAGGAATCGGTCTACCCCGGACGCGGTTCCGCGCTCTTTGGCCTGGCGGGCCGCAGCTCGTAGCCGTGCGACTTTTTCTTGGGGTGTCTCGCCTGCCGGGTCGGGTTGTTGGGGCTGGGGCAGTGGTTTCGGGTCGGTGGTCAGGGTTGATGAGTTGAATGCTGTAGGGCGAGACATGGCGTGTGGTTGTGTCGAGGTAAACCGCGTGAACGTGTCGGATGGGGCGCGCCGGGATGCCATTGTGTGTGGTTTGATGTGTGTGTGTGTGGACTGCAGGGCAAAAGACCTGGTATGAACGGTATGGTGTTCGAGTCTAAGTAGAGGGTAACCCGGTGGATCGTCCGGATGTCTGCTGTGTTTGCGGACACCTTTGAAACCTTCCTCACTGGGTAAAATTTATTGTACAAGAACCGTGGTTTGAACAAGAAGCACCGACGACATGAGAAACTGCACACCGGCGTGAATGGGAGGGATGTGGAGGTGACGGGATCATTGATGGAGGATTCAGTCAAGGTCGTAAAGAATTTCCTTCGAAGCTTTGGTCGATGCAATCATGATTTCTTTCCGCAGAAGAGAGTGACAGAGGCGGAGCAGAGAGACCACTCGTGCAGCCCCGTCAGACCACTTTTCCGCTTCCCCCTATTCTGCACTTGCGAGATTTTGTCAGACAGTCACTGGGATAGAATGACTCGTCTTTTGCTACGTGCGAGAGAGATGTGCAGGTTAGGCAAGTTGTTGTCTGACGTGTCAGAGAGCGACTTTGCAATCGACGCTGGCTTTCCTTGGGAGGGCTCCCTCTTGTGTCTAATTATTACTGTGCTATGAAAGGGATATCCTTCCTCGCTCAACCTGGCTTGCACCGCACCGCTCATACCTCATGTATTCCTATACTCACAAACTCGCACCATGATGAAGATGAAAGGTTTCATGCTGTCCCGCCCATTCACTACCCTGGTCAGCGTGCTTCCCCCTTGAGTCAGCGACATTGCATGCCGTTGTGCTAGACCGAGTTTGCTGATCCCCACCCGAGAATTTGCAAGGAGTCATTGCGATGTTCCCACTTTCTATTTCATCAGCACGGCTAGGTCCTGGCAGGGTATTCATGAATTTGAGATTGATGGAAGCGAGAGCGCAAATTAAGATCCATTAACCCGGGAGAGCTAATCGTCAGCCAGTTGGCTCTACGGATTTTGAATTCACCTAGTGGTAAGTGGGAGAGAAGATATTAGTAGTATCTCTCAGACATGAGTACTGGATCATGAGTAATCCTCTAGCACGCACTGAGGCTTTGTTCTATCGTATCTGTTCAAATCCGGTCCCTGGGTGTCCATCGGGAATACCCCCAGCCTTCATCTCCCTCATCAATTCGGAAAATCACGATGACTTACGAATGCGGGTCTTTCCGCTGCAGCTTCTCAAAGGGGGAAAGCGTCTGTTCTTCCTCATATCTCATTCGTTGCGCAGATTACTAATACGTCATTTTCTCTGGTGCACCTGCAGTTCAAGGCAAGGCTGCAAGCGTCAACCACCCCTTGAGACTTTGGAAAACGGCAACCCCGCAGGGCAAATATATGTACCCAGTATCGAGTCCTGTGTACTAAGGAGAATGACAAGGCTGTAAAAGCCTCAACATCGTATGATTCTGCAGACGACAAATGCCCCTGTGAACAAAGCTGTTGTGTCTTCTTACTTAAAGACCATCCCACACGTAACTCTATTTCCCTCCTGCATCTCGAAATCTTTTCCTTTGACGTTTCTCTTCGGCTGGCAACATAAGCATATTCACACGACGAACCCTCACAGTCGGCTTCATCCACATGTCATACAGTGACAACGGCAACCCAGAACTATTCGACCAACTGGATCAACTCTATCTTGCATCATACTACTCATGGGAGCCATCTCAGCCACCAATGGACTTATACCAAAACTGGGCCCACTACAACATGCCCCTGAATGATATCCCAGCACACCCCACCGAAGATGCATACTTGGCTTCACTCGAAGACGCCGCAGTGAATGGGAACAGCGTCTCATCCGGTCCATACCGGGGCAATATAAATCAAGACCTGTATCCAAACGAATTCCTGCTCTCGACACCATCCAACGCTGCGGAGGACTACGATCAGCTGCAAGTCCCGCAACAATATCACACACATCCGTCATCTACACCATCACCCTCCTACCATCACCACTCTCCATCAAGCCTAACTAGACCAAACGCAAACTCAACAGCAACATCCCTCTCACTCAACTCCTCTCCGTCGCTATCGCCTTCCCCTTCACCACAACCGCCACAACTCCACATCTCAAGCCCGTCAGCATCATCGACAGCGTACCGGCAAGACCCGCTCTCTCAAGCAACACTATCTATCCCATTCATCGAAGCAACAATGGGCGGCAGCGAGGAATCGCGGCGCCGCGGCCGCCGCCGTGAGCAGAACCGCAAGGCCCAGTTCATCTTCCGCCAGAAACGCAAGGACGAGGTCCATCGCCTGCAGCGCGAGGTCTTGCAGCTGAAGCAGCGTTTGGCGGCCGTCCACGCTAGTGCTGATTCTGTGGCAGCAGCGGCTGCTAGTGGTGCGAAGGCCTGTGGTAGTGTCGGTGGGAGTGCATGTGGAGCTGGCGGAGACGGCGGAATCGGGAGGCCAGTACTTTGTGCGCTGTGTAAGGGGTATGCGGACAAGATGCAGGGTCAGTGATGGAGGATCGTGTCACTGTTTCTTATGTATGCATTGGCAAGGGAGAAAGGACGGCGTGGACCATGGATCATGAATTGGGATCGGATTTGGGAGTTTTGCCCCTGATGACACGATTGGTCCTCAGACTATCAATGCATTGTACTTGTATATATTTATGAAGCGAGGCGTTTCGAGGGTCTGGTCTGATCTGGGGAGTCTGCTGCCACGATACCCCTGGGTGGCTATAGTGATGATGATTATGAGATGTCAGAGCAACCATCGTTTGTAGATTGTATAAGAATCGAGAGGAAGTTGGTTCGTGGTTCGAAATGGCTAGAGAGCATCCTGTAAGACGTAAGGAGAGTTGTCGGACAGGACAGTAAAATACTTTAGACGTCATTCATGAATGCGTTTCTGTTAGTAAGTGTCTAATAACTCTTGACATGTATACCCCCTGGAGTTGGAAATGATCAAATAGAAGCCCACGTTTTATACGAAGATAGATGAGCCTCAGAGTATGGCATATTCTTGTGGCCATTGGCCAGCCCAGGGATTATACGGCAGACACACCATCAGTCCATGGATGAAGTCAAACATTTGAGCACCGCGTTCTCGCGGAGCTATGTCCTGCTTGCAGATCTCAAATATGTGCTGGGTGTAGCTGACTCGATCGCATGGACACAGATGCGAGATTGCTCACGAGGCACCCATGTCTCCCATGGTTTTGACGCACTTGCTAAAAATTTTAAGGTGCTGGTCCCCTCCGTCCCATTCAAGGCTGACTGTACAGAGCCCCACCGTCGATTTCGACGCCTTTTGAAAGGAACGACTGTGTTCCCCCTCGAATCTTGTGACCTGTTCAGGAAATCGAGCCTGTTCATTATTCAGATGTTAGTTCCAGGATATTTCTCAGCCGTACTGGCTGTAGCAGGCTGGTTGGGCTCAGTGCCAACCACTTCGGGCAAGCCCTGCAGCGGCGATGAAATGTTCGTCGACGGACTGATGGGATCGTGAGTAAGCATTTCCATCTCGCTTGACCAACGAATGAGTTGGCAAGGGTGTTGACTTGACTTGCTCGACTTTCTCGAACGTGGAAAATACTGGACTAGATCGGCTTGTCCCCGGGACGAGCTTTGTTGAATCTTCTCAGTGCTTTTGGCGGTCCCGTTGGACCATCTGGAGGACGTGGTACATATCACTCCTACTGTATACTTCCGATTTTCGTAGCCACTTGCTTTGTTGACATGATTTTCAGATAGCCTAAGCACGACTCTGTGACCTTGCACCGAATTGAAGCATATGATTGCTCGCCAAGTCGTATTTTCTTGGACTGACCTCTCTGGCGTCGCAGTTGTTACTGGGGCCATTGACCAATATCTTCACGGGAACGGCCACTTGGTGTTGACGCGCAGTACAGATCGACGGATTTAATATACTCTCTGGCATTGCAGCGCAGAGTCCTGGGACAGTGCAACTACCTACCACCACTCGACCCGAGTTCAAACTTGACGGTATTAGAGCCAAAAGAAAACGTGCCCAAGGGACTTCAAAAGAAACGTTCAACACTGTCCGGCAAACGATTTGATTTTCAAACCCAATACATCCCTCAATCCACCGACTTATTATACAACAATGAAACTCCCCAGTGGTTATGCTACCGAGTCTCACTGGACATGGTCCATGTCCGACCCCTCGTTCTATTCAAATGACAGCTCTGTCTGGGCCGAGCTTCTTGACGACAACTATCTCTTCGACTCGCCGAAGCAGGCAACAAGCAATCTGGCAAGATCGGATGACACGAGAAGCTCAACAGAAGGAATAGATGTAGCGGCACCGGCAGGATCAACAACGATCGATAAAGGAAGAAGCAGCTCGAACCATTCGACCGAATCCCTGAGCACTGTCCCCAGCCGAGATGATGCCCCAAAGCCCACAAGCACGCAACTGGTAGACAGACCGCGGGCGAGGACCCAGCGGTCTTTGCGCCAGAATGACGTGGTTGATATTAGTGCGAATCTGCAACGGAAAAAGCAGAGGGAGGTGCAATATCAATTCATCAGGACAGAGTCTGCGGAGTCAATCGAGCAGGACCTGGATTGTGAGTGTACGGAATGCAAAGGGAGAAAAGCAAGGGGATTAGGGGGGCAGCAGATCTCAGGAAGGAGCATTCAGTCCAGACTGAATGCAATTTCCTTTTGAATATATTTCGGAACTTTAGTCTTGAGGATGGCATTTGAATGTGAAAAATGGGTTCCCCTCCCCAGTTGTACGAAACTGGGTGGTGACTTCGGCTCAAAATTGGGACGGATAAGTCCTACTTCGACCAACATCGATGTAATGAGTAACGCAATCTGAAAACTCCAGTGGTGCTACGCGAATTCATACATTTGAAATGAAGGACCCTCCAGTGCCAGTGTCAATCTCGTTGGGAGGTGCCGGGCACTCAAGGGCGAAGAACGTAGTATGCCGTGGACGAATTATGTGGAACGACCGGCACAGTAAATTGATGAGTCTCATCTGGAGCCCTGGTCATTGTTACTTCTCGCATTCTTTTCCTCAATTCTCCACCCACAGCATACTATCCTTTGTAGCTGAATTTCGAATGGGCGAAGCTATTTCGAAGGAGGGAGGTGGCTGACCGAAGTAGCTATGAATGGCCTGCCAGAAAGATCATCATCCTCAGTCATGTCGGAAATGGATGGATTCGCGACATGCCATGGGAAATCGAAAGCAAACCTCAAGCCGCGGTTGGTATTTGACTTTGGGAGCAAGGATTGGTCTGGAGCAGACACGAGGCTGAGAAGGCATCCATCCAATGCATTTTACCTTACGGCTTGGGACCACCAATAACCGTCTGTAATTCCCCTTGCCATCAAGATGTACCCGAAGCCGGACTAACGAGAACGACGGCAGTTGATATTCCCGGTTGCTATTTCCTTCCGTCCATGTTAACATTATCTGTAAGTTGGGTACGTTGATGCCCGCATGCATACAGCCAAGGTCCGCATGCGGCTGCAAGTTGGACCTGGGGCGACTTGAAATTGGCAAGGCTTGGCATAGAGCTTGGCAAGCCCGGCGTCTGATGATCACGTGGAGAGCGACGAAAGGCTTGAGATTTGATTAGATCTGCCCCAAATCAATTCTTGCCCGCATGGGGAGAAAAAATAAAAATAAGTTGTACATGTCTGCCCAAGGTCCTACCATGAGCCTCAGCGTCACCTGAAACGCTGTCCAGTAGCCCATAATCGAAGAGCGAGATGGTCAAACGCAAAGTCGGTGCCCTTGAGAAGGTCGACGCGGATCTACCCAACCTACAGAACAAAATCAAACGGGATCCGAAATCCTACCACACCGATTTTCTCTATCAGTACATCCAATATGACAATCAACGGCAGATTTTCATGCAGGCCCCGACCTCTACTTCTGATAATGGAGTGCTATCGTTTCGAGATCTGATCGAGTTCATTGCGCATGTGTCAGACTGCTATAAAGAGGAAACAAAAGATTTCCCACGGGAATTGATCGAGATCCTGTCAGCGCACCATGCGACACTGGAGCCGGAATTGCGGGAGAAGATTGTCGGCAGCCTGGTTCTGTTGAGGAAAAAGGAGATCATAGACTCCTCTAGGCTGCTGGAATGCTTCTTCCCAATCCTGACCCGCACACCTAGCAAGTCACTCCGTGCGTTGCTTTTCCAGAAAATCCTCAGCGACCTGCGGTCTTCCAATTCCAAGACAATAAACCATAAACTCAATCGCAGTGTCCAGACTACGCTACATAACCTGGTCACTGAAGATCGCACCTCGCCCAAGGCATTATGGGCAGTGAAGATTACGAGAGAAATGTGGAAGCGACAGATCTGGACCGATTCCAAAGCGGTGGAAATAATGAAGGAAGCGGCCCTTGCCGATAACGAGAAGTGTGTTGCTGGCGGGGTGAGATTCTTCCTGGGTGGTGACAAAGAACGAGAAGAACTGGAGGATGAAAGTTCAGACGAAGAGACAATCGACATGGGGAAGTTGAAGCACACGGTCGGAATCAACAAGAAGAGCAGAAAGTCGGAACAGAAACTTGAAAAAGCTGCAGCCAGTGTTCGCCGAAAGGAGAAGAAAAAGAGTCAGCCACATCCATTGAACTTTTCCGCCCTACATTTGTTACACGACCCTCAAGGCTTTGCAGAAAACCTATTCTCGAAACATCTACAGAACACCAAGTCCAAATTGAACCTGGAACAGAAGTTGCTCGTACTACAGCTTGTGTCGAGGTTGATTGGTCTCCATAAGCTGACGGTCATCAGCTTCTACTCCTACTTCCTGAAATATCTCACTCCACGACAACCCTCGGTGACCTCGTTTCTTGCATCACTGGCACAGTCCACACATAATTTGGTCCCGCCGGATATTCTGGAGCCTTTGGTGCAGAAAATTGCGAATGAATTTGTCTCGGAAGCGGCAGCTGGGGAAGTGGCCGCGGCGGGCCTCAACGCCATTCGAGAAATCTGTGTCCGGCAGCCACTCGCAATGAATGACACACTGCTTCAAGATTTGGTTATGTATAGGAAAAGCAAGGACAAAGGTGTCATGATGGCTGCGAAAGGTCTGCTGGGTCTTTATCGGCAGGTCGGAGCTGAAATGCTCAAGAAACGCGATCGTGGTAGAGATGCCACTCTTGGTCTACGGTCTGGTGAGCAACAGCAAGCAAGATTTGGAGAAGAAGCAGTCGGTGAGATCGAGGGTCTCGATCTTCTAGAGAAGTGGAAAAACGAGGAGAAGCAACGAAAACGGCTCGAAAAGGGTTTTCCCGCTGATGCATCTGAGGACGATGACGATGACGACGAAGAAGACTGGAATGCATGGGATGTTCAGGAAGAAGATAGCGACGATTCTGGAGGCTGGATTAATGTTGAAAGTGATGAGGATATCAACATCAGTGACAGTGAAGATGAGAAACCATCAGCGAAAAAGGTTCGAATTGAAGGTCCAATTTCTGCGAGTGATGATAAAGAGAATGATGCTGGAGAAGAAGCAAAGGACGCGAAACCGAGCCTCGCGTCGACTCGCATATTGACGCCGGCCGATCTCGCGAAGCTGCACGAACTACGCACTGCGGCCTCGGTATCTTCACTGATGAAGAATCATAAATCGCACCATGCGTCTCAAACACAACAAACGAATTCGCAACGCCACATGGATGATCCGCTGACAGCTGCGGAGATTGAGGGTCTGGCCTCTCTGTCAAAGGGGAAGGCTACCCGTGCGCAAAAGCTAGAACTCCTTGCAGACCACCGAGCAGACCGGGAGGAGCACAAATCCAAGGCGGCAAGGAAGAAGGAGCGCAAAGAGACGGAAGGCAAGAGCACGACGAACAAGGAGAAGGCACGTAAGAAGAACTTCCTGATGACATTGGGCAAAGCCAAATCGAAGGGCAAGAGGAGTCTGGTTGAACACAAGAAGATATTGCGTGCTCATGCAGAGAGGGGGAAGAAGGGAGGGAAGAGAGGCAACTACTGACCTATTCGTGATTGATACCTGGATGGACTTGTTTTGAGTGTCAAGACAGATTAATCTGCGAAGAGACAAATGACACGTACATGTAAAAACCTACTCGGCGTCACAGTGTTGTTGCTGGTGGGTGTTGAGCAATTTCAGGGCCCAAAGGGTGGCGTCTTCTGGGCCAGAGAGAGGCGCCTCAGAGGGTTTGCTCAACTTGCTGATGGGCGAGTGGGTGGGCCCCAGTCAATTTACTCATTAACGCGCTTCAAATGGTCCGTGTCAGGTTCGTGTTACCCGTGTCAGCTCGTGGTTCCTGAACATTTGGTGCTCTGCGCCCAGCCAACGAATCACAACCAAGCAGCCCAGGCCCCCCCAGGGATGAAACACGGTTCAGACCAATGGGACAATTTGCAGCTGTCGCAATGGGAATCTCCCAGCCCCCGGAGTTTTGGGGAGGATCCTCTCGTGGAGGCGTACCTCGTAAGTGCGTGCCAGCTTGGAGAAGTCCGAAGCCCAAAGCCGAAAGAAGACAGCATTAGCGGCGGGAGCGAGCCACTATTAATATCCAAGCTGCAGGTCTGAGTTTAGGGCGGAATCCTGGTAGACTCAGTTGGGCTTAGGCGGGCCCAGGCTAAGGGTCCCCTGGGTTAGGCGATGGCTGGTGCTCGATGACCCCTGGGGCTCATCCTTTTTGCGCCTTCAGGTGAGGCTGTGGCTGCACGGCTTCTAGGGGCTCGTCCAACCACTTGTTCTCACGCCATTCCCACAGGGCCACAGGCCATCTCCTCGCTTCATGGCCCGTTGCTCTAGAGATCCCAGGCATCGCATGGATAAGATAAAAGATTGCAATAATGCGGGAATGTGGGTGGAGGAGGACCCTCTGAAAAGGAATCCATGCGCTTACTCTTGTGGTTGCCCGCTGACTTAACTCCCGTCCACACGTTTCGCTTTGTACCACGACTCATTCCTTTGGTTGCCGGACTCGCACTCATACTCGCGCTTGCCTTACACACCTCGTCCTCTCACTCAACGTTCCTGCCCACCTTGGTGCTCCTGGCATTTACCCTTTTCAAAATCCGCGCCTTTCCTTGTGTCTCACTTGATCCTTTCTTCCTTCCCATCTCTCACTCTTGATCATCTTTGCCCACACAGCACGTCTATTTCCTATACTGTTCCATCAAGGCTTTTGCCTCTTACTATTAGCTTAGTAGGATTCTCAGCCTTCCGACCGTCCATCTCATACCTTATATTTTCCCCTTCCCGCGCAAAGCTTTGTCCCTCCACTCCTCAGCTCAAACATTGCTCCCACCAACCCCTGAGCCTCAGAACCTCAGCCTTCAGTCCTTCTTCAGCAACCTTTTCAGTATCCTTCACATCAACGATATTGTCACCGACCTCTCAAAGCTCTCCAGCAACCATCCTAATCATCCACCATGGGTCTTCCCACCGATTTTCTGGCTGCGGGTCCTTCCACCGATTCCACCTCACCTCTTTCTAAGCGTCGTCGCTTTACTCCCATGACTCTTCCTCCTATCATTCCCATCACGGACAATACGGACATCGAACGTCATACATTCGACTCACCATTATTGCTTCAGCTCTGTGAGCAAGCTCCAGATCAAGCTGAGATCGAAGCTGGCCTCCTCCAAGTTGGTATGCGGATCCGGAAGTCTGTTGCTGAAGGGTACAAGACACAGAAGAAATTCACCCCTCGGCCCTTTTTCAATGTCAACAGGCTGTCTCCTGAGACTCAAGCTGCACTCGTCAACAGCAATGCCGAGACCGCGAATGAGCTTCTTCCTTACTCTGCCAGCCAAACTCAGCCCTTGAGCACTGCAACCTATTGTGGTGTGAGTTTAGCATTCATGTCTCACTATAGCGAGGACATGTCTAGCTCCGATATTTCTGCACAGAGCCTGTGGTCATACTCTACCAGCCATAAGCGAGGATATGAAGTCGACTCAGACAGTGATGAAAGTCAGGACTGGCAGCCTCAAACACCCACCTTGGTTGGTGATGCCGCCGTGGAGATGCCTGTGGACTATTTCAACATTGGAACTGACACTATGAGTGATGCCAGCTCTATGACTCAACTTGGCGATCGTGCTCGATCGGGCTTCCATGGTCGTCGTATTATGATGCCGAAAAGCCGAAATCGACCAGTTCAATCGATTGAACACCCAACACCCGCTTTTAATCCGTTTTCTAATTTCGCTGTTCAACAAGCAGAGCCTCAATTTGGACAACACTTCGGCCATAAGAGGATGGCTAGCTGTGGAATGGAAGCCATGGACTTTGGAGAGGCCCCATTTTTGTCACGACGTGAAGATGTCGAAATGGACTGCTCTTGAATACAGTCCACTCACCATTTTTCCGGATTTGTCTTATTTATATGCATTGATTTATGATTACTCTTTGAATCTGTCCAAGAACAGATGAATGAATACCTCGGTCATTCGATCGAACCCGGGACGGCCTGAAAAGGAAACGACGCTCAGATCGATCATGGAAAGGATGAGAGAGTTCCAGCATGGAACATGGCTGGGTGAGAAATTCTCCGCCATTTCGGCTTGTGGAACGTGTTTTTGTAAGATATTGTGATTTTCGACCGCTTTGGCTATCGAAAGCATTTGTATATAAGGATTTTATGGGGTTGCATGCATTGGTCCACAGAAGATGCCATTTTGACTGATCAACGGGATGAACAGGATCGCAGGAGTCGAGTTACTCCCATCAGATCATGGGATTATGCAAGTGATATGGGCATTGCACGTTTGTATTCTGATCAGAGAATCAGCCTAGATAGATAATCAACATGAAAAGCAAGTATTTACTGAAAAAGAACTAGGGAGAAATCCACCAAGCTCAATTTCACCGCCTTGTTCAGGTGATCCATGTTGGGCAACCTCAGTTTCATTGTGGGATGTCACGTGACTCAAGATCTCGGCAGCGGTCACGTGGAAAATAGCTTGCCAAGGCCGAGAAGCCCGCAAAATGTCCAAATCGGGATGTAAACAAAAGCTCCCACTCCAACTGGTCAATACATTCACCTCGACTCTACATCCCAGTGCCCATACACATTCTGTTGTACCATACACTTGTACGCTTCTTGAATATGAGAATCACACCACAATAACAACTATCTTGAATCCTTATGGAAATAAATACAGCCCCCATTATGGAGAGTGACAATCCACTCAGCAGCCCAAACAGAAATCCTCTGAAATGCCCGCCAGGAGCTCTGAATCAACTCTCACCGGAGCGCATGAACCAACAGCGTATCCCACAATCGCCCTCCCTGCACAGCTACCTCATCGAAAATGATCGACCACGAAGTCGTGAGTCGATGACCTCGGAAGTGCAGTGTAAAGTCGCCTTCTTGAACAGTCTGAGCACGCAGTCTTCCCCAACACGAGCTCCCCGTGCAGAGAAAATACCAGCACTGATCCCGGCAGCCAGCCTCGCCGGCTCTCATGGGAACACATGGCAGAACAACGGCAATAATAATAATATTAATGGTAATACCAATAGCGCCTTCCAACGGGCCGTTATGGGCTATGAGGAAGCACAAGCCAGTTTGGCAACACTTAGTGCTGAGCTAGAGCGCTGTAAGGAAGAGCTTGGTGCGAGAAAGAAACGCGAGCGGATGATTGCCCAGCGGGTGGAGACGCTCTTAGAAGAACTTCAAGCCGACAAGGACAAGCGAGCGCGAGACCAGGAGTCGTATGCCAAGGAGGTCAAACGCTGTCGAAAGGAGACATACCGTGCCGAGTTGGCTCTCGTTGAATCCAGAGAGGAGTTGAAGGAGCTCCGAAGTGAGCTGAAAAAGTCGCATGCAGAGACTCAACATGAAAAGATCGAAAAGGAGAAGAGTCGACAGGAGGCCTTTGAGAGGGCTTATGCCTTGGCCGGCGTCCTGGAGGAGATGGAACAGGTGAAAGATCGCCTGAAAGCAACGGAAAAGGAAAGAGATACAGCTATTGAGGAGGCTCGTTCTACCTTGGCAGAGAAGGCCGCGTTAGAAAGCGCCCAATCTCATGAGTTGAACACAGCAGCAAATCAGCAGCAGGAAGCTCGTTCATCAAAGTGGCTTGGTGACTATGAGGGCCGATGTACCACCAACCTGAGTGCCGTCTCCGAGAGTTCCACTGCTCACTATCCTTTGCCATCGTTTTACCCCCTTTATCCAAGTTTCGATTCGATCAAGTTCCGTCTTGATATCTACGAGAAGCAAATGGAAGAGGAAGAGATCACGCCGGAGGAAGAAATTCTGTTTCTCAAACAAGAACTGAAATGTGCAAAGAGGCAACACAAAGAGGCAGAAGATTTGATCCATTTCATGCACATGCAGTGTCAGTTCAAGGCTTGTCCTTGCCGGATTGCCGAGTCTGATAGTGAAAGATTCGTCCATGATCACGTTTACGATGCCGAGCTGCGGCAGCAACGGATTTCGAAGAAACGAAAGATCTCGGCTGAAGGATTTAATTTACAACAAGCTCAACGGGAGCCTGCACAACGTGCTCCACCAGATGAATTGCTACGTGAAGAGACACCGAGGCCCATGAAGAAGGCAACTTCTGCTGGAGACATCATTGCCTTGCCTCCCGATCCTACACCGGAAGAGTTATCTGGAGCCCTGGAGGAGCCAGCATATGTCCAACAAGCTCTGGAGTTGCCGTTGCCAGAGCCACAACCAATGGAATTGGACTCGGTCAGCACCACCCCAGAAGCTACAGCTCAGCTCGAGGAAATCACTCAGGTGCTCGTTGAACCTGGTACAGCCAGTAAGCCCTTCTCCTTTTCGACCTCAACAACAAGTCATGCTGCTACAAGGTCGGCAGCACCACCTCTTCGTCATACGGAAAGTGCATCCGCATGCCTTGAGCAGGATCTGTTTGACCTCTCTCCACCAAAACAAGCTCAGCCTCGTCGACCTTCCACAGCAATGGGGATCCTGACCGTCGATTCACCGATCCGATTAATTCCAGATTCTCCGCGATCCTACAAAACAACTTGCGATGAATATGCCCGATCGACAACTCCTACCTTTGATCGTCATCAAATGTTCACAGAGTCGACAACCACCACCAAAATTGCCTTGAAGGATTCTTCCCCTCGAAGTAGTCTTCATAGAAGAGCACAGTCACGACCTAATATCCGGAGTCATTCTCCTCTTGTTTCTTCTATGGCGTCAAATAACCACCAGTCGGCTATGAATAGAGGTTCCGCTAAAGAGACGTCAGCATCACCAGCGGCGAGCACAGTTTTCCCGGTCACTCCTCTTGATAGACATGCGAGGTCAATGCACAACATGAAACAGCACGCCCAAACACAAGAGCGACGAGCGCCTCAGACAATTGCGGCGTCTACTACAACCACAAGAGTCCCCCTTCGCGGATTCGCCGATGCAGATGATGTTTTCAGCCCCCTCCGTGACGGGAACGGCCACGCTCATACGGAAGTCATTCGTACAACGACAGTGGCAACAGATTCAACCGCGTTACATTCATTCCAACACCATTCACGCCCTGGGGCCTTGGACCACAATACCAGGGACTCGAAATCGGACCCGAACTCAGCCTCGATCCTCGGCAATGTTCCAGGTACCCCCATCTCGCGCGAAGCAGCGCTTGCACAAATACGGGCACGAAGAGATCGAGCGCGTAGCGTCAATCTCAAACGCTCAACAGGTTCACTGGCCGGGGGACAGGGGTCAGGTGCTGTGAAGAGTCCAACCAAGCCAAGAGTGGTGAACGGTGTCACTGGTGCAGGGGGAATATTTGCCCAAGACAGAGACGGTGCTCGCAGGGAGATCAGCCAGGCCAGCGCGCCGGGTAGATTTGCTTGTTAGAGTTGATTGTTTTGGAGGTGTTATGGAGATAGATGTTGGCTGCTTCTTGGTCTGCACAGAGAGCTGCGAGGGGCTGGATAGCCCGCAGTTCTCTTCTTGCGGAGCTCGACGAATGTACACTGGTGTCGTGGATTTGTTGTGTCTGCGTATCTGTTTGCATATTACCCACCTAAACCTCTCGTCGAAGCAGTTGAGCGAGCTAGCGAAAGCACTATCATGGTATTCGGCGCGTATTTTGCATCCGCATCCGCATCTGCATCTGCATGCTCGTCTTGGGCTGGGTTCCTCTACCTCTACCTGTATTGACTTGCGTCGTCCTTGTCCCATGCTATATGATTCAAGCCTAGTAATTCCGGTATCCATGACTTAGTGCCCAGACTGGGCTAGTTGATGAGTATAGGACATGGAAAAGACACGATGCATAAACTTTAATGACAGCAATCTAGCCAGCAATTCTTTTATCATGAGTAAACCCGGAAAGCAAGGAAGGAGTTCCTTGCCTGTATGTATCATCCTCTCTGAAAACTGCGAGATGTAGAAAGGTATTATGTAAGATGTGATGTAGTGGCATAGCTCGTCCACCTCCTTTATGATCTCATGCACACGGGTGACGCCTGATATTCAACATTCCATCCCACTGCTACATTGGACAGGCTCTTCCTTTTTCCGAGGGTAACAAAACCAGATATTTGTCAGCTTCTTTCATCTAGATAGAATCCGCACACTTTTTATTCTCGAACAAAAACACCCGCCATTCCCATACCGGTGCCAATGCACATGCTCACGACACCTACTTGACCCGCCTCCAACTGTGGAAGAAGGGTCGCCAACTGCCTCGTTCCAGTCATGCCCAAGGGGTGACCGAGCGCAATGGCGCCGCCTCTGGGGTTGACCTTCGCAATATCCAGTCCCAGCTTGCGGATACAGTACAGGGCCTGGCTGGCGAAGGCCTCGTTGATTTCCCAGACGCTCACGTCCTCGGTGCTCAGGCCCGTCTGCTCGAGAACCTTGGGGATCGCGACTGCTGGGCCAACCCCCATCTCGTCGGGTCGGCAGCCTGCTGTTGCCGTGTTGACCCATTTTCCGATAATGTTCTTGGTCAGCCCGAGCTCGTTCGCCGTCGATCTCCTCAGCAATAGCGTTGCAGCTGCGCCATCTGAGATTTGAGAGGAATTTCCCGCCGTCGACGAACCATCCGCGGAGAATGCGGGTTTCAGCTTCGCCATCTTCTCGGCGTTGACTTCATGTCTGATGCCGTCGTCCTTGTCGACGGTGATTTCCTTGGCTGGGGCGTCAGGGTTCTCGGCGTCGAGGACCTTCACCTTGACGGGCACGATTTCGCCATCGAACAGACCCGCCCTCTGTGCCTTGGAGGCTTTCTGGTGACTGTCGGCGGCAAAGACGTCCTGGTCTTCTCTTGACACGTTATATCTCTTAGCAACATTTTCGCTCGTCAAGCCCATGGGCATGATACAGTCCCGGGCATTCTGGACGTGGCTCTCTTTCAACTCCTCCCACAGCTGCGTGGGGATGGCCTTGCTGCCGTAGTTCCGCGTCATGCTCTCCATGCCGGCGCCGACGCCGACGTCGATCTGGCCCACCGCGATCATATTCGCGACGCTCGTCACGGCAGCCAGCCCGGAACTGCACGCTCGGTTGACCGTGTGTAAGGGTGTGCGTTCGCTGAATCCGGCGTGTAGTTGTGCCATCCGTGCCGCTTTTGAGCCGCCCAGCTCTGCTAGGACTACTCCCACAGCGACCTCGTCGATCTTGTCCACGGGCAGATTGGGGTTTGCGGCCAGTGTGGCTCGCAGGACGTGCGAGAGGAGCTCGTGGTCGTATGCATTCCGGAACCCGCCCTTATATGCTCGAGTGACAGGCGTCCGTAGTGATGAGAGGATGACTACGTCTGAGGGGGATTTCTCAAGAATGGCTCTGAGGCCGCGTGCGTTCGCCATGTTGAATTTCTCTGGAGTGTATTTACTAACGTAGCCTTTGTTTTGGCGAGACAGATTCGAGGGCGGGATGGGATGGAATGGGAAGGGTAGGGAAGGGCGAGTTCGCGGAAAGAGAGGCGTATATGAACTGATTAAGACTCGGAAGACAAGAAGAGGGTAAACACTTCCCCGATGCACAAGGCGAAAATCGCTAATGTCTCGGAGAGTCACAGCAACAGTGAGGAGCTACATAAGGGAGTACGAAGGACAACTTGTACTAATGAGAAACAAAACAGTAGTGGGAGGGCCATCGGATGATGTCCTGCGAGGCGAACTTGCGGCGTTTTACGCCCATCGGATGTGTTCTTCGGCAGTGGGCAGTGGGCAATGGGGCAGCGGACAATGCCTAGAAGAGCAAATCCCCATACAATTCTTAGGGGAGTTACGCAGAGGGAAGGGGCACCCGGGGGCCACGGCCCAGGCTTCTCCGCACTTCGAGTTGCTTTCCCCAACAAGTCGCGGCGGTCACGAGGTGCACGTGGCCAGTAGTCGTGGCGGTGCGCCGCAGGTGGCTCATCAGGCTGTGGCGTCCATAGATAATGAGGCTGTATCATCATAAGCCAGAGGACTTTCTACGAGTACATACCCCTTTCGATTACATGGGAGTCTCTGTCTGGACACCAGGTCAGATCATCGAATTAGCAGTAGGACAAACGGGAAATGACTCTCTGCTTTGCAGCCGCCATCACGGTCCTCACACACACTGAGCAACACCCAGAGGTCTACAACACTTACCCACGGGCTTTGAGACCTGCAGCTTAACAAGTACTGCGAGTCTACTTCCCAGGCAATCTCCAGTTATACGACTCCCCATCCCCATGATATTTTTCTAAAGCTGTATAACGGGGCCCTCCGGTTGAATGACACAATAGCAATATTAGCAGAGTGCATGAGTCAATGGTAGCATCGACAATCAGTCCAAGGTACCCAACGTTGCTGGTGTGGTTACATTCGTCCGCTTAGCTTCGATTGATGGATTAGTCCACTCAGCGGTCAGCATCTGTTTCTTCTTCGGTACCTAGCAAGGTAGGATAGCTAATCAAGTCAATAGATAATCGCTAAGCTCTTCAGGCTCTCGGTAGCTGCCTGTCTGTGCCAAGCAGACTATCCAGCCGCTTTTCTATTAGACGGGGTTGGACCACAGCTACCTTCCTACTTGGGCTCGTTCTCCTCTTCTGATAATCGATACCTAGGCACTGATATGCGGAAGCGTGACAGTCTATGCCATTCTATGCATTCTTCCAGCTTTCGGTTCCTGGTGGCGCAAGATCGAGCTGATGACGTCGCATGGCTCCCTCCTTATCGCATGAGCTATGTATGTATGTATGACAGAGCTCTGTTCGCCGCCGCTTAATATCGTCTACGACCTAGCTCGTACTCAGTACTGGCCAACCAGGATTCCCTTGAATATTTGAAGGTAGGTCGCCCTCTCTACTTCTGCTTGCTCCTCCACCCTCGTGATTCTGCCACTCGACACTCTCAGGCAGCATGTATTTCCTCAGTTGCCTGTCGGACAGCACCAGTCTTACCTTCGTAGCGGCGATTGTGGTCGCTGCCTGGTTTCCCTTCATCGCCCTTGCTCAGTCCACTGGCAGCGAGCCTTCGCTACGAGTCCAAATTTCAATCGAGGATGGACTCTTGAACAGCACGACAGATGGCCGAGTGGTCGTTCTATTTGCACCGAGTGGAGTGGATCCCCTCGAGGACACCGACGTCACATCCAGCCCCGACTTGTTTTGGGGTATGAACGTGTACGACCTGAGCGCCTCAGACACCATCACTCTATCAGGTGGAGGGGGAAACAACACCAGAACTGGCGTTTTCGGCTTCCCTAACGCAACCCTCGAAGACGTCCCTACTGGCAACTATTCGGTGCAAGCGTTCCTCACCCCCTACGAGAAGGTATCTCGGAGCGACGGTTCAATCGTCAGTGTTCATTTCCCCTGTGGCGATGGAGCACCGAACATTGCTGGGGCTGGGAGCCTGTTTACATCAGTAGTAGACATCGATTTGGGAGAAGCTGAACAAACCGTCGAGCTCGTCTTCAACAACGTAACGGCCGTTGAGGACTCTACAGGCGAGGAAATTGGCGGATGCTCTCAGGGTAACTACGAGGATACCGACACGCTCAAGTATGTCAAAATCCGCAGCAATGCTCTCAGCGATTTCTGGGGTCGCGACATGTACGTCGGCGCCAATGTCCTACTTCCCAGCGGATACGACGCCAACGACACAAGTGTGCGCTATCCAGTCATCTATTCTCAGGGCCATTGGCCTGCAGACACGGGAGCTTTTCGTTATCCTACGGCAAACTTCTCAGAAGCGTGGGATAATGGCACAATCCCCGGCAATGACGGCGAGCCTGACAGGCCCACACCGAAAATGGTTATGGTGACTTTCCGCCACGAGGCGCCATTTTATGATGATTCCTACGCGGTCAATACGGCCAACATCGGCCCTTATGGCGACGCGATCAATGATGAGCTTATCCCCTATCTCGACTCCATCTTCAATACAATACCCGAACCGTATGCACGCATTCAAGTCGGTGGGTCGACCGGAGGCTGGATCTCTGCCGCCAGTGTCATCTTCCGGCCGGATCTGTTTGGGGCCTGCTTCTCGTCATATCCGGATTCCCTAGACTTCCACAGCCACCAGGCCATCCCGCTATACACATCCACCAGCGCCTACGAATTCGCCAACGGAACCGCGATCCCCTCAATCCGTGAGTTCGACGACAACGGCACGGAAATCATCCTAGCCACGGTGGCGCAAGAAAACCACTGGGAGCTTACATTCGGCAGCTCGTCGCGCTCATTCCTGCAATGGGACGTGTGGAACGCAGTGTTCGGTGTGCAGGGGCTCAACAGCTACCCCCTGGAGCCGTGGAACAAGGTCACGGGAGAGATCTACCCGGAGGCGGTCGAGTACTGGAAGCACATGGACCTGGCGAATTACATCGTCAGCAACTGGGACAACGAGCGCAACCTGGGCGAGGCGCTCAAAAACCGAATCTTCGTCTACGTCGGCACTTGGGACGACTACTTCCTCAATCTCGGAGTCGAAGAGTTCCAGAAGACCGTCGAAGCCGTGTCCGGGCCCGACTGGGTCAACATCACCATCCTGCCGGAGAAGCCACACGGCGGAAACTACCAGGCCCGCGAGATCTGGGACTTCCTCGAACTCGTCTACGACTGGATCCAAGACCATTCGCCCCAGGGCGCCACGCCGCTCTCCAGCGCCGTCACCGTCCCATCCTCTCGAGGGAACGCCTTCGCTGAAGTCCTCTCCTACGGCGGTCACCAGGCCGCACTGGCGCGCCAGGCGTCGCCTTCCATCGATCCAACGTCCAGCAGTGCGGGGGGCTGCACGTTCTCTGCGAGCGTCGGACGCTGGGACCCCGGCGTGACGCTCGAGGCGGCATGGCTGCTCAACGGCAAACCGACCAGCGAGCCCTTCGATGTCGCCCAGAGCGCGAACCTGACCTACACCCTCGACGCCGCGGCGCCTAAGAGGTCCTATCTCCAGCTTGCCGTCACTGGCCGAAAGTCTGGCTACCTCGATGAGACGAGGCTGAGTGATAGCGTCGCTTTGAAGTGGTAGCCTAGGGCAATTAGGCTATGTACGCCGTAAACATGATATAGCATAATATAATGCGCCTAACCGTCCGATTTAACTAAGTAGACAGCGCTGGAACTACTTTTCATGAACCGGTATTCCTGATACTTGCATCAAGGCAAAAATGTTTAACGTGTTTTTACAGATATATATATTGTAAGAGGATTTGATACAAGCAAAGGCTCACGACACCAATATATGTGTACAGATTTACACACCTAGGACAGCCTTGCGCGAAGAATACACAGATCGATCGATGTCTCTAACATCGAAGACAGCCATTCATATGACGCCCACCCATGAAGCGCAGGTACCAACTCACGAGGAGGCTGCTCGGTTGAGCCTTCCCTCGGCACTGTTGTGACTTCAGCTGGCCTTATCAAATCAGAAGATGACCGCTGATGCAACAACACACACTGCGTTGCCGCCCTCTATTCAGCCTTCTGACTGGTTGATTGGATCATAATCAGGGAACGGTCTCACGCTAGTTGCTCGACGCTGGAAGATCGTAGTTTGGTCGTACACTGCACTTAATCAGCGCCTACCCACCCAGGCTCATGCGGTTGCGTTTTCGAGCGGCTTGCGTGATTGTGCCCGGCGCCCTAGGACCGGTAGTCCTCTCTCGATCAGCTCTTTCTCAATGAGCTTCCATCGACCGACTTCCTTCTCTTTGTCCACGGGGGTCTCTCGTCGAGACAACACCATGACGTTAGGTCCTAACGGCTCGATTTTCCTTCTCGGCTTCGGTTCAGTCTCGCTGTTATTCACATCCGCTAGCTGGTCTGACTGGGCGGCCAGGAGGGCTTTTTCTTGCCGGGCTTGCAGAGTCGAGGCTACGGTTTTCGATGCCGTTTGTACGTAGTGTCGTGTTAAAAGGTCAAGAAACCCTGCAAGGGGCTTATCGTTATTCCAAACATTGCTGAGAATCGGGTCCGGAACTCGGTGGTGGGAAATGAATGAGAAATATTTCAGTATCTGGAAATTTCGTCAGCATGAGAGAAGAATGATTTGGATGGGCGCGCGGTCGAAGCATACCTCGAATGTGGTCGGGTCGGAAAAGTCAAGCTTCAGCTGGCCCATCAGCTCCTCGATATCTACATCTGTAATGTCTGAATTGCGTTTTTTATCTTTGATCGCTTGCTTGATTGCCTCCTTTAGTGTTTTGGTGTCCATCTGCAGTCCAGCAATGGTACCAGACTCTGTGACGTCGAAACCTGATGATGCAGCGGCAACTCTAGCGTAAACGTTGGGGGGCGTTGTATACAGCTCTGCAAAGTTTCTCTGAAGAGTCTTGCACACCCAAACATCGACAATAGCATCGTAGAGGTGCGCCAGGAAATACTCGCGGTTGACTTGCTGGCCGGGCGTGTGCCTCATGAATCTGCATTGCGATATTGGTTAGCCCTCTGGATGATAGCTGTTGAAAGATAGCAGTATCCGCTCACGGTTTAAATCTATCTGTAGATTTATCCAAATCCCCTAAGGGACGCTCTTGCCCGAGAATTTCAATGCCTACCCAGGTCGTGGCCTCCTCGTACTCCGCTGGCGCTTTGTCCGGCCCCCATTCTTTGAGGTCTTGGATCGGCTGCTTTTTCTGGACATTTATGTACTTCTCGAAAGGCTTAGTGGCGTAGGGTGCTCTTGGGTGTGCTTGCACCTCAGTCGAGTTCTGGCTGTGACGACTTCGGTCTGAGGACAAAAATGTCGAGACCGCTCGAGAAGGTTGACTACTGGATCTTGGGAGATTTCGTCGACAGCTGTGGCAGACATAACGCGGCGATGCAGCCTTGGAGAGTTCGCCGCATATCGTCTGGGGCCTTCGGAGAGACGATGCCATTGTACAGTTCTATGTTGGCTTAAGACGTTGGGAAGTAGAGGGTATTCGAACCTTCTTTACACAAACACGACGGATCTAAAGCTCGCAGGTGAACATTTCCTCCGAGCCATGCCAAGGACAAAAGCTACTGTGGATCAGAGCGCGGTGCTTCGATACGGTGGATCATTTGAACGACAGCGTTAAGGCAACTCTGCCGGCCAACACAAGGCTGGGAATTCCCATCCATCCCTCCCTTTCCTACCTAAGCCCCAATGCCTCTCTAATAGAGTATATGCCATGCATATCCTTTAATATGCATATATCTAGAGTAATTACATGATTCAACATTTTTCCGGTCTGCAGTGTGTCGCACTAACTCCTCTTCCATGCGGAGATGAGTGCCGAGTTCCCTTAGTTTCTTCTCCCAACTCATAACCTTTATCTCTTCACTTGCTCAGTACTGCTGAAGATATCCCCTTATCTTCGGCGCTCGCAGATTGGACAGAAGGAGAACATGTCGTGCTATTTGCGTCGCTCACATCGGTCTTCTGCGTCCCGTGAGATGGTGCTTCCTCCCCTTTCTCCTCATCTACCTTCTTTTTAGACGCCTTTTTCTCCACCTTTGTCTTTCCAAGTCCCATAGTGGCAAAGAATCCGGCGATGGCACATCCCATAGCGAGGTAGAAGACGTGTGTTATCGCATAGTTATATGCTCTCAAGACTTGCTGACCTGTGACAAAATCGCCCTTAGCTTCCAACTGGTGGATGATATTCGTCGCACCAGCACCGATAACTTCGGCGGGATTGAGCTGCGGAGCATATGACTTGAGGCCGTGTCGCAGGAAATTTAGAAATGCAGTCTGACCAAGTCCAAGCAGAATTGCGCCGCCGAAGGTTTGGGACCACATTAGAGTTGCCGTTGCAACGGGTACCATGTCTTTCGTTACCACGCTTTGTACAGCTTGAAGCGGCTGTTGGGTAGACACGCCACGTCCCATTCCACCAAGAATCTGATATCCAACCCATTTACCCAATGAAGTATCTGGCTGCAAAGTTGTCAGCAGACCCGCCGAAATAGACGCAAAGGTGTTGCCAAATAGGCCCAGCGGCAGGAGGTAGCCAATCCTCGGCGTAAGGGCACCGGATAGTACTGCGAAAAGGATCTGGGTCAAAAAGGTAGGCAGAGTATCAACAGCACTCATGGTCGGCGAATCGCCCTTGACTGTCTGAAACCACAATGGCAGGTAGTATGACTGCAGGATCAATCCACCAAATTGGCACATCGTGGTCACCAACGAGCTATATACGACTCTTCGGCGTACCAGCGAGAAAGGTATCATTGCGGCTTCGCCATGATGGTATTCCCACAGTGCGAAAGTAGAAAACCCACCGACTGACCCGCCGATCAATCCAATCAACGTGGCTGACGACCATGCATATGTTATGCCACCCCATTGAAGAGCCAATAACAGCATAATGCATGATGGAGCAAAGACGGCGAAACCGAGGAGATCGAAGTCGTTGACAATATCCCGAAACGTCCACTTGGTCTTTCGCGCCTTGTAAGGGGGAAATCGAATCAACAGCATGACCACAGCGGTCAAGCCACCTATGGGTAAGTTGATCCAAAAACACCAACGCCAACTAACGTGTTGGGTCAAAGCACCACCGACGAGTGGTCCCAACAATTGGCCGGCACCGGCCATTGCCATAATAATTGCCAGGAGCGTTGGTCGTTTGGAAGGAGGAGCTGCGACTGTAAGAATCGTGAGTGCGCCGTTGATAAGGCCTGAAGCTCCCATGCCAGCGACTGCTCGCCCTATTACTAGCATGGCACTCGATTTGGCCAAGGCACAGATCAATGAACCGAGTTCGAATCCTCCTAAAAATGCGAGGAACGAGTACTTCAGAGAGAAATAGGTGTATATCTTCCCAGTCAACGGCTGTAAGAAGCCCGTTAGCATGTGGTGCATTGACGAACAAATAAGCCCACTCACCTGCAAGGAAGCCGTGCAAAGCAGATATGCTGCCCCGTACCAGCCTATATCGGTGATCGTATGGAATTCATTGGTAATGTATGGGACGGCAGTTGCAAGAATAGATTGGTCCAGCGTAAGGATAATGACCACGAGCATGAGAGATGAAATGAGTATGTAAAGCGCTTTGGGTCCCAGGTAATCATCGTCGCCATCCTTCGATAGTACCTCGCCACTTGTGGCTGCAGTCGTTTCAGGTAGTGCTTGTATCACCGAAGGAGGCGGCGAGGCTGAGGTAGGGCTTCCGAGAGGTTGATCGGTGGAAGGAGTTGTCTGGGTTTTGTCCACGTTGGACAGCTTGAACCATTGATGTCCAGGACGCATGATGTTCAGAAGTATTGAGAAATCTATTCGTACTAGGTGAATAGTAGTATATTCAATTCCTTGCGGCTTTATAGTACCTATTTATTTACTTGGCGAAGTCACGCACGGAGACGGAGTGAAAAGAATGGTTCCGGACGGAGGCGGGCATGACCTATTCGGTGCTGGTCAGGGGCTCATTGATTGCAGGAGGAATGGACTTTTCAATTATGCTCAATACCACGATTGGCCAACGGGTGGACACGCTTAAATTGGAACCTGGATGAAATGAGTTTCCAGACAATCGAACTTGAGGACATTTAACAACCTGGCGTGCTTCATATTTTAGTTTTAGAGCAATCTGTAGCACCCGCTCAAAATTGCGTAGGGATTGCCCAATCATACATGAAGTCCTGCCACATGCCGTCCTCAAGGCCATCGAAAAGGTCTTGAAAAGGTATATCCGGACTGGGAGGATTGGGGACCGGTCGTTCAGGCAAGGTAGCAGCGGCCTCCGAGGCTTTGACCGCATTTTCTGCCCTAATTTTGGATTCATACCATCGTTTACACATGCGCATTTTTTCAGCGTACATGTTGAAGCGTGCGCCGACCGTGCGGTGCGTGTGGCTGACATCCGTCCTAGTTACCGACTCAAGTTTCTCGGCGAGGCGATCTATGAAAGCACCAAATGCCCACTTCGTGCGAACAAAATCCAAGTCCCAGCCGTCAGTGATTAAGAAAGATAACTTTGCAAGCATGAGAAGTGGCTGGATAGTATGCAGCCATGAGATGAATGTAAGAGTCGGAAGATTTTCGCTCGGCTCGGCCAGAAAAAGGTCCCAGTACTGGCTGATACAATTGAGGCATGCATACCATGCCTCGATCCTATGGATTAGTGGGTCAAGATCCGCCGTCTGCACGAATTCGTAGAGTCCAATCTGAGCACTAAGGATATGGATTTCAAGATGAGCTTATTCCATTAGCTCATTTGCAGGATAAAAATAAGGGGAACATTTGGGGCATACCACTTGGTAAAAGATCTCGAGGTACACTTTGCTTGAAGTTTTTGATATCCTCTTCGAAGCATTTCACAAAACTTCTGACCGGAACCGATAACGCAGATAAGCCCATTGCATCTGGCATATACTTTTCCAGAATATGCTGCAGACGCACGTGCTGGACGAGGGTAATATCTGAGGGATACTCGGCCTCGGTAAGTAAGAATTGACAGCAATCCTCTAGATGCTGAGTGTAGCGCATTGGATCAAGCCGCTTGAAGGCATAAGAAAGCTTGGCGCAAAGAAAGTAGACGCCCAAAAGAGCACGGTGTTCGTCGGTAGTTCGCAGGCCTTGTGAAACACCCTTTCCATGCAATAATGAAGTTGTATCGATCACTACCCGTAGCTGCCACTGTCCCAGAGACTGGGGCCGGTTCAAGCCGAGGTCGATTGTCAGGGCGATGCATAGATGGAGCAAATTCATCAATTGGGGGTTGAAATGGTTGTAGAATTGATACCTGAGGGTGATTTGGTGAGGATCAGCCAATTCAGAGACTTTCGGTCATTCTACATACCATGCAATCAAAACCAATAGCCCCTGAAGCATGTCGAGGGACTTCTCCGTACAAAGGAGCATGCGCTCTCCAACATACTTCAGTAAATCCTCTCCTAGGCGCATTTGCAAAGGAGGGTCAGTGTGAGCTGCCGCAGCAATACAAGCCCTGAAGAGGAAAGGGTGTTCCAGACGAAATTGAATGATGCCTTGAAGAGGGGGGATTACGACGAAAGGAAAATGTTCGCTCATGTCGGTTTGAAAGACTTTAAAAAGTTTCTCTTCGTACGCGGCCGGGACCTGAACCCTGAAATAGCCATTGGCGTCCGGTCCAGGATGGTTGCGCGGCCTTTGACTAAACGGTCGTGTCCAGTACTGAGATTCTAAGATGGAGCTCAGATCGCCTGGCTCATTTCCAGGCTGTGAGACCGACACAGGAGGAGTGGGTAATGCTGTTGATGTCGGAGGGCTCGTCACCGTGGTGCAAAAGTTTGTTCTGCCTGAAGTGATAAGGCTGGTTAAAGTCTCTATACGCTCCTCTAGCTGCGAGACTTTACTATTTGCTAGTGAGTAAGGCACCTACGGCTTCCCCCGACAACAGGCTGCTCGAGAACTCACTTGGATTTCACTCGATAGCGCTTACGAGGCAGCGGGGCTGGAGTGGTACATTCCTTTCCTAGACGACGACACCTAGGCTGTGGTGAGAACTGTATTCGTCCATGCATCATCAATGATGAGCAAGAAAAGCCAAGCTTACCTCTGACATGTGGACGTATTGGAGTTCTCTATCGGAATGCATTTGGCCTTGATCTGAACACAATGTCGACACGCTCGATGCGGACGCGCACCCGGCGTGTCGTCTGGACCCGGGATAGACGCCATTCTTAGATCCGGTAATGAAGTATTTGCTGCAAGACGAAGGGCTCACGCTCCAGTAGTTCACGATGGTGGGGCTGCCATAGGTAAACGTTGGCGTGGGTAAATTATTGAGCGAGGCAGGCAGTTAGGGACGGAATACGTTTCATTCCGGACCTGTACCTGGTTATAAGAAGCATTTCGTTTGAGGCCCTTGATGGTTGGGAGCATCCCAGGACGGCAGGCCGTAAGGCTTTAATGTAAACTCCGGGTCCGTATCCTCTGATGCCCTTGCTTCATACCATTCCTAAACCGTCATAAGTTGCCTCGCATGTGGGTAAGCTCGTGGGTGGGTCTCTCGCCAGAAGGCTGCCACTTTGGCTAGTATGCCTACAGGTATGGCCGGACGGAGTCAATGTAAACCTCCGTACCCGGTCTCCTGATTATCGGGACATGTAACCAGTGGTAGTGGAACGTGCTGAGGACTTGTGCACCTTATGCCATCCACAAAGATTATGCGTCAGTGGGATACAATGGCTCACGCCATTCTGAAAGGTCAACCAGCAGGGTGAACGGTTGGTCATTGGGATGGAAACTTCAGATATCACCTGGTAACCATGTTCTGCACCACTTGATGGCCTAGCCTGGAAAGATGTAATGTTAAGCGCAGCGTGCATTGAACACGGTTATCATTCAGTATTATGAAGCATATCAACTGAAGTTTATTCCCAGGTTGTCTCCACAGCGTTCTCCTCCAGCCCTGTCGTTCAATCTGAAGACAAAAGCTTGACGAAGCCAACCTATTGAGGCTTTCTGCAGAAATCGAGTCTAAGACTTCCCAGGCACCCGTCCTTGATCGACATCACGAGTACCTCATCGGCACTGATGCAAGAGCCACACATCCATGTTTTCTCCCCTGGGAGCTGGCTTCACCTGTACAACTTTGGCCTAAGCACGTTCCATGGCTGGGGCAGACTCCGGTTTATTGTTCCAGGCCTGGCTTTATATCACTTTTGACTAAGCGCCAAGTTCAAGGAGTGACTTGACAGTATCGACAACGCTCTCTTCGAGAGACCTGTACCTAATTCCAAGAATTTCTTTACTGCGAGAATTATCGAAGCCATAGACATCCCCAGGACGGTCACTCTTTAAATCATCGGGCAGCTTGTTCGACAATTCAGGGAATTTGGTTTTGATGACACTGGCAATTTCTCCATTCGAGTAATGACCTGCGGTAATCAAAAATCGTTTCCCCCCAGCCTCGGGGACCTCCAGTGCTTTGACGTGCGCGAGAGCCAGGTCGCGCACATCCACCCAAATGAATACACCGGATGGTGGTAAACCGTTTCGTGATTTTCCCTGGATTAAGTTGCGCACCCGCTCGTTTGAAGTGTTGAGGGTGTCCAGTGAGTTGAGGTAATGTACCACAGGGCCGAGGACTAGAGGTGGGTTAAGGGTAGCAATATCAAAGTTGGGTTTCTCCCTTTCCACAAAATCCCACGCAGCCTTTTCCGCGAAGGTTTTGCTTGCTCTGTAGCCGTCTTGAGGACTGGCCACCGCCTGCTCCTGGGTTATTGGATTCCAGTTTGACTCTGAATATACCTTGGCATGATTGCTGGGATTGATGATGGCAGCAAATGATGAGGTGATGACCACGCGCTTTACAGATGGAGCGTTCTTCTTGATAGCTTCCAGGAGAGTGGTTGTGCCAACAATGGCAGGGTCCAATAAGTCCTTCTTCACATCTGTGACGTTGAAATGGAAGGGCGATGCTGTGTGAAGGACAGCATCGAATGGAGGATCCGATTTGACCGCTTCATCGAATGCTCCCTCTCGTGCAATATCACGGACGATCACATAGCTCAATTTGGATGATGAAGTACCAGGGTGATTGTTCAAGATTTTCTGGCCCTTTTCATCCGAACGCACAGTAAAAACAACATCGTGATTTCTCTGAAGAAGGATATCAACGGTGTGGGCGGCAATGAAGCCAGATCCGCCCGTAAGAAGTACCCTGACCATGTTATTGATAGCTGATCTTTAAGGGAAGGGATTAAAAACTGGCGAACGCTGTAGAGGGAACGCTTGTTGTGTTCGAACTGTCGCAAAGCCGTACACACACGCATTTATCACGTTTGGAATCCTAAGCTAGGGAATGACTCGTGATAAATCACCAACTTCGAGTACAGGATCAATATGTGACAACGAGCGCCCGCTTATCCGGCAATTTTTATGGGGAACGTCACCATTGCCGAGTATGGTGTCATAGGTCATGGATCCTCGGCAAATGAGATAACTGTGGACAAGGAGATAAGAAACTTAATTCTCTGGGATAATTCCGCGTTGTCATTTTGCAAGTTCTGCCCCCTGGAAGCGAAGGACAGACACCAAAAGAGAGTAAAATTCAGTCCAGCGTGCAGCCTGAGCGTGGCGGGGCAGACAAGGCTGCCTTGGCATTTTCGCGTAAGGCTGGGCTGCCTTCCTCCCACTTGGTCCTCTTCTCCATCCTTCTCAGGTCGACTTATCGCCAAACTAGACCCAAGCAGGGATCTTCACACAATGGGAAATGATGGTGGAAGGTGAGTCGGTGCCCCAATCGCTGACATGGCCAAGCTGACCATTGTCTAGTATTCCTACTCGACGCGAGCTCGTCAAAGAGGTTGCGCGAAATCCCACCGCAACCGAGTTGAAAGACCGACAGCAAGAGCATCTAGCCCATAGATGGTCTATCTGTCCCCTTTCAAATACACCGCTTGTCAAGCCAATTGTATCAGACCATGCGGGGAATCTTTACAACAAGGATGCCATTATCCAGTTCCTCCTTCCTGCCGAAGTCAGCGCTATCGACAAGGATGAGTACGAGAGATTCATTCAAGGGAGAGTCAAGAGCCTGAAAGACGTCGTTGAAGTACAATTCGAGGTTGATCAGGATGAGGAGAGCAAGGAAAGCCGCTGGGTGTGCCCGATCACCTCCAAGCAGTTGGGTCCAAGCGTGAAAGCTGTCTACATTGTGCCCTGTGGCCATGCTTTCTCTCAAGAAGCCATCAAGGAAATGAAGAGTGATGGCAAATGTGTTCAATGCGGCACGGCTTACGAAGAGCGAGACATCGTTCCAATTTTGGCAAGCACTGAAAAGGATAAGGCACAGCTTATTGAACGAGTCGAGCTCCTGAGGGCTCTTGGTCTGACCCACGCCCTCAAAAAGGCCAGCAGTTGCAAGAAAAGAAAAGCCACTAGGGAGCCAAAGAGCGACATAGTGGGTGCTGGCTCACATGAGGGTATGGAAAGGGAGCTGGTCAGAAAAGCAAAGGGCCAAATGAACGGGGGGCCTCCATCAGGAACACCCCAATCTAGCACTTCCACTCCGAAGCTATCGAGTGGCATCAAGGATTCAGCAACTGCCAGCTTGACTGCGCGAGTGTTGCACGAGGAAGAAACACGGAAGAAGAGACGGCAAGAGAACGAGAATATCAACTCTCTCTATTCCAAGAAGAGCACCGGCACTGAGAAGAACAAAGGGGATTTCATGACCAGGGGTTTCTCGATCCCGGCAAATGCTCGCTATGATTGATCAGAAAAAAAAGGTCTGATGAAGTGGGACGAGCTCCGATTCCAGGTCAAGGGTCGGTAAATGCCATTCCAACCAAGCGGTAATCGACATTGAGTTCACGTGCCCGTGGCAAGTTTGTTGACGCTGGGTTGACGCCGAACCGAGGCCTGCCAAAGTGTTCAGATGCATAAGCTCACCTCAGCCAATGTGTTGCCCGGTGTGGTTCAAACGGACTATGAATTAATGCCCCGATACCAACATCGCCATTACGTCAATATCAATCCACAAAGTGGCTGGGGTTTGCTCAATTCCCGATTCATCTCAAGATTTCCATTCCGGATACGCCAGCATTCGCCGGAAGAAGACCTAGCCTGTCTCTGTAGGGGCTATTCGCTCTTTCAATCACCCATTATAGCAGACAGCACGTGCAGTACCTCTCGTGCTTGTCGGATCTTTTCATGTCCCAGCAGAATCGTCCATACGCAAATTGGCGCCTTGAAAATATTTGATTGCAGCCGTCTGGCTCGTTTCATTGTCCAGGGTGTTAACCGGTCCTGAGTGTTGTGATCAATGCTCAACCTGCGGCATTTCTCATCTCAATGATCAGGATGCGCCAGGCAGTCAGAAGCACGTTGCCTATACATCGCTCTGAACCTGAGTGAGATACCTGCAAATAGCTCTGTCATTGCGTCCCAGAATCTCTAAAGGTGGGGTGGGGTTTTGGGGGGGGGGGGGGGGGTTATTCAACTTGTTCAACGTGTGCAGTGTCAACCTTTCCATCCTTCACCAAATCGTGGCATTACACACCTTATGCCGCCATCCATCCGCTCCACCCGTCGCTGATTGCTCATGGGACGGCTGTTCTCATTGCAGGAGGAGGTACAGGCATCGGCAATAGCTTTTGCGCAAGCAAGTGCTCGTGCAGTTGTCATAACAGCTCATAGACAAGAGCCTCTCTCTTGCTATCGCACAAGAAGAAATCGAAAGATTAAGGGTGCATATGCCTCAACTTTCAAGCTGATGTCACTGAAGCGATTGTGTCTGAGGAAGTACCTAGCGCTTTTGGCAAGATCGACGCCGTCACTTCGAATGCAGGATACCTCAATAAGAGCCTATCTGTAGCCAAAAACTGCCTTGAGATCAACGTCAATGGCTCGGTAAGAAAGGTACAGGCATTCTTCAAATCAAATCTTGGGTGGCCATCGATGTCCGGATCGGCTCCAGTGTTGTTGTTCATCGCCCACCTGCTGCATTGCCAACATTTTCGGCATATACTGCCTCAAAGCTTGCTGCCTTCAACCTCTTAAGCTTTCTCCAGGCAGAACATCCGGGATTTAGGATTTTCAACCTTCAACTTGGTGAGATGCTTATCGATCTAGCAAGGTGGCCGTGACAGGTATGTGGATAATATAAAATTGTCGGCGAGTTGCTGCGTCTGGTTTACTGCGAATGCTGACGGAGCGGCCGAATTCTTGTCAGGGAGATTGGTATGGGCCAATTGAAATGCGACAGAACTTGTTGAAGAGTCAAGGGAGATCGTGGAAGGGGCTCTCCTGACCCTGGAACTTACTAGCTAGCGGACAGAATTTGCAGAGCTTGTTGACGATCAAGTCAAGGTATAGCGAGGGTGATTGTGATTGCTGTAAATGTGGCGAATGATAGTCTGGTCGTGCTTCAAGGGCTCTGATATGGTAGAACTGCCAAATCCCAAGGATTCCAGCTGCTCCAGGACTTTCGTTTCCTGAGCAAGGATGCACAACTCTCTTCACGCAGATGGATTGTGAACAGTAAATTTAACGGTATAGCCAACACGTGACTTGCCTTTCCACGGCCACGACGCTTCATGCTTGTAAAATCGACCGTAGGCTTGGCACATTGTTCCTCGAAACTTTAGGAAAGTATCCCAGGACGACGCAGGAGACATTCGATACGAGCAAAGCTTCGAGCACACAATCCTTTGCGTCAAGCTGGTCCAGTGGTTGCAGCAATGAGTGCAGTGCGGCTGTCGCCTGCAGCAAACCTCCTGCGAAATTCGAGGCTGTTTGCTCTACCGTCACCTATTCCGCTACCTACAGCCGACAGATATACCGACCAGCCTTCCTCCGACACAGCTACCACTATCCATCCAACACGAGCGGCATTAGAGACACCAAAAACATCTCTGAAAAGAGGCGACTGGGGGTTGAAGCGTCCGTTGCCCATAAGAACTACCACCAAAAGTGGTACTCCAACTTTCAGGATACGAGGAGGCATCGATACACCTGAGCATATTGCCGATTTCGAATCAGCCGCCGACCATGTCATAAATCTACGGAAGTTCCAAGAGCTGGACTTACGAGTCACACTCCCAGACGATAAGGGAAGGGGGAGACGCGACAACGTCAGTCCCTTTGCTCCAGCGCTCGACAATACGACTGCAGATGCCCTTCCCGAAATTGAACAACAAGACGAGTCAACCGCCTGGCTCAGCGCCGACAAGGCGCAACGTGTAGCCAAACTCCCGGCTCACCTGAAAGCCAGCCTTGAGCAGTTTGAGCAGTCTGAGGCTGAGAAGCGTGTTCAATCCGACTCTGTCGCGGACTCGATCTTTGAGGACGAGGCATCTATGAGATTTGGAGCAGAACTCATAGATGACCCGAATTCGACTAACCCGGCAAAGCGAAGATGGCGCTACACTGGTCCATACTTGGCCGGGATCACAGAATTTGAGTTTGATAACTTCTTGAATACAATCACACCAGAAAAGAAAGCTGCATTCCGAGATCTCGTAAAGCAACATCTTACAGAACGGCGACTTTCAGAGCAGCGTTCCACGGCGTTGGATGAAGGCTCCGCGGAAGAGTTATCCCAGCAGACTCCTGCTGAGATAACCGAGGAAGATATCACCGGGCACCTCCGGGACCTAAGATCAGAGCCGGGCCAATTCGGACCCTTGATTGCGAGCTTCTTTGATCTCGCAGATGGACCCCAGCCAGAGCTTGGCAACAAGGATCCTTGGTCGTACGGACGGGACACGATCACCGCATATCGATACAAGCAGACGGGTCCTCCTAGGACACATCCGTCGGCTGGTCTATCTTATCAATACTCTGGCAGGTTTGTCCTCAATGATGCCAGAAACGGTCCGTTGGCAGGCCGGCAGCCAGCTGCTGGCAGGGTCTTGCAATCAAGTGCCATGAGTGACACCCAGAATAAGCCTCACTTGGGTGTGGCTGGATTCGTTGTCAGTAACCCGAACAGAGTGGACGTTGGCAATCTCAAATGGGAACCCGTGCCAGGTGGACCGAAATGCGTCGTCCAGCCTGAGGCCGCCATTGTCACGCAGACTGGGAAGCTTGATATCCAGGCCTCTGTAAAGACTAATTGGCATCTCAAAAACAATATCCCTCAGGCAGACTCTGATCTGCGACAAACCCGAGAGCAAGTCTCTGCAGCGGCAAGATCTAATTCTTTGCGGACACCCCTCCTTCGAAGAGGTCGAGGCCGAGGAGGGCGAGTCAAGATTGACGCAGACCTTGTGGACGAGATGGATCGCTTGACTCAGTCTGCATCTCAGAGCTATGATCCAGACCGGCGTTCCTAGGGAAGTGTATACTAGCTGTAAATATCAATAGATTGTATCTCAAGATGCAACAGCAACTGGCTGGAAGATCCCTTGTTTATCACAATTTCATTAACGGCTAGGATGGAACTTATTGCTTCGCAGTCATGTGAATGAATTGTAGATCTTATCTTATCTGTCAAATTCCTTGGCACACAGAGGGCAGTGCCAAGATCTACGGAAAGTTGCAAATCAATTTCCAGAATCTCAACTGCACGTTTCCAACGAGTCTCTTGTCAAGCAACAGCCAACCGTCAACATGGGTCGCGTTCGAACGAAGGTCAGTAAAATCGAACCTAGACTGCTATTATGGCGGTATGATATTTTCTCGCAACAACCACTAATATATTGCTGCATTCAGACTGTAAAGAAGTCCGCTAAAGTCATCATCGAGCGGTACTATCCAAAGCTCACTCTCGACTTCGAGACCAATAAGAGAATATGCGATGAAATCGCCATTATCGCCTCCAAGCGTCTTCGCAACAAGGTGCGCCCTCCATGAATACCCCTCAGCTGAGTGAAAAATACTGACATGGCTGCGATTTTAGATCGCTGGTTACACCACCCATTTGATGAAGCGTATTCAGCGAGGACCTGTTCGTGGTATTTCCTTCAAGCTGCAAGAAGAAGAGCGTGAACGCAAGGATCAATATGTCCCAGAAATCTCCGCGTTGGACTTCACCCAGAATACCGAGAGTGGTCAGCTGGATGTCGACTCTGATACCAAGGACTTGTTGAAGAGCATGGGCTTCGACTCTATTGCTGTCAATGTTGTTCCTATCAGCCAGCAGGCTCCCCAAGAGAGAGGTGGTCGCAGAGTTTTCGGCACCGATAGACCCGGTCGTCGCGAATAGGTCAATCGTCTCCTGGATTAAGAAAATTGAGCAACCCCTGACAGAGGTCAGAGGGTACTTGCCAAGAACGAGCCCGACGACATTGTTGGACCAGCCTCGACGATACTTTCTCGATTTGTGTCGCGGTGACCTGGCAGACCTGATAGAATCGACGCAAACTGCCATACAGCTGTTTCCCTTCCGAGGGCAGGGGATAAAATCAGCCAGAGTCTGCTCAGATACCCCCCAAAAGAAGACAATTGAACAACACCAAGGTGTCGCCTAGTCCTTTGGACGAAGCTTGATTGCCATTCTCCTTCTCCTCCTGCATGAACTTTTGTGACGCCGTCGAGACAATTTGCATCCAGCATATTAGCCTCTATTCTAGTAAGCTCGTAGACTCCGTCGTCAGTGATCGAAAGGGACTTTACGAGTACGTACCGAGTCGCCTTCTTATATCTTTGGGCCTTTACGGTGCCTGATGGGATTAAATCCCGGGAGACGCAAGCCGAATAAGCTGGAGAATGACCCTCGGCTGCCTCATCGATTTGTCTCGGTCAAACGCAAAAGCACCAACATAGTAGCCCATTCGTTTTCAACATTCGAGTCAATTCTTCATTGATGATGAAATGCGACACTTTTCTCCCATCAAAAGTTGAGCTTGAGATTCCCTTTAAAGGTTAGCAATGTGCACCGTCTTGTATTGACTAAGCCTTTCCTGATTGCTCTTCTTACGTCGATGTGAACCATCGAACAATGTTATTCTAGTTCCCGCGAACGACACATCAAAAGTTGAGCTCATGGGAAGCGGTAGTCTGTGCCACTGATAATAGGAACACAATTCCGGAAAAGACAGTAACGGTAGAGTTTGATGCAAAATAATAATAGTTATTACAGTATGTAATAGTTATGAACCAGCGAATTCCGCGGACTTTACACGCTGGTGAGTAATGGTGATGAACTTTTCTATATCGGAATTCAATGTTGAACAGTATCTGGACACCTGTTTCGGCGCAATTTTAGAGACTACTTACCTGTAGCTGTAGAGTGTATTCATATCTATACTAGGCCTAGATGCGTGATTAGCCTCACTATAAGGTATTTTGCATATAGTAAATGTGAATTAGCGTCTATATATTGTAACTGTGTCACAACGGACTAGTAAATGCTTTTCTATAGATAATTTAGTATTTAAACTCCTTGAGCTTATATCGCAGTATCTAAGTTACTATAATCCGAAAGATTAGAAGTCTAAAGACAAGGACTAATCAATTAAACACGACTCTAGATTATAATAGAGAACTAATTAGGATATATTTATATTTCTACATCCCCTTTCTGTCCCTATATACCTTTACTCAATAGAATTCATCTAGGAGACCCTCTGCATCATTGAATTAATTTTTTCACTCATTGCCTACGCTACCTCCGTAATTACGGTCACCCTCTTCGACATTCTGCTTCAAAATACCCTCAATCTCTGCGATCATCTGTTCAAGTCTAGATATGGAACGACCAATTTTCGAAACACATTCATCAATTCAATTCTGGGAAGTCCCCTGTCTTCGCAATTCCTGGTCCTACAAACGAGTCTCAGCCATCAAATTAGACTGCAGTCTGCTCTTGTGAGGTTCGAATAGCCTAGCAGCGATAAGTCGCAAGTCCGGTTTTCGCAGTTTACCAGTCCCTGTCTTAGGCCAGACTTGAAATTGTGGTCGAGATCCCAACCATACTATGTACTTGGGCTGTTTGAAATGTGCCAATTTCTCCCGGACCCATGATCTGACCTCGTCGTCGGCTGGGATTTCCGCCTCCGGCCGTGCCTCTATGAATGCGCAAACCTCTTCGCCGTACTTTTCATCGGGGACCCCGATAACGGCGCTCTGAGCTATGGAAGGATGAGCTGCCAGGCGCGCTTTAATCTCCAAGGGACTGATGTTTTCGCCTCCCCGAATGATCATGTCTTTGATCCGTCCCGTGATGGTGAAGAACCCGTCGGTGCTGATGAAGCCTTCATCGCCTGTGTGGAACCATTCTAACCCGTCTTCTTGTGGGATGACATGTGACTCAGCAGTTTTCCTAGGGTTTGAATAATAACATGCCTGGACCCCTGGGCCTCTCAGTACTATTTCACCTTTTCTTCCTCTTGAGACGACTGTGTTGGTCGTCGGATCGACAATTTTAGCGGAAAATCCGGGAAACAGTCGGCCAGATGTAAGCGTCCGCTGGCGAATGCTGTCCGTGTCTCTCGTCATCGTGACTATCGAACCAGCTTCCGTCATTCCCCAGTTTGTGTGAGTCTGTGTGAGACCAAACGCCGCCCAGACCTTACGCATCAAGGTCTCCGAGACTGCAGATCCCGACAAGATGGCGAATCGAAGACTCGACAGGTCATATGAAGCAAAATTCGAATGGTTCATCTCCGCAGCGAACATGGTCGTGACACCATATATGCCCGTACATTTGTACTTGGAGACACTTGTGAGTGTGGTTTCAACGTTGAATGTGCTTCCGCAAAGCACGACCGACGCGCCGCGCACAAGTGCCGCAGCAACACCGATGACAATCCCAAAGCTGTGGAATAACGGCACGGGAAGGCAGATCTTGTCCGAAGGTTGAAGATACATCGTGTCGCCAATATGTCTTCCGCAGTGCAGAAGGCCGCGATGTGTCAGCGCCGATGCTTTGGGCATCCCCGTGGAGCCGCTGGTGAATTGGAGGTTGATCACTTCGCCAGCGTTGAGGGTTTTTTCTACTCCGAGCAGATCCAAGGTGGACTTTGACCCTGCTGCGATTATGTCTTCGTAATGGACGGCTTCCTCTCGTTGACGTTGGTCATCGTGGAATAATATCGTGTGCTTCAAGCTCGGGATATTGAGTTTAAGCCGCGGTAGCCATGGCCTGTAGTCGTACCGGCCGAAGAAAGGGAGCGTGATCAGAACCGAGGCACCGATTGAGGAGAGAACACTGTGCATCTCCTGTTCGTTGTATGCATAGTTGGTCAACGTGCAGAATGCGCCGAGTTTCGTGCATGCGAAGAAGACCTCGATATATTCAATCTCGTTTCCAGCCATGATGGCCACTCTGTCGCCTTTCTTCACGCCTAGTGCCACAGAAAGGCCTCGAGCCAGGTTGTCCGTTCGATCATCAGCCTCAGAGTAGGTCAGACTCCTGTTTTGGTGGTGGGATTCTACAAAGAGTCCATTGGGTCGCTCGATCGCTTGTTTTCGGAGAGTCCGTCCAAACGTCGATTCTTGTGCCCGCACTTGAGAGGGACCGTGTACAATAGATGCACCTTTCTGTTCGAGAAGAGCCAGCGAACGGTAACCTCTTTGGTTGGTTTTGCTGGATGCCATGTTGATAGCGGCGACAAATGTAAATGTGTCGAAGTTGGGACGATGATAGCCAGTCTTGGTCGAGAGCCTTCACATCATACCTCGTGAATCTGAACACCCGTATCGAGTGATATAAGAACTAGGTCTCTCGTGAGTTCTCCTTGGGACTATCTTGCATTCCACGCCAATCGCCTGTTGGTGGAGAAGCCTTCTAGTGTCGACGCTTCAAAGCATTTGGAACCAATGAATTGATCATCCGATACGCGATGGCCAGTCGGCGTGCTCTGCACTCCAGATGGCTAGGACTTTGCTCCAATCATTGGTCTACTGTGTCTCGACTCTCTCATGTATTCATGCATAGATATGATGAGGCAGATAAGGGAGGCTGTATGAGTTGAGAAGTCGAGAATTTTATTTCTCTAAACTGCCTGGACTTCGGTTTCCTGCAAGAGCTGACCCGGCTGACTCGAGGCCGTGACGGAACTGGTCTACTTTCAGCTCAACCTCAGTTCGCTCCAACGGGAAGAGAATAACTTAGAGAGTGCCGAAGCCTTGCTACGGCACCATGGCAACACGCGCTTTCGTTGTGGGAGTTGGTATGACTCCGTTTTGCTCCCCTAAAAGAGCCGCATCTCAAGCCACTGATCCGGGTTCCGACTATCTTGGTCTGGCGGTGGAAGCCGCTGTCAAGGCACTCATCGACGCCGGAATCACCTATGACGAGGTTGACCAAGGAGTTGGAGCTTACGTCTATGGAGATTCAACATGTGCTCAACGGGTCTTCTACAGCCTGGGGATTACAGGAATACCAATCTTCAACGTGAACAACTGGTGCAGCTCGGGCAGCACAGCCCTATGGCTTGCCAACCAGGCGATCAAATCGGGGTCCGCCAACTGCGTCCTGGTCATCGGCTTCGACAAGATGTATCCGGGAGTACTTCCTCAAACGTTCAAGGATCGCACAAGCCCCTTGTCGCGAATTTTGGATATGTCGCAGGAGCAGATACCAAAGGCAGAGAGAGGCAAGCCTTCACCTGGGTGGACTCCTCTCTTGTACGCCAATGCGCAGTCCGAGTACTTGGTCCGCTATTCCCTGCGAGGCGCGCAGAAGAAGCATTTTGCTGGTATTGCCTCGATCAATCGCTCCCACGGAGTAAACAATCCTTACAGCCAACTGGTCCAAGCAGTCTCACCAGACGATGTTCTGAATAGTCGTACTGTGTCTGGGACAATAACTCGACTTCAATACTGTCCGTCGTCGGTAGGTCCAATTCCAGGAAGTTTACTGGCTATGCTAATTGCCTGTAAGACTGGTGCAGGTGCTGCTGTAGTCGTATCGGAATCAATTCTCGCCAGCCATCCACACCTTGAGACTTCAGCCATAGAGATTGCTGGTCAAGCCCTTGCGACAGATTCTCCAGAGTTGTTTGAAAGTCGCAGCGCAATGGAACTCATTGGTTCGGGTATGACGCGACAAGCGGCCACGGCCGCGTATGAACAAGCGGGTCTCGGTCCCAACGACATGGATGTCATTGAACTGCATGACTGTTTTACCACCAACCAGATGTGTTCTATGGAAGATTTGGGGCTCGCAGCGCCCGGGGAAGGATGGAAGCTCGTGGAGGAGAAGAGAATTACTTGCGGGCAACAAGATGAAAGGAATGATGGCGTCAAGACTTGGATTGTCAATCCCAGCGGTGGTCTCATATCTAAAGGCCATCCTTTAGGAGCCACTGGCCTTGCACAGTGTGCCGAGCTAGTATGGCATCTGAGGGGCTGGACAACGAGCCGTTCGAGACCTCAGACAAAACACTGTCTTGCTCATAACATGGGCCTCGGCGGCGCAACAGTGGTGACAATCTACAAGAGGGCAGATGGACATTTTGCCCCGCAACCGGGGAAACAGGGGTCAGTAACCGATGGGCGCGGCAGGCTGGGTTATAATCCTGCAGAAGAAGCGCGTCAGATTACGGGGGGTGACTGGATGAGTGTGGTATCGCAGAAGCTGGCATTTTCTGCCTGGGCCTCGAAGAAACTGCCCTGGGTAGTAGATAATGAAGCTATGTCTAGGGAGATGAGAGCCAGGCTTTAGGTCTAGGGGTCTAGGGAGATCTTGTTTTGGAGGCTGCCGGACTCGACTTGATCCGCCTTTAGCATCTCTGATAAGCCTCAGCTGATGCGGATACATAGAAGTATTCCTAAAAACTCGAGAGATGCTCAATTCCGCATTTTCCCTTTCCATAAACTCCGAGTGACCCCGCCACGCCCGCCCAGGCCCACGTTGAACATGCAGGGAACACCTCTGGCCAAACTCGAAACCCATGGTTCGAGTCCAATTTCATGGATTTTGAGACCTATGTGCCTGGCTTCAGCCCCTCGTGGAGCGGTTACAGCCTCGCTGCAAACGCACCAGAGGCAACGCCGACAGAGTGCGGTCCTTCGGCAATAGTTGGTGCTGTCTCTACAGAGTATAATTTATACCAAGACGACTTCATGCAGAATCGCTGGCCTACGAGCACAAACAGGGAGGCCCATATGTCGGAGCAGGACGTTGAGCCATGGAACGACTTTCTTCACGCACTACCACCAAGCAATTCTGGCACAGTCCGACAGAACATTGGCAACAACGAGACAAAAGAAGCAACCTTTGTGAAGCCAACAGAAATGACATCGACTGTTTCTGTCAATCCTCATATACTAGACATTAAGCACCTTCTGACGCTTTTCCAGCGCGTGGTACAGCCACCCGCAGCAATGCTGATCGGGGGTGTGCGGAAATGGCGAAGGCTGCAACGTCATCTGGTCGAATTGAGCCGTCAGAGTCGAGAGGTATTGGACATTTTGCTTTGCCTGGTCGAGCTATTGTTCATCGACGAGGTCTCTCAATCTGCCGGGCAAGATCGCGAAACGTATGCCAGGAGCATCTGCGACCGATACAACTCAGCCTTGCGTCCATTTCGTGCTAGCGTGCTAGACGATAAGCGGCCGGACCAAAGGTGCAACAAGCGGGATTTGGCGGCGATCTTCCTCTTTGCATGGTTTGAGGTTATGCGCGACCAGGATGAGGCGAGCACACCATTTCCTCGTGATCTGGCTGATACGGTTATACTGAGAGACACCACCTGGAATTATTCCTCGCGATATCTGTTGTCTTGGCTCGCAACCTTGGACAGTAGAGCAACACATCTCAGTGGTGATCGTCGTCTTCTTTCGGAGCAGGCATTGTTAGTTGTTGCACGACATCCATTCCCCGTCGTCAGTTCCCATGTTGAAGATCATGATGATGATACCGAGCATGAAAATCTGGAGTTGGCAAGTATACTGCGGTCAACGCCGTCTGACTCGCCTCAACATGCTCCTGATACCCCTGGCTGGTAAATGTTTCAAATCATCGCTTACTGCGGGCCACATCAAGCAGATCGTCATACACTCAATATTTCAACCTGCCGTTGAGTGGTATATGTGCACGCAAGGTTTCTGTCGACGCATAGACTCCCATGATCGGCATCACCGTCGTCGAGGCACTCCTGACGATGAGTTCGCCGTCATCATGGCAGGCAAACAATTGGAACACGACCTATGGGAAATTTGGGACCAAAAGCCAACCATGACATCCCTGGAGAAAGATCAGCTGTGTGAGATCCTGCCCTTGGACGTGGCATCGCGACTTCATGAAGTCTTCAGTGTCCATCTTGCTTGTTACTGGATCTTGTTTGTGTACCTACACCGCGTGGTATGGTGGACCCTTCCGCACTCTCCGACCACTCAATCCGCGTTGCAGCAAGTCTGGCAGCACTTTCAAGATTCCTACGGGGAAGTTGTCGATGGATCAAAGATCGTCCACCCAGGTCTACTATGGCCTGTGTTCATCTTCGGGGCCGAGTGTCCGAACGAGTACAGGCGAAACTGGGCTGTCGAGCAGCTGGAAGCTTTGGGAGATTCAAAGCCTGTCTTACAGGCCCAGCCAGAGAGCAACAGCACGATCCCGCCATTCAATATTAGCTCCGGTGCTACAAAGAACGCGAGACGCGCGGCTCGTCTCCTCCGAGAACTCATCAAGAGACAGGAGGATACTAAAGCTCGAGTTGATGATAGAGACCTGTCGGTTGAGCTGTTTGGCTGCTACTTCTCGCTGATGTAATGAAGTCTGGAGTTGGTATGTACACGCTATTTCTTTGATGGCCAAAACATTCTCCGTGCCATCTGCTCGACTTCGTTTTTGCACGTTGACACTGGAGGCCCTGCCTTTCAACCTGGCTCGCAAAGTTCTGTCCTGCTTGGGGTAGGAGAGCTCCCTGCAGTGTCCTTGGCCGCAGATTTAGGTGGTGCCCTAGAACATGCAGCGTGATCTTTGTAGTGATACTGGGAGGCGATGGTGCTCGGATATCGTCTCGAGGTTCGACAACAGAGAGCCAATCGGTGGTGCTTGCGAGATGCGACTTCTCATTCCCACTTGGCTGAACAAGAAAATACTTCCCATGGGGTCTGGCCTTATGTATCAGCCTTACCCCAGAATCACCCCACAATCAGTCGGGCAAGGCATGTAGCAACAAAAGACAACGGCCTCGCGGGAACAGACATAAAGGGATGCTCTTTCCCAACTGAAGATATATCCATCGCTCCATCGCTAACAATCGTTGTTGTAATTGATCTTCCCCCTCCAGGAGGACAAGCCCTGTACGAAAGGAGCAATGGAAATCGAAAACTCAAACGTCGAGGCGCAAAAGAGCACCTTGGCTATTGCTCAAATCGAGAAAGCTGGAGTCCGCCCTTATGACGCTATACGCCTTCGTAGACTCAGACACAAGATCGATCTTCGACTGATGCCCATCTTTGCCTGGGTATATCTTCTCAACTACCTTGATCGCTCCAATATTGGGAACGCCAAAATCCTCAACCGCGAGACCGGCGACTCTTTCCTCCAGTCATTCCATATGACTACCAATGACTACGCTGTCACCATCACAGTCTTTGCAGTGGCTTACAGTCTCTTCGACGTGCCTGCCAATTTCGCGCTCAAACGATTCTTCCGGCCTTCTATCTGGTTCGGACTATTGTTTTTCTGCTGGGGAGTGCTCACACTCTCGTTTGCATGGTTGAAAAATTATGCTTCGGTCTTGGTGATTCGATTTCTCATCGGGGTTTCGAGGCAGGCTTCTATCTTGGTACCTATGCACACACTTGAGATGAGGTACAGCGACTAATCAACTTGGCAGGCATCGTTTACTATATAAGTTTTTGGTATAGGCAGGAAGAGCGCTCTGTGAGAATCGCTTTCTTTTCGGCATCAACAACACTGGCTGGAGCCTTTGGTGGCTGCGTCGCCTATGGAGTGGGCTTCATCAACGGCCACTCTGGTCTGAAAGGATGGCAGTGGCTCTTCGTGATCGAAGGCCTCATCACAATCCTCAGCACCCTCATCCTCATTGTCTACCTCCCCGACTATCCATCGACCGCAAAATGGCTCACAGAGGAAGAGAGGGAACTTGTCCAGCAGGGTCTGGAAGAGCAAAACAGTTCTTTCACGAGAGAACCTGCAAGCCGTCGCGAGATCCTACAGGCGCTCAGCCCACGCATGGTTGTACATTACGTGGCTTTCGTATGTTGCCTTTGATCTTACAAGGAGCAAGAAAACACTCAACTGACTCGTTGAAAATAGTTTCTCGACGTGATCGTCTTCGCTTCACTTTCCTACTTTTCTCCCACCATTGTCAACGGCCTCGGCTACGCATCTGTCAAGGCACAACTTATGACCGTACCACCGTGGTGTGTGGGATTTGTCGTTTCCCTTTGTCTAGCTTGGTCCGCCGATCATTTTAATGCTCGCGGTTACCATGCAGCAGGAGCTTCAATGCTCAGTGGCATAGGATTCATGACAAGTGCCGTCCTCCCTGCGGATGCATACCTCCAACGATATGGTGCCTTGATCCTGGCTTCTGCTGGGGCCTTCCCCACGCTCGCCCCGCTTGCAGGATGGGTAACGTGCAATGCTCCCAGCCAGAGGACGATTGGTCTTGCTGCAGGATTGAATAGTGCCGGTGTCGGCTTAGCCTCCATAGTCGCGGCATGGATCTGGAGAGGGAGCGAGGCAGCAGCAGGCTTTCCGACAGGAAACAAAGTCTGTGCCGTGTGCAGCTTCGTCTGTGCCGTCCTTGCACTCGGATTGAGGTGGGAGTATGGGAGACTGAATCGGCAAGCCAAAGAAGCTGTGGATGGGGTCCAGCGAGTGTGGCTGTATTGATGCTACCTCGGCTTTCTGTGAGATCGACTTCCCGCGTTGCAATCTTTATTGTAAACTCGACGTGGGAGCTCTAACCAATCTCAAGATGTGTTTTTTATGTTGATGGTATCTCCTGCTCTTAATGTGAAAGAGATTTTCCAGCAACCATATCCCTAAACGCTATCCCTAAACGCTCCATGTAGTTTCAGAGTAATACTAATAGATTCTTATACCTAATGCAGAACGTATAGCCGATCTATATATGTTCCTCTTATCTCTCCTCTTCTAGATAACTATAGATAGAAATTTTATATTCTAGAACTTATATCTTTGATAGGAAATCCTATAGACTAATGTATTTGGTCCGTATAGCTCCATTAGAGTAGAACTAAAGGCTTTCGTTCTACTCGAGTAGAGTAAGAGGGCTGATTTCGCCGAATAGGGTCTATAGTCTCTAGCTTACCATAGCCCTCCCTTTCTAACTATTAGCCTAGCGTTTCCTCTATTTAGTCGCGTAGTTCGCCGGACCTAGTTTTCTGGGAATACTGATTATATACAGGAACTCTAAGATAACTTCGACAAGGCCATCTCCGTGGTTAATTACTGGGGCAAGCTCGAGCTTCGGAAAGTCACTTGCCCTGCAAGTCCTAAGAGCAGGCCACAATGTGATCGGTACCACTTGAGATGTGAGCAAGGCGGAAGCGGCTTGTCCTGCCTTTGCGACAAATAGAGGAGAGTGGCTTCGTCCGTATCTAGGCCAGGCGGATGCGGAAGTACAGTTCTCCCAGTCCGCCCAGAATCACGAGGTGGACGTGCTGGTGAACAACACCGGTTACGCGTTCATTGGGCTATTGAAGATACCAGGCAAGCCTTTCGTAAATTGTTTTTGTTGGAAATTAATGCTACCTGCAGGCCGTATCTGTTCTTTAGCGAAGACGAGATACGGGCACAAATGGATGTCAACTTCTGTGGGCCTTTCCGTACCTTGTGAGCTTTCTTACTAGCTATGTGTGCTAGATGATCAGGCTATATTGTTCTCATTAGTAGTGGAGCTGGGTGAGTGGTTTGTACTTCCAATCCCTGAGGTCTTCAGTGAGTGCCTACTGGAGAGCTGATCCCTCTGCGCCAAACTAGACTTATAGCTAGACCGTGACGGGCAACATATTCCGCAAGCAAATTTGCTGGTTGAGGCAATCCACGAGTCTGGGGCGTTTGTGGAAGAGCCATAGCAGTGATTCAAGCTAGGGATGAGGAACAGCCGGTAGAAGTCTGAAGCTGATTGGCCCATGGACTCGACGACATTGTTGTAAAAGTAGATGCTCACTCGTGGCGGAACGTACTCGTCGCTCAATCCTTGATAGTGAATTACTTTTTCCGCCGCGTTGCTTGAATGGCGTCATGTCGAATTGATCTGTATTGGCGTTGCAGGGATCAATTCTGTCCGCTAGCAAAACAAGGCTGTCGTTGAACGTTCTCCAGTCCCAATTGGTATCATTGAGCAGCATATTGACGATGTATGTCGTAGCAATATGTGCGAGTGCGTCCTGAACGTCTGAATTGTTTCTAAAGTAAGATCCCATTGCGAGTGCTGGAAAGATGAGATTGCCTTTGGAGTCGGTCCAGTCATTCAGCAGGCGGTTGATTGTATCAATTTGTGGCTGCTTGAAACAGCCTGAAGCCTTGGTCCTGTCAGGGCTGCATAACAAGGCTTCCGGGGAGAAATTGCAGCTTGTCGGTTGCATGATGATACCATCGGTTACACCATCCTGAGGATCGCACTGAGTAACCATTTCCTGCAGAAGCAACAAGAACATTGGCGCTGTGAGGTGGCCTGGCGCCGGGGACGGTAGATTAAGAAAATCTTGCCGAACTAGAAACGGTAGTAGGCGAGTTTCCCACCAGCCTGGAGCGCCTGCGGGAATGCCATCAAAGTCTTCCGGATAGTTCTGAGCTTCTTTCAGACCCATCCTTCCACCTGTCGAGCATCCAGTAAAATATGAAAACGCTGGAAGTTGCCCATAGTAGCCTTTGACCAATTGCTTCGCAAGCACCGCTGACTCGAGGATCGCCTGGTGGCCCTAGGTAAACATTGCTTCTGGATTGTTCAAGGTCCACGAAGCATTGTCTGGAAGCGTAGACATGGTGATGAACCCGTATTGTGCGGGGCGCCGATGGAAAGCTAGTCGTGGTAGCCGGCAAAGCCACCATGTCCAATAGTGAGGAACCGCGAGTTCCATGAAGATGGTAAGAAATAAGCCGTAGAAATGTTCGAGCCAGCTAGCTGCTGGACAGTAATGCTCACGGCACAGCCTTGTGGGAGGTCTGTGGCATTGTTTGAGAGACTTTTGGTATCACCGAAACCCGAACCTGCGGGGATGGGAACAGCATAGTCAACTCTTGCCGACTCAGGGATGATACCTGAGATGAAGCTGACAGAACCTTCCGCGCCTACGGAATGTTTCAGCTTGCTTATATTGTGCTCAGATTTAACAGCACTGGCATCTCCAGGAGCGAAGAAGAGCTGCGGAATGCCAAGACCAAGTAAGGAAAAGCGATGCATAGCTGATATCTGACCCTTCTGGAATCAGCAAAGGTATGTGGCCGCTTGGATGGCTATATAGAGTCCAAAAGGTTAATGTTAGTTGGCCGAAGTGCGTCGCTCTCTTTATATCGACTTGAACATCCCAGAGTAGCTAGGGAAGAGAAGTTTACTCAACCGTAGTTAGCAACCTGTGCCTACTATGCAGCGACATCTGGGGAAAGGTTGGCAGCTCCTGAGACCTAAGTAGTCTTGTCAATAGGGCAGTCCACAAGTTCGTTAATCCACTCGTGCTTTCAATTGGCTTATTTGAGGATCTTGTGTTATTCGTCCAGATCCTATAGGTGGCCCCTCATAGAGTGTCTTTTATATTCTATACTTAGTTGAAGCCTTTCAAGCAGCAACTTACTAACATCCCTGGTTTTGCCACTCCAATCCCAACGGGTTGTCGATCTTTGACAAGACCAGCCTAGGCTACAGTATACTAGTAGGGACTGAATTCCTCTCCCCGCAAATCGCATCCATAATTAGCTGACTCATCTACTAGAAATGAATCGATGTTACATCTCGTGGCCGGATGTCGTGTCTCGGGTATCGTGTCTCGGGTATCATGCCTCGGATATTATGAGGCCTCCCACTACAGGAGCTGAACTCATTACTGTAAATGAAGAAAGTAATGTTAATAAGGAGTTCTGATTAGAATCCCACAATGCCACCATACTATAGATTAAGCTCTAGCCCTTAAACTACATGGTACTCGAGAATAGTAAATTTTCACGTCTTAGGATCACGTCGGTTTACGACTGAATTGAGGATTGCTCCAGCGAAAATGGCCGAGAATGGTTGACGTTTTTAACTGTATACATTATGCCCTACGAACATGGCCCGCAGCAACGACTATTATGCATCTTCGCGATGCAAAATCTAGCGATATATACGTCCAGTATTATGCCTTGTCATCGAATGTGCCCCGTGCAGGCTTCCACTCAAAATGACGCTTTCCTGTCGTAGATTTGCCCGGTTCTGCGTTCTTGAGATCGAACATATGGCCGCCAAAGTAATCGAGCTCGGACTCATGAATTGCGTAGGTAGCTCCGTGCTTGTATTTTACGAGGAAGAACAGGGCGAGGTTTGAGAAGATTGAAGTGCGGGAAGATGATGACAAGCAAAGAGACGGCATGTACCCATGGACATCCTTGTGCGACTAGAGACTCGTCTGGCTCACCCTTCTCTCTGGCTCAATGGGTTCAATAAGATACCAGATTCTCGTTACGAAGGGCTAATGCAATTACGGTAACTAGGGGGGGGGGGGGGGGGACAACACCTACAAGTACCTTGCAACCGAATAACCAAGTTACGATAGCTACAGCCAGTAGCGCAGCTCCATTGGTGACCATTGTCGCCTCTGACCGGCAATGCCAGGGTAGATCGTCTGCTGCCACTAATGTCTTAGTTGCGGTTATGTCTGTAGACTGTGGGCAAGTCTCGAGGTACTTTTATCCCTCAAGTTGCAAAGTACCAACTTATGCCTCAGCCACAGTTTAATTTTAGTTCTCGTTTGCACCATCGCTCGTCAGAGATCCAAAAGGCTATGCAGCTCAAAGAGTGCTACTGGGAAAGACTGCCGCCTACGCCTTTCGCCCTGGTTCAGGAAGCGCAGTTTCCAGACCGCACCGAAGAGCCGGTACCAGCGTTATATGTGGTGGAACAGTTCACTCGTTTTGCAGCGCACCAGGAGAGTCATCGCCACCTGATGGAGTTGGGAATATCGGTTCTGACAGCAGCGAGATTCGCGGTCAACGTCTTGCTAGCGTCCGGAAGTCTCTCTTGAGAGGTTACAGCACTCCGCCTACATCATGTAAGCAGGAAGAATATGGTCATTCACTTGTATTAGATCCTTCCAAACTACCAGTGGAATTGCTTCTTTCTTCTTCTTCATTTTTTAAAAGGGGGATTCATCATTCTCTTGCTGCCGTAGGATGGATTGAATCACAAGCTGGACCGTTGACGTGTCGAGCCCTGCTGGATCTTCCAAGATAGACGCGGGAAGAAGTCACAGGCAACGCTTTACCTTGCTCTTCCCAATCACCACAATCACCCGTTTCATCCCTCCGTCCCAGCGTTAAATGTATACGTGACCTCCTCATCAGAATGCTGATGAGGATTCCTCCGGAAGGGAAATAAGCCCGGGACATAATGCAAACCAACATGCCGGCATCTCAGCACGAAATGGAGGACCAACGCATACCGACCATGGCACGCGGCGTAATGCGCCATGATGTTCTCCACCTGCTGGTTCTGGTCGCCCTCCACAGCCACTGCCATCTCACACAGCAGCGTCCGGAACAGCCGCAGGCCCGGCGAGTGCTCGATGTCATGTTTCGGACTGTCGCCCCGTGCGAGCGCCGTTGATTGGTGCAGCGTCTGCAGGTCTGGTGCTAAAGAGGAGAGTTTGTTGTGCGCGAGAGGGATCGTGATCTGCCGGATGTGGACCACTGTGAGAGATGGGAAGAGACTACGGAGGATGTCCGGTGGGTAGGTGGTGAGGAGACTATGGGGGATGCTGAGATGTTGGATCTGGCTTGTTGGTAGTGGTAGGGGACCTGTCGGCGATGGATATGGACATGGCTCAGTCATGGGGCCTACTGCCATTGGACTTGCAGCTGTTTCTGGACTCGGAATGACACTCCCCTGATCCTCCTCGCTCAGACTCTGCAATTCGAACGAGGATGTCCGGAAGAACACCCCGCGAGCCTCGTCATATGTCTTGCGGCAGACAAAAAGGATGGAGATGTACTGATCCGTCTTCGTCTCCAGCGGTGATGTCGCTATCGCTGTCGTCGTTGGCCACATGCCTATCCTGACAGTACGGCGGTGAATTGTGTGTCCCGAGTCGTGCCGGCCACCATCACCATCGTTCCTTGGGCCGGCAGCGAAATCACAGAGTAAAGGGACCGTCAGGTCCTGGAAGACACATCTGTAGATCGCGAGGCGCACCTCGGTCGGGAGGGTGAGAAAGTCGATGTTCTTCGCTCTTGTAAGGGCGTCCATGCTGTCTCCTTCTTCCATCCAGGCAAGGGTCGGCAGCACTGCAAAGAGACAAGTTCTAGTGCAAGAATTGCAACTCTTTTCTAGAATGCTCAAAAGTCGGCTGAGTGCCCCCACCACTCAACAGGGACACTGAGTCTCACGAGAGGGACATGGATCGGATCCACAAAGTTTCTGTGCGAACAGCTGGGTCTGACAGATTCCCGAACAAAACAGCGTGTATGTTGAATGAATCCCGGAAACAAGTTGCTCGAGCCTAGAAGGATCAAAGTAGAGAGACTGATGATGGGTGATATGAATAATCCCTACTTCCGTCCCAACCGTCATCAACGACGCTCGAGCCGAGGTTTACCCATTTACTCCAACAGTGATCAATGATCATCTATCTAGATCTAGATATGTGCTTATCGGCTAGATAGTCTCCTGAGTTATCATTGCTGATAGTGTGAAACCCTAATAGCGAGGGGAAAATCCTCGTTCCTTTCTTATGCTTAAAACTGCGTGGACAGTCAGTCAGTGTAGACTGTTTATTGAGGTCGCGCGTTGTGCTGCAAGGATGGCTCTCCTATTTGCTTCAGCCTTACCCTTCGTCCTTTCGACAGCTTTAAATGTGCCACGTGTTGAAGCTTAGCATGAGCACAGGTAGGACCCTAGCCTCATAGCTGAGTATAAAAGAGGTATCTATACACCCAGTATTGTTGGGCGATGAATGTTTATGCTATGTACGCGCCTCGTACTTCAGCACCGAAGCAAAAAAAGAATTAGTAGCACAACAAGAATAAGAAATATTGATACCAATACTTGCATCCACCAATCGTGAGCTCTATCTACTACTAGCCATGGTACTTAAGGCCATCTAATAATAATTCCTTCTTTACACACGAAACATCACTAGCCCTCGATCTCATCGCACCAGCCCAAATCCTAGCACTTGCCTCAAGACCCAAAAGAATCCTTTGAACAGCCATCCTACCAAGCTTAGTGCCCCAACAAGGACATTCAGTACTCTCATTGCGAAGACACCGACGGTGATGAACATCAAGAGATATACGCCACTCCTGGCACAATCGAGAACAAACCCGCCTGCAGTTTCTTTCTTTGCCTTACTCAACTTCAACTTCCCGGTTTTTGAGTAAACAAAAATAAGAGCCCAAAGTTTCCAGGCGGTCGTGGCGATGACTTGACTCATCTGCCATGCTCGCTCCAGCACTTCCCAGGCTAGTTTCATAACTTGTGGATGATTTCGAATCCACATCTTTGTCGCTTCAAAGGGTACGATGACCATTTCCCCCAAGGCCCCAAATCCCAGAGAGCCTAGACCAGGCACCTGTAATTCCAAGGTAGAGATGCTGTTACCACTCACATTACGGCTCTTCGATGTTCCGGAGCATGCGATTGCCAGTCCTTGTGGTGTCGGAACCCTCAACCGTGGGCCGCTGACAGATCTTTGACTGTGGGAGACACTGGTCTTGTGAGAGAGCTCCTCCCCTCCAATCAATGGTGAGCTGGAGCTTCGCTGTCGTCTTTGATTGGCGTGATTAAAAGTTTTCTGCGTTGAACTCCCAGCTGCACTCATCGCCGCATTCAATCCCTCAGTGCCGCTCCCTTCGGATCTTGTGTCTGGGCTTCTCATTGGACTTCCAATTAATGGAGATCGGTCAACCGGAGAATTGTTGATAGAATTGTTTGTGCTTTGACAGATGGGAGTAGCGTCCCCGAACTTGAATTGCCGCTTTTTGGGTGAACGCTTGAATGCCGATTTTACAAAAGCGAGCCGACCGATTCTACATTTTTCAGAAGTTAGACTGTCTTTGTCATGTTCATCTTCTGATTCCTCAATTTCGCTAGCACTGCTCGGACAATCGACTTCAGACCAGATACTCTTCGTTGGGCTTGTATTAGGAGTCGAATATGGGCTTGGGTGACCAAGACAGCCTCCATGACAATCCTGCTCTTTGCAGCAGTCAGGGCAGCATATAGAATGGTCTCGCTCCTCAGTTGTAGCATCTAGACCGGGTGATTGCTTTCCTTCTTTCTCCTTGCCTTTCTCTTCTGGTACATCTGGAAGGCCCCTCCCGATTGGATGTGTCAGCTTAGTCACTCCTTCCACGAGGCCGTTTCGGTTCTGGAGTTCGAATATACGGGTGGCACCATCTGTACCAGGAGGTTCGATTTCCACGAGGCCGTGTTGGCACCGACTGCACTTTCTCGTCAGGCCAAGACCGCTCGGGGAGGATTGATCCCATTTCGTGAATGTCGGATTGTGGGAAGCAGGATCGGGCTGACGTGTTGCCAATCGTGGTTTCAGCGGCGGAGGCACCAGGTGCGCCTCTTCCTGATAAGTTTCTGTCCACAGTTGGCTGTCTGTCCGGCCTTGATCCCGCTCTGTCTGATGGTCCTGGTTGGACACGTCCGGATGCAAATGGATTGGGCCAACCTGTGGAACGCCATACATGCCTTCTGCTCTCATTGGCATCTGAGGGCGAGGCATGGCTCTTGGTCGCACCCTCTGCATTGGAACTGACATCATAGAGCCTGTGCTCATGTCGGTGTTCATGGATATGTCGTATGGCCGGGCAAGTGGATGTGTCGGAAGCGAACCAAAGCGCTCGTGCTTCATCATTCTATGATCTGGGCCACGACGGTCTGGTCTGGGGCTGCTTGGCAAAAATTCCATCACTGGTCTTCGATCCGGAGGCATATTCATGCGAATGGTAGTGGTATTCGATGGTTCCATGAATGGGTCTCTCCTTCGCGTTGACAAGGGTGAAGTTCCCTTCGGCATGGCCCTTGGCCCCCTTGTCTCGGGTCGTGCTGGCGCCACGGGAGAAGCCACTTGTACTGGCGGATTGTCGTAGATGGGAAGGGGCATCTCTTTTTCTCCCGTGGGCCTGAGTTCCCTTTGAATACGGTCCTGAGGCGGATGATGGTTTGATCGAGCTGTCCGCACAAACGGGTACTCTAGATCGCCGCCGCGAGGACCTTGTGGTTTCTGTTGCCCCGACGTTGATTGGGTCAACATGTGTGTGTTGAATTCTCGTCTTGTTCTGGATGGGCTCTGTTCCGATGCTTGTGTTAACGGGGATTGGCCATTGTTCATCGGCAGACATGGTAGATCTTTTTCTGCTAGACGATGGCCAAAGGTGCCTGAGGTGTTTGAATTCGTGAGCTGAGCTACCGAGTTTGTTGTTGCTAGCCCTAAAAAAGAATCTGTTTGTGGCTCCACCAAGTCATGCAGGTACTCCGATGACTGCTTTTCAGTCGGCAAGGAAGGTAATTCCTTTCCGACATCAGCTGGAGTGAAATTACGCACTCTGGGAGCACCTGGTGCAGAGGACGAACGAATGTCATTGGAAAAGTGCAATCTTCTTACAACAGTCTCTGCGCTCCCACCAGTATCTCTTTGAGTACGAGAGCCCCCATCAATAGCTTGATTACCTGTACTGCTCCCAACAGGTTTTCTCCTCAGCATGGGATCCTGTCTTGGTTCAGGTGGTGGCCCATGGTTTCCGATAGCAGACTCTGTTCTATCTGGGAACATTCCAATTCCTTCTGCAAGCGGGCGAAGTTGAAAAGTGGAGGCATTCTCGTAGGATGGTGTATCTGATCCTCGAGCTGCATGAGAGTAAGGCACATGGCTTTGAACCGCAGGACCTCTCATCTGACGAGTATGACAAGCGAAACTCTGCGAATCAGCCAGGTCTTGGTATGGAGGTCCGAGGGATTCGTGTCCTGGAGGGTTCGGTGGTAGAGATGGTTCACCAAGATCTAGACTGACCCATTGGTCACCCTTCTGTCGCCATCGCCCTTGCTGGAATGGGCCGTGTCCACGCCTGGCATCGTAATGGTCAATAGAACTACTGGCACTATGGGAACCAGGCGTTATGACGCCTGTTCTGGGATTTGCACCGCGGGCAAGGAGATAGTCGTCTTTGTTGACAAGATGGTGCATTTCCGGATGCCTTCTGGATTGATCTGCGACTTTGCTCTTCAACGAGGCGATTTCTGCCTTTGAGGCCGCAAGATCGGAGCGTCGCGAGACGTCCGTTTGGATCAAGTTCGGTTGTTGACCGACGAAAATAGTGGTTCTCCGGCTAGTTTGTGCCGAGGGGATGGATGAGGAATCCACCCCCTGTTGAATCACAGCTTCTGGATTTCGCGATTCAGTGAGAGGGAATGCTTCGTATACTTGGTCGAGAACCTGCTGATTTGTGCGTCCTATGTAGAGGCGCTCATCTGCTTCCCCTCCGAACTCTAGAGCAGGAGCTGGGTCTCTGCAACTGTCTTTAGGCCCCTTGTAGCGATCTGCTAGCGGCTGAAAAAGGGGCGCTGCGCTTCTTAGAAGGCGAATTGAAGTTTGATCAGGGACAGACTCAACTAGAGGTTCGATTGGTATGGTCGAAAGCGAAGGAGCGGTAGCAGTGGAGTGGTTTGAGAAAGGGTTTGGAAGAGAAAGGGATCTTGGAGATTTGGATGGCATTGTGTAAGCATTATGGTTGCTATGAGATGCGCACGGAAGAGGTGGCAGATAGTGGCCTGTGCACGAACTGGGTGCTGAGGGCGACGCCCCACGATCAAAGGTATGTTCAGAGTGGTTGCTCTGACTGCAGAGTGAATCTAGCAACTGGACGGCGCTGGGTGAAAAGCCAGGCACAACTGGGGTAACAGCTCGGGATCGCAAGAGCAATCCAGAACGAAGTCTTAGGTGTGAAACTATTGTACCAGAACTAGAACCGACCACTTTCCCTTCTTTGGCGGTCTGGCTGAAGATGACCCCATCGTTGAGAAGCAGCGAGGGTGTTCATCCCGCCTGCCGGCACACTCATCCGCTTTTCAGGACTAGGTGGCCGCTTCTCTGGGCTTAAAGTGGCCCGTTCTCTAAAGTGTGCATTTGGATTCCTGCTACTGAAGTTGGTAGAAGCACTCTTCCGCAGAGGAGAAGCTGCGTGTGAGAAAACACCTAGACTGCCACCTTCGCCACCTGAAGAGGTTGGCCGGAAGTTTGGTTGGCGAATAGCAGCTAGAGGGCGTACGACCGAGCCAACTTCAGACCGTTGTGCTGGGCTTCGGACGTCTGGAGTTGCGAAACGCTGACGAAGATTGCTTTCTTGGGCTAGGCCATCTGGGTCCGTATGCTGAGAATAACTTGGATTTGAGTTGGTTTTGAAGCCACGGTTAATGACAAACATTGGAGTGTATGTGTCCACTTTGTTGTACTGATCGTCTCGTGTTGAGTTGTATGAGGCTTGCTCACTGAACTGTGTGCCCACCTCTCTGTACAAAGGTTGTGTCCTCGGCCTGACGTATTTTGTGTCATATTCATGGAGAACTTCCTTGGAGATATAGGCTGTATCCTTGGTCTGGGTGGAATAGCTGGACTGGAGCAATGATAGCTGAACTGTGGCCAGTACGACTAAGAAGATGGTTTTGACAATGGTAACGCTGGGCCGGGGATCTGATTGGGATGTAGGGAGGAAAAGCCAGTAAATGAGGACATGGCCAGGACTGAAATAGCAGAATAACCGCAGTGACACTGGAAGAGGGTCCCAGACGGCAACTTCCCACACATCTCTGGTCGCGTCTGGGTGTGCTCTGGATTGTGCAGTTTCTGTTCCCAGGAGATTTGAGAGAAATCGGAGAGGGGAGGATGAGACTGGAGATGAGTCGACACGAACGCGTTTGGCGGAGGGAGTACTAGGCACGACGTCTACTGAGCTCTCGAACAATCTGTAGTGTTTCTTCCGAAAGAAAGTGTAGAACGCATTGACAACTGAGATCAACGTGAGCAAGTGGACGGTGAAAGCCGCCTGCCACCTGGGTCAGCAGTGCATTCTCGAGTCCTGTGATGAGAGGACATACCAGCCACGACGACCACGCAGCACCGGGAACATCGGCAAAGACATCATCGTACACTTGTTTCGATTCCGCATTGGCTCGGGCGATGAGGAAGACCAAATTAAGCACAATGCCAATAGGGATAGCCCATTCCTTCTCTAGTTGATCCCAACCATTGGATTCGATCTCTTCAGAGAGCCACAAGAGGAAATCATAGGGGTTGAGATAGGCCTTGATGCGCTCCACCAGAGGTTGACGCCGTACGTATTTTGGCATCTTGACGACTTGGAGAGATCAAGTGCGGGCTGTTGGTGCAGACATATCCCTTCTTTGCAGAAGAGAAGATCTTCTGCAACTTTGCAGCCCAGAGAAGAAGTGAGACAGCGTCGGACTGCCTCTAAGAGGTCTGAGGGGTCTGACGAGTGAGAAGAGAGGGTGGAGGACAGAAGACAAAGAACCACGAGGCTGCGCTCGAGGCTTCAAGTTGATGACGGATAAACAATGATCCCGTTCTGGGTTAGCGCTATCAGATAAGCTGGGGGGCCTTGGCAGCCTTGGCAGGTACATGCGAGATCCCCATCTTCCCGGTCCGTACTCCAACTACGCCGACTTCGAGTACAATACCTAGATACTACTGACTGACGTTGCCTACCGCCTGGTCTTATTTGCTGTGTGCTGTAATAGCTATAGTCTGCCGTGCTGTGGCTGTTAGCAGTTGCAACCTCACATCTGGCTCTCGTCCATCCGATCTAGACATGGCTGCCCCAGCTTCAGCCTACAAGGTACGAGCACTCGACCCAGAGGCCGATCCCCTTCTAATAATTGGCATAGGACCGACAATTCATCGCAGTAATCGGAGATGAAGAGTGAGTCCTCTTCCTACCTAGGTATCACCATAGCCAAGCGCTGGACCTAACGATTCTCCCAAGCTCGGTCACAGGTCTCCTGCTTGCGGGCATTGGACACGTTACAGACCCTCCCGACGCTCAGAAGAACTTCCTCGTTGTTGATGGGAAAACCGAGAAGTCCTTAATCGAGTCCACATTCAACTCATTCACCAAGGAGCGAAAAGACATTGGCATCGTCCTCATTAACCAGCATGTTCGTTGGACTACTCGTTCACACGCTACGATCCCCCGGCTGATATACAAACAGATTGCAGAACAAATACGAGATGCCGTCGACAGATTCCAGGATGCATTTCCAGCTGTCCTAGAGATACCTAGTAAAGACCACCCATACGATCCGGAGAAGGATAGTGTGTTGCGACGAGTGAGAAGATTATTCGGAGAATAGATGCATGAGAGCATAAATGAATTTTGCTGTTCATCGGGCTGCATGATATAAATGGCGCCTTTAAAGGACCTACGGTGACTAGACTTCCGCTTGCATCAACTGTAGCGGTTTTCGTTCTCCAACCAACTGTTTCCTACAGGATAACCAGGCAGGTTGCAGTCATGACCTGTGCCCTCGGAGCATTGGAGATATCACATTCTCCCTGAGGCCATTGAAATCACCGTACCCATCACTCGCCAGCATCAGAAATTACGCCGAGCACCAATGCCTGCTGTGAGGACTTGGGGCAGAACGTTTAAGCGACTCAAAAGGAAAGACTTTACAGGCTGCAACAATTTGGGGTCTGGGATCGGGTCAGTCTCGTCTCGTCTTCAGCAACCTAAATCTTATCTCGATTGCAAACACCGGACTCGGCTTGAGCCAGTAATTATAAGTCCCGCCACGACATTTCCCCCAACATATGTTTAAAGTTCAGTGATAGCATTGCCTTCAGTTCTATGGCAAGACAGTCACAACATCGAGCGGTGATTATGAGATTTCGTCTCCTTCATGAATGACCTAAACTAGTGCTCTTGCATGAGTACCCTACGTAACTTGTTGCATGTTGAATCTACCCAACCCATATCTCTCGATTTGGGGGGGATGCTAAACAAGGCTGAGGGCTACGGTGAGTCAGATGCGACCTTTTGGCAGCTGAATGGCAGTACAAATTGGCCTTGATGGAAATTTTACCAAGCATTTAAAACCACATCTACAGTATAACTCCGGCGTTGCTCTCTGGTGAATCTCTTCTGACCACCTCCATCTTTACCACGCTCGTCTTAGTTTACCTTAATATCAACTTGCCTTCCTACAGCTTCCACCGCGCCTCAAGTGGTTACTCGTTGAGACTTCCAGGTGGCATGGATGTCTCACCCCGAGAAGACCACAGTCGGCCTGACTCCTTCTGGTGCAGCAGGCCTGCCAACACTCTCTGCTCTCAGTACACTGAGTCTCCAAGGGCGACAACAGATATCTATCCTGTTAGCCTGTCACTTGACTCTGGTTTCTTCCTATACCAAGACCTTATCACCTTCCCTGTGGGGTTCCAGGCCTGCTAGAAATGTAAGTTAGGCCAGCTCAGGTATTATTCGTGCATTCCTACGCAGAGCCTCCACACTTTTAAGGACAGGACTCTTCCATTATAGGCTGAGCTATAGAGCGCTCTTTGGTTAGATCCATGACAAGGCAAGTACTCGTGGTATCCATTTGCGATCTCACGCCTAAATATCCATGGGGCCGATTTCGTCGGGCTATTGACCAATCACAGTGTAGACAGGCGAGGTGTGTCAATGTGAAGAACTCTGATTTGGCTGTTTGTTTATCTATACATAGGGCGAACATGCAATCGGTTGAAGTATTTGCGGACATTGGGTCTGCAACCGAAGGCAAGGCTTCAATGAGTGTCACTTCAACTTTCTCTGCACGGAAACGGCTCGCACTAAATCCAAAAATATGTATTGCAGCTCCTCGGTCTACCTCCACTCTGGTGGCGAGGCTGTGGTCCCCTGGCTCCTACACTGGCAGAACGTGGGAACGACTACCACTATACTAAGTCGTCATTCAGCCCCAATTTGACTTATCGAATAAATAGATGATGTCTTCCTCGACCAAAATGCTCAGAATGAATTCCAAAATAGATGCAATATCTTACCACCCCAGCTTTGGTATCTGTAAGTGGATGTCCAAGCTTCAACTTCTCTTTAATACTGCTTCCAGCTCTTGAATAAGATGAGCAGGCGCTTCCGCGTGCCGCCTGAAGGAGGGCCTCCAACTGGATCTTTGTTTGGCGGAGGCTCTTCCAGCTCTGGGTCTTCTAGCTCTGGTTCATCCCGCTTTCACCCCTACGGGGGCAGACGACTGCCTGCGGGGTCAGTGCGACCAGAGTCCGATGGGCCTTTTGAAGAACCTCCCTGGCCACGGCCGGATCCGAATAGGCGGCAGCCTCCAGGGCCGCTCATGACGGTAGCGAGATACGAGGAACTTATGCAGGACATCGACGCCAATCGCAAATCCGCATCGGCCACCCTGTTGGCGGGTGACTCCCGCAACAACGCTTTGTTCAGACAAGAACAGCAAGCAGGCGAGCAGCAATTGGCTCTCTGGCAGGATTTCCTTCTCCCAAACGGCGAAAGACCTCCAGACCAGGTCGACATGCATGGCGTACCCATGGATGCAGACGCGGGTGAGCAATACCGGGGGCGGATCACAGAGTACCTGCTACAGCTCCAGCAAGAGACAAGACCACAAGAAATAGCAAGAATACAGGCATCCATGCAGGAATTACAAGTGACGCTTGCGGAGTGGGACGCATATAACGAGAAATTCAAGGAACTGATCCATACGAACGAGATGGCCATCACCGCCTGGCCGGTTCGTGACCAGGTGTACCTCGGCGGGCTGCATCGGTTTCAGATGCCCGAGTGGAAGGACTGGAAGGGAGAAGAAAGTGCTTACCGATGGAAGTACGGCAGCAACCCTCGACCCAGCAATCCACATGACGCTGCGAGCAGAGCCAGAGACGCGCAGCGTATGAACTTACAGCCTCCCGCTCAGCCTTCGACACTACCTCCGGCGCCGAACCCTGGCACAGGCCCGACTCCGTTCTCCAACCAAGTGCCATCCCCAGCGCCGACCCCAGGTGGGCCTGCGACACCAGCTTCACTTCTGGGCCTGGGCAGAAACGGGAACGCCGGCGCGGGTCGTGGGGCCAATCCGCGCTGAGGAGAGATATTGTGTAGTTTCATAACATCACACTAACAGGTAGAGTCAACCGTTTGAATGTGATTTCATAAGCTTCTGCTTCTTCTTTGTAGATAGTTCAAGCATCCCTGATCATCTATACATTACATCTCGCCTAGGGATCCTAATGTAACATCCAGCTGAGTCATTGGTGTTACCTCTCGGATGTGAATACTGGACGGGGTTGGGAGACGCGCCAAGAAACGCCACCACAGTATCGAACTCGGTACCTAAGTAACTAAGTCGATAGAGAGGGAGTCATTCTCTAGTTTTGTCTATTGGGGGAGTCTTGAGAGATACAATAAATCATGCGGTGAGCAGCTATTTCAGATGAGTGGTTCGAAATCGTCGATCTTGACAGGCGATACGAGAGAATGGCTTCCCCTGTGCGGATAACAAAGAACCACCAGAACAAAGTGGAAATCTCGACACCGCGTCTATTACTTTGCGCTGCTCAAGGGAGTCATGCACATGGGTTACACGAAGCATTTAGTGACCCCGAGGTGATGAGATATTGGTACTATCAACCGACATACGAAGTTCAGCTGGTTCTGATTTTGCTTACAAATTTCCCAGGAGTACACTTCCTCACACGTCCGGAGCAGAAACTGAAAAATGGGTACGCAAGATGGCAGCCGGCGAGCAGAACGGGGTGACAGACTTTATCATCTGCCTAAAGCCAGACTTGCTACCTGTTGGCAAGTGTGGGATATGGCAGGGGGAAGAGATCGGGTTCATGCTGGCTCGGGCCCACTGGCGCAAAGGTCTTGCCGAAGAGGCTCTGAACGCTGTGCTGCCGTACTTCTTCTCTGATAGAGGCATGCTGGAGATTGTTGCCGATGTCGATCCGCGGAACACATCGTCCATGGCATTACTTCAGAAACTGGGCTTTGTGGTATACGATTTCAAGGAGAAGACTTTCCAAATCGGCGGGCAGTGGGTTGACAGCTCGTACCTGAAACTAACGAAAGAGCAGTGGACTAGCCAGAAGCGTAGAGAGAACCCTTTACCAGTATAAAGCTGCCTACCTAGAAAATACATTTCAACTCTGCATGGGAATTTCACATGGATATATTGCTGCTGGTGGAAATGTTGTCCGGCTCCATATTGGTGGCAGACTTCGGGTCTCTCGCTTGTTAGCTAGTACCACAATTCTCTCAAAAAGTAAATACCACAACCCGTCAGGCGACTGGTGAGATTTCCTGGTGAATGTTAAGTTGCTGCGTAGTTCTTCGCGTTAGAATCGAACCACCGGAACGTATGTACCAGTGGTAGCGGAAAAACTCCCTGGAAATTACCCTCGCTCCGATTGGACAGAGCTTCAATGCCAAGCAGTATTGCTTATACCCACATAATGCTCCACCGGATCAATTGATGGGAGCTTCTCAAGCTTTCAATTGAATCACTTCATCAGGTACTGAAGACTTCCCGCCTGCAACGACAACACCAGCCCACCAGCGACTCACTGGGCCTTCCTTTCTTTGCAAACCCTCTAGACTCACCTACACCTACAGCCTTCTACGATGCCCTCGCAAGAAGGTGTCCAGTCCTCAGGCCGCACGCCGCTGCGGGTGTACGGACCGCAGCCGACATACAAGGCATACATTTCACCATATGGACCTAAGTACGAGAGCCCATGACCAACCCGCCCAGCACCTCAAACTCCGCGTGCCTATGTCCCATTGCCCTGTACGAAGAAAGAATGGAAGGATCCCAATGACTAACAAGACCCCTCTAGAACAAAACACATTCCTAACCTAATGGGCATGTCAGTACCCAAGGCCCTGCGATACGGCTACCTGGCCTCCGGCTTCGGCGTCGCAGCGGGCGTCTTCGCTCTGTTTTTCTTCGGCGATGTCCCCAAAGTACGGACCGATATCTTGCAGAAAATCCCCGTCATTGGCGACTACTGGGTGAGAGAAATTCCTCCGGAGGACAACCCCTTCTAGATGAGTGGATGGTGTTGTGGGTGGGATGTTGCAGTGGAGATGTAGAGGAACCCGAGCCTCGGTGCGTGCCGCATTGTGTTTATATTATCCCGAATGATGGTTCGTGGCCCCCGAAGAGGACAAGGAGTGCCGTGAGGACCAGCTGGAGTTCAGACTCGACGTTGTAAGAAGGCAGACAATAAAATCTCAAACAGCTTAAATAAAGAACCCCTTTTGTTAAAGATTATTGAGTCACATCTGCCGTGGCAGAGTTGACATAGCTGCGGGCATCCATATCAAACTGGGAAGTTCTACCCACGTTGGAATTTACACGATCATATGTTTACATATGCTTCACTGCTTGAGATTTGCGAATCGATCGATGTCAAGTGTCCAACTGAAACGGTCTGGCATCTCTTTTTGTTGGTATCATATTTACAGCCGGGCATGTGAAAAGCTCGATCAGCACAGCGCCTCCTGTCGAAGAGACAGACATCAGTCCATGATAGAGTGAGCCGTTCTACGCGTGATCTCCACGCTCAAAATACTCCCATTGGCCCGTCGGTATGGGTTCCTCAAGATCTTGCCACCTGTGAATCGCATTAGTATACCTCGTCGAATGCACCAGGGCACCACACTGGCACGAATACATACACTTGGTATTTCAACAATTCGTCGACAAGCAGTAACTCGCCCTCAGCGACCTGTAGCACCTCCTCAATCAGGCCAGCACCAATCTTCTGCTCAATCTCGTCGACCCTGTGCATTAAGAGGAAGAGGTTAGCATTCATATACCACACGATACCGGGTAGGCTCTTTCAGCCAGACAGCGGGGATCACGGTAGTAGAGTAACGCACTGGACTCTTGTCAAAGGCGGCTCTTTCTCGAGATCCTCCACACCAGGAGCCACGCCAGATGTAGCCTCCTTGTCCACGCGATCAGCCTCTTCCTTCACGGCATTCGACTTGGCCTCTGCTTCGGACATGGCATTGGAGCCCTCCTGGTACGAGTGTTGCCGGGTGTGCTGGCCGTCCCAGACCTCAACGTCCTCGACAAAGGCTTTCTCACTCTGCAGGCTGCCATCGCTGACGTGGAACTGGCTGAACGCCTCCGGGTTGCCGTCGATCTGCTTGCGCACCCGTGCCAGCCATGCGTCATAGCCCTCGGGTTTCGTGGCCTCGATGACCGCCAGTCGCTGCTTCGTCAACGCCTCTGTTGACTGTCGGTATACGGAGCTCGCGGGCAGTTGGGTGAGCTTCTTGAGGGTCTGTTTATAGGTGTAGATGAGGGCGGGTCGGGGTGACGGGTGCGTCGAGAGACCGGTCAATCCGGTCGGTGTGTTGGGTTCGAGGTATTTGGACGCTGATTTTACGGCCGCCAGAAGCCGTGATGTCGACCGCATCTTGAGCTACTGGGGGTTCGCGGGATGCGAGCTTTGAGATTTGGTTCTGGGACAGTTGCTGTGAGGTTTCTTGCGACAACTTTCCTGATCCTGATGTCGAAGGAGCATTGGCTTGGCATTCCAACCAAAGCGGAACCTGCGACAGCTCACGTGGGTGCTCACCTCGACGGTGCCGCTTTTAGAACCACCACCTCGCGACTCACTGTCCTCGATTGTCTACAGACAAACCAGCCCAACTGCATTGACACCAGATAGATAAAGGCCCTAGGCCACCAAGAACTAAGCGGACACTTATTCTACGAGCAGCACCGAACAGGGGCTCTACACTCGAAGGTTGCAACACCGCGGTAGTAAATCATCTCGACGAACACGCCAAGTTTAATCTATCACCGCACTGAAAGTCTGCGCACTAGCAGGCTCTAGAACAGTAGGTAGGGAGAAGCCTAGAAAATCTCGTAAGGACGATTGATGCCTATACTGAGGTAGCGCCATTAGTTATTGGGGACATAAAGAGTTCAGGAGATGACGGACTGGCAGCTAGAGGAAATTCACCGGCCAGATATTATTGAGGCAGGGTTCAATGACCTTATCCAAACAACGATGAATCCAGATCTTATGAGTTAGGGAGACGATAAAAACGGTAGAGAAGGATACTATCCCTTGTTGAAATATAAGTGAATAGAGGCAAGGAAACCCCACGCCAGCATGAATCTTTGCGGAGTCTATCTAATAGGATTCTTCCTTATCCGCATAATGAACCCGACGGCCACAGCCGTCGTAACTTGAGTCCCTTGTATCATAGCTACTACGGTCTGTACTCCTCTCATGCCGATGATGCCTTGGTGTATCCCACCTTGTGCGCTCCTGGCGATATTGGTTTCTATAAGGACGTTGCCCGGGTACATCCGATCCTGTTCGCTCCTGACGAGGTAGGTTTCCACTATCCAGCCTGGGGGGCCTCCTTTCTTCGTTCATAGCGATTAGGCACGTGGCTGTGCCGAGTGCGATGATGCCGCTCAGGCTCGAAGTCCAAATCGGTGTCTGCGCAGCGCCCTCTGGTAGAGCGTCGAGGAGTCCTAGACCGAGTCCGACTATACGACTCAGGATTGAAGGGTGGTTTGGGTCGGGAATCAGGATGATCACTTTCCTGCCTGCTCACGGATCGTTGTGGGCGCCGTCGAAGTCCAGGCCGAATACTCCGTCCGCGGCTTGGTGTGTCATACTCGACGGTGTCTATAATCTCCTCATCGAATTCAGTGTTTACCTCATCTGGTGTGCGTCCTCTGGATCAGGTACAAGGCGCCTCCAGGATGACGCCGAAAGTGTCCTCCTCTCGAATGCCTCTTCCTGTCTCAGAATGCTGAGACATACCATCACATGTACTTGGCCGATCTTCATGCGTCGAGCCTTAAGAAGAACATACCGAGGCTGCAAAGTCAATCGTGGGCCGATGCCAGCAACCTCCTTACGAGATCTCACTCTTCAACCATACCTCAAGTCCCTACTTGATCCTTCAGAGCCCCAGAGAAATGGACGTAAGTACTCTTCAGTGTAACCTAGATAGAACTTGAATAACAGGAAACCATGGTCTCCCTAAAGCTATCCTATATCAGAAAGAAAAGTACATCCTCAAGGGAAGTAAGCGCAGGATTGGGTATTGGGTAGGCCATCTTATGTGGCTGGGAGCCTAACTTACCCAATTACTGAGTAAGTAGCTGAGTTATTGATACGGTTCATCAGGGCTCATTGCCCCAATTGACCACCGGAGCGCTTCACTATTCTGTACAGCATTGCAGCTGGTGTGTTTTGTGGGGAACCTCATAGGCATAGATAGGTGTTTACCGCCGTTCCCTCGTCAGATATGCCAGAGGGGCGCCTGTCGCCGAAACGCTCTTGAACGGATATCATTCAGTACAAGCTATAGAAGCAAAGAAACAACTAGGTGTAATTCTCGTGGTGACGATAAACGGAATTCCTGGCTTGCCTACCTCGGGCGCTGTTTCTCTGGAGTAGTACGAAGCACCGCAAGCCAAAGATGAGAAGCACGAGGCCAACTGACATCGGGAACCACGATTGAAGCCCTTCAAGTCCTCACTGCAGCGAAGCCCGAGCACGCCAAAAGGCCTTCTGAGCCCTCGGCGCCTTTGACGGGCAGCAAAGAACATCGCACGGCCCTCGCATCATTGTCGTGAGCGCCCGCAGACAAACAGTCCCCCCGCCAAGAAAAGCCTTCTAATCGTGGCGGACATCGACTTCTCTTAGCTTTACCCCTCCCTCATAGTCCACTACATTGACCGCTCCTGAGCTCCCCTTCGAAGAACTTGGGTCAATCCAGTTAAAGAACGTAGCTTGTCAGTGACTTACGATACTGTGGTTCGGCCTCGACTCCTTCCGCCGACTGGCGACGGCCGTGTTGGCTAGAAAAACTGAACACCTGTCAATGCCGCGTTACGATCTCGCGTGAAATCCACTCAAAAGGGCTATTCTAGATCGCAGGTATCATGATGACGAGATTCTTCAAGTCTGCTACTATCAAGTAGCATGCCTCATGCCATGGTATCAGCTTTTCAAGGACACCAATTCCTGAACAGCAACGTCTCCGGCAATGCACGAGCGCATTTCGGAGACACCCACAATGAGACGACGGTTGTGTGGAACACCAGTGAGAATTACTCTACTCTACCCAACAACGAAAACCACTAATTGCAGCAGTTCATATAGTCGTTCAGGAGTCGGGAGGTGATGACAGGCACGTTGGTCTCCCGGACAATGTCAGAAGCCCTGCGCGTGAAAAGAAGATCAACGAGAACGTCGAAGCTCTTCTGCATCACATTGACCCCGAATTCAAGGAAATTACTATGTACTCATCGGCCGACCCCAAAGCCGAAGATTATGCTGACATCACGTAGGCTGGGTGCCCGGTTTGTCGAGGAAAGGGCTTTTCGGCTTCGCTCTGCTGCCCCAGACTCGTTTCTTCCCCCTGAAGGAACAGCAGTGGAGAGACAGGGAAGCAATTCCCAACCCAGAACGACTTTCACTTCCAACTCCAAAGACAACAGCATTCTCTCCAAAATCTCAGAACTGGAAGGTTCGGAGCACCAATCGCATTCAGCGATAGGGAAACAAGTGCACCCACCAGCCGGCCATGCGGCAGACGTGCTCATGTCGAGTTTGGTGGCAACTCGCAGAGAGCTTTCCGAGCTCAGAGAATCTTTGAACAGTGTTGTTGCCCAACAGCGAGACCTTCTCATGGCCTCACAGACGCGTGACAAGCCTCTTGTGCAGCGTTTATTCCTTGCCATATTCAACGCTGCAAAATCACGCCTCCGAGCCCAGAATGCAGGAAACAGCACCAAGGCCATTCTCATCCAAGTATTTGGCCCATGGTGGGGTGTGAACTCATCCAGTACGAACAGGAGTTCCGAAGACGATGCTGCTGCTGCATCATTGGTTGACGATTTCCTTCGTTCTTCATTCCTTCTAGCATGCTGCTACATTCCTCGGATGGCCAAGCAGCTCATGTCAAGAGTTCGACAAGATCCAGTTTTCGCCATCTTGCTTCCATGTCTGGGGTCTTCACTGGTACGACTCATGCACAACATCCCACAGCATGTCAGCTGGCTCCAAGGAGATGACAGTATCACCCTGGAGGATGCCCTCGGGGTCTCGATCAAGATTCCACTACTTTTGTGCCGCAGTTCCAAAATATTCCATGCGTTCATAGAGACCCATTTCGAAAACAAGCCAGGCATGTTAATCGTCCAAGCGCGGAAATACAGTATTACACTCGACAGCCGCAGAGGGCGTGTCATCCTTCAAGGATCGGAGGGCTGGAAAACGGGAGAGATCAAGGCTCGCTCGACCGTTATCATGTCGATACATGTCTCTTCAAATGCAGCAATATGCTTGAACTGCGGAAATCCTCTGGTAAATCAGAGTGAGGACGTGAATGAGTTTTATACTTGGTAAGTACAGTCTTGTTCGTTGCCATTAATAACACTGAGTAGTCCCAGTCCCTGTGGTCGACTCTATCGGACGCACCATGAAAAGCCATCAGGGCACAATGATGCCACTAGCGTACCCGATCAGACGGCGAGCAGTTCTGGTATCGACCAGGAAAACCCTTCTGATGCCGGCGCTTCAGCTATACGGCTACCATCTCCATCATCGATTGACGGAAACGCCAACTCATCTCACACCACCTCCCTCGACGCCGGCGAGCTTGCCGTAATTCGAAACATCGATCTGATGCTTCCTGTGCAGCAGTCTATGGGAATTCCTGAGGACTCTTCGGAAAGCTATCTCTTACCCCCTGATACTTCACTGGCAGATGCTCTCACTTATAAGATGAGCCACAAGACGATGTCCAGTGCGGGCGAGCGAGAGGAAATATCCAGTATGCTTACGGAGCGCCTAGAGCAAACCGCCCTTGGCCAAACTTATATCAATGGGGGCCCTGGTTCTGCCGTGAACAGGTTGCCTCCGAATTCGTCGTTTGAAGATCTGGTCGCTGCCCAGATGATGGACGTTACTCGAGACATGCAGCGCCAGGTCCGTGAGAAGCTGGCAAGTATTTCGAAAAGTACGGGCATGACGCCGTCAGCGACTCCGAACAATAGTGACACGCCGCTTCACGAGGGACAGGACGTTTCCTCGTTAGCTGTAGCCGACCACGCCGCCGGTAGTCCTCCTGGCATGTCTTCGGACGACTCCCGAGATCTCCAGGTAGAGGAGCTGAAGGCGATGATGCAGAAACTTTCATCAATGCAGCTGGCAATGTCAAACGTCTACAACACAATGCACGAGAACGCAATGAATTCGATTAGGAATATCAAGGCATGAACAATATGCCGGTACCACCTAGGGGGTGTGACGGTCTAGGGAGTCTGAGGCCCTGGCAAAACTATCGAGGACATCCAACCTTTTGTGCCTCCAGTACAGCGGTCACATTGACACTCTCCGCCTATCCAAGCCTCCATCAAAGCTTGTCTCTCCGCCCTAGGCCTTTCCCCGACATCACTCAAATAGCTGATGCAAAGTTCTTGGCCGAAACCTACATTCCGCTCTGCCACCATTTCCACAGTCGTACCCCCACGCACATTGCGGTAGATCACATTCGGCGCACAGCTGTGATTGAACAGTGAATACAGCGGGCTCAACGCCATGGTCTTATCCTCTGTCCCGAAATCCCCGCCGTGCTGATTATTATTCAGACGCAATACGATGGTGTGGAGGACCCAGGTGTCGAAGCGCGTATCGGAGAAGATGTCGATACCGAGCGACTCCAGGATTTGGAAGGGGATGATAATGTTGGTGTGGTAGTTGAAATACATTGGTCGAGAGAGGCGGTATTGCGGCTTCAGGTGGCGGATTGTGGGTGCGAGCAGCGGGTCTGCAGCGCCGCTGTGAATGATCACTGCGAGCATGCGGCGTAGGACTTGCAGGCGGCCCAGCGAGTCTGCGGAGAGAAGTGACGAGGCATCTTGCGTGGGAGATACTGGGTTTGGTCTGTTGCAGTGGGCGGGATGACACGTTGCCATGGCCAGATCAGCGCACTTTGCGCTGCAAAATGGGGTGTTGCAGCAGTTGACCCTTGCCGGTCTATCTGGCAGAGGCGTGTAGCAGCACTCACACCGCCCCTCCCATACCTTAGCCGTACCGACCGGCGATGGGTCGATAAGAATCGTGCTTCCCACTTCAATCTCCCTCACAGCAAACATGCCCAGCCCGTCCTCGTCCTCGTCCTCGTCCGCCTCGGCCCTCGACCGTCGCCTTACCGTACACCTTCCGCCAGACGCACGCTCAACCTGCCCCCTTACAACGTCAACAACGTCATCATCCCGCCACAGCACGCCCTCACTCATCCACGGATACGCTCTCATCAGCACGCTCCCGCCCCACTGCGTCTCATGTTGCTCAGCACGGCTGCGTTGGGGTTCGGCGACAGCCTGTGCTCTGGTGCGGTCGCACAACCATTCTGTCATGGGCATGGTGTCCTGGAAGTACGCGTGGTGGGGAAAGCGACTCATTCCTCTGAGGCAGGTCGCGAGTGCGTGCGCGAGGGAATTTGATTGGAGGAATGCTCGGTGGAAGTGTTCGAGCAGGGTACATTCCGGTGTGTCGTCTTCTGTCAATGTCACGCTCGGACCTTCATAGTCTGACTGCTCGTCTGGTTTTTGGCTGGAGTGTGCCTGGGCCTGAAGCTGCGTGTCCCTCGCGGACGGAATCCCACTCCGGAGTTGACCTTGCCATTCTCCTTCATTCCTGACATGATTGTCTGGATGACGCCGTGACAATAGAATCTGCGCCCTGTAGCAGTCCCCTAGAGCCAGCTCGGGATAGCCGAGCTTTAGAAGGATGTCTGCGCGCCCGAGCCATCTGTGGAAGTTGTACGGCTCCCGGCGTATAGATGTACTGAGGACCTGTAGTTGCCGCTGGAGGAGGCCATGGTCCTGGACAAGGATTGTTAGTGAACATAGGCTGGTGATAAGGGGGGAAATGTGGGGCTGACCTCGGGGGAGGGCGGTGTGAACGGTACGAGGGGCCGGGCGGTGGGATGGTACGCTTTGTCCTGCCAGGGCCTGTCCATGAGGCCGCGGATTGGAGCGAGTGGAATATCAAATAGGTCATCGGAGCCTCCGCTGGGCCATAATATCTATACAGTGCGGGGGCCTCCGGTCATGCCTTTGGTATCCAGCTGCTAGACCGCTATGTCAAGACTGAACAAACCCGAGATGGCGCCCAGTTCCGTCCTCAAGACTCCTGGGAACTCTACGAATCTTAGCCAGGCAGAAACTGACAGCCGCCAATTCGAAGCTCGTCAATCATGGATACCAGCATTGGCAGCTGAAACCATCCCGAGCGCCTCATGTGCGGCCTGAGCCTGTGGATCGGCAACCGGCTCTTCCTTGTGCCCATCTGTTTCATGAACAATACTATGATCTCCTCCGCCAACACTCCTCCGACAGCGATGCCAGCCCACGGCAATGATACAAGTCTTCGCAGCTAAGCAAAACTAGACACGGGAGTGTACAGAGTAGCAAATCGGGTGCACAGACTAGCACATCCCATCAGAACGGTGTGCCACGGCCCGGTGTCAGAATTCCCGGAAGATATCGAGGATGGTGCGGACCCATCCTGGTTCTTGACATTATAACCTGCGAAAGAAGTAGAAGTCTGGGAAAACCTTGACTATAGTCCCCTGGAACTACAAGAGCCTCCAAGTTCAACCATCTCTCGAACTGATGGATATTAAAACAAGGTTCAACCAAGATTTCATCAGTCTCTGCGAATCTTCCTTCTCAACCATTCCAATATCCTCAACGTCGAGTTCGCAGTCAATCAAAAATGCATCAGTCAAGTTCAAGCCATGGACATAGCTCAGTCTATCCTGTTGTGACGCAGGACTTAGTTCCTCTTTGATCGGGTCCATTTCATATTTGCGCTCCCCATTGTGACACCGAACTTCGCAATTTTGCGGCGCGTAAAGAAGTGCATGCGCGTCTGTATTCTTTTGCGTGCGATCGAAACATGGCTTTCCCTGCTCGTTGTAGGCAATGATGGGGAGACAATAGCAGGAGCGGGTGGCCATTGGCAGGACAGCCACAAAATAGAGGATCCCTGCGACGCCGGCCAGTGTCCTCAAACGGGAAACAAAGGGTGGAATGATGTCTCTGTTGCACCTCCTGTCCCAGGGAGCTGCAAACACCCTGCCGGGAACGAAATATTGCGCCGCATTCTCTTGTCGGCCATAACGCCAATCGCGTATTCCTGGCTGACCGCTTCGATCGATTTTGAAAGGCCACATCTTGACTCTCTTCCCTGTCTTCGGGCTGTTCTCTTTCTTCGGGTCGATTATGGCCAAAGCCTGCTCTGGAACATTCCTGTTCGCATTATGACGAATAGCCCCGACTCCAAGCAGATCATCGCTCGACTTCAATGTTGGGAGTGTCCGTTGGTGGTCAAGCGCATTTGTTTCGTTTCCTTGACAGATCAGCTCCGAGGTCTTGCTACCTTCCTCGCCTACATTCTTCGGATGGAAGGAGATTTCGGCAACCAAACCGGTTTCTTGCGATAAAACTCTGCGATATTTTCCCACGTAAGCGTCCTGCAGCTCTGCAATGGCAGGGTCTTCCTTCATTTCCCAACGTTTGAATAAGTTTTTTCTGGCGCCCTTACTGTTCAAGGACCTCAAGCTGTCGGCACAGATTGAGGCTTCGATGAATTCCACCGCAAGGCTGTGGTCTCCAATTCTCGCCGCTTGTTGTGCAAGGTGTTCCGGGACGATGGAATCTTCTTCAGCAAGTTGGTGACAGGGGTGATTGAAATCAAATAGAAAGGAAGCGAAATATCCAATCGTCTGTGTGATGAAGTTCCCAGCAACGACTGCTTTTGTCATCCTCCCAAACCCAGGAGATGCATAGTATGCGTCGCCCAAGTGGACGCGAGCGTTGCCACCTATTGTGGGACGATAATAGATATGACCAGGACGAGCGGATCGGGACATTTTCTATGACCAAGTCTAACTGATGAGTTTATCGCCAACGTGTCACCTGCTATGACATACCATGGCGAGCAATTCAGATTTACCACTGTCATTCAAAGTTGAATCCCGAACGGCTTTCATTTGTGTCCACTGGAACCGAACTTCTGGGTGCCGCCTTCGTCCGCATGAGATCCCGCTAATTACTAGATTAGCGTTCCGATTTCCTTTCCCTGAATCGAAGGATTTACGAATAGCCCAACATGGTCTTTGTGTCTTGTTTCTGTGCCCGAAACCTTCGGGTATCAACTAAGCTGGAAAACGGCACTTTCTCAGGCGTACCAAGTGGCAGTTCATGATAACTGGTCAAGCATGCAGCCACCCGAAGCCTGTTGGAGGGTAATCCAATCACATTTGCAGAGAGCTGTCGTCCTCGTGATGGTCTTTAGCGGGCTGTGCCTTTCCATGAAATGCCCACTTCAGCTGGCCTCCCTTGGGGGCTGCTTCTCCAGTGGAATACGAAGCAGCACAAGGCAAAGGGTGGGAAAAGATGGGAGGTCGGTTGACCTTGCTTCTCAGCGTGCAATCCCGAACTCTCTTTCGCTGGGCCAAACTTTATGAAAAAAGACTGGTCATTATTGGAAACCAGTTGGGGGCTATCCCGCCTGTCTTTGAGGTGCCGTTAAAACGCAATCGTGCTCACATCCTCTCCAACTACGTTTTGTGTTTGAAAAAGGAACTTGACCCCTGCGAATCCGACTCTCAGCAAATCTTTCCCCATGGATCCTATAACGGTGATTGCTACTGTCGCGGCAGTCATTGACCTTGTGACCTTCGGTTACAAGCTTATCGTGTGCACTGGCGAGCTGCAGAGCTCGGCACAAGGAGCCCTAGAAGAGAATGTCGATCGCGATGTCGTCGTTCGCGACATCCAGTTCATTCTTGGGAATCTGAAAAGTTCGGATAGTGGGGATGGAGGTCAGGAGCTCGAAGACCTGCGAAAAAGGGCCCTTAAAATTGCCACAGAGCTTTCGGTGTCTCTTAACAATCTTAAGGTTGCGTCCGATGCGTCCAAACGCGAAGCATTGAGAAAGGCGCTTCGGAATCTATGGAAGAGGAAGGATATTCTCGAGTTGGACAATCGATTGAGAGGACTCAGCCAGGAAATAAACTTTCGCCTGGCTGCTGACTCAAAGTATTTTTCTTCCTCCGTCAATGTTGAGATTTGAATTATTCTTCTGACAATGTTGACTGCAGCAAGCTTCTCAATCAGATGTCTGTAGATCAGCGCACTCGAATGAAAGCAATGATAGATGAAATCGACCAACAGTCAAAAAGTCTCCGATCAGAGATGATCACACAGCAGGCGAAGACTCGAGAAGAAACATCCTTACTTCGGGAATCCGTTGACGTTGTGAGTGGCCAGACGACCGCGATTCAGAAGAATCTGGAGGAGGTGGCGAAAGGTTCTCAACAAACTAGAGACCTTCTCCTACAAGTCATCGACGCCGGTGGAGAATTAAGGCGTCGCTTCCAGGAGGTTGAGAATCTCCTATCAAGACCGGGGCCGGACCAGACCCAAGATATCGTCGTGCTGCTCAACGGCGCCTTTGACGCTCTTGCGTTGTACAGCAACCGCAAGACGAACGTCGATGTGGTACGTATTGGCAATCGAATTAAACATCCCCTTGTCACGAGCAACACTAACGATTAGAATCAGCTGTTGCAACAAAAATCGAACGGGACTTCATCCCCGATCCCCATCACAGGCCATGTGTACAGTGGTAGTGTTCAGGTAAGCGGCCGGGGGAAACACGTGCAGGGCGACATTGGCACGGCACAAAAAGACAGTGCGAAGCATAGCTATATCGGCAATCTGACAATAAGCGACGAGGCGAAGGTCGTGAGTGGGAACATTACAGAGCCAGGCTTTGCGGAGAAATTCCTAGCATGAAGAGACTTGCTTCCCGTGAATGTATGAATGATTCAAGAATCCTCAGTAACCAAGTCGCCGAGTTCATCGAAACCCCTGCAGTGCGGATGGCGGCAGTGCCAATGCGTTTGCGAAAGCCGGCATCGCGCTTTTGATAAACCCCGTCGGAGAGACAGCGAAACACAGATCCCGACCGCTCAACCGCGGGCTTCCAGGAACAGTTCAAGCTTCCTCATTCTTGGGGTGCATCAAATGTTCCGCCCAGCTATGGAAGAGTTGGATAGAACTCTGGTACCGAATCACTCGTTTGAAATATCATCCTTTTAAGACCCTGGTCATCCAAAGACCCTCGTCTCTCTTTACCGGCGAGCTTCTCTGTTCTTGATATTACAAAAATGCCTAGGCACCCCTAGAGCCACCAAGACCCTATCAAGCTTCAGAGATGTGAGAAAATTGAGAAATGCTACCCAGGAGGGGGCAAAAAACGTACTCTGTGCCGGATAAATTACTCAGTACTGGCTCAGTGTGTTGCATACCGTTCACGAGGATGGTGTTGATGTCTGAGGCTCCAGTCACCCATGATCTCGCCCATATTCAGTCCCGTGCAGACCTTTCGATCACAGATGATAGAGACCGTGACTCCAGAGGCCAACACACTGCCCTCGATCGTCACTAATGTGTACTTCTCTGAGCCGACGTAATCATTGATCCCGGATATCTTTTCGAAGGTGGCTGTCACGGCAGTAAACGTCAATGAGGCCAATGAGCTTAGTACCTTAGTCAGGGGTTTATCTTTTACTCTCCATACCTAGCTGTAACTCACTATACCAGTATAACCATGAGATAATGAATACGAAGTTAATAAGCAGAAGCAGAAGTAGAGGACGAACAAGAAGAAATAATAGTAATACACGGATATAAAAAAAAATAGCCTATTTCCTCGCCTGTCGAGTTAGCCAGTCGAACAACTAAACCATGAGAACACTTGGCCCACAAAAGACGACTGAGAAATTTCGAAGATCAAAAACTTGCACTCGAAGCACATCATCCGTGAGGCGCGTAGGCGGAACACCACCTCTCCTAAACCAAGCCTGCAGCCCGGTTATCCAACCACATAATTCGCCATCCAGATACGTAGAAATCTCCAGCTTGCGAGGCTCCAGCCTAATCGTATCACGTGGCTTATCAGCATTATCGTCGTCGTCCATTATCCTACTGGCACCGGCCCCGAGATTATCGCGTTAGTTTCTCTCATCGCGTAGATCCGCTATAACGACATCCTCGTTGTGCTGATAGCTCTCACATACGCGGATCGTACTCACCTTGTCCCTGCCGAGAGGGCGGAGGTAGGTGTGGACTTTCTCCAACGCGTCGACCATAGCTTGTGCTCGGTATTTAGCCAGGAGTGTCCGTCCCGTAGTAGCATCGAGGATCTATTTTAGAGTGCGGATAGTACCGAGGGGTATCTTGCTGATCTAGGCGAGCAGGGTATCTAGGGCGTCGAAGGTGCGGAACCAGGCTTCGATTTCGACGGATGATTCGTATTTAGGTATCTCTAGGTTAAGGAAAGAGCTAGATTTGCGGTATAAGTAGCTTCGAAAAGACGTAACGGAGAGTTCTATAGGAGTGGGTTCCGAGGCGTCGATGCCGTCGGTAGTGATGTTATTAATGGGATGCTTAGAGGACTAAGACCATCTAGGGAGTCATTTCCGCCAAGGGGTCTCAACGTACTGAGAATTCTATCGGCTGTCTTATGCACTTCGTGTGCTACATTAGCCTAGCTACGCCCTTCTGAGTAGATACGTAGGGTAATCTATGGCTAGCCGGTACTATAAATAAATTTAAGCCGGCGGAAGGGGCTGAGGAGATCGAGGTGATATTCGCAGAAGGAGGACGAGGCATCTTAACATAATCCTCATCAATCTGGCCATCGCTGAATACCCTGGGAGAGTTCATTGAGGGCAAAGGCAATAACTACCAGAATCCGCTTCTATGGTACGATACTAGTGTTGATGGGGAATGAAGTCGAGTGTAACAGCCGCCAAGACAGCACCAGGTCCACGTGATTCTCCTTGTGTAAAAGGTGCTAAACCTGGCGCCGAAAAGCGTCGAAAAGAGTTCCTTAGGCACTACGATTCCTCTTTTTCTTGATAATCTCGCTGCAGAGGACACCAACCACGTCCTCAGATCCAATTGCGACCAAGGTGCAAAGGTTCTCAAAAAAGAGAACATGTGAAGGCTCGGAAGGCGGGTAATAGGGGGTTCGCATTGAGCGGAGACTTTGTATGACTCGCCTGGAGCGTACCGGTGGTTGACAGTCTAGGATTTCTAACTGCCCATCTTCCCAAATTCGGGCATGGATACTAGTTATCGGACTACAATTGTCAACAGATGGAAGCCTGTTTCTGCCATGCTGTGGGGGTTATCGAAATCCTCCACACAAGAAACGATTCAAGGGTGGAGATCATGTTGGAGTGAGTTGTCGCCCGCCGGTATGGCGATAGCTTTGCAACAGCATGCTGGATGGGAGAATGAAGATATCTTCCGACAGTATATAGTAGAATCTAGGTGGAAAGGACAACAAAAGTTCCGCTCTCTGTCCATGCCTTGGTCTCGGCCCTATAATTCTCTGGATGTTATACCAGAGCAATGTCCTGAACCGAGAAGGACACAAAGAGAAGGCATGTTGATGGAATCTGATACTCTTTCATGGGATACCGCGCGTTGCCATTGTGACATTATCTCCAGTATCGCCGATGGTCACTAACTAGAAAGCATGATTCAGGCTGTCCTGTCTTCACTCTTGTAGTCTCGAATGGTCTGGGGGTGTGCCTCACCAAGCTCACTGGCTTTGCCCATAGACACCTCGAGCGAATAGTCAACGACCTCATCACCAAAGGCAGCAGCAATTTCCTCGAGTGGTTTGTGTCTCGTCTAGATACAGACTCTTGTTAGCAGAACATCATCTTCCTGGACGTAGGCCACGTACCTCGGGAAATACAAGTGCAAAGAATATAGCACCAATAATTGTCATGCATAAGAAAACCAGGTAGTACCTCCAACCAATGGCTGCGAATGCGTCTGATGCTGCGCACAGCAGGATCAGTGAAGACACAAAGAGACCGGAAACAGAGATGGCACAGCCACGAGCTCTGAGGTGCGTCGGCCAAATCTCTGAAGCGTATACATATGTAGAGGCATCGAGAGCAGAAGCGTAGCTAGAATTTTGTCAGCAAGATTTGTGCTTGAATTCCTGTCGTCAAGAATGACTGGGAGTTCCTGGGCGGAGAGAGAGTGGGGAACCTACAAGCCAATATGAAGGAACAAAAAGAAGACCGCGGCACTGTTGCCTGCACGGTCGCCCGTATGTTGATAAAGCGCAAGCATGATGATCTCCAGCAGAAGTGAAATCGCGCATCCGATCATGCCACCAGCTGTACATTGCTCACGTCAGTACTGCCACAAGCTCTGTGGAGTGTCAGGGAAATCGTACTCATGAGCCACTTTCGTCCAACCTTGTCCAATAGTAATGCATTAATGAAGTTGCCAATAATGCCCCAGGTAATCCAACCAGCTTGAATTATTAAAGCATTCGCGGTGCTGAAACCCAGATTCCTGTACAACAGAGGGCCGTAGTCTGTCATAGGGCTTGTCAGAAAGGTCGACTCCAGCCTTATGAGTTGGAGAACCTACTGTTGATTACCTGCGTGCCTGTGCACTGCGCGAAGAACATGCAGCCGAAGCCGACAATTAAACGCTTGCGGTAGGATGGAATCTTGAAAATAGATCGCCACGAGGATGGCAGACCTTTCTCGTAAGTGATTTGCTGCCTGATCTGGTTGTACTCTAGCTGGGCGAACTCCCCACTAGGGTCAGAGGCATCGGCGTGGATCTTGCAAAGGATGGCGAGGCATTCTTCGCCTCGATCTCTCTCCATCACTGTTCCCAGTTAGACCGTGTGATTTTGAGTACCAAATAGCACTTACACCAACGAGGTGACTCTGGCATATACAAAATGGCGCCTGCGAGGAGCAAAGGTGGCAATATCTGCAAGGCGAGAGGAGGTCGGAACTGAGCTCCATCGGCGTTTACGAAGTAGAAAGCGACCCCAACCCAGCTGGCAGAACTATATCCTACCAGGATGAAGACACCTAGCGAATATCAGCCTCTTCATGGTCTGGCTAACCCCGATTTTCTTGAATATACCGTGAAGCCCGACAAGAAAGCCACGGGTTCTAGGTGGAGCAACCTCGCTCTGCCACAGGGGGATGAGAGTGACAAGTGCTCCTTTTAGACGTGATTGTCAGTCATGAACCCAAGGCCGAGGCTACGGAGACTTACCAATACCCAAACCTGTGATGAATCGAGCGGCCATGAACATGCCGACATGGACAGACCCAGCTTGGAGGGCACCACCAACAACAGTGATGGCCGAAGCCGAGAAAATGGCCCATCTGCGGCCCAATCGATCACCAGTGAAGCCGACGTAAACCGTTCCCAGTAGTCCTCCTGCCTGATACAAACCATTGATGGCGCCTATCAACTGTACCGCGTTCGTATAGACGTCGAGCTTCATATATGTTATGAAGCTTGGTTGGCCGAGCGTTGTCGCGATAATGCATGACGAATAACCGTAAGAAATGCTACCTAGTGTAGCGAGGAGGATGATCTGGGGACACTTGTAAGTCCCTAGAAACAACAGAGACCCAGAGATGACTTACAAAAACATTGAACTTGCTCCGATGCTCTTTTACAACAGGTTCGGTCGCCATTTCAAGGGACTCCAGGACAAGAAACGATTTATTCTCGCTGCGTCTGATACTTGTTGACAGTAATTGTCAAGTGGTTCGCCCTGAGGGCACAAGGCCTTGAACATATACTCGGGCAAAAACTCAATGCGGGTGCTCTGAGGTAAGAGGCTAGCGCGAGCCATCACCGGATCAGCATTATCCAAGATGTGAAAGAGCACACCAAATAGGATCCTGATAACTATGCCAGGAACGCGTATGGTAAACGATCTAGATCAGTTCTCTTTTTCTGGCACCTACAAGTGGAGAAAGAAGAAGCCCGAAAGGTGAAGCCATCAAGATGATCCTAGCCAATTAGAGACAAGGGGATATCTATCTATCTTCCAACGATCGATAACAGAACGAAAGATAGGTAGTGGAGACAGGTTAATGCTCACCCGAGCCCCGCCGCCTGACCTTTACTAGGTACTCCTGGAGTTAAGGGCGCTTGGGCCACCTCGCATGATATCGATTGGCTCGAAGGCCTTGGATAATGCGCATCCGTACTCCACTTCGATCTTCCCCAGTCTTTCGACTCTGGGCATGGGCTGTGACGCTCGAGGCCTCCCCATCAAAGGCATCACCGCAGTCAAAATGTCTTTCGGAGGCATGGAGTATATAGAATGGAGAACTTTCCTCACCTCCCTGAGAGCAGGTCCATATGTCAACAGCATTATCTCCTCCTAAAAACCACTTCTTCAACAACTCTCTAGACGGCAATGTCGACACGCAGATACAAAGCCGCCATCTCTCAGGCTGAACCTATCTGGTTCGACCTGAAAGGAGCAGTCAAACGAACAGTTGAGCTCATCGAAGAAGCGGCCGCAAATGGCGCTGCTTTGGTTGCTTTCTCCGAGCTATGGATCCCAGGATATCCCAACTTCCTCTGGGGTGGTACATACAGCGAGAACATTCCGCTGGTGCAAACGTACATGAAGAACAGCATGGAGGCACACGGGCCTGAAATGTTGGAGATCCGGCAGGCTGCAGCAGCCAACACGATGCATGTCGTTCTGGGCTTCAGCGAGAGGGTGGCGAGCTCACTCTATCTGGCGCAGATCTTGATAGACGACAAAGGCGACGTTTTGCTCCACAGAAGGAAGATCAAACCTACACATCTCGAACGTACTCTTTTTGGTGACGCGACGGGCGACTCGCTGCAGACTGTTGCGGATAGTAAACTCGGCAAGATCGGGATGCTCAACTGCTGGGAGCACTTTCAGCCTCTGCTGAAATACCACACTTATGCACAAGATGAGCAAGTCCACATCGCAGCGTGGCCGTATCATGGCGAAGCTCTGGGAGATGAGCCATGGTCAGTATGTACTGAAGCCAACGAAGTGACCGCTAGTCGCATGCACGCTCTAGAGGGAGGAACTTTTGTGCTTGTGACCAACCAAATGATTACTGCAGCGGGGTTGAAGAAGAACACCCAAGGTCACAACGCGACTGGGAAGTCCTTCTCTGTTGGTGGCATCGGCGGTGGCGCGGCGAGAGTGTTCGGTCCCGATGGACGTCAGCTCACTCCAGATTCGGACCCATACCATGACGGATTGATATATTGTGACATCGACCTGGATCTAATCGGTCGGGCCAAGACACTCGCAGACCCCGTTGGCCATTATTCTCGCCCAGACCTGCTTCACTTGGTAGTCGACGATAGGCCAAAGCATTACGTGATCAAGGCAGATGCTGGTCCACCACAAACGCTCACATCCGCATTCAAACCCCTTGGAGATACGCTGGCATCGTTTGCGAACGGATGCTGAAGAGAGGAAAACATCAGATCAAGCGAGGTCCTGGGAGTTGCCTCGCATTTGGCTAAAAAGATCAATTAGCCGTGGACATCATCGTCTTCTGCGTTCATAGAAAATTGTTCACCTCAAGGTTTCACTGTCTGCCGACCCAGCGGCTCTGCTAGTAGCTGTCTGAGGAAATGACGTAATTGAGAAGCGTGAAGGGCTGTAGGAGAATCACTATAAGCAGCAGAAGGCAATGGAGGCTTGCTCGGGGCGTGCTGCATTCAAATGTCTCTCTGAGTTGTTCAACTGAGACTGGAGTCGTCTCGATCCAGACCGTCATTTCAGAGGTGAGTAGAGGCACCACAGACAGCGGTCGTAGCCGAGCGCGAGTGGTTGAAAGCTCGGAAATGACCCGGAGGGATTTGCGAGAAAAAACTTATGACTCTCAAATAGATCCTGTCGGGGTACCAAGGTGCGTGGATAAGATGCAGTTTTAACATCTTGGCATCTTATAGCGTACCCATTTCCCATAGATCTTGATCAAAAAAGCTGAAATCCATAGGCCGGATATCTGAAAACCCGCTGTCAAATGTCATCAACCAGTCGATATTTTCTGGCAATGTCTCATAAATTGCTGACGGGGGGGAATCAAAAACCACTGCTTCACTGCTGAGTGCGTTCCCATCGGCCTGATTGAGTGTTCCAAGCTGGAGTCCTTTCACAGGCGTCACAATAGGCTCATCAGCCTCCGCGTTTTGATCGTTCTGGGCATGCAATCTCTCATTGACGGACCATTCCTCGGCAAGGATTTGGAGAGAGCGGATGGCACGTAGACTCCAACTCCAAGCGATACTCATTTCCTGGAGGCAGGCCAAATTGAACTTCAACAACCGCAACGCTGCACGACGGGTCCTGGTATCACTGGAGGTGGCGTCCAACAACAAGATCACCGAGGCTGTACCAAGGGCGTGGACTGTGGATATAGGCATTCTCCGCTAAACATAAATGTTAGAAACTGAATTGAAAGGATAAGCTGAAGCTCTCACCAGAGTGAAGTTAAACCGATAAGCCCTGATAATGTTGGATATTGCTTCTGCAGAAGAAGTGCAGATTTGAGCGTGGGAATAAGACGGCGTGCCTAAGGAACAGTTCGATTCTCGTTGACGAAGGAAGGGCCGATGCAGTAAGATCAGTACAGTATGGTACTGTAAGCTATGACAGCCATTGATCAGGACGTGAACCCTAACGCGGCTGTTCCAATAACTTACTGAAGTGAATATATGTGTGCCGGGCGGGGTGTTTTGGCAGAGTGTGGTAATTTTAGAAAGCTAGGTAACTTTGAATATAGCTCTGTGAGCACGAGGTAGGCCTTGGCAGACATCTCTTCTTTCGCCGGCAAGGAGAGCTCGCTGTTCGAGCTATATCTGTTTACGTCATCAGCGACGGCTTCGATGACAGACGACGGTGCGCAAGGTACATTTCGTCAAGTGCAGGGCATGCCGTCTGGAAGATGTTTGTCATGTAGCGAAGATTTGTGACGGACCGAGACACCGAGAGATCAGCTGAGAGCTCGAACTCATCCGATAGCCAGGGTACAAACTCCTCTTCCTTGAGTAGTGATGGCTTTGCGGCTGTTATGTCTCTCTCGCGGATCATGCTCGGCCGTCCGAGCCCGATGTTGAAAAGCCTACACGACAACATTAGTTTAATGAAAGGATGTCGGCAGGATCAATAGAACTTGTCCAAGAGATAACAGCCCCACCAGGTGATTCTGCGTTTCTCTGCCCCCTCTTCGGAGATCTTTTGCTGATTGACCCAAGTTTGGCAGTCGATGTTGAGCCCTAAATTATAAGCTATGCGCACAGCGATGCCTGGGGAAATGAGTGGGTTAGAGAAGTCTATGGAGATCAGAATTGTGGTGAATCACCGATGTAGATCCATCCTAAGCTCTCCTTATTGACTGACATCTCCCGGAGTGCCAATAGAGCCAAAGCCGCTGCGGTTGATGTAGAGGGATGCTCTATCTCGGCGCTCAGGATATCTTTGGCTTGAGCAGCCAACACGTCACCTGCAGTGTTTGAGTCTTGCGCATCCAATCGAGCATCTGGATGATCGCAATACCGAGCCGCCAGAGCGAGCACGCAACGCAAGAGGAGTGGTGTACAATAGTCATCATATATTCCTCTATCCACTGCCCTTTGGAAGGCTGTGCGGTGCACTAGATACTGCCAAGGATTCTGCCACTTCCAGTACATGTCCAGCAGATGCGTCTGGATTTCGGGAGAAAGCTCTATATCGATCAAGTGGTATGAAAATGCTGGCTGGACGGCATAAACGTTTTGTTCAGAATCCGCTGTTGCGCCATAAGCGTTGCTTCGAAGTAGATTGAAATAGCTGGGAGCACCAAAGTAGCGTAAGTGGCCATCCTCGGCGATGTCTAATTGACCTGCAATCTCTGCCAGATCATCCACAGGGCCACGATCATGAGGAGTGTCCGCATTCTTAGAGGGTTCAGTTTCCAGGTAAAGTAATTCTGAATGGTCTGCTGTGGGAACAGGGGTAGTCGCTAAGAGAATTGATGAGGAGCCTTGCTGTTGATATGCATGCAGCTGTCGTTCCAAAGACAGGATACGCGCATGGAGGGCTTCAACATAGCGCTTCGTCGGTGGTCTGTGGCATTAGTACTAGAAGATATGGGGAGCAGGCGGCCGTACTTGCGCTTCTCTGTCTCATACGGATACTCGCATTGCTTACTTGCACGCAGGCATGTGCCGCACTCTGGTAGTTGTCCATCGCACTGCCACGTTTTAGCAATCAAGCCTCGCAAAATGGGGGTGATGCCCACCCGAGTTCTCCGGATTCTGCATGTCGTGCATGCTACCGATACGCGCTGTCTTACAACTCTCTGTGACATACTATAGAATCAACCCATAAAATAACCTCAAAGAGAACACGACAGCGACTCCGGCGTTTGAGGAGGCCACGGGCTTCAAATACGGAGCTCGACAATGTGTTCAGTGCAGATAAGACTGGTGCCACTTGATTAACCTGATAATGGGCATCCCATACGTTGCTCTAGATTCAGGGCCTCAATTTCTTCGTAGTGACATCAAGTATTAAAACAGAAGTGATGATTTGACGGCACGGAAAAGCACGCGACGTGGGTATAACGTTGATGGCGGAGAGGATGAAAGTGAAGGAGCTGATATCAATTTGATCACGTGAGCCAAGGCTTTACACCCGTGTTGTCGACCACAAGCTCAAGTATTTACCAGGAGTGGAGGATTCGAGCAGGCTGGTCCTTATGGTTTTGTAGACTTTGTCGTTGGAAAAGAGATGGCCCCTGCCAATGCGTACTGCAAGATGAACAGCGCAATGGTAACCTTTTTCGACTGTGATCGTACACTTTCTGTCTTCGTACGTACACCGGCCATACTACGAAGATGGTGACGGCCTAGGCACAAATAGCAGGACCCGCGCAGCCTGTTGCATACTCCGTTCTTGACTAGGTACTTAGTTTGGCTACGTGTGGCACGCCTTGTTTGAAGAACGGAATCACAGCCCATTTCGAGCACAACCCTGGCCTTGCGGTCCACAACAGCGAATTCTCAAATCGATATTGATTTAAGCATCTTCGCAGCCCGCTATTGGGATGGTACATACAAAAAGCCTAAGGCTCCAACCGCTTTTGCATGACAAGTTTATCAGAGCGTGTAAATTACCATCTAGGAAGTGTGGAAACCCAAAGGACCCGCTTTCACCCTAAGCTTCTTGCCGAACAGCTGCAGCCCCACAATCAGGAAGAATGCGAAGGCACAAATAGCAGCCTGGATACCAAAGCTGGTTTTGGTGCCCTGTGCTTGCGCCCAAGTGACCTGGAAATAGGAAATAATGAAGCCGCCACACGTACGACAAAAGTTGATCCACGCAGAGACCTCACCTGATGCCTCTGGATAGCTGTCGAGGTTGTAGGCATTGAGACCAACGGTTGTGATCATGATTCCGAACACATAAAGACCCCAAAATACCGATGTCACCATGTAATGATATCCTTCTTCGAGAGAGAAGCCGAGACCGACCAACCCGGCCAGCATAAATGGTGTAGAAAACCACATAGCCCACAAGCGGACCTCAGGCTCAAAATGGCCGCTGTGCCCTTTGATGTACCGTGTCGCGATGAAGTCGTGGAGCCAGTGGCCAACGACTTCGCCTAGCAAAGCACCGACAATTGGCGTGAAGTAGAAATAGCCAATTTGTTTTGGACCAAAATTGTAGAGCGGCGTCAGAAAGATTGCGAGCGTAGTGTTGATACCGACTACCCAGGCAAAGGTTAGGAGATAGTAAATGCAGGATATGAAAACAGTAGGTTTAAGTGCCACCCAGACCGGGCGCATGAGTGCTTGTCCTAGTGTGTTTCGTAGATTGCGCGATTTCCACTGAGAAATTCCAAACAGTCGAGAAAAGTGGGATCCTCTAGGCGGCTGAGAGGATGGAGCGATACGGCGATCATAATATGTTTCGTCGACGAAAACAATGACCAGCACTAAGCATAGAGCCGTCTGGGAATAATGTTAGTTCAATGCGTAGGCGACTCGAGGTTGACCACTTCAACGTACCTCGGCCACATAAACCCAGAAGGGTATTTGCCATGTTTGCGTGCTGATGATGAAGGCAGCAAAGAGAGGTCCAAAATAGGGCGATAGAATGATAAACGAGCTCCAAACATTGATTTTTCTCGCTCGTTCGTGAAAAAAAAACATGTCATAGATGAACATCAGCCCACCTCCTTGTGCGACAGTACTAAAGAAGCCATTGAGAATGCGTGCGGCCATGAAGGACTCGAAAGACTGCGCAGCGGCACACCAGATGGCAGTAGCAGTGGCGAGGATGAGGAAATAAAAGAGGACTGGAAGACGACCGAAGTATGCGGACAGTGCGACTACAACCACGCCCCCAGCTCCCAGCATGAACACATTGCCCACCTGGCTGTGGTTGACGTGGTCAGGAGTCATGTTCCATATAGCTGCTTGAGGCAGGAGGGTGACTGCTCCAGTTGCACTTCCGTAGTCTGGTAAGAAGGCTGACATTGATACAATGATCAAGATGAGATGTTTCTTTAGTCGACTCCAGTTGAGAGGGTCATTCGGGTCAGCGGAGGGCTGTGGAAGGAGGATTGTATGGCCATCTGGCGCACGTTTGAGATTGGCGTGCTCGGGGTCGCTCGCGTCGATGATGTAGCCCTCTGCATTTCTGAATTCGTGCAATTCTGTCACGTTTTCAGTATTTGCAAGCTCACCCTGTTCCTTATCTTCCAACATTTTGGTCGATGAGGCTGTCTGGTCTGTCGACCAAAATGCATCAATGTATGCTGTTCGTAGTAATCGCGGCGGTGGATGAGATGCTGACTGATTCACCCGTATTTCACACTGCTAGATTCGCCTGGATACTGACAGAGGAATCGCATGGTACTTATGCGTAACCGTCCATGATTTCTCTGCGAAGTCCACATTCACTTTGCGGGGGACTTCCACTTGTCCAGGGGCCTAGGAGCTGTCAGGCGTGTGACGAGATTTGCCTGAGTAGCAACCTCGGAAAATACCCCAGAACGGCTATGGACCACCCCCGTTTTATGAGCCCCGTACATGCTGGTACATCTTGGGGTGGTTGAAGGATGGAGTGTGACATGATAAACAGTACGAATTGAGTAATCAATTGAGCGATCCTCCAGCTTCACAAACCTTAAACTCTGGAGACTACGGCCGTGTCCAGTGGTTACAGCAGTAAAGGGTTCTGACCAAAACCGAAAGCCGGTGGGTAATGGTAGTGGTGATGACGCAGCACAGGCAGAACGAAGAGCTGGGGATAATGATACAAGCATCTAGCAATGGATCTTGAGTCTCTTGGTTTTCACCTTGTAGATAGGATGATGGTTATAGTAGTACAATGTTTAGGTAGCCTAGAGATCAGAGTGCAATGTGAAGCTGCCTACATGACTGTATGCGACAATTGCTGAATGAAGTCGAAAGCAGAGCAAAATGCAGCGCCAGAAGCAGCCGAGGCCGACCAGGCTGTGTGCATGTTCCGAATATTGTCCTCTCATCCGATGCCTTGGACAATATAGTTGGCTTAGATTACTTCACCTGGATTCTTCGCCCGAGTTTATCAGACTTGACAAATATGAATCAAGACGATCAGGGACCACTTTTTTGGTACCGTTGTCTTAGGGTTGGATCGTTATTATTTCTGGGGAATTGCCCGAGAATTAATGACGTCGTCGACGGCTAAGCTACTTGGTCCACATCTGGGGGTTGAAAGAGACTCGATCTGTACTCCGTACATGGCCAGTACGAAAACTGAGAGCTGACCCAGCCTGCCAGTTCAATGGATAATGATAAAAGTCTGTTGCGGGCGTGTCAGTAGCTCGTCGCTCACTCCCACAGGAAGCACCAACTTTGTTTGATGATTGGGGCAGGTTTCCGGTGGCTTAGGGTGGCGTCCTCAAGTTCTACTGCAAACGGGTTTCAATTCCCGCGTGCCTTCAAGTGGCCCCCTGCTGTGGTCAACGTCCATACGCCAGATTGCCGAACCATTGTGGGGATATCCCTTTAGTGGTAGGGATGGAAAGAGGACTCGGGTTTTGAAAGGAATTGATCTAGCCCTGGACATCCCTGCTCCCGGCGTATATCAACGGTCCGAGTTCAAGTAAGATGCAGGCAGACAAAGCAAACACCATGAAAGATCCGAAGATTAGGGCGATGACCCTACTCTCTCAGATTTCCTTTGATTTGCAAGCGTGTGCTCCAGGCGCTTGGCGGCGGATCTATACAACGGCGCGAGCTTCCCCTCGAGACGGGATAGGGAGAGTTTGGAAGGCAAGGTTAAGTGCCATCTGAATGCACAAAACCTGAGTTATCTGCAGCCATCTAGCAATAGAGCAGAATCACAATTTGAAAGTCCTTGACACTTTCGAAGTTCGAGAGAATTGGACGACAACGCGTTCTCCTCCCGCTGAACGGCGAACAGCAAGATGGTTCGCGTCAAGTGCTGAGCATGAATGAGGCGAGTGCGGCGAATGCGGCCGCATCATATTGATTAGAATGCTCTCTGGCAAGACTCGATGGCTGTATAGAAGCACCAGGCGATCATTTGAAGGAAGTACAGTAACACGGATCACACGATTCTCAGCGCAGAATCTTGATTTGCAGATCTCCGATGAGAATTTTACGGATCTGCGATGAGAATTTCGCACACGCAACTGAGCCACGGGCGAGGCCAGGTGGAAGCAAGAATGTATAGCCTGATGTATTTGATCATACCGCAAGCTTTTTCGCGGTCGACTAGAGGAAAATGCAGCAGATCCAATTTCCAAGAAAGAGACGATTCCACATTAGCGCCTGGCAAGAAGAACCTATTCATGATATCAATAAACGCTTCCCACGTCCGAATCTATTGCCAAGTCCCGGTCGATGACTTAGCCTCGACTTAGCCTCCACTCAACACATAGTCACTATCTGCTGAAGAATATGGTGCTCTCCATGCAGGTGATCTTCTCCTTGTCAACAGTGTTGACATCTGCAAGGACAGTGTATTTTCCAGGTGGCTAACGTAAAGTCAATATACCATCACAGCAATCGTTGTTCGCAATTTTACATACCACTTGCTTGGGAATATCAACTTCCTTCTTCAGTGTCAATACGCCCTCTTTCAAAGGACAGGCCATGTCGATCTGAGGTAGGTTGTCACAGAGGTCTGCCTCCTGCTTGATAAGGGTGATCAAGCCATACTTGACTTGAAGAAAAACAGTGGCACCTGGCTCGATGTCTTTCGCAAAGGTTCCGTTTGCAGAAATAGTGAGCTTTTCGCCACTGTAAATTGTCAACCAGCTTATCCAATAGATTTAGAGTAGAGGGAAGCGCACGGGACGGGTGGATTGGGCGATAGGTCCACGTAGTCGATGGTGAGAATATAGTCTGCAGGGTCGGCACAGAACTAGCACTGTTAGAATATGAGAGCCTTGAAGGAAGAGCCCAATCCATACGTTTAGAGGATTCTTGCCGGGCACAGGGTACTTGGGGTCATCCACGAGAGCATTCTGGCTACCGCCGAAGAGAGATCTGGAGGAGACGACAGTGGCGGTGAGGAGGGAGAAGACGAGAGCGGTGACCCTCATATTGACAAGCTTATGAGCTGCAAGATGCACCAGATGCACCAGTCTAGAAAGCAGTCCTGGTGTGTGGAATCGTGGAATGGCTAGTAGAGGTTGTGACGTTAATGTGGGAGTTGCAGGAAATGAAAGAGTGAAAGCAGGTGAGGTGGGCTGGGATTGGAGCACAAGAGGCGCAAAATGGCAGCCGCGACCGCTACCGCCAACCACACCATCGCCTGCGCCATGTTCAAAGCCGCATTTGCCATTCTGTCCATAAAGTTGCGTCATTGGTCTTGGCGAAGTCACCACGATAAGGGCTGCGACTGGCATCTGTGGGGTCCGCCATATAATATGCATCTACCCAATGTATGTCTCGCCGTACTCGGCTAACTTTCCATATCCACCACAGGCCCAGGAGCATCGCTGGTCTTGGGTGTCCACGGTGTCTCACGCTCAGCCTCAAGTTTGGTCTTCTCGTTCCCAATCAAAGCCGGTCGTCGACATGTGGTTTTGTTGAGTGTCCTCGCAACAACCTGATCTGAGCTCCCGGCTGGGTGACCATGTCGCTTTAATCCTCACATTCTCACATTCTCACACTCGCTTCTTCCGGTCGCTCACGTTACCCTGCGGTCGGTTGTTCCAGTTCAACGATTTCTCCCCTCCCTGATCGTCCCTTGGCAGCACCCCTTCAATCAGGTACAACATCCGCTTATTTAACTTTTCTCTATACAAATCCTAGACGCCCATCATAATGCGCCCGGTCCTGCTAGCATGGGCTCTTACAGCCGCATTGACATCTGCATTCGCTGCACCTCCAGGGAACGACCGTAAAGGGTCGGACTTGTCGAAAGATGCCACCTCAGGGGGAGCACCACTTGACGATGGAGCCGGCGCACAATATACTATATTCAACGACATTAAAGTTCCTCCAATGAAAGAAATAGAAGGCTCGGAGTTTGCGAATACGATAAAGGATGGTTACTGGTAATTCTCTTTCTCACTGTGTCTGGATTCCACTAACTGATGCAGGTGGGTAAAGCACTACTCGCCATACTGTGGCCATTGTAAAGCGGTGGCCCCATACTGGCAGACCTTATATGAATTCTATGTCACCTCCGATCCTCTCGAAGGTTTAACGAAAGGCGGACAGCCGGACCTGTCCTCGCCAAACAGCTTCCACGGCTACTACAACTTCCACTTCGCCTCACTGAACTGCATAGCATATGGCGATGTCTGCAGTAACAATGGTATTCAGGCATGGCCCTCTTTTGTCTTGTACAAAGATGGCCAGATGGTTGAGAAATATTCCGGTGCAAGGACCATGGAGGCCTTCAGCAGTTATGTCGAGGAGAAATTGGAACAGATCAAGGCTGGTTCACGCCCAAGGGGTGGTGTAAAAGTCCCTAAGGTCGGGGCAACCAGTGTCGATCGTACTGCACTTCCTCCCACTCATTTGTCCAAAGACAAGGATCCTGCCGCGGGTGCCGCCGCGGGTGAAAAGCACAATCAACAAGCTGCCAAACTATCTACCGAGACCTCAACGGCATCATTAGCATCCGAAACGGCCAAGAATGGCAAGTCTCCAAACAAGAAGCCCGGCCTTCCTCCCAATCCGAAGGGTATTTCCATCCCCTTGACTGCGGAGACCTTTCAGAAAGTCGTCACAAATTCTCAGGATTCTTGGTTCATCAAATTCTATGTCCCTTGGTGCTCCCACTGCCAACACTTGGCTCCTACTTGGGCAGAAATGGCCAAAGAGATGGAAGGCAAACTCAACATCGGAGAAGTCAACTGCGAGCAGAATGCGCGCTTGTGCAAAGACGCCAAGGTCAACGCTTATCCTACAATCTATTTCTTTCGTGGTGGTGAGCGTGTCGAGTACGAAGGGCTTCGCGGGCTTGGCGACCTCCTCTCTTTCGGCCAGAAAGCTCTGGACAGCGACGTAAAGTACGTCGATGCTGCGACCTTCAAAGAAATGGAGGAGACGGAGGAGGTTATTTTTGTTTACTTCTTCGACCAGGCCACCACGTCCGAGGATTTTGCGGCTTTAGACCGCTTGACCCTAAGCTTAATCGGTCATGCGAAGATTGTCAAGACCGACTCCAAAATTCTCGCAAACCGTTTTAAGATTTCGACGTGGCCGAGACTGCTTGTTTCCAGGGATGGACGTCCAACCTACTACAATGCTCTTGCCCCCAAGGACATGAGGGATTTCCGGAAAGTTTTAACCTGGATGCAAACTTGGTGGTTGCCAATAGTGCCCGAGTTGACGGCTTCAAACGCGAAAGATATCATGACAGGAAGATATGTTGTGCTAGGAGTTTTGTCTAGGGATCGTCCAGATGAATTCCTGCAATCTAAGCGGGAGCTCAAGAACGCCGCTCTGGAGTGGATGGACAAGCAGACACAAGCATTCCAGCTCGAAAGGCAAGAGATGCGCGATTCCAAACAACTTCGGATTGAGGAAGCTGAAGATCGCAACGATCAGCGTGCACTCCGCCAAGCAAAGAGCAGAGTTATCAGCATCACCGAGGAAAACTTCCGGAAAGGCGTTGGCTTCGCCTGGGTTGACGGTGTGTTTTGGGAAAGGTGGCTGAGGTCAACTTATGGTATCGATGTCACCAAGGGCGAAAGGGTCATCATCAATGACGAAGAAGTAGGTTGTGTGCGCTCATTCGAGGATATACAGCTAACCATCCCTAGAATCGTAGGTACTGGGATCAAACTGATTCAGGGGCATACATTGTGCCCTCTCGAACCTCGATCCTTGAAACATTGGGCAGGATTGTTGCGTCTCCTCCGAAGCTCACGCCAAAATCGACGATCGGCACCTTTGAGAATGTCTTCTTCCAGATTCGGAATTTCGGAACCTATCACCCGTACCTTTCATTCGCCCTGCTTATTGCGGCGATTATTACCCTCATCTCTGTCCTCAGGAATGGCACCACTATCAAGCGAACCCTGAGCAGAAATAGTAGCGGTTATTTCCAACTCGATGGAAAAGAGGGCCTGCTAGGCACGACTAATGGAAAAGCGGACTAGATGTGCTGCCTCAAAAGTGTATGATACGGCTAAAGCACGGAGCTTGACCAAAAAAGGGTTCAAGCTGTAAGCACACTTCATGTTGGTGTGTTTCTATGTACAGTGCATTGCGATGGCGTTCAGGGTTTTCTGCTCTTTGAAATACTATTCTACGGGACTCTTCAATTGGTTAGATGCATGACCGCAGAAGGTCACGTCCATCATGAAATTTCCTCCCCATCGACCCGAGCATACATTCATCGCCGCAAACCCAAGCATTGAGCCCCCTATCTAAGGTCTAGTTTATTGCGACAAGCTGCACCAGCGTGATGCTACCATGCCGCCTGAGTCAGTCAAGTAGTGTAAATGGCCAAATTTGCTGACATGGGGTGCATGAACAATCTGCTGAATATCGGTGAATCACAAGATTTCGTACTTTTGTCACCCCTTAGCAAGGCTATGAACATGTTTCACATTATCCAGGCTTGTCTAACAGCTACCAAAGTTGGCTCGACTGCTTCTACAAGGATGGCCGTGTAACTCAAAACTATTTAGAGCGCTTAAGGAGACGTGGCTGATGTTAGGCTAGGCGGTTAGTGAGCCATCCAGGCATGGCCGGGGGGCCACTTTTCTTGCCTGCCTCATGATTGTTTGACTAAATCCCCATGATGGGCGCCTCTTCCTATGTGGAGTACAGCCAGGTCATACTGAATATTCCACTTGTTCAAGCATGATGTCCTAGGCAGGGCCCCTACATTGGTCTTGGTTTCATATGAGTACTATTGCGACGCTGGCGCAGCAATCAAGTTCGATCACGGTGGCTGTACTCTGCATATTCAACGAAGACCTCTTGAATGGGTAGCCATCTGCTGCTGCCTGTATCATATCCTGGCTAGAGCGCCTCTGGATTGCTTCTTCAGCCCCAACAGTCCTCCAGAATGGCCGTCCATTTTTCTCCTCTTAGGAGTCTCCACGAGACTGTGTCCTTTTGATACACGGAGTACGTACCGAAGAAGGTGTATTTCCAATAGCAACTTCACAGACTCGTCGACAACATCACTCTCGGTCAGAATTGATTGGAGTCATCAATGAAAGCAGGTAGTACTGCAGCAGGAATCATTCGAGGCTGGTTACCGTCTCTTCGGCTCATAACACGATTATCCTCAATATATGGCACAGGTGTCAGCGAGCAGCCCAAAGCAGCCGTACAAAGATCTCGATGGATAATACTTACGAGATGTGCTATACATATACTTCCGATTGCTGTCTCAACTGTTTTGATCAGCCTCAACCTCTGCAATACTTATCTGGGCCGAACCCTCCCCGGCGCCATAATTGACCCAGCCATCAATCTCGCATTGCTGCAGATTGCAGCCAAGATACATGAGCTTCTCATCGTAGCAAGCGTCGCCACCGTTGTGCTACATTATATTCGCCGACAGCTTGTTTATGGACAGGGTTTACCTCTCGGTCTGTTGATGGGAGGGTTCATGTTCTCCGGACTCGGCTATTTCTGGTCACCGGAGCTAACCGGTTCATTGTTCGCCAGATATGCCTTGAGCTCGAAAATAAAAATCCTTGTTATCCTCATCTTTGCCGGTCTCTTTGCCACCTTGTCTGGTCCTGCTTCAGCAGTGCTATTGATTCCAGAGGAGCAACCGTGGAATGCTGGTTGTTCGGTGTACTATCTTCCAGCCACAACCGGAGACCTATGGCCGACAGTAATCAACTCTTCAAATAACATGCAGCAAAAGCTATGCTCGGAAATTCAACTTGAGCATGGGCTTTGCGCGGCGGGAGGATATTCGTCACTCTGGAGGTCCAAAGATCTGATCGACATGTTCAGGAGGCCTGCATACATTCCCAGCAGCCGGCGTAACCTAACAACCGACCTTATTTTTGGGCCAAGAGGAGTCGACATCACCAATAACTTCGAGATGATTAGAGGCTTGAGATACTCTGGCAGTCTCCGCGGTTATGCTTGTGAGACTGCGATGGTTGGTACACGCATCGTGGACGCTATGTATCATAAACAACTCCTTCAGGATTGGTCACGAGAGGTCATGTCGATTGGCTTGAATTCAAGAAGCAACAGCCCTGCGGAGTCAAATTACAAGTACTATCGCAGTCTGACAGCGACAACATCTTCTCGAATTCCCGCAGTCCGAGTGTCGTGCACACCAGCACAAAATATGTCTTCTCAATCTGGGCAAATAGAGTTGCCGATACTCAACGAAGAGGGCTGCTCACCGTCTGCAAGCAGAACTACGTCTGTCCCGAGAGACTGGCTCAATGACTCGCTGCTCCACCAATTCCGAGCCTTCTGGAACGATAAAACAGCTGATCTTGGCTCTACAAGTGGGACAATCGTGGTCGAACTGCCTACAGACAGAGATTCTGAGCTCATTGCGGTTGTTGGCTGCTCGGTTGAAGCAAGATGGGCAGATGGGAGCACAATCACAAGTGACTTACGGTCATATGCGACATCGTCCAACCTCAATCTGCACTTCCACGCTCCTGTTAGCCTTGGTCCGATTTTCAAGGGTCCTTCGACTGGTTTGGGCCAACAATCGTATTCCGAATTTCGTCCGGTCTTGTCGAACCCAACCTCCACCAGGATCTCGTTGAGTCACGACTGGCTCTTCGATGCAGCCACTTCGAACAGTTCAGCACCAACAGATGCCGGAGGATGGACGGCAGATAAGTTTGGCAACTTTTTAGGTAACTCAAGTCTCTTCGAAGACGTTCTACGGTCCTCGGGCCCGTCTTCTATCGAAATTTGGAATGAGGATACCCCCGGTCTCACCAATCGAACAGTCGCTTTGGAATGGACACTAGCGCTGATAGTTACAGACGCCTTGTCCCGGACGGGGAGTGAGCTTATTCTCGACACCACAGGCCCTGTCTCGTCCTGGTCAATCAAGGAATATGACAGAGTACCTGACTTCCAGGCAGAGCTGTTTCGTGGCGGGCGTGCTCTCAAACGCCCGGAAAACAGCAACCCCATGACAGAAGGGAAGCTGGAAATCACGATAGGTGGCTATTCGTATCAGGCGACCTCGCTGACAAGCTACCTGGCAATAGCGTTGCTTGCTTTGCATATGCTGGTTGCACTCAGTCACATCATTTTCCTCTTCAGCAGTGGTGAATCTTCGAGTGCATGGGAGTCATTCTCGGAGCTGCTGGTACTTGCACAAAACTCGCGTCCGGCACCCATCGCTCTGAGGCACACAAACGCAGGGATCAAGTGGATGAGGACATACTCTCGGATGGCCAGAGTATATTCTGTAACCCCGTGGGATACAATGGGCGAAAGTGGTCAGCGCAGTAACGTGGAGTTGATGTTTGACCAGGACGAGGAGGATGACGTGGGTGATGCCAACTCCAAGAACACTATTCAGATGCCTCGAGTTCAGTGGAGAAAGGAGAACACCCTTGTTGTGTTAGGAAATGTCAAGCCTAATACCATGTACGGCCACCCGGATGATAATAATGTCAGGAAAAGGACTTCTTCCACATGGGCTACCGTCTAGAGGTCCAGGTGGATTGCAAAATATGACGTTGAAAACACCAAGGGGCGCCATTGTCAAGATTGTAATAGATATGATGGGATAAGACTGCTTCTTTTCACTGGAAATAAACGTGTGGGTCGATCTTAGCAGCGTCATTACTGGATGCCCCTTGAAAACCGAAAGAGCCGCAAAACCCCCCCGGAACTACGTAATTGTTTGGTTTGTTTCCCGAACAAAGTGGTCAAGCGAACGCGGAGAAGACTTGGCCAAATTGACAAACAGGCACAGCTTGATCACTACTATTGCATCAGCAGCTGGATCATGAGATCTAGATCCTGACATAGGTTGGTTCCAGGTCGTCATAGGCAGGATATGCAGGGGTCCAATCCGCCAACTGCCAGCATTCCGAAGCAGCCGGCAGGAGAGATCCACTATCAGCCTCACTGGTTGGGCTGGTGGACAACTCCCCACTAGATAATTTATAATTCGGCCGCTGGAGCGGAAGCATGGGCTGTCATGAGTCGGTGAAACGGGGAAGGGAATTATGGGCTTCCGTGGCCGATGACTCGTGCTCTCGATGCATTTCACCAGCGTTGAGAAGCGGGCTCATCGTGTGAGTTGATGGAAAATCATGGGTATCTTGTTCGCTATGAAAAATTGCAAAGGTCCGCCGACACCAACCATTCTGCAGAAGGTCTCGGCACACCCGGACATCGAAAAATGCTACAAGTTACATTCAGGGCACATAAAGCAGCGTCGAGGGGTTTTGCGGCCTTAACTCCCGAACATACCTTGCCAACCGACACGCTCATACATGACGATAGCAAGACAAGAGCTTACCACCACTTCGATGGGAACATCGTCCTTCAGGTTTTCTGTGAAGACCGTCAGCCCACCCAAGACCTTCGAATCTCTTCTTTGCTTGTAGACCGCGACGAGCCTTGCATCGTTGTCTTCCAGCTTCAAGTTGCCATTGCATTTGGGGAAGCCGTCGTCCATCTCAGGGATGTCAAGAATCTTCTTGTTCCCCCGCCACTTGTAGATTCCTGTTTCGGGCGATCCGATTTGGCCCATGATGTATTCCCGTCGATAGTCAACACGCATGATGGTCCATTTGGATCGAATATCTGAGGGTGCATGCAACTCATGGTCGTAGACCATCCATTTCGAGACTTGGTAGACTGTCATGTTGATCGTCATCTGTGTTACTCCTTGCCAACCAGGGTATTTGATCGTCGCCAGTGGCCATGGTTTGGACGCCGGTTCTTCCTCGTAGAATGAATCGTGTGATGGAGATGCGGGTAATCCTTGGATCTCGCTGGCAGGAGCTGTCTTGCCGCGCTGCTTCGAATTTGGATGGGACGCATATAGATTGAATTTTGGTGGCAACATATACCCAACTTTCCACCACTTCATGTTACTGGTGGCGTAGGTTGGAGCTGTTCCCGAGGATATGTATGACGAATGGCCAGTCAATGAAATCCCGGCATCGACATCCCTTAATTCTAGCTGGAGGTTCTGCGGGAAAACCAATCCCAAGGGCGTGCTTTTGAGGATCTCGAACCGTCGAATGCTGTGTTTGTGCTGTTGGAAGAGCTCCCGCTGCTCTGGCTCTGCGACCGTTCCGTCATTACTGGTCTTGCGTGTCCTAACCATAACGAATCGTTAAAATCGAACGAGTCTGGCTGGAATTTTGGCTGGGTGGTCGCTGGTTCCTTCTGATTCTTTTTCTTCTTCTTCGAAGGCTTCTCAATGGGATGACAGGGGCATCCGCCTGGATAGTAAATCTCTCGAAGGGTAATGGTCGTATATCTTCTCCGGACATTCCTGTTAGTCTCTTCCTCTGAGGGAAATAGAGCATTGTAGGTCGGGAGTTCAGCATTCTCAGAAGACATCTTGGAGGGAATGTCGCTCTCGACGACTGTTACCCTTGGGTATTCAATGGCCTGGAGAAAAAATGCTTGGGGATGAGGGAGATGAGACAGGGAGACGAGGCTCTTGTGAGTCCTAAGGGTGACTCGGCTTACAGAGGATGACTAGATATTAACCCAACGCATAAGCATTTCAGCAAGGGACCAGAAAGTATCGATGGGTCCGAAATTACGATATTGTGGATATCAACACAGGGTGATGTTTTGAAGATGGTCAACGTATGGGGCCTTGATTGGCTGTTCGGCTCGGATGGGAACGGATGGAATGGCTGTGCTTGGATTTATGAAAAAGCCGATGCTGAGGTGGACGGATGCGTCAGCGAGGGTTGTGCCCCGTCCTCTGGCTCATTTGGGACCTGCTCACCTGCTTTCATTCAGGTGGATGGGTAACTGGACGTGTTTCGTCCACCGGACTCTTAATGCTCCGTGCTGGTTTGCCTGGCTCGAATCCTAAATCTTAATTTGCGGTGAAGTTATTTCAGAGCGGTGATATGAGACATGCATCAGTGTCAGAGTGACAGGGAGATTCAGAAGAAGGCCTTGCTTTATGTACAATGCATGCACCTATTGCAAAATCTGCCTCGTCTGAGAAAATATCAAACCAGCCGTTGAAAGAGCAGTATATAGTGGCTCGTAGTTGGCAAAAGCCATATTGTCAACCTCGGTCGTATATTTACTATATTTAGATCAAAGGTCAGGAGGGTTGCTTGGTCCCGTGCCTTTGACGTACTCGTATCGGACTGTTGAGAGAAAAATGCTGCTGGTTTGGGCACGGTGGTCTTAAGGCAGACTTGGGTGGCTCGGCCAAGCCCACCAAAAGGCACCAGCGAATCTGTGCTGGACGACCACCAAGGACTCTGAGAACTAATGAGGAGTACTACTAATGAGTAAACGAGACCCAAACTTCCAGTCAGCCTTGTCCGTCTTGACCGCGGAAGCCGGTGAGCGCCCAGATTCTGGAAAGTGTGCAGTAGCGAGAGAAAAGCAACACCCTACTCAGGTGTGGAGTAGCGTCTGGGACTATAACTCTCCTTGTCTCTCAAGCTATGCCCCGCAACATATCGAATGCACTGTACTTTCATGGCGGCTGAGGTCCTTGTAGGAGGAGGACAAGCAGGGGATCTATTGGCATCTTCCCACCCTCTTCTGGACGCTTCTGGTAGAGGGGAGAAGCTGTGTTAGCGATCACGTGATATTGAAATTGGAAGGCAGGTATCCCGAAGACCAGTTTTACACCAATCAACGGCAGGGGATTCAGAAGCTCACAAACTTCCACCTTCAAGTTCTCAAGGTACCACCCAGACGCAATTGTGTGCTGCCTGAGTTCCATGGAGACCATAGTGCAAAGCAACATGCGAGTCTAGGTTCAAGACGTTGCACCTCGGAAATATGAGACCACTTCTGAAAGGTCTGCTCCCTCGAGCTTCACGCGCACAACTTGCTGCATCAACCCGCTTCAGCCAGGTTTCAATATCTCGACCCTCTATACGCAGATCGGCTTCTACAGACCAACAAGCAGCACCTACAGCCTCCCGTCTCCTCAATTTCTTCTACGGCACTACCTTGGTGCTGGGACTTGGTATCGTCTACGTTTACGTCACCGATACGAGGGCAAGCATTCATCGCTATGTGGTGATTCCAGCCCTCCGTTTGATCTACCGTGACGCTGAGGAGGCCCACCATGCCGGTAATCATCTTTTGAAGTCTCTTTGGGATTTTGGTCTTCACCCTAGAGAACGAGGAGATCCAGATGGTAGAAAGGACCTGGAAACAGAAGTCTTTGGCCAGATACTACGAAATCCGCTTGCCACCTCAGCCGGGATCGACAAACATGCTGACATTCCCGACGCACTCTTTGCCATCGGCCCCGCCGTTATTGAGATAGGAGGAACCACTCCCCTGCCCCAGAATGGCAATCCACAACCAAGAGTGTTCCGCTTGACATCTCAGCAGGCGTTGATCAACAGATATGGTTTGAATTCAGAAGGCGCCGATCATGTCGCAATGAGATTACGGAACCGAGTTCGAAAATTTGCTCAGGAACTTGGCCTTGGACATGACGAGGTCGCAGAGAAGGCAGTTCTCGATGGAATTGCCGGCGTGCCTCCCGGGAGCTTGACACCGGGAAAATTGTTAGCAGTCAACATCGCCAAGAACAAGATTACGCCCGAAGACGATGTGGAGGCTGTCACCAGGGACTATGTATATTGCGTGGACAAGCTTGGACCATACGCTGACATCTTGGTGGTCAATGTTTCTAGTCCCAACACTCCAGGCCTTCGTTCTCTGCAACAATCTGACAAGTTACAACAAATCCTGACAGGAGTGGTAAAAGCTGCCCATTCTGTGGAGCGACGTACGAAACCAAAGATCATGGTCAAGGTTAGCCCTGACGAGGACACAGATGAACAGGTGTCTGGAATCTGCGAAGCGGTCTGGGCTTCAGGAGTTGACGGTGTGATCGTGGGGAATACCACCAACAAGAGGCCTGAGACACTACCTCATTTGAAGAAATTTTCTCCTCTGGAAGAACAGCATTTGCTTGAGAGAGGCGGGTTTTCGGGGCCTCATCTTTTCGACCGTACGGTCTCACTGGTTAAGAAATATCGAAAACTTCTGGCCGAAAGGCCCACTCAATTACAGCCGCCAGAAAAGACTCCAAGTGCTTTGGAGGCCGAGGTCAAACATATCGAGGCATCAATTCCGGCAAGTATTGGACCAGCGCCCAGCTCCGGCCCGGACCCTGTCGTCGGTTCAGTAGATACTGGTATAATCCCACTTCGAAACCCCTCGGAAAAGAGTGAGTCAGAGAAGCAGCCCCTCATAAGTTTACCGGACCATCGCTTCTATGATAAAGCAGAAGCAGAGCCAATTCGGCTAGCAAGCACCAGTGATAGTTTGACAGATCCAACAAGGCTGGCCGGGGAAAGGGTACAGCTTCAGGCTAGTCAGGAAGCACTTGACCGGGTTCCACCTCAGACGGAGCGCGAAGCCACCGACCGAGCCAGTCAAGATCCTCAATTAGATTCAACCGATCAAGCAAAGGTGATATTCGCTACGGGAGGGATAACAAACGGCAAGCAAGCCCTTGAAGTGCTGGACGCCGGTGCCGATGTTGCCATGATTTACACTGCCTTGGTCTATGGCGGTGTTGGCACGATATCAAGGGTGAAGGACGAAATGCGAGAAGAAATCCAACGTCAAGGCAAGGAAAAGCGAATTGCCCGGGAGAAAAGTTAAAAATAGGTTTATGCACACGGCATGAAAATGTGAGTTTATTGGGGTCGTTGCAGCTCAAGCGTGATTAGTTTGATCTTTTCGCCGTCTACTGTATGGTCGTCTACCATTTCTTCGTGTACAGTGATGAATCCGAACCTCTCCAATATTCTCTTGCTGGCATGGTTGGTGACTACTACATCGGCCTTCAGTACCTCAGGCACCACAGCCGTGCTTCCACGGTCATTTGGATCCAGCTTGACTTCGACGGCTCTGCGAGGCAATTTCCACCATGCCTGGAGCCAGTATTTCATCGCTTCAGTTGCGTACCCTTTCCCCCAGCACTCAGTTCGGAGCATCTGAACAACGCAGAAACTTAGTATACTTGCTCTGAAACAGTCACCACAACTTAAGGGAGCCATAACTTTGGAGCAAAGACAATGCTAAAATATGGGTTTGGCGGCGAGGGGAAATGTGTTCGCCTGCTTGAGATATCTGACATAGATAGCGGCACCATGGAGCTCGGACGAGATTCACTGAGACAGACTTACATAGCCAACTTCTGGTACCGGATCACTGTCGTGGCAGCCAATTGAACCGATCACCCTCCCAGGCTCTTTCAACTCCTCAATGGACAGACAGAAAGTGGTTGCATCGTTTGGAGGCAGAAATCGGTTCATCCAGGTCTGCGTGGCGTCCTGGTCAACGTCAACCTTCCCGGAAGTCGTCCAAACCATCACATCTGCCTGGGTACGAAGGAGATGAAAGTCAGCAAGATCTGACGGATGAAACGGCCTGAGAAGGAGGCGAGGTGTTGTGATTGGTTGAGCGGGTGCTGGAAGTATAGGAAGAGTGCTTCTCATCTTGGACTCAGCAAGTAGTCGTTGATGTTAATCTGAAGGGTACCCAGCCAGCGTGTCTATGGATAACCAAACGCAGCTTTATACGGTGAGCTAGATGCCCCAGATGATTCAGGAAATCTCTTGTTGTGACTCATAGAGCCATTTCATCTCTCAGTAGCCAAGGGTAGCATATTTATGTCGTAGCAATACTGAATCTTGCATGGGACACCGCCAGTGGTAATCGATGGTTGGTGGTCAACCTCAGCCCACCAGACAGACATGGCGGCCCCTCCACCATTCAAGTTGGTCTCGACCGGTTCTTTAGGGGACTAACCTCAAATAGGTAAAGAGCCGCCAAGATATTGTTCGGCTAACCTGCCAGCGACGTGCCAAGATAACGATAAGCAAATTCACTAGTGCCACTCTAAGTCCCTCCGCCGCATCAACTTTTTGTGTGAATTTTCTAGACGCTGTCCCGAGTACTTTTTCCTCCACCAACGCCACATCGGTCTCTTCACGCTGCCAGAGGCCAATCCACAAGATGAAGACTACTTGGAAAGATATCGCTCCTGTTCCCACTTCTCAAGAATTCATCGATATTGTCTTGAGCAGGACGCAACGACGACTACCGACCCAGATTCGGGCAGGCTTTAAAATCAGCAGAATTCGAGGTAATACACTCTTAACACTTAGGAAACGGATGTACTGACGGTTTTTCTAGGCTTTTACACTCGAAAAGTCAAGTTTACGTCCGAGACCTTTTGCGAAAAGCTTCAGGCTATCCTAGAGGGTTTCCCTCGCCTGCAGGACATCCATCCATTTCACAAAGATCTCCTCAACACCCTCTATGATGCCGACCATTTCAGAATTGCTTTGGGCACGCTATCAACCGCCAAGAGACTGATCGAGACAGTAGCAAGAGACTATGTCCGACTTTTGAAATATGCACAATCCTTGTTTCAATGCAAGTCGCTTAAACGCGCGGCCCTGGGTCGCATGGCCACCATATGCAAGAGACTGAAAGATCCATTGGTCTACTTGGAACAAGTGCGACAGCATCTTGGTCGTCTACCCAGCATCGATCCCAACACTCGAACTCTTCTGATTTGCGGCTATCCAAATGTGGGAAAGTCCAGCTTCCTTCGATCCGTCACAAGAGCAGATGTTGATGTGCAGCCCTACGCATTCACAACAAAATCCCTGTTCGTTGGACATTTTGACTACAAATACCTCCGATTCCAGGCCATTGACACACCCGGTATTCTTGATCACCCTCTTGAAGAAATGAACACTATTGAAATGCAGTCTATCACCGCAATCGCTCATCTACGGTCCGCGATCTTATATTTCATGGATCTCTCCGAGCAGTGTGGCTATTCGGTCTCGGCTCAGTTGGCCCTTTTCAATTCCATCAAACCCTTGTTCGCAAATAAACTTGTATTCCTTGTGGTCAACAAGACGGATGTCATGAAACCTGAGGACCTTGACCCCGAACTCCAACAAGAACTCAAAGAAGTCCTGACCCAGAATGCGAACACGGAGCTTCTGCAGCTTTCTTGTGTTACTAATGAGGGGGTACAGGAAGTCAAAAACACAGTCTGTGATCGCTTAATCGCCGACCGAGTGGCTTCCAAACTCAAGGCTGGACAAGCAGCACAGCCCTCCACTGCAGACGTGCCCACGGGACGTCTAGGCGATCTGCTTGCCAGAATTCATGTTGCCCGTCCCCTTGAAGGCGCTGTCAGTGAAACGTACATTCCTGAAGCAGTCAAGAATGGCACTTATAAGAAGTACAACAACGCAGATCCCGAGAGAAGAAAACTGGAGCGCGAGGTTGAGGAAGAAGAAGGCGGTGCCGGTGTCTACAACATCGACTTGAAGAAGTTTTACGACCTTGCAGATCCAGAGTGGAACCATGACAAAGTCCCCGAGTTTCTCAATGGCAAAAATATTGCCGATTACGTTGATCCAGATATCGAAGAGAAACTTGCTGCCCTCGAGGCAGAAGAGGAGCGCTTGGAAGCCGAGGGATTCTACGATGAGAGTGACAGCATGGAGGACGAGGACGACGCTGATATTCGCATGAAGGCCGACATGATCCGCAACAAGCGAACACTTATGATGAACGAAGCGCGGATGAAGAAGAGTCTCAAAAATAAAGCCCAGATACCACGTGCCAAGAAGGCCCGCACCTTGGGACAGATGGAAAAACATCTACACTCTATCGGCTTGGATGCATCAGCCCCTGTGGACAGGGCCAGAGCACACATTCGGAATGCCAAAGCTGCGTCGACTGCCGGCGATGAGATGGAACTTGACACTCCCTCAGCAAGGGCCAAATCAGCATCTCGAACCCCCCGGACAAATCGTCTGACCGACGGACTCGGCAAAAGCGCGACAGGCATTACGGACCCCGTGAAACGTGAGAAGGCAGAACGCATGGCCAAGTTGAGTCAACGCAAGATGAATCGCATGGCTCGACAGGGCGAGGCCGATCGTCATGAGACCGCCTCACTTCCCGCCCATTTGTTGAAGGGCAAGAGGAGTATGGGTACCTCCAGGTCAAGATAAGTCGGAGATGACGGGTTCTTACGTCTAGGCGTATTCACGAGCAATGACCTGCATTTGCGGCAATGGGAGCATGAAATGGCGAGAGGCGTTTGGTTTGAGGTGTTGATTACGATATCCAAACTGGAGGGAGGGTATTAAAAGGCGCAAGACGAGGATCTCTAAAGACCCGAAATCTGTAATCTCTGGCCGAATGGCCATCAGCTTAGACATGAACTCCTAACAATATACTCCACCCGGGGATCAGCTCGGCGGTTGAACATCAGTGAGGCAAAGCTAGCGCCTTTGGTGGCATCTAAGTATTCCACTTGCGAGAATGGCTACGTATTAACCAAACCTTTGGGACAACAAGGATCACAAGCATTTCCTACTGAAGGATCAGGTGGTCATGGTACGAGTACCTTGCCCTCTTTCCGCTCCATTTTGCTACCTCTCATCCCTTAGTACGTCGTACTTCCAGCCTTCTCGGGCTCCCAGTTGCCTTGAGCTTCAAATCTCATGGTTCAAGGACATGGAACGGTGCCCCCGTTCTTGGCGGAAGCAGCAACCCGTGCATTCCTCGTTCCCAGCCTCTGCGTTGTAGAGTCATGTGCTCTGAGCAAGAACTTTGAAGGAGCTATGCTCTATTGTGTGTATCCTCATTGTGGACGAAGATAAAGTGAGACAATGTTTACTCCCAATGGGCCCCATGGGAGCCTCGCAAGGTGGTTCAGTCCGTCCGTTGGGCACCATCGGTCTTCTAAGTTTGGGATCAGACGATCTCCCGCTTAGTTTGGTGCTCAGTCTCCACTAGTAATCCTATCTTTTTTCACCCAAATCTGGCCATAGTGTGTAAGCTCTTTCCTTTGTGCTGTTTGTGGCAGTGAGAAAAGGCTCGGCGCGCACTCACACTTCTCAAGACCTGAAGCACCAAGTGTCGCTGCGCCGCTAACAGATAGTACGCAGAAAGGCCGCCGCCCCGAGGTATGCTGTTGCAGATGGCAAAGAGTGCTGAACACATCAGTGGACATCGGGAGCTGTGGTGGGGATATGCAGCGTGGGTGGAAAGGCGCATTTGTTCGTCTCATCTGAACTTCGACCTGAAGATATCCGGGGCTAGCAGTTGGCACTTATCAATAGGGTATTCACTTTCGAACTGGAACGATATTTCCGTTCCACTGGCCTCCCCTGAATGGCTGCCCCGTGTTCAAACCGTGCGGCTACGAAATAAGCCCGTAAAATACACTTCTTTTCGAGGTTGAGAGTCCAAATGTCTAGTGTGAGAGCGCGGGTCTAGCAGGCACAAATTCTCTCAATAGTCCCGCAATACAGTTTGTCAACCGCGCAGACTGGCCTTGGAAGGAGTCCCTTGAGAGGATAGACCGACAGTCTCCAAGCCCAACTTGCATGGTAGAGTCTGTGAACCACAAAATATTCCTTGGGCATAAATACCGTGGGGGCGGGATGAAAAGGCAGACTCCTGCGACAAAACTTGCCTCTTTATGTTGACTGGACGCTCTGCTCGATCATACTATCTGTCTTTTGTTTACTCAGTCTCTGGATAAAACCGCTCAGGTGTTCGGCAGCACTTCCTCGCAGCCTCCAATTGTTGACTGTCCACAGTATCAGACTGCTACCAGTGAGTGTTGACTTCCTTAAAACCTTTTCTCACGAAATATGGTGCGGCCCATGATCATGTCAAGCTTCGAAAGACATACGAGGCAGAAAAGAGTCCGGTTCTTCGACGAATGCTACGAATCAGCGAGTACACCCCGACAAGATGAGGAGGCTGAAAGAACCAACGACGTGACTCTTTCCAATCCTGCTCCGATAGAAGGCGAATATTCCGAATGGCAAGATGATGACGAGGACTGGGAAGCAGATGATGACCTTGGTATTGATTGGGAAGAAGAGGACGATAGCGTGTGGGGAGCGGTTGGCAAATTCAAGATGACCGAGGACGCAGACGAAAACGGTAGCGAGTCTGGAGATACCGACATCACTTACGTCGTCAGTGAGGCCAGCTTTGTTGAAATCGAAGACGATTCCGGCACTGCTGAGGGTGAAATCACACCTGTTGTGGGAAACGACACCTCGGATGCCCTTGACGCCGCCAGTGTTCGTACCATTTCCAATGCGGACGAGACCTCCACCTCCGAGGACTTCTGGTTGCACACTCATGAGTTTAGAACTCGCAGCGACAGGGTACTCGGGATGGTCTGGACGGCTGTCCGTGAGGCACGACTCTCCGAGGAAAAGAGACGAACGGAGATGGTTACGGCGCATCAGGCACAGCTGAAGGTGGCCAAATCACGGGAGCTCCGCCAGTACCACAGTCTCCTCGCTGTGCAGCAGGAAAACGAGAGCCTCAAGAACGATGTCGAGATCTTGGCCCTTGAGTTGGATAAGTTGAGGAGCAGGATCCGCGACGAGGAGATGGAGAGAGTGGCGGGGAGGATCGACCCCTGGGGACGGCGCCTGTGGGCTTTCCATGGCAGGCAATTTGACTTCCGAAGCTCTTGAGGAGATAGTTGATGACATTCGGCCAAATTTGAGAAACATGTGCAATATATATGAAGACAATTGAAGCTCATTGCTGAGCAAGGCTCCTTGTCTTTCCTCCCAATCATATCGTGCGACTGCTGTGCTTGCCTGAGAAGCAAAGTGTTTCTCCATTCAATTTCCCTGCATCTCCGAGTCACGTTGAGTATGCTGAAACTCCCATTTGCATGGCTGGACATGCGTGACTACATGTTGGTTTGGAGGAGCCGGGGCTCCTGAGGACGAATAATGGAAGCAACAGCCTACAAAAGTCGTCAATACCGTTGCTGTGCGGAGTATCTGGCGCCCACCCAACTCAAGAAGAGATATGAAGTCGATGGCAGCCCTCATGGATTCATCGAACACCGACAGGGTATTTGCGGTGGCATATATTTCCGGGGATACAGCACTGTCACTTGTCGATTCGTGAAGTTATCTCCGCTCGGTAATATATATCAGGCAGTCCGCAGCATCCACACTTAAAAAAGAGACTTTCTGCGCAAATCAGCCAGGCCCGTCAAAGATCGCATTAGTTATCAAACCGTCCAGTGGCCCCGCAATAGATCCAGCTGCACCCTAGCAAGCCTTTGAGCTTCCCACCACGCTCTTCTTTCCCAGACACGAAGTGAAGATCACCAAGTCGAACCTCTGGAGGCCGTAGCCGCACCCGAAGCACCAAACAACCATCGACATGTCATGCTCAAAGGAGCTGAATACCTCCGGGCCATAGGATCAGAGATGTTGAGGCAATTCAAGTTGTTGAACGAAGATCTCGAGCGCAGAAGAAACCGTTGCCGAAACTACCTGGCCGCGCTGATGAGGATGGAGGAGCGATGGAAGATGTTGATTTACTCTCCTGAGGGAGATCTACTGTTCATGCCAGCCGGCAAATACCACATCCAAGGCATCGGAGACAACGGTCCAAGCATGGCCACTTGGACAGGGATGGAGGCTGTTCGCCAAAGCCGATACAACTTGGCCGCCGATCATGGCTCTCTCTGGACCGATTGGTGGGAACAGGCTGTATGGGCTGGATACGGCGAGGTAACGGAGCATTCTGATGCCATTAGGGATCTTCTCGTGGCTCTCCAGGAGAAATTGTGCAATCTTCAGTTCGTCGCAGCAAAAATGGCGGTCCCAAGAATGGCGGCCCCGACTCCTGAGATGATAGAAGCAACGATAATGGAAGAGGCGATAATGGGAGCTCATGGACAAATTGCACACACCTGATCAAAGCAAGTCATAGTCCAAGCAAGGCAACAAAACAGCGACACAACAGATCGTTCAAGCGTGCTTGCAGATACCAAGGACATGCATTATTGTCCTCAATTGTCTTCCGCCAGGGCGGACAGACAACTCAAAGGGGTTCACAGCCTCGACGGATCAAGGTTTTTCCGGCTGTGATGATTTGAGGCAGAGTTGTCTTTGTCAACAGAGCCGACCGGGCATCTGAGTCACCATCCTGGTCCGATGAGGGCGGTGTTTGACAGTGTCAGATCGACATTAATGAAATACCATTTATTCCAGTGTATGATCTTGCTGATACACGGCGGAATCTTCCTCCGTTGCTCCACCCGTTTGGAATGAGTTGACAACCGTAGAGATAACCCATAGATGCGATGACATCGCTCGCCGCCTCCCGTGACTGAAGCGAGCAGGCTCATACTGGAGCGGACACGTCCCCTTGTAGCAACGCGTATCAAACATCAGTCCACCGCCCTCCGATAGGCGTTCCACTCTGGATGCGAACCATGTCCAGCAAAGGATCAAGCTGCATGGGGAAGCGAGTACAGAGTATTACTACTAAGAAGGATGCAGAACAGGAGTTGCTGCTCTCCGCTCACAAGTCCAGGACAGCAGAACGAGGTCAATTTAACAATTGCCGAAGATAAGAACAGCTTCCCACATGAAGCCCCGTGATTGGCTGGTGGGCGCGGAAGGCGACAGTTTGAGCGCGGGGAAATATCCGGACGAGACGCTTAATGCAATCGAGTTCTCAACTTCAACTGGAGAGATCCCGTCCCAGGCCAGCCGGAGCAGAAAACAACACACAACATGAAACATCCGTCCGACCTCTCGGAGGTTTTCTCGTTGAAATCCATCTGACGCCGTACTGGGGCCTTACCATCCTGACTTGACAGATCACAGCTATTCTCCCGCGTCTGGCAGTCGACGCCAGCGCAGCTGTTGTGCGTCGAGACGAGCACCTGCTGTTCGGCCGAGATCCCGATAGAACGTGACTCGTGTCTTCTCATCTCATCTGACCATCAATATCGATTTCAGCATCAACACTGCTACTCACGCTGAACGCGCACAACAACATGAGTCGCCCCGGCGATCCACACTCTGGGCCCCATCTACACCAAACTCCCCAGCAGCAGTCGTCAACTTTTACCCACATTGCGCGCCTGCCATCATGGAACGGGTCCGTGGAAGACAGTCCGACCGCCCAACAGCAACACTCAAGGAAGAGGTCTGCAGACCATCTCCCCAGCGAGCCCCACGTGGCGCGCAAAGGCCGCGCGTGTCTCGCCTGTCGAAAGCTCAAGGTCAAGTGCGACAGCTTGGAACGGGGCGACGCCGGGTGCTCGCGATGCCAGAGATTGAGCCTCGAGTGTGTCACCAGCAAGCGGATGAGGGTGAGTCTGGAGGACGACAATGAGTACGTGATTTTCATTCCCTTTCCCTGAATGTGTGCATATCCCCTAATTCCAATTCAAGAAATCCACATCCGTCAATCGTGCGCCTGGACCGAGCCGTGGAGGACATCCTGTCGCGGCTTAAAATGCCCTCGCTGGACGCGTATGGCTTACCAGGCACGTCCGAGACCCGGCCGGCGGTCGCACCAACACTTCTCGCACCAACATCGCAGCCGGGCACCAACGTCCCCGACACTGCAGCGCAGACGACGCGTGAGAACTCACGCGACCCTAATCCCGAGGGCCAGGGCGAGCACGAAATGGCGCCCGCCCCGATGGGCTCGCTGTACGAAGTGACGCAACTCAACACGCTCCGCTCGCGGTTAAAGTACGGCGACCCCGCGCGGCGCAACTCGAAGAAGAACATGGAAGCGGACCTGATCGCGCTGGGGATCCTGACCGTCGACGAGGCGGAGGAGATGCTCGCGCTGTTCAAGACGAGTCTGTCGCGGTACCTGTTCGACGCGACGATCCAGGATTCCCGCACGTTGCTGTCGGTGCGCGAGTCCTCGACGCTATTCTTCACCGCCATGGTGACGGTGACGTCGCTGCACATCCCGGGTAAGGAGCGCATCCACGAGCAGTCGGCGAAGCACCTGCGTGAGCTGATTGCCACCTCGTTCTTCGACCGCTTCCACACGCTCGAGGACATCCGCGCGCTGACCATCGCCGCCTTCTGGCTGCCCGACCTCAGCTGGAAGCTGTCGGGCCACTGTGTGCGCATGGCGACCGAGCTGAACCTGCACCAGGCGTTTTATAAGGCCCTGTATTCGCTGAGGCAGAGCCCCAGCGAGCGCGAGCATGCCTTCGAACGCGCTCGTCTGTGGTATCTGTTATACGTGCTGGACCACCATTTCAGCATCGCGTATGGTCGCCCGCCTGTCACGGCGGAGCTGCAGGCCATCAAGGAATACGAGGTGTTTCTCAATGCGCCCGAGTGTACCACCAGTGACCGTCGTGTCTTGTCTCAGGTCACACTCTTCATCATTCTCAGCAAGGCGTATAACCACTTTGGACTCGAGGCTGAGCGGCTAATGGAAGGGGACGATGCCACCCTCCTCACCCACCAACGCTTTATCGAGGATCTCGACCAATGGAGATATCAATTTAGGCACGCTTTGCAAAGAGATCCCCATGTCGGAGATTACCCGGCTGTCGGTAAGGGCTCCTCGATTACTTATTGTCGTGGCCGATAACTAACAATTACTTTCAAAAGGTGTTGAGCTACATTATCATTTTGCGTCGATGATGCTCAACTCTCTAGCGCTGCGAGGAAGATCGCTGTTCACAATTTCGTCCACATCCACCCTTCCGACATCGCTGCGTCCACTGGCTTCCCACGCCATTTCCTCGGCACATCAGATCCTCATGATTGTCTTAGAAGAACCCAACATCCGAGACAGCATGGTCGGCGTTCCTCTCTACTTGCACACAGTCATTGCCTTTGCCGTCGTCTTCCTCATCAAGATGTCGAGCCGCTGGATGAGTATTGGGGTCAGTATAGACCCAGAGACCAGAACCAAGCCTTTGATTGAAGCCGTTATCGCCCTCTTTCGTGCTTGCAAAGCGGGCAAAGCGCACATGCTGTATAGCATGGCCGATGGGTTTGAAAGACTGCTCAGGCGGAATCTAGCCAACGGCAGACCCCCGGCAGCAGTGGGAGGTTTGGGAGTAAACGGCCTGTCTCATGCCCAGGCTAACTCGAATGCGGCTGGTAAACTGATGCCGGGCCTCAATTTCTCCCAGCGAGGCCAAACTCAAGGTCAGGCTCAATCTCTACAGCATGGACAGCCTTCGACTCCAGACCTCTACCGCCACGATGCAAACGCAACCCTCCTCCAACAGCAGACGGCTTCGCCTCCGTCATTTGCGCATCAGAATGGCGCAAATTATGACCCGTTTGCCCTGTCGCCTCATAGTCAACCGACATCTGCCGGAACGTTCGGAGGTTGGCAAACTGAAGATGATATGCTCTGGTCAATGTCAATGGGTTATGACTTGTTGGCCACTGCACCTGATGTCAATGCGCACGGCTTGAGTTCACTCGCTGGCTGGAATGCACCGGATGGAGGTGGTGCAGGCTATGGTGGCCTCTAATTCAGAGGCAGGGAGACCTATAAGACTCGAGTTCCTTGGAAAGGAAAAAAGAACATTGGCAATCCGCTTATCTCAAGTCCCAGTCGAATCGATGGAGATGTCGGGGAACCAGGCCTGGCACACTTTGGAACTGTTTTATGAAGATGAAGAGCCAGTGGATAGAGAACAGTAGAATGGAAATCCAGAGTGGAGTGTGTCTTCTGCTCCGGCCCCTCATACCGCTGGGATGGGACTCTATGACATTACAGTGCTTTCGCTCCTGTCACAGTCTCCCTGGACATATTTTTCAGGCAGGTATGCGGTCTTACACAGGGAGCTCTGCATTTCGTCTTCCAATCGAGATCTTCTCCAGTACCATTTGGATGTATGGGCCAACAATTGGGATATTCCCTGCGAAAGAGGCGATCGTAGCGAAGAAGTCGCCAAATAGAACGAAGATTCCGTAGAGTTCGACCAGAAAGCCAGTCAAGGGCCATCGGATAAGAATTAAAAGAATGCCAGCCATGAAAGCGGCAGTGCCTTTAAGCTTTTGTCGTCTTGCGAAGAAGATGAAAGTCTTTTGGATTCCAATGATGAGGGTCAGGCCAATCAAGAAGAGGATCTAAGGAGGGATCAGTTGAGTATGTGGGATATCGGCAGGTGACAAACATTGCCCATGGCCAACCTGAGAGGAATGTTAAAATCTTTGACAGACGAGAAAGCGACACACACTTACATTGACCGATCAAAGAACATGAGGACACCTCCAAACAGAAATAAACCCCCTTGTGCTTGTTAGCCGTCGAAGGTATTACAGGCATCTAGGCATGGCAGCTTACCTCCCGAGCAAAAGGCCACCCCAATCTCTGCATATTATCAGCATTGGGTCTCATTCCAAATCTTCAATCACAACATACTCTGCATATCTGTGAGCCACATGCCAGGCATGTTGGGCTTAACCTGGGTGAGAGTCGGTATTGCAACGACACGGAGAGAGGTCAAAGGTACTTGCGGCGGGGGGCAGAAGGGCTGGAGGAATGTGTAGGCAGAGAGAGCCCGAGGAGTGAGTGAAGGGGTGTTATTCTTAACCGTGTGCGTGGTGTGTCGTTTGTTCCAATTGAAAAGGAAAGTGGTTGAGTTGTCCTCAACTATTTTGTTGTAAAGGGTGAACGAACTCCAACCATCGTCACATGGAAGGCGCAGTCGCTCCCCGGGAGCAGGAGCAGTCGCGTTCGTGTGTCGTGGAATACGTGTTCCTTCCACTTTGTCCGGCGGGGAGGGGACAAGGGCAATAATAGTTATTCCGGCTCCGCGGGTCGTCCCTATCGCTCCTTCTTTTGTAGGGGGCTTCTGGGGAGTGGTGCACCTTCCAATTGACATGACGCAGGGCTGCACAACGCACCAAACGACAAGCGCGAGGGCCACTTTGTATTCTTGACATTCTTTACATCTACATCTCGTCGTGTGCCTCACACGATCTTTGAGGACATCACCATTTGACCTGCTCCATGATGACATGACAGGCAATCCCTCTCATCGCGCAGGCTGCCTACCAGTGACGCCTTCTGGGTTGCTCCTCATTTAATTCTACCAGAGACCTCGCGTTGTCCGCTCCGTCCCAATGCGGAGAGCAAGCATGTCGTGGTTCTGGAAGGTGAGGATTTTTACTGTCTGCACGAATTTCTCGAAACTACCTCTGACTACCATAGGGCGATGCCAACTCCCCCGCCTCGTTTGAAAAGGCTCTTTCGAAGCTCTCTTCTCAGATCGCCGCCGCCAATCTTGCTCTGGATTCCACAAGAAGTCGAGGCCGACGCGCGAAGGCCCTCTGGACCCTCTATACCACCTTAACATATCTCTTGTACTCGCTCGTCATCGTGCTTGTCTTGGGGCCTCAGAACTGGTCCATTTACCATTATGGAGGCTTGTTAGGTGCTCCTCTGGTCATATACGCAGTGCGAAGGTCCATCACAACCCTTGCCGATTGGAGGATCAGCCGTCAACAATCTTACCTGGAACAACTGCAGAAGCAACGAGAAGCAAAAATCGCAGATCTCAAGAAAGCTACGAAGTACGACAGCACTCAAGAACTCCTACAAAAGTACGGCGGCGCTCCTGCGGACAAACCCACGTCCAAATCATCACAACAAAGGCCAAAGAAACCAGCCCAACCTCAAGGCCAATCTCAGCAACAACCCCAAAGAACTGGCATTCCTCCCCCCCCCACCGCGAACATTCCTGGCAGAAACTTCTCTGCGCCTCCCGTTAATCCTCATCTTCCGGTAGCTCCAGTCTCTCCTATTCGTGAACACTCTCCAGTATCTGCCCAGAGCCCAAGTGACGTCGCACCAGACTCTCCAGGATTTGCCCCAAACGCCTTCCCTCACCCACCACCACCTAGAACAGCATATGAACAAGCACCACACTGGTATGATAGAATATTGGATGTCCTACTTGGTGATGACGAGACTGCAGCAAAGAACAGACTTGTTCTGCTTTGCTCAAATTGCCGTCTTGTCAACGGGCAGGCACCCCCAGGCGTCAATACCTTGGAGGAGCTGGGCCGATGGAGGTGTGCGGGCTGTAGCTCCTGGAACGGAGTCGAGAGCGAAGGCGCTAAAGTCGTCAAGGAGATTACTAAAAGCTCAAAATCAGAAAACACTCAAGGTTGGGAGAAAGTTCCCAAGGCGGAGGATTTGAGTGAGGAATCTGGCACAGAATTGGTGGATTCCAACATTCACGGTTCAACAGACCATGAAACACTAGACGAGACTGGCCTCACAAAGCGATTGACCCGTAGTGCTGGCAAGAAGCCATCGTATGAATCGTTGAGTTGAGTTGAATTGAGTTCAGCCTCCAAGGAGTAATGATCTCTAAATCCGCAATCCTACATTAGTTCATCAACCTTCACTGAGACAATGTGTTCATATAATTTATTCGTAGCCTTGCCATGGTTCCTAAGGGCTTCTACGCCAAGCCAACCCTTTAAATTTCTGATTAAATATCAGGATCTCCAAAGCTGTCTGTTTCCAATAGAATGGCCAGTACGGAGTACCAGCTATAGTCAGTCCCTAAGATCTGGGGCTTTTCGCGGGAGAAAAAATGACATGAAAGCTAGCGACCATGTTGTGACCCATTATCTTAAATCATCAAGGCAAGTCAAGATCAAAGCCATTTCGTAATCGCTATCATCCAGCACGATGACTACTTTTACTGTTCGCCCGTCCAACACCGACAAAGAGGCCTTCCGCATCAATCTCAATGCCGTCTCACTGTTTTCCATGAAATTAAAATCCGGAGACACCTGTGAAATCCATGGGGGATCTGTCAATCCATCCGACAGGAGAAAGCTTGCAATCGCCTGGGAAGCATCAGGCATTAAGGACTATGTGGTGCAGACGTCCAGGGTATTACAGGAGTGCTATGGTCTGAAGCTTGGGGACAAAATCACCATCTCTCGCACAGTCGGCCGGGTGCAGGATGCCGATGTAGTTACATTCCAGCCTTCAGGGCCAGGCCTTCAGCCGGAAGCGGCCAAATTCTACGCAATGTATGCAAAGCATACGATACCTGGAATCCATGAACATCTGGCCATATCCCAACGGATCGTGTTGAAGTTAGGAATCGACAGCACTGAATTCTTTGTTAAAGATATTGGTGTCGAAGGGGATATGATTGCAAGAATAACCAGGGAAAGTTCCTTCCGGATATCGAGCCCTGAAGACTCAGAACAGATAATCAACATTGACTTCCGACCGGCGCGTCTTGGAGGTCTCGAGCAAGAAGTCATCAAGCTACGGAAGATCGTCCACAGACTACGCCGGACTACAGTGAGGCAGAGCTGGGCCACACATCGACCCGTCCAAGGAGTTCTCATCTATGGCGCAAAGGGTACCGGAAAGTCCGCGTTTATTCAGGCTCTGGCCGAATCTGGCTGGCCGTCGGTAGTGAATTGGGCGACCAGCATCAAGATCTCGCCAACCACAGAACCAAGGCTAATCATTGTCGATTTACGATATCTATCACGAGAGAGCCGGGAAACCTCCTCAATGAGCCCGGCTAGCCTCCATGACCTCTTCAAGCAGATCAGGGGAAGTCCGACATTGGTGGTCGCCGAGATCTTACACCCTAATGACATCCATCAGAGTCTGCGTGCTCAAGGAGAATTCGAAGCAGAAATAGAGCTGCCAATTCCTTCGATGCAGCAACGGATGCAAATTCTAATTGCCATACGAGAGAACGAAGCTTCGCCGGACGACGAGCTCCTACAGACCATGGCTGAGAAGACTCATGGTTATGTTGGTGCCGACCTCTATGCGCTTTTCCGAGAAACACTCGAGATAGCCGCGGATAGAGCGGAAAATGAGAACGAAGAGTCTTCTCCCGGCAGTAAAGGGGCGTACGCGTATCAGAGCGAAAAGGCGGCGCCCCTCAACGAAAATACCGACTGGTTGGCGGGGACAAACAGCGCCATGAAGCAAGAAAGCTCTCTTTTGCGTGTATCACATCATGATTTTGAGCAGGCACTACAAGAGATTCGACCTTCAGCACTACAAGAGATCTTTCTCGAAACGCCCACCGTTCGCTGGTCAGACATAGGAGGACAACATGAGATCAAAAAACAACTACAAAATGCCATTGAACGACCGCTGAAGTATGCCGAGAGGATGCACAGGATCGGTCTGCTCCCGAAGAAAGGGGTTTTGCTCTATGGTCCACCAGGGTGTTCGAAAACACTTCTGGTTCGAGCCTTGGCTACTGAAGCAGGGTTGAACTTCCTTGCCGTGAAAGGCGCTGAGCTCATATCGATGTATGTGGGCGAAAGTGAGCGGGCAACACGAGAGGTGTTCCGAAAAGCAAGAGCTGCCAGTCCGAGCATCATATTCTTTGACGAGATCGACGCCATTGCTTCTCGAGGCAAGAGTGGCAGCGACCTCAATGTGCTGACAACATTGCTGAATGAGATGGACGGATTTGAAGAGCTTCGGAATGTCCTCGTGGTTGCCGCAACTAACAAGCCCCAGAACATCGATCCTGCATTGATGCGTCCAGGACGATTTGACAATGTTGTATACATTGGCCCACCTGACTTAGAAGCAAGAACCGAAATCTTCCAAAACCGCTTTGGAAAATTCGCGTATGAGCCGCAAACAGGAATCGAGGAAGACGCCCAACATTTCGCGTCGTTAACTGAGGGCTTTTCTGGCGCAGAGATCGTCGGCATCTGCCAGACTGCAGGCGAATTCGCCATGGATGCCGACAGGGACAGCACGTTACCGGAGGATATTGAGAAGGCGATCAAGATGACGCCGAAGAGCATTACCAGCCAGATGGTATTCGAGTTCGAATCGTGGAACTCGGCAAGGCGGCGCTAACCACATACTTTTATTCCATAGATGTGATATGCCCCTATATCAGATGCTCCTTTGCATAAAGCCAGACCTCTGGGTAGATGTAGATGGGTGGCAGAAACGACAATGCCTCAATCGTAGCTGCACTACCACGGCACAGCTCTAGGACCCATGTCGACGCCATATGCACCCTCCCCTCTGACACCACCGTCATCTTCCACCCTCTCCCTGATCTCCTCACCCACATCCCCACCACTCTTCATCCACCTAGCATGGGCTCGGCCGGCAACATACTTGCCCACACCCCAAACACTCGCGGCGATGATACTGGCGCCGATTGTCGGTGGCGCGGCCAACCACGCCACGCCAGTAATTGCACTACCGAACGCTGTCGCACCCACGGCGGCCACGAGACTGCCAACCGCCACGTATTTGGCCCAGCGCACTAGCCGCCAGAATATGAATTGTGTCACGTACCGGAGCGTGCGCAGGAGCGCCCGAGTTCGCAGACGTGCTGGTCGCTCGCCTGGCGCACCATGGGCGCCCGGCGATAGCAAGAAATTGAGGTTGCGTTTGGCGTTACGGAGCGCGCTGTTACTCTGTTGTTGCACGGCGAAATCGTCATTGTCGGCTGAGGCTGAAGCTGAGGCCTCCTTTGAGGGTGGCGGTATGGACGCCGCCGTGGATGAAGGACCTCGCGAGGGCGCCATTCTTATCAGAGATTGTTCTATATTGGGACCTTTTCTTTGGAGTTCTTGAAAATTGAGTTGTAGAGAAGTAGGCGCTTTTCACAGATGATTGTTATTTAAGCGATCCCTCGTTTAAGCTTAGAGATGAGCTTTCATGAGCTATATAATTACGTCATGGAGGGCCAAGGAGCCGACGGGGTTCAGATAGACCCCTGGGCGGTTGCGCCTATCAAGCTTGGACACGGAGGGATGATGCGATCCAACTTGGTCAATGGCATCCCCTGCTCCTCGGCCCGTTGCTGAAATAACTTAGCTGGGACAAAGCTTGAAATCGAGCCGTTCTTTGCTAAAGTACTGGCCAAGATTCATACATCTCGGTACGGGGGCTGACTGAAGATGAGGCTGAGAAGGCGGGGAGTCTATTTATCAACGAGATGCTTTTAATCAGATAGCCCGTCAGGCCCTGCCACTGGTCTTTCACTGCATTTTTCTCTCGATATCTCCCATATCTCTGCTGGATCTTCGCAACATGCTGTGTAATGTCTGCCAGGACGCATTCGTCGAGCTGAACCAGCTGGGCGAAGACTCAAACACCAATCCCACATCAGGCGAGCCATTGACCAGAATTTTCTCTTCGCCATTCTACAAAGCGAGTCATCACAGTCTTCCCAGGCTAAAGTATTCCGCTCTCAATGGATGCCAGCTGTGCCATTTGTTGTGGATGGCCGCTCCGCTAGAGATTCACCGGTTCTTGGATGAATATCTGCAGAATGGACTGCCTGCTCACTGGTTACCATGCTATCTGACTCTCAATCGAGCGATTTTCAAGGACGATCTGAAGCCGCGGAGACTGATGATGGAGTATAAGTACCAGACGGTTGTTGTGAACCACGAAGACTATGTGCAGCCGTTCAAGAAGCATTTTAGATTGCTCTCGTGCGAAGAAACGGACATCGAGGGAGAAGTCCTCAATGTCGATTCAAATACTTGGTCAGAAAACAGCTGGGCCACAGTTCGAAGCTGGATCTCCAACTGTTTCTCGAAACACAACCAGTGCACGCCAATCTCAGAACTGCATCAGCGAAAACTTCCCAAGAGACTAATTGAAATCTACAAAGGAAACCGGATTCGAATCCTAACCCTAGAAAGAGCTAGCAATCATGAGATTGAATATCTAGCTCTCAGCCATTGCTGGGGTTCTGGTCCCAGACTAAAACTCACCTCTGAAACAGACGCGTTGTTGCGTGAGGGAGTCGAGATCTCGAAACTTTGCAAAACGTTCCAAGATGCCATCGTAGTGACCAGGAGGTTCTGGGACGATTTTGGTATACGCTATCTATGGATCGACTCGTTGTGCATCCTTCAGGACTCTATCTCCGACTGGCGAAGCGAGTCTGCGATCATGGGAGATATCTATCAAAACGCCTTTTGTACTCTTGCGGCCACGGCTGCAGAGGATGGCAGCCGAGGACTTTTCTCTGACAGGGATGCCCAAGCAGTCTTGCCTTGTCTCATTTCTGTGGTACCCTTGAACCAGCCGAAGAAGGTCCTTCGATGCATGGACACAGACGACTGGATTCAGAATGTCAATCTTGCGCCTCTAAATTCTCGCTCGTGGGTCCTTCAAGAACGCCTCCTATCACCCCGCGTCCTGCACTTTGCTGCAAACCAGCTATACTGGGAGTGTTCCGGCCAGGAAGCATGCGAGTCTTTCCCATTTGGGCTTCCTGGGGAATTTGGAGAGCAGTTCAAACAGCTTCTACCATTTTCAGGAGGGCCTTATGTAGACGGACCGGACCAAAACAACAGCCGAGGGCCATATTTGGTGTGGGACGAAGTCATGAAGAAATATTCTGCAGGGAGTCTGAGTCGACAGTCGGATCGATTGGTTGCTCTGTCTGGGATTGCCCGCAAGCTTCAGCGCCATGTCATTCCACAAGACACGTACCTGGCAGGCCTTTGGAAAGCGGATCTACCTTTCCAGCTCCTGTGGGATGTAGAGGAGCGTGGACACCCTCTGCAAAGTTCGGGAGCTTATGTAGCACCAACCTGGTCGTGGGCGTCTCGAGTCGCTACGGTGCCGTGTGAGCAAGAGACATGGACTTCAGCATCGCCCCTGGTGGAAATCACGAGTGCAGTCGTGACTTCAGTCGACCAAGACAGGATGGGTCAGATAAGCAGCGGTTATCTACGCCTATGCGGTGTTCTAGCACGTGGGGGTCTCTCGCGGGTGCATCAACCTGGCTCAGCGACTCCCGGAATCGCCTTGAAAGTCGGCGATAAGACAATATCGTCTGCCATATGTCGGCTCGACGAGGGAGTCAACAAGACAATTCATCTGCCTCACGTTGTTTACTGCCTACCGGTCCTTCGTGGATTGAGAAATCGCATTCCAAGATACAAAGGTCTCCTACTTGTGCCCACGGGCCGAGAAACAGAATTTAGGAGATACGGCACTTTTACCACAGATTCTTTCGATGACGAGTTCTTGGTGTCTTGCCAGCCCGCTGTCTTTGAAACAGGAAAACTGAACTCCTTAGGGCGATATGAAATCATCATTGTATGAGAGATTTGTTCATACTGCAGTAACGCTTTGAGACGTCCATACGCCTTCTTTGACTCCTCGTGCATTAGTTCACCTTGCTTCTCGAGGGCCATTTCTCTCGGTAACAGTCGAAGGGACTGACCATTTTCCGACGCTGGAAACAAATCGCTTAGACGCTTGGAGAAAAATCACGGGAAACTCAAAAGACTGAAGACTACGCTTGCCCTTCAAGCTGCTCCTCTGTCCACTTCCACAGTTCCTGTGCGGCCTTATGATTGTCGACCTTTCCGTCATGTCTTAGCTCGCCCACGGGAAAGTAATAAGCGCCAGACTTCGCTTCTGGTGAGAAGGCAGCCCAAAGCTGATTCAGCACTCCCTTCTCCACAGACTGACCGATCAACCATCCCACCAGATTGATCGGATGAACAAACCAAGGGTGGAAGGCTAACCAGCCAGATGTCAAATTGGTGTTGACTAGCCCAGGATGGATTGCAACGCACTTGATGGCCGGGTTATGCCTTGCTAGCTCCTGAGTGAAGTGTATGTTGGCCAATTTCGAGAGGCCATAGCGGGTCAAGGTGCTGTAAATTCCCAGTTCTCCTTTGAGGTCTGCCAGAGGATACACATCTGTGGGTGCCATCATATGACCGCCAGAAGACACATTGACAATGCGGACATCAACCTCTGGGTGCGCGGTCGCGGTCTGCTTGAGTTTCGGCAACAACAGCCTCGTCAGCAAAGCATGGCCGACGTGATTCGTGCCGAACTGCAGCTCATAGCCTTCAGCCGTAGTCCCAACGGGCGTGCACATGATTCCTGCATTATTGATGAGGAGGTCCAGTCGCTCCGAGCTGCTGTTGAAAGTCGACGCAGCCTTTTTAATGCTTTCAAAAGAGGCCAGGTCCAACTCAAGGAAAGAAATCGGGGCAGCGCTTGCGTTCTCTCGCTTTAACTCTTCAATGGTCGTCTCAGCCTTAGATCTAGTTCGCGCGGCCAGAAAGATATGAGCTGGAGTGTGCTTCGCCACTTGTCGCACAGTCTCTCGACCAAGCCCAATGTTCGCTGCATTTTGAGTCCTATAAGCCACCCGGTCCAAGTTGAGCAAGAGCTTCGGGTATCCTACCGCCTGTCACCAAAACCACCCTGCCACTAAGATCAGGAATGTCCTGATCAGGTACGAATCTCATATCGATATGTAATGCTGGGTTGGCTCGCCAGTGTTGGACGATCACAGTCTGCTCCGATGAACGTTCCTGGATATTTTCAGGCCGCGTTCAACATATATGCAAACCATGGTCTCGTCGTTGATCTCACATGAAATACATACAATGGTGCAACCGAGGTCGGCTGTCCAAAGTGTTCCTGCCTCGATTTCTTGGCATTGTCTAATTAGGGTGATATCCGATTAGGCACCGGCTATGGAAGGAGCGAGAGCTCCAATACTGAGGGCAGGAACAGTCCACATTGAATGCTGTTGCTAAAGCGACCAGAATCATCAATAGACGACCGATCGCGGCAATAAAGACAAAGAGCATCGTCGACGAGGGTGTGAAACCGGGGGGCCGAATTTCTTTTCCCGATGCGCTTTTGCTTCAGCCGTCAACGAGCGCCCCTAATTATTCCCCATGGAGTTCGCGAATGTATGTTCTCGACACCAAGTACGACCCGCCTTGAGATCGGAAATGTTTTCCTATGGGAAAGAAATCCAGCTTTCAGTCAGCCAGATCTTTACTGAGATCCACCATCTTTCACCATCGAAGGACCTCCCTGCTTCAGCTAAGGCTATTCTTTTCCTTCAGTCGAGAATCGGCAGTCGGGTCTGTTGACCATCGTAAGATATCAAGTTGTTTGGGCGCCATTTAACTTTCTCAAATGTCGAAGGCTGGTGGCTGGCACTAAGGCCTTTTTCAAACCCTTACCCCTTACATGCCTGGGGATAGGAAATGGATCTCCTATATCGCAGATCACGGCGTTTTTGTGGATTTTTCTCTCCATTTCGAGACACCGAATTGACGGGAAGCACGGATGAGGAGAAGTCTTGTGAGTGAGCCGCATCTTGGGTCAACAAGCAATCGCGAGCGCTCCACTCAAGTTTCTTGTGATGATACTTGGACGCACTTCTGGTTCAGAGACGCGAGCACGGTCCTCGAAACTGGATCAGACAATACGAGACGCACGGGGAATCCTCTTGTCAACTTAGATACTCGGTACCTCGTGCGAGGCAGAGTCACTGATCATCCCCTCGCGGGAGCTATGCGGAAGCGGGGACAGGGATCATAAAGAACGTGATTGCACAGATGATGGCATCTCCCATTTCCCTATCTCGGTGGCACGCCCTCCCTGTGAGTGCTAGTAATGGCCGAAGTCGCCCATGCAATAGTATCACATGTCCACCGCCTGGCTTCCCTGTCACCTTTGGGCTCTGGCAAGACGCCAGCTCGCATTTCTCGTACGTCGGGTCCAGACGAGCGATTCAGACTCTCACCCATCAAGTGAAGACGCCCAGAAGAGGCAACTGAGGTCCCAAGAGAACCCCCGCACTTCTTGTTTCCAGAAAGGGACTTCACGTTCCAGTTCTTTGGCTTTGTGTATCGAAATATCCACAATTGGGAAAGAGGGGTAAAGCCTTGAATGGGTTCACACCGTCAGGTCGACCAGGGCTGCTTTCGTGCAGAGTCAAAGGGCTGGAGCGAACGATCACCCAGACGTTGATAGTTATCCACAACCACATTCGGAATATCTCCAAGAGGGATTGTCACCATTGGCGATTGCTGGAATTGGTCACATGGACCAGCGTCTTGCTCGCGCTTGGCTAGGACGGGCTGTTTGACAGGATAGACCCCCGCGAAAGAGAGTTTCTGTAATTCGGTTGTGCTTGACAACATTGGAGGATACGCAGTAACTTTTCCCTTGATACTCTGCCAAGGAGAGTCTCGATGGTCCAGAGGCTTTTTCACATACTGAATCCCTGCAGCTGCAACCTGCACCAGCACGACTCGGCCCTTTTATCCACCTGGCGGCTCTCGTGTCGGTCTTGCGTTGACGTAACCAAGGGATGGTCCCCGCACTCACGGTGTGTGCCCCACTGGGGTTTATACAATTGTCCCGGATATTTGGGACTTAAACTTTTCATTCTTCATCAAACTCTCACGGCTCGCGCCCACGAGCCTAGCTTATTTGGTGATCAGCAAATGGAGACCCTCTAGACCTCAGGTGATCGCGCTCTACAGTCCCAACGTGAAATCTCCCTCTTGGGTCGAGAGGTTATTTTTATTTGCGTCCAGTTTGTCCAAGAGTCGTTTGGAAGACAACCTATGCTAGGACAAACTTCTTCCTCGGTCCCAGTGCCTGTATTCAGATGCAAGGGGTGCAAATACCAAAACCGTAGTTATGTAGAAAGCACTGATAAGTAGCGCGCAGCACTAATGACCAGTCGTGAGCTGGATGACCAGGGAATTAATGAGAAAAAATGACTCGCTGTATTCAGGTAGAAATTGTGTTCATTTGGTGTCATTAACTATCGTAACCCATACAACACCCATCCACTTCCACCATTCCCGTCCGTTCACACTCCAAACACCTAGGTACTCGCAAGGAGGCAGCAGTCAGTCATGCAGACAACTGCGCAATTGTAGTTATGACCTTGAAATTATTCGAGAGGTGGCCATCCTGAGAGAAGAAAATTTACACCTTCTCGACATTGACCGAGGTTCTCTTTTGCATTTCCTCGAAGGTCTGGATATCGTTGATATCCCCGATGATTGTGCCTCGTCGCTCATCGACGTACCCGATCTTGGTCTCGCGGAAACCATCCAATTCGCGGGCGCAGAGGGTGTTCAAGTAGATGGGGTAGAGGAAGCTAACGAAGAAGCCAGCCAGAGGTACACACATTGCCTTGTGGTAGCTTTGCATGTTGTCGGCGGCAAGACCGGTGAGAGCAGGGAACAAGGCACCACCGCAAACGCTGGCAACGATCCAGGATGAGCCACGCTTGGTGTGTCGGCCAAGGCCACGGATGGCAAGGGTGAAGATGGTGGGGAAAATGCAAGATTCGAAGAAGAGTACGAGTGAGAGCATTGCGACACCAGCCTCGCCTTGCGCGCCGATGGCAGCACCGATGAAGACCATGATGGCGGTCATGAAAACCAAGAGGACGAGGCGGGGCTTGATGAACATGAACATTCCAGCGGCGGCGAATCTTCCAATGGCGAACAATGCCTGACCAATGGCATAACGGTCGGATGCCTGAGCTTCAGTGAGACCTGCTGACTCCTCGCTGTAGCGGATGAACTGAGAAGCCACAGCAACTTGAGCGCCGACGTAGCAGAATTGTGCTACGACTCCGAAAATGAGCTTGTACTGCTTCCGAAGTGGCTTCTCTTCGTAACCAGTAAGATCGGAGCATTGCTCGGCTTGGAGGGCCATGTCCGCATCGGTGACTTCGGGAAGAGGGCTGAAGAAGAAGACGACCGCGAGAAGGAAGACGAAGGCCGCAATACCAACATAGGTCCACTGGACGTGGGAGAGATCGGTGCTGTGGGTCTCCTTAAAGAAGACTCGGGAGGCAAGCAGAGGCGCAATCACAGAGCCGACAGCCTGGAAAGACTGCGAAAGCTCCAGGCGGAATTCGGACAGTCTGGGTGGACCGCAGGTTGCGATGAAGGGGTTGGCGGAGGTCTCCAGGGTTGAAAGACCGGAGCCGACGATGAATAGACTGCCGCAGAATCCAGGAAAAGAGGCGTAGACCGCAGAAGGCCAGAACATCAGTGCTCCAACGCCATAGATGCACAGGCCCAGGATGAAAGTCCAGCGGTATCCGAACTTCCTGACAAACCAGCCGGAGTATGTGAGAGGGCCGATGAAGTAAGCACCGAAGTAACTGCCTTGCAGACCACCAGCCTTAGCGGCAGTGATATTGAGAGACGTCTGGAACTTGGCATTGAGCACGTCGAGCAACCCGTACGCGAAACCCCAAAGGAAGAAGAGGAGGGTGACGAGAGTAATGGGGTAGATAGATTGTCTGACGGTCAAGGCTGAAGCGCCAGTCAAGCCCTTGTTGACCACAGTGCTCTTGCGACGGCCAACGTTGGACATTGCATCAGCGTTGGAAGGCTGACGCTGTGTGATACCATCATTGTCGGCCATTGTTGGTGATAATTTGATGCGAGATAGAGGGCTTGAGTATGGTAGATGAATGCTGTTGTGAGGCAAGGTCCTCGGGTGGTGTTGGTAGGAGAATTGGAAGAAGACCAAGATCGACTTTACAAAAGTAGGATTATCCTCTTTTTTGTAAGTGACGCTTATAGAGTTCACTGGATGGAGGAGAAGCTGGCGATTGAGGTGAAGATTTGTGATGGACTTGGATCGTATATTATATAGATCTCACACTGGCAAAAGCTCCTCACCAAAATCCACTTCCCTTGCCCATGATGCTGGGGGAAACCCGATCGTGTTCCGAATGCAGTGCTCGAGCTTTACATTGCCTGCCCCTGTCAGCTGATAGGTGGAGAGCGTTTGCATGATGCATATGAGGGACTGGCCAGCATCGCGTAGAAAGAGAGTTTGGGCGAGCACCAAGAGAGAGCTCACTCAAGACCGTTTCTAGCATGGCCAAAGAGTCGAATTGTGTTGTGGACACGAGTGATTAATTGGATACTAAAGCCAGGCCCTGGGGTGGGCTGAAGCATGATTCAATGAGAAGTGGGCAGCTCGAACCCTAGGAAGTGTCTGCGAGCGTCAATTCGAGCGAGCATGTCTGATTGGTGTTGGATGTGCAGCTGGAGAGGAGTTCCGACGAGGCTCGAAGCGTGGGGCTCCCGGGTCGGCGATACTTTTTTCCACAAGTGTACGAGGTCAGGCGCCGGCAATCGGGATGGGGCGTACCTGATCGGTGATTGGCAATTTAGGAGAACGCCCCCATGGTTCTGGGAAGAGTCTGGGCTTTAGCTCCCCGAAAAAGGTAATGGAAATCAAAACAGTGGGAAGGGAGGCTCTAGATGACCAATGGAACCATCCAACTCTAGCAATTTTCCCTCAAGAGCTTCCACAGATGCGAGGGTTATTGCTGCAAGGGCTCCTAGTATACGGAACATATCTCCACTACTCGAGGCTCCGCCGCGTTGGGATCCGGGTGCAACACCGGTCGAACGCCGTTGTCTACGCATTACGAGTAATGGGTCACTTATGTCGACGGCAATCCATCCTCAAGAGACCGGTCGGACCAGCACATGGGTCTGAGGCTGTTCATGCACATGACGACACTAATCTATTCCGTACCCTAGAAACATATGCGTTCCTGCATGAAGCTCCACCAATTGTGTGCCAGGGCTCATGCAGACCGCTTTCGAATTGCAACTGAATGAGGGTCTGATAGAAACTACTTTCGAAATTTTTGTAGTTTGTTGAGTGATGTGCACATTTTTGTTGCAAGTGGCCGCAACGACAATGCCTCAAATGTGAAATCTGAAGACTTCTCCAGGATGAACAGGAACCCCATCTGCGCTTAGTCGTATTTTCCGATCACCTCATAGAAAGACTACAGGATCCCTGGTTGATTCAGTATTGCTTGAAACTCTGAGAGTGGATATTCCGTGCAGCGTACGAGGTACTAGCCTAGCACTGCAACAATAACAGAGTTTGCGCTAGAAGGAGGATGGAAGCGGCGAAATGGTTCCATGTTAGTCCGTAACAGGATAAGACCAAAAGTCGGATTAATCTCTTGGCGAAAGGTTTCTCCGAGCTCGGGCGTGTCCCGTGTCCTCAGTGGCTGGTGAAGTAGCCGATCGGTATTTGTTCTCCATCTTCACATGATTGAATGGTCTCAGCCTCCACAATTGCAAGTGGTCAGGTCTGAACAAGTGATCCATGCAAGAGCAACCAGTGTGGATGACCACATATCAATGGGTCATGACAGCGGGCCAGGAGGAGGCCACACCCCCGAATATGGGTCCAGTCAATTCTCGTTGTAGCCTCTCTCAAGTGTTCCTTGCGCAACAAAAGTTGCACTTATGTGACCGATGTGGGTAGCGGGCTCGACACCAGTGCCCAAAACATTACTTGCTCGGAGAGTCTTGAAAGGTTGGGGCCTTAGCCATAGTGGGCTGCTCTCAGATGCAAAAGTAGAAGTCGTAACCTGACCTTTTGCCTCCGCCACTTGCTAACAACTGGGAAAGTGAACAGCAGAAGAGGAGGGTTGATGACATCGGGTGTGGTGGCTTGTCCAAATGGATACATGCTCGTCTTGATCAGCCAAACCAATAAACATGTGATCCGCGTGTCGAGGATTTGGGACATGGACCCGAGCCCATCGCTTCTTTGTAATTTCCAGGGTGGTTGATTACAGTTGGTAACTTCACCTGCACACCAAAAGACAAGGAACTCATGCTCATCCCCTGCTGCCCTTGGGTCTTTTGGACAATGGGAGCTGGGTTTTCTCCTCTTGACTCTTTCTCTTCTTCGCCTTGTGTTCTCTCCCAGGTTCGGACGCTTCTTCGGGAGCGACAAATGCTTCAGCTCGTGCACGCGCCTTTTCTTCCTTCTTCTCCTGCTGTTTCTCCCGCTTCTCCTGTTCTTTGGCACGGTCTTTGGCTTGTTTGGCAAGAAAGTACTCTCCGCTTTCAATTTGCAGATCGATCTTGCTCTTCTCTTGTGGTGGAGGAAATGGAGTATAGACCTTTTTGGTCTTGTCAACCACTTTGTGCGGAATGTGTCTTTTGCTCAGAGTCTTCCGTTTGAAGTGTGGAAGGAATCTGTCCCAGCTCTCGTTTTTTAGCTCTGGGTCTTTGGCAAGTTCACGTTTGATCATAAGTTCTTTCACATGGTAGATAGGATGGATGTTATTCATGCAGTCCTCGACGACCCTCCGAACTTCCTTGAGGCCTTTGTACCCGCCCATCGCACTGACTGTGTTGCCTTGGACAAGGATGTAGGTGGAAGTGAGGAGTTCCAGCGCTTTCAAAGTGGAACCATTAGGTCCGAGCAGGCGCTGTCTTCGCTTGACAAATCGCTCCTTGTTCCGCACAAGGCCTCTGATCTTTATAACGTCGCAGGCAGTGTCGTCTTGAAGAATTTTGATGGCCTGGGGCACAGGAACACTACGGGCAAGCAGCTTTATGAGGTCGCGAGCATCCAAGATGGCGGCAGGGTCAAAGGTCTTCCGTGTTGTGCGCACTTCCATGCGACCTTCCACTAGATCTAGAGTGCATGCAATACCCTTCTTTTCTAGAGCTTTCGTGACCAGCGGCCAGGCCTGCTTGAGATAGAGTTCTCTGTACTTTGGAAAGAGACAAGCAAAGGAGGACTCTTCCGTGAAGGTACCAGCAACATTATGTTCAGGTTTAAATTCTTCGGTCTAGCAGCGCCAACACGTCAGTAAGAAGAGCCCAGTGATTTATAGAGGCTTGCTCGTACCGTCCAGTGGTCTGTGCCGTCGACATCCCATGGCTTGTCCTTTTTATATGTAGAAGGCATCGCGATTGTCGGATCTCAGTAGCAACATGAGGAGCCAGGAAGTGCAAATACTATGTTCGGTGCACCGCCAGCGAGAGTCCGAAGTTCTACAGAACAGAAAAGAAATGCCAAGCATTTTGGTCGCTTGGCTTACATAAGACTGATCTTAGGTAAGCAGCCAGGTAAGCGATCTCTAAAGTAATTAGTGCAGGTGCTAAGGACACCCTTTGCAACTAAAACTGGCAGTTTCGACACGGAGGCCCACTGATGACGCCCGCCATACGGTTTTTGAGAGAAGACCTGATCTATTCAAGATATGACAGCTGTCTACAAGATACTTGGGCTCAAATTCAAGAGACGACTGAAGGCGATGATATCTTCCCCAGACCAATGCAGTGGTCGTTCATCCCATCCATCGTCTGGTCTTTCTAAGCATTCAGGTACAAGTGACATGAGCTTCCAAGCTCGACCGTCAATGACAGTCTTCTCTGCTGGTCCAGACATCAAGCCCACCGATGCATTTAGAGGGACGAGATATCAGCCGACATCAGACAGTGTCGAGAGTGAGCATTTTCATATCAGAGTTAGCCAATCAGTCATCTGGGCAACGCATAGCTACTCAGCAGAACGGCCGTATTCCCTTCTCCAGCTGATTAGGACCATAAACGCTTCCCAGATATTCCCATCAAGGGAATTGTGTCCAATGGCGGTTTCTGAAATCCGGGGAATCTTAGGCCTGGGAGTGGACCAGTGTTAATATCCGCCAAATATTTTCGGGCATCATTGATCAGATCACAACGCTGAACTTGGCCATGTTGACGGCGACGTCGTGGTTTCATAGCTCTTGAAGGGGCCGACTCATCTGTGCCAGCGTCACCATGATCCAATGATACAATGATCCAGATCTACCGCACATCACCCATTATCGGCCTGTCCGCAGACATTCAAATGGCGGTTGCAGGTCATTGCCATTGGCAGTGGAAAGGCGATCGGCATTCTCTAAAGCTCCTCAAGGCTTCATGCCAAATACCGTGTACCTATGTGGAATGTTAGCAAGGATGTATCTGCTGAATTGACAGTACCCACAGCCGGATATATGGGCGAGCGTCAACGTTACCCAGTTCCGCGCAAGCAGCATCTGCAAGCGCTTCGAACTGCTCTTTGGTCTGCACCCCTCGACGTATGACTGGGTACAAGGCCAATGATCGGATGAGGTCTCTTGTATTCGGAAGATTGGCCTCACCTATGCTTCGAGATGGTTCATCTAGTGGGTCCTGTCAGCCAGATAGGTCATCCATGAAGTTCCTCGACGTATCAGATCAACATACCCGTCCGCCATGCACAGGTTGGTACGTCTCGAATATCGGAGCTAACGTTGACAAACCCGGCCATTCTGAGCCAGGTCTCGCAGTCGACTGTTACTCTTGCACTTTTCTTCCCTTCGGCGCGATTTGTGCGCCCTAGGGATTCGATATAAACCCTAGTCCATTCTTGGAGGGCCTGGAGGTTGTCGATATCCCCTGTATCAGACCGAAAGGTCAGATCCCACTCAGTTATTTGCACCCATCCATTATTCCGCAGCACCCTGTCACCTGTCAAACGACTGATCGCGACAGAATGAACACCTCACTGCACCTGTGCATGTCCCGAATGTAATTTGGCCATCGGTTTGCAGCAATACCGCTTGCGACAAAACGAGAATGGACAAGATCGAACGTGGCTGGCTCGGCAAACTCAAAACGCTCATTCAAGTTGGCGATCTTGTCATCAGCGTCAGGACACAGGTCTTTGTGGTCAAGTTAAAACTTGACAGGCCACAATAATGATAGAGAAAATAGCAACACATTTTTGACTTACTTGCAGGTCCATATTCTCCAACTGGTCTGGTGGAGCCATCGAGGGGCAGATGTCGACTCCCACGACCTGAACAGATATGAGTATAGAACTTCTCACCTAGATTGGAAAGGCGACTCACTGTGCAGTCTGAGTCGTATTCCGCGAGATCGTATGCCCAGTTTCCTGACCCAAATCCACAATCAAGAACCACCTCTGGATCTTTGATGAAATCTGGGTGTAGGGAATTATCCCAATCCTGATGTATCAGCTTCAGCATCTCATGCTGGTCACGAAGCCGAGTTTCTTCCTCCTGCACCTGCTAGTCAGCTCTGAAGTATGTATTGTATTGGTTTCATGGAACTGACCAGGTCCACTGGGGCAAGGTATATCTCTCGTCTGAAGGAGTAGTCTTGGTACTCGCGTTCAAGGTATGTGACCTTGCGTTCATACCGTTCCGACTGGCTAGACCTTGATAGCTGGTCAGCGTTATGTGCGAGGCAGGGATGGCAGACTCACGTTTCAGTCATCTCGTATGGCGTTGCAACAAGTTACTTCGCGCTGTCCGACGTGGGCAACTAGGGAATTCAAGTAAAGGGTGTTTTCAGTCAAATAATGGATGCGGCGATGATTGGGGAATCAGGATACAGCGACCTTGAATATCCAGCCGTGAACGAGTATAAGAAGCTTCTGCAGCAGGAGAGACCCCCTAAGCGATCAGCATGAGACGATGGTGCTCGAAATGCAGACCATCCAATCTGCTTTCTTCAAGAAAGCAGATGGAAACGTGGCATAATTGTGTCGTATGTTCGGCAGTCCGCTAGAAGGGATGTCCTCAGGAGAACTGGGCAGGTCTGTAACACGATGAAGCTGACAGGTGAGGATGGATCCCGCTAGGAAATCTGGACTGGACAGATCGCATACTAAGCCATATCATAAGAAGTCAGCGTCCCACACAAGGATGAGGCCGTGGCTGAATGTGGATTACCCAACGGTTAAGGCAGTGGGAGCCCGATGCGAGTGTGGGTGGCTCTGGCACGACTAAAACCAGCTGGAAGAACCCACCTTGGCATCAATCCATCTGCAATGCGAGAACTCAACGTCCAAGAAGGGAACCCATAAACACGGAACCCAATAGCGTGCACTGCCTTTCAGCTAGGTTAGAGATCCAGCCTAGAGAGGATTTTGGAACACCAACCACGGGACAATAGCATCTTGTGCAATGGCAGTTCCGTAAGGCACAAAGGTTGGTATCCTCGCACGAATCTCTCGACTTTGATGCTGATATCCAGGCAAGGATTCGCCTTAATGAATTCTGGTTCCTAAAAACAAAACCGGGTTGTCACCCGTGTGACGAATGGCCGAGCGCCAATTTATCGAGAAAGGTTTAAAATGTGTTTGGCTGACGCACCAAAGCCTTTCTGGATTGCACGAGTGTGCCTCGTCCACGTCAGAATGGCGATGCAGGTCTAATGTGTGCACGATGGACACTACTTCTCACCCTTCCAAAGCCCAGTTAATTGGCGTGGACGAATGCTGTCCAATGTCCACAAACCTAGGCTAGGAAAATGGCAGTCTAGCAGGCTCCATATCTAGTGGCTATGGCTCCAGCGTCATCGCTACAACACCTCCCGCCTCAAAGCAGAAGAATTTTAAGGGCAGGTGCCAATGTAGCATCAACGCTACCAGCAACTTGATTTCTGGGAATACAGCCAGCCGGTGCAACTCAGGTTGCAAGTCATCATCAGGCAAGGTTGCTCTGAACTCCACTACTATTTCATAAAACACAAACGCGTTATACAAGGTTAGTGTCCGAGAGCGACTATACTTGTCAAGACAATTACGGACTCCTACTGGTAAAGAGTGCCGGCTCTGAAAGCGGATGCTGGCTTCCCTGGTCGGCCTGTAAAAAATTCAACCCGGAGTGTCGGGTTTGGTCTCTAGTGGGAGGAGCGTGCGCCGAGGATGTAACGAGCGAACTGGTTGCGAACCATCGCCGTGACACCCCTAGCTGGTAAGAATCCAAATGTGATTGCGTGCATGAGTCTAGGAACCCTAGGCATCAGCTATCACCTCTTGGACGGGGAGCTTCTATTGGCGGGGACCCACAGCCTCTTTACACCAGGGTAATGCAGTCAACCCAGAAAGCCACATCATATATCGGTGGATGTGGGACCATGAACCAAGCACACGGACCCCTCCTCGATTCACTGGAAATCTTTCTTTGTGTTGGTCTATATTTGCTATTCAAGAATATGGCATACATCGAGAACTGGGGTGATCACGGGGGGGAATACTATCAGTGCAACCGGCTCTATGGCACAAACACACATTCGAGCACCAGTCCCATCGAAGTTGTCTCAACAAGGAAATCATGACCTTTGGTGTCGGGTGATCCAAAAGGGAACATTTAGCTAAACCTAGCCATTGGAATCATGAGCTCAGTGCTAAGAAGGCCTCAAGGATGCGCTGGTTAAACGTTCGACACGAGCGATTTAGCTGTCGACAAGGGGATACCAAGTTGTCCAAGTGGCTGAAGACATGATAACTAGTCAAAGAGGTACTCGTTAAATCTTGAGGCCCAGATGAGCATTGAGAGGCGAAATGCAACCGCTGAACTCAATGCAGAGCCCTAGACTTTAGCAGCCGGGGCTGCACAACAACAAGCAGACAAGGCGGACCGAAATTCACTCTCAAAACTCCAACCGCTGGACCAGGCGAGCGGATCGTGCCGTGTGAGACTACCAGCAAGGATGACAATCTGCCCCTAGCAAATGTGTCGTGCTGAATCACTGCCGTGCAACAGGGGGCGAAACCCACGAATCAAGTGGAACTTCACCCATGAATGACACTACTCGTACTCCGTACATACTCATTAAAATCCAAATCTCGGGATACCCTAGTCAATCCCTGGGAAGTACTATCCTGCGCCGACCACGGGTCCTGAATCCCGAGAACGAGCATAGACCGTTATATCTTAGTTTCTCAGAGGCTTCTTCGAATATTCGACTGTGGGCAACAGCTTTGAATTCTACAGCATGCGGGCAATTCTTAGGACTTGGTCGCAGGCCACTATGGATTGCCCCTCCCACAAAGGCGGTGGGCGGCCCGACAGTGGTTTACCTTTGTTACAAACATCGTGCGCGCAGGAGTGACGAGCCTTAGCGGGTATGAAGGCAGCAAAGCCGTGTATTTGGATTTTGAGCCAAGGTCTATATTTCTGCCCCACTGCACCAGTGACAACCTCAGCGCATTTGCGGTGGGTATAGATGACGACATTTGGTCCATTAGCCTTTGCTCCGAGTTTCGAGGAATTTGGAAAACTTAAGCGAATTCCCAAGTGGACTTTGTGCATCCCCCAATGTGGGCAAAGGCGGGCTGGGCAGGATGAAGACGCAAGGATTGTTCTTCGACAACATGAACAGACTGGACCTATTCGTCGCCAAAAGAGGCGATTCTTTTCCATCAATGCCGCCCTCAAAACATATGCCAGTGCTGCCTAATGATAATTAACGCAATCCAGACCTTGATCTATCTAGGATGATGAATTTTTTGGTCGATTTCTTCTTATCCGTCACACTCTGCTTGACCCAGGGTCATGGAACGCTACCGAAAATAAGAAAAAGTGACCTTGCTATTCCTGTCACTGCTGCAGAAGAGGGTTTGGAATGATTTGCAGCAGACAGCCTGTCTGATGCATGATACTGCAGGTGCTGGAAAACCCCTCCAGGCCTTGTTTCCACGTCGCTCGGCTGGTCGACTCCTCAACATGAACAGCTGGCAGCTTTATGCCGGACATTCGCACTTCGCGGCAGACAAGGGCACAGCTTCTCCTCCAATCGGCCTCCCGACTTCGCTACGAACGTGGGCAGCCTCAGACCTCTGCACTCCGTCCTCCGGAATGGACAGTTGTGCGGATTCTCACTAAAGTGCTAGTTCCCCACTTGAGACGCATTCGTGCGGTTGTCAAGCCACACCGCTTTCTTAGCTTGCCAGGAAGCAGGATCATGCGGCATCTTTGCTGGCTGGGGAGCGTTTGCTGACCTCCTGATCGGTGTATCCACGCAGACTTCGCCTCGCCAAGGTCTATCGAATTTTTTTTTTTTGACGGGCGTTAGGTGTGATTCCCCCCCCGCATCTCTCACGGCTTGCGTCAAAGTTTTGCATCTTTTCCCGGCCGCCAGTCAAGTAAGGTACCCTGTCATGGGTATTGCACGCGTGATTTTGTCCCTCAAGTGGTCTGAGGCTCACAGGTTAAGGTTCAAAGAACGTGAAGATGACTGCCCAAAAAGAAAACCAGGTCTTGATCCTTGCGACGAGGTCACGGTAGAGCCCCGAGTTTAGAATGTACGCGAGGAGGTTCGCTTCAGTCAAGAGTCAAGAGTCAAGACTTTGGACCAGTATGTCAGTTGCCGTTAGCAACACGCTATTAGAGGCTTAGGTACCTAAGGTACCTTGGTGTGTGGATATGCACGAATACCGAGACTGCGGTTCAGGTGCACCAACGTCAAATTATGGCCAACTCCAGAGAGCCAGGCTGTTGTCCGTGGAGGCCTCGGGCCGGGCCTCGGTGCTCAGACCCATTAATTGACTTGAATCCTTCAGCTACACGATCGAGCACATACTCGTACACAGTACGGAGTACTCAACACGAAATGCTCCACGAGGAGGCCTACGGCACGATCATAACATGTGGGGCTTTGTCTGTCAGTTGGGTTCCCCTCAGCAGTCGACAGGGGCAGGTATGACGCTGAGCACGCAGTCAAGTTTTGGTGAATTGTTCCAAGGTGCAGTAGGCCTGAACTCTCTTTCCGAGCCAAGTCGATCGGTCCTTTGCGCTGGCAACGTGGCACCTTTCCTGGGGTCAGCTCAGGGTTCTGGGCATTCATGGAGATGAACACCAAGTATTGCTGATGCTATTTCAGTCATGGGCTGTCTACTCGCACGGAGTAGCTAATCTCAATTCTGTTTTCACAGGCAGCATAGTACTCGCAACAAAATGTGGGGAGCTGCTTTGGCCAGGGCCAGGGCCTCGAATTGCCTCAAGAAGATTTTGCGCGGAGCACAGTACCAAGTGTAGAAAATTTTTGCTCTGCTTCCAATCTACATTAGCATATTCGTACGGCATTGATCTATGTGCCCATCGGTGGGCTGCCGAAGCAAGATAGTGGATGACATGAATTATCCTTTTATTTGCAATGCTTCTCTAACAGTGTAGACAGATGTCTGGCAATCCAACCAGCCTCCTGGACGGACCCCAGCCAAAAACTACTGGATTTTGTTGTTGTTTCGGATTTCTTCTTCTGCTGGGTCCTTTCCGAGGGTTTATGCGAAGACGTCCATGACCGACACGATCTTACTCGTGCAGTTGTTGCTTCGCTTTCTCTGTTCACGAGGATTCGGATGATGTAAGCAATCAGCGCCAAGCTAAATGCGGGCCAGGTTTGAGATGTGCGCGGCCGTATCATGTGACTATGGCACGTGATCTTGCATGCTATACCAGATGGGGAGTCTGACAGTGTGAGATGGTGTGGAGGGGCATCCAACTGTGATCAGACCGAATCAAATCAGCACCAGTTTCTCCCAATAAGGTCAGCATCGACTCTGCAAGTCTCAGCTGGCATGTTTTCGCCGGCCAACAGCTTCACATTCTGCAGCTGAAGCAACTCATTGCTACTGGAACCTCCTGGACCCGTAGTCTCGCATCTCCTATCCGTTGACTTGAATCAAGTCCCTCCCTCGGTCCTCCCTACCTCTTCGCCGCCCTCATTTGACATTGGCAACCAGCCTTATTCGCAATCACCTGCGATCTCACAATCATATTCTACTCATATCGAGGACTCAACAGCCCACCCGGTCGGACTCAACAATTCCCACCATGGCGTCACAGGCAAACGCTCAGAAACCCCAGATACAGCCCTGCAGGTACAAGACCGGTGAGCCCAAGAAGTCTAGGGAGCGGACCCGCTGGCTGATCTCTGGCAGGGAAAACACTTGGGGCTGGTTCTTATTCAGTGGTGAAAGAATGTGTACACATAGACACCGGAAGATACTATGCTGCTAAAGGTATACCTCATTCGCTGCATTCTGCCACGTGGGATTGATTTATATGCCTTTTTCAGTCATCAACAAGCGCCTTATGGCCGGCCGAGAGCATATGGTGAGTCAAGGGATCGTCGAAGTGAGCGCAGAACGAACTGACCCCTTTTCAATAGGTTCGCAACGAGATCGCCGTTCTCAAAAGAGTATCTGTCGGTCATCGCAACATTCTGACCCTCGTCGATTACTTTGAGACCATGAACAACCGTGCGCACACACCCTTCTTTTCAGAAGTTTACCCCCTGGCTCATTATTGCAGTATACCTCGTCACAGATCTTGCTTTGGGCGGAGAACTCTTCGATCGGATTTGTCGCAAAGGTTCATACTACGAATCTGATGCCGCTGATCTAATTCGTGCAACGCTATCTGCAGTCGCCTACCTCCACGATCATGGAATAGTTCATCGGGACCTGAAGCCAGAGAATCTCCTATTCCGAACCCCTGAGGATAATGCAGATCTACTCATCGCCGATTTTGGCCTGTCGAGAATTATGGATGAGGAGCAATTCCATGTCCTGACTACAACTTGCGGTACCCCTGGTTATATGGCCCCAGAAATCTTCAAAAAGTCTGGCCACGGGAAGCCAGTGTAAGTGTTTTGATTGCACCCTTTAGATACCTGCTGACAGAGCTTGATCTAGTGACATATGGGCTATCGGCGTGATTACTTATTTTCTTCTCTGCGGCTATACCCCTTTCGATCGGGATTCCAATCTGGAAGAAATGCAAGCAATTTTGGCAGCCGATTATTCTTTCACTCCCGTTGAGTATTGGCGAAACGTCTCCGACCCCGCACGGGATTTCATCAAACGCTGCCTGACCGTCGATCCACGAGCACGCATGACTGCGCATCAAGCCCTACAACACCCGTGGATAAAGCCAGATGACCCAGCGAGCCCTGTAAAAGTTGGCGAAGGCCAAGATCTACTGCCCATAGTCAAGAAGAACTTCAATGCCAGAAGGACTCTGCACAAGGCCATTGACACAGTCCGCGCAATCAACAAACTGCGAGAAGGCGGAGGGTTAATGGCTGCCGGACACATGGATGGTGCAATGAGCGTAGATCCGAAGCCGAAGCCTGAAATGGTCAATGGGAGTAAAGTCCTCAATGACCAGGGCCAGCAGATTCAAGGAGAAGAAGCGCACGGTGGCCGCGATGGGCCAGCAGAAGGCGCACAGCAAGCAGACCATGATCCCGATGCCATGGAAATCGACTCCCGAGGAAACGCCCGTGGCCAGACTGATGATCAGATTCGCCGACAGGAGCAGCGCATCCTTGAAACTGTCAGTAACTTCTATCGCAAGAAGGAGTAATGCAGTCCCTAAGATGTGTCCAACCCTTCTCTCGATTTTCTCATCTCACCAGCGTCCAGGGCCTAGCCTTAAGCCGCGGATAGTCCGGAGATGCTGGTGTCCAGCTGTTGCTTCTGCCATGTTAGGGATTGGAAAGAAATTTGGAATGGAAATTGAAATTCACGGATGGATTCGATATCAAAGACAAAAGATATCATATAGCAAGACAAAGGCGCGGCGGTATAGAGAGGCAAACGCTGAGAGCGAGCGAGAGGAAGAGAGGAAGAAAGATCGCGACAGGTCTCCAAACTCTTCTGTGTCTGATCTGGCCCGCGGATCTGAACACACCGTGTTTCCGTGTGGCCGTGAAGAAATAGCCGGAAATAACCCACGGCTAACGACTATTGAATGAACCATTTTACATTATATTGTCTTCTTCCTGATAAGCAAGTAGCTGCTGCCAATGGGCGAGAGAGGTCATGAATGTCAGAGGAGAGAGTTTCCTCTGTATTCCATGGACGACAAACCATATCTGTTATTTTTCAAAGCAAGCAACTGTGTGAGGGAGCATCTTGTTTCGAACGCATCCATAGGTACTACTACAATTCAGCTGGGGAGAGAGGATGTGCAGCTCGACGCAGCACATCATGGACGGGGAGGATGCGTCGACATTATTGCATAGCAATAGACAAAACGGACAATGAGAAAAGGGAGCACTGTACAAGCAATCATGAAAGCGCGATGGTTTTCGTAACCATCCTTCTAAGTAGACGCTTCTAGAGCTTTTTTTCTATGCTAGGGAACTTGGGAGATAGGAGGTGGCAGAGGAGTCTCCCGGCAGTTGTCTGCTTGCTGGATTAGATACTTAGCCAGGGGAACAATCGCTACTCTCTTGAGCGCGACGCCGTTGAGAGCAACTTGTGCTCTTAGACTAGGATCACATGCGAAGGGAAGTAGAAATTGGACTGCTGTTTCCCATACATCCTTGTCTCTTTCTTGGTGGTCGACATACTCCGTAGAAGTATATAAGGACATTTTGCCCTTGCCCTGCCCATGAGAGGGAGATAGATAGTCGTAGGTCGAAGTTCACCTCCAGAATAGATGGAGAGGCCGCCTCCGAACTCTTCTCTGCCATGGAGAGTGCTGCCTTGTTAACCTGGACTCGTTCCTTCAACCAAGGCTGGTTCAACTCACCAGAGCTTATGGTGTCGGCATAGTCCATCGCTAATACGTCCGCGTATACCCGTTGCCGGGATTGTTCATGATCTTCGGCGCACCGGATCATCATCACCTTCATTATGAGGTATTCGACTTCGCTTCTATTCTTGTTCCATGCCTCCCGGTCCCGATTGCCGGCTCATCTGTCGAGCCTTCAATAACTCGTCACACAAGAGCAAATTGCTAGCAATCCCTTGGCTACTGGCGATACTGTTCCGCAGCACTCGGAAACTGTCATAGACACCCTCTTGCACTGGATCCATAGGTTCTCCTGTGACAAGATCCAAGCCTACAGCATTTCCTTCGACATGCTCATCCTGCAGCGCGGCAAGGGCGTCTTGAATATCGTGTCCACTATTGGCAGCCAAAGTCTTCGGAATGATGAGAAGAGCGTCAGCAAACGCTGCAACGCCCCATTTGGCTTTACCTTTGACGGATTTTCTCACGGCTTCCGAGGAGAGGTGGGTCGCCGCTGCAATCTGGAAGGACCCGGCTCCCGGTACTACGCAGCCGTCAACAATCGTGTTGTAGACACTGCGCAGGCCATCTCGCACTGCATCGGTGATCTGGGCGATGGTGTGTTGATTGGGTCCCTTGATCAGAATCGTCACCGATTTGGGATCCTTAACTTCTTCGACAAACGTGTACTTTTCCTCACCCAGAGTTTGTTCGTAGACAAGACCTGCCCAGCCTAGCACGGATGCGTCCAGGTCATCGACGCTGTTCTGGGCTTGACCTCCACACACGAGCTGCAGCCGTTCCATGTTACGTCGTTTCGCACGACGGAGGGCAAGAATGCCATTCTTGACCAGGACGTCAAGCGAAAGAGGGTCGATACCCTTCTGGTTGATGACCACAAACCCCTTCTTGGGATCTGAGCCGCAGACTTCATTCTTTAGGGCGATGATCTTCTTCAGCTTTTCGTCAACGAATCGTCTCTCAGAGGCTACCAGCTTGTCGCGCTGTTCAGCGCTGTTGTAGAAGAAGCCGGAGTTGATTTCGGACTTTTCATACTCCAGGGAGACATTGAGGGTGAGGATATGTGCGTTCTCGACTCGCTTTGGCATGTCTGGATGTCGTGCGCCATGGTCCAATGCCAAGCCACGGATCAGCTGAGTGTCAGTGCCCATTTTGTGTTGTAGTTTCATGATTTCAATCATGTGGAGATCCGGTTTGGTTGGAGGTCTATGGATGGCCAGGACTGCATCGACTATGGAGGGCGTAAGTTGGTCGGCTAGAGCCTTGTTGATCTTGGTGGACAGGGATGTTCTTGCAACAGACAGGAGAAGGTCTCGATCCACCTCCCTCTGTATTTTGAACGTGTCCAGAAACTTCAAAGTCTCTGCCTTTGCGATCTCAAATCCATCAACAATCACTCTAGGGTGCAGTCCTTCTTGAATATATCTGTCAGCTTGTTTCAGAAGCTCTCCGATCAACAAAATGATTGAGGTGGTTCCGTCGCCGGTGATCTCGTCCTGCGCGGTGGCAGCTCTTGCAATCAAAGTAGCGGTGGGGTTTTGGATAGACATCTCTTTCAGCAACACTGCCCCGTCCTTGGTGAGTTTGATCTGTCCAGAACCATCTACAAGCATTTTTATGGTGCCCGAAGGACCCAGGTTGGACTTGAGAACATCCTGAAGGCCTTCGCCAGCATTTATGTTGATTCGGAGCGCTTCACCGCGCCGCCGACTTTCAGCCTTTGGGTTGAGGAGCTGGGTCGCTAGACAAATTCATCAGTAAGAGTTTTGACAAAGACACAGAAAACGTACCAGACATGGCCAATTGCGACGGGGCGAATGGACTATCTAATAACGCAGAAGAATCTTAGAATAGTAGCGACGGCCCTTTCAAACCCTAGAAAGATTGATAACCAGGACTGGAGTAATTGGCCTGCGTTAAGAGATCGTTTTAGAGATTCGCCCAAGTCGTCCATGAATTTCGCGCAGGCAACGAGGGGATCTCCAGTTTGATGCCAAGATTTCGAGAATACTCACGCTGTTTTATGATACGCGTGCGGGATGAAGTCTAAAGCGGCGGGCTCTTGGTAGACGTAGGGTGCTAGGCTTAGATAGTACTAGCGACACTCCTTTCTGTAGCTATACCCACCTAGGTATAGATAGGTAGCTACTCCGTACCAGGGTACCGTGTTCAGCTTGCAAGTAACTTCAAGTTGAGCTCTCCGCCAATGCTACTCGTACATATACAGTACTTCAATCCATAGCTGTTAGCAATGGAAGACGGTCAGTGGACTCCACCAGCAGCATGCCATTACGCCACGATGCCCCTAGCATTCTAAGACTGCTGCTTAAGATGCCGCCGAACGCCGAGTTCAGTGACTGGATATTCTCTCCTGCGGGCGAACAGAAGAGAGTAGTGGAGCCTGGTGGTCATACTAATTCTAGCGCGGACCTCGCGTTTCATTCACGTCGAAGCACTGTTTAACGAGTGGACTCCTCCCCAATGAGGGTTCCGAAAATGTGAAACATCAGGGGTTGAAGATTACCGACCTACTCGTCCAAGGCAAGTCGCTCGGTGATCAATCTTACTCCTCAACTAGCACTACCCACGAAATTACCCTGGTGATCATGGTTGATCACTCTTATTTCAATCTTGAGGCTGAAATTCTCTTACACACGTACGGAGTACCACAATGTTGCTTTGACCGATAGATACTCCACGCGAATGCTGCTCAAGTCAGGGGATGAAAGGATCATATTCTAGGCACCTCAATCAATGCAGCGCGATCTCCTAGGACAAGAAACCCAAGAACGGAGGCCTAATTGTGAACACCATGAAGTTTTGCCGAAGGGGCCACGGCTCTGAAAACGATTACTATCAAGTCAAACATGATCCATATGCCTCACAGCTAGATCTTATCGGGATTGCACAAACAGATAAACTCCCTTCAACAAGCACTTTCGACTCATTCGAAGCTACAACAATTCAAGATCCGCCTTCACAGGCTCATGGGCATTCTAAATTCCGTCATTTCAGAGAGAAATGGCGAATCGGTGCGTTGCTGGCAGCTTCTGTGGCCATGTTGACGGCATTGATCAACCTCAGCGTGGGAGCATGGGCAACGTCTCTCACAAGAACCAGTAATCCGATGTCAAGTGGTATCCTGGTTGAGATATTCCATGGCGATTGCAAAAGGGCGTCGACGATGAATACATGGGCTCATCTAGCTATCAACGTAATCAGCACCGGTCTTTTAGCAGGCAGCAACTACTGCATGCAAGTCTTGGTTGCGCCGAGCAGAACGGACATTGATCGCGCTCATGCGAAGTTCAAGTGGTTGGATATTGGCCTTCCCTCAATCCGCAACCTTAGATACATCAATCCTAGACGCAGATGGCTCTGGGTACTTCTTGCAGCATCCTCATTGCCATTGCACCTCTTGTAAGATCGTTTCGGGCCCAAATATGGTTTAGTGATGGCTGATAGCGCTTACAGATTCAATTCGTCATTTTTCTCATCAATTGCGTCGATGGACTACCATGTCATATTTGCCACGCCCGGGTTCCTGGAAGGCGATCGATTCAACTACACGACCGCTGATATGTTTAGCTGGGCCATGCCGTCAGATACAGACATTGCGCGAGTGCAACAGCAAGTGTTGCAAAATTCTAGCCGATTTGAGCGACTTGAGAATGCGCAATGCATCAAGACTTATGCCAAGGACATAATTACTGATCGAAGATCAGTTATTGTGATCACCAGCGATGTTCCTGCCCCTGAGAATGGTTCCGTCTTCCTAGCAACGGAGTCCTTCACTGCGTCTCCTGACACGGAAGCCTACCCTTGGATCTGTCCAATTTCAGCTTACGCAACCCCCGGGGCACCCCAGACCTATTCGTACGCATACAACGGAAGGTGCTCAACCCAAGTCGCGAAAGGTGAAATTGATCCTGCGAATTGGAGGCCAACTAACATCACTGCCGAGTTCTGTCTCAGTGAAAAGGTTCCCGAGCAATGTGGGTTCTACGCGAATGTTGCTATCATTTGGATCGTCGTTGCATGTAATATTGTGAAAGTTTTGATCATGGGTTATATTGTCCTTTCTCATGGCCTTGAGAAGCCTCTATTGACAATTGGGGATTCTATATCAGCGTTGATTACCAGACCTGATCCGATGACGGAAGATTTGGGTCCGACAACAATCTATGCAGTCAAAGTCCTTGGTCGCAGCAAAAGGTCCAATCCGACCAAGGCTTGGCGTGCTGATAAATCTTCGAGCTGGCAACCCTCGAGTCGTCTCAGGTGGTTCCACGCGGTTTCGATTTGGCGTTGGTCCTTGACAATTCTTTAGTAAGCAGCAAACGAAATCAGACATCCCATTCACTGACAAACACCAGTCTTTGCGCCTGCATCAGTACAATTGGAGGCTTGCTTCCTCCTGCTTTGGCTCTTCTGGAAGGTGATAGATCGCTCAGAGGACTTTACGCAAGGGGATTTGGCAGGGTTTCCCTCGAAACAACCCTTTCTGGTTGGGATATTTCCTACATGAGTGTACAAAATGCTGTGGTGTCCTCAGTCTTAGTGGCCAACTCGCCTCAGTTGGCTCTCTCCTGTCTCTATTTCGCGGTCAATACTGTTCTAACATCGATGAGTTCGGCGAACGAATGGTCACACTTTTCCGCCCGGTACGCAGAAAAGCATCAACCAAAACCTCTCAGGACATCTGATCCCGTCGGTCAACAACGAGGGACTCATTTCCTTCAACTACCTTTCCGTTTCGCCATCCCGCTGGTCGCAGTGGCGACACTCCTTCATTGGCTAATCTCACAATCAATCTTTCTTGTCGTCGTGGCGCAATACAATTCCAACGGTTTGCTGGAAAACGCCTTCAAGCTTGCAACCTGCGGATTCAGCCCCATTGGCATGATTTTCGTGATGATATGTGGCATTGCTTTGTTGCTGTGTCTACTCGGCATAAGTATAGTCAAACTTGACGGCACTGTACCTATTGTCAGTAGTTGCTCCGCAGCTATCTCAGCGGCCTGCCATCTGAGAGGCGCTGTGAAACATAGCATTGAAGAAACAGACGGCCTAAGCCAAGACAAAAGTCCAAGAGCTGAAATGGTCGAGGGCCCCTTGGTCTGGGGCCAGTTAATCGGAGATAGTCAAGAGTTCAAGTGGAGGAACGACATAGATTCTGAAGAATCCAAACAGTACAGCTTTGCGAGTGGAGAGGGCCTAGCGTGGCGAGAGAAAATTAAATGGCCACTGTCTGAGAAGAGGGATAACGTAGTAAAGTAATGAAATGTTTTTCGAGTGTGTTCTCGGTCAACCATAATTCAATTCATCATGTTTCTCATTGAATAGTGACTCGTGCGCTGGGTAGATCCCCTTTTGCATCACGTGATAAGGCTCTGCCACTGAGTGATTTGCCAAGACCAGACACCGGAGGAGTCTTGGCACTTGCCTCAAATCTTCTCCAAAATTTTTAGAGCCCCGAGCGCAATCCGCGGTTTTCAGAGCTTCAGCTTTGTGTATGATCCTAGCTATTTTCTAGCCAGTTGATAGATAGTGATACGCGATTGGATCTATCGTTACTGTGCACCCCTTACTCCAGCGACCATGGCTGAAGCAAACTACCTCCTCCATGAGGGCCCTATGGGCTACTCCGTCTTTAAAGTCGTCCACCAAGCTGACACTGTCGCAAATCGCCTCCGAGAAGTCCAAGAGAGTGTCCAAGATCTGAGCAAATTTGGCAAGATGGTCTCTCTTGTCAGTTTCCTGCCCTTCGAGAACGGAAAGCAAGCTCTAGAGGAGCTGCACGACATTTCTGAGGGCATTGCGTCCGACTTTTTGAAATCCTTCCTTGAGTTGAACCTCCCCAAAGCTGGAAAGAAGAGCAAGGTCATCCTTGGTGTTTCAGACAAAATCCTCGCTAGCAGCATCAAGACTTCGTTCCCCAATATCGAATGCGAAACCGGTGATACGAGCGAGGTGGTTCAAGACATGCTGAGAGGCATCCGACTTCACAATGAGAAATTGCTCAAGCAGCTCCGCGGTGGTGATACTAATACCGCACAACTTGGCCTGGGTCACGCATATTCGAGAGCCAAGGTTAAGTTCTCTGTGCAGAAAAACGACAATCACATCATTCAGGCCATTGCCATTCTGGATCAGTTGGACAAGGCTGTGAATACTTTCTCCATGCGCGTTCGTGAATGGTATTCATGGCATTTCCCCGAACTAGTCAAGATCGTATCCGAAAACCACAAATATGCTAAGGTTGCCCTATTTGTCAAAGATAAGAAAACGCTCTCCGAAGACAGCCTGCACGAGCTTGCAGCAGTTGTGGACGACGATGAAGACATTGCGAAAAGTATCATAGATGCAGCTAAGACGAGTATGGGGCAAGAAATATCTCAGTCAGATATGGAGAATGTCACACTCTTTGCACAACGGGTTGTGAGTCTTGCAAATTACCGGAAAACTCTTCACACCTACCTCGTCTCTAAGATGGGCGTGGTCGCACCCAATCTGGCAGCTCTGATTGGAGAAATTGTTGGAGCTCGCCTGATCTCCCATGCTGGTAGTCTCACCAACCTATCCAAATACCCTGCTTCGACTGTCCAAATTCTGGGAGCAGAAAAGGCACTCTTCAGAGCGCTGAAAACTAAGGGCAATACTCCCAAGTACGGTCTGTTGTACCATTCATCATTTATTGGACGTGCTGGGCAGAAGAACAAGGGAAGGATATCTCGTTTTCTCGCCAACAAATGTTCGATCGCATCGAGAATCGATAATTTCTCGGAAACCCCATCAACAGTCTTCGGATTAGCTTTGAAGAAGCAGGTGGAGGAGCGATTAGAATTCTACTCGTCTGGAACGCAACCTACGAAGAATGAGGTGGCCATGGTAAGTGCAACCTATCAAGGACCACTCGGACTAGAGCTAACACGCGCTGCAGAAAGATGCAATGGACAAAGTCCTGGAAGACTTAGATGTTGACGCAACGGTAGTTGATGAAGAAATGTTCGACGTCGAACCCACAGCGGTGCAGAAACAGGAGAAGCGGAAGAAGGATAAGTCCGAGAAGAAAGAAAAGAAAGAGAAGAAGCGTAAATCCAGTAGTGGTGACGGTGCCGAGGTAGAAGAGGTCAAGGAGAAAAAGAAGAAGCGTAAATCGGTGGATGCCAGTGAGCCCGAGGGCAAGAAGAAGAAGAAGGCCAGGTCTGAGGCATAGGACGACGCGAGCTTCGAGAGAGGTGGAGGGTTAGAAGAAGAAAAAGACGACGGAGAAGGTCAAGTCTGAAGCACAACATGCGATCATGACGGCGGCCAAAACTTGGAGACACGGGCCAACTACTCGTATGTTGATTTATTGCTGAATTACGTGCATGGCGTTGGTGGGTAGGCGGGAGGCCTGCAGTGGCTTTCCTAGGAAATCAAACACTTGAATGTCGGTCCTACATTCATTCGCCTGGTATTGAGAGTAAAAAATAAGACGCTCAGGCAGTGGGAGATAGATTACTGCGCCGATTATCATTGTCTAGAGCAAACCAAGGTGCCTTTGTACTAGCTATGTACACGTGCGCCCATATGTCATGCTTCGGCTTCTATAGCTGGACAGAACCAAAATGAAACCAACCTAGAGCCTCACTGCTTCCGCTGGCCCCTGTGCGAATTTCCCTTTCCTAAATCCATGTCTTTGCGGTGGGCGAGAGGGAGGGACGGGTTATATAGCGTGCCCCATTTGCCAATTGAATCATGCCCTTGGGTTCATTTCGGCAACAAGAAGGAATAAGGAGTTCAAAATCAAGTAAAGTCATTCAGCCTGGGCTTCTTTTTGGTATGGACGCTAATATGGAGAATGAGTACTAGGAGAAACAGGATATTGACTTATCCGAAAGGCGCATGCAAAAGCCCAAGCGCCAGAGCCCGGCGAGGACGGATGTCTCGACGTGGCTCATTTTCAAGAACAATCTCATCCATCGATGTGTACGCTCGCAACCGCCCGAGCAATCAAAATTAACATCCAATCCGTGTATGTTTCCAATTCCACCCGCCTCAACACTCAGACCCCGAGGAGAAGCTGTTCAGAGACTTCACATCGACGTCGGCTTCCTTCTCTTTTGCGCCGGGGCGCTTCGACGACGCCGTTGATGGCTTCTTCTTCTGCTGCTGCTGCTGCTGCTGTAGCGACGACCACCAACTCGAGCTCTGCTTCTTGTCGTCTGCGGTGCTGCTCTTCTTCGGCTGTGGCTGATGCCGTCTCGCCTCAGGGTTCTCGACGCTCAGCGTGCGGCCCTCGGCGGCGGCCTTGGCGCGCAGGGCGTCGCGGTGCTGCGTGGCGTAGTCTTCAAGGAAGAAGTTGGTCACGAGGCCGCCAGACATTTTGGTGGTGGTGGTGGTGGTGGTGGTGGTGGTGGTGGTGGTGAATTTGATATAGATGTTCCAGACTGATGCTCTAGGAGCCGAGTGGGAGTTCGGCTTCTTTTTTGCTCTGAGGGAAGCTTGTCTTTCCAATCTTCGTGATAATGCGTGTCGACAAAAGATACAAGAGCCACAACGTTAATGTTGAGCTTGTCTGCACGCGAAGTCTCGGGAGGATAGATGCAGTTGTTTGCAAGACTTAGTTTAGTGCAAGCTCACTGATAGATTACTTGAAGGTTCTGGTTCTGATTTAGTCTGACTCTGAAGCCCGAAACGGGAATAAATATATTGAATTGAAGGAAAAGTAGGGGGATTATTAGAAGCACAGAGGTGGTGCTGACCCCCATTATATATTCGATACAGTATGCCTCTCAACCCGCTTCCAGTGAGAGACCAGGTAGGTAAGAAGGACGAGTAGATCCTGAAAGAAACTAGGTCCCACTCGTACTCGGATTCTCACTCACCGTTATTGGTACAGTAGGCTGGCGCCGAGTCGTTTTGTGAACGCCGAAAGCGCGGCCGCTTTCAGAGCCCTTCTGTTTTGCTTCTCGTTCTCCTCCCTGACACACGTGGATTACCAATGTCATCATCTTACGCGTGGAATGGGGTCAGCGCCCACCCACGCCGAGGACCGGGGATAAATCCATTGATTATCGGAGAAGAATGGCATGGAAGGACTAATTGATTGATTTGTGACTCCCAAAGGGCGCGCGCTAGCAACAAACTCACCTTTGGACGATGCCCCATCTCAGCCTCGTACGGAGTGTGTGATTTGACACTAACTAAATATTGAGCGAAAGTCGGTAGCCAGTCCCACTACTATTATTATTGGCATTGCGGAGCGACTAGCGAAGATTTGGGTAGCGGAACGAGGTTGGGTTGCGCTCAGGGCAATATTTAATAATTGCTCCGAGCGCCGCCTCCCTCCCTCTTTGGCTCCGCGTTGGTTTGTCCAAGCGGGATTACACCTTTCTATTCCTTGGCTTCTAACCAGTGAATTGCACGCATCTATACACCGGGGTTTGGATATTACAGATGGTCTTGGGAGCCCCACGAGGAGATGGATGTGCCAACGGGTGGTCCTGGTGGGAGTTTGAATCGGCAACAGGATAAATCCTCCAAGTCAGAATTTACAACACATCAACATCAACTGCGCCCACAATGACAACGCTACGCCACGCATAATCAGTCATCAAATGATGTTCTCCCGAATACCAAGGCTCGATGTGGTTGTGGATGTGGGAGCAATGGAGCCTTGATCAGCAAAGGGCGGAGGGCTAGGCTGTTTTTTCACCAAGTCTACCCCGTACGAGGTAAGGAGGGACATGGCTTGCCCCATCTCCGGATCTAGAACCGAAGGCCGAGCGCCGCGTATAGTAGAGCCAAGTTGCTGATATGCTGGACTAGCAGCGCGAGCGCCGAGAACCGCATTCCACGCAGGGTTGAATGTTATGAGGATGAGCACCACACTCACGTGGTCCGAGCGGCATCATATTAGCAATGCTGAATTGGAATATCTGGTGAGTCGCATGGTGCATTGAAGGGTTTAAGATATGGAGGGGGACCTCCGGGAGTATTCCGTGCTTTAGGTGGTAAGATATATTGTCATAATGTATGCCTTTCCCTCTATATACTAGCATCAGCATCAGCACCAGCATCAGCATCGGCACCCCACTTGCTTGGGAGAATGCTGTGTGTGATCTAGAGTTGAATATTCACCCAGAGGTCTTGCAGGAGGTAGGTGCAGAGTTGCTCAATTCCTCCTCCTGTCGTTTTCTGTAGTATAGGCATTCTAAGCACGCTTTTGTCATTGCCATCCGAGTCCCAACCCGACGCAGGCCTCACCCCCTTATCTTAATATACAAGACGCGTTTGTTTCCTCCGAGAGGAAATTATAGTTTCGGTGCTCGGCATGGGCGTTTCACATTGGGACTGTTGAGGTCAGGGTGTGCTTGATATGTTGCCCTTCATGGCTGGATCAGATCACAAGCTACGCACCCTCCAATCCCATCCCGGCCATTTCTCCGTTGATACCAAAGAACTGGAACCAGTCCTCCACGTTCAAAGTCGTCGGCGCCACGGGGGCATTTCCAATCGAGCTGGTCGACCATCCGTCACTATCATGCATCTCCATGCCTGCTCCCATAATCCCCGCCATGCCTCCTGGCCATACCTGCGATTGTCCCGACAAGTCCATCTGAGGCATTTGTTGGCCACCGCCCATCGGATGCGAGGACATCTGCAATTGAGGGTCCACTGCGTGGTTCAGGATTGGGCTGGTGAAATTGGTGGCATCCCCAATCGTGCCGTCTGGGAACAACTGGTCAGGCTGGAAGTTCTCCCACAGTTGCTGAGAGATATTGGGTGAGTCTCTCGTTACCAGGAAGAGATCGGGTGGTGTTGCTGGTATTGAATATCCGTTGAATGGTGAGTTCGCACGCGTAGGTCCCCTGGACGGAAGCCGGGATGCGCCCCTTGATCGCGAGGCCGGTAGGTACTGCTCGTTGGGTAATGGTGGTGAACCGAGGAAGTTGGCGTTGTGACTTTGAGACGGTTCCCTCGACGGTGTTACCGCAGGTGTTTGAGGACGTGACCGTTCGTATGACATCTGCGGCGCGGGAGGCCCCACGTTGAACCCCAAGTCAATGTCGTCAAACTTACGCTTTGTCGGGTTGGGCGGTGGTGGGATATGTGATACGGGTACGTGTGAAGCGGGATGCGCCCCATTCGCGTTTCCATTCTGAGCTGCTGCATTTTGATTCGCTTTGGCGCGTTGTGCTTTTCGTCCTGTGGCTTTCTGTAGTCTCTCTTCAAGTACCTTGTTTCCAAGGATCGATTCGAACAAGGTATGAACCATCTTCGCCACGAGCCAGACCTTGGACACTTCTTTCAATGCCACCATGCACACGTTGATGCGTTCCTGGCTGGCTGCCACCACCGAAGGCACTGACGAGCGCATTTGATAGACGTGCATGATCAAAGCAGAGAACAAACTGTAGACGCTGTACCACCATCAGCAACATTGCCGGGAGTCAACACGAAAACACTCACATAAATGCAGGCTGATATTTGACTTGATCATGAGCAAGCAGGTTCTCCATGATTGAAGTAATCATCCCAGCAGCCTGGAAAGCGATGGTCCTTGACGGATAGGCCATGTCTACATTATCGTAGTCATGTGGCTTCGCTGTTGCGGGTGGCATGTGGGCTCGATGGAGCAGACAGAGTGTGGTGCTAAAATGGTCAGTCTTCGGCCTGAAGAGGGGAATCCATATACACCCACTAGTAATTGGAGTGCAACAGAGCTGACCAGAAATGATGTCGTGAACGCTCCCAATATACTTCGCGAGGGCAATTCTGTAGCCAGTCTGCCAGTGCCATATCACTATGGGTGAGATCGATAGCATTGGTCCGTCTGGCTTTGGAGGCAACCGAATATTGTTGAGATAGCACGAGCCCCATAATCTCGCACAGCTTCACATACTGGAGAAAGAATTGTATGTGGACCGCCTCGTGTTGATAGTCGTTGGCCGGGTCTCCTTCGTCCTCGATGAAATCTTCCTCCGTGATCATCTCCACATCGGAGTCATCGGTGTTGATAGAAACGGGTCGGCCAAGGGCGACTGCAACCGATCGATCTCTTGTAAAAAGCGACCACCAAACCCGCTTCCACAGTCGTTTGTCTTGCCTACTCAACTGGGAGCTCTCGACGCTAACCGACATCGTTAGCACAACGAACTAGCACCGAGCCATGAAAGGACCACCCACCTTCGGTGCATGCCGGCACCCTGGGCGACCACAATGGCGACTCTGGTCCAGTAGAATACATTCTTGGTGACATCTGCTGCTATGTTAGAGCGAGCAGCGTCGGCAAATTCGACCGCCTGTTCTGACGCCTTACCTTCGGGTCCCTCCCAGTACCAGCCCATCAAGATCAAAGCCTGGACGATGGTGATACGATCGTCTTCATAGTTGGCATCATACAACGCTTTGGCGCGTTTGTAGAAGGTCATTGCTGCAGGCGTGGTGGAACCAGTGGCATCCATCAGCTGCGGATTGGTGCAGACCCTGGAACCAGCCAGTAGGATAGCCTGGAGGAGCAGCAGTGAGGGCGGGTTCTTCGTGTCTTTATACCTCTTCATAAAGCGGCTTCGATTGATGACTGGCACAATGGGGGCGACCCAACGGAAATAGGCCTCGACAAGCTCGTCACATAATGCTCGAGGCGGCAGTAAGAAAGCGCCTCTCTGCTGCAGGATCTCTATCTCCATCTGGTCTGGTTCCGTCAGGCGGGCACGTGCCCCGCGAATGTTTTCTGGAAGGGGGTAGTGAACGACATCGGTCGTGCCATGACGATCGTGGACAAGCAACGACAGATTCGAAGATTCACCCAGGTAGGCAACACGACCTGCCTCTTTGATGGGGGCCCGTGCAAACTTGGGCTTCATGAACTGGGTCATGGTACTGTTATTGGCAGCTTGCTGCGCAGCCTGGGCCTCGGACATTTGAGTGGAGGGCATACCATCTGGGGAATTGTAGCCATGATTCTGGGCTGGTCGTGGAGGCTGGTTGGCTCGAATGTCGGTTGGGGTGGTGGGTTGCTGGGAGTCTCCGGCCTCGCTGAAGATGGCGTGTCAGTATTGGACGCCCGTTATCTCATGATGAGATATGATATGACGTGGATGGGGACGATTCATACCTCTCATCGTCCTTCGCCCGGGCGGTGCCGGCCCTCTTGCGTTTGGGAACAGGAATTCGACATTCAATTGAAAAGGCCACACAGTTTGTGCAGGGGACTCTGAACAGATTCTTAGTACAGCGTCATCAATGGCTAGGGCGGGGTGTGATATCAAACTCACCCGAGGGATGCGGCATCGCATCTCACCTGCAGATAGGTGTAGTTAGTAATCAGTCACCTGACCTCACGGGACTGGAACTGGCGGTGGGCGGCATGTTCAACGTACTTTGCGAGCATGGCATGTTTCTGTAGCATAGCACGGGCAGATTAGCACTTGAACATATCATAGGCTGTAGATGAAGATGTGATGGCCGTGACGGGGCTCCTGCAGGCTGGATCCTTCCTCGTTCTGCACCGTTCTGCATGTTGAAGATAGGCGACTACAGATACAGCCCATTTGGGCCGAGGTTCTCGGTCTGTCGCGTCCACCAAAAGAACAAAAGCCTTTGAGTGCGGCCGTTTGCAAAGTTTCACTTTTTGTGGTCGTGCGACAGAACCAACGAGACAAAGAACACTGGGTTTTTTCTATGCCATTACATGTTGCAGGTCGCCAAAGCAGCAGTCCACGAGAAACGATGCAAGGTGAGGCGGTGGAGGAGAAGCTTACCACAAGCTCGAGAGGCTCGTTGCCTGTGCAATTCGATGTTGTCAGCAAAGTTCAATGTGAACAGCGAAGCCAGAAAGACCGCTGTGGTTTATCTTACCTTCGAAAACTGGGATGGCCAGGTGTTTGACTGGGAGGTGCGCTGTTGGTCTTGCCGGTGGAATTCTGGTCGTTGGAAGCCTGCGACTGCGCGGTGGGTTGATCAGAGGTAGACTGCGCCTCGGATTGAGGACTCGGAGCGCTCATGGCGGTGGAAGAGAGGCAGAAGGAAACAGAGTTGTATCACCAAGATGCGCAGGCGTGGTCGACCAAGTGCATAGCGAGGTGCTAGTAAGCGGTATACTACAGCAGCAGGATTGACTCGTGAGCGGTGTTGTCTAGTCAGTGTGTCTGTTCGTTCGGGGAGAGAGGGTCTGCCTTTGCCCAGCACTAAAGAGTCAAGAGTCAAGACTGGAGGAGGACTACGCGGAGGAGCGAGAAGCCGGAGCGATGCGGTAGCGGGCTTGATTTGCGGAGAGATCGCCCAAGCCTGGCGCCCGGAGGAGCCTAAGATGCAGGGCTGAAAGGGGGCTGAAGGGTGGTTGGTGCGGGCACCAGACTGCCCATCACTCCCTCTACCTGTCCCCGAGCTGGGCCTAGAAGGCGCTAAACATTAACTGGGTTATACCCCCGTTCGTGGCTCAGCTGCCCCAAGCACACCTATGTACTACTACTGTCAGCCGAAGTTACCAATGTGACTGTGGCTAGGTCGGGTCCCGTGACTTCCGTCTGTGGCCTGAGCGAGTCTCACACCACCCGGACTCCTCCACTCCTACCCGTACTCTCGTACTTCTTCTACCACTGCTGTTCTTGTTCCTCTATCGAGTACTCGGTATAGAGGAGTAACTCATTCAGGTTACTTTCTCCCTAGCCGCAGCTCCCATCCCCAACATGTCGCTATTTCTTACAGTCTCTCTCCAATGATAATACCACATGGCACACCTCCCTCGACCCTCGACCCTTGACGGCTGCCTGGCGTTTTGGATGACTCGGCTGGGTAGAGAACGGAGTCCATCTGCTTGGCTAGTCCTTGTACTTCGTACAGTAGACTGTGGGGTAGTTACTAGTTTCCTGCTCCCGTAGTAATGCTGGGGATCATCCAGTTCACGCTGTTTACTCAAACAAAAAGTCGAACTTTCACATGATCCCTCGGCTGTTTGCCTCGTATCTCGTATAGAATCACCTGACTCCAGTTGACGTTCACATCGAAGTCCCCTTTCTCATGTCAATTTTGAATTGAGTACCTCCGTAGTAGACTAGGAGTATGTCCCTGGTATCCATGCATTCTACTAGACGCCATCCATGCAAGCCATGGTACTTCAGATTTACGCCCCTGACACGGATGCAACTCTTCATTTCCTTGCAATGCCCAAATATCCGACACCCAACGCCCTAGGTCCATGTACATGATGATATCGTCCTCGCAGTTGTTCCTGGGTTACGTCACCGTCCCTGTCGCGGCAATCTGCTCCACCGCTTCCTGCATTTCAGAATTGGCCCCTGTCGATGATGACTCCGTGCTCCAATCCTCAGCTTCCTTCTCTGCTTCCACCTGCTTCGCTATTTTGTTTCCCGGGGCGGTCTGGAAAAAGTCTATGGTCTGTAGCCCGCGAACATCTCCTACCTTCATTTGCTCCATTCGCTGTCCGTTCTGTCTTTGCCGTTGGATCATCTCGCGCACAGGGATCATCGCTGCATCTCGGCATGCTTCCTTGATGTCGCTGCCTGACATTCCGCTCATGACCCGAGATAGATACTCGAGGTCCAGATTTGGCACATCGACTTTGGTGTCTTTTAGCATGATCTTCAGTATCTTCAATCGTTGTGACGCCCCTGGCAAAGAAACCGGGAATTTCTTGGGCATGCGCCGTAAAATCGCGTCATCTATATCCTGTATCCGATTGGTCGCCCCGAGAATCAATATTCTTTGAGGCCGTCCGGTGGTCGTCGCCGAAGCCAGACCGTCCCAATGCGTCATGAATTCAGCCTTGACCATTCCGCTGGCTTCATGTTCGCCACTGTGCCGCGTCCCCAAGACCGCATCAATCTCATCGATGAACACTATTGCTGGCTCTAATTTCCGCGCTAGGCTGAAAACTGCGTTCACTAGCTTGTTGGAATCGCCAAACCATTTCTCCGTCAACGTGGAAATATGGAGGTTAATGAAACATGCTCCGCTCTCGTGTGCCAATGCCTTGGCAAGCATCGTTTTTCCGCAGCCGGGTTGTCCGTACAGCAACACCCCCGAAGGAGCAGACAGCAGTGAAGACGAAGTCGAATAAAGGTCGGGCATAGTCAGCGGGTATATCACCGTTTCTCGCAGCTCCTCAATGATGTCCGAAAGCCCACCTATGTCCTCAAATGATACCGGAATGTCTTCGGGGAACACCAAGTCCTGTAGGATGGCCTGTTCGTATTGTGATAGACGGAGATCTTCCATCCTAGGCCGATCAGGGCCCTGATCTGTGGACGTCCGTCCCGCCTCTAACCTACCCAGAATCGCGGCCGATGTTAAACGCGCATGCTCTTTGACATCTGATTCTGGGTCTAAGTTCATTTGTTTCAGGACATATCGCACCATGAGGAATCCGCCGATAGCCTGCAAATGTCAGCACCCTTGATCACTCACGCAGCTGTGAAACGTAAATGAAGCCAAAACATACCAAGGGTGCCACGACTGCCAACTCCTCAAGCACACGGTGCCACCAAACACGCCCTCTATCCGGAGACATAGTTGAAAGCAATGCGTTTGAAAGCGGACCAGAAAGCGGCATTGCGCCCAGAGAATATAGAGAAGAGCAACCTAGGAGTGGAAGTGGGAGAGGCAAAGTGATGGGTGTTGGCGTTGTGACGCAGGCCGGGGATGAGCCGATTTGCACGTGTCACAAGTTCTACACGTGACATTGCACTATCCGAGCTAGTCTCATTTGGGTGATATGTTTTGATCCCCTCGAGTTGGTCGTGCGCTTCACTGCCGCCGCCGCCAACTTGGATCGATCGATGCCTCTCACACCTATTATCCTCACTCGCTCCACGCCCACAGCCTTAGCCGAGGCACTCACTTCATAATGAAGGGCATTGCTGACCTCCTCGACTCGGATATGGAAGACTCGAACAATTTTATTGACGAAAACTCCATACTCTCGTCTGCCTCTGGCGCGAGTACTGCCACTTCAGCCAAAGGGACCCAAGCCAAGCGAGGCAAAAAGCGCCAGCGGGTCACCGTGCCTCCTAAATCGCGATCTAAGGTACAGAAGCCTTCGCCGCCGGCGACCAAGAAACCCACTGCGAAGCAAGCCGCTTCCAAGCGTAAAGCCCTAGAAGAACAGATCAACGACCGTGACGCCGAGCATGTTGAAAATGAAGAGAATGCGCAAGAAACCATCCCCGCCAAAGCGAAAAAGACCAATCGCGCTCCGGCAAAACCAAGAGCGACTAAGAAGGCCGCCGTTCCAAAGGTGACTGAAGAAGACGAAATGGAAATAGAGCAGACTCCCGCAGCAGCTCGCTTGAGCCATGCTACCAACCGTCCACAAAATGAGGTGTTCAAGGTCGCTTCCAAAAAGATAGCTTCAAGATCAAAACCCGCACAAGAATCTCGCTCAATTGTCCCAGAATCACACAGCGCTGCAGAAGATGAACAAAGTGAGGTCGCAATAGTAGAGTCGGTGCCACAACCCAGGAAAGCAACACGGGACACGTCAAGATCGAGACAAGAACCACCGTATAGAAGACGAGCTGGGAGTGCATCAGATACGGACCGAGGTGACCCGAACCTTCGACGAAAATTGGGAGATATGACGCGTAAATTCGAGAATGTCGACCTTAAGTATCGCACGCTGAAAGAAGTGGGTGTGAACGAGGCCAATGCAAATATGGAAAAACTTCGAAAGCAGTGTGACACCACAGTGCAAGCATCAAACGAGTTGATCGCATCACTCAAGAAAGAACTAGCAGCACAAGCTCCCCAGGCTCAGGAGGCCCGGAAGCTTAAGAAGCAGGTACAGAGCCAAGAGACGGAGGTTATTAAGCTTCGCGATACAGCAACGGAACTGGCACAGGCTCTCAACGACTCTCAAAACGAGATCAAAGCCTTGCAGGCGAAGATGGCAGCTGCGCGAGCATCTTCGACTGAGCAGGCGAATTCGAAGCCTCAGCCAAGTACAAGGAAAGCAATTGTGCAACGACCCCTACCAATAGGATCCGCAGAAGCATCACAAGCGGCTCAAGTCGCACAGATGAAAGAAAACCTGTACAGTGACCTGACAGGGCTCATCATCAGGGGGGTGAAGAAGACGGAAGACGGAGACACATACGATTGCATTCAGACAGGGAGGAATGGCAGTGAGTATAACTTCAAACCCGCTGAACGATTCGATACTGATCAGGTTACAGCATTGCATTTCAAGTTATTCGTGGATCAAGAGGATGCCAGAACAGCAAGCTTTGAGGAAACAGAGTTCCTGTATACGCCGCTTCTTGATACGAATCGAGATCGCGAGATGATCGAGCTGATGCCGAGCTATCTCACCGAGGACATTACCTTTGCTAGACAGAATGCTGCCAAATTCTATGGTCGCGTAGTAGACACCTTGACCAAACGACGAGCAGAGGAGTAGTCGTGGATTTCGTGGACGCTTTATGATGGTGGCATTGCTGATTGCAAGGGGCGTTTCTGGGAATTGTTGTTGGCAAGGCATATGGCCACCAGACCGCCAGTCCTGTTACTGTATTACTGAACAATACCTAGCCAGGTGACCTTATGAGATGTGCTCTTTTACCTCTCGTGCGGACTGTATCACGTGGATGTGACCCTGAGAGCAGCGTCCAGATAGCGCTTGCCCTGTTTGGTCTTATCGACAAACGCACAGTCGCCCTTACCATTTTTGGCACTTTATCAAGTCTACCCCGCCTTCCGGCTGTCATCGCTACCTTTTCTCCCACTGCGTCTGCAATCAAAGGCATCGCCCATCCACCACCATCCACCGAGTACTTGTGCCTTCGTAATGGTAAAGGCATGTGGTTGATCACACCTTACCCCCTTGTGGCCTACGACCTACTATTTCTTCCCTCTGTTCGACAGCCCTGAATAACATAATCGTCGTGTTCAGCCTCACTGTCGCCCAACCCCGTGCGACTCAACATGACTCTTCGAACCATCTATCGAGCCCATTGGGGGCCGAGATCTTTGGACAAAACCCCTATTTGCTTGAGGACCAATATCCAACGGACTACACAGATCCATGCTGCCCAAATCCGAATGCTGTGGTGGTGGAGTCGTCAGCCAATCGAGTGGCAGCCTTGGTGCGACGCAGATCAACAAGAACGCGTGAGGAGGCATCATAGACTCATGAGACACAAATACGCCAAAGCCTGGAGACGGAAAGCAATGTGGGAGAGAGATGATTCTCAGCCGTGGTCCTGGCGATCTGCTCGCTGGCTGATCAACAACCGGTGCTATGAGAGGCCAATCTCAGCCACCAGCCCACCCCAGCCCCCAGTAGACAAGGAGCAAGAAGACCCTCTTGCTCGTCGTTCTGATCCACACTATAATCTTTCCTTCCGCGCCTTCGTCGACTATATCGACCGGGAGGTCGCCAGGGACCCTTATGGCGTTTTATTCGGTAAACACCTGGAAAGCCCTCCCTCTACAAACAACTCTTCTTGGACGTCCTTCTCTTGGATGTTCGAATCCAAGGCACGCGACGCCAAAGAACCAATCTATAACACAAGCCAGGAACCCTTATCATCTCAGCCAGGGGCCTCATCGAATGAACGGATCCCAATCAACAGCCACCCAATCACCCCCCCAAGCAAAATCTCCGTACCAGGCTCAAAGCCAGATGCTGTAGAAGAGTATGAGTACGATCCAATCACCATGAGGAATGTCCCCAAGACGAAGAACACTGAGTTTCTACCCAAGCAACCCTTTCTGCAATCGCTTTTCTCCGAGCATGGCGTTGATATTCCAGTCAAGATCTACCAACCCCATAAGGTCTTTGGATATAGCTCCAAGGCTAGCTCAAGGGCATCGTCCCAAGTCGAAGTCTCACAAGGCCCCAAGGCACAGTTGGAAAGTTCGACAAAATCCGAGATCTCTAGTCTAATGGCCCGAACGAAGGGTAACAGTATCAATACAACCGCTCAGTTCACAGACGTCTCGCCAGACCAAGAGGTTGAAGCTTTAACAGCGGATTCAGTGGCCAAGACGCGCTCTCAACAGTCCGCTGAACCAGACGATCACGCACCACTGTTTTCAGGCACCACATATGCAGCAAGGAGCTTCTCGCCGGATTCTGCCTCCACTCCCACGTCAGACTGGCTCTCAAAAGAAGGTTTTCGAACAGCAGGTGAATCAACAACCAACGAGAAGCAGATTGATGACAACGTCGTGAAAATTTCCGACCAGAAAGTCGAAAGCAAACTTGAGCCTGCATTGGATCGAATGAGAGTGGCTGCGGCCGAGAGTGGCACCAGTTCTGACTCTGTCAGGCTGGAGCCTTCCATTGATCGGCACGCAGGAAAGGCCTCTGAAGGTAGACGGACTCGTTTGGAAGCAACAAGAGGTGCAACCATGCTCGATTGGGAATCAGAAGATGATGTTGATCTTCTCCGTGCGAGTGATGTCCGTGCTGGCACAAGGTCTGCGCGAGTGTCCAAACAACAATTGGAAAAATCAAAACGCAAGACTAGATTTGAGTTGGAATCAAATTTCGCCAAAAATCAGGCAAACAGTAACGAGGCTGATAATCTCGACGAAAATAACAAGGCCGCTGGACAAATTTCCAAAGGCCTGGCAAGTATTTGGAACCATATTAAAGAATATCCGAGCGGTATTGTTTCAAGGACAATGCAGTCAATGAACACTTTCAATGATGACTATAAGAAATATGTCAAACCCAGCAGCGCTTCCAACCTTACAGAAAAACTAGTCTTCAAAGGTGAGAATTTGAGCAAAACGCCATCCATCTATCGAGCCACAACAAAACATAACACTGACACTTTGCCCACTTCTCCGGATGTCGAGAAAGAGGAAAAGGAGCGCTCAAGCAGGATCGAAAGGCTAAGAGCAGCTACCGAAGAAATGAAGAAGGACAATGAAGTTATCAATGCACAGTTATCTCGGTTGGCGGCCGACATCAAGGTCATTTACGAGGAAGAATGTGGTCCTATTGGAACACAGCCCACTAGCACTTCGGGAGACTCAGTAGTTCGTCGCCACAAACAAAAAGCGGCAGTAGACACTTCCGAAGATTGGGATGTTGAAGATACTCAATCTGAAAAGGCCATTCAGGAGGCAGAGGCAGAACTCCACACTATGAAAAATGGTTTTCAGGACACGGAAGCCGAACACGGAAAGTCGGCGAAGCTTAGGGCCGTCATGGATGGAACGAAAGAGCTGCGAAGAGAGCTTCATGAGACCGGGATGGCTATAAGAGCGATTGAGAGCGGAAGACCGCAGACTGTTTGGAACACTCCGACAGCTTCATCTACAAACTTTGGCAAGAAGCGAATGGAACTGACAGACCGGCGAGCGACGGTAAAGAAGTCCGAGGAAGACAACGGTGAACGGATACAACTGAATCTCAATGAGCATGAACCTACAAAACCCACTCTATCAGGACCACCGAAGGAAGAGTTGCCTCAAGAAGTCCCAGGTCCTGTCTTCACTCCATCCCAGTCCCCAATCTGGAATGATGAACAGCCTCCCCCCATCGAGGATCTGAAAGAGAAATCCGCCGAATCAACTTACGTTGTCTTAGCTCAAGATGGGTCAACCGGTAAGATAGAAATGTCGCCCCTGAACAATGTCCCAATGTCTTCAGACAAAGCAGTCAGCCCAATCTTGGTACTGTCAAAATTGCACCGCGCCTCAGACTACCTGGTACATTTTGAGAGACTTGAAAGATCAGGATACGAACTCTACACAGGGTCAAAGAACATGCTCATTTTCAGAAAACAGCATCCAGGCGAGGTTCGAGAAGCTTCTCCACTGTCCACAGACTCGAGCTCTGCTCCCTCAAACTCCCTTGCCGTAGACTCGGTGAGCCCGCCGAAGCAAACGGCTACAGTGCTCGATGAACTCCCAAGTGAAGTCGACCCGTCTCCAGGTTCAGCTGCGCCAGCAGCAGCACCAAATCAACCTGCGAAACAACCTGAGCAGCACATGCTGAAATCAAGAGTGCGTCGACAGGAGCAAGTATTTTCCGGGACTATGCGGCCAGGGGAAGACCCTACGAGAGAGTCTAATCATGAGGAAAGCTTCGCACCCACCGAGCCTGGGGCAGCGCTGTGGGAGAAATTTACACTGAGTGTGAAGCGTGCTGTTCTCATCGCTGTCGCTCTAGGTGGTGTGGCATACGCAATAGGGTTTGTCGCTGAAGGAATAGGTGCACAGACACAGATACAGAATGGCATGGGCAACGGTCAAGTCCAGGGGCCGAGGAAGAGAATTGTTATGACCGGGCAAAGACCGGGCATTTACAGCACAGAAAGTTCAAGATCAATCTAGCGATGATCGTTGACGAGACGATGGTCGAGAGACGGCCACAATAACGGAGACGGGGACACCCTTTTGGAGAATGCATTACCCACGGCACCTATTCTCTTGTATATTTAGGTATATGGACATGCTTTGGGTCATGCTGGTAAGGATAAAGGGTTGAACAGTCCGCTCCCCTTGTCTTCATGCAGATTAAAGGATCTTGTGTGTGTGATTATGACAGCATGACTTGGTATACGGTATGGGACAGATACTCTTCTCTGACTTAAAAATATAATCACACGAAATTACAGGTGTGATAGCAGGGCATCCCCATGTTCTTCCCTAAGATCAAGATCTAGTACTCCCACTTTCTTTGTTTGTCATCACTCAGCGTGGGGTCTAAGGGAGTCTAAATTTCTTATGGCGAGCAGCTGCAGGTTAAGTAATCTCATGGGTGCGTTTAACTCGCTCAGCCTGCTTCTAGATACCAGTGAACCCAGGACCGATCTCTGTCTGAGGGCTGAGATTCTAGCATACTGTATACATTGGCTGGATCGCGGATGTTGCGGCGGGCGACATGCCTTAGAAAACCGTCTCAGAGCTTTGTAGCCACCCAATGACTACAGCGGTACCGGCTCTGCAGCAAACTTGACGGGTCCTGCATGTACCCAAAGGCTTCGTCGGTGCGAGGTGCGCGGGCGATGATCTCATGTTTGAGAATTCGAAACCCGAATCGCGGAATCAGTTGCAAAACCTCTTCGTCGGTCAGCTCGAAGGACCCGGGCTCGCCGATGCCTTTGTCCTCCTCCATTTCACGTGAAGTTGCAGGCTGGGGTTTTGAAGAAGGGACATCTTGTCCGGCGTGGCTCTCGGTGGCAATGCCGATGGGTTGTTCGCGGCCGTCAAAATGCCACAAAAGTGGTCCTATGTTGATCCATATTCCGCCTTGTTTGAGGCAGTTGCGAATCGTCTCAAGATACCGGATGAAGTTTGGTGCGGTGTCGATGAAGAAGACGGTGACTATCCCATGGAAGGAATCTTTCACATTGGGATCCGAGTATGCGAGCACAAAATCACCGGCTGTCATGTTCATCTCTCCGACCACTCCGTCAGAGTCGGCGCGTGATTCCAGCGCGCGGCCTGGGTGAATGTCAGGGATCGTGACACTTTTGAGTTGGTCTGCTCGAGAAGTTACGTTTGTAAATGTTGTAGCGAAAGGGTAGATGGTGTATTGATCTGTATGTCCGGTCGAGTTGAGAATGAAATGGCTGGCTAGCAGTTGATGATAGGATATTTCATTTCCGGTCGCATGATAACCGCGATAACAAAGTTCGAAGAGCAAGCGACCAAGTCCAGCACCGGGTAAGAGAAGCGATGGTGTTGGGCAAGCTGAATTGCGTGGAGGGACAGGCAAGAGAGCGCTAAGATCTGCCATGATTGTATCAACGAGTGGTTCGACCTCGGCCTTGTACCCTTCCCGAGACCAGTCACGATAGAACTGTCGAATTGTCGAGTGCGCCTTAGCTAGGTCATTTGATCTGGCTGAGCCGCGCCAATTCAAAGTCGAGTCTATAGCCGGCCGTTCGTCCAAACCGAAGGAAGAAAGCCCCTCCTGTAGGATGTCCTCTGCCAGATCCGCGTTCTTATCGATGGCGTCATCGATGGCTGTCAGCGTGTCTAGCAAGGATATCGGAGGCTCCGCCAACATGCGCCATTGCGATTCAGGCATGGCATAGAGGTTTTGTCGACGGCAATGAGTCGTTCTGTAGTGCGTATTCTTACGGTACTGACTTCGCCAAGTCAGTACGGTCAGCCCGAACATATGTGGAGTTCAATGCTCCACATTAACGCAGTGAGCTTTAATTCTGTTCAAGCTTACCAGCAAACCAATCAGTCGGCAGGGAGTCAGGTTTCGGGAAATATAGTGAAATCTGGAAGGAGTGGCCTATGACGAGATGCTGCAGCGTGGCCCGGCGAACAATGGAGCCGAGCCGGGACATTGGATAGAATCTAAATACCAGCAAGGAGCGGGAAGAGAAAAGGTTTATACTTACTAGAACGAGTCAAGAGCAGCGAAGACTGTTAGTTGTTCAAGAGCGTCGTTGAGAGGGGGGCCGCCGTCGAACAACGGGTGGCATAAACGAGGCTCAACAGAGTCATCTTGTGGTTCAGTCATGTTGCAGGACCGCACGTCAAGGACTTCTGAGTTGATTTTCAATATAGAAAAGAGCCAGTCTTCATTACAACAAGAACTTATGGGGAGGTCATTACGAATGACAATCCGGTGTTGAGACTTGAGAGGGCTATGAAGAACGAACGGTCGTCTCAATCTATAAATGGGAAAGAAGCGTCATTATATTGGCTGACGCGCTAGTACACGCTAACAGGCGCTAACAGGCGCTAGCGACGACTAGGCAAGGCTAAAGACACTTCTCCCAGATGTCAAGACCACGGTGACTTACCATTCATTCTCGGAGATCACGCTGAACTTGTGAATTAATGCCAGGCAGTCTTGTGTGGATGTGGATGGTTGCCCTCGATCTTGCTCTCAGTGACCTTCTGAATACTTTCTCCTAATGCTTGATCGACCTTTGCGAACAATGCTGTCCACAGCAAGTCAGTTTCGGTCGAATGGGGATGTGAGCCATAGGCGGATGACCTTACCATAAACTTCGTGTCTGATCCATTTCTCAGTTACATCACTAACGTGCGCAGACACGTTATTGACGAATCGCTCCTGGGCTCCTTCCTGCCCCGCCATGATCTTCCACAGTCCAATTGCCTGGTCGAAATCTTTTCCCGTCGCCTCTGTGAACGTTGAAATTGGTGTCGAAACCTGCGCATGATCAGGAGTTGCCCTCTGATTTCTTTGTGTATGCGTCGATTTCGATCCCTGTTGCTCAATGAACTTGACAGGCTTAATCTTGGTGCCGATGTAATTCGGATCTCCGCCGTAATTCTTTGTGAAGTTCATGAAGCCGTCGCGCTCAATAGGGCAATACACCTTGCTCTTTGGGGCATTTGTCGGTAAGAACTGATAATTCACGCCGAGTCTGTACCTCGACGCGTCCGGATATGCAAACATCCGAGCCTGAAGCATTGGATCTGGACTTGGGCCAATTCCAGGCACCATATTACTCGGGCTGAACGCCGCCTGTTCAATCTCAGCAAACCAGTTGGCAGGATTACGGTCGAGAGTGACCCGACCCATCTTTCGGAGCGGGTACAGCTTCTTGGGCCAAACCTTGGTCATGTCGAAAAGGTCGACTGGAGCCTGCGCAATTTCTTCTGGACGAATGACCTGAACGTACACATTCCACGAGGGAAAATCACCTGCTTTTATAGCGTCCTGCAAGTCCAAAATATGTCGATCCGGCTGTGTACCAGCTAGTTGCGCACCTTCGGAATTGGTCAAGCATTTAATTCCCTGTTCGGTCTTCAGCGTTATGCGGACATAACAGTAGGACTCCCCATCCCCTTTCGTAAATTTATAGGTATTGCCACTGTAGCCATTCACATGACGGACTGAAGCTGGTAGACCACGGTCCCCAAATAAGAACATCAGGGCGTGTATGCTCTCCTGATTATTAACGTGAAAGTCCCAGAACATATCAGCATTTGAAGAGTTCGTCGTAGGGTGTCGTTTATGACTTCTGTTCAACGAGGGAAATTTGAGAGGGTCACGAACGAAGAAGACAGGCTAGACATCATCAGTTTAGGCTGGGCAGTAGTATCATATAAACAATTTCGGATGAACTCACTTGGTTGTTAAAAACCCAGTCATTGTTGCCCATATTGGTCTTGAATTTGATGGCAAATCCTCGAAAGTCTCGCACTGTATCGGGGGATCCCTTCTCGGGGCCTACCGTGGAAATTCTCATGAGGACTTCCGTTTTTTTACCAATGCCATTGAGGAAGTCTGCGTCTGTGATATCGGAGACGTCATCTGTAACTTGGTAGTAGCCTCTCGCCCCGGACGCTTTAGCATGAACTGGTCGTTCCGGAATTCTCTCGCGGGAAAAATGTGCAAGGTTCTCTAGTAATTGTGTGCTCGTGAGTAGCACATAGCCCCCTCCAGAGCCAGTTGATAGTTGCTGAACTGTGTCATTCCTCGGGAGAGGTACTCCTTCAGCCAAGGTGTAGTATCTTTGTGAGGAGTCCATGTCTCGTACGCTAGTCCGATGGTGATGACTCTGCTGAGATTTTTGAAACGGATAGTAGCCATGTTATATGCCTCGCTTCTGATGTACGTCCGAAGATTGGTGGAAACGGTTGCCCTCCAGCACCCTAGCCGGAGCGATGATTGGTGATAACCACGGCCAGAACTGGAACTTCAATGTTATTCAATCTGCAGCACCATATTGGTCAGCTCCAAACTCTCATACTTTCAACAGTCATTCAAAATTGAACGAACGTGCGGAAGCAATATCCTTGTCCCGTTCAAACAGATTTTTAGTTGCCAGAGGGTGATAGGTCTGTACGCAAGCTCGCGCGAAGCTCGCACGAAGTCTCAAAATGATGTATACAACAGGCGAGCTGACGCTTCACCTTGCTGTGCTCAGAAATACGCTCTGCGCTTGCCTGGAATTATTTGGGCCAATTTACTGTTGTGTTCTAGTCACACGCAATGAGCGTTCAACTCGTTTAAAAAAACAGGAACGATCGTGATCCTTCAACACCTCGACCTTACGAACATTTCATGTAGAAAATAGGATACATAGTACATTGGACATAGTATTTCCGACGTTTCTGACGGGATCTTTTATATGCCGGTGTCTCCACTCCCGCATGAACTTTGGGTCCGCCCCGAGCCCTCATTGCTCAGTCCTTTTTTACTCCCTGCGGAGGGAAGATAAATCTTACCATGGATATCTAGTGCTCCATGGGTAGAGATTGGACTAGGAGCCAGCTCCTGTGTCACTCATATGCAGCCAAAAATATCTCCACCAAGATTGACAGTTCAAATGAGAACAGTTGATAAGCGGAAGCCAGTTTTGCAATTCTATGTACGTGCAATATTTAATTTGGGGTTGCAAATGAAAGAGGGTACAAAGAAATCCTAGGAGCTATACATAAAAACCACTATAGGAGGGAGGTTCAATTTCAGGTCAATAGTGGAGCAGTCCACCCCAATCCAGGACGAATATCCTTCAATCATCCACGTCTCTCGGGTCATTCTCCTTCCAGAACTGCTTGTAGTCATCCCAGCTCTGTGTTGGAAATTCCTCTGGCCAGGTAAGGGGAGCAATAGGTGACTTCTTGTCCACAAATTGCTGAAGCTTCTCACGAGTCCGCTCCCTGCTCTTATTGACACTGTAGACAGAGATACGGTGGGCCGAACTCGTCACATGAAGGCCCCAATTCCAAGCTGCTCGGACTGTAAGAGGTTGCGTATTCAGTGAATTGTCCCAGCATCGACAAACAATTTCGATCCAGCCCTCCACATCACATGGGAGATCAAATTGCCATGTTCGCCATGTCCACTTATGCTTCTGAGATATACTCGAATTTGGAACAGCATACCAACTAAAGCCGCCATCAGCCGACAGTTCTATACGCTCCGGCCATCTTCCTCCTCCTGAGTAAGCCCAGCCTTTACAATGAATAGTTCCATTGTGAATGACGACTTGTTTCGTCCATGGTGACATGATCGCCGAGCTCACTGGCATTTCTTGAATCTGGATACCGTCAGTGGGCTTCTGATTATATTTCCCGATTTGCTGATTGAAGTATAGATATTCTTTACTCTGAACCGGCGCGAGAGTCGGGTTTTCGATCGCCTTAATCCGGTAGAGCCACTTTACACTGCGGGCGCCAATATAACCAAGGACTACCACACGCAAAGGAAAGCCGTGAATGGCTGGCAATGGCTCTCCATTCATTTCCCAGGCAAGGAGAACCTCATTTGCCTTCACCTTGGACCATGGGACACTGACCAGATAGTTCATGGCCTCATTGTCCTTGAAGTAAGTATCCGCTCCGTAGAACTCGAGATGTTTAGCACCGTTTGTAAGACCTCCGCATTCTTTGATAACCTTCTTGAGACTGATGCCCACATATTCCGCCGTTCCTATTGCACCTTCCGCCCAGGGAGCTTGAGGTACCTCGTCTCCTTGGCCGGCATAGAGAGAGATCTGTTCGATACGGCGTGTCCCTGAGCATTGCATGGTAACGAGCTTCTTGATCCGGGGATATTTGGTCTTGTCCATGAGATCGTCTAAAGTAAAGGATCTTGGATTGGCAACAAGTCCGTCTAACACCATGCCCCACTTGTCTTTGTCAATGAGAGGGATGCCACCATGATTCCGAACAAAATGAAGGGGATTCGGAGTAATGACTTTGTCAGTCACCAGTCGCTTAGGGGGCTCCCCATTATATGGAAACTGTAGAAGATGTAGCATCTCGGGATGCTTTTCGCGAAGCACAGTATTCCAGGAATCCTCAGGAACACTCATCAATTCACCACCAAGTGCGTGATGCCACATCTTCCAATGAGTTCCTGGGAGGACTGGATTCGACTCAGGAATTGGACCCATCTGGAACTCGGGATTTGGTGGGAAAGTCTGTGAGGTCAGAATTGTGTGGGCCTTCGCCTTCTTCGCAGGGTACTTCTCCCATTCGACATAGCTAAGAAAGACTATCAGCGAAGTGATTCGGACGTAAGTGCACGTGGGTGCAAGCATACCCTTTCCAACCTTCCAGTTCCATCTGGAATAGCTCCTCAGATTTTCCAACTGCGTTGATAGCGGCTTCATCTTTAACAATCTCCGGCCAGGCTTGAGGTTCAATGTTCCGTGGCTCAGGCCCACTCTGATCTAGGATTGGCAATTTGGCGCCAGACAAACCCTGCTCAATTTTCCATTCGTCAGGACGATTGTGCACAGGTAGCTCAACTCCCGGTAGAGGACGAATGAAGCCCTTGTTATGCTGAGCCATTTTTTGCTTTGAACCACGGGGCGTATCAAAAAGCTTGCGGAAATGGGGGGCATCCTAACAAGATATATCCAGCATATGGGAAGATGTTGAAGCCACGATCCTGATCATATAGATGTCGACCTCGGCCGGCCTGTCATGAGACTCTTCGAGCTTGAAACATTCCGGAGCGGCGAGTCAAGCTCGGTCCAGTGAGCTTTCTGGACCCGGTTCCGCAGCTGATATCAATTAATAGCTGGAGACGTTTCGACAAATCACTGGACGCGCGACGTGCATGGGATCAGGACAGATAAACTTTCAAATAGTGCCACAATGTACGCCGCGTGATATTGGCAAGGGTAGTGAGCAATATACCAAAACCTTCTAGCATGGATGAACATAACTGGATGAACTTTCAAATTTGAAATACTGCATCAGCATTTCATATGCCGTGCTGCCACAATGCAAACCTAAGTGATGTCTGGGTTTCATAAAGCCCTGCTCCCAGTCTGCCTGTCCAAGAGCGGGCACACCAGAAGTCAAGGAAATTCTCCTCCTTAATAGACACATTCTCTCATCAACACGACTATCTTAGAATATCGGTGACAGTCTACAGAGAGATGCAATCTGAGATGTATTTATTATATGCCAGACGATAGCTTAGCATTATCGCCCCCTTCACACGCTTTGACAACTGCAGGAATCTTTTACCTCTCTATGCTGTTTGTCGAGCAACGAGTCATCAAGATCGGCGTTTTCTGTGTGGGGGGCAGCGAGGAAGGACGTTGTCGATCTCATCCAGCCAATTCGAGCCTCGAAAGCCTTGCGCTTAAAGGAACTATGTATCGATACCAACAGAATCGCTTTGCACAGAAAGCTCGAGGCGATGGTCCGCGCAGGCCTGACAAATATCAACCTCAGTTTAGATACTCTCGATCCATTGCATTACACTCTTATGACCGGGCAAATTGGGTTTGAAACTGTTATAAAGGCCATTGGCAAGATTCTTAGCCTCAAGAGAGTGGGCTTTAAGATTGAATTCAAGATTCGGTGTGTGCATTTGAGAGAAGTTCGCGACTTCCCCAACATGACAGAGAGAGCCATGGAGGCGTAATGCTCAAAAGTAGTGGTTAGTAGTGAGTGGTTGCCAACTAACATATGTATCTGGGTGAATAGCTTCACTAATTCTTCATTCCCCTCCCCCTGGCTATTGTTAATATCGAGATCTGTGTGAACGCAATTTGAACTTCTGGAGGCGAGAGGCGCGATGTGCTGGTCGCTCATGTGAGGGATCGTGATCTTTCCTCACACTCGTGCGAAATGCTCGCACGAGCCATCATCCCACCTAGTGAAGCCAAGTATGATTCAGAAGCAATGTAGCACAACTAAGCGCTACTTCCTCGAGCTACATAGGATTTACAGAGAAACTCCTCGAAAGGGGGTAGCGTGCCAGTGTTTGCAGGAATTCGAAGAATTGCAATGATAATACCATTAGAGCGAGAATTGAAGCTCGGAGCGATGGCAGTCAGGATATGTATGAAGTCTGCTGTAATTAGACATAGGAAGTAGAGACCAGAGCTAATGATTACGAATCAAGAAGGATAGACGCCAGACGTTTCGCGCATCATCTCCGGTCGCAATGCTTTCTAACTAGTCCTCAAGCACGCACTTCTCGCGTTGGGCAAATTTCCCTGCTTTGGAACTCTCCCAGACAGTCAAGGCATTACTCCAATTGAAGAACCTACTGCTTCATCGAAGGCTTGCCAGTCAAAGTTAAACGAACCCAGCATTCCAGGTGACATGCTAAGCTCCTCTGGATTGATATTTTCAGATTGATTGGGAGGTACCGGCTGCTCGTCGGGAGGATCGTGGTTGGTCCACTGAGACTGTGAACTGCCGTTGTTTGTTGGCCCCATACGGAGTGTTTCACCACAAACACAGGTGTCAGACGACACCATCAAGGGATACAGAACGTGGTGGTCGACGCCAATTTGCTCCAAAGCTATCCTCCGAGTTCTAGCAAGCATGAGCCAGGCAACCTTCCCGGAAGGTGAAAGTTGACGTATTGGAGGGTCATCACGGCTCACGATACCTTCGTCGATCTGATAAAGTTCGAAGACGGCGTCTATCAGTCCACGGGAGAGTGAGGCATGATCACTATGTGGGTGCTGGAGCAAATCTGCGAGGAGTAGCGACACTGCTTGAAGAGGCTGATATGTCCCCGGGTACATCCAATGGAACGGCTGTGAGACAGGATCATTACACACAATGAAAAATAGCTGAATGAAGGCTTGGGCATGCTTCACTGCACTGCAATGGCATAGTTAGTCGGCGTGATATGATTACTTTGGGACACCCACTTTGACTGGATGAATTCTTCGGCTCCGAGAGACTGATCTCTGAACAGGGGACGAAACAGGACACAGTGTGCTTTGTGTACCATAAAATGTAAAAGGAAGACGGCCCACGTAGTAAATCCGAGTACCTCATTATCGTTGCAGCTGGGCTGTGAGCGCCAAGGTCGATGGAAAGGTCGCCGTATTGCCTTGTCGCTGATTGTAACGCTTTTGTCTTGAATTGGGGGTTGATTTGAGCATGCATGGAGCAGTAATCTTACCGTCCTTTTCGTTCTTCTGGCAACCTCCTGGAGCCTTGATGTCATTTCCTGGACATCGTTGAGCGACTGGAAATGGTCTTCGAAATGACACTTCAAAATTGTCCTTATCTCTTTCGTGATTTCATACCGCTGTGAGGCAACCATATAACGGATGTCAACTATCGGCCATGGTCAGTAAGCGCCTTTCTTCTCTTCCACAGTCACATTGGTGGGTACCATCTTCGTTGCCAGATTGGGCATTTCCAACATTTGGGCGGTCAAACAGACAGATTGCCTCAGTGTTAGCCATCCTCTCGTCAATGAAAAGAGGCGAAAGACCCGAGCTACAAGATGACATGACATCGAGATGGCAAATGTAGAACCAAAGCCGCCGTCGCGTCTCCATCTCAGCTACGGTGAGCGAACTGCTAGGGAAATCCCTATGCAGCCCCATACCAAGGGCAACCCGGAAAGACGTGGTGATGAAGTCCGGCGAGTCTGGAAAGTCTTCCTCCCGGGCGAATTGGCTTTGGGTAAAAATGTACGCTGCTAGTGAATAGATGCTTGGTTTTCGAGGGAATCCGGTGAGTGTAGTTGACATCGCGGCCGCAAAATAGATCTCGCGTCTATCGGGAACATTGTCCTCCCCTAGCAACTCCTTGAGCCACGATGACGAGGCAGATGCCAAGCTCGAGAACAAAATGGACAAAAGAAGTGCCAGAAATCCGGGGTTACGTTGAAGAAATCGACTTGGCTCGCTGTCGTGCATATTTCCTGGATTGATTTCCTTCCAGAACTCGCTGAAATCTTCGCCGAAGCTGTGCATATGGAGCAGCGGCATGAGCGGAAAGACTGTCGAGGCAAAGATGCCACACAATTTCTCACAAGTCTCCATTTTCGGCAGGAACGAGAGTAGACAAGATATATTGTACCTTCTCCCACAGAGTTTGCATTTGTTGGAAAGCGGATTGGTCCATGAGAGGCGAGGTAGCCTTGTAGCTCCGAGCTGGGGAGCCAGCCACTCTGGGTCTTGAGCTCTTGCAGGCGGCCACTGCGCAAAGGGGCTGAGTCCAAATGCAAGATCATCATTGTCAAGAGGGTTGTTTTCTTGAAACTGGAGGTTCTTGTGATTAGAATTTCAACAACAATTGAGCGGTTCGCACTACCTCCGAAGGAATAGGATTTGCCCAGTAGGTCGAACCGACGTAGACTGAGCGCCCGCCGCTTTGAACGGAGAGCCGACCATTTTCATGATGGCTGTGATTCGTAGACAGCGGTTCAGATACTGTCTCATTCTGTTAGATTCTGGCTGTCGACATCTAGTCGCACCGCTCTTACACAGACGGTCAACAGCGGTGTTCCTTGGTATAGAGGCCCTATGATCTTCAGCTCCAGAGCGCGAAATAATGCTGTTCATATCCATGGCACTCGCGAACGACTCGCTGTGGGAACTCTCATCATAAGTACATTTCACCCGCCCGTTGCTGCAGCGCATGCAGGTTGGGTGTGTCTACCAAACAGGTCAATTATAAGGCTTTCTGGACCTGTCGGATTAATACTTGCCCGATCGCAGCGAACTCTTCTCGTCCTGCAGGGCAAGCAGCTAGTGACTGGACGTTGCCGCTTCATGTTTGGCTTATCATACTTGGATGGGATGATTATTTGCGCGGGGACTTCCCAGAGACAAGTCTGAGAGGGAGGGTTCTCGCGTCTGACATACTTTAAGTCGCTGACAAAGGCAAATATTGCTCTCGATCTCGATCCCTGCCAGCAGGGTTGGGCCAATAAGCAAGAATTAGCACTTTAACCTTTTTGCACGACAGGAGAAATCTCAACAGCCACGATGTTTGTGGGAGAGTTCAAGATGCCCCGCCAGACTTCCCAGCGATATATTCACTACAAGTGCCGTATCTGGCGCTAGACGATTAATGGGGGTTGGAGGTACAAATCATGGAAATTAGTATTCGTGTGCACATAGCTCGGGCCCGTAGCTCGGGTGAACAACTGGTCAGCTTCACAGTGCTCAGGAATGGGAGAGTGGTTTCGTCAATTCCCCATAAGATAATGAATGCACAAGTCGAAAGGGTATACTCATTGTTTCGTAGCTATAGCCTTTGTATTTGTTGGACGAATGTGAAGGGTATATCTCTAGGATGGCCTTGCGACTTAGAGACATGCTGGGACTGTTGGGTTATTCCATCCGTGCATGTGCATGGAGAGGATGATGGTCCAGTGATTGGGGGACGGGATGAGTGCCGCGTATCAAGCAGGCTCTCACACGATCGGTCAATGAAGTTCTCTGGATGGAAAGGCAGAACAGAGCACGAGCCCCCCAAGAGCGAGTATGTTATATGGCTATGGCAAGCAGTACAGACCTCTATGGTTGGTATAAATGGGTGAGATGAGCAGGAGGGTCCTGGCGGCAGGCGAAGGGCTGGTGGGCTCCTGCCTCAAGTCGGCGTGCCAAGCCCAAATCGCGGGGCATCTCCCCACCAACGCCTTATACTTGGGAAGGTGCGCGTAAATACCTTGGGAGGGCCAGCCACCTCCCAAAAATGGGTGAGAAGGAGCAACCGGAGCCTGGGCCTGGATCTGAATTGATAACGAGTCGCCCAACTCAATTCTTCCAAATCCTTTTCTCTTCACCCAGTCTCTCCATATTCCATATCCAGCAAACATCATGGATCCCTCTTTCACTCCAGTGGAACTGTCCTTCCCTTTACCTAAGCATCCGCACCTCAATCTGCATGCTCACCTCAGCTTTCTCCGACACTGCGCCATGGTCCACCTAACCACAACTGATATTGCCGAATCTCAAAATTCTTCGCCTCCGCTGGGAAGTTTCGTGTATGCCATGCCCGATGTACGTAAAATCGCCCGTCCATCAACTACGAAGCTAATCCGGTGTAGAGGTCCAATGGACCTAATGTAATTAGTACGGCTTTAGCGACCTCGGTCTCGAGCATTGACTATGCGAGTAGATTGGCCAAAATTCTGGCTCGCAGACTGCAGCTGCCGGTGTATGTCGGCTGCAGCATGAACTTTGCTGGCACAACAGCCGAAGAAGAGCTGGAAGGGCTAACTCTTACGATCGAGCAGATACTGAATGAGTGGAGCCGCAAATCTTCACACTGAACTCGTGCATAGTACAACCTCACGAGTGGCCTTGGTCCGAGCCCCCTTTCTGAATTCTCTGTACGACCTCTAGACTAAATCGGCCTGTCCAAAGGCCCAACCCAAGGCTCTGTTGTTTGGCGAGCGGTGCTAAGTGCCACAACAAATCGGTAGTTTTCCTGGCATTGCACGGAGTATGTTCTCGGCATCTGGACGCTGGTTCAACCTCTGCATTCTGTTGAGCGGGCTAGAATTGCCATGACGATCCTTCAACTGCATGGGATATGGGGCACCGAGTACTCCGGTAGGCAGGCCTTGAAAGCTTTGGGTTAAATAAAATCTCACGGCACAGTCGCCGCCCGCCGATCAGTTTCGCCAATCCTCGCCTAAAATCGAAATAAGGCGTCTGGGGAGCAGCCAAAAGGCTCTCTCATCAAACACGATCGCCGCAGATAATCTGCATTGGTTTGAGGCTGGACGTCTCCCATCGTTCCGGACAGAAGTCAAGCAGGATCCATTTCGTTGGTCGCACAAGTCAAGTACCGAGTACCGAGTACGCATATCATGAACTCTACTCGACCTTGGTGAAACAGCATCGCGGTTGGATGGAGTTCGGGTTGATTGCCGAGTATCACCCTCAACCAGTCTTGTGGCCCAGCTTTGTAGATCCAGAAAACAGAGTTTCAGGCTTCTACTGATGAACTTTTGCTTCTTTTGTGCCGGGCGAGGCGCAAGGAAGGGGGTCCAATTGCGGCTGTCCACATCAGTTTAACCTTGCCTCGTACTGTACTGGTGTTTTCAAGGGACATCTAGAACTTGACCCTCGCGCCACTTCATTTCTCCTTTCGGGTTGTATTTATGGAAACCTACAACAAGAAGTGTGTCTTCTATCATCCAAGATTGAAGTATCCTGGCTCGGTCGTAGCCTCGACAGGGATCTGAGAACCAGACTACAGGAAACATTGACGTAAAGCGACATGTCACTGATTTTAGCAAACTCATATTTCGGCTCGACGAGTCCATCCGGGCTTCACCCATTCTGATTGAGAACGCACGGACAGAGAGCTTCTATTTCAAGTCTCGAAGGAGCTAGAAATCGCTTGTGAGATACTCTTGATGCTCAGGATTCTCCACCCGCTAAAACGACTCCAGAAATTTGGATACAAGGTCAAACCCAGCGGGTTTTCAAGCCATCTAATCCAGATAGTGCACTACTCCGGAGAACCACCCCGACAAGGAATGGGGTGAGACGACACTACTAGATTTCCAAAAGATGAGCCCAAACCCCAGCTATAGACAGCAAATTACCACTTCCAAGTTCAGCGGCTTATGAACACTCCAATCTTTCATTTGCATGCAAGTGGTGGAAAGCATCCCTGGTGGGCTGTTTGGGTGCACATTCTCGGTATTGTGTCAAAGACAAGGACAGATCGCAACCCACCTGCTTGCCTCCCACACAAGATCGACTGAAAGAACGGACTTCACATGCTTTGTACCAAGTACTGCAAATGCCAGTCACGTAATTTTCTCGGCCTCGTTGTCATTCTGCGAGTTCTCCGTACCCCGTCTGAGGGAGCGACTCAGAGTCTAGGCGAACCTGGAAACAATCTTCGGGGGGGGGGGGGGCGAGCGATGGATGACTAGGGGCTCGCCTGCTGTAGGCCTGCAGGGGCCATCGAGTCTCACCCAGGACTGACCTGCACGGTCGATCCCTTGGACTTCTTGTAGATCCGAACAATAATTTGGTCCCTCGTTGGGGGTGTTCAACGCCGTTGAACACCGACGCCGCAGCGCTAAGCACCCTAGTGACACCTATCGGCGATCTTCCTCGTTCTCGGAAAAGCTGGGCTAGGAAGACCCTAACCGTTAATCAGAAGCCTCTTCGGCCCCAAAGATGCTCCAATAGAGTTCAAACAGCTGGTATCTGCCACCCAGGTTCCTGGGTTTCATGGAACTCACATCATTTCCAGAAAACTCCTCCCTAGTTAGCTCTGCGCTCCGAGCGCCGAGGAAGCGTAATTAGCAGTCGCTGCAATTGGGAAATGCAAACGGGCAAAGCGCAACGAAGCAGAGCCTCTAGATTTTCGACCATCTCAGGCTGTGCTGGAGGGTAACATGATGTCCCCTTGAGCTCAGGATGAAACTACTCGGCATCTAAGAGGATACTAATGCTTGATGACGGCAACGAACCATTGAGCTGTTCCTCGAGGTCCTAAGCAGGCGGTTGGTCTCATGCCTGTCGCCTAAGCGACTCCGTATGTGTGTCAGTCCAAGAGATGGCATCCTGGCTCTCATGCCCTTTGACCGCCACGAGGACTTGACGGAGGCAGATGACTACTACCAATTCTGACTTCTTGCGTGTGGGCTCCGACTCGTGGACCTTGCAAGCAACAGTGGAGTTTGGAAGAAATGTTTCACGCCTAGCGACGACTCCAGAGACACAGCCTCCAGCATGAACAGCCTTTGCTCCTCTTTTCTCCAACTCTGTGCGGAAAGCTTGATACCCGGGTGTCCACATACCAAAACTCTGCCGTGAACTTTTACAGGATGGCCTCGGCGGCTTCGTTCTAGTCTAGCAGGCCTTTTATTCTCCGACATAATTTCTGGGCTTGGAGTGCGATTCGTGGGCTTTAGCAGAGCCTACACAGGGGGAAATTGTGCCTACGTTTTCTTCATTAGCGGATAGGGTTCTTTGTGACCCTGGAAGAGATAGAAACTACGCGGGTAATGTTGTGTCGTATCTGAGCGTAGACCAAAGCGTGTGCTCTTTCTGACCTAGCACAACTCTTAAATAATTAAGTTGGTTTACAACCCATGAAGCACCACGGATCAACCAGGAGTCAAGATCGACGACAGCCTGCTTGGGACGAGTGGTGCTTTGTCCTTGGGTTTTCGACCTCTCTGCGGGTTGTGGCTCCTGTCATTGAAATTTTCTTGAAGCGAAGCCAAACAATGGTGGCGAGTACGGTGTATCTCCCTCGCTGACCAGACTGGTTAAGACATATCCAGACGGTTTTGGCACCTCCTCTCTTGCCACCACCTTTGAATTCTGCTGCTACTATTCTCGACCAGAGATCTTCCGTCCGGGTATCAATCCTGGCTGTCTAAGTGGGCCACATCCGCGCGAAGAGCATGGCCTGGCCGAGCTTCTAACTACTGGATTATTGCATTTGGACAGAATAGACTCGTTTGACTTTCACCGATACCTTTACTTCAGGGGTCTCAGGTTCAATTGTACACACCAATGGTCAACTACGCACTAAGATGATTCAAGCAGCTCGTAGTATTGAGTGGCATTAGCTCACGATGGTCTACGCAAAGCGTTGATAGACAATACAGCACGGCATGGGCACCTCGATATGGGCCTACTGTGGCACGATGAAGAGGGTTGCAGGGAGTCGGTTGCTAAGCTGAATGAGATTTAGGTCGCACATGCTGGAGCCCGGGCAGGAGATCATCGTCGCCTGCAAGCAGCTGTAAGTGGACATGCTTGGGTCCGAGAAACCAACCCTAGGTGACACCCCATTCTTGCAACAGGGGCCGCCAAAGCCGCCTCGAACTTCATGGCCGAGTCCTTGTAGCCAAGGCTCTTGATCGTCCTCGGTCCGTCCTCCACAGAGCCGCCACGAAGTGCATGGGGGATCCAGGCAAAGAAGGGCACCCAGAAGGGCTAGCTCAACTGTCAAGGACCTCGAATACCAATTTCAACAGACCTAGGGTGCAGCAGGATATGTGCTACACGACTTATTCCAGCACCGCTGTTGGTGTCAAGGCTACCAAGTACTATAGTGGGCTCACCCGGCATCGTGCCATGGGGTGCAAGAAGTGCCTCGAGCTCTTTGGGTAGACTAACGAAGAAGATTCAGCATAATTATTCGAGGATGTGCATGTCTAGTTCGTCAACATTGTTGCTCTACCAGTGGTAGAGGACGAATCCAATATCATAGGCCCACCCGACTGAGCCCTCCCGCAGGGGAGCGGGTTTGATGGGTCTGGGTGGCTTTTTGGCACAGACCGCTCGTCCATGACCCATGCCCGTCATGCCTTATTCGGCTGTCGCAACGTTGTGGCTAGCTCCTTTCACTTCGGCTGCCAGAACCGGGGGGCTCAAGCAGGTCCTGGTTAGCATTTCCAGCACCTGGAGGTGGCTATCAGCTTTTGACTGGTCTGTTTGCTGAAGTATCAATGAGCCTTTGCAGTCAATCTCATCCACCTGTTGGCTTCATGTTCGTTGCTCGGTGGAGGCCCGCTCCAACGCCACGCGCACCGGCAGTTCATCTGGTTAGACTCTAGTTGCGGTCCTCTAACCAAGTCAACATGGGTGATCGAGGGCGTTGCTACTCAGCAGCACAGCTTCTCCTCCACCCCCCTCCCAGGCTAGTTCTGTGTTGGACCGTGGTCGATCTGGGCCCATATTCCGTCGTCTTTGATCGACGGAGCAGTCAAACAAGCGTAGGGCCATCGCGAACTCAGTCTCTTCCAAAGTGGTCACCTTGCTTTCCCTCCGCCTGTGTGCGAGCTTGTCTGTCATCGCGACCGTTCGGTGACAATTTCGGCTGACTTGACGTGCCGGTGGCGACCAGTTGGAGAGGATCTCCTGGTGCTATTTGCTCCATAAGCCACAGGCCAAGATCGGGACATTTATTGCCTCCAATCTTGCATCTCGCTTCTGCCATTGCAGTAACTTGACGACATCGCTTCACCCGCCAGGTCTCTTCTGGACGATCGATTCATTCCTCTCTATACAGCTCATCCACCTCTCGACATCGGGCGCAGGCAAGGCCTGGAAAGCGGCGGGCATGCCTCAACAACCCAGTGTGGTATTCGCTTCGTTGGACTATTGCAGCCAGTATCAAAGCTGTGAATCTCGGTTTGGTCCTGCACAGTGGGGATGCAAAACCAACCTTTCTCCGTCCGACCATCGCCCAGTGTCGCTTCATCAGGAAGCCCAATGAGTTCCCACGAAGCTACACAGCATCCGCTTCCTTCGCATCAATTCCCCCACCTCGGTCGTCCGGGTTTATCACCGCCAGAGTCAGCATTGATGTCTTCTTTTTACTCTCCGCGCGACATGGGATCGGTCTCACCCCAAGACGGGCCTTCTCATTTCGGGGACAACTTACGACCAGGCGGTGGTGGAAGTGGTACGCCGTCTCCGGCCCAGATATCAGCTCTGATGATGCACAATCCGAAGCGAGCATATCGACAAAGAAGAAAGGACCCCAGTTGTGATGCATGCCGAGAGCGCAAAGTGAAGGTTGCTCCCCAAGTTCGGCATCGAGACGACTGAGTTGCTGACGCTCTGAAGTGTGATGCTACGGAAACTTCTAGTTGTACAGAATGCTCCAGTCGGAATGTCCGTTGTCAGTTTACAAAGGACACCAATCGGCGCATGTCCTCCATCAAGTAAGTCCTGCAATCCACATGGTTACAGCTCCTGATCTACATAGACAAGTGCAGGATCTGGAAAGACAACTCTCAGATGCCCGTCAGCAGCTAGATCGGTTCCGAGCGGTTGAACAGAAACACGATTTTGCCTCCGATCTACGACCAGACTCGTCCTCGTCGATTGTTACAGAATTTCCTTCAGTTGGAAAGTCGCCTAGAAGAATGCTCAAAGCAAGGTCGCCACAAGACCTTACATATGCGAGATCGCAACTGTACGACATTGGCCGTGGCCTCCTGAAACCACCAGTTACTGGTGCTCAACCCCGAACACATCCTATACACCCCCATGTTTCAGATTTAACAGCTCTTCCCTCACGAGCTGCAGCAGAACGATTGCTCCATTACTACCACGAGTGCATTCATCGACAGTTCCCTGTACTTCACTGGCCTTCGTTTCAGCACAACTTTGCGACTCTTATGGAACGTGGAACCTCTACAGCGTTGCCGAAAGACTGGTTAGCGTTGCTGTACTCTGTTTTGGCGTGCAGTGCCCTTGCAACACACGACCCTGGGAGGCTTCCAGAAGCACAAGAATACTTGACAAGGGCAATCGCGTCGATCAATTTCTGGGAAGATGACGTGTCTCCGAACCAAGCGACTGTAGCGTTCCTAGCTAGCATTTCGCTTGCTGAGATGAACAGAAAATCTGCGAGCTGGATTTGGCTTGGCTCAGCGGTCCGCATCATACAAGATCTCGGGTTCCATGTGCAAGGAGGACAATGGTCCTCTATAGACGGAGAAATGCGGAAAAGAATGTGGTATTCGTTTTATGTCTGGGATCGGTGAGACCAAAGCGTTACAGCACGAGATCATCACTAACAAAACTAGTGTCCTGGCGTTAGAACTCGGGAAGCCCATGCTGATAAACGATGAGGATTTCGACACCGAGTATCCTGAGGTTCTCGACGAGGAACGACTTGCAGCCGACGAAACGCAGACTCCATTACCCCCTACACTCTTACTCGCGAATATCCATATCGCACGATTGATGGCACCACTTTCCAAGATGTTTCGAACGCTGTGCATCACGAACGATGCACTAACGAAGTTCGAAACTTATCTAGGAGACTGTTTGCAGCTCTTTCCACGGCCGTTGCAGCTTTCATCCACCACTCCACTAGATCCATGCATTATGGCGCCGCTGCTCCATTTTCAGAACACACGAATTCTCCTCCATCGACATAATATATCCCCTTCTTGCTCGCCGGAACAGCGATCACAGGCTATTGAGCAGTGCCTGCATGCGTCTCGGGACACAGCGAGTCTTCTTTCGCGCTGCATGATCCCCCACATTCATTCTCACGATTGGGAGCAGCGTTTTGTATTATCAGCAACAAGCGCCTTGTGTACGCATATCTGGCGCTGCATGCTTTTTCTTCTCCTTCGACAATCATATGACGCGTTTTTGGTCTTGTTGCGCGCTGCTTCAACGATTGGGGATGTAAGATCGATTAATATCTCATGTGGCAGATACTTGTCATTCTTTTTACGGCGATTAATAGAGCGCTACGAGCAATCGGTCAACATCGATGTTGACCAAGACGAGGAGGTCCTCACATACCTATCAGCGGACCTTCAAGCCACCACAAATAGTTGGGTCTGGGGAAATGCCGAAACGGGTACTCATCTCAGTCGACGACAGAAACATGGGCGGCCAAAGCATGCAAACTCTGAGCAGGATTCGCAACTTGCGAGTGGGCCACAGTCACCATCATGGGATAGCGTACTCTCAGAAGAAGAGCAGCATGACTGGGGCGGATGGCAGCAAATTGACCGCTCGGTCCAGTACTTGCAACAATTAACAGAAAGGTCCCGCCAGCGACAACAAGATCAGCTACAATCTGGGTTCGGCAAATCCGAAGGCATTAGCCCAATATCTGGACCAACCTTAGCCCCCATTAATACCACAAATTTATCAGGGGACTCGAATAGATCACGAATGACGATCGCCAACATAATATAGAGATATCTCTAGACTCTCACCGCATGACTGCTTGGTGCGGAAGGCCAGAAATAATCCCGACTATCGATCGCCGTGTCTATACCATTTGACCTGACATACGAGAGGATGAAGATGAAGGATGCATCTGTCATGTTCTAAGATACCCATCAATTTCGCTTTCTATTGAAACGACATGGCGAGGCAGGAAGGCAATGCACACAACACGAACAATGATAAATTGCATTGCATGCTTCGAAATTTCTCCTCCCTACAACCACACCTCCACCTTCCATTTCCATACCCTGCAAACTAATACATAAATAGCATCTTCGCACGCTGGATTCAGTTCTAGTATTCGAAATGAGAGGGGCGCCGCAATCTTGGGATGCTAACTTAGTGGTTCTAGTAACACAGTTATGAAACGAATCGTGTTTCTGTGAGCCACTTTCGCATTCACCTCATCAAACCATCGTACGACGTGGAAATCTCAAGATGAAATATTCCCGCACAGCCTGATGCTTGGACGAGGCATCCCGTAATCTGTGCGAGGAACCGAGTACGGTGTCCCTGACACCCTAGAATTTTCTATCGATTTCCGGAAGACGACCAAGCGAGATCCTTTCCGCAAACGGGTTTACAATCCTGGCGTCGATCAATAGTCCGGATACTACGTGCCATTTGGAAGGTCAATACTCCGTACCTAGCACAATGCCCTGAAGCAGGCGTGGTCTAGCGATGCACTGTCCATGTGCAATTTGAGGTCCAATGGCCAATCGTAAGCAATTGTAGGTAGCGAGATTACCTTGTCTCTCACCAACGCGTCCGAGTCTTGGAACGGAGAAAGAACGGTTCACTCTAAAATCCTCCGCACCCGCTTCTTGATCTACGTGTTCATGAACCTAGCGTCGAAAGGAGGGCGTGGCCCGCTCGGATACTCCGTACTGTATCTTGAACGGAGTAACTCACTCTTTGGCAGCGGTCAACGAGGCTGTCTCGACTGTAGCTGAGACTATCCTGCCGATGATCATTAACCCAATGTGGATCTGCTCGCTCTGCTTCAAATAGCAACCTTAGATGAGGGTGCTCGCTCTTGAGTCTTGACATAGAGGCTGCCTGATTCATTTCGCACGGGTACATGAACGTGGCCTCAAGAGGGTCCCCCCTCCCCCGGGTTCCCGGTGACTCGTAGAACTTACTTGATAGCTAGCCCATGATTTCCGACAACCGAAGAATCCTTCACCTAACAGTGCTACTCAAACCCGAGTTAGCTCAGTAGATCTCCGAGTAAGTACAAGTGAGATAAATTAACCGAGAGTGGATCCAGTTGAGAGTATGCGGATTCTGAGTAGATTCAGGTGTTCTTGTCTATAGTAGCTAGGTCATGCGTTCGCGTGAGGACCTTGGTAGATAGGTTCCATACGCCCGAAAGAACCGAACTGCCTGCAACCATCTTCGATCATGGGGTTTTCTCTTCCTCAGCAAGCTCTCCTCTCATCTTCATATCGTCGACGGGCTCGAGCCACAGGATCCAGCACCTGCAGCATCTTACTACCCACTTCTTGCCATGCCCGACTGTCCCTCAGTTGGGCAGCCTTGTGCACCGATTCGATTCTAGGGGACGCTTCCAACTTCCTACCACGAAACTGGAGGAGACAATGGCCACAGCATTTCCATCACAGCGCCATGGATGTCTGAGCCCGTGCTAGATACCCGCTTGACATACTGCTGCGGATGGACACAGCTCTGTGGTCACATGGGCCTGTGACGACGGAGTCGACACTCCAGGCGCGGATTGAGGATCGTATGAGGGTCGATGAAACAGGCTCCTATCGACGGTGTGGTATGTCTTGGGCTTGAAGTCGAGCTCAAGGTTGCGTGGTATCGAAAGAGCTTTGAGAACTGAGAGCATACAGTATGCAAGTTGTTACACTGCTTGAAACATTATAGACTAGATGCGCTGACCGCCCAGAATGTTCTCCGTGCCAGGACTTGGCTGCTAGCAATGCCTTCATGTCACAGATGCGACTTAGAGCTATGACAATTCCCTTTGCCCATGTAGCACCAACGACTCACGATAGTTCAACCACAAGTCACGAGCCAAAGGTGGCCGATGTCCAGTGCAGAAAAGACGGAAAATTCTTGCTGGGTATGGGAGCTTTCATATATCAAGGACACTCAAAATGACAGTCACGTCCCATATATGATTCTCTTCGTCCCTTACGAAGATGATAGACTGTTATATTCCAATACTTTGCACTTCCAGGTCCGATATCCAATCCGGCCACCACCACCTGCCAGCCACATCAAGCGAGGCCGGATTTATCAGTGGATCAGATGATAGATCGAATTGTACGTTGTCGATTGGCCATGTCGTATTGATTCCCATGTCAGTGGGAAGCTGTTCTTGTCCATCCCTGTCAAAATTAGCCATATAGGCGGCTCTAGGCTGCGGAACTGATAGTGACAACGGAGTTATTGGTGGCTGAGACGCGCCTCCCCTGGAAAGTCCCATGTTTTCGTTCTCAAACACAGAGGACCACTTGCGACATAGCTTTGAGCCAAATGGCAAGAAAAAGTGATGCTGTTCGATTGGGAGGACGAGATCAGTATCTCTGACTGATTTGGGCTTGTCTCCGGAAAGCTTGATGACTTGGTTGAGGACTCTTTCTGCGCCAACAGCGGTGGGAAATCTCTTTTTCAATTCAGTCAGTGAGAGCCTGATGATCTCGATTTCCACGGCTTCTGACTCGGCCAGGGACTCGAATCGGTGCGACGAAAGTTGTACCAGAGCGGCAATCATCAGGTAAAATATACTGGTTGGGGCGAGAAACGCGATATCTTCCCACGTTAGGAATTCCTCGAAGATCCCTGAGATAAATGAAGCTGCAAGAAGACTTGCCGTTGATGGTGCTTGATCACTGTTCTTTTGCCGGAAGAGAATTATCAAGGCAGAAAAATATGGTAGGTGGAGCTGCAAAGCCTTTGACTTATAGGAATATGGTTCTCCCGTCAAAGGATGATGAAGTTTAAACGCGGCTGGCACGTCGTTCACCCATCTCAGCAGGGAGTCTTCAATGTGCATCCTTTTGTTGTCTGACAGAGTCCCCCGTCGACAGAGCTCAGTGAGATCTCCCAAAATAGAGGTGATGCGGACAAAATGCATAAAAAGGTGGGCGTCGTCGTCGCGCTCTGTGAAGTCCTCGATGCAGAGAGGCCGGACGTTTGTGTCATTAGAATTGAGTGCTCTTGGGCGACCATGGCTAGTAGCAATTTGATTGTCACGAGACTGCAGCACGATCAGAATGTGTGGCTACTTTTCTCTTTTGACGAGAGAGATCTTACCACCAAAGTCCACCATATTCGTCTTCGCAGGCCAGCATCTGCTCCCCGCGGGTTTGGTTCTCGATGTAATCCAAGTTGGTGAGCAAGTCCCACACTGAGCCTTAGCCAGAAACTGCTACTGTCTATTGAAACGTGCTCCGGTCCACTGGGGTTGAGCCACTGGAGCAAGATTGTTGCCATGACCACACGAATATCGTTTTTCTCCGCACCAGTATAGAACAGAACTTTAGCACGCTGGTAGCACCGATGGCCAACTTCTATTGCCTGGGGGGCTGTTGACACAACACTTCCTGCGACAAGCATCGAGGTAGTCAAAAGGCAGTTGACATTCTTCAAATCGAGCTTTGCAAGGTCCGATTCTTCAATCAGCGGCGTCCATGGACGGCACCGCTGCATGAAATTGCGGATGAAGGTTTGTCGAAGCATTCCCTGGGGCGGTTCGACAAGTGCAAGGTCACTGAGAATGCAAGCCTCGAGATCCTGCACCACCCTGGTTGCAGATCCGAGACTTCGGTATTGAGTTGCGTCGCCCTCGTCGATTGCGATGTGAGCAGAAACATAGTCGGATCGCCCCAAGAAACTGGCCTGCTGCTCTCTGCTAGGGCGACATTCGTGCTCGTATGCGTCAGCATGGCTGGCATGGCTGGATTTCTGCCGTTTGCGATGGTTAGCCTTTTGTTGAGCAGTTCGCTTGCTCGGCGACGTGGAATTCTCCGAAGATCGACCCCTTTGATCATTTAGGAACGAGATTTCTTCAATCCTCGAAGCTGCCGTAGGCCTGCTCACTGTCCTTTGTGGCCGTCCTTGCTCTACGGCGTGGACAGCAGTTTCGATCTCAGTCTCTGTATCTCCGTCTCCAATGGTGTCGGCCACAATCGCCGAGGCGTTATGGCTCAAGCGATCGCGTTTTCGTTTTCTGATGTGTGGTTTACACTCGACGCCGGCGTCCCTACAGTTCGAGCACGATGCGTGTGTGTTTCCCGTCGACGACAAGTCACACCGAACCTTCCTCTGATGGCACGTTCCACACGCCTTGCTCGTCTTCGGAGGCGACCGTACGTGAGGCATGTCTTGGGGCGTATGTATTTGTCGAATCGAGCTCAGTGCTTCAAGACGCCTAAGGCTGCAAGAAGGCCGAAGCGTATCTCCGTTATCGAGATCACCGATTCTTCAGTAAGGAGACCCGGCAAATTCGGGGAGAAGGAATGTGTTGGAATTATTTGAGGCTGCTGTCGCACAAGAGGTACTAAATTGACCTTGGCGATTTCTTTTCTCCGAGGTTGGGGGAAGACGGAAGACGGAAGACGGCTGAGCTGGGCGGGGTCGGTGCGAGAGCGTAAGCTAAGGCTCTGATGGGCAGACACTCTGCCTAGAGGGCATTGCACATAATATGGATATTTGATCGTTCCACCCTGGGCTCGTAATTTTAGACATACCCTATACAAAAGTGCTATGTCCCATCGCAGCCCGAGATAAAGCAGGGAGTCTACAATTGCTTTGCGCAGCCCCCTGTCGACCACAGCCTCCTCGGAACGATTTGTGTCATGCCTCACAGTCTGCCACAATGGGCGACCATCACAAAGAATTTTCGGATTGATACCGACAATTTGCCCTCGAGTGTCTTGCTCAGAGGGTGGAGTTCCCGCCGTTGGTGGGAATACAGGCGTCGAACAGGCCATTCGAATGCCATTCTGCCGCCGATAAAGACCCCCAACGGACTGAAGCATGCCTAAGCTCGGTTGGTGAAAAGGGGGCGGTAGGAAGCTGAGGTCCCCAGGCCCGAGGGCGCCAGAGGGCCCAAAACCAAGCTGGTCCTCTAACTATACGTTGAGTTTAAGCTTGGGCACAGTACATGTCTGTGCAGCGTAGAGATCAGGGGAAGCCCAACCCGCTGGAGCAGCCCCAAGCCATCTTTAATGGGCTTGCTCGTCTGGCCAAAGAGCCGGATCCCGAGGCTCCGGGGCACCAACCGAGCGGCTAGCACAGGGCATAGCCGCATGGGTTGGGAGGTCAGATCGACGTACTCTACTCGTTCCCGAGGATGAGGTCCGAGAGGCCCTCAGGGTTTTGGCTAGATACGGCTGCGATGGAAGATCCCCATCGACATCTTCCCCGCATTCTTCTTATCTCTTCGATATTCTCATCGTCAATCTTTCTGTCTGAAACAGATCACTTTGATCGGCAACATGCCTTGCTAGGTAGACCAAGCAAGTGCATGCGACCACAAAAGGGAATACGCCATTATTATTCTTGATACACTCAGCTCGTGCCGATCCGATCATGCAAAAACCAGCTACCGATGACTGACATTGACCGGAGTGCTGATTGGAGGTGGACCACGACCGTCTTCACGACCGCGTTGCGCAACAGAACTTAAAATATGAAGAAGGGACGAAAGGCTCCCAGGTCGCGCACTGGATGTAAACGATGCAAGGAACGGCGATTCAAATGCGATGAGGAAAGACCTGGTTGTGGTCGGTGCCAGTCTGCTGGGCTCCCCTGTCCTGGATACAACCAGTCGCTGAAATGGTCAACCAAACATGAGGTATTCAACCCAACAAAACGACGGGCACAATCTTTCAAGTCCGAGTTACAAACGCCGATTCCCCAAGGCGCTTCCATCGATATCGCTGGCTCACTGGAAGCCGCCCAAACTGATATTTCACCTCCATTGCCAATCCTGGAAGATGATAACCTCCACCACTTTTCAGTCCCCCTTCAGTCCGCGCCTCCCGACTCAGAAGACGCGATCTATCCAAACGAGAGCTTCTCAACCCCGGCCGTACCGCTTGATCCCTTTTCAACTCATATCCCGGACCTTCAAGCCACCCCTTCCGGTATTTCATTCTACAGCAGGCCAACGGATTTTGATGAAGCCACCGAACTCGAAGAGGCCGACCCATCAGAAAGCTTGGTCCCGCCTGTAGCGATCGGTATGGAGTTTCAGCCCGAACAGGCTCTAGTAAGCTCTCGCCAACCACTATTACCATCACCAACACGGGGACCTTCGGACTTTTCCTCTGCCTTGGTCGAATATTACTTCAAAGAGACAGCTGCTGTCTTCTCATGCTACGATGGCAACATGAATCCATTTCGTACCACGGTCGGCAATTTCTGGACGCTATCACCTGCATTATACCGCACTCTCCAGAGTATGGCGGCGGCTTGTTTGGTCAACGAAAACCCCTATTTCAAGCGGTTGAGTCGAACCTTGCGAACGGAAGCCATGTCACTTCTATTCAACACCCCGGATGAGGATGAGACAAGTCTACTCGCCCTTCTTATGCTCGGCCAAAGTTCAAGCTGGTTTGACCCTCAAGACTTGGGGATTCCATTGTTCAAAACATTGAGGTCAAGATTAAATCGTCGGGAGCCTACTCCGGACGGTCAGCTGACTAGCGTAGTCGGGAGCCACGGCTTTTTCCAGGAGGCTATGGAGTACTGGGAGATGCTGTTGTCCTTTGTCTCGAGCGAGATCATATCTGATCCTATGGACGGTCCCTGGTCACCCAGTCACAGCAACATGAGAAAAATCCCACATCCTTGGACCGGCATTTGTCGCGAAACTCAGATGCTTGTTAACCAAGTCGGTCAGTTGGTCAGATCAGAAAGAATCCGAGCACGATCTACTAAATTTACCTGGCAGCATTCAATTGACGAATCTGTGACCTCACTACAACTCGCTCGATGTCTTGAGTCGAGGCTCAGAAGCCTCAGCGAACCACAAGATGAAGCAATCATCAATCCAGGAGATGTGGAAACACCAATCTGGCACCTTCAAAGAATCGCAGAGATCTATCGGAGAACGGGTCTTATCAATCTTTATCGTGTGTTCCCGGACCTGCTTCTCGAACAGATCAATCAGCTTCAAGCACTAAACGCCAATTCAACAATGCTCTCTGGGACAAATTCAGCCAGCGACGACTGGCTAGGACTGGTTGAAGATTGTACGACTGGCAATACTGAGCCCGATAGCATGTACAATTGGCTCACGAACTATGCCATCGAAACCATCGACCTGCTGGAGTCAATCCCTCCTACGTCAAGAACCAGGTGTTTACAGCCTTTCATGCTCGTTGCCTGTGCATGCGAGCTACGGGCTCCTCCTTTGGAAAACCCTAGACCTTTTGACGTAACATCGACTGGTCTGTCAACAATGAACACTGACAATTTTCGCTGGCTGTCTTCGCCACAGCTTTCCTTCCCTAACTCGATTTCGGCCTTCAATACCTCTTTCGACGATGCTCAAGCCACTGGTGATCCTGGACTCGAGGTCGACGAATCGTCCCTCGCACAAGCGTTCCGGGTCTTCCATGCACGCAGATTTGTCCGCGGACGGCTGAACCTATTCATGAACGTATTGCCTCCCAGGCCAACGAAAACTTGCATGGACCTCATCGAGGCCGTCTGGAACAAATTGGACGAAGGCAACGAAGACATCTACTGGATTGACGTCATGATGGACATGGGCCTATATACCACTATGGGATGAAACACCATCTCGTGCTACCATATTCGTTCTCAGATTGTGAGTCCGATGTGCGGTACCAGCTATACATTTCTACGTCACAGGAACCAGTCAAATCTATCCATCTTAGCGAGCAATCTAGCTGCACTTCGTATATTTTGCATATTGCAAACAACCAATCTCACGCTCTCCGTGTTCTCCTCAAAGGGTGGAAACTCGCTGTTGCCCATCATCTCAGGTTCAAATGTCGTCGTAACGATCGCATGCGCAAGCTACACCAGCTCTTTTTGCTCCATGTCCAAGCCTTTCTCACCTCTTGCGAGCGCGTCTTCAACGCTCGGATTTTCTCCTAGGATGATCTCGAATTGCGGACCGTTATACTGGCCTCTCTTTGCCACCCAGAGAGTGGAACAGAATATGATAAAGATCCCGACCACTGCCGATACGTAGTTCATGTTACTGGTGGTCACGGGTAGGAAACCCGGGAAGCAGAAGAATATGGAGGTGACAAAGACGAAGAGGACAGAGACCCAGTTCATGATGTACCCTGTCCTGTGTCCGAGGTAGAAAACTGGGCGGGAACTGCTGACGACTTTTCTTCCACGAACCAGTAGAAAGGCCACGGGGACGGCGTAGCTGAGATTGAGAAATATGGTACAACTGGCGCAATAGGCGTTGAATGCCACAGTCGGCCCGAGGTATAACAAACCGAACAGCATGTTGAAAAGAGCAGCGGCTAGAATGGCGCGAACCGGCACATTGAGCCCCGGAGTGATATGTGAGAGGCTGAAAAACCAGGCATCAGTCACATGTTATCTCTACTTTGGGATCTGTCTTTATAATCCTGAGAATTCGAGAGCACTCACAATTTCGAAAACGGACTCCCGTTATCTCTGGCCATGGCCCAAAGCAACCTACTTCCAGATGTGACGCACCCATTTGTCCCGTTGACAAAACACACGGCCAATGCGCAGCTCAGCACGACGGTGCCCGCGCGACTTCCGGTCGCTTGATAGATGAGCTCGACGACCGGGGAGTTTGTTTTCGTTGCTAGAATAGTATCCGGGTCGACCAGGCTGAAAAGCATTACCAGGATGAAGACTATTCCGGTTGTTCCCCCTATGGCGACAGCGGCCACCATTGCTTGGGGGCTGTCCCGTTGTGGGGTCTTCATCTCTTCGGTCAGATGAGCGACCTTCGTGGATTTATCAGTATCGATTCAACAGAGTCCTCTTGGGCGACAGAAGGCCTACCGCATCAAATCCAATCAGAGATAGTGCCGACTGTAGAAGTCCAAGCATCCATGCCATTCCATCGTTCCAACCGGTGGAATTGGAGAAATCGGTGAACACAAATTGGGCAGAGGTCTTCTCTCCAGTGGCTAAAAGCGTGATACTCACGACCAAACAGCCGGTAATCGACCAAAATACTGGAGTGTGTTCTCAGTAGTCTGCCTTGTGAGAGGCCCGGCAGTGGCGAGTGATGACTTACGAGCGAACTCATTCCAACGATTCAAGATTCGGTAGCCAAATATATTGAGGAGAATTGTGAATGTCGAGACTACCAGGAAGATCAGGTATGTTTTCCAAGCCGTGATAACATAGGCTCCATCTGATCCAATAACTGCGGCTGCTGATATGAACTGGGCAGCGAAGAATGCTTCGGTCGTGATAAGAGTTAACCAGCCGGCGATGTTGATCCACCCAACCCAGAAACTCTGAACGGAGCATTAGCGCGTAACTCCAGGTTTCATGAGTGATATTAATCCACTTACCATCGACATCCTCCATTTTTCGGTGCAAAGAGCATATGCATAGTGATATTGGCCACCGGCTGTGGGCCAAATGGATGAAAGCTCGCCAACGCTTGCTGATAGGCAGAAATTGCAAAGGACGCAGAAGATAAACCCATAGAAGAAGGCAACAGATCCACCAGATGGCATTACGATTCCCAAAGAGCCGGCAAGGCAAATCCAGGTGCTATCAAAAACAGGTTAGACGGCTAATGCCTCGTAATCATGGGGAGGCTAACTTGAGAATACCAAACGTCAGTCCGATCATTGTAAGACGAGAAAAGCGATGCTCGAGGTGGCCCTCTTCATTGTTCGAGACGCCTTCCCTTGGAGTAGCCATGCTGGGACGCGAAATTAATGCCCTGACAATACTTCACAGGGTTAAGACGATGGAAGAGGAACAACAAAACGAGACGAAGGACGAGATGAACTCTTTCAAATGATAGCCACGAGGTAGGCACTGCGTGCCAGAAGATGGGGCTAGACCATGGCACCCCATTCTTCAAGCAAAGACAAATACCCACCCGATGGTGTGGAGAAGCTCTGTACTCCAGATTCAAGCTTGAACTGGGGCCGAGGAGGCCAGAGGGAGAAGCCGTTGAGGCAAACTAAATCGCGCCAATTCTGTGGCAATCATATTTGAAACAGGTAGGTATAGACAGAGTTCCATTGGCAGCACCCACCTCGACTCGTGGAGCGGTGCCAGTGTCAATTCATGTAGATTTGTAAAACATAGCTGACGTGTAGGGTCTGAGGTTGCTTTACCGGGCGATGACCGTTTATACGCAACAGTAACCAGGACGGCGATCCAATTATACCTAGTTAGTCACCATTGCCGTGGAACACGACTCGGAGGCTCCCCGGGTGAGTGGACAGCAGTATGAACCAATATTGTCACCGAAGCTACCTCGCAGACGGCGAACAAAGGATTGGTACTCTGAGGCATGACCAATGGCACAGTGGACTTTGTTACTGGAATCAGTTTAGCCTGCAGCACCCCCAAGTTAATTTCTCTTAAATCGAAGTTTATGGTGGAAAGCCTGGTGTACTTCTGCGCGTGTTTCGTCCACACTATCCTCATGCCGAACTCACCTTGGGCGGCTTCGGCAATTCGATTGATGACATGATGATGCAATCCGCTGGCCCGGGGTTGGCAGGAGATACAATCATCCTCTGTGATGCCTACAGAGGACCACACAAACTGAAGGAAGAAACAAGCTGTTGATCTAAGCTCGAACGCCAAGGGATATTACGTCCGCGAAATTGATTATTGGTTGGAGCCACTGACCTTGGGCGACTCGGATGGGATGTACACCTCGTACAGGTCCACGCATTTGAGCTTCTGCGTGTTTACGCCTTGCTATACCCCAAAAGCGCGCTCGAGGGCCGTTAAACTGCAATACTGTCTATGAAATTATCAGGGTTGGAGAATGGCGGCACTGTGACTTTGGAGATATATAGATTCTGGCTATTCCCTAATATATACCGACAGATGTTTTGCGACTCGGATTGCGTCCTTACCGTGCGGACTTCAAATCTCCTGCTACTCAGGCAGGCGCTAAGCACCTAAAGCTTGCAGACTCTTCACTGTGTCCACTACGGTATCCTCCACGTCCCGATACTTGATCTTCAACAATCGGATGGACTTGCTGCTGTCAATCTCGTATGCAGGAAGAGTATTACTGAGGTCAGGGCTCAGGTTTTGGGCATATCCCGGGAAAGTTCTTCGGACTATGTCTCCCATTAATCCTTCGGTCGCTAGACCCGCTGTCACGAGGATTCGTTGACCCGCGGCCTCAGGAATTGTAATGGCGAGCGCATGTGCCTCTGCAAGATCCCGAACATCGACATATATGGGTGATGACACCATGCCACGGGGTCTTCCGAGTATCAAGTTTAAGATCCGTTTGCTGGATGTATTGAGGTCTTCCAGCGATGACAGCGCATGGCGGACTGGGCCATAAACCATTGGGGGATTCAGCACGGTCAGTGTAAAGTTGGGCTTTTCCCGCGCTACAAACTCCCATGCTGCCCGTTCAGCGAACGTTTTGCTCGCCCTATAGACGGCCTGCGGATCATCTGTGGTCAGGGCCTCGTCCATGGTCATCTCGTTCCAAATGGTCTCATTATATACTTTGGGCGGAGAAGAGGGGTTCAAGATGGCAGCAAATGAGGATGTGATGACAACTTTCTTGACTGCTTTCGCGGATTTCCGAATGGACTCGAGAATGCCAGTGGTTCCAAGAATAGCTGGATCAAGCATGTCCTTCTTAGCATCCTTCACCTCATAATGAAAGGGGCTCGCGGTGTGCACTACAGCTTCAAACGGCGGCTCTGATATAACAGCTTCGTCAAATGCGTTTAGTGCCGCAATATCGTTAACAACTGTATACGAAACGTTTTGGCCCTTGAATGTGTCAACCAGGGCCTGACCCTTTGCTGGCGATCGAACTGTCGTTACCACCTCGTGACTATTGGATCAAGTCAGCGTGTGTAGATGTAAGATCGATGACTCGGACCCCCTACCCATGTTTAAGCAACGCTTCGAGGCAATGAGATGCAATGAACCCGCTTCCTCCTGTTAAAAGTACCTTCATTTTGATATGTAGAATCTGTAAACGGTGCTAGAGAGCCAAAACTTTATCAAATCTGGTAGACAGATAACTTTTCGGTGATTTTTAGGATGTCGCTGGGTCTTGTTCTTCTAATATCACTATTCAAACGATTCTGGAGTAGTTTTATACTTGAGCGAACGGTGATTGCACTGATAAATCCGACAACACACCTCAGTGACCTCGGACAGAGTATTATCTCCTGAGCTTACCGCCGCCCTTCAGCTTCCATATCTAGTTCAAGATCGGTCGGGATGGGAGGAGAGTTGATTATTTCGCCTCGAGCCTATGGAAATCGCCGCGGCGAATTTTATGGTCACGTGAAGTACGGTGAAGAATTCATTGCCCATGGTGCAAGATGTCACATGATCAGCCCAACCTCCGGGCCAGATATCGTGATTGTTATTTGCCTCTCTTACAGCCGTTGCAACCACTACCCGCCGGTTATTGCTATTCCAAACCCTACTATGCACCTGCGCCGCTCATGACGGTGTTCCGCGATCTTGTGGGCCATGCGCAGGATTCGTCAAAATGTAAATACAGCGTTTCTCAATATTCTATGGCGATACATCCGCCTTCTGGGGCTTGTTGTGCTGACGGCCAACTTGGCTTCGTTTGCTGGCGTGCAAGCACAATCCGCTGCTCAGATCAAGGCGCTGAGAAAAGAGACCGAAGATCTTTTCTACCATGGCTATGAAAACTATATGAACTATGCCTTCCCCGAGGACGAATTGCGTCCAATCTCCTGCAAACCGTTGACACGCGACCGCGACAACCCTGCCCACATCGAAGTTAACGACCCTCTGGGGAACTACTCCTTGACACTTATCGATAGCTTATCTACGTTGGCAATCCTTGCCTCGACTCCATCTAACGAGAAAGATAACAAGGCATTGCGGCTGTTTCAAGATGGAGTTCTCGCCCTGGTTGAACAATACGGTGATGGCCTTGCTGGGCCTTCTGGTGAGGGTTTAAGAGCTCGAGGCTTTGACCTGGACAGCAAGGTGCAAGTGTTTGAAACCGCTATTAGGGGTCTGGGGGGGCTGCTCAGCGCACATCTCTTTGCCGTGGGAAGCTTGCCTATTCGCGGATACGCCCCGCCCGAACAACAAGCATCACACGCTCAACATTGGAACCATCGCCAACCCAAGGGTGTCACGGAAGGAATTACGTGGCCTAACGGTTTACGGTACGATGGCCAACTCCTACGTCTGGCATACGATCTGGCAGGTCGTTTGATACCGGCGTTCTGGAACCCAACCGGCATTCCCTATCCAAGGGTCAATCTTCGGCATGGGATTCCCTTTTATGCGAATTCTCCCTTCAACAATGGTTCGAATGATGCCCAATGTGATGCTCGTCCGAAGACCCCTGAGATCACGGAGACATGTAGTGCTGGTGCTGGAAGTCTTGTCCTCGAGTTCACCACACTCAGCAGGTTAACTGGCGACCCACGGTTTGAAGATCTTGCTAAGCGAGCGTTCTGGGCGATATGGCATAGACGGAGCTCCATTGATCTCATCGGTTCTGGCATTGACGCTGAGTCTGGGGCCTGGGTTTCTACATGGACTGGGATTGGTGCTGGGATAGATAGCTTCTTCGAATATGCTCTCAAATCCCACATACTACTTTCGAGGGACTCCCATCCAGACTACGATCCACCTGTGGCGACTCAAGATCCAAGGACACTATTCGACCCATTGCCTATGGAAGATGACACCCCCCAGGCCTTTCTCAATGCGTGGAACACCGCTCATTCCGCGATCAAGAGAAACCTCTATCGTGGCCCGAACTATCAACATCCACATTATATCCAGGCCGATCTTGTCACAGGCGCAGCAAGAGGCTTTTGGATAGATGCACTCTCTGCATACTATCCTGGGGTCTTAGTCCTGGGGGGTCATGTTGAAGAAGCTGTAGAAACGCACCTCCTACAAACAGCCCTGTGGACGAGATTCTCTGCTTTACCGGAAAGATGGAATCTCATCACTGGCGGAATTGAAGGCGGTCTAGGTTGGTGGGTCGGTCGACCAGAGTTTATCGAGTCCACGTACTATCTCTATCGCGCAACAGAGGACCCTTGGTATTTCCATGTTGGCGAAATGGTCCTTCGTGATATCAAGAGAAGGTGTTGGGCTAAATGTGGCTGGGCAAGTATCCAAAATGTGCTGACAGGCGAGCAAACCGACAGGATGGAAAGCTTCTTCCTGGGTGAAACCGCAAAGTATCTCTTTCTCCTTTTTGATCCGACGCACCCTCTCAATCATCTTGACGAGCCTTTTGTTTTTACTACCGAAGGACACCCACTAGTCATTCCAAGGATCGTTGATAATGGTCATTACGAGGGCAAACTGTGGAACCTGCAGGCTGAAGAGGAGGCCAAATGTCCGACCAAACCAGAACCAGTACCTTTCAGCATTTCCAATACCGCCGCACGAGGCGATATTTATCATGCCGCAAACTTAGCAAGGCTTCATCTCATGCCGGCCCGCGACAACATTGAGTCAGTTTTAGGAGAATATGCAGCTGACCACCCAAGTATAACATTGTCGGACATCAGCTCGCCCTCCAACTATACCTATTATCCTTGGACACTACCTCCCGAATTAATTCCATTCAATGCAATCAGCTCGCTGATACCAACCAGGCCAACTCTCGACATATCTTTTCCCGCAATCACGAATCCCGGACTGCCAGCACCGCCACTCCAACGGGTTAAGCAAGGTATTTTGATCAACTTTATTGGCGGTCTGCGCCTCGGTATGGTCCAGGATCTGCCGTTGCTAATCGATGATGGTATTATTGATACCTTTCGTATCCAAACTATCAACAATATTCCGCTAGGAAAGGACGAAAAGGTGTTCTTACCAAGGGACACGGGCAAGGAGACACTGAGCCTGACGGATCCCAATTTCACTCGAATCCGTGATCCCATCATGCTGGACATGGTTGTTGATTTGAGTAAGCCGATCGAGCAAGATGAACAGGAGCAAGATGCCAACAGTGATATATTGGTTTTTGAGATGCCAGGGATTGGTTCAACGAACGATGGCTCAGTTCGCGCTGCTTGGAATGCCATTGTCTCCCAACTTTCGAGTCTTCTGATCAAAGACCGTCGACAGCCGCCGTGGCCGTTCTCGACCAGCCTATCATTGGCTACGCCACGATCTTCAAGTGCAACTTCCGATGGAAACTCTCCACGTTATCATCTCCCTGCAGTCATCCCCACAGGCCCAGGCTCTGCACCTATCCCTGATTGGCCAGAAGTAGCAACGATCATCACGAGTGGCGCACAACCCCCTAGTCTCCAGTGGACGAAAGTCTATGGTGCTGGTGAACTGTGCGACCATCGGCTCGCTCTGAGCCTGGTGCGCAACATTCATGTTCTGGTAATCAAGCGTGGTGGCTGCAATTTCAGCACCAAACTCGCCAATATTCCCTCTTTCACACCATCACCACATTCGCTCCAACTAGTCATTTTCGTCTCTTACGGACAGTCCGACTCGGCCGGCCTGAACAGGATGGAGGACGAAGACGACCTCGTTCGTCCACTCCTCGACAAAACTCAGTTTACTCCAGCGGGATTGCCCAGACACAATCCTATCCCGTCGGTCATGGTTGCGGGCGGCCAGAAGGTATATGAGGCGCTTGCTAATCGTGCCGTTGGGGTCGGAATCAAGAGGAGATATCACGTAGAAACAAGAAGCATCCGAATTGGGAATTTGCATGTCGTTTAGTGTTACTGTGACGAACGAGATGATGATACAGCAGTGTAAATATCATTACAGGACAGACCGGAATATACATATATACACCGAATCTATGTTCAACAAAGAAACCGTGCCGTGCTTCCTGAAACCCTGCGTGCTAGGACACGAGCCCCAAAAAGAACCCAATGGTAGGGAGAAATCACCAACGACCACGCCAGCTCTTCTCCCACGCGCGATCCTCCTCATCAGCCCGCTCCAGGGTACGCCTCCACTCTCTCTCCATCCGATGCACCAACTCATCTGGGTTTTCGCCGTCCGGCCCCCCCGTGGCTGTCGGACTCTCACAGCCTCTCAAACCAATGAATCGACCCCACCGCCTGCGCTTGGTCTCGAGATCGACGGCCTCGGTCGTGGAGTCATTCACGCCCGTCCACGCCGGGACCCAAGCCGGATACATGAACGTCTCCTCGATCGGCGGCGTGACCTGGTGGTACCAACGCGCCAAGCTGTCGAGCTGCTCGTGAGTCAGTAGGTGGTACTGCAGCAGGCTGCTGGGGAATGCGGGATGCGGGAGCCCGTTCGTCACGGATATCAGCGGCACCAGCGGCGCGCGTAGGTGCTCGATGCCGTACAGATACTGCTGGAATCTCTGCTTTGCTAGCGGAGATGACGGGCATGAGGAGACTGTGACGTGGTATCTCGGCGGTGTTTGTGCCAATGTTTGACCCCCGCCCAGATGTTTCCCGCGGAAATGTTTGCGGATAGGCGAGCGGGTGGTGCTCGAGGGTGAGAATCGCGCAGGAGATCGTGCTTGGGATCTCTGTGTTATAAGGGGTAAAGCTGGTGGCGCGGGCGATTGAATTGGAGGAAACCAGTCTACCAAGGTCTCGCAGTTTGAGAATACTGGGGTCCCTGCACTCTGAGCTCCGTGTTCGCTGATGGGGGCCATTGGCTCAGGCGCGAAGTTGGGGAACATGCTGGTGTTGACCCGTAGGGGGAGAGTCATGACGCGATTGAAGTGGGGGCTGCGCATTGACATACGGCTTTTCCTGCCATCATCCCGGAGCGGAGAGGATGAACCTTGGAAGCATGCTTGGTCTGGTGACCTCATGGTGTAGAGGGCTGGTAGCGCTGGAGAGTGGGGTGTTGAGGATTCTCGTGCCGAGCAGATTGACATTGTGCTGCTATCACGTCGCGCAAGGCTCTGCGCCGACCATGTGTTCGTGACTATGGAGAGACTGGGGGATGGCACTGGTCCTTCTGGCGGCATTGGCATTCCTTCTTGGGAAAATACCATGATGGGTTGTGCAATGGGCTCGACCATTAAGGGTGAATGCATCATAGATGGGGAATGGGGTGTGGGCGGCGATGGTGGAAAGAAAGAAGGTGAGGTGGGGGTGGTGGGATACATGTTGGAATGAATGAACAATCTACTGTATGGGCCAAACGTGCCGGTTTGGATTGCTCTTACCGGGGAATACTGAGAATGATGATGGCTGTCTCGAGATGTTTGGACAAGCGGACGGGCTGAAGGGCTGGAAAGTACCAGAGAGATTATGAGGAGATAAGGGCTTGACAAACATCAGTCAAAGAAATGGCTAGGCTGAAGCAAAGTCCTTCTGTACAATGGAATGCCAGTTCCTAGAATAGGTCGGGCCATAATAGGATTCTTTGATCGGGATGGACTTGCTGTTGCGAGGGTCATTGTCATCTCGACAGATCCTGTGGTGGGTTGTCTTTGTGCAGAATGGAGCGACATGTTCAAGGGGATATAGATAATGCGTCTAGATACAGGCTCAGTTGCAGGTCAACTCGCCATGGCTCCACTTCGAACAAAGGCGTCAGGCAGTCGAATTGTGTCTAGTTTCCCACGAACGAAAGCAGCAAACGCTCTTTGGGAGCGTCATTGGCCATCTGGTGTGCTATGCTTGTTCGCTTGTGAGAGCATACCACCTCAAAGGGTTGAAGTCTTCAGAGCCATATGGAGTCTGCTGGGCTTGTTGTCCGTACAGGCTGTGCATATGGGGTCTGTGCCGAAACTAGATCCAGCCTACGTTCAAGAAAGGAGGTTCGTTGAAACAAAGCCAGGCTGACAAGGCATTGGCTTTGCCAGAATCCACTGTGTCATCTTCAGATATTGGCGACTCACCTTCGACTGACAGCGTTCTAGTGTTGAGGAAACTCTTTTCGATATCTTGATTTTTGGGTGGCAGTACTCGGTGACAAGCCAGAGGTGTAGAACAATATCCGTACTAGTAATGTCGCATTCCTCGGTGAATTTAAGCGTTGTACTAGCGGGTGAGAACATGGGAATCTCCGTGCATCTCTTACATCTATGACCCACCGTAATCTACTGTGGAACACAGTAGAATCACGTGATATGCTCAGCCTCATTTCCCACCAAGGCTGAACCGCGCCCAGACCAATCCTCGTATAGATCTCCAGTGCTCCTGGCCCCGTCCTACCAGCTACAAGTAGTATATCACTACGATATCGTACACGGGTACACGTCGTTCTGTCTTCTGCAATATCCTCCTGCATATCTTCTATCGCATTTAAGCTGCGCAGAACTTGAGAGATCCCCTCCTCTCTCAATATCCCTGGACTGCGCTTACAACTGTGCTCCTGACTACGACCTCTCCAGCACGCCGACCATGGCGAATACCATTCTCGATCTTTTCTACTCTTTATCAAATTGCCTGTTCTGTTTTCCGGGCAGTCCGCAGTTAAAGATCAATAGCCGAAGCTTTCGCATGCTGAGACTGCTAGGCGAGGTGAACATGAAACCCACACCCTCTCATTTCTCTGCCAGAGCAGCATGCTGACTTGAATCTTCAGGGTGGCTTCTCTTACGTCTATCTTGTCCAAGACACCGCCGACTCCTCGTTGTACGCACTCAAGAAGATCCGATGTCCCTTCGGCCAGGAATCTGTGTCGCAGGCACTCAAGGAAGTCGAAGCCTACACCCTGTTCGCACCGCACCCCAACATCATCAACAGCGTTGACCACGCCGTGCAAACCGACAAGAATGCGACCGTATCCGGGATCGGAAATGATGGCAGCGCAGGGGGTGGCGCTAGCAAAACAGTTTACATCCTCCTACCCTACTACCGCCGAGGGAATCTCCAAGACATGATCAACGCCAACCTGGTCAACCACACCCGCTTTGGCGAGCGCAGACTGATGCAATTGATGCTGGGCGTCTGCAAAGCCCTGAAAGCCATGCACCAATATCACATCCGCAACAACCAGTCCCGCAACGCCGCACAAGCCATCCGCAACGAGGCCGCCCACGAGGACGCCGATGCGCGCCGGAAAGCTCGCGCCGGTCCCAACCGCTCCATGACGGCTGACCAAACACACCAGGAAGAGCTAGCGGACGAACAAGAACAGCCTTTGATGCCAGACGACGAAGTCACGCGCACCCAAGAGGGCAAGAACCCGGGCGACGAGCGTGCCTACGCCCATCGAGATATCAAGCCTGGAAACATAATGATCGACGACGACGGGCGGGTGCCAATACTGATGGACCTGGGCAGTTTAGCCCCTTCACCGATACCCATCACGAGCCGTAGCCAAGCAATCGCCGTGCAAGACATCGCCGCCGAACACTGCACCATGCCGTACCGCGCCCCCGAGCTCTTCGACGTCAAGACAGGGAGTGTCATTGACACAAAGGTCGACATCTGGTCCCTAGGCTGCACCATGTACGCATGCCTAGTGGGCAAGTCGCCATTTGAAGCACGCTCGGACGAGACCGGAGGCAGCTTGTCGATCTGCGTGTTGGGAGGTGACTGGCGTTGGCCCGGCGAGGGCAATGCGACCAAGGGCAAAGACAGAGCCCACCCGCCCTCGCGGTCCGGGACACAGGTGAACGGAGATATCAACCCCACGACAAACAAGCCGTCGGGCGAGAGGGTATACCCGCACCCAGCTGCGCGAGAAATCGTGCGCCGATGCCTCCAGGTCGAGCCGTCGGAACGCCCTGATGTCGACGAGCTGATGACCCTGATCGACAGCGCTCTGTCCGAGCTGCCCGAAGATGATGAAGGTGGGCCCGTGGATGACGTCGTCTAGGAGTATGCACTATCAGACACGATTCTCTATGCAGCATTATCACACAGCAGTAGCGCAGGAACCCAGGACTAGGAGGCAAGAAATCCCTCTGGATATCAGCTTCCTTCCCGGGGTTAATTGGATGATCATGGCCATGCAATGTCCCATTCGACAGACAGGATTGAGGATATCTTGGAGTCAAAAAGCGACGCTTTGGTTTTGGTTTCGCCATCGAGATCTACAGCCGAAGGCGAGCTGTTCTTTTTTTGTTTTTTGGAGCCTGGTTGTGGTGGACACCCAATTACAGTGGTTATTTCAGAGCGTGGGAGAAAGGGACGATTATGATTTTGGAGGCGGGAAGTCCCCTGAGTGCCTCTTTCCAAGGGGCTCTCTATACCAAATTACTGTATAATCAATCTTGAATTTACTTCTTTCACGGACACGACCAATAACCTGCCTGGTTGGGTAGAAGTATTGCTCTTCCTCTTGGTCTTCTGGGCTGCTGTTGCTGTTGTTGTCGTTGCCCTGCCTGGTGCTCGTTCACTTTTATGCTCCATCTAGCAATAACGCGGCTTCCGACCACACTTGGGACTGCCATTTTTGATTTCGTTTCAAAACTTTTTCATGCATTTCTTCTTTTGAACAAGGCAATACGTAGCTCCTCTAAAGTACAACGAGTTGGCGAGTTGGTAAATCCGTCCACCGATGGATATGATTAACGTTGGTGTGATCTCCCTTCTCACACTGTTCTTCCTGGTTTCGCCAGGTGTCAGCAGCCTGGCTTTGGCTCGGAGGCACAATAGCAAGCACAAGAGCTGATCACTGAAGCTGAATTGAAGTCCTGATTAGAAACCCAGCTCATCACTGGTCTCCAATTCATGTCAATAAAATCATCCACGATTCCTGAATTACCTCTGCCTCCAAGGAGTGAACCCAATCTCAGTCTAACACCCAACCTGTGTGCCTTGGTTTCGTTTCATCCATTCGGCAAGGAAAGTGCATTCATTCCCTTGCCCTAGTCTTTGATTCATGCCACCCGCAAGACTCCGAATCAACAATTTCTGCTCTCGACCTATCATCACCGGGATGTAGATCTTGCAATTTGAGGCGACCCGCTGCCAGCAAACTTGTTGGCAAGACATGTCTCTCCCCTGTATTGCACATATGTCTGGGCGTAAAAGACCCTCACTCTGTCGCTTTGACGACATCAGCAGCTTCACTTGCGGCAGCAGCTGATTCTGGGGCTTTCTCAATAACCTCTGGGGTTGGTAGAACAGCCTTTGGCTCTTCTGTGGTGGTGGCTGGCTCAGATTCTCCTGCTACAGGCTTGACCTCAACCGGATCAGCCGAGATTTCTGACTCGGTTTCAGCAACCGGCTTGTCAATGGGCTTTGCAGGCTGCTCAGTCGGGTCGTCTTTCTTCTCGTCGGCTGGTTCTTCGGACTTTTCATCGTGGACTCCATTGGTGGTAGGGGTGTATTTGGATTCCTTGTCTCCAGCAGTGCCAGCTTCGTTATCAGCTGGTTCGGCACCCATGATCTTGTTCCACTGGCTCAACAAATCAAGAGATCGCTTTCGGAATTGATACTCTTCATCGCGAGGGATGGTGTTTAGCTTGATCAATGCCTTCAGAACCTTGTTGATCTTGGTTGTGCGAATGATGGCGACTTCTAGATCAGCATAGCCTTCAAGTTTCTTGATATAAGTAGACATCTGAGGCATTTCGTCTTCTTGAGGAGCCTGGTCTCGAGATAGGAATCCCTTTTGAAGCTTGTGTCGAAGGAAAAGGACTGGGACTATTAGCGCATGTTGAGATCAACCGAACACATGGGCTCATACCTTCTTTCTCACGAGCTTTGCGTGCTTCGGCGGGATCCAAAGGCTTCTCCTCTGGCTCTGGTTCAGCATCAACCATTTCTTCGTCGCTCACAGGGGCGGCCTTGGATTTGCGCTTTTCTGGTTTGGCCTTGGGTGCCTTTTCTTTGGGTTTCTTCTCTTCGGTCTTTGGAGTTTTGTTTGTGTTCAACTTGATCTTGGTGGTTTTGGGCGTCTTTGCAGGCTAATCAGAATCAGAACATGACACGCAGAGTCAGCGACGCGCAAACCTACCTTTTCAGACTCTTCATCATCACTATCCACTTCCTTCTTGCGCTTCTTGGAGCCTTTTTTGGCGACAGGTTCGGCATCGGCGTCTTCCATGTCCACATCCTCGGTTTCAATCTTGGCCTCACTCTTGCGCTTTTTCTTGTCAGATTTGGCAGCCTTTTCAGCATCTCGCGCTTCCTTGGCTTCAATATCTGCTTGGAGAGCAGCAGCATGCTCGTCGAGAAGAGTTTTGAAGTGTTCCAAATCATTGTTCTCGGCAGCAACTTTGTAGGCAGCTGACAAAGCCTTGGCTTTACCTTTCTCCGGCACATCTTTGCAATCCTCGGGGTTCAAGGGCGTGAGATCTGTGTTGGGAATCCAAGCGCTGCCACGGTCAGTACTGGAAGTCGATCATGCGGGCGGATCGACTTACAATTCGTTCGTATGTAAAAACATGATAGGAAATGTCCGATCAGCAACTTTTTTGCCACCGTCTGCATAGGCTTCATTGTAGGTACCATCGTCTTTTTTGGTTGTGACCGGTCTGGTGCTGAGGAGGCTTTCTGGCAGCATCTCCTCATCGCAAACGATGGAGGGCCAAGGAGGATAACTTTTCAATCTGGCTAGATAATATTCACCGGGTTGCGCGTCGAGATGAGTGATTTTCGTCATGGACTTCTTCTTGTTGAGCTTCTTGCCCTTGTGCTCAGGGATACCTGCAGAGGATTTTCGCTTGAGAGCGACAGGTTTCTTTCCAGCTGGTGTGCCATTGGCCTCTGGCTCGGCTTCTTTAGCTTCTTCAGCTTTTTCAGCTGCTTCGGCTACTTCGGCGTCTTTTGCTTCTGGCTCAGTCGCGACTGGAGGTTCAGCTTCTACCTCTGTAGGTATCTCTTGTGTGTCCTTGGTGTTCTCTGGAGCGGAATCGACAGCGCCGTTCGCAGTCACATGGCCTACATGCTGTTAGCATCACCTACTTGGCTCTCATCACAGCGATCTCACCAGTGGTCTCAGTTGGCTTGGCCTCGGAAGAAGTGTCAACCGGCAGAGCCCCAGACATCTCAGCAGCAGGTCCAGAAGCAGGCTCTGCTAGAGATGGAGGGGCATCATCCTGAGGTTCCGGAACATTGACAGGAACCTTAGTCTGAGCTGGCTCTGAGTCGGCCATAGCAAGATGAGAAGGAGGGGGGGATGTGGTGACGCGTTGGGGGAGCGCGTGGCAGAAGAGGGTGCAAATTCTGTTGATGGTTCGAGTCAGTAGCTGTGATGATATTGGAGGAGATCTGATGAAGAGGAGATGATGCTCGAGCGTCTTGGGAGGAAGAAAATCGAGTGCACAGCTGGGTTGGGTTGACGCGACAAGAACGGGCGCGGGAGAGGGAGAGCAGCAGGGCGCAGCAGAGGAGCAGCCAGCGATAACAACAGAGAAGGGAGACTGACTTGCAACCACTCGATGATGGTTTCAGGGTGTATGCGCCAATGGAGGAGGAAGCAAGAGGTGTGTATCTCGAGATGGAGATGACGAGTGAAGATTGTGAACTGCAGCGGCAACAATAATGGAGAAAGTTGAGGCAGGAGGGAAGCAGCGCAGCGCAACGGGGAAAACGCTAAAGTGAGTGAGTAGCACCTACCCAATTGCCAGCTGCCAGACCACGGCGACTGCCACTCCAACTTCCCCAATCGATGCAACAGCCAAGAGACGCTTCACGCTCTGCCGGTCACCCTCGCCCAGGTAATATTCCCAACCAGGTCTGGGTCTGTGTTTGTTGTTTCTTTTCGGACAATCGAGGGGGACCGAGATACGTGTAACTGGGATGGGCACTCACTTTTGGGTGGAAAGAATACTGTGCTGATGCTGGCCAGGCCTGGGAGCTGTTGAGAGCCGGCGGGGAGGAGGTCGCCTCGTCTCTGATTTCTGGTCTGACAGACGAAATAATATAGCGCCGTGTCAGTAAGAAGGCCCAAATGACATCAAATGACAGTGACAGTGCCAACACCCAAGTCACAAGCTGCTGCTCTGCGCCGTACGATAGTTCACGGTGAGATTCTCTGTTTGAGCGATGACAAGCTGATAGGGCGCTGGATGGTCTCCGCGCAACAACGTGAAAGAGCTGTTTTCAACGCACAAGGGATGGCTGGGGAATACAGCCTCTCCGCACGCGACGCTGAGCTTGGACGTGCGGATGTCGAGGTGGCAAACCATCAGCTCAGACGTCGGCACATCACCCGGTCGCGACTCGCGGGTTCTGGCCCCGCAAAACTCAAACAATATATTGACGGAAATTGCTGGAAAATGTTGGATGTCGTCGACTATAGTGTGAGATTGCCCCTAGCACTGCAGAGATTCGACATTCTGTTCAAAAAGGATGCAGACATTGTCAAACGGCGATGAGGACAAGAGAGACATCCCTATGCTCTAGCCAATCGACTAGGCAAGCACGGCGACGCAGCTGCACCGTAGTGCACTTTCATGCACTGACTCTAAGATCGACCGTAGCACATCCACCCTTTGCGCTTAGTCAGGACTCCTGATGTCCATCTGTGCATCACTTCCATGCCCTCAACCGAAAGCACTGGCAGGAGAGTCTCATAGCCAGCCATCCATGCCTTCACACTATCTTGCGGGCAGAGGCATCAGTCAGTCTACCTTGCGTAGTCTCATGTCTCAAGCTCGCCCTGTCTGCGAAGTTGGTTATCTGAGTTCTGATCAGTGCCCGGACTGCCCTGAATCGTGAGCTTGCAACCTGCCTGTCCTACTAGAGACCAATGGAAGAGAACGCGGTCCGCAGATGATGTCTCTTGCGGTCATGGTAGGGATGGAACTATCACTTTCACAAAAGTGACACCAATAAAGAATTTACGATCAGGTGCTGGCATGTGCCTGAAACGAAAAGTGCCAAATTCATGTCTTTCGGATCAAGGCATCCCTCCGAGATCTTGAACATTTCCAATAAAGGTTCAGCCTTGGTCAGAATTGAAATCCTCTTGGTTGGCTTTTTCCTGTATTACATGTCATTCGAGGTTTCATGGCTATCCTTCCTACCTGACCAAGGTCGGGTGCTGTTGACGCTGCAGACATCATGACAGGACGATGGAACTGTTTCATAAATATCGTTCCGCTGAGCTGCGTTGCTCGTCGCCCTTCATCTACCCCAGAATACCTTCCGAGGTATGCAGTTCTGCAACACTAAAAAGCTGCCGAGGCTCAAAAGTTGCAATATGCACAAACTATTTTTCTTTTTTGCCCTGATCCATATCTGCCTGTCAACCGACGAAGATTCTGGGACTTACTTTGTAGTGCCAGAGCCCTACGATCTTTCCTACTACGGACCTCCCAGATATGTCTACAATATCGGGTCTGTCATGAGCGTGACTTGGTACACCGAGGAGGCTCCGGTCGATCTATACCTTTTCGATGACCAAGATAATTACGCCATTCTCCTGCGTATTTCATTTCACCCATTTGTCGTCAGTGATACTAACATCGAGATAGGGGATGTAGGGGATGTAGGAGATGCTGGCCAGCCTATTTTTTGGTGGAATGTCAGCATCCCGGACGGTCTTGGGCAGAATGGGTCAGAATTCTGGTTCGCCATCTACAAGTCTGATGTTATAGATATTCTCGCCTCATCACAAAGGATAACGATCCAATCACCGGCGGAGGTTGAAAGCGCCGTGTCCAGCGTTGTTACCTCCTACACCCTAAGCCAAACCACCCTAACCGCGACTCCCGCCTCTCCCATCTCTACCACTGCATACGGATATCCCAGCACAAACTCGGAAAGCGCGTCGGAAAATGGTTCAGAAGCAACCTCGAGCAACACGTTTTGGATTGGAATTGTCGCTGGTCTCGGTGGTCTCTGGGCACTGACGCTTCTAACCCTTGCTGGGTTTTGTTTCTACCGAAACCGCAAGCGGCGCAGCAAGACACAGCGGGAGGCCCATACGATCAATTCAAACTTCGTCCCATATAATACCGAACATACAGAACCTGCTCCACCATTCGCCCATGAGATGGCCGTGGCTACACAGCCCCCCGATGCCAAACCCGCAATCACGAGCCGCCAATCCCTTACTGCACTTCCAAGCACCGAACGACGAAGTGCGCCTCACACCAGCGTCGTTTCAGAGCTGGCAGGATAATATTTTCCTAACCATTGATGCGGTACGCACAGTATCACTCACAGTCGCCTAGCTATGTCAAACACATACAGACTCTTTCTTTGCTTCTCGAATTTCCGGGGGTTCCAGCCATTTTCCCCATATTGTACGTTGACCAGCTATCGCCTGCATATCGCACTGGAGGGTTATGCTTCCTCATAGGGAGGGTTTGGTTGAACGGATCAGACAGAATACAACATCGGCGATGGTTTTCTCCGAATTGGACAATGCCTCTTCTCTAAACTTCTCTCTTCCGTCCTTATTCTCGTTCTCACCAGTAAAATACTATGCCATTTCGAGGTTGACCGATTGCATGAGATTGTTCCAACAAGGCACCGACGAAATGCAGATGCTGCTACCAACTACATAGCAATTCCTGCCCTACCTAGGCACATATCAGTGAGGGACCATGTACTGTAGGCGGTCACCTGCGCTGCAATCCAGTCACGCAGCTCTAGTGATGCTGACACTGCCCGTCCAACTCCAGAATTCTTGCACATTTTGACTCACAGATCTCTTATCAGATCCCTCAACATATGTTGTGCCATACACAGCATATGCTTATCATGTCTGAGCTGTGCAGCGGCATTCGACTTACTTACCGATGTCAACAATCTCGGATGAAATGTGAAATTTCTTTACAGGATACCTTTCTATTCAATCCATCTTTTCTGTGACCGATCCACTGCGAATGCGTCTCTCTTGTGATGTCAGTAGATGCTATGAAGCAACCCCACCACTCTCTTGAGGAAGCTTTGTTAAACAGAGTTCAAAGAGTCCTGATGAATTGATTCCAACGCCGGAATGGAAGACATACTCATCCAAGATATGGGCAAAGTTTAGATGTCGCTCACTCGGACAGAAAAAGACGTCTTCGGCAGAATGACCCTCGCCACAACGACAGATGAAGAAGCCCAAGAAGATTGATGAGGCCACTGCCACTGCCACCACTACCATGACCGCTACAACATCGACAACAAAGTCAACAATCTTAGGGATTCCCGTCTCCGCGTCAGCACTTGAATTAGGATCATCATCACTAGGCCATAGGAAAAGAACATAACCGATCTCAAAACAGTACAACAAGCACTGTCATCGTGGACATCGGTGATCCGGCGTCCCAGCAAGCGTCTCTCTCCTCCTTGTCGGCCGTGTCAACCTCGATCATCATATCCTCAGAACAATCAAGTATAAGCTCAGAGTCTCAAATAACGATGCCTTGGTTCACGTTTCCATTCGTCACCAGCCTCAGCTCATCAATAATAACCGCCCGCTCTCTATCAACATCCACATGGCCAACCCCATCCCCATCCCCAGGTCCATCTCAAGCAGGCAATCTCACTCTCACCTTCTTCCGACTGGTCGATCTTCTGGGCCGTCGTCGACGTTGGAGTTTTCTGGCTGAGTATAGTGTCTCATGATATTCCTTCCTGAATCGAGTTCTCAGCTTTTTGTTAACCATTATGGATACTATCATTACCATCTATCTTCTGGAAGGTGAGGGCTCATTACTTCATCCATTCGTTCCTTTTCCACACCATTTGAGCCCCAGGTTGATCTTCCTCAGCCCCTCCATCAACTACCCTCAGGCTCAGCAGAGGCAATGCCACCAATACGGCACAGTATCCCCGTGGACTCCAATGCCGTATAAATGCCCTTACTAGTGGATCTCGTAATGCTGAGTTTTACTGTAACTAGGTATCTTACTTTCTCAACATACGGTAACGGCCGTGAGCTCTATCATCATCTCATTCTTTTCTTAACGCTTTGGAGGCCACTGACGGCATGAGTGCCAATTTCAGTCATAGTACTTCGCTTTAACTCCCTTTGCAATCGATTCGTCATCATTTGCAGCCCTACTGACGTTCTTCGCCACGCGAGCTTTAACCCATTCACCCGCTGTCAGCCCAACTGTTGACTGGTCTAGCGACTTATCATACCCAAGCCTCTGTAGAACAGGGCTCTCGACTGGAAGCAGCTCCAGATTATCTTCGGGTCGAACGAAGTAAAGCACTCCATGTCGGTCAACATTTGCTTGATCCGGCGGTGGAGCTACCACACGGTGAATGCTGCTCTTCAGAAACCCATTGGTGAGGAATTGAAGCGCGTCGGCGATATTGACAGTAATGCTTCCTGGATATGGCTTAACATACTTCCATTCACCCTCCGGTGTTCGTACTTGGAGCGCTGCCACGGGTTGCCTGTTACAAGATCATTAGCATTGCAGGACCCCAAGCGACCTGGGAAAGTCTTGCCTAAACAAAAGCGTCAAACTCCCGAAGTCGGTGTGCCCCTTGACCCAGACGTTGTCTAGCGCATCATTCTGCTCCGGTGTTCGTTTATGATACTTCATCCACCGGAGATGACAGTCACTCTTCTCCTCATACTGGTGGTTTTGGAGGAAATAGTCTTCAGGCAATTCCAGGACGATTGCAAACAAAACCAATAATTTGCCCACGACCTTGGAATGGATGTGACGGGCAAAGTGCTCGATTTCATCCCAGTGCTCCCTGACAAGTTGAGGGTGCTCGCGATCGTACTGAGGGATAAACTTAGGAATGTTGTAGATTTCCGTGTTGTCCTTTATCCCCGGCTTGACTTCGCGTATGCCAAACGGCTTGTAGCCATTATAGCCGCCCTTCTCAAGGTCTGCACGATACTTCATCTTCTCATCCGTAGGGAGGTCGAAAACTTGCTTGCAAAGGCTGAATTGTCGATCAACTTGTTCTTGCGATAGGCCGAAGTTGATGATATAAAAGAATCCTAACACTCCATTAGCATTTGGCAAGGACATGTGTGGCTATCACCGTCTATCGTTGGTGTGAGGAATATTGTGGATCCGTTATGCTCGACGGCGACTTGAGCTTAACTGACCAATCCGATTTACAGCTTCAGACAACTGGGTAGCCAACTTTTCCTTCCCCTCAGGAGTATCAAAGATACCAAGGTCCAAAGTAACTAGGTCGGCCCAGTCGACTAGATCGGGGCAAAAGTCAGATTCGAGAAGCACTATGGATAGAACGTGAAATCTGATCATTCCTTACGGTCATGAGATGTTTCCGGAACCTGTGTCCATTGTGGTATCGGCTTGAATTCCGTATGCGTCAGTATTTCTGTTGCCATCACTGGCGAATCGTAGTGTGATTGAGGTCTCGTGACAGAGTAGCAACAGTTAACGATTATTGCGACTCAAAGATCGGTGTGAACGAGTTTAGAATAGTTATGAGTCGATCTCTGGAGTAAACGTTGGGAGGAACTGTTAAGGATGTTGTAAACCTTTACAGTGCCATCCGACGGTTCTCATTAACCCCACGGTATGGCTTTATTCTGCGGGGTAAGGGTAGAATACGTCGGACACCCGTTGATCGATTCTTGGAGAACACCATCGCAGATCGCCGCAATGGTCTCATTATCCTCGGCATACGGGCGACGTGCTGAGGCGGCCGCAGGTCCTGTTAGCGTCGCGACGAGACCTCGCTCTTCAGGACTGGGCGTTCACGAAGCATTGCTGCCTCCTCTCTGCCGCGAGAGGATGCCAAAAGGGAACGCTCGCGACGTTCAATGTCAAAGAATCTGCGGCCGTGTTGTTTCGAGAGGTAGAACCAGGAGAGAAGGACCATCGCGGTGCTGGTGATCGTCAGCGTCCAATAGAGCCAGATCCAGCCTGAGACCAGTTGTGTGGAGTTCTCTGGTAAGAATCTGAAGAAACCAGAACCGAACATAGTCGCCATGAATGTTCCTGGCAGGAAGATAAGAGTTACTCCTGCTATAATCCGCATATCGAGGCTGTCCTTCCTGGTAAGAATTGCGACTCGACGCGAATCTTCTGCTATTTCTCGAGATGCTGCTGCAGTTTCGATGTTCACTCGATTATCTCGCTGGCCAATCATCGAGTACACAGTTTGTACTTGTGCTTTGGTGCGCGCCGAAAGTACAGCCCCATATGCTTGTGATCCGTTGATCAATTCGCTGAGGTAGTCGATCCTTCGACCTATGGGATCGCTAATTGTTGAATCGAGAGCACCGCCGCTTGACATACGCTTTTCAAGCCCCATCTCTGTCCTCATATTGACCACGAGGTCTAGTGCACGCTTACTAGAGCGAAAGGTCATATCGCAGAAACTCAAAGTCCCTGTCACCCCCGTAAGCTTTTGAGTGATTGGATCGAAGTCAAGCAATTTGGCCTTGAATTTTCTCTCCTGATCAGCGAGGGCAATCTTACGCGGATCTGTGCTGAAACCATGGCGCATACCCGTCGCATATTCAATGCCTTCGATACCAAGGGCCCTCTTTTCCAGGAGAAGGGCGAAGAAATGAACTCTCAACTCAAGCAAGAAGACGGGTACGAGCAGTGGGTCATGGACATGAGCTCGAGACTCCCGCAGGCACTGCAAGAGCTTTTCGATCTCTTCATACTGCATGCCGCTGAGAATGCCGCAAGTGGTCCTTGTGGACGGACTGTGGACGATCCCAAGGCAGAAATTCCAGTCTCGCGATCTGCCAGCTCTTAGCATCAGGCCCTTCACAGCCTGGCCTTCTGAGTCGAGAGCTTCGAAAGCAACGTTCAGTGGCAAAGTACTCATTACCATACGCAGAAACTCGGAAGGAAGTTGCCATGCTCTGCAGATAGCGCCGTAAGTGGATGGGGAAAACGGCAGCGGCAGGATCTCGCTGTCGCTTTCATGATTCTCGGGTGCTCCGATCAGAAGTCGCAAAGAATGACCATCCTTGCACTTCTCATGTCTACTACTAGAAGCTGCCCAGTCGGCGATGTTGTCTTTTTCGACTTCGTTTTCTTCGCACACGACAACGCCTTTTCCCTACCAAGGTAAGGATAATCGCAAAGAAGGAAGTAATGTGGCTGATATACCTCATAATCAATCATCTCAATGCACCTATTTCCATCACGGGGTTGGAAGTTTTTGGTGTTATTCAACAGCCGTTCAGAATAAAAGTCAAACATTTTTTCACCTTGCGATGAGGTGGAAAGCTGCTGCACCTTGAGAAAATTGAAGCGCAGGGTTGATAGTGTAGCCGGACAATCGGCGGGCACAAAGCTCTAGTTCTCTCAATCACTCAGTAAATAGTCAACGTATCATTCGTAAGAGACTTTGAAGACAGCTGTGATTCTACGGTCCAGGTATGGGGTTCCTTGTTGCTAACCTTGGACGCAGCATGTTCCACGAAGCTTCAGAAATAAATTCCTTATTTTGCCGGTAGTTGTTTGGCGGTTTTGGCCTACACCTAAGCGGGGTTGGCTTAAGTTGTTGCCTTCGCTAGAGAGGTTCGTGGATATCTAGCTGGGAAGGGGGTCTCAGCCTCATAGGGATCCCGTACCACGCACTCAATGTTCCGTAGCGGTGATTGTTGTATGAATAATACTGTTGGACAGGCCATTCTTCGACGAACAGCAATGAAATTTTCGAATAGGGGTTTCTTTTGGGAAGCGGAAGCTGTAACAAGCCACAACATGGAAGTCCTCTTCACCAGGATATGAAGGCAATTCCCTAAGCATTACTGATGTCCGAAGACTATTTACGAGGTACCAGGTCGGGCGCTATAATCTGCCTAAACAAAGTAAGCTTTCATGGTAGATCTGGGTTGAGAGTGCTTGAGAGTGCTTCGGAACTTGTCCTGTATTCCGGTAGTGATTCTGCTTCCTTTGGTACTACTACTGTGTGGTTATGTTCTCGTTCGCGGCGTTTCTTCATTCGTAGCCATGGTGACTAGGATATCCGTGAACTCTGATACGGCCGTGCTACTACGTCAGATTCGTCGGTTTCAAGAGAGTCGGCATCGGCCGCCAGTGACAGCAAGGTTCCGGGCGAGAGCCGGCGTAAACATCCTCCGCCAGTGCATCTCTATCACATGAAAAGGGGCACCGTTCACCCCGTTAGACTTAGGGCCGTGATAACTAAGCATGACATGCTCCAAACGAGACCTCTTGTGAAGCACGTTCGCAGGTTAAGCTCGCGACATGATTCATGACCTCGTGACCCCAGAGGGTGTGGATAAAAGAGAGAATGGCCTCGGCGTGACCTAACCTCGCTTTCTTGCATATATCCATTGTGCGGTAGTCTATCTATGCTGAAACAACCAGCCAAAGCCTTCGCTCAGGGAAGTCAGTAACATAGTATGGCCACGGACATTCCATCCACACACAAGGCGTGGCAGTATTCGGGGACGTCAGGCGGAATCGAGAAGAATCTCAAGCTTAATCCGTCTGTCCGAACACCCACCCCCGCAAATAATCAGCACTTGATACAGGTGTTGGCCACAGCACTCAACCCCATCGACTACAAGCCAGCCTCGATCCCGTTCATTGGCCGACTTATACGTCCCAAGATCGCGACCCCATGTTGTGACGTCGCTGGACGACTCGTGACACCAGCATCTGGTTCATCCTTGAAACCAGGCCAACTCGTCTTTGGAGCCGCAGGCAAGAATCCTATTGCTGGAGGCGCACTTGCAGAATACGCCATCTGCAAAGCCGACCATCTCAGTGCGATCCCAGACGGTCTCAAACCTACGGAGGCTGCTAGTGTCCCTGTGGCAGGGCTGACAGCTTATCAGACCATAGCCACAAGGGTGAAAGCAGGCGACAATATCTTCATCAATGGCGGCTCCGGCGGCACCGGCGTCTTTGGGATCCAGACGGCGAAAGCAGTCGGCTGTCATGTCGTTACATCCTGTTCGACTCCGAACATCGAGCTATGCAAAAGCCTGGGCGCCGACGAAGTGATTGATTACCGGAAACAAAACTTGATCGAGACTCTTGCCTCCAAGGAGTTCAAGTTCGACCATGTCGTTGATAATGTCGGTGCAGATCTTCAACTATACTGGGAGTGTCACCGGTTCACCAAGCCAGATACTGAATATCTCATGGTCGGCGGTTCGATATCGTGGTCATTTGCCGCGAATGTATTGAAAATCAAACTACTGCCGAGATTTCTTGGTGGTGGACAACGAAAATATTCTGGCTTCCTCACAAAGGCGAGCACACACGACTTGGAGCAAATTGCGAAATGGATCACCGAGGGCAAGATCCGGCCGGTCATTGATCATGAGTTTCCCTTTGAAGAGGCACCTGCAGCATTTGAGAGGTTGAGGACTGGAAGAGCTAGGGGCAAGATCGTAATATCAGTTTCTGATTCTTTGTAGGCTGAGGGTATTGTGGCGTTGGAAACACATTACGACCTAATAATGACGAATTCAACAAGAAATTCCGAAAGGGCCTGAACTTCATGCGCCGTAGTCGACACTCATGTCATTACTTATCAGGTTGGTACTCTGGCCTCGTAGTCCATATGCTCAGATCTGCTCAACATCATTGCAACTCTATTCATACTGACGAGTTGCTCCACTATCTTCATCATGATCAAACCTATCAGAGTGAAGGAAAGGCAAGAGCCCGAACCCATTGGATGAAAGTGTTCTGGAGTATGCATAGCTTGTGCTTCTGTGGGTAGGAATGTGGACATACCACATATCTCGTTCTGAAGGACTGGCATTGAGAAACCTAACCATTTTCTTTTATGTGCAACACTGAAGGCATTGTCACTGGCTAGCCTTCCGATCAATCACCATCTGTAATGTCGAGTTAGTAGGCGAAAGTTACATCAAGAGGGACGCTTACTTACCCAAAAGCTTCCTCGAAGTACCTAACGCCTCTCTTCCCTTGCTTCATTGCCGTGTGCACAGTAGCCCTCGCCTCATCGGCCATCGCTGCCGGGCCACAAGTAAGGATAGCGACGCTGCCGCCTGCAGCTCCCGCAGCGTGAACTTCGTCAATCACGCCTAGCACCTTCTCCCGGATATTGGGTCGTCCATAGGAGATACCTAGACCAATTCCAGTAGCATGACTGTTTGTCTTTTCTAGGTTATCATGCTCGACCAACGCGCGGGACTCGTGGCGCGAGGTGGCGTAGAAATGGTTTTCGATAGCTGGGTGGCCAATAAATGGCTTGAGCTCCTGCGCACAAAGAGATCGGACCATCGCCGATTGTTTAGTTGCCCATATCAGTGTGATCTGTCTTGTCCGTGTGCGGCTAGTCTGCTTGTTGCCTTCTGCTGTTGATTGAACCGACGTTGTTGATTCGAGGTACTCCTGCATATAAGGCAAAGCGCCACTGATGCCACTCCCGCCGACGATGAAGACAACGTTCTCATAGCTATGGACTGGGCTGTGCTCGCCGTATGGTCCTTCGAGGAGGACGTGGGTGTTGACAGAAGGGCTGGACGACTTGATGCATTCGTCACGTAGGCGGAGGGTCCAGCTGCTGTAGGGACGAACAAAGAACACGAGTGTATCTTGGCTGGAAGTTGTGGATGTATGGGTGAGCTCTTGCGGATTGGAGGAGGCATGTTTGAAGGAAGAGATTGAAGCTTCTTCAGATGAGGGGTCACTTGACGATGCCAGTGTGTCCACTCCTACAACTTGAACTTCCTTGTTCTTTCCTTTGATCTCGTAAGAGGCGTGAGGGTCAATGCCCGGGGGCACGGAAGCTCCCGCACTCTGGCCCGACTGATCAGCACTTTTCCAACCCCCGAGTGTGAACGGATGATTCTCCCATCCTTTGAACTTCAAGGGCTGGTATAAGTAGTAATGTTGGCCTGCTCTTGCTTTCAGCATTCTTGATCCTGGTGTGACCTCCAGGCGTATCAAATTGGCATCTTGATCATACGAGGCCTCAGTCTTCGTGCCAACGACATTGTCAGACAGTCTGAGGTGGAGATTGCAATAAGCGAGACGGACAAGGCGAGCGACACGATCGAATACCCAGATGGCTACTAGGGGCCAGAGGTAAGGGTCGTATTCTCCTTCAAAGATCCTAGTGTGGCTGTGAGGGTGGTCAGCAATGTCTCAGCAATGTTGATCTAGGGGTAGATGCCTACTAGAATAGACCAACAATTGTAACAACTGATAAAACGATGTGAATAAGAAGGAAGATCTCGTAGAACCTCTCCCTGAGCCAGGCAGATGATAACACGAGCAAAAAACTCATAGTAACCGTTGCCTGTCGACAATTGGTTAGAAGATGTTCCCAGTCAAGACCTTTACCTGACTCACCATGCCTCCCATGTACCAGTATTGTTCGGTCCACGACTCCGCAAAGGCACCATCTATCATGCATGAGTTTTATAGTGGACACAGTATGGCCCAATAGCTTACAGTTGGCTTCAAGAGCTGAATAGCAGACAGAATGGATGACGGCTTGGATGGTGGCTATCCGAGCGACATGGCGGTGAAAGATATTAAATGTCGAAAAGCTCCATCCAGTCAACCATAGAAATATGTTATTCCTTCCGGAGAATATCCACAGTATGGGCAGATTGGCGTAGCTGATTATGCCAGTACGGTCTGCGATATATCTCCAATGTTGCATCGCGGTCGTGTAACTAAGAATGTGGTTAGTCCTTGGGGAGGAAATCTGGCCGGCTGTTAAACTTACTATAGATTCGGATAGAATATCTCATATGTGACCCCACAGAGGATCAGATTGAGAATCCAGAACGCTACAACAACCAGTGTTTCCATGCGAGTTGGGATAGTACACCAAAAGTACAGACGTTGGTGATGTGAACCAAAGGCCGCTGGAACAATCAGGTTTGTTCGGACCCAGTGACTGGCGGAACTGTAGAGTCCAAAGGATGGCTTCGAGGTGGGCGATGTTTCCCGTCCTTCGATATCAACCACCACTGAGACTCGTCGTGAGGTGAAGAAGTGAGTCACCAATCGATTCGCCATACTTAATACAAGGAGAGCCCCCCAAAATCCATAAACTCCCCATCTGATACAGTGGTTAGCGAGAACGTCTTGCAAGGTCTGACCCTGAAAGGCCAGCACGCTCACCCATATCTGGAGTCGAGAATATAACTCATCGCAAAGGCGCTCTGTGGCATGATCAGCTTATGTCTCTCCCGGTGGGCCGTGTGCCAACGTACGACTGTTCGTTTGGAAGCCGTGAAGAGCTGTGCTGACATAAGTATAGAGCTATTCCAGATGACAGGGGAATCAGTGTCCTCGAATTCCACAATTGGCAGGGAGTTGATAAACTTTTTGGTGAGAGTTGGTAGAATGTCGTTGTATGGAATAAGAGTAACAAGTCCATATTCTTTACAATATCCTCCAAGCATCTCTTCGCCAGCAGTGATTTCATGATCACTACAATATACATTTGCCGCTGCCCACATCGACGTCACGCTCAGGTTATTGGTACAGATATTTGTCCAGTAGTCGCCAGGAATGGTTCCGTCGAACACAATCCCAGCAAGAGACGTGCGAATGCCATCAATACAGTAGACATCGGTCCTGTCGGCGGATGCCGCTCTCCAGAGGAGTTGAATTATAAGTAGAGATGATATGGCCTTCATCGTGAATGGGTATGGGAGGTGCTGAGGCAGCTTCGCGCAGAGCTCTACCAGACAAACAAAAGGTGGCCCACGCAAAAGATATATATCTTGCGAAACAGGCGTCTCTAGGTCCGATTCTTACATCTGGAGACAATGGACACTGAGTGGCAGGAAATCGCCGGACGCGGATATCTGGCCCTCGCGCTTAGCCCGAAGCTGGAACAAAGAAAAACTTTTGCATGGCCAGAGCCTGCAACCTGGTGACCCATAGAACAAGCTAGGTTTATCAACACGGTAGATACCGCTCATTACCACATGTGGGTATGTTTAGAAAATATGGCGACGTAAGAGTTTGGGCTGGACAGTTCAATGCACTTCCCATTTGATGTCTCGGACACATGGCCAGAACGAGGGTGACTGACAACGTAAAGGCCAATGGACATGTCCCAGCGTAGTCGAAAATGTCGTCATGTTATGAGCCGATGATATCCTGCAAACAAGCTTGCCATGACCACTCAAGCTCACCAAGCACCTTTACCCATGGCCAAGGAAACGACAAATGCCTCTGCCGATGGAATAGCAAGATGCCGAGAGGATCACATGAGGATTTCCTACCTATATCGAGTCTAGGGCACATCAATACATCAATAGTGATCGCGATGGTGTGCATTTCGCAGCACGCCTTCTATGCAGAAACTCAGTGCTATTGATGCAGATGACCGGAGGTTTCATTGAAGCTCCAGGAGCAGGAACGAAGATGGCCAATTGACCGGATTCCAAGGACAATGCACCGCGAGAGCCACATTCGAGTCAGTCCACTTTACACTTTCGATCGATGGCATATGTAACGAAGTAAGGTTGGAAGTGGTGTGGGATGAGAGCATGTCCGACTTTAAAGTGGTCGAGAAGCACAAATCACAGGCAGTGAGTAAGCGAGGAGGAGTAGGTTATAGCGGATCTGATTAATTTATCCTATCTTATCGAATCTGATAAGCCTTTCAACGGGTCGCCCGAGAGGATAATCAGTTCAGCTTGCGGTGCCTCTTTATGCGGCGGCGTGCTCTGGGTTCTCTGGCAGGAATATTTTCACCGACTTCGGTTCGTCTTCAAAAGTTACGCAGGATCTAGACCTTGTCAATCGGAGTCGACTGATGTGTCACTGTGCCCAACCTGACTCACTAACAATACCTGAGTTTGGTAGCGTGTGCAGGTCTCCTCCTACCGATATCGGGGTGGAACGGCTTAGCCAAAGCCATAGTGATCCTCAAAACAGAGAATCTGGCGTGCCTGTGGATCACTGGCATGGCAGCTGGACTCAAGCTCTTGCAACGGCCGCCAGAAACGCCTAGGCATCCTTGTGGTCAGCTTGCTGTACGGCTATCGAACTCCAGCCCATGTTTATTGAGCAACCGAAGTTCATTGTCCATCCTCAGACTGTGAGTTACCCGCTCTCACCCATGTTGTCTGCTGATCAGTACCTGGACTGTATGGTCCTCATTATCGAGGCTGCCTACAAAATTCGATTGAGGGACTATCTCGCAGAACAATGGAACTATCGCGTGGGTGAGGGAACGTCCCGAGTGGGTACTAAGACATAGTTGGGTACATTTTACATGATGTTACGTTACAGGTGATATTCTGTTATGGATCATCATGTTTTGTGAGTACAGCAATGGCATTTCATGCATGATCCAGTCACCATTTGCACCGACATATCGGCTGGCCCGGGAAGCATTTCTTCGGCTAACAAGGCCTGGAGGCGACGAGGACACATTGTGGACTGGTTGCTCCATGCCCTCTTGGATTTGTGACTGATTTCCTGCAAGTCGTAGAAAAGGCTAGCACACCCCATCGGGCTGCCGATGCCTTCTTCCCTCTACTGCTCCTCCCTGCAGATACTCACCATATCGGATTTATCATGTTGGCAATAAGAAGCAACCGCCAGCTGACCTTTCGTTGCAGTGTTTCGCGGACGGCACAGACGCCAGTCTGCCTCCAACCACGTAGCATAGTCGAGTCAGTCAAGATGCAGGAGCTTCAGGATAGTACTGAGGGGCTTCTCTTCGATCGACCATGCCGTAGTCTCGAATGACACGAACTTGCCGCTTCCGCTTCTCAGCCGAAGCATGATGCAAAAAGTGATCCGCTGCTGTCCTATTGATCCAGGAGTAAAGAACCAGCACTTCTCCTGGCGTCAGGATTGCCTCGAAGACATCCCACGCCACCAATCCCCTGCAGTTTTTCACCTGGAGGCGTATCGCATCGACCATTTCATCAGCAGGAGCCGTAACTTTCCTGCCCTGGGCATCCGTGTGTGTTAAAGTCGTATTGATGAGAGTAACCATCTTCGCTTCCCCAACCTCAGTCTCATCAAATCGTTCCTGCGTGGGCTGTTGATCTCCAGCCGCGGCCGAAACTGCGGTATCGAAGACAGCCTCCCCTACCCGGAGATGGTAGTCTTGCAGGATTTTTTGGCGACCAGCCTGCTGGGCATCGTGGTGCTTCATTTCCGTCCGCCATCGAATGAGCGCCTTTTCGTTTTCCCAGTCAGAGAGAGAGAGCACCCAGCCCGGACGAGTCAAGCTTTTGTAGCGGATGTTCTCGATAAATCCCCTCTGCGATTCTAGCAGAGGTCGCAACCGCTTCGCAGCAGAGAGATACAGTTCCCAGTTTTCGGTGCGGGGACAGACCTCGAATATCACCTCAAACATTCTTCTGAATATTATGGTGCAAGCCGGGATTACTTCGCAGTATAGTTTTCACGGTGCATCTGCGGCAGCAGGTGTATATTCACTGCATATGGATTGTATTCAAAATATGTCTGCTCTTGCCTCTGTCGCATCATCGCTCGAGCTCTTCGCCCGGGGCAAGAGTAAATAATGGCAACTTGCATTTTGGCCAATAGCGGAAAATTCGTAATAAGCGTCGCCAAGTTGCCCCAGGCCTGCCGCAGATAGCCAATTGATGGTGCCGTGCGCCTGGCCGATCTTTTCTTGGATGACGTTGTAGCAGCGATGAGTGGTCACATTGAGAGCAACAGTTTACCAGTGGCTTGGTGCCTTGGTAAGAAGTACGAGTACGAAGTGCCTGCACCTGTTCAATTATCAAGGTGGACGGTTATTATTCCTGACAGGGTGATGTGGCAATTCAACGTGATCAGGACCATGATATGTACTGAGTTCCTGGTGTCTTTCAACCACCCTCTTTCACTGTCTGTATGCCTCTACAGTAGGTGGAAACCTCTCTGAAGATCAACGCTGCACTGAAGACCTAACACCCGAGCAGGCATACCAATCCAAAGATCAACAGCCTTTGAAGATTGAATGGAGACTAGACAAAGAAGGTGGCAACGCTTAACGAATTATGCATTGTATATGGCCACAGCAACCAACACTACTTCCTGGACTGAGACTTAGTATCTGTGATCTGAGCGTGCGAACAATAGAGGCAACCATGGTCTTGCCTGGCCTCGTCCCCCATCCCATAGCCATGCATTTCGAATGGCCATGCGATTTGAGGCCTGCGAGAACTCGTCATAATTGTTTCGAGCCTTGGACAAATACCAGAATCCCCGCTCGAGCATTTTCTGAACTACGGCGCAATTGTACTGTCTGGGAGCATGGGCTCCATCGGGGAGACGACAGATAGGATCGAGGCAGAGGAACGTGTTCTCGAACACCGACTCGAGAAGCCGAAAACCGACTGTGAGAAAGGCGGATCTCTCGAGCAGCAATAAAGATGTGCTATAGCCTCGCCTCCTCCGTATCCGATCTGAATCTTGCGGCTGTGCTATGAAATGTTTGTTTATCTTTGAACATTTTGGAAGCTTTCGAAGCCAATTGCTGTGGCTCTTATAAGCGATGATCATAGACTCTGTCAAGACCTTCAGCGCTTGGTGGTAGAAATCGAAATCATAAGGGACTTCCTGGCTTAGGCGGAGCAAGCCCACCTGTCGGTGGTGGTCGGCTACAACGCGGTGGACCTCAAGATCTCCAATGAGGTTGGCCATATCGCCATCCAATCCTCTTCCGCTTAGATTGGCCTTTCCCCACGAAATGACACCTATTAATGGATGTCCCGAAGCCTGGACATCATCTGGCATGCTAACCAAGATTGCACTGAGGTCTAGGGATCCATGCGAGAGACACTATTCTTCGGGATGGTCTTTGCGAGAAACATCAGCTAGCAGCACTCCCATTGCTTTATCGATAGCATCGACGGTGTCATATTGAGCAACAGGAAACCGTAGGGAGCTCCGTTGTGCAATTATCAGATTCTCGCCGAGTCGTAGGATCTTTCGTTCGAGGTCAGCCTCGCCCTGGGATGGGTTCACATCTGCATTCCCTCGCTGTTGCCATCGGTGACCATGGAGGGTTGCCAAGAACGCCCCCAGTTTTGTTCCGATGGTACCAAAGTAAGCTTGACGAGAAGCTTCTGATTCAAGTTCCCATCTCGTGATGTTGGGAGGGATTCCCTGTGGCTGACGAACAACGCCAACAGCTGCCAGCCCGTCCGGAGAATCTACATGGAGGTATCGAAGTGGAGAGAAGAAATTGGAGAGCTCTATCAACCTCCCAAGGTCAGATGAAATTAGTGTCGCAGTCTGCGGATCAAAGTTCAAGAGTTGGGGAACTCGAACTCCAGATTTCTGTTGGATCTTGATTAGCGGCATTGTATAACTTGAAGTGTACTTTTGGAACTTGTTCTTCGCTTGACATCTCCACCTTTTCAGAAATTTGATGATTATAGTGTGTGGTTTGTCGTCAAATCCAGGAAAAGGGTGCTCAGTGTTGACGCTCCATGACATGTAACCGTCATCTGGAGGAGCAAGCAGAGTCATGGCGAGCTGCTCCATTACCAGAGAATTCGACTGGGAAGGCGAAGTTAGCAGTATTTTCACGGAACCAATTCCACTGCAGATAACTTTACCTCTACGGCGTGATTAGGTCCTGGAGGGTAACATGTTAAACCCGGGCAATGCTTGATGATGAGCGATTGGTGTTCTTCAAATCGGTCGACTGGGGCTCCACGCTGACCCTGGTAACATCTCTGCAAATGATATATACCGTGTTTTCGGGCACGAGCAATCACTTGAGAGGGATTGGAACGGAGTACTTCGACCAGGTAAATTGTGCCGGGATCGAGACAGCGCAAGTAGGCCTCGAAATCGAGCCTGGGATGGGAGTCGATTTGGGTATACGTAGGTACCGGCCGTTCGGCCGAGGCTGAAGGCAAAAAAACCGAATTTGACGTGTCTGGGGTATTTTGAGGCTCGAAGTTGAGATTTGAGCGCCGAGAGTCCTCGTGGGAGACGAGCATCGCTGCAGGATGGTTCCACGAGAGACTGGGTGGGATAAGACAGAAGGAATTTGCAAGTTAAAACAACTTTGAAGTAATTAAACGAGATATGGCATAAGGGCGTGTGCAGATGACTATAATCGTGGTACAAGAAGTGCAACTGTAACTGTAAAGAAAAATGAGAAAGGCTGGAGTCGAAGAAGAATGTTGGGAGCGAAGGATCAAGTAATAGGCTAGCTTGACCATTCCATAGAGGCAGTCGCCATCTACAGATCAGAGCGGTCAATCGATGAAGCCTTCCTTTTCGGTGTCAAAGGCCACTGGCATCTGGGGGAACGGCAAAGGCTTTGATGTTGAGCAGGAGCCTCTGAATCGGAATTTACTTGAGCCCCTCTATACCTGGGCAGAAAAGAGCGAGCAGATGGATCGGAGACGCAACTTGGGTGCATGACAAAATGCATTCTAATTCGAACTCTATTCATTATAGATGTATCCGGCTGATGGACCTTGGACGTGGTTCTGGAGGCCATTTCCAGATATTAGGGATCAGTGTGAATCCCAGGGCCAGGTAGATTCATGGAGTCATTCTGAGGACTTCGTAGGTCGTGCATATCAGGTCTCACCGCACCCCGTATCTGGACATGTAAACGAAAACAATGAACAATCAGTTGGCTACGACTTGTTCCCGCTGTACTTGGCCTTGCCAAAGGAAAAGGGCACATATCGATATTTGATCATATGTTGAATCTGCCGTCTCACTGTATCGCGCGTCAGTGCCTCCACCAACCACAGTATTCACGGAGGAATTCTTACTCGTCAAGGAGAACAGAATCAGCCAGTACATGACAAGCACAGGCCAAAACACAGGCAAGTTGAAAATCTCGAACCAACTGCAAAGAAAGCTGATGGCGATGGCCCTTGTGGCGGCGTGCCAGAATTTGAATTCCGGCAGCCTTCTGATGAAAGGTCGGAATTCATCGTCTTGCTTGGTAGGTAGAGCAGACTCGCCGTCTTCTAGGCCTTCGTCTTGTGTTAAGCTGGGGTCGAACTTGGGTTGCAGAAATGCGAGGAAAAGGTTGAGCAGGTAGATGCCCAGACAGTACGCGACAATGTACCAGCCTTGGGCAAATACGATGCGCAAGAAGAAAAGGACTAGCAACGTGCCAGTACCAATCCAACGGTAGGGCGTGTAGGGCGTTGATTTATCAAGATAGGTCTGGTATTGCTATACGAAATGTTAGCTAGGTCGCGTTACACCGCGTGGCACGAGAATAATCATCCTACCCTTGCTAAACGATTGCCTTGAGTAGTAATAGCATCGAAGGGGGTGGACTCGGGCTCGGGACCGTCCATGGCGGCAAGGTTGGCGTGAAGTGAGGTCGAGATGTCGGGTCTGCGCACGCGCCCGGGTTTTGGTGGTTGGGTTCAGAGGCAACCGTTATTCAGAAGAAGATAAAGATGTCCAGATAATGGCGATGGTGTTGGGAGGGGACGGCGAAAGTGAACAGTCGTGGCACCAGACGAGAAATTTGAAGCCACGTCGTGCTTTTCGGGCGCGCAGGACAAAGAAATTTCCCCTTCAGGGTCTGGGTCACTGGGTGGCAGTTGAAATGATGGGGATCGATTTGATTCGAAGCGAGGCAACCAGCCACAGGCACGGTGGGAAACTGTATGCAGGCCGAGGGGAGACTCAACAAGGTGTATTACTGTGGTGGATAGTGGATCTCAATTGTTGGCTTGACTGCGCCCCTTTTGACAGTGCAGGGCACGTGAAGCCAAGGGGTGAGATGACTAAGTAGAAGATCGTGAGACTTTCCCGGGTTCGATGATAATCCGTTCCGTCATTTGTCGCGAGAGGCGCTGCCAAGACTCCCGCGCTGTGATCCGCCCGGACCGCATCATGTGCAAATTCCAGGCCGAGTTGCAAGCGAAGCGGTTACCGAGGACCAACTCGAACTCGACGGCTGTTCACGGCCTGCAGTGGGCACTTCTAATTACTGCATCGCAGATTGTTGTCGCGATATGTGAGCAGTGTCTGCGCGAAAGGTCGTTAGCGATCTGACACTTTCCAGCTACTTATTGTACTATATCCCACGCCATGTCTCTACTACGGATACTCACTCGTCCTGCCATCTCCATGTCCTCGCGCTCTACAATGGCTGCCCCACGGTCGTCGGTTCAGCTGGTTCGACATCAATCGACAGAAAGCAGCTATGCCAACATCTTGATTTCGAAGCCCAGACCCGGTGTCGGCCTCAGTATGTCCTCTCAGCATAGCTCCCTCAAGCCCCTGTTCTGACCAGAGTCTGCTGCTACAGTCACTCTGAACCGACCCAAGGCCCTAAATGCCCTGTCCAGTGAGCTTTTTGTCGAGTTGAACAAGGCTCTCAAGGACTACGAGGAGGACAAGGAGATTGGTGCTATCGTGTTGACTGGCAGTGATAAGGCGTTTGCTGGTGCGTTCTTACCGTTGCATCCCACACATTGAGGCAATGCTGACAGGCCTGCAGCCGGCGCCGACATCAAAGAGATGGCACCCTTGACGTTTTCGGATGCCTATGTCAACAACTTTATCGCCCCCTGGTCCTACATGATGAACCTCCGGAAGCCGGTCATTGCAGCAGTCTCGGGCCATGCGCTCGGAGGTGGCTGTGAACTCGCAATGATGTGTGATATTCTATACTGCACAAAGACGGCCAACTTTGGCCAGCCTGAGATTAAACTCGGCACCATCCCCGGTGCCGGTGGCTCTCAGCGACTCACCGCAGCCCTAGGCAAGTCAAAAGCCATGGAGCTCATTCTTACAGGGAACAACTTGTCCGGGGAGGAAGCCGAGAAACATGGACTCGCTGCAAAGGTCTTCGACGGCGGCAACAAGGAGGTTCTGGACGGAGCCCTTGACACGGCTGCCAAGATTGCCAGCTACTCTCGCGTTGCAGTGATTGCTGCGAAGGAGGTGGTCAATAAGTCTCAGGATCTCGGAGTCCGGGAGGGTGTCGAGTATGAGAGAAGGATATTTCACGGCCTATTTGGCAGCCAAGATCAGAAGATTGGCATGAAGGCTTTTGCAGAGAAGAAGAAGCCCACGTGGAGTCATCTGTAGAGGAAATAGACCAAAATCGGCCCTGTATATAGTATCCTTCCTGAAGTCAACGGTAACAAAATACTAATCCGGGCATTCTTCATCGCTACTGCTTAGGAGCTGGCAGGCAAAGGAACAACCCAAGAGACATAAGTGTCCATCTCAAACGCCTCTATATCCCGTATGCTGTACCTTGCGAGCCCTGATGGAAGCCACTGGATACTTGTCGTTGCCAGTTCTTGATGGTCCGTCATCAGTGCTTGTCTTGGACGTGATGCTACACAATTTTCTCTTCATTTCCAGCACGGATCTATCGCGGCTCTCGACTTTGCCTATCCTCAGCATTGACCCAACATAAGCACCACTAACATGGGTCAATACATGACTCCCGATTTTCTGTGTACCTCGGCCTCGGTTCTCACTTCCATTTTGGTGGGCGACGACCTGAAGGCAAGGGGCTCATGCTCTGACTAATGATACAAATCATCCCCCGCATTCTGCTTATGTACTGAGGCATCCGTGGATTCCCAGCCATTTAAATTACAAAGTTTTTACAAATCGCCACGAAAGTCGGAACCAGCTCTGTGACCTTGCACAGTTGTACCCGGCACTCCGTGCTCACATGTCAGCAACATGGCTTTTTGTCTCACACCCAGGACCACAATAGGCCTCTAAGTCCATCATTTGCCCGATTCAGCGTCTCCACAAGGTGAGATCCTTATTCTAATACCCGTATTATGGGAACGAGAAGCATACTCGTACCGTCCTAGGTGGAACAGCCTGTGAGGTATCGAAGGTTCTCAGTATGTACCATACTACTTACGACGGCGGTCCTCAGCCGGCCAGCGGCCGCTGCCTCCTACATAGGCATATGCGTACGCGTTCTATTCCCCACGGTCTCGTCTTGTGTTGCCGTGAGAACATCCTACTGCTTAGTACTAGTACCTGGGGGCCAAGGATGATGCCGCCCAGTCACGACCGATCGAGCCACGGGCATATCAGATGATTGAACGATACCAGGTCGATCTTGGAGGAAACTCACATCTGACAGGGTCCGTTTAGACCATGATTCCAGATCTCCTCGGCACCTACGACTGAGCTCGTAAATAATCTCATCAAACGACAGGGCCCGTTTAAGAACTCAAAAGCCGATGATCAGATCCACGCCTTGAGAGCGACGAGCATGCCTTTCTTTCAGCTAAGTCATCAGACGCCCTGAGACCAGCACTCCGTCATTCCATTGTTGCCCCCTCAGCACAAGCAGAACGGATACGATCTTTAGCTCCACCTGCTGAGTATGTAATGCTGCAAGTTCACTTCACTTCGGGAGCAGGGACCCGGTCACCGTTCAGAGCCGTTCGAAGAGTCGCTCAAGTGTGCATGCAACGGATGTCGGCTTGCAAGTTGTGTAGAATCACTCTACACCTCCACAGCCTCCAAGCACGGGGCTTTCTCATGGCCGGTCGCTCAATGTAACACTGGTCAGATAGTGTGCTCACAGACTAAGTATGTGCTCTGTGGATGGCAATGTGGTCGGTTGCCCCCATGCAGCATCCTGGAGTGGTCGATAGAAACTCTCACCTCACCCGCATTCACATTTATGCGAATAGATGGAATAGAATGACACTCAAGCGAGAATGCTGTGGCTGAGCGACGGGATGTAAGGTTGGCGTATGGGAGAATCAATCAGCCGGCGTCATTGCTGTCTGCTGTCTTGCCGTATATCGTGAAGATCACCAATCGTATAGAACATACATGAAGTATCGATGCATCGACGCATCGGAAATTTGTGGACCTATGCACTGTGGACCCACGTGTACTCATTCGGACTACTTGGACATGGCCAACCAAGGTTGCCTCCAATGAATTATGCTTTCCGTGCTGACATTGCTTTGCTTTTGACCGCAAAAGAATGGGAGAGTGTGGTATATATACCTCACATCACCATCTTGTTCGGCTCGAACCCTACAACCATCTTCCTACAAGCATCGGCCCACAGGAATTTAACGACACCATCTGCCTCAATCCTCCTCGAAAGTCCGGCGCAGATCGCCCTTCCTCAAGTCTCAATCCCAAAATGGCGACCAACGACGCCTATAAGACCGCACGCATCGAAGACCGATTCTTCATCGACGGCGAGTTTGTGCCTTCCATCTCAGGAAAGAAATTCGATCTCTATGACCCAACGAGCGAAAAGCTTGTGGCTTCGGTGTACGAAGCTGGCGCTGAAGATGTGGACCTCGCCGTCGCAGCCGCGAAGGCCGCATTCCCAGCCTGGGCTGCACTCAACGCTGCCGAGCGAGCAGGATATCTGTATAAGTTGGCAGACGCCATCGAGAAGAACATTGATGAGCTGGGCTATGTCGAGGCCATAACCATGGGGAAGCCGTTTGTAGGCGATTGTGAGTGCATTGAAATTCAAGTCAACTGTTTCTTGCCCATGGCTAACACTCTTGCTTTCTCTCCTGGCCAGTGTTCACCCAGTATGCAATCCACATCCTCCGGTACTACGCGGGCAAAGCTCTCGACGTGCAAGGTGAATCATCTCTCAACACTGCCGGTTCGGTCAACATTACTCTCCGTCAGCCTTTTGGAGTCTGTGGAGCCATCATTCCATGGAACGTTCCCCTGGTCATGCTCGTCAACAAGGTCGGGCCCGCCCTTGCCACCGGAAACACCCTCGTCCTCAAATCATCCGAGAAGTCGCCCCTGTCGTCTCTCGTTGTTGGAAGGTTAGCCCAAGAGATTGGACTGCCCAAGGGTGTCCTCAACATCATCAGCGGCTTTGGCCGCCCCGCCGGTGAGGCGCTATCCAAGCACATGGACGTGCGCAAGATCTCTTTCACAGGCTCCGTCATCGCCGGCCGCGCCATCAAGAAGGCCGCCGCCGAGTCGAACCTCAAGAAAGTCACGTTGGAGCTTGGTGGGAAGAGCCCGCTTGTCCTCTTCGATGATGCGGATCTCGCAAAGGCAATTCCAGCCGCATCGTTCTCCATCCTCGCGAATTCCGGGCAAGCTTGCATCGCCAGCTCGCGGGTCTACGTGCATGAGAAGATTGCAGCTGCGTTCACCGAGGGAATGAAGGCCGCCATGGTCCAGATGGGTAAAGTGGGCAACCCGCTCGAGGCAGGCACCCAACGAGGCCCACAAGCCGACAAAGTCCAGTTCGACCGTGTCATGTCATATCTCCAGTATGCAAAGGACAACAAGCTCGATATCTCGCTCGGCGGCGACCGATCCGGCAGCGAGGGCTCGGGCTACTTCATCGAGCCAACCATCATCTCTGACGCACCAGAGGACTCCAAAGTCATGAAGGAAGAGATCTTCGGCCCAGTCGTTTGTATCAACACGTTCACGGATGAGGATGAGGTGCTGAAGCGCGCCAACGACACTGAGTTCGGGTTGTACGCGTCAGTCTTCACCAAGGATATTTCGCGAGCCCTCCGGGTGGCCAAAGCTCTTGAGGCTGGTCTGATCGGTGTCAATTGCACCAGTCCCACCATGGCTATCGATATGCCTTTTGGCGGATGGAAGCAGAGCGGAGATGGTAGAGAACTCAGTAAACACTCGTTCAATCACTGGACCGAGCTGAAGACTGTTTTCATCCAGCTATGAGGGGAAAAGCTAATTCGAAAGAGGCATTCATGCATAGCCTTGTTCGGTGGGCCCTTACAGAACCGGGCTAGGTTCCATCACAGACTTTGATAGCGACTGATTCTCAGAATAGACTTTGGACTTTTGAACAGTAGAAGCTCTAGATACTCACGATAAGAAATAAGTCTCGATCGTCGACAGCTTGCAGTGGCGGACGTGTTCTCATCTTTGGAGATGGAGACCCAGATCGATTAATTTGTCGTATTGTGTCAGGTGTATTATTCGTCCAGAGTTGTTCCCTTGAGGATGTCATCTAGTGCCCCTGATCTCGAGAGGCTGTAAGCAGACTAATAAACGGACTGGTTTCCGTGATATATTTGGGAAGAGTAGGTCAAATAGTGCCCGGCGCCACGACTTGTGGTACATAAAGACAACGCTTTTAGCCTGGGCGGGATCCGAAACATGCTCAGTCAAGTTCTTGATTAGCTTGTACAGTTATGCAAGGCCGGTGCTTATTGTTCTCTTCCGTCTCGTCCGGGTCATGAAGCCATAGCGTCCCCATTCCAAAATACCCCGCCAGTGCAAGACGGACATTCCATGGCTGTAAAAGATCCGACAGCGTTTCTGGTCCTGGTGTCGAAATCATATGTTGCCGTGTTGTTGTCCTAGATCTATCAAGGCTCAATTTGCTCAAGCTTCTCTGCTTTCGCCTTTCGCGGATTTTTCTCTCGAGAATGGCCGCTAATTGTTTAGAAGGTCGTGCAGTAGCAAAAACGCCCGGCCAAATCACAGTGTTCAGGGGAAGCTCTCCAATTTCTAGAGCTTTGTATCCGGAGGAAACAAGAATGATCTTCTCACGAATAGAGGGATGGTCCACATATCGCTCAAGCATACGTGCAAATCCGTTATCAAAACAGACAGCAAGGAAGACTGCATAGCAATTGGGCTGCGAGAGAAACAGGTGAAAGTGTTCTGTGAGAGCATATCAGCGTGGTCCAGCGTCTGGACATGGAAACTTGTAAAATACCGCGGATTTTATCATCTACTCTCTCCTTTCCCCTCCCAGCGTCGAAAAAATCAAAGAGTGGGAGTTTCTCTGTGAACTGCGTGGCAAATGTGGTCAGGTCCCGCTGCTGTTGAGCAGTTTTGCGTTGGCGCAACGACGAGTTTTCACTAGTGATGATGGATTTGAAATTCTGAAAGACTCGGGTGATGACTTTCGAGGCAAACGGAATGGTGCCTTTTTGATCACGAATGTACTTGGTGACTTCGAACTTGATCTGCATGGCGGCTAAACCACCAGGATTTGTTTGGCCAGCTCCTTTGTGGCTAAATAGCTCGGGAGACCACTACATATTTTCAGAAAATAAGAAGGGGATATTCTTCTGGGGGAGATTGCTTACCGTATACGCATCGCCATCTACCAACACAACAACAAAGGGCTCTGGTGTAAGCGGGGCCTCGCTATTGAGGGCCAGAGGTGGAAGCTGGGGATCCCCCAAATAGGTTGTGCATTTGAGGTATTCCAGGTCAAATTTAGCCTCTGCGAGCTGCTCCTCAGCAGTAGCTGCCTGCTTCGTCATTGCTTTGAGCGAGTTATTCTCGGTCGCCAATCTCGCTTGAAGCTGAGCGTTTAACACTCTTTCCCTTCTCAGGTCGATTAGATGTTTCTCCGCCTGCGCACGTAGAACGTTGGATGTGGCAGTCTGTTGAGCGAGTTGTTGCTGTAAAAGAGCCATATTCCGTTTGGAGTGATAGATTTCGGTGCGATATTTCTCGAACTGGATGTTAGCCTGCTCACAGAGTTCATTCGCATAGGCAAGATCGTCCTGCAGAGCCTCGAACTTGTCGGCCAGTGACTCGAAATCCATGGACTGAACACATCGAGTCGGTTCCGGAGGCTTTTCCTGGCGGCTAGCAGATTCGGCCCCATAGGATTTGGCCTTCAGGAATGGAAACCAGGGAAGAGACGCCATCTATATGATTGGCTTGAGAAGGACTAAGTGAGGATTGTGATAGTAGAAGTAGATATGAGGTTAGTGGAAGATGAAACGGGTGATTGCAGGATTTGTTTACGCGGGTCTATGTTGCGAGGACGAGGTGCTGAGACGGTAGGTGGGGTACAGATATTGCGGGAAGTCAGGAAGGAGCGTTGGCGGGCCTTGACAATAGTGTAGTACCGGCCACTCGGGTAGGCAAGGCACCAACTCGTAGGATGGAGGAAATATAGGAAGCCAGCCGTGGCAGATAAGTGGGATGTGAACCAGTCGACCGAAATCACTGCACGTAGGAGAGGCCGTCACAAGTTCGACCTGCTCTACTCATCCGGCTTGATACGTCGGATCTAAAATGTGATGTGGACTCCGTCTGGGCCACGCGACTCATACAATAGAGTGGGATGGGGCTATAGGGATTGCTCGCACTATCCAGTACTCTGGATTCTAGTACTCCGGATTTCAACCATAATAGAGCCAAGCAAGAACCAAGTCACCAAGCGACCAAATCGCTGCTCGTAAGTGTCAGTGTCTGTTTTTGTTGGAGCAGCAATTTCTGTTGACTACTTCCTATCTGGGTAAGCGCTTCTTCCTGATCAGGCAATCGGAAGCGTGATTCCCGCGCCAGTGCACGTGTTATCAACTGACCCTCATCGTGATGATGACTATCCTCACTCCTCAAACAGAGGCCATACACGTTCACACAGAACTTCCGCCACTGCAGAGACAGCAGGCCTAGGTGGAAAAGGTCCTTACCGAACATCAACATAGACATAAGCATGGGCACGGTCATGATACTCTGCATATCAAAGCCACCACTCAAGGCTATCAGGAACGGTCGCGATGCTCAGGAGTTTTCCTAGAACCCCCTGCCAGTCGCTGCCATCCGCTCCAGACTAGGCACTGCGTTGAAGTTGCCCACTCCCATGCCTCTGTCCACACCCCCCGCAATTGCACCAGGGTGAATCGCTCGATTACCCATGCTGGGTTGCTCCTCAAGGTCCTCATACCTCAGGGTGTATATTCGTCGGACCTTCTTCCACACCTTGGTGTCCCACCAGATGTAGTAGCCTTGTTCCGAGACCTTGTCGTCCAAAAGCACCGGACTTGGCGATGCGTCATCCCGGGTAAGCCACTGCTTCTCTCGCATATGGTACCTCCATTTTCTGGCCACCAGTTCTTGAGCCACAAGCATTTGCGTGTAGTCCCGAGGCATTGTGTAGAATATGAAGAACAAGGTTTCATCCATAAATCCGTTGATTCGACTCGACAAGGGCGCAATCTTTTTCACTGTGTAACAGTCTGGGATGGTGGATTCCGTATCCAACGGTCTCAGTGCCTGTGCTCCTGGTTCTGCCCAAGGTCCGGGGTACATCGGTAGTAATGGTTCCTGCGAATTCATGTTGATCCCTAGCGTTGATAGATCAACTCCTCGCATCAGCGTTCGCCCGGCTGGGGTTGCAGTGTCTTGCTCCGCAATGTATCCTTTCATGCCAAACTTTTCACGCTCGGTCATGTTGCTTAGTATTGTTTCCAGTGATTGCTCCCCTCTAGTGGCAGCGTCAAAGCCTGATGCCGCATCTGAAGGAAATTCCTTTTGTAGAGACCTGCCCTCTTGGCTCATAAACCGATCATGTCCTATAGCCGAAGCTAGACTATGCGAAACAGGTGAGCGCGCTGTATCTGTCCATTAGCCAAATAATCTGCTGTTTTAGGAAGGACGATGTTTTACAAATTTGGGTCTGCCCTGAGGGAGAGGTCACCCTGCTAGGATCGCCAGAAACCTCCCCAGGCAGATTTGATTGTCGAGCCAGTCCTGGTGGTCCGCTCGGAACTTGACTCCCTCTTCTCAGTTGCTGTGCCTGCTGTTCAGAGCTGAACTCCATTGGCGCGTTTCGAGAATATGTATCAGTAGGGTAGAAGCCGTCTCGTCCACTACTCGATTGTTGCTGTGAAGGGCGAGAGGAGAGATGCGAGCGTGAGGATGGGACATGCTGTCGCTGGGTCTGTTCAGCTTGCGGAGGGCCAGTTTGCCACGCGCTCGACGGGATGTTATTGGTTTGAGACTGGAGCCCACTATTATTGAGACTCGGAAAGCTGTTTCTTGGGTCAGCCTCTGTTGGCCATCAGCGCGAATTGATCTGGGCACAATTGACGTACGATGAGGCAGACAAGTCGAGCTGGGTGTTGGTTCGGGGATTCATAGCTTGAGCCCAGTTGTCTGGGGCGAGAGGTTCACGATTAGGCTGACTAGAAGGTGTGACTGGTGGTAGGCCAGCTTGTGCCCATGTGCTAGGTTTGCTTGCGAGCATTCTACCGTTGCTAACAGCTCGGTTCTGGCTGTGGTTGAGGTTGTTGGCGGCTTGCACGGGACGCCCTTGTCCTGGAAGAAGTCAAGTCAGTCAAATATCCGTGTGAGAAGCATAAACTAAAATGAGAAAGCGTTCGAAAGGGGCCTGGCTGTTTAGAAAACTTGGGCTGCGTAGCAACGTGACTGCGCGAAGGCTGTGAGTCTCAATCACGGCCAGTTCTGATTCAAGGTGTTGCGGAGAGCTCAAATGTGAGATGGGCCATCTGCGTTTGTAACCTGAAGTGTCTCTTTCTGAGAGTTGTATGCCCTGCTCTCTTGCTTCCGCTGCGAGAATCGATCTCCAGCGTGTTGGAGCGGTGGCACGGAGAACCTAGGACGCAGTGGTAGGCACGTCTTGTTATCTCCCAAGATTTTCAAAAGAGCCAACTAAGAGCGGAGGGCGGTTTCGATCACACTCTGTTGTCCGGGCAGATCGATTCGACGAGAGGCGCCAGGCGAAGAGGCGATGGATGATGGAGGTGTGAGGATGACAGCAGCAAACAGAATCGGTGAGTCCGGGGTTGTCCTCTCTTTGAAGTATGGCGACCTAGGCATTTGGCAATATCGACGCTTGAGTGTTTGATCCAAATCGCATGAGGTTGATCGCACGGGCTCGAAAGCGACAAGAGCGTGGGATGGCATTGGGGAGGGGAGAGGAGATCACCCACCTGGTCGATTCATGTCTGAAGGTCTGGAAAATCGGTTGCACACGTTCAAATGTCGAGGAGACGGCGGAGGAGGGAATACAGAGCACTCTATCAACCAGACAAGCGCCGATACGTCCTGTGGTCTGTGATGGTCTTTTGTCTCTTGTCGCAGGTGGATGGAGGCCGGAGTTCAATTGGCAGGAGATGCGACGCTTGGCAACACGCTTAGAGCAAACTATGCACTAGTCCCCACTAGCATCGCACTAGTATCAGATAGCGTCAGCTGCCACCATTTTAGCCGGAAGCCATCGGGACTAGTCTGGCATCAAAAGTACACTGCATTTGCATTTCGCTTCGGACGAAATGGCATTCCACGTGCTAGTGTCGAGAAATGTCTATTTACTGTAACCGTACCAACGTGAAATAGGATCACGTAGCGACATAATTTCTTTCCCGAGTGCTGACTAGGGTCGGGCAAAGATCTATCTGGCCTCATCTTTCAACGACTATTGTTTTCCATGCCAACCACAGGCACGCTTAGGGTTTGGCTTCTCCTTTACAAAAGAAGCCCAATTGCCAACTCGACATTGCCGTCGACCTGCCTGAGGGCGGCGATCGCTTCTTCGCGCGAGAATCCGAGTTCTGTGATCTTCGCCACTGATTCGGCGGTGATGGGCTGAGACGGACCAAAGTTGCTAGTGTTAGGTCCGGGCTGTGATGGGGCAGATGCCTGACTGATGCTGGCTTCGGGCGTCCGCGTCTCTTTACCCTTAGATGATGTCTCTGCAGGCGGTTCGAGAGTTCCGGTAGTTGCACCTATAGTGCTACCACCGGGACCTTCAACTTTGGGTTCGCTTCCGAGGATCTCGTCCATCATCTTCGGGATTTCATTCTCCGGCAGGAACGGTATCTCATCTGTTTGTACTCGGAGCACACTCTTCTGTAGGTCAATGCACATCTGATGACGCTTCAACATGTCTAGCCCCAGGAGTAGGTCCACATCCTTGCCCTCCATCACGGTAAAGCTGCTTGCCAAATTGTACTGCCCGATCTGGATATCTGCTGAATGGACGCGTCCAAGAATTGTGGCAGTTCCGACACCTCTTGCAACTCCTCCATAGCGCTTGTCTATCAAACGTAGAATGCCACATCGTTCTGCTGCTTCCGGGGACATGATGGTGGTTTGGGCGCCCGAGTCAACAAATGCTTTGATTGGAACGTTGTTAACGGTCACGTCGATGTACAACATCGTCACTCTGCCAAAGGCTTGGAGACACTGTCAGTATACTGCTCACGTAGAGTGGATCAGCACAGATGAAATACACTAACATTCGGGATTCTCTTCCATGGCCTTTTGAATATTTTCTGATACCCGCTCTTGACGGATCATCTCCTCGATCTTCTGTTGAGCCTCCACGTTGAATGGATCTGCTTCTAGGAGTGCAATTTGCTCTTGTTTCTCTCGCTGTGATTGCTCGTGTTGACGCTGTCTGGTGTTCCAGAGGTTGTGAAAAGTCTCTCGGCTCGAGCTCGCATCCGCCAGTTCTGGATCTTGACGTTGACACTCAGCTAGCAGATTTGGGTCTCCTAGGATCCTCAGCCTCAGCGACTCCGGATCGTTTGCACCGGTTGTCCTCTGAACAGGTTGTCTACTTCTGGGATCTTGCGCCGACTGCCGGCTGGATCTTGCTGTTTGTATGGCCATGGCCACAACATCTCCCTCTTGCACACCCAACGCCGCAAGACTTTGCGATGTATCGATTACGGGACGTCCATCTTTGAGAAAATGCTGTGCCTCGGGAGGGACATTGGTCTCGGCTTCGACGATGGCTTTGATGTCGTTCAGTGTCATGTCGGGCGAAACCTCTAGATTGAGGAAGTCTGAATTGATGCTGACATCAGAAGTGACCACAGATACTGAGATGCGCCTGTGAGGATGTTAGCTTCACGTAGAAATCCAAGGTGGCGTCAGAAGTACGTACATCTTGAAGACCTAGAGGCAAGGAATAGGCAAGCTCGGGGTATAGTTCCAGCAAAGTTGAGGAAGAGAGAGGAAGATATTCGCAGAAGGCGCGACGAATGGGTTGAGGGAGCGCAGGGTGAAAGAGAATAATTTGTAGAAGGACTCTAAGCATAGAAGTTCAAGGTGGCAGAGAAGCATCGAGAAGGTCGAAGTGAGAGCTGCCTCATGATTGATGATTTGCCGTGCAGTGTGTACTTGTACAGTAATTCTGTGGAACTGTGAACAACGGGCGGATGACGTGCCCGCAGCTGCCTCCCAAGGTGCTTTAACCAGGTAGAGGCCTACAGACCCTAAGCCCAGCCTATCCACTAATATCCACGGCCTCTATTTAAGCTTAAGCTTATTTCACATTAGGCGGGGCGAGCACCCGAATAGCTCGTCCGGCGCCCCGACCGCCGAGGGGAGATACTCATATGATGGCGACGGGCCACCTAAAGATCCCCGCCTGAGCTGTCTTGGTGTGTTGTCTGTTCCTGGTCGCTGTGTACACCCAGGGCCTTGTTGGGATAGATATTGGCATCCCTGTTAGTAGGAGAATTTTCCCACCAATATGGCAATCAGTGATTTACTTATGCAAGCCTGAGCCCGCTATCGATTAGAGAGTCAATCCACTGGTGAACCCATGCTAGACAGGTGGGTGTGGTGCCTGTTGCTCGCAGAAAGCCTGCAACGTCAGAGGCACTCTTACCGAGGCCAGCACCCCGGACATGCTCAAAGCCTACTGTAAGCATAAAGCTGTCAAGCGAGGGCCCTAAAAGGATATCCCTCTTGTTCTACGAGGCACTGAGTGCTGTACTGGTAAATTGGTATGCATGTACTTCATCTAAGATCGTCTTGCCCATCAAAGCTGCCTAGTGGCAAGCGTGCTCGCCACTAAAGGCAGATAGACTCTGCTAGTGAGTGAGAGTACGAGTTCTCTGTACTCTGTGGTAATAGGCACAAAGTCACTGCCCCCCGGCTTGGCCCTCAAATTTGATCTCATCCTTTTTGTTCGCAGCACGATCTTCCTCCCGCCGACAGCCTGCTTCTGCCGACGCCCGACGCCGCCGCATTATCCTGATACTGGTCTTTACAAACACCGAGTTCCTTGCCCTGTTATCCGATACACCCCGTTCAGATCCTTGGCTGTGTACTGTACACAGAAAGTGCGGATGTGCGAATAGTTTTTCCGCTTCCGGACGCAGTACTCGAGACTCAGGCTCAGCAGGCGCGCTGGGATAAGGCCTTGCACTGTCTCCTTCCAGATCCAGGTATATTGTACGCACTCTAGGCACACAGGCTTTGCACCAGATCTTCCATATAGTCTATCCGGCTATCCGGCTGCCGCAACATCGAATTGAAAGCTGTACTCCGTAGTGCTCTGTACTCGGTACCTCGTACAGCCATGGCACCAAACTTGCAAAACCATGACCAATCACCTGGTGCAGGGCCTGCCAAGAGCGCCGACTCACAAGGCCCTAACCCTAGTCATCAATCGTTCCCGGCCGACGAGGATTTCATCGACATCAACCACACCGACATCGACATGCCCGATCATGCGACCGACGGTGACAAGGTTCATTCTTCTCCATTAGATCTGCACCGCTACGGCAACAACATTCGCGACGTGGACGACATTGGTGACGGCGAAGACGATTCAGAGGATGATGACCACGATCCTATGGCAAATCACTCACTGTTGAACATGCTGACTGGAAGATTGGGCGGCCGTCGCCGTGGTTCGACTCACAAATGGGATCGTCTCCATCCCGAAAACCAAGCATTGTCTGTTTCCGACGTTGACCAGTGCTCCAGACTCGAAGAAGACGCATTCCCGCCTGAGGAACGGGCAAGCCGAGAAAAAGTGAGAACCATCAACGGCTTTGTCGACCGGCGTCCCACCATGCAGCTTGAAATCCTGGCACAATTGCTAACAGACTCTTCCCCTTTAGATTTTGTATCGCCTGACAAGATGTCCTGAACTGAGCTTAGGTCTGTTTACCCAGCCTACCAAGGCAGAGGCTGAAGAATCATCTACACCTGCTCAGCGACGCCTCATTGCGCACGTCGTATCGACTCGCACCCCTGCGCCGAGTGTCACTGAAGCATCCATGGCAATTCCGGCGAACTGGAAGACCAGACGCTCATCTCTTCCGAGTATCGATGACACTGAAGAACCTCTTGGGCACCAGGACCAAGGAGGCACGATTTGTATCCATTCAGTGGCCGTCGCACCGGAGTTTCAGAAAATGGGCCTCGGCTCGATTCTCATGAAGTCCTACATTGCACGAATCAAAGATTCGAAATCGGCGAAACAATTGGCTCTCCTCGCCCATGACCACCTGGTTCCATTCTACAAGGGCCTAGGGTTCGAGAACATGGGGCCTAGTGCAGTCACGAGCCACGGGGGTAACTGGAATAGCATGGTATGTTCGGGTTCTGTATGGTTTACTGATTGCCGCAAGCCTGATGACAATTTTAGATCCTAGAGTTCTCTTACGACGATGAGGAGTAAACGGGGAAAGTCACGGACAGAAATCTGTGGAGGCAGTCGAATGACAGATTCCAAGTGGGTGGATTGTTTGGTAGCCGAATCTTGCTACACTACTGTTGGAGGCTCTGAGACGTACAAGCCAGGGGCATCAGTGACAACATACTCGGTACGCAGAACACTGTACCGAGTACTCGGTCCAAGTCCTGCCAAGTAGGTTGAACGTCAGGTTGAACGTCAGGTTGATCGTTGACGAGTGAATGAGGGTGATGATGGCTACGAGTAGAACTAGATGGTTGGCATTCTTGTCTAGATGGCCACTCCTAGTACTATGGAGCGCCGGGAAGTCGATGCCTATTGATTTGACGTGGCGGTATGTTCCTACATAGTACGTAGTAGTCTCTTGAGCAATCAACGGTGTACTGCAGGTGTTCAAGCAAGCACGAGTACTGTAACCTAGTTTGCCTTGGATTCAGTTTGTGGACTGCTCTATAGGAGGAGTCTCGGATGAGCAGCAGGTCTGCAATTGTCATCCGTTGGTCTATCTGTCGAGGGACTGCAGCGTGCAGGGCTAAGTGGGTTCAAGAAAGGGGACAAGAGACCCAAGGACGGGTCGGCTTGAACATCCAGCTGGGCGAGTTTGCAGGAGGCGAGGGCAGCGAATGCCTGTGCTTCTTATGATAAGCGAGCGTCTTGGAGAGTTTCCCCTTCTCAGGTCTCTGATCTCTGTTCTCAGTTCTCAGTTCTCACGTCTCAAGTTCTCAAACCCACTTTAACCCACTTTCCACGCTCGGTCCACCCATTTTCCACGGACCCCTCCCATCAGCGTCACATTGATTGCCTCGCTTCCCAACGCCCGGTTTCTTCCTTCGCGGGTCCGATCAACCACCGCATGGCGTCGGCTGATGAGTGAGATCATCTCGTGCCATCAATCGCCGAGCACCGAATTAATTGCCTTTCCATCTCTATCGTTATTGCAAGCACATACTCAAGCGTCGAGGAGGAATCAACAAGAACCAGCATCACGGCCTCCACGATCACAGCATCAATTGATCCACTCAGACTCCCACCGTACGCTACATCCTTTCCAACCTTATATCTCTGGGCACTGGAACTATCGGCGGGTGTATTGAGCAGTCGCATCCTGGCGAATCGCGAAACCCGGAATTGCATCCCACCTCATCCGCACTTCCCCCTCTGGTATCGACTGCTCAACTGCGCCCTGCACTGCACTACACGCCGCTGAGTTAATACCACGACCCCCCTACCGTTCTTCTGTTCTCTCGACGTCACTGCGAGGAGTCTGACACTGTCGTGGGCCCGCAGCTTGTGTTATTGGGAGTCAAGAGAAGCGGAAGACTGCGGGTGTCATCTGTACTGAGTGTGCAGACTAATTGAATCGACTCTTGAGAAGCCGGAATTCATACATGCACGAGGGGGCCCGTCGCCCAGATCATCTGAGTCCCAAAGCCATCTGAGTCTTTGGAAATCGACAACTGGCGCCCTACACGAAGATAGAGACAGCAAAAACAAGAGGAAGTGAGATTCATCGGCAGTGTAGCGATGCCAACTAACCGACCCTTCTTTGCCAATTTCTTTTCCGCCTTCCGCGCTCGTACCAGTCCAACGTTCTCAGCCAAATCGACATCCACGTACGATGCAGTGATCTCGCCGGGGTCGCTGGTTGCAGCAGCCCATGTTTCCACCAGTACGGCGACGGCGACGTCGACGTCGACGGTGACAAGGACCATCACAACGAAGGCCCATGACAGTCCAGCCGGGTCCTCGCAGTCAAGCTCACAGTCCAAAGCGTCGACGAGTAGTACGGCGCCGTTACCCTTCTCGACGAACCCCAGCTCACATCGATACGCCACGCCATTATCTCCCGGCACGGCCTCACCGACTGTCGGTCTATCCCACATCCACCCCCATTCACCGTCACATACATCACACGCCAATGCGAGCCTCTCGATGTCGCCGCCTGCGCCGACACGGGGCCGACAGCGACGCGGTAGTGACAGCTCGAATTCGTCGGGCGGCTTCATCGATGCACTGGGAGCGGAGAAATGGTACATCGGTGGCAGAAACGCGGCAGGGGAAGAAACGTTTTACAAGCTGGGCCTGGTGACAGGAGGGAAGGGTCGGAGGGTTCGAAGTCTAGATCGATTGAGCTTGTAAGCGGTGGGAGGTGGGCAGGCAAGGCTGGCGGGCGGCGTTAGGAACATTGCAATGAATTCCCATCATAGGATATGAATTACGAGCAAAGGAATGTCCGATGGCGACAGGTTTCGGATTGGCGCATTTCTGTACAGCATCGGGTGGGTGAATGAACGGGGAAGAGAAAGGCTGGACTGGACTACTCCGTACACGTCTTGTCTTGTGCAATGTCCAGGCCAGCTATGGTCCGAAGAGCAGGATAGGCCTGTTGGTGAGTGGTCACTGGTGGGATTGCACATGGCATGGGCGCGAGGGGCGTTCGTGGGATGGGAAAATGGCCACACGGCCACACTTGTTGGGCGGCTATGCCTCGTACACTGTACCGAGTACGGAGCCACCTGGGTAGTCTTTCTCTGATGGTGTTGTGACCAAAGATGGACCATGACATGGGAAGCTACATAGTTTGAGGCATTTTCATCTTTCCAAGCTGCGGCCACAATGAAAGAAAGCACGCTGGTACGGTGTGGTCTTCAAGAGCAGTACAGAGTATTACGCACCGACTACCACGTAGCTCGTCCTCTGCATCTGCATTGCCAGCCTTACCAGCCTGATGGTGAATGCAGCTGGAGTAGCCAGTGGACGATTGGCAGGCATAGTGCCCAGTTAGGCAAGCGTTGCTCATAATCAGCGAATCGGTCAAGGTGTCCCGACATGAAAGCTTGGAAATCGGTGCTATGACAGGTCTCATTGATGATTAAAGACGTGAGAGAGAGTGTGTGATCTGGGCTGACTTGAAGCCGCAAACAGTTTCCTGCATATATTTGGTAGGACAAGACAGAACGACTCGACGTGCAGATGGATGATTGATGAGATGCCATGGGCCATGGGTGCACACGCCTGTACGAGTACTCAGGCCTCAGGATCCGGCTAGGAGGCACATCCCTTGCGCATGAATTGGTATCCGTACTTGGTACTTGGTACTCGGTGCTATGTTAGTTAGTTGCCCGCTAGGGAGGGCGAGATGCATGAAGCGACCATGGCCGATGAGATGGATGGCGGACTAGTTGTTGCCACCCTGGCCTACGAGTAAGTAGCCTGTAGGTAGTTACGAGGTCCAGCCTGAATGCGTGTGTGACTCGTAGAGCCACTACTCGTACGAAGAGCTGGCACCTGGCTTGAGCTCGGATGGAACCGATTGAGGTCCAGTTCGCGATAGGAATATGGATGAGAAATGAGAAATACGGAGTACCTACTACTGTACATCCTGTAGTCTGCAAGGTGATGTGTCCAGGCGGTGGGGGAAGCGCGCCTTTGTACAACCATACCAGCGGTCTACTCGTACGTCGTCGCTGTGTGTACGGAGGACAGTTTCCAGGTCAGGGCCAGGGCCAAATACGGACAGTCGAGCGGCAGTCGGCTGGTATGGACAGTAATTGTACGGAGTAGACATCGAGCTGGGCTGGGAGCCACTCTCGCCAGGATCTACCCGGTGGCTCTATCCAGGTGGATAAGCGTCAGAGCAGATCACTTGGGAGGAGGGAGATGACAAAGGCTGGTTGATTGATGGCTTGGTACGGATGGGGGACGGGGATGGGGGACGATGGGTACGGGTGCTTACGAGTACTGCTCGGTGCTTACGAGTAGGACCGCTTGGTGCTCACTGCTCACTGCTCACTGCTCACTGCTCAGGCCTGCACCTTGGTTTCATGCACCCGCGCCTGTCTTTTGAATCTCAATCTCCATCACCCCTGTGCGTCTCCCTAGGGTTTCAGGTTCAGGCTGTCCAGGGTGCTCAAACTGCGGGAGCTGCACCTGCACAGCACCTGCCCAAGCGTGACGGGGGAGACCCTGGCAAGGACCGCGGGCCCCTGGAGAGCCATGTCCATTTCCATGTTCAGGCCAATGCCGAATGCCAATGTCCATGAGGCCAACAAATGGCTGTTGCAGCGACGGTCTTTTTGACTTTGGGCGTTTGGTGCAAAGGTGCATCCTCCCTCTCTCGTCCCTTCTTATCACTGTGGTTAGTCTTTGTGGCAGCCACTCCGCAGTCTGTCCTCGTTCCCGGCCAGCAAGTCACTCGAAGCCGTCTCCTCTTTGCCATCAACCATCTCAAGGTGCGCGTCCCAACCAAGTCGGACGATCCCGCCCTCGCCCTCGGCCTGACCCTCACCCTCACCCTCACGCAATGCAATGCAATGCAATGTAATGTAATGTCCGTCTTGATCCAAGTCAGATCTCCCTCTGCGCCTTGTCCTGCGTACGATGACTCCGTCCTGCGTCGCTCCCCTTCGTCCCCCACACGACTCGTATGTCCGCTCCATCCGATTCCCACCATTTCCCATCCATCATCGATTGTCCCTCGTCCATTATCCACCTTGCTTCCGCTACCACCTCCAGCCGACCACGTCCAGCCTGCCCCTCGACTCAGTCCCACTCCATGGTCTCGTTGCATCTTCTATTCATCACCCTCCATCCGCGCCTCGTCCCTCCTGGCGCCTCCCGCCTCTTGCTGCATCGTATCTGCATCCTAAACACGTCCCCGAAAATCATGTCGATCCCCCCCTGCCGCGGCTGCTAGCTGCTCGCCTTCTGCCCGCCAATCGCCCTCGTCTGCATGGGCCTCCCATCGATTCCCCATTCCCAATTCCCATACGCCTGATCCTGAACCTCAGGCTGTTCTGTTTTCCGCCGTGGCTTCGTCTCAAGGCTCAAACTCACGTCGTCCATCTGAGTCTTGACGACCGACGACCGACGACCTTGGTAGGTCGCCTACTTCCCTACTTCCTCCTCCTCCTCCTCCTCCTGTCCTCCTCCTGTCCTCCTCCTCCTCGACGCCGTACTTCTTCTGAGACTGCCTCTACCCATCACCACGGAATCCCACCGAGTGCCACTCCTCCCTTCTCAGCCTGTTGCTTCATCCCACCCAGTAGCCCACCCCGGTAGTTTGCTTCTCACTGCTCAACCTCATCCTCCTACCATTGTACTTCACAAGCCTGCCCTCCACCACCTCATCCATCCCTCCACCCCTCTCCAGCCAGCCATGTCCTCTCGATAGCATCCTGCCAGCATGAAGTCACTGAAGCGCGTAGCAGTAGAAGGCCCGGAAGGTGCACTCGAAGCAACTTCTCGGCCGGCCTCCTTCTCATCTTCAATCTCGCGAAGATCGCCCCCCACCAGGAATCACTTGAGTCCACCACCCAGTCCATCTGCCAACACGACAAGTCCACCTCACAAGCCCGTCGGCATGGAACGTATCTTCACCTTGACCCCCACTCCGACCGCCGTCCTCGATCACACCCTCTGTTTCACTGCCGTCTCCCACACATACCAGCAGCTCTTCAAGACGACACTCGACGATCTCCGCGGTCGGGGCTTCTTCGACGTCATTGCCCAAGTCTTGGATGCCACAAACGTACTCCTGGTCAAGCAACTCGTCAACGATGCCATCTCCTCTCGCAAAGAGTCCAAAACAGAGCCTATCCTCGGCAGCGTTCTCCCGGGCCATTGGCGTCTGAGAGCCATCCCGATCTACGATGGAGACGACCTCCTCTATCTCGTCGTCGAAGGTCAAGATGCCACTGCAGACGTCGAGCAGGCCATTGCCCAGGAAGCCAAGCTCGAAGTTGCCGAAACCTATCGCGTGTTGGTCAGTACCCTCCGCGACTACGCCATCTTCATGCTCGATACCACCGGTTGCATCTCCACTTGGAATACTGGTGCCTCCCTTCTCAAGCAGTATTCACAAGAAGAGATCATTGGTCAGCACTTCTCAATCTTCTACAGCGACGAGGACAAGAAGGCCACAAAACCCCGGAAAGAGCTCGAACTGGCCCTGCGCGACGGCAAGGTCGAGGACGAAGGCTGGCGCGTGCGCAAAGACGGAACTCGCTTTTGGGCCAACGTCATCATCGCCCCCGTCTACCGTGACGGTATCCTGCAAGGTTTCAGCAAAGTCACTCGTGATTTGACTGAACGAAAAGCGAGCGAGGCTCGCCTCATTGCTGCATACGAAGAGGCCTCCAGACTGAAGTCAGATTTCCTCGCCAACATGAGCCACGAGATCCGGACCCCCATGCACGGAATGCTGTCTGCCCTGTCCCTCCTCATCGATACCGGCCTGTCCCAGGAACAGCATGAGCTTGCTGATATCATCGATGAATCGGGGGCCATCTTGCTGCAAGTCATCAACGACATCCTCGACTATTCCAAGCTCACCTCCGGCGCATTTTCCATCACCACCAAAGAGGTCATCAGCATCGCCGACATCGTCGCCGCAGTGCGCCGCAGCTATAACGTCGGGCCCGAGTCTGGCCCGCGCTTCGAGATTGAATTGGACCCAAAACTACCCAAAGTCGCTCAAGGTGATCCTCTGCGCTACCGCCAGATCTTGCAGAACCTCGTCTCCAATGCCGTCAAGTTCACAGAACACGGCTATATCCGTGTCAAAATCATCTTGACCCATGAAGACGAATCCTCTTACAGTATCAGGACAGAGGTCATCGATACCGGCATCGGTGTCCCCGCCGAGTCCGAGAACTTCTTGTTCATCCCTTTCACTCAACTCGACAACTTCTCCACCAAACGATACAAAGGCACGGGACTTGGCCTTTCAATATGCAAAAGCTTGGCAGAGTTGATGGGCGGCACAGTAGGCTTTACCAAGAACGAGGACTGCCAAGGCAGCAACTTTTATTTTACCGTCACAGTGGGAAAACTGGAAATCGCTCCACCGGTACGTCCAATCGTGTCCACCGCCGACCTGGATATCAAAGCATTGGCGCCGAACAAGCACCTCCTCCTGGTCGAGGATAACGCAATCAACCAGACCATCATGGTGCGGCTGTTGCGAGGCTTCGGTTTCGAGAAGGTCGATGTCGCCTGCGACGGTGCCGACGGGTTGCGACTCGTCAAGCAGAAGCCATTGGCCTACAGCCTGATCCTTATGGACATTAGCATGCCTGTCATGGATGGCGTTAATGCGACCAGGCAGATCAGGGCCTCGGGCTCCACCATTCCCATCATTGCCATGACTGCAAACGCTTTAAAGGGAGATGAAGAGGCTTATCTGGCGGAAGGCATGAACGATTACATTGCCAAGCCTGTGGACCGGAGATTACTCATGCAAGCACTTTTACGATGGCTACGATGATATACCTATAAACCCACGTTTTGCTCAATCTAGACCTACACGATCAGTTGAGAATCTGGTTCGAACGAACAAACTGGCCACCGATTGCCCCAACCCTCTCGCTGAATGCTCCCATGCATTACCTGGAGACGGTGTCACCTTGGGAAGACCGTGTTCTACACTCAGTTCTCAATCGCTCTGGTCCGCGACATTGTTAACTTTCGGCAAGTGATCCGCATGTTCTGTGGCACTGACTTATGGGGCAAGTCAAAGATCCAAGGTTGGAACCAGCGCCCGCTCAAGTCCCATTGCAAGGCAAACCGCGTACGTTTGTGCCTCAGCAGATGTGGTTGGCGCGCCCCGGCATCCGGATTCAATTCCAAGGAGGCACGATGCCTTGCATTTGGACGATCGCGGGAAGAAAACAGAAGCCAGGCTATTCATTGTGAAGCTTGAGCAGTGGTCCAGTCACTACGCGGAACCACGACGATATCTGGCAAGTCTCAACCAGGGAGAAGCAAAGAGCGGCCACTATTTCGCCACTAGTATTTGCACAACAGCTTAAGAACAAACCAGAGAAAGCCCGCCGCATCAGATTGTCCCCAGGCAGTATGTAGCTATACACTGTATATTATAGTCTTGATGTAAGAAAAGAAGTGAATGAAATGTTTATTGGGCAAACTCCGTTATGCCTGCGTGGTTTCTTCAGTTGAATCACTGCGAATTGTGCCCATACGGTATTATCAACCTATGGTCAGCCTCGCTTAATCGACTCACTCTCATCCATCACTAGGGCTTAGGTCCTCCCCTTCCTAGCGTCCCAAAATCCCTTGCCATAACTGACCACGATCTCGTCCCCCTTCTTGATCCCCCGGGCCCTCGTCGTGCCCTTGTCGTTCTTCCTCGCCCTGCCAGCACTCAAGACAAAAACGCCAATCCTTCTCTCCCCAAGCCCCAGTCCGATTGGCGCCACACAGTCTCGAAACTCGGCATTGGGACCCTCCCCGCGCACGCCGCGATAGTCATTGATGAATCTCGCTTCGTTCCCGAACTGCGTCGCGTCGACAGACAAATCGAGCTGTCGGTCGAGATTCAGGTCGTAGTTGGATGTCGTGTCGGTTGTGAAACTGTCGTGCACGTGACCTAGGTAGAAGAGGACAAACGAATCCGGAGGCAGTGCTTTTGCTGCGAAAAGCCCCGACTGTCCGCAAGCAGGGTGCGACGGTAGGGTGATGGGCGTGATTCGGACCAGTGGGCTGGGTATGGCCGGAGCGGGTGTGATGACTGGGTAAGCACCAGCCTCGTGGATTTGAACCTGAAGCGCCGAGGCACTCAGTGGTGGTGGGATGTGGAATTTCCTCAGGAATACGACGTCGCGGGGCCAGTTCTTGGGCACAGCTGGACTCGATGCCGGCATTGTCGAGCAGAATGCATTCAGTCGCAGTCTAACCAACTGGCATGTTCCTCTTCTGGAGAGATTGACTTCTTTGGCCAACCCGCGAGATGCAGCGTCAGGATCACCCCTGCACCTATTAACCTCCCCGCATTCTTTTGTCCAAGCTCTGGTTAAAGGTGTTGGTTGCCCAGAAAGTCCTGTCGCGGACTGAGATGAAGGGAACTCACCGAATCCTTAGCGAACAGCCTGAGACCCGAGATAGGGAGTGATGGGGGATGCGGGACATAGTTTTCCGCAGATCTGGAAATATATTCACAATGTCTTGGCTTTCGAAATTTATGAATGAGATTCATAACTATACTTCATGCAAACCGATTACGGCCAGAGCAAATGTCATCTCCCACTGTTCATCACACGAATCTCTTGCCATGTTGGCAGCACCCTCTTGGTCATCCACACACTGGTCTCCCCTCCATAGAGACCGTCTCGATCAGGAAGTACTACTTCTCTCAAGGCTCAAGCCTTGTGCGCCGCCTCGACCAGCTGCCAGTACTTCGCAGCGCTGCGAACCCGGAAGCCCTTGCCCCATTTAATCATGATCAAGAAGACGCTGCAAGCAGCCAGACCGACAAATGCTGCGGAGATGAAACAGTTCTGAACGCCCATATTGGTCAACCAGGGAGTGATACTGTTTCCTTCATTAGCCGAAGACGGCACTGGTGGGACTAGACAGGACTTACCCGTAGCTCATCGCGAAGGATAGAGTATTGCGCACCAGAATGCACGTCACAATACTGTCACCGCTGATATCGTGATAACTGTCGATCAGATAGTTGATACTGAGAGTTACTCCAAAAGTTGTTGCACAGGCCAACACCCCCATCGCGAAGACGAGGCCGAACCAATGCACGCCCTGCGCTGCTCCCACGCCCCAGAGGACCAAGGACCCAGGGACTAGGATCAGGCAACATGCAAAAGGCCATAGGCGGAACTCAGCCTCCATTATGCCGGCGTTGCGTCGTGCGAGTCTCAGCGTCAACCAGTCACTTAGGGGCCCAGAGAGGAAGGAGCCAACGATAACGCCGATGGTGCACGACATATAGCTGAGGCCGACCATGGATGCGGAGAAGTTGTAGGGCGGTGCGCTGAGGATCACAGATGCCGTGGCGTTGAGGACGTTGAACCAGACCAGGTACGATCCGTACGAGAAGCCAGCGTAGAAGATCACCGGCCAGCCGAGGAACTTGAGACTGTGGATTGCGCGTTTCACCATGCCCTGCCCGGGGGTCGGGTGCCAGACCGCCAACTTCTGGACAAAAGTCTTGGGAGGACCATATACTTCGCCCAGTGTCTCATCGCTTGCTCTCGTGACGGCCGGCGATTTCTCTCTGTCGTCTTGCAGGCTCGGTGTACGTGGTGGCGTATTGGTAGCGATCGCCACAATACCGGTAGTATTGCGAACGTAATTGGTCTCTTCCATGAAAAAGAAAAGGAAGAGAAAAAGAAGACCCAAGAAGATGGAAGGGTAGTAAAAGACCCACTGCCAGCCTTGGCCTTCGGCGATGAATCCACACAGGACGGGAGTAAAATAGTTGCTGCCTGCCAGAGTGAAAGCGTAGATGCCCATGTATCGGCCACGTTGATGGGTGAAATACTGGTTGGCACGAATTCGTTAGCAATCGCCTGGGAGAGGACTTTCCTTGCCACGACTTCCACGTACCACATCAGTTACAGATATCTCGGGTAGTGATTCGATAGGGGCCAGGAAGAAACCTTGGATGATGGACCGAGCGAGCCACTCTCCATCGCTCTTAACATATGCGCTGTCTACTGGTCAACATGACAAACCAGAAAACCGTTCAAATGAGGGACAGGTGATTACCTCCAAATGCAGGTCCCCTTGGTCAAAGTTAGCTTGGTGCCTTGTACGGCTCGAGACATGGAAACTTACAATTCCACCCAAGGTGGAGAGCAGATATGTCAAGCGTTTCCCGTATCTCATCGCGAAGGGATTCCAAAAGAGCAGCCCCCAGCCCAGTAGGAGGAACATGTACCCGCCGCCTTCCACTAACGTGGATATCGACACTCCATTGCTCTTAGAGAGCGGAACGAGAACGGAGTATACGGTTGACCCCGACATTCCAGCGAACCAAGTGTACCTGAGACGATCGTCAGCAACCGTCGCCAAATGGCTGGGCGAAGCAACTCGCAAGTTGGTACAGATCGTGGCCATCATCTTCCTGCGGGGGCTCCAGTTGAGCGGGTCGTTTGGATCAGGGGAAGGCGTGGGATCGAGAACAACGTCTTGATTGCCGCCAGATGCATGTTGAGTTTGCATGGTGTGGTCGAGATCAACCAAATGCACCGTACCAGGCGTCGTCCCTGATAGGTCACCGGTGTGCTCATGAGACAGAGCCATGGCTGCGAGAACAAAATCAAGGTAGAGCAAGATAGAGGTGCATGCACTGAGCGTGATGCAGAGAAGATGGACTCCTGCGTTCAGGATGTTGAACGTTTCAGTGCATACTTATACCCTCTGCGCAAACTTAACCAATCTAAACCGGCACGAAGCCGCGACCGTTGATTGCCCGGGAGTTCTATTGCGAGAATTAATTCCGCGGCTGCCCCTGGCGCTGATAACACAGATACACACACACACACACACACACACACGATGGCCATAAGAGTGCGAACTTGGAGGATGTTGATTGCCGTCCCGCGAGGTGAAGCAGGAGGGTGCGGAGGCTTGAACGGTTTCTATCGCGTGGCGCAGAGATAACGCCAACTCAACAGCCATAAGAGATATGTACAGCAAAGAGCGGTAAAACACTTGATTTGCTAGAGCGCCAAACGAGGAAGTTTCCCCAGAACTCCAGCGGCGAAATGCTCGAAGCTGGGTTTCATTGGGCCAGGCGGACTTCACAACAAGGGAAAGCCACGCGTAAGGGGAGTGCGGGACGGACATCACCACATCTTGGAGAGATAGCGCATGTCCCCAGCGACGGTAAGGTTCTCAGGACGTCTTGAAGCAGATTGGTACAAGGCTCTTAAGCAGTTATAGACTCTCCACTCTGTTAGTTGGACGGACTAAACTTTCGCGGAATCGCCTCTGATTGGTAGCCTCCCAGACTTCTACAGGGGATCTCCACTCGGGCCTCGAATGGTCGGACAGTATCCTGTCAAGGTCGGTGGTGAATACCAAAGAGATGCTAACTCTCCTTCCGCTCTGGGGCTGAGAGATCAGGGACAGATATCGTGTTGTGAGCCGGACTGGACGGTACGCTGCCGCGAGCAACAACACGTCAACATCCGTTATATATATTGACGTATCTTTGTGAATGCACCGTCGCGTCGTTGTCTCCGATAGATCTCCCCACGGTAAATGCCTATCTAGCATGGGTTCAAGACCACTGCCGATCATTGTCACCAAGCCTATGCTGAAGGGCACACCGGAGTATGAGGTCAAACGTCTTCCTTTATTTGCTGCCATCGCTGAGAATATCCCCGAAGAATGGTATCTTCCTCAAGAGCTGATCAACAATCCTCCACGAGATGTCTCCACTATTCCCAGCACCTGTGGCCTCCTGAGCGCCGAAGAGCTCGACATCACGGAGAACCACGATGCAACCAGCCTCGCTGAAGCCATCGCGGCGCGAAAGTACACGGCCGTGACCGTCATCAAAGCGTTCATCAAGCGTGCTGCTATTGCGCACCAGCTGGTCTGCTGCTTGACGCAATTCTTCCCTGAGGAAGCCCTTGAGCAGGCCGCGAAGCTGGATGAACATGTCGCCAACACTGGTCAGACGGTGGGCCCTCTCCATGGTGTGCCAGTAAGCATTAAAGAACATATGCCAATCGCGGGACACAGTTCCTCCTACGGCGAGCTGAGCACAACATACTCCGAGGACAAAGACTGCCTCATGGTCAGCATCATGCGCAAAGCCGGTGCGGTGTTTTACTGTAAAACGAACCAGCCCCAAGCAATTATGCACATGGAGAGCAGCTCTCACTTTGGCCGAACCCTCAACCCATTCAACATTCATTTGACTTGTGGTGGTTCGTCTGGAGGCGAAGGAGCCTTGATTGGAATGAAGGGTTCCGTGCTAGGCATTGGCAGCGACATTGGCGGGAGTATTCGCGCACCTTCAGCTTTCTGTGGAATTTATGGTTGGAAACCAACCTCCAACTTGCTACCCATGAGGGATATGCTTAGGGACCCAATGCCGGCTGAATTGAATGTGCTGGCTTGTACTGGTCCAATGGGTCGAAGTCTCCGGGACATGGACCTTGTGACCAAAGTTGTTCTCGACACTGAGCCCTATTTGGAGGATCCAAAAATGATTCCAACCTTATGGAAAGGTCTGCAAACCCCCGTTTCGAGGCGACTCAAGATTGGTATTATCGAGAACGACGGCTTTATTGAGCCCCAACCACCAGTCAAGCGGGCCATTGCCTGGGTGAGGCAACTTGTCTCGGATCCCAAGTATCAAGACTTGATCGAGGTTAAAGACTTCCACCAGTATAAGGCCGCCGAAGCCTTCGACAAAGCTTGGCGTATGTTCATACCTGACGGCGGTGTAGGTGTTCTCGCAGCAATCGAAGCCAGTGGAGAGCCTGTCCTGCCATTAACTCGCTGGCTCATCCACGAAGATGCTAAAATGAAAAATGCTGTCGAAGTTGCGTATCTGCGACAGGAACGAGACAATTTCCGCATCGAATATGCCGCTAGCTGGAACGCTCAGGACGTCGACGTAGTTATCGGACCTACTCATGTGGGACCAGCTCCGCAGCACGATACAACGCGCTTCTGGACATACACCACATTCTGGAACTTGGTAGATCATCCTGGTCTCGTATTTCCAACGCCTATTAGGAGCGAAGCCGGTGAGAAGTATGCCGACAATTATAAGCCGCTTTCCAACGAATGTCGCATTGTGAAGCAAGAGTGGGACGACGGTAATTTCGAGGGTGCTCCGATAGCACTGCAGATCAACGCCAGAAAGTACCACGACAACCAACTATTTGGCGCTCTATCCATCTTGAAGGACATTTTGGGTCTTCCGTGATAGATGGATGGTAGACAATATCACTAGCTAGAGTGGCTAATAAGATGAAATGCTGCCATTAGCTCCCGCGCTTGGATGCATTGAGATGTGGCTTGCACAGAAGTCGTGGTGGCTGAGTTGAGTTGAGTTGAATGGATTCCTTATCTTCGTTTCACCCTGTCTCTTCTGGCCAATGGGATAGCTCAGCTGTATTTCACGAAGCGAGTCGACGCCTGGAGGCCTTTATCTGGAACCTATCGTTTCCACCTCTGTCAGGCAAAGAGTACTCTGGAATTTGTAGAAGTGTGACCAGAATACCCGGCACCTACCTCCCAGGTACCCATGGCAGTCAGATCGATGCTGCTCGTGTATCCCTGTTCCAGTCACAGCTCGAACAACAGCCATTCATAAACCGCGCAAAGTATTCACCCCTCGTCCAGTCGAGAGGAGAGCCGATGGCGCCACGGCGCCACGGCCCTTACATTGAACGTTTTCCCAGTGTCCATTATTTACTGTCGCCGAGTAGTAATTCCTCTAAGTTCTCAGAGATAGTATCCCTGCATCAGATGTCTTCGTGTAGTTCATCAACAAACCTTTTACGCGGTGGTGGTAACATGGATCTTGCGATCTTCAGAGGCATCTAGAGACTATGCTGCGCCAACCACTCTCACCAATCAGCCGCATGCTGACCGTTCTCACCCCGCCTTGATTCATATAAAGTATAAATCTATCTGAAGCCGCTCCAAGCCATTCGCCACCCTCCATCCCCTCATGGAGGAGGGCAAGAGTCACAGCCAGCATCATCTCGCGCCACAGCATTTATTTGCTATGCAAGGCCGACTCAGGGCTGCCGAAAGGGCTATTCTCATGCCACATGGCAGTGGAGCACCTAGACTGCGTGTCAAGACCGGTTGCCAGACTTGTGAGTCCTTGAGAGACCCGAAACAGAAGCGCCGATGACTGAGAGCCTGAGATAGGCAGAACCCGCAAGAAGAAGTGTGACGAGGGACGTCCTGTGTGCCAGCGCTGTCTCGCACTAGGTTGGAACTGCGAATGGCCGACCTCAGAAGCACTTGTTGACCGAAGGCGTGCGCCGGCCCGTCAGCAGCAGTCAAATACAATTGTCACACATGCTTCCAAGATGGAGGAACAATTGTCTTCAGAAGGCGCACGGATCTCCTCGATGTCGGTGTCGGTGGCCCACGAGGCATTAACTCGTGATATAACGCCCCTCATATTCAAGCATTTCGTCGACAAGTATTATAACCTCATCCTATTGCCAAATTGTCATCCTGAGTACTACTGGACCTTTTTCCACGAACTCGAGCGACTACTCCCCGACTGTCGAAGTCTGCAGTATACGGTCTTGGCCAATGCTGCGTCACATCTTCACTCGACCATCGAATCTTCCCAGATGCAGGAACTCTCACTTACCTACTACCTACAAGCTTTGCAAGCCCTGCAAGGACTTCTTGGGTCAACTCCACAGCTGGAAAATAACAACGGGTTGCTGATCTCGATAATTCTACTGTACACCCTTGGAGTAAGTCAGATACTGTTTTCCCAGGTACCTTAACTTACTATGCTGATGTACATATTCCATCATTAGTCGACTAGCCAGGGCACTTACAGTGATATTCCTGGCCACATGAAAGCAGCTGTGAAAATCGTAACTCTGCGCCATTTCAAGAGCCACGCAGTCATGACCCAACCATTTGAACGGCTTGTCCTGGAGAGCGTCCTATTTTCAATGTTTATGGTATCCATGGGTCTATGGTCAGACCAATTCAACTCTGATAATACTTTCGACCTGAATTTCTGGCTGCATGCCGAACAGCTGCTAAACCGAATGAACGCATTCCCGGATTCATCCCCTGGCGTCGGTAGTCCGGTGATCGGCGTGCCTGTCGGGCTACTGAAGCTTCTCCTTCTTATCAGACAGCTGCGATACGACCCATCCGTCACAAGTGCGCACCTACTGAGCGACTTGAAGAGCGAAATCTCCACTTGGAAGAGCTCCATTATTTGCACTCCTGGTCCCGATTGCCCTGAAGATGATGAGTCGGAAGACCTTCGGTCGCGCATCACTCGAGACGCTGCGTCCCTGTTCATCATCACCGCATCCATTCTCACGGAGCAAATGATTGCGGGTGAATTGAAGACAACTATTCCTCTAGTACATGACTCTGGCTCATGGGAATTGCGCCGTGCTACGTCAATATTGAGGAAATATCAAGACAGCGAGACGTGGTCAAGATTCTTCACTTCGAACGTTCCAGTCTATACCATCGGCTTCTTCGTTGTGGACAACGAGGACATCAAACTCGTTCGGCAAGATCTGCAGCGGAGATGGGATTTCACCAAGTTTGGCCATATTCTTCTGTGCCGCAGCGATTTAGAAGCCACGTGGGCAAGACGAGGTTGTGGAGGCTGAGATCTGCTACGACAAACCCTGCTGTGCCTCAACTGTAGCTGAATGACCATGTAACATGAAACATGGCTGAAATCTTCATCCCATGGATGGTTCTTTGATTATTCACGCTTCCTAACCATTCGAATTTATGAAAAATATTGATATGCTCGCGCTCCATCACTTTAACATCGACACAGCGCAGCGCATGCCTCTTGCAATGGAATTATCCAAGCCGCATTCATTTGGTCTACGTGGAAGTGTTTGGGAGGAGAAGACTCCCACATAGAAGCCTCGCCAAATATGTTTGCGTACATGCAAGGATCGAAGATCGTTCTGTTCCTGATATCTCGACCTAATTACCTTTGGTGCTAGGTCCAACTAGCGCAATCTTCGTCATGTCAGGATGTTCCTAAAGGTACTGGTCTCAACCCAGCTTGAACCAAAGTACCTGTACGTTGGATTCTCAACGCCAAACTGCTCCGAGGCGAATTCTTGAACATCTCAGACGCCTCATTCATACACGATTTACATCGAGCAGCTGACTACGCGGCTCTAACAGGCCAAGCCGTTGAGAACACCTTCCCGACCAAGATCCCTCTCACCGGGCAGAAGCAGCAACAGCTATAATAGGGAAGCCTGTTTCTGGTTAAGTCAAAAAGATATCCTGACTAAACTCCCTGCCGTTGGTCTTGGTTGATCAAGACAAGCGCCTTCTGGGTATAGGTTCTTATGACTATGCCAGCCTCAACAGATTATATGGAACCGGCCGATTCTTTTGTACTATGATTTACGCACCGAACACAGGATCAAGACTGAAATCCCGTCGTCGAAAACATGGAAGCCAAACATTCGTCAATAAGGCTGCCGGGTGCATTTGACAAGCGAGCTCCGATATTTAAGGAAGACTGCTAAGCAGGCCTTGCTATCATGAATGTGAGCTTCAGCTATGTAGCATTAGGAGTACAAACTATCGGATTGTCTGCATATATCATCATGTCTTGGACAGGATACAACGCACTCCTTGCAGGTTTCATTTCCGTCCTGAATTCCATTTTCTCCTCCATTAGTCTTGGCCCCATCAACTGAGGCTGGGAAAGCCATTGAGATGAATGATTGGATCGGTTCTAGATCAGAGAGTATAACGGAAGAATGGACTCCGGTCTCCCAAGTCCAGCAATTCCTGCTCAGTATATCTTGCCCTGACAGCGTCAGCTCCTTCCCTCGCGATGGTCTCATCTCGCAAGTTGTTCTGTCGCTTGTACTCCCAGCGTAGAATGAAGGCTGCAATTATTCCAAGGACACAAGTTGTTAGACCGACACCGAATCCGACTGGATACTTGGGAGCCTGTCGCGCAAGGTAGATATTGCTACCACAGATTCCTCCCATGTTGCCAACACTGATCAGGAGTGCCATGCCCACTGCACGCTTGGAGGATGGAGCTAGGTTGTTCGCGGTGAGCGCGACGATGCAGGTGAATGGGCAGTAGAGTCCTGTTGAGACCAAGAAGAGAAAGAAGTAGGTAACACCGGGATACTTCGGATGTGGGATTGCAAGCTCTGCAATGAAGCCAACAACACCAATAGCGAAACCACCCATGATAAATGGGGTTCTCTGCTGGACATGATCCGCCCAGAAAGCAACAATGACCGTCGCGATCATTGCCACCACATAAATGGGGATTGTCATCAATTGAGCATTGGCAGATGTGTAGCCAAGATCTCGCACCACAGCAGGCACTGTCGCAGTAAACCCATAAGTGCCAATACTGCATGCCCAGAATGGGAAGATGGACATCCAGATTCTCCAATCTGCGAAAGCCGACTTGATGTGATGCATTTTGATCTTGTCATCGTTGGTGACACGGCCGCGGCCATGTTCATATGCAATGCGGTTGACGACAAACTCTCGCTCTTCCTTGGTGAGAAATTTTGCGGTTTGAGGGCTATCTGGGAGGAGGAAATAAAGGGTGAACGAGATTGCGACTGGCGCGAGACCTTCTAGGATGAAGATCCACTTCCACCCTGCGAGCCCTCCAACCCCTTCCATTTTTTCAATGGCAAAGGCCAGAAGGCCGGAGAATGCCCCCGAGAGGGAAGCGGCGGCGTAGAATATTGCCATACGACTTTGGACTTCGTATCTTTTATACCAGATAGTGAGCAAATATGTTGCCGCGGGGAAAAAGCCGGCTTCTGTCACGCCGAGGAAGATACGAGCAATGACCAGGCCTTCATAAGTGTGTACGAGCCCCATGAGTGTCATAACTAAGCCCCAGCTGAAGCATAGGATGGAGATCCAGATCGACGGACGCAACATCTTCAACACAATATTGCTTGGTACTTCAAATAACGCGTATGGGACGAAGAAGACTGTCAATGCCGTGTTGTATCGTAGACCGTAAAGCTCGAGGTCCTCGTACATTCCGGCGATACGGGCATTTCCAATATTGCTTCGATCGAGGTAGGCAAGCCTAAGCTTGTCAGCAGAATTCATTTGTTTCGCGCATATCATCTTACAGGTAGAGGATTCCCAGCAATGGAACGAGACGATAATCGATCTTTCGCAAGATGCGTCGAGTCTCTTTATTGTCATATTCGATCATGACCTCATCCGGCGACATACCGTCATCGCCGGTCTTGAGCTCCTTGGAGCCTTTGCTCTCAACGTCTGGTGTGAGTTGAGCTTCTGTGTGCTTGTCGCTACTCCCATATTCAAAATGCTCTTTTCCATCCATCTTTTGGGCCATCTTGACTTTTCGCTCTTTGGAAAGAATTTCAGAAGGGGGAAAATTGGAGGAGCTTGGGAGACTCGTCCTAGATCAAGCGACGCAACTCATATCCTAATATATACCGGAGCAGCCTTCTTGTCCAGGTTCCGGGCATGCAGCAGACTAAGTGTTGCCGTCGGCTCAAAGGCATGGCATACTGGGGTATGAAAAACCAAACAAGCCAATTATTGACCTGGTATAGCCCAAACAGGCCAGCAAACCCCGCAGTAATTCGACTTAATGCGGGCATTGTGAACTGCCGAGACCTGGGGACATAGCGATCATGGGTTTCTGGAAGGGTAGAACGTATGATAACATCCAATCACTCAGCCAAGTTCTTCGCGAACGAATAGTTCTGAGGGCAGGGAGTCGGATCTTCCCCATAGTGTTGGTCTTATTACTGTCAATAGCCTAACTTCCGGTGCCGCTCCGGTGGAGCTCCGGTGGAGAGGGCGGGTGGTGGCCTGAACAGAGAACTATGAACAGTTAATTTCCTCCGTACCTCGTCGTCGTAGGCACGGCGCTCATTAAGCAGGTAGACCTAACTAATGAAGTAGATAGATTTGCTTAGGGCGCCCATCTTCGACCACCAGCAATCTGAGCCGCACTTCGGTTCAGGTGGGACAAAATGCACGAGGTTGCAAGCGAACCTACACCGGAAGCTCGTGATTTCTTCGTAGTCCTTCTGTTGATCATTCGATTGCGATCTCACTAGGCTGACGGGGTATCTTCAACGGAAACCTTCGAGGGTCTTGCTTCTGTCGAAGCATTCTATCACATGATCGCTCCTCGGGCAAACCACAGAGTGAGCATAGAGCCAATGATGTCGCTTGCGGCAAGAAACAAAGGTAATTGAGCTTTTCCGTTTACCTGGCCAAGATGAAGTGAGGGACTCACTTGCAGGCTCTTGCGTTTCTCATCGCTGATTTATCAATACTTGGAAAGTTGGGAGGCGGCTCGGTTCAACCAAAAATAACGAATGCGGTCTCGCATTGGAGACCAAAGAGCATACATAAACACTCAGGCGTTCTCCTCCTAAAACTAAGAATAGCTCCTTATCAAGCGAATGCACCAATGGCCGCCGACAAGGCAAGCAATACTGCAGGCACGTGACAGATCGAGGCACTGAGGCTGACTTCCTTCGACTTAAAAGGTCGCATAATCAGCATTCATGGCGCTCCATGATCGCAGACAATAACAACACACGATGATACATTGTATTATGCATTAAAGCTTTCTACCAAACCGATCTACGTTATGTACTATTTATGGTCCAAATGGCTCGATTCCACAATGACGGAGTTTCATTTCGCGAGCTGAGTGAGATCTAACTGCGGAGATACCGGGTGTGATGACTACATCTCACAGTCAAGAAAGAGGGAAAGCAGTTGATGGCTTAGCTCCTCACATTTACTGTTGAAGAGAAAATAAGTCAAATTCGACGTCTGCCCCCATCCAGGGGCATGTCCTTTTCCAGCAGCGAGTGAACACGAGTCACGACTGGTTAGGATGCTCATTCTTCTGACCATGCCCCTCAAATCCTACCAACATAAATATCTACAGACTTGGGGCGATAACCTCTTTCACTACAGCTCAGCTTTCGATCCAACAATAGACCTCCATGCCCACAGATCAGGATAATGCAAGGTTCTAGAGTCTTACTTGATTACCCACTGTAGCCTCATACACCTTGCGCTTTGAGCGGAAAGATGCCGGATGGGGCTACACAAAGCGATTTTCTTTTACGGATTCAATGACTCCGTCACCGAAAATATATCTATCTTACTAAGCTCAACTCCCAGGCCGTAATGATTGATGATGTATATATTGGCTCATGTTTGCCAGTGTACTTCCAACCACGACCGGGAGCCCCAAAACAATGCATACCTGACCGGGAAACACTCTATCTACTCATTAACAATAATACCAGCTAGGGAATTACCCCACTGAGAATGGGCGGCGTCGTAGCAAAGATTGCCACCACGGTGGGCAAGGCGATCCTCCCCGAGGCTATCGGTCAGGTTGGGAACGCGATTGGGGGAAATCAATTGCTCGCAGTGGCACCCAACCACGCGAGCGCGAGTGGTGGTGGTAATTCGCTCCTCTCAGCGTCGCCTAACCACCAGCGAGATGCATCGGGTGGAGGGCGAAATTGGTCGGGTCTATCTGCCCATTTCGCGGAGGACGTCGAGGCCATGGACCAGGCATCACAGCAAGGAACCGTATCGCCCGATGAATGGCACAGTTTCTACACCTGCCTCTACCGACTTGTTACCACTGTACATGATCCAGGGCACGACCAGGGTCTCACATCTGCAATTCACGAACTTGCTCAAGCCCTTCATGGCACCGAGCACGACGAATTTACCTCCGAGGACGCGATCAACGCAGCACAAAAGTTCATGCAAGAACACATAGGGCTACACATCTTAGCCTTCCTATCAATCATTGACGAGGGCACTGGATTGGATTTTTCAGCGGACCCGGAGGTCGAAGAAACTCTCAAGTCCGGCAATGAGTTCCTTTCTCAGGCAGAGGATCAGCTTGATGAACAAGACGATGGTCATGACCATGGCCAGTGGCACGGCGAAGAGGAGCATGATCAGCAGGGCTATGACCAGGGGCAGCAGGGCTATGACCAAGGGCAGCAGGGCTATGACCAAGGGCAGCAGAGTTATGACCAAGGCCAGCAGAGTTATGACCAAGGGCAGCAGAGTTATGACCAAGGGCAGCAGAGTTATGATCAAGGCGAGCATGGCTATGATCAAGGCGAGCATGGTTATGATCAAGGGGAGCATGACCCGAATGATCCCGCCACACAACATCAACCCATAGCCATGTATTAGCGGCAATCGAGTCTGAGAGGCAGAAGACGAGCTGGGGTGTCGTAAGTGAATGGGGAAACAGCGCGCGAGAGTCACGAATTTCCCGATTCGGCGTTCGTTTCATCTTGATTTGTCCAACTTCATACAGGAACTGAATACTAGATGCAGTCATTGGGAGATATTTTGAAGGCTCTCAACCGTGTGCCGTAATGCATGTGAGTCTGACTCGGATGGCTGCTAGCAGGTGAGGCTAGTTTCTCAAGAACAATAAAACCTATTTCCATGATCAAGTCAAGGCCAGGAAGAAACTTCAGGCTGGTTGCAAAAGCCTACATCGGGCCAATCTCTCGGATCAAGTAATCCGTTCGTCAAGACATCGTGCATGACGTATGATGCCTTGGCCTAGAACCCAAAATCAAATGGACAACCACACTCCATCACCTGTTAATATACGTGTGCAGAGAATGTGGAGCAGCACGATGTTGAGCTTAGGCAAACGGGCTTATTCAAAACGGAATCGGCCAATAACGGCCTGCTCGGAATGTACAAGGAGAAAGCAGAAATGTGATCGAGGAGAGCCATGTCGGGCGTGCATGGCTAGGGGCGCTGACGATCACTGCTCATATGATGCAAACCATCACGTTTCAAGCTTCACAGAAAACTAGCCAAAAGACCGAGGACAGAGTCCACTGCGAACAATTCACTGGGTTCAACGACCATCAAATCCTCTGGCGGGGAAAACGAAGGGGAGGAGTATAACGAGCAGGCACTGCTTGGCTTGGGCTACGCCAGCAATGGCTATCATGCTTTGTCTGCCTTGAGTGAGTTGCTTCAGGAGACCCAGGCTTATTGCCTGTCAAAAAGTATGGAACGCGAATACTGGGCTATCGTGGAGACCTTGCCGACTGTGTCTCTGGTTCAACTGCTAGCCCAGGTGTTCTTCGACGAAGTCAATTGGTACTTTGCTGTACTGGATTGATACTTCTTTGACATCCTCTTCGTCGAGTGGACTACGACTCCGCGAACTACCGATGACACTAAGAGGTTGCGTCCGACCGTTTTATACTTTCTAGCGCTATTATTCCAAGTTCTTGCGTTGGCTTTGCAATTCCTTCCTCCTGAACAAAGCAATGAGCTCACGACGAGGGGAAGAGACGCAGAAGAGATCGATAGGTTGTCCACGCGTCTCAGTGAACCAGGAGAAAAGCTCATGCAGCTGCTGGCGCGACATTCCCCCAATGTCATGAGTGTACAGGCACACCTTATGTGCTGTGCCTGGCAGAAGAACGATGGTAAAGGCACAGATGCATGGTACAGCTTGATAAATGCCACCCGGCAGGCTCAAGAGTTAGGTCTTCATCTCGACACTGGCCAAGATGTGGACATGGGACTGACGAGTCCAGAGGCTCTCAAGCAGCTGTGGTTAAATGAGCACAAGCGAAGACTATGGGCCACGCTTTTGATCTGGGAGAGTCACATGGGCCTTCAACTAGGTCGGCCACGTTTGATTCATGTGAGTGATTGCACATGTTCAGATCCGATCGAGTGCGATTTCCCTGCCAGCCCGACCCACACGTTGTTTCGACCACCAGGGCCAGACGAACGTCCATCCCTGTACACACACAGTTGGTGAAGTATAAGATTAGCCAGACGATACATCGCATGATGGCGATTGGCGCTACGAACCCTCCTCTGCAAAACTACGATCTTGTGGAGATGTTACATTCTATGGTCATGGATATTTTGAAATAACCTACCACAGGCAATGAAATTCGAAGATCGCGATGTTTCCTGCTCGGCATGGAGAGAAAGCGCTGACCAATGTGTGCAAAAATATCGCCAAGCCTGGAATGAGTCTGACCGAGTTGCTTTAGCCGTAGATTCCACTTTGGATTCTCCCATTAGCACCCGGCCTTCGCTCGTTGGGTCAGAGGCAAGAAGGTATGACATTGGGAAGTCGAGCGCGCAGCTCAAGACCTTATCACGCGGACACCGAGCATGATCCCTTGCTAGGCAGAGATCTGTTTGAAGATGTTACAAATTCGAGAGATGTTACTAATTCGAGAGTCTCGATGAGCTCGTGGCTTGAACACCTGGATCTGATGTCAAAAGCTAGACTTTCGGTTTGATGAAAGCGACTTTTCGTGGGGCGATTTCTTTACCTAGCCAGTAGATGACAACGGTATTCTGTGAGCGGTGTAAACTACGTTTTCACGAATACTGGATTTGATAATGTGCTCCCGCTCTTGGCAAGATTTATACAAAAAGTCCATCTTCCACAGGAGATCCCCTCATCTGGTCGAGTTGGATTTCCCTCCTCAGCTCTGTCTCGGTATCTTCGAGATCAAGGTCGACGCAGGCCCCGCGTGCCCATTTCCTCGCAGCAACGAACAACGATCGACCATTCATAGTGCGGTCAGCTAGAATCCCCAAAAGGCATTGCCCTGCATCCTCGGTTGTTGCGAAATCTACCCTTTTGGCGCTGACATGCTCGAAGTCCTCTTCTGACAAAGTCTTGGTCTTGTCGTACCAGGGGTAAATAACGTTGACGCGGCTCCCATACAAATGATCCGTCCGCCTCAATGAGTGCATTATCCCACGTGCCGCCCACTTTGAGGCAGAATACTGCGGGATGCGTAAACAGTCGTGGATCCCAGCCCCGGATCCAATGAGTACAAGGCACGTGTCCTGCTGTGATGGCGATGGCACTACACCGTTCTGCTTGATGAAATAGTGCATTGCGAGTTTCGCCGTGTAGAGTGTACTTTTGATGTTGACGTCCATTGTGCTTAGCTCTGGCTCATTGGCTCCTCGGCGTAGGCGAAGACCTCATCTTGTCGAATCATTCCTGCGTTCGCAACCACAAAGTGGACTTGATTGGTTGGAGAGAAAGATGCTGCTTCTCGGAGTAGTCGAGCCTGGTCATGCCAACTAGTCACATCGCATTTTACAAAGTGGACTTTCCCAGGGAATTCAGAGACAAGTCTCTCCCCACCGGCCGCGTTGAGGTCCCCAATTGTGACGTCGGCACCAGCGGCGACGAGGGCACGGGTATACGCTTTGCCGATCCCATTCGCACCGCCCGTCACAATTGCTGTCCTTCTCCTGATATTATTCCCGTCGATGTCGAGGGAGCAATCAACAGGACCGTGGTCTTGCAACCCTGCCATTGTGTATAAAATGCTTGGGAAAATTTAAGGACCTTTGGAATATCTCGAGGGCAGTAACTGGCTGTGTGAACGCTTTTAGATTCAGATTGCAAAGTATGGCGTTTAAATGCTGTAGTGCTGGCTCAAATAATGTTGTAGTCGACCTCTATGCTGCCATCGGATCAATATCGGCCGAAACTGATGTTCGTCGGGCGATTCCTAGGTGGGGAGTGGCTCACCAGCAAAACATCGGCGAAAGATGGGCCCAAGTCCGTCTTGTACCAACTATCAGAAACATCGACGTTGTCTGAGGACTCTTCGCACAATTTGAGGTTCAAAATTAGAGGGGCCTGGAACAGATGGAAGGATGGAGAGAGGTCAAACCCAGTCACAGCCACAGCCATGGCCATATTCATTTTGGACTATTTCCACAAATTGCATGAAAGTCTGCGTGTCTGGCAGAACCATTTGCAATTATATCCACAAATTGGTCCATGGGACAACTGGCACCTGGCCCATCTTGACACCAGGGAATAGGTCTTGGAGCCGTGTTGGCGATGATCCTGATATACTCCCCGTCTCGTCCCGGGCGGCTATCGCAGGTCATCTTCTCCATACCAACGTGGCCAAGAAACGGGATGAGATCACTCATCCTCCAAGCTCTTACCCAATTGATATGGTCGGTGGGAAATTCCTCAATTGCCAACGATGAGGAATTGAAGATCCCAAGGGCTGTGGCAACGAATGGAGGGACTTCTCTGTGAGTGAAGCTAAGGAAGAAACGCTGTCCGTCTGGCCAGCCTGAACCAGTATTTGTAGCTCCCCCATCAGCTTGGATCCGCTGGAAAAGAGTACTCTGAGCATGAAGCCAGGGAAACCCGAGATATGGTGAAAGTGGATTCAAGGGGCCGACCATGTGAGCATATCTCAGGTCCCAGGCGTATTCATATGACATCCACTCGGCATCGGTGAAGACTTGGCACAGGGGACTGCGTTGGCCCCTGATGGCAGATTCATAGCCACAAAGGCCTTGAAGGCCGACAATATCATTGTCCTCAAGTTCGAAGGGCGTAAAGGGAGCGAGCCGAGAGGAAACGTGCTGGGCATAGTGGTGGACAAACTTGGCCATCTCCTCTTTTCCCGGTTCCTTGTTGAAGGCTGGACATGACTTATGGGGGACCAAAGCGTCCATGCTGCCATTCTTATCGTGCAAGATGCGCACAACCTCGACCTCCTGCGCCTGAGGGAAAGCTTTCACCAAGGCTTTTGCAGTGTCAAAGGTGCGGGCCTTTTTATCGGCGAGGACTCTCTTGACTGTAGGCGCCAGCTCGGGATATCGCTTTCGGAGATGAGTCCCCACTTTCAAGGCATCGCGGGCACCGGATGGGGTGATATCCTCCAGTTTGTCCTCGAGAATAGGCGAATGCCACGTTGCCATGAATTCCAATGGACCGGACCAGCCTTGTCGATGCTGTTCCAGCTTCCACAGAAATGGCTTGATGTAAGTTTGATACTCATCGTCGTTGGCGTAAATGGCTGCATGGCGGATGATGTACGACGCTGCAGTCACTTTGCAACCAGGCGGCGCTGTGTGTTGGAGACCAAACCCGACAGCATCAAAGTATGGCGATATACCGGGTAGGTGAAGCAAGGGGTCAAATTCGTAACCTTGGGTATGATCCAGAGGTTGGAATGGTACCTGGGATTGCACGGTTGGATATGCCTCTACCCAAAATTTGCACGCTGTCAGTAGCAGAACCGTGAATGGCAGCATTTTCGTGGTTGTTGACGAAGACCCAAATGTAAATCAAATCTGCAGGGTATCTATGATTAAACCTGCACCAGAGAGCTGGTGATCTTGGGCAATAAGCATGGGAGTGGTAGTAGTGCAAGGTCCAGGTTGAAAACTCAAGATGACAAGCTTCCCGGACCCCCAGTGGCTCTCTCTCAGCCCAGCCATGACGTTGTTGAAGCTGCAATGCTTGTCTTGCCAGTCGCTGGCGCAAACTTGGCAAGGTTGGTCTTTAGGACTGACATGTCGAAGCAAGCAGACCGGGGCTGGCTCTCATTAGTAAGCGCGAGTCCTTCGCCGAGGACTCTGCACATAGCAAGCTATGTACTGTAGGTAGGAGGACCTCCCAGCAGGATTTGTTGATAGAAGTGATGACGAGGAAAGGCAAGGCAACGGTCCATGAAATCGTCGTGATCTCGGGTAATCACCAGGGTCATTCAACACAAGCTGCATCAACATCATAGAGGCCAAAGCCCAGGTAACAGTAGCATGAATTGCCATGCATCAAGGTTGTCTGGAGTAAAAGCTGGGCACGATTGTCCCCAGGGCTTGGGGAGACGTGGTGACGCCCAAAGACAAGGAATGAGGCCTGGGTTGACCGTGCCTAGGCGAGCCTCACGCTCGAACCAAGACCTGAGGACTTCGGGCTCTGGGCGCCATGAAATCCTTGGAGCACTGCGGTTAGTGTTGGACCAAACTCCTGCGACATGGCGAGTCACCCTTCTATAAGAAAATTGGTCGAGGGTTGTTCACCGTGTGCTTCGTACTATCTGCCACGAGCTCCATGGCTATTTGGAAAGCGGTGGGTTCAGCGAAATCCTCGACAATGGCCACAAGTTACTGTACAGCATGCATGACACAGCTGGGGAACCTCATGCGAGGGTTGTGCAGTGCCTCGATGGGCCGAAGATAAGCAGTCCCGGCAAGGCAATCCTATGTCCGAGGGTCCGTGGGAAAGGTCATTGCACGCCCAGATGAGCTCCCTTGGGGCCCTCGTCTAGAGCCCAGGTTGTTCCATGATGAGCCCAAGTCTGAAGGCGGAGAAATGCACAGGGAGTCCACGGACTGGGATCCCGGCGATAAAGAAACGATCCGCATTTGCTGCTGAGCCTCAGCGATGAGATGAGCATTAGTCTTTGAGCGGTTTGGTGGGCGCGCCGTTTCCACCTCTCACGCTCTTATCCCACCATACCCCTCCTTGCCATGATTCATGCTAACCTGATAGATAGAAGAGGACGCGTACGTGGAGGACTGCTGCCACTGCTTGCTTTTTGCTTGTGGGTCCGGCCTAGGGTTCAAATACAGCTCTGTTACGAGTAGGGACAAGCAGGCCCGATGGATCTCATCCCCCACATGAACCATCCCGGAACGCGGATACCAAATACTGATGTAGACATCTGTGTTCTGAGCACCAAGGCCCAAGGAGCTGACCAGTGACTGGGCGGACTTGAAGGCTGCCAACCCCCCCCTCCCTCCCCATTGTGGCTTTGCATCTTCGCTTGCTATGCTCACCCTGGTCCGCCATTCCCGGCCATCCGCTCCAGTGTGACTGCTTCAAGTCTGCGACGAGACATTATTATTCAAATACGAAACACTTCCCGTCGCTTAGTTGACTCAGCCTCAGCTGTGTTTCCAAATCATCGTCGAATCCCCCTTATGCGCAACCCCCCTCTTTGCACGAAGTCCCTCACGTATTGCAGCCCCGTGCGTACTCGGTACAGAGGACTCACCTCACAAGTCTACAGGCGGTGGAATTCTAACCTAATAGGCGACTACGACTGTGCAGGTCTTGCCGTTAAACCGCTCTCACCAGATCCGGGTCATGAGCGTCGCCTTCTGATCAATACCCACTTGAGGAGCAGCATATTGCTCCCCCCAAGTCCATATATTCATCGGGCTCGGCTGTAGACATTGCGCTGACCACAACTTCGATCGAGTCTTTGTCGAGTCCTTGTGCTGAAAAGAACACTGGTAAAGGCGAACAAAGAGGGGAACGAGGCTGTCAAGACGAACCACTTCCTGGCCCACATAATCCGATAATATGGCATCGTCTCACGTAAATACCAAGTGGTTGGTCTCAGTGGCACTATGGATGTCTCTGCCGCCATGGACACTTGCACAAACGATAGCACCTTCAAATGGAACTCAGGACCTCTACCCAGCAGCAACCTCGCCCCGGTTCATCCTCAATGGCACTCAACTGGGTGATATACCAGTGATTCGATTGGCGCCACTGGGCCACTATGCCGAAATCTCGCACGGTGCTTTCGAGCAGATCCGCGTGGAGGGACAGATTGTCAACGTTGGCGCCAGTAATGCCAACCAGGTTGCCGAGGTGAACCAGTTCTCATACCTCTCTTGCGATCCAGAGGCATACACCGGCAATCTGGGTCCGAGCGACGTTTTCCGGATTGTGGTCAACTCCCCGAGGACCAATATCATCATCCTTTACAGTGTGACAAGTGATCATTGTGTAGCCACGGATATAGACAACCTGCCGACCATTGGCGGAATCTTAACCACAACTGACACCATGCTAGCAAGCAGTTTGGCGGCTCTCAATCTCAACCAAAACAGTCCAGGGTCGGCAACCATTCTCCCAGACCTAAATTCCTACACTAACACGTCGCGCAACGGGGGGTGGAATGGAGGCGGTGCCCTCGGCCAGTCACCAACGACAGCAGTGGCTATGATCATCCTGTACTCAATCACCGGTATCATCACCGCTCTCTTCGTCGTCATTATTGTCACTGGAGCCATTCGAGCCCACAGGCACCCCGAGCGTTATGGCCCGAGAAACATTCTCGGCCGAGGCCGCCAAAGTCGCGCCAAAGGCATCGCCCGTGCGATGTTGGAGACACTGCCAATTGTCAAATTCGGGGACCATCAAGATCTGCCTAAGAAGTCGGTAGACGGCCAGGATATAGAAATGACTGCCGGGGAGCCCGCGAAAGCCGCCGACTCCAACGGTGACGTCCCGGCTACAGGCGCAGGTGCAGCGGGTGCCGATCCAGCCGAGTCAATAAAAGAAGGCTCAGAATCCGCACCGCCGACTGTAACCCCGGCCAATAATCCCGATGGCACAGATGCTGAAGGCCACCTAGGCTGCTCGATATGCACCGAGGACTTCCAGAAAGGAGAGGAGCTACGTGTCTTGCCCTGCAACCACAAATTCCACCCCGACTGCGTTGACCCCTGGCTTCTAAATGTCAGCGGTACTTGTCCGTTGTGCCGAATCGACCTGAGGCCATCGACCGCCAACGGTGAAGATCCGACTTCGATGTCGCGAAGAGGCTCTTCAGCCGCCGGAGCCGAACAAGAAGGCCAATTATCGCCCCCGCCCCTAACAGAGGGCGTGGCTGTAGCTGTCGCCGGGCAGCCGAGTCACGGCGGCCGCAGAGAAACTGTAGCAAACTTTTCCCTCCGCCATCTTGCTTCCGGGACTAGAGAAGAGCGCATTGCGGCCCTCAGGCGCCTGAGGCAAGAACGACTGGGCTCTGCCTCCAACAATGCTTCAGAAGCCGAGCGACACGGCCTCACGAGCAGGTTCCGAGAGAGATTTAGGATCAGGACCGAGAGGAGAGACGCAGGAGCTGGAGATTCTCCTCCGCGGCGCAGGTCGGGAGCAAACGTCCCTTCCACGTTCTTTGGATGAAGTTGAAGATGAAGGTGATGGTGCTGGTGATGGGCTCCAAGGTCTCGCCTCCGCCCACCACCGTGACATGCAGTGATCTGGAATTGAAACAGTGCCCATGAGTTTTGACTAGTCACGATGGACGGGATGGGTCATTGAGATTGGAAAGTTCGCATTGGGCAGGGGTCCGTTGTAGGAAGAGCCTTCAGGACGAAGTCATGACGATTTTCATCGAAGGGACGAGCTTTCAGGACTCGTATCCATTTCATGCTCTTGAGTTTTTTGAGTACAATCAGCGTGGAGTTCAGGAACAAGATGTATGGAATCAACACTTGGGAGCGGAGCATTCCCAGATGTTTGGGTGGAACAGGGTGGTGCTTTCAGACTGTGTATTTCCCCTTTGAGTACGACCTCCAGCAGAGTATGGGTAATTCTTTGTGCTCTACCTCTAGTCAAAGGAAGCGCTTGTACCTCGCTTTGGGGGTTGGCCAACCTCGACGATAGTTGTAGCAATAGCCCGGCAGAAGCCTAGAGAATCACAACTACCTGGGTTGATCTTCCCTGAACACAGGTGCAAAATGCCTTACTGTCTTGTACAGCGAGTACGAATTTGTCCGAAATTCCTTCCATCACCAACTCCATGAAATGCTCCAATGCGTGTGTTTGTGCTTTATGGCATGGCACGTGGCACCAGGATCTCTATCTCCGAGGGTCCACACCACTGCTCATTCCCCGGGCAATGTCCTCTGTGATATCTCGAGCCATTTGCCAGCCTTTTGAGTTTCTGTTTCGATCGCTTCGATCGTCATCTCTCTCTGCGGTGTTTGCGGGGCCGGCCCCGGGACCGTCGCCGCCAGCAAACCATCCGGAGACGCCGGAAGGGATCCAATTGCCACTCGTGGTCCTGCGGGCGTCCGTGACAGGCCTCGGAGGGGTGGAGCCATAGCTGGAGCTGGTGCCCGGGGTGTGTGTTGCGTCATCATAGTCGACGTTTTCGAAAGACTGCTCGCTGCGTGATTTTGTCGTCAAACCACCGCCAGAGCTTGGGAGAGAGCGGTGACCAGGAGCAGCACCGTAAGCCAGGTCCAGGGTTTGCTGCTCGGTGTCTAGTGCTCGAAGGAGGGAAGTCAGACGATCGCGCTGAGACTGGATGTAACTGGTCTTTTCGGCGGAGGAGCCACCTGGGATGTCACGGGCAAGAGAGGCAGGGATTTGAGATGCTTCTGCAGCCGCGGAGCGTGAAGAGGAGGTCAATGTGGTCTGTGAGGAGGAGAAAGCGGCACCAGCCAGGTTGGAGACCATGCCATAAACGCCTGCAGAAGTAATGCCTGGCTGGGTAGGGGCAGTTGTCCGTGCTCCTGGCATGGTGAAGCGGGATAGCAGGTCCTGCGCATAGCTGGCATAGTTTGCATTCTGGGGCTGCAGTGGTTGAGGACTCTTCTGGCCCAGGACCTTCTCCCGCAAGTATTCGACAATGGTGTTGATGTAACCCAGTCCCAGTTGCTGCAGGCGGGCATGGGCTTGGCCTATGAATTCGTCGATTCTTGTCTCATGTCCGACGATGTAGGGTTCGAGGTAGTCCAAGTACAGGATCTTCGCACCCTGAGTCTGTGGAAGGACCAAGTAGAGCATGAACATGAGGCGGAACCAGCTGTAGAATGGCACCCAACCCAGAATAAAAAAGGTCCATGATTCGGCGAGAAGGGTCAGTGAGAGGATGGTAAAGTAAATGAGCCACGGGTGGGTTTGAGCGGGATCGTTGGTGCGGAGGGCTTTGTAGGAGAGGTACGCAGGCAACAGGATTGTGGTGACGGAGCTAGAAAGAAGAACTTAGTCTGAAGATGGCCTCTCCCTCTTTGCTGTGAGCAGTAGTCAGGACGTACGAAATCAGGTCAGCTATGAGGCCAAACATTTTGACAGATGGTCAGTCGACATGCGGTGGATCGAAGCGAAGCGGGAGTGAGTGGCGGCAACTGAAGCTGAAGAGGAGGGAAGGTCCAAGGGCAGTCAATATACCGAAGCAGAAACGCAAAAGGTGTCCTTTGCCTGCTCTACGAGCAAGATGCGAAAATGGCTGTCTTGACGCGTGTGCCTAGGTACGGATGACGGAGCACGGGGATACTTGCAACTTGCAGCATCGAGGTCTGCGCAGGCACCACCAGATTTCCAGCGGGAGACATGGTTGTAATGGAGGGGTACAGGCGAATGGGTGATGTTGCGGGGGAAAGTGCAACCTTACGGAGTGCGGATACGGAGTACATGTACTGTAATATCTGGGCAACTGTGCGGCTGGGGACGCTCCTTCCACCGCAGGCTGGAACAACGTGCTTTTGCTCAGCCTGACGCGTCCCTTCCTCGGGGCGACTTTGGGAGGGCACCAGCACGTGCTTGCCTTTGTAGTATTGGGAAGGAACGACGCATGTAGCAGGATATCGTCTTTCCTTCGGAGTTGACCTATGTATGGACACACGGGTGTGGAGGTAGCCAGTGCATGAATCATGGGGCATGGGTGCCTGGCCTGGGTACCTATGTACGGAGGACATAGGCACCGGATCAGAACATTTACCGTAGGATTTGCCATTTCTAGGGCAGCTCCCTCGGCCCCGGCAGCCCTGGCTAGAGCCGCCTCTAGGCTCCAGTCCTAAATAGGGTCCTGTCCAGGCCATCCATCCTGCCAGCCCGCGACGCTTCTTGCCAAGCTACCGCTACCTTGGTACCTGTTGGTGCTCGTACGGCAACCAGGCAGCTTCCGCAACCTCGGCTTGTCGTGCCAGTCGACGCGTAGCCCGCTTGAGCTTGAGCTTGACCCTGAGCCAACTGCAAGGCACGCCCAAACGCCAACTTCCCTCCTACATCACATGATGCCAAAGTCAACAAAAGACTCACATCATGGTTGTCAAGTGAATTTGCATTTTAGTTCTTTCATCCACTCGATAGCCACTCTGAGCAGCCGAAGAACAACATCCGGGAAGTTCCGACCACAGCAACTGCATTGCAACTCAAAAAAATGTGCATCGCACTCATATCAACCGCCCACCCTTCATATCCATTGATTCTCATCGACAACCGCGACGAGTACCTCAACCGTCCAACAGACCGAGCACGATGGTGGCCAACCCCAAACCAAGATGTACTGGGTGGACGCGACATGCTTCGCGACATTCATGGAACTTGGCTGGGGGTCACCAAAGCTGGCAAGATTGCCGTTCTCACCAATTACCGTGAATATTCCAACCAACCGGTCGGTGCGGTGAGCCGTGGGGCAATCATGAGGAAATTTCTGTCCGAGGATGTTGGCCCGGTCGATCGGTTTGTGAAAGAAGTCGTCAACACTGGTATCGCAAAGGATGCGGGCGGATTTAGCCTCGTCTGCGGAAGAGTCGGTGAGAAGTTGGCCGTCATTTCTAACCGTGCCCATGATCAAAGCCAGGTTCCTTGGATTGCCGGCGATACTGTCCACACGGTGGGCCTCAGCAATGCTGCCTTTCTGGACCGTTCGTGGACAAAGGTCACCCTCGGCGAGGAACTGATGCTCAACTCGATCCGCGCGAGCATCGAGAACCACGACACCGAGGATCAGTTGATCCAACGATTCCTTCAAGTCCTAAGCCACAATACCCTTCCTCAAATAGATGAACACGAACATCACGGTGGCCTTGAAACCTACATCCCAGTCCTGCGGAATACCATATTCGTTCCTCCCTTGGGCTGCAAAGACTCTCCTGCGCCTGCGGACGATGTCGTTCGAGCTGCAAAGCCGGTCGAGAGGGTCGACCTCATCGGCCACAACACTCCCATTCGTCAAGAGAGTCCTATCCCTGGTCCCTCAAATGAACCAGCGTTGCTAGGCGCCAGTGGCCTGTACGGGACTCAAAAGCAAACTGTCGTTCTTTTCGATAAGGAGTCCCATGTAAGGTTCTTCGAGCGAACCCTCTATGATGAAAATTCAGACCCTATTCCGGTAGGTGAAGGCGACATCGACATAAAGTTCAGGGTCGAAAAGTGAAACCAACGTGGTGGACCTCGCGTTATTAGACACTCTGGCAATTCACTTCTTACAGCAGATTCTTCGCTTTCTGCCACCCTGATAGAGCGCCTGCTGCACAAGAAATCCTGCCCCTGGCGATGCGAAAAGCAACCCCACTTGTTGCATATTCCCAAAGCGCCAAAGCTTGATGCATAAACCATTCAAGACATGGTTTCCAAGGTGTGAAAAGAGTCCGCGCTGGATCAACCGCGCTATTAATTCAATGCGCCATGATTACTACGAACACAATGTTGGCCATGCAACTACCCATTCGAGCAGGTCTACGTGAAACACGACCATGAAGTCCCGTTCAGGAAGGTACGCCCCTGCGGACCAAGTGCGGACCGCCCTCGATAGAGACCGCTATTGCCGGGCGAAAGCCCGACTCCACGCTGCCTTACAGCAAGTGTCCAGATCTTAGAATTCTCTACGGGTCATTTCGTCGTCATGGAAATGTCATCTGTCATTGGCGAGCCCCTGTTGTCCGTAACTCCTTTGCCAACTATCTGCGTCCACTGAAGCATAAAAGGGAGGCCGCCGAACATGAATTATCTAAACAGACTTCTCTTTCAGATTTACGTCAATCACTCTCACTATCTTCGCGGATCCATTGACAGAAAACTGTTCTGCGCCAATCGTCGCGATGGCTAGCACACCTGCTCCTCCACCAAAGACCAGACTCGGCCATCATAGAGTTCTTGGCCCCAACTGCTCCCTGAAGGTCTCACCACTCTGTCTCGGAGCAATGAACTTCGGTGACATATGGTCTGTTCTCACGTAGATTTTCAAGGCTCAGGCTGATCCCATTTCAGGAGCTCCATCACAGGTGCTTGTACAAGAGAGACCACTTACGCCATTCTTGACGAATTTCACGATGCCGGTGGAAATTTCATCGACACTGCTAACATGTACATGGCTGGCGAGTCGGAGGAATGGCTAGGTGATTGGATGGTTGCCCGGGGCGTGAGAGATGAGATGGTCATCGCCACAAAGTACACCTATACCTACAAGATCCACGAGTTGTGCCCCCCTGGGACAATCACCTCCAATTTTGGTGGTTCGAACAAGAAGAGTCTGCGATTGTCCTTGACAGAGAGCTTGAAGCGATTAAAGACAGACTATCTGGACATACTCTACGTCCACAATTGGGACGGGGTGGCTACGATCCCAGAAATGATGAGAGCTCTGGATGACGTGGTCAAGCAGGGCAAGGTGCTCTACTTGGGCGTCTCTAATTGGCCCGCCTGGTTGGTCGTCAAGGCGAATGACTATGCTCGGCAGCATGCCCTAACTCCGTTCGTTGTCTATGAGGGCCTACTGAATGCTGTGGCTCGAGACATCGAGAGAGACGTTCTGCCCATGTGCTTATCAGAAGGCCTTGCTCTGACAGTTTGGGAAGCCATGGGAGGTGGGAAATTCAAGACCAGGATCGAGAAGTCGCAAGCAGACGGAAGGCCATTTTATGATCTTGCTGGCAAAGGCCTCGAAGCCTACGAAGCGGCTGGCCTCGTCCTGGAGCGAATCGCGAAGAGAAAGGACACAAATCCCATGGCCATCGCACTACGATACGTGACATTGAAAGTATGTGAATTCCCACCGCCCCATCGAGTTTGTCCCCCGCGTTAACAAGAATCAGGCGCCGTACATCTTCCCCATAATTGGTGGACGCAAGATCGAGAACCTGAAATCAAATATCGCTGCCCTTGATATTGACCTCACGGAAGACGAGATGGAGGAAATCGAGGCTGCTTCGCCAGTGAGCCTTGGTTACCCCCACGTTGTCCTCGCCGGAAGAGATGATCAACATGTCGGGCCCACCAATCCTACGTTTATCGCTATGTGGAGCAGTGGTTTCGAAGGCGTTGAGATGCCGAAGGTATGTGGACAGCTCTTTTGCGTGTTGCTCAAAATCTATTCTGACATTTCCCAGGCTATCCGTACCAGAAAATGACGAAGTTCCGTAGAATGTCCTGGTTTGACTCGGATGTGGAGACGGAGAGTAGTTAATTAGGTGTTGAGGAATGATCCATAGAGACAACGGAGCGCATTTAGCATTTGCTGTTTTCGGCTGATCACGTGCACATGGTCTGAGCGGATCCGAAGCGGCCCGAGATCATGAGATTCTACGAGTACGACGTTTTCGTTCCCCCTTCATGTTCACGTTGCAGACATCCGTTCCTTGAGTCTATTGCAAGTAAGTTCAGTGATTGGACAGCCTATTAAAGACAAATTCCGAAACGAGGTGCCAGTATTAGTGGGTTGAAAATGCCCCTGCAGCAGGACTACCCAGCCGACCTCAGGCCAATCCGCAGGGGTTTGCGGTCTTGTGTTGATTGTAAGTTAGTGTTTCCTTGGACCACCAACTGGCTCCCCGGCCCTGGAAGTCGAGTTTCCAGTAGTTGGAATACTGCCAGCCAAGAGATGTAGCAGATCAGCACAGGCCTAATTGTGTGCCAGGCCGGCGGAGGAAAGTTCGCTGCATTTATAATCCGGATAGCCCCAATGTCTGCAAGCGGTGTATCAAGTACAACATCGAGTGTATTGATCCATCACAACAGATCTCAGACACAGGCACAGAAGATCGAAAAACTCTTCGTGAAAGGGTATCAAGGTTGGAAGAGCGGCTGGATGCCATTCAGGATGGATCTAAATCCGATTTCCCCAGCTCAAGCCTCACTGTAGCTGGCCATGAGGATCCTCTACCCGCTAGTCGGGACAGCCAAGGTGAAGATGGCCTCGTCATGGATCCGGGGAAGCATATGGCTCCCCTGATTGCGGTCTTGCAAGGCTCAAATGTAGGTCAATTTCCCTCGAGCTGTCAACTTTTGCCCATGGCTCATCTGCCAGTATATTCACTTACTCATCGTGCTAGCTTCTCTCGGATCCTAGTGGATCATACTTGCCACTCTTACACCTGCAGGATCCGCATGGCGGCAATGATGCCGGCCGAAGTACCGCCTTGGGGGCGACGAAAGCCCTGCGAATATGTGAAGCACTCCGGAATACCCTTCCGCCTTACGACGAGTTGTTGTTTCTCCTGTCCAAAGGCGGGCAGTGGTGGGATCATTGGAACCAGAAGACCTTTGGTGACACAATTCAGCATGAAACATTGACAGAGTATGCCATTCGCGTGTATGGCGAGAATAGCCCTACTGACCTGGGAATGCTGGTCTCGGCCTTCGCTCGACACACTGACATTGATCCACTGCGATTAATGTCAGTCATCGATCAAGTCGTGATAGGTGACGATTCTTACGCTGGAACAGTGACGGGATTGGTTCTCATTGCATTCCAGACCAAGAACTATCTTGATGCTGGCCAACCTCGTCGTGCGTTCCTGTGTAATCGCCGCGGATTGAATTTATGCCAGCTGATGGTAACTTTGACCTCGTGCCTCAACCTGAAAATGATCTGACATACAACAGAATCTCCATCGCAAATATGAGAGCAAGCCGCAGCTCGGTGCTCTCTGGTGGACTCTTTTCCAGGGCGATCGCTTCTTGTCGATCTTGCTGGGTGTACCCTACGGCATGAAAAATGATCAGTTTTCCATCAACCCGAAATCAACCGGTGGAATAGTGGCCCAGCCATTCGTGATCCGCATGGGGCTCATGACTGGAAAAGTGATCGATCACACCCAAACAATCCCATCCCCGCCGTTCTCCAGGGTCATTGATCTCGACGATGAACTGGAGAATCTCGCAGCAAGCAAGGGGCCAAGGTGGTGGGACTGCTCACTACCCACAGAGTCTCATGCAGTAGCCGACTTTCGAACTAGGCTGGTCGAGCATTGTGTGTTCTTCCTAAGTAAGATGTACTTGCACCTGCCATGTATCCTAAAACCACGATCGTCGCATTTGTACAGCGTCAGTCGGAAGACTGGTCTAGACTCCACACGGCAACTCATCAGCCGTTATCATGCTTTGCGGACCCCTGTCAACGGTGAGTCGGTTTTCGATTGCAAGACCCTTGATTTCATTGGGTTCATGGCTTCTGTCGTGCTTGTTGTTGGCATTTCCCATGAACACTCCTCTGGGAGTCCATCGACGTCGTCGGATTGGCAACTGGTAAACACAACAGTCTCTCTCCTCGGTCAATTGGCTGAAGAATATAATTGCACAATTGCGGAGCAATGTTACAATTCTCTAACACGACTGATTAGCCTTTGCAAGGCACAAGACAGCGACATTGACTCCGTTCCAGCAAGGTTCGCAATTCCTTACTTTGGGATTCTGCACGTCACCGCAAATACTAATAGTGCGTTGCGTACTCATCAAAACCCTTCTCTTCATGAGACTGCACAGCCATCAACCAATGTTGGAGCACACCCCGCTCCGCGTTCCCAGGGGGGTTTTGGAACAATGAGTGCTACTCTCCAAGCAGACCTGCCCACTATTGAGTACCAGGGGCTGTACAGTATGGAATCAAACCCGAATTGGATGATGGATGCCCCAGGGTTATACACAGAATCATTTAGTTCGATGATGGATCTTGACCAAGATTGGGATACCTTCCTTTACCCGGAGTTGGGGGCGAACTAGCTCGTGATCACCATCAGCTATCCCCTCTCTCGGGGGTGGCTTTTCGGAGACAGTCAGTCTTCTGGTCCTTCGCAATCCCAAGTACAAGCTGGGAGCCGCTTATCTCTGCCGGGGACCAAGGACAAGCTTAGGGCCGAATCGCGGACTGTGGAGGTCACAGTTTGATCGATCCGTTGGACTAATTCGTGTCGTTTCGTGATCGATTGTCGGATGTGTACATATGGCCAGAGCAAACCCTAGCAGCATGTTGGGGATGTATCTCGTACTTCAAATATTACAAATGCTCAGGAAATGCTGACAGTAGGCTAATGTCGAGATCTCTGTCGATCCCTGCAGCCTCCCACTTTCCCCGCCTCCCCGTCTAATCACCAAGGGGAGACCTCTCTCAGCCAGTGAAGATTGGGGCTTGCCGGCTTTTCAGTTGGCATGTCATGTCTTTGCGGTGCCTCAGTCGTAAATATTTGCGTAGAAATGTGCAACGTCGGATATGGTTGGTTTGAAGCTTCCGTCCTGATTTTCACTTATCTAAGGTTCTGGAGCACGAACAGAGTACCTTAAAGTCACAATTGGTCTCTTGGACATTTCTCAGTGTGTGGTGATCGCTCGCTGAGGCCGGGAGGAATGAGCCAAACGCTGCGGGTACCCGATCCAGCTGAATGTGATGAGTGTGCTGTATCGTTGGCCCGCTCATAAAACGCGGACTCGGCACATTGACGACAAGTGATTCGCACCACAAACTTGATTGACGCATGATTGACGCTGTTCCAGCCACCGGTAGGTGCAGTGATTTGGTAGTACGCGTGAAACTTCCTCCCTCCCATTTACTCATGCTCGGGGGAAGTTAATTCTCACCCAGCAGGTTCAAGATTTAATCGACGGTATGATCTATCAAGCTCTGAAAGCGGCACACGATTCCATGCTCGAGGTGCATGTTGACAGTTGTTACTGTTGCACCACTTTATAGCCCTGGGAGAATTCCCTCATGCCTCCTTTCCCCTTAGAGGTGATATAAAGGACTGACACCTGCCAGCATAGACCTTGCCATGCGAGAGTGTTAACCCTCGTGGAAAGTCTATATCAAGTGTGAGGTTGATCCAGTGCCCAGACCAAGAAATACAGGACTCGGAGCAAACCCAGACAAACCCAGATATTGAAAGCACCTCTTTAAACACTGCTGGAAGTTGACACATGACCTGTGCTTCCATTTCCAACTGCTATCATCACCATGAGTGACTCAGCTTCCCCAAGTCTAACCAGCGGTTCCATCAACGAACAGCACAAGATTGTCTTCGGGACTATCTTTTCTACTGGGGAATCGCAATCGCAGGCATATTTTGTGAGCCTTGAAACGGACAACTCTTCCTGGCACAGGGTCATGTTGAAAACTGCTTTACAGTATTGAACTATCGCATTAGGATGCCTCTCGCTTCCCACCATTCCGACCTATGCTATACGCCAGGGCCAGTGTGTTGTAGCGGTTTGATTTTGCTCTATCGGTCTAACGTAATGACAGGTACTTTTCTCTACCCCATCACCATCTTCTTCATCGAACCTTTCGATCCTCCGCCTTTACGATCGTGCCTTTCCAATACGTTCGGTTCGCATTCCCACATATATTGTCGGTGTCATGACTTTAGTGTGGACAGCCGTTTGTTGTGCTGCTGGAGCTGCCGTCTGCATTCCATTGGAGAAGCTATGGCACCCGACGACTGCTGGCAGCTGTTTCAATCTCAGGAGGTTTTACGTTGGCATCCAGATACCCAATGTCGTAACAAACGTTGCGATCTTTGTCATTCCACTGCTAGCGACCCGTTCACTGCCGCTGCCCGCACATGAAAGGTGGCTATTGGTTGGGATTTTGAGTGTTGGCCTGCTGTGGGTTTTGCCAGCCCTTTCTTGCTCGATTGGAACTGATGATTTTGAAGGACTGTCGTATTCGACATTATTCGACTGGTGGTCATGGTGAGTCTGTCTGTGTCAACTCAAGATGTGACTTGTAAGATTGAAGACTTCCACGGGCCGGAAATGGTAGTTGACGAGATCTAGTGGCTCAAGTGGAGGGAATGGTATGGACGTGTATCGAGCCTGCCGTCGGGATTCTGGCAGGCTGCTTATCCAACATGAGACTTCTTTTGAAACATTTCCGTCGCAGGCCCCATTCGGAGCTGCTTGATGAAAGCACCGAGAATTTAAGTGAGTTTGACCACTGAGATGCAAACGTCGACATCAACATTAGCTAACTTAGAATACAGACTCCATCCATCTCGATAAGGGGTCTCATGACCGTTCTCTGACTCACGGTGGGGCAAGCCATGAGGTCCCCTGATCAAATACCACTCTCAATGATTCATGTCGTGATCTGCCAGGTTATGCCCATGTTTCTGTTTTGGCTGTGACCACAACCCGGCGTTGAATGATTGCATAGATAGGATAACTTGACGTTCATCGGTCTGATAGTCTCTTCTAAAGTGATAATTGCGCTTTTTCTGAAGTATCTTATGTGCTAGCCGTCCGATCCGCCGTCATAGAAACCCAGGTTGTACATAAATTGAGACAGCGTCATCGCCCAATCATTTTCGATCGCAGACGATAATTCCTCCAGGAGTTATTCAATGGTCCCAGCATTCTGAAAATTGTTGAAAGGGGACATAGAAATCGTTAGATCCACAGACATGTCTTCGCTATTGTCTTGACTACGGCCAAGATTATCTTCAACTCCTTCAAGGAACTCTGGACGATGGATCACGGTGGGTACCGGCGCAACTTGCATCCTGCCCCCCTGTAGTTCACGACAGACTTCATTCTCCATAGTCAAAGCTAGTCGAGAGGCAGCATCCAACTCATGTTCCAACTTTGGACCAGCGGCCAGCATGTTCATCTCAACCAGTGAAGGCTGTGAACTCATAATCTGAGTATCTCCAGGATCTGGAAGAATTGAGCCTGCCACAGGGCAAGAGGAAGTAGAAGCTAGATAGTTGCCCCGGTTTGTGCTGTAGCAATCTGTTCCATGGACTGTATGTGTATGTGATTGAAGCCTGAGGAGTACTTGTAGTATTCCTTGCCATTGGTAATGGCCAAAGATTTGCTTATAAGAAGTGGATGCAGCATCAGATATATTCGGGATCTTTGAGTTGGATATTATTGGTGTGACATGACTTGTGCATTTTATTAGCAGATGAAGATACTGCAGGACCATGGGTGGAACTTGACAAGATTGTTGCTGCCCGTTCTCATTTCCACTTACCTAGTTGGCTTTCAAAGATATCCGAGTTGGTACCTCGGCCATGTAGACAAAGAAAACGCATTCCGCAAGACTGATATATGAGACACTGGTATGAGGTTGTTGTTAAGCGCAAAGGCTACCACAGCGTACTACCAATTAGCTGGGCGGTGGCTGAGCCCAGCGGCCCAAGAGGCCTAAATTTGTACGTAAATGATCTCCAACAAACCGGGAGTCCGCTTCTGCCTGTCAGCAAAGCAACCTGTCTTGTGTGACCACCAAAATTTCACACAATCACCAAGAACATGCGAATGGAGAAGCGCTCGTCGTTGTTCATGCTTTGGCGTATTAAGTGAATAACAATTTATGTCAATGATTGTCCGCAAATATGAATTGTACACGCGGATATTCCTTTCGGCCCACTCGTGGATCATCTCGTCACTGTCGGCCCCATCGCTAGCCAACAAGCATGATGCGGACTTCATAGAAAGGCTATTTCCACCACCTTAGTGAACACTGCGCAATTCCAAACCCGGTGTAACTGAGAGGAGCGATTCCAATGCCCGCATCTCCCGTCACTCCAATACAGTCAGGAACGGGAATGGCTGTGAGCGGTCGTCCCAGCGCATACATAAGCAGAACGAATTCATTCCAACATGGACTTTTCAGGATTGGTTTCGCGATATTATGCACATTGGTGTTTTCCTTTGCTTAGTTTCAGTCATTTCTTAGCCTATACGAGCGGCGTCTCGAGCGATGGGTACTCTAGCTATTGGGGATGGCAGGCCATCTGAATATTGCCGTTATCGGCCTTTCCTGTCGTTTCCCTGGGGTGCAACAAATGCTGCAATGTTTTGGGATTTGCTACACGAGCGACGATGTGCGTGTATTGCATTCTGTCGCAATATCTGAGCTGACAACATTTAGCTGCCTATGGCGAAGTGCCGTCGGACCGTTATGATGCTAAAGCATTCCATCATAGAGGTGATAAATTAAATACACTGAGTTCCACAGGCGGACATTTCCTCAAAGATGATGTCTCTGCATTTGACGCACCATTTTTCAACATTACCGCAAATGAAGCAAAAGCCATGGACCCAACTGCTCGAATGCTTCTAGAAGTCACATATGAAGCTCTCGAGAACGCTGGACTGCCTGTGGACGATCTCATTGGAAGCAATACCAGCTGTTACGTCGGATGGTTTACTCGTGATTTTCATGAGATGCTCATGCGTGACACAGAGACCCCTCCAATGTATTCTGGGACGGGGACTGGTTTCTCACTCCTTTAAAATCGGATATCATTGTTTTATGATTTGCGCGGTCCCAGCCTGACATTGGATACAGCTTGCTCTTCAAACCTCGTCGGCCTTCACCTTGCGTGTCAAGGGCTGAGATCAGGCGAGTCCAAAATTGCAATTGTGAGCGGAGCAAACCTGATTCTAAGTCCTGATCTGGCGATTTTCCTGTCAAATCTCCATATGTTGTCCAAGGAAGGTCTTTCGAGATCTTTCGCAGATGGTACGACCGGTTATCGCCGAGGCGAAGGAATTGCAACAGTGATCCTTAAGCCCCTTAAGGATGCGATACGAGACCAGGACAACATTCGTGCAGTGATCAGAGGAACAGGTGTCAACCAAGGTGGCCACACCACGGGTATTACATTGCCAAATAGCGATGCCCAATCAGAGCTGATAAAATCAACGTACCGTACAGCAGGGCTAGACTTCTCTGACACTGGTTACTTTGAGGCTCCCGATACCAGAACAGCCGCTGGAGACCCCTTGGAACTGGCTGCTGTCGCTAACAATCTCGGATCAGTACAACGGCCCGGAAACAGTCTTCTTGTAGGCTCAGTCAAGTCCAACATTGGCCACCTTGGAGGTGCAGCAGGCTTGGCAGGTGTGATTAAATGTATACTCATGGCTTGAGAAGGGTATTGCCTTGCCAAACATCCATTTGACAAGCCAAACAGAAGAATACCTTTCAAACAGCGGAAGGTCGAAATTCCAACAACCGCAACACCTTGGCCATCTCATGCTCTCCAACGAGCCAGTGTGAACTCCTTTGGCTATGGTGGCACCAATGCCCATGCAATCATTGATAGCACTGCTCAGTCCTTCTCGAGCATCGATCAACTTGATCCAAATCAAATTTCGAATGTGTCCACGCCAATTTTAGCTCGACCACGTTTGTTTATCGTCAGTGCCAGAGACGGACCTGCTCTTGACAGGATCAGAGAGACTTTTACCGAGCATTTGGCGTCGGTTGAATCAAATGGCAGTTCTAAACTCATCAGGGGCGAAGCGAATTACCTGGGTGACTTGGCTTTCACGTTGAGTGAGCGTCGTACACGATGAAATTAGAAGGCCTTTGCTGTTGCTTCAACCGTATTTGAGCTACGCGAGCAGTTGTCAACAACTGCTGCTATCCAGGGTGCTCGGTCATCCAAGGAATCCAAAGTCGCATTCGTTTTTACCGGTCAAGGAGCGCAATGGGCAAGGATGGGCCTGGGGCTGCTCCAATATCCGGTATTACAGAAAGTGTATCTGACTCAGAGAGGCATCTGACAAACGAGCTTGGCTGCAACTGGTCTGTCCTCCACGAACTCCAACTCAGCGGCTCAGACAGCAACACAACTCGCAAGAATCAGTCAACCTATGTGTACGATTTTACAAGTTGCACTGGTGGATCTGCTTACATCATGGAATGTTAGACCTTCAGGAGTTGTCGGTCATCCTAGTGGTGAGATATGTGCAGCCTATGCCTATGGAGCTATATCGCGTGAGGAAGCGTTGGAAATTGCGTACTGGCGTGGCAAATTGTGTTCCGAACTAAAGAGTGATGCACCCGAATTGAAAGGTTCCATGATGGCTGTCGGCCTATCGAGAAAAGCAGCAGAAGATTACATATCAGGCGTCCAAACTGGAAAGCTCGTTGTTGCTTGTGTCAACTCACCTTCCTCGGTCACTCTTTCTGGAGATGGAGCGGCTATTGACGAGCTCCATGAAGTCCTCAAGAGCAACTCGGTGTTCGCGAGGAAGCTGAAAGTTGAGAACGCATATCATTCTCATCACATGGAGCGAATTGCAGAAAAGTACCTGACTTATATTTCGGGAGTGACCGTTAGAAAGCCAGAAGGTGGTGACAATATCATATTTGCGTCCTGTGTTGCGGGGAAGATCGTCCTGTACTCAGACCTCGAACCCGAATGCTGGGTGAAGAACCTGGTATCACCTATTCTATTCTCCGATGCTGTCGAAGCAATATTCAAGAATTCACCAAAACGCAAGCGCCGAGGGAGAGCCACTGAAGCACCTTTCGGTAATATACTGGAGGTTGGACCACATGCGCCACTTAAAGGTCAACTTCGCCAAATCCTGCACGCGCTGAAACTGGAAGACGTCAGTCATGCGTCAGTGCTCAACCGTGGACAAGGTGATGCTAATTCGGCTGTTGAGTGTGCGGGTATGCTTTACATTCACGGCATACCTCTGTCAATCCCCTCAATCAACGAGACTCAAACGAAGCGCCGGTCGCTAGACAGCCTCCCGCCATACTCATGGAATCATGCTCATAAATATTGGACCGAATCGCAACTGAGCAGAAATTATCGCTTTCGCGAGCATGGACGCCATGATCTGCTAGGATCCTTGGCTCTGGGGTACATCGAGCTCGAACCGAAGTGGAGAAACTTTCTTCGAGTGAACGAGAGCCCCTGGATTCGAGATCATGTTGTCCATTATACAATACTATATCCTGGTGCAGGTATACTCGCCATGCCTATCGAGGCGATGCCACAGATAGCTGACAAAGAAAGGACAATCGAAAACATCGAGCTTAAAGATGTGCATATCACGAAAGCCATTGTTGTTCCTGATGGTCAGATGGGCACGGAATCAGCTGCGGCGACCTAGATCTGATGGTGACCGCATGAATAACTGGTGGGAATTCTCAGTCCTTATATGTCTCGAAGGTCAAACACCCAAAGAAAATGGCTCTGGTTTGGTCATCATCAATTATAAGCCTGCCACCATCGATGATTGGGTCGCCAGAAGAACCATCAGAAAGAAGTGTTGAAACAGGAGTACCAGAAGTCCCTGACGACATGCAAGCGCCAGATCGACCCTTCTCAGGTCTACGAAACGACAAAACGCGCAGGCCTCGATTATGGAGATTCTTTCCAAGGCCTGATAGCAATATCAACAAGCAAGAGATGTGCTGTATGTGCGGTCCGCATTCCCGACACAAAAGCTACGATGCCCGCGAATATTGAAAGCCAGCACCTTATACACCCCACAACATTGGATGTAATTCTCCATTCCCTGCCTGTGGCACTTGGCGAAAATGGAGAGCTTGACTTTGATCATGCGGCAGTCCCCGTCTTCTGCGACAGTCTTATTGTCGCTGCAGATCTTCCTTCCGGAGCAGGATTAGAGTTCCGGGGCTTTTGCACTGCGCGAAGACTTGGTCCTCGTGAGATTGTTGCTGACATCTGCTATTCGGATTCTGCATGGACTGAGCCAAAAGTCTATATCCGAGGCCTCCACTGTCGTGAGTTACCAGGGGGGCAGTTCCCCCAAACACTGACTCTTTCAAGGCTCCGCTCGGGACGCTAGTGTGGAAGCCTGATATCCACTTTTCAACCCAACGATCTATGGAGCAGTACGTCTACGCAGAGCATTCTGATGTGACAGTCTTGGTCAATTGTGCAAGGTACGTAAGCTCCGAACAGGGAGATACTAAAGACTAAAGATGAATAGATCGTCGACCTAGTTGCGCATAAGAATCCAGACATTTCCATTCTACAGCTTGGTGCTTCTTTGGAATTAAGGACCAAGATCTTGTCGCTTCTGACTGATGGTAGCACTCAAGGTACTAAACGCTATTCGAAATACACGGTTGCTGTGATGGACTCTCCAGACGCTGAGAACAGTGCCACATCTTCTGAAAATTCAGATGAGTTGGTCAGCAAGCTTACGCTTAAAACAGGGTTATCCTTAGATGAATAAAGGATTGAATTATTGCCGATCGATCTTGTTATAGTTACGGCCGACTTTGGGTTACCTGGTCAGGCTACGGTATCACTCTGCGACATCGCAAACCTTCTAGGGCATGGCGGTATCGTAATTTGTTATCACGATTTGGAGAGTTCCTTGATCAGGTAGGCTGGTCGCTATCGTGAGAAGTACTTTACGCTGATACCCTGACACATACAGGTCGAGACACGAGCGGTCTCTCTTGGGTAAGTCCTTTAGTTCTCCTACCATGGGTTATTCGTGCTAATCGAGTGTCAAGATACAGTCGAGAGGCATTTTCGAGTCGTGAAACTTCAACACTAGCGCTGAGAGAATTTTCTGGGGTAGTCAAGACAGTCGGAAGAGATTGCCAAAGCTTCGGCCCTGGTGACTTAGTCTGCGGCTACGATGGCGGATCATATCGCTCCGTTTTCACAGTGGACGAATCGCAGTGCCAACGAATTCCTGCCGCAGGGTCATTTCAAGAAGCTGTAACTTGGTCGCTGACATTTGTGACTGCATATCAAGCCTTCATTAAAATCGGTCAGCTGAGAGCTGGTAACGTCATTCTCATCCAAGACGCATCTTCCGGTATTGGACAAGCAGCAATTCAAGTGGCTCTGGTGGTGAAGGCACATGTTTTCGCCACCGCTAGATCTGAGGCTGAAAGTCAATTGATCGAGAAGTATGAAATACCAACTCATCACATTTTCAACGAAACAGATCCATATCTCGCGGACACTATTGCCAGACTTATTGCAAACCGTGGCTTTGATTTGTTTTTCTCAATATCTCACGTAAAGGTGATGGACTACGGAAACTATGGAAGGTGGTTGCCCCTTCATTCGGAAATCTCGTTCATGCTGGCGATATTGATCATGAAAATGAATGTCCTGGACATTGGCCCGTTCTAACGCGGATGCAGATTTTCGATTGTTGACTTGGCGCTCTTGCATCGGAGCAACTTGACACAATTGGCTGACGTAGCAAAGGAGTTTGCTTCATTTGCTATCTAGAGCAACGTCTAGCCTCTGGAGTCTCTCTATATCTTCTCAGTTGCGAAAGTGGCAGAGGATTTTAAGTCACTTGACAGTGGTTTACCCGGGAAAACAGTCTTCACATTCAATAAGAAGAGCGAGATCCCAATCCGCGCGAGTTCGATGCATCCTTTGACCCTCGACAAGAATGCTTCTTACATGCTGGTCGGTGGTATGGGAGGCCGGGGACGAAGTCTCGCTAGATTTCTCGTTGGGCATGGGGCTCGCCATCTGATATTCATATCACGATCTGGACCCAAGTCAGCACAAGCACCATCCATGGTACATCAGCTACACAGCCTAGGAGCCTCTGCATATGTGTACGCCGCCGACGTAGCGGACCAAACAGCCATGAGCAGAGCCCGATGGCTATTACTATAATGCTTATATCCACTAATTATTATAGTAGCCGGGATTCTCTTGGCTTAGGTAATAATAGTGGTTGCCTAATTACCTTGTTTTAACGCTACCCGGTTTTATGTCTAGCGTGGGGGCTGCTGCGTGGCTCGAGCGGTTTTCTTAGTTAGCTTAATCGTCGATAGAAAACAACGACCTGACTATATTAACGAATTTTCATCGTTGTCGTCAATTATAATCATCACATCACCTTACTAGAACTCCGATAGACAGATTATCTCACCTAGTATGGTCTTTCACGGGTTCAGTGGAGGGTGTAAAACCTGTCTCAAAAGGCGTCTCAAGGTATGTGTCAACACCGAGCGGTGTAGGAGATGCAAATATATACGAGCTCGTCCTACTCTAGACAATGATAGTTTTTGACGAGCCTATAGTGTGATGAGAGTAGACCTACTTGTACTAGATGTATAAAATCAAACCGAGAGTGCTTGGGCTATCGGGATGCATCAACTCTTCTCTTTCGGGATCAAACTCTGAGCACAGCTCGAAGAGTGCAACTCAGGGCCACTACATCTACACCGTCCTCTAAGAGTGACGGTAATTCAGATTCAGCCAATCATTCAACCACCAGTAGCTCAATTCAAGAGTCTATCGCCGATAGTAATACAAACATTTATCCTCGGGAGCAAGAGGCTATCGCAATTCTTCTGAAGCGAATCGCTTTAGCCACGGCAGATTCCGATGCTTGTCAAGGGCCTGTGGCCTCGTTGCCACTTCTCTATTCCCTAGCTAACAAGGATTCGGCGTTACATTGCGCTATGCTAGCACTGGCTATTCATATTTACCCAGGTGATGCTGCTAAAAGACGCGAGGTCCAATCCCAGGTGTGGATTAAGTATGGACAGGCTCTGGAAAAGGTTAACCTAGCTCTAAGGGAATCTTCTACTGTTCAAACTAATGAAATACTTATGACGATACTTCTCTTTGGCATTATCGAAGTAAGTAATCCGCGCAATGCAATTGGTTAGATGCGAATAGCTAATCTCAATCCCCCTCTACTTCCACTCACAAATTCTAACCGTTAAGTCCTAGAGTCTCACAGCAACATCTGATTCATTACCATCTCTAGCAGCTCATCATGATGCTATCGAGCTACTAATCAAAAATAGAGGAATATCTATTACGCGAGACGGTATTAGTATCGGTATATTATTTGGCATTCGATCTCAACTGGTTAGTCTCTGTCTGTTTTCCCTTTGAATTAGATAGGCAACGAGCTAATTACAGAAGGCTATAAACCACGCCCTCAGATCGATTCCATTCTTTGACCCAGTAAATGGTCATAATCTGACTTGGGATGATGTGCCCGAGCAGATTAGATTTAATCCAGTTCATACGCTCACCACTGCAAGTATCCCTGTAGCGAATCTACGAGTACTAGCAGACGAAATTCTGTACGAACCTAAGTCAGAAATCAATATTCACCGTGTCCGAGATCTTATTGATCAATGCAAAGCTACGGATAATGCTCTTACTGAATGGCGTTCTACTCTCCCTGGTTCCTGGGGTTTCATGGCAATTGAAAATAAGAAACTGACCATTCAGAAGTTTCGCAATCTCGAATTTAAAACGTGCCCTTGGCTCGCTCAAGGCCTCGTTTACCGAGACATCTGGTTTGCTAATCTACACAATACCTATTTTATGTTTCGAGCTTTGCTTCAGTCAATTATTTTGAGATGTGTTGTTTGGATGAGTGGCAGTATTGCCGCCGATCAGATTGCTGATGAAGCTAGCTGGGCAGGTCTCTCACTTGACCTTAACTCAGAATTTACCCAAGCGAAGGAGGAAATATTGAAGACTTTTCAATCAATCTGTGGGTCGGTTGCTTTCCTGTTGGGCGCAAGTCCGAATGTGCGATTATTTCCAGATTTGCAACTCCCATTCAGATGTCAGACGTCTGAACTCGGGCCTCCTTTACTTATCAGGCCTCTATTTGTGGCGCAGTCAGTTATTGTGGCTCAAGGATATCAGAGATCATGGGTAGCGTCAATCCTCCTCAGCATTGGAACAAGTTATGGCATCGGCATTGCCCGACTAATTGCAAAGGCAAAAGGATTCAATGGCCAACCCTTGTTTTGCGCTAGACTCCCCTTGAAGTTGAGACATAGCTCCGCAAACGTCTTCGATGGCCTTGCAGACGAAGAACTATTGGGAGAATAGTAAAATCCTGCCTCAGGCAAAGACTGGCGAATAAATTTTGGTTACCATTAAGAGCAGGCCTGTAAGATCCTGCCTACTCTCTGGCAACGCTAATAATCAAGCGAAGAGATGACCTACTTGTCTAAGCGAACAGGCAAGAGGAACAAGAGATAGCGATAATGGGTTGGTCGAGGCGACACGCGTTTGACAAAAGATTCGCTGGAGGAATAGTTCAACCAAACCATGTCCCGATCGGGCTAGCGTTCCGAGCGCACCCTTTGTGACGCCAATGAAAAGCGACCTCTTCTCGACTGGAGACAACCCTTAGCGGTGTCTCATCCTAGTTCAGCTTGTTCTACATATAAAGTCTCTACGGATTCCAGTCATGCTAAGTTCTCTCCCACTTCATGTATTCCCTCTGCCGGTAAAAGCCGCCAACTATTTCATCTTACAGATATTCATTCTCAATCCAACACACCAATCATGTCTGGAGACTTCGTCCCATTGACAGGACGGCTTGTTTCAAGAGACAACCTTACATCCTTCATGGAGGATCATGCGGGTAAAACACCTCAGAAGTGGGCAGTTGAAGGCCGATACTACTATTCACCTTCCTTTGCTGCTGCTGCCGTATTTTTGGCCGTTTATATCTTGGCAACAATTATCAATCTCGGCCAATTTTTCTTTTACAGATCATGGTTTTGGTGGCCTATGGTATTGGGAGTTGCCAGTAAGTATGGCCATCTTTGTTATTAATCGCATGCTTCTCCTTTGTCGCACTGTTTTCACTATCTCTGACTCCTCTGTCTACGTGTACTAGTGGAGTTAGTGGGCTACGCTGCTCGCGCAGTCTCCACCAAGAACCTGGACGATCGAGTCGGCTTTATTATACAGATGGTATTCATCCTGGTGGCACCCGCTGTTATGGCCGCCTCCTGTTACATGGCCTTCGGTCGGCTGGTCCTTTGGATCATTCCCCCTCGGTTCCAATCATTTAGGCACTTATGGCTGCCAGCAAGAAGAATAACGCCTCTGTTCGTTGGGTTTGACGTCTTGAGTTTCTTTATTCAAGTCGTCGGGGGTGTCATAGTGTCTAATGCAGACACCTTGAGCAGACTCAACCTTGGCAAGAACATTGTCCTAGTCGGCCTCGGCGTCCAGCTTGCCACATTTGGCTTTTTCGTTATCGCCACTACACGTCTGACTATTCTGCTACGAACACAATTAAAAAATGAATCTCTCCCGAAGAACAGGAACTGGACCGTGCTCCTAATTTATATCAACACTGCTAGTGGCCTTATCCTCCTTCGGTCAGTCTACCGTTTTATCGAATATGCTATGGGTTTACCAAACTATCTTGCTAGTCATGAAGTGTTCTTTTACTGCTTGGACGCGTTCATCATCTTGACTGTGGTTACGGGGTTTATTTGTATCCACCCAGGTCAGTATATCCCGTATATTAAGCTCCGACGAAGGGCGCCGGAATTTTCCTCAAACGTGGACAAGGGGTTATTTAAGAGAGTTGCAAGGGGAGGCCCTCAGGGAGTTGTCGAAATAGCGGAACATAGTATAAGGGTAGGAAACTCCACTTAGGTTCTAGCTCCTTTGGGCAACCCTCAAGGGCTTACGGACCTATTTCCTGACACCTGTTGTCCGGTGCTAGACTGCTAAGACTAGGTTGGTTGTTATCCAGCATTCAATCACATTGGATTTCTGCTGGAGCATCGGGAAGGGCTGGAGACTATGATTTACAAAAGGGGGTACACAATTTTATACATCTAGTAATGAGTAGTGACTATAGTTTCTATCGAAAACTAGATGGTACTTACGCCGCACGATTCGGAAGCCGTACTCTGTCTCTCCGTCCAACCCTGAAGTCATACTTTTTAAGCTGACCCTGGGCTGGTATTGAATCATTACCCGACGCCTAAAAGCGGTAGCAAGAATGTGGTCCCTAAAGCGTTGTCAAGGTCTCGCGCTCAATCTTGTGGAATCTCGCTAAGAGATGTCGTTGGTCTGTGTTGGGTATATTGTGTCCGTAAAACTGGTCCGTGAGCCCTTGCCTTCTGCTTCTTGCGCTCGTGCCGTATGATGGTCAAGACCGGTGTAGCGTCTAGGTGCACGTGGCCTTGAATGTGGATCCTGAACAGCAACCCATACCCTTTAGCCCGTCCTAACACCGAGTTCTGCGCCAGTCCGGCGGCATGCACCCACCAAGACCCTGCTTTGCGATAAGGGGGTCTTTGGGTGCCGCACTATAGTCTCTAGACAAATGGTCCCTGGAATAAGCCTCTACAACCCTTTGCTCGGGTCTTCGCCGAACAGGATGATTCTGACGCTGCTTGAAAATAATGGCACTGCTCGAGAACCGCACCAGCGAAAAACTAGAGGAAGATCCAACCACCGACAGCCTAGTCCAGTAACGAGCCACAAAGAGATATACGCGACGTCCGTGCATGCGCCCACGTTCTGCTAAATGTCCATGATGGTGTCAGCGCACCGCTCCCAGACTACTCGATTGACTCTTTTTGGGGCAAGTCTCTGGGGACAATAACAGTGGTTGACCCTGAATCGAGACTGGTGTCACGAGTACGCTAAAGTCGTCGTGATCAATAGTGCCGGGGACTCGACAGATCGGTGACCAGCAGTAAATAGGTGAGTTTATTAGGCAGCTTTCTGTCACTTATTGAGGATGTTCGATCTTCACGGTCAATATCGGATCGCCTTTCCGCCTCCCTGGCCCGTCCGACCAGTAGAGGGAGGCATGGAACCATCTGTTCGAGACCATTTTCTCTCTCGCAAGGGGCGGCCATATTTAGCGGTCTACTTTGCGGTGGTTGCCGGCTGGCTCTGTTCGGAGGTCGCGTGTTTAGTACGATTATAGAACGAGAGTAACTATTCTATACTCTTTTCGGATCGATAACCGTTTTTTGAACTCCGCTTTCCTCCTCTCAAGCACGGCAAGATTCCTTTAGCCGTTGAAGACCTCTGAGAAACATGTGGAGTGACTCTTACCTCGTCTGCTTATGAGCATCCATCTTTGGAACGTGTAGTAGTCTCTTAACACGCGATAGGTACCACACTCAACCCGCTAGAAGCGGTTGGACAATGGCTTCCTTCTTTGCAGCGTCTAGCCCGCTCTATCATTCCCGTATGTAGTGTGTTGAGGATTCAACTATCTAATGGTCCGATCAATAGTACTGACGACTGGTGGGACCCCCGACAACGGTAAGGAAAGAGTGTCATTCCATCTCTTGCCTGATTATCTTGAAGCACCCGAATGGCAGTAAAGCCACAGTAAACGGTTGAACTGCAAAGGGGTGCCGATGATATAAATTGAGGGCCACCAGCTCTGGGAGATAGGTTAACGGGTATCACCCAAGGAGTTGGAAAAGCTTCATACTGTCTGATTTCGTCCTGTCTTGCCTCACTTCTAGAAGCTCTCCTTATAGATCCAAGACCTGCATCATGGATTCCACTGCGTACTCTCCCCGTGCAACCTCCTCGGCTTCTGAGGATTCGATCCAAGGCTTCGACTGGATTTACTCAACTGATCCGAATCGGCCACGGTCCTCACCAGAGTCAATCTCTTCGATTGACTCTTCGTCGTCCATCACTTCTGGCCCTGTTTGCATTGTCGGCGTGGGTTTCGTCGGAGAAACCCTCCTCAAGGAATTCAGCCATGTACATCCAACGATTGGTTTTGACGTCTCCGAAAGCCGCATCAAGGAACTTCAAAACTCTTACACTGGGGCCAAATATTTGACACTGACAACAGATGAGAACGTGCTAGATCAGGCCCAGCACTATCTCATCTCGGTTCCTACACTATTGAAGGCCGACCACTCGGTCGACTGGTCACATCTCAAGTCTGCCCTATCGACGGTCTTTCGTCATGCAAGACCAGGTAACACTATAGTCATTGAGAGCAGTGTCTCTGTCGGCATGACTCGCGAGCTCTTTGAATCTGTTCGGGATACCTATATCTGTGGCATGTCCCCCGAGCGCGTTGATCCGGGACGTACATTTCCCGCAGCTAGTGAGATCCCCAAAATCGTCTCGGGCTTAACTCCTGGGGCACTGAGCGTAATCACCGATCTCTACTCCAGTGTGTTCAAGACCGTTGTTCCCGTCTCATGTCCCGAAGTCGCCGAGATGACCAAGCTCTTTGAGAATTGTTACCGCATGGTCAACATTGCTTATGTCAATGAAGTCAGCGACGCATGTCGTACAATCGGCATCGACCCAAACGAGGTGATTGATGCTGCTTCGACCAAACCATACGGCTACCAAGCTTTTCGTCCTGGACTGGGCGTTGGTGGACATTGCATCCCAGTCAACCCTTCATATCTCCTCCAGACGTGTCCTGACTTGCCAGTCTTGAAACAATCCACTAAGATCATGAGAGAGAGGCCTCACAAACTGGCCCAAGAATTACACGGGCACTATACGTCGTCAAGGCTGGCGTCAACCGATCTACTTCCACGAGTCCTACTAGTCGGTGTTTCATTCAAGCCCGGTCAGTCTATTCTGTCGAATTCACCAGGCCTTGCGTTCGGTAAGGAGCTGGCGAATTGTGGCTGCGACCGGTTAGCATTTTATGACCCACTGGTTCCACAACACGCTGTCCCCTGGATGGAAAAGCTGGAGGATGCCGATTTCAACCTTGAGTCTCTGGCTTCAGACTTTGATTTGGTTGTCATCTGCTGTAGGCAAATAGGCGTTGACTATAATGTTTTGAAAGGCATTCCCGAAGAGATGTTATGGTCGTACTAATCGTATTGACTGGCCGAATAGAGGCCAGTGCTTGCAGTCGCTTTTAGTAGCATAATGGCGACTGGGGCAAAAAGAGGTCAGAGGAGGAGTTTTGCGTCCGCTCGTTCTTCAGCACAGGAAAAATTCTTCAGGAATGCATGGGCGTAGACAGAAAAGATTGGGTCAAGAGGGCAAATTTTCCTCTTAGTCTTCACTCTAGATTGACAGGCTCTATCAGGACTAGCTAACAGTACGTCAATTGTGACAGAAAGCAATCTGCAATACCTATTATGTGAAAAATGGATATTTTCTCTGTAAGCGAGGTTGATGTGGCCTGTCGATCTCCACACCTATGCGAAAACGTGGAGTCAATAGTGGATTGGAGTTGGTACTTGCATCTTGCTCAAGAAGTGGGATCCTGTCAAAAATAACGCTCTAGAGGTCCGGGGTGACGATGAAAGAGTCTCAGGGGCTGAATGTATGATAGCCCCAATGTTTTTCACCGGAAAATCCCTTGTGAGTAGACCATCACTAGTATGTGTGCCGCGACGTGTATAACTCAGCATATATTAAATGATAGGGAAAAGCACTCGATATTATCACACTTCACCTTTTAGATATAGGTACATACCATAATTTCGATATGTTGCTTAGGAGGCTTCGTTAATTGTATTCTCCGTGGGAACCCTCCCCGGTCGAGAGGCAGAAGTTGTCCGAAGGCCAGCCTCTGGTGGAGTCACTGCCTTAGGTTGAGTCTCTTGATTCACCGGCATTTGTTGAGCCCCTCTCGGGTCCGTACTCTTGGAATGTATCACAAGCTCGATCACCTGTTCGTCCTCAATTATGGACAGATGGCGAACAGCAAAATATCGAGCGTAGGCGAAGGCTGAGTAGTAGCTGTGATAATATTAGCGGTCTGCCAACTGGGATGGATACCTTTGGCTGTAAAGACTCACGCAGAGATAATGTTCATAAATCGGAGTACAAATTTATACGGCATGTAATAAAAGATTACAACTTTTCGAGAGACCATCTCTCCCTTTTTGCGTAAAATCACCTAAAAGAAATAAATAATGGGTCCCTAAATCACTGACAGCTCTGCTTTCAATTCGAGGCTGACCTACCTCGTTAAATATGATGGCGATAGTAAAGTACATGCCTATGATTATTCCAGTGATCAAGGCGGCGAACTCTGGTTCGATCATGAATGCGAGTACCAGAAGGATAGGACCCACCACGTAAAGCATTGTACAATAAAGCTGTGGAGGTAAAATGACATGTTAATACCGGTATTGTTCATGGATACAAGTGGGAAAGAGAAGGAGAAAAGGGCGCAACGGGGAAAGTTCCATACCTCTTGAAAAGTATATACCTTGTCGCCAACTGAGTAAATGCCCAAGTTCCAGTCGAAGAGTAGATGTTTCACGCTGTGCCAGACTCGGAAGATAAAGAAGAAGTTCCACCGATAGAACCGCTGTTTGTAAACTGTCATCTCGCCAAACCCACCTCGTGCACCGGCGCCGACAAATAGCCCAGAGGGGACTTCGGTTTCGACAAGAACAGAAGAACACATGAGGATTCTTCCCCCGAGAGTTCGACAAACCAGTCCAAAAAACCAGTCCTCAGAGATTTTGAAACCCGGATGATGTCGAAAACACTTGAGGATAAAGTCGCGGTCCCACAACGCAATGGCTCCATGAGCGAATGTGGCCGTTCCCCAGGTTGCCATCCACTTCCTGGCCATGCCGGACAATTTGTACTCCATGTCCTGGAGTTGCTGAACAATGCTCCCTTTGGTTCCGTCAGGGCCGACAGCTTTGATAGTATATCCTACGCACTTCACCAGCCCCTTTTTATGGCCGGGCTGTATCCGGTCGGACACAATGGGGAACCCCGGTGGAAGGGCACAGTCGTCATCAATCATGAGCACGTACTGAAATCCGTGTGCTGCATAGACTCCTACAAACTGAGCCACGATCTTCGAGCCCATAGGGACCCAGACATGATTGACACCATATGGGCGACAAACGTCCTCCGTATTGTCTAAAGGGGTCATGCTGTTTCCGTTGGCAACCACGAAGATGTTCTGTGGAGGGAAGATCTGCAGGGCGGCTTCGAGGGTACGCCCAATGATCTCGGCAGACTTGTAGCAAGCAATAATCAGTGCTGTGCTGCTGTTTTTCTCCAGGCAAGCTTGGAGATCTTCTGGTCGTGGCGGCGTTGGATCAGGCTCATATTGTACAAAGAGAGTACCAATAGCATAACTAGAAAGGTTTGTTAGTACGGCAAGCCAAAACATGGTGTAAGCCTGAGTTAGGAGCTCACAAAAAAGCAACGGCAATGAAGATAGCACAACCACCCCTTACAACGAGTTTATACTTCATTGCCCACCTGAATACTTCTCGTCAGTGACTGGACCATTGAAGTAAAAGATCAAGAAAAGGGTGCTACTGTACCATAGCCAATAAACCGATCCATTCCACAATGGGACTCCCACAAGCACAAAATAGATTATGCAACCCAATAAAAGGTAGATTGAATACTGGAATAGTATCTGGGCAAACCTGCTCCTTTTCTTCCCTCTAAATTTAACTCGTCTAGAATTATAATACCTCTCCAAACTTCGAACGCTTGCTCGACTGGCGGCTCTTTGGAGGGTGGCTTCGACGCCCGGTTCCTCCACAATTCGGTCTCCCACAATGGTGGCAATTTGGGGTAGAGCAGTGAGGAATCTTGATTCTTCAGCAAATGGGCTTGCAGTGACGGTAGCATTGCGGATGTCTGGTAATTGCACCTTCTGGTCCAAAGAAGAAATCGTTGACTGGGGCAATGAATGTGACCGTGACCGTCGAATGTCGAGGCTCCGGCCACCATCAGCAAGGACTGCATCTTCGGGGATTGGTAAAGAGCTCAGTGGAAGCGAAAGGCGTCTCGGGCTTCCGGGACTGAGACTGAGGGGTGGCTTCATACAGCCACTTCCCAGGCGCCTCTGTTCCTCGCGACGAGAGCCGGCTTCCAAGTCCATCCAATCTTGCCAGTCGATAGAGTTCACTCCCTTTTGCCTATAGTCCATTGCTTTGCCTTTGAACAGTTGTGTGAGGTCTCAAATACAAAACCAGTATCTAATTTTGCTGATGGACAGAACGATCTCAAATGAAGTATGACTACATGACCGCCATTGAGGCTGGACTTTACGGCGTCTTCCTAACAATGGCAATCAGTCAATGATGTGAATAGCGTCAGGATCCGGGGTCACTAGTCTACGGAGCTTGTAGGGGTTTCGAATCCATGCCATGTATCCATATTATAGTTAGAACATCTGGCCCCCACCCCAGTAGGAACCCATACATCTACTAGGTATCTGTGCGACAGGTGGACAGACTCGTGTCGCCCAGGCGATGCAGCAGCGAACTTTACGCTGGGCTGATGATGACACGCTAGACAAGGTCTACCATAAATGTCGCACTGCTGCACCAGGTAGATATGGGACACCACTTTCAAGATTCGTATGGCCGGACCTGGCTTCTACTCATCTGACAGGGTATATTTGGGGCTTGGACAACAATTCACTGGATTTTGGAAAATTCCCCGTAAATGAAGAGGGATCTTCTGACACCTGCCACTAATGCTACTAGTCTCGCACTAAGAAAGCCAGCAAACGTCAGACCACGGAGCATGGATACAAACACGATGAAGGTGTACGGAGATTGTTCTGCTATAGTTCATTGGTATTTGCCAGCACAAAGGCACGAGCCTCCCTTTGAACAGAAACAAGGCGAGGCGCAGTGCACAGACACATCCACGCAAGCGATGGGCCGTGCCCGAAAAAGTCACTCTGCGCCATTAAAGCTATTTGGAACTACATGCCAAAAACTAGGTATACACCCCATTTGAGCCGTAGTAGTGGGGGACACTGGGTGGACTAGTGAATCGACTCTTGGCTTTTCTATGGATATTATGTCAAGAGACTGCACGGCCTCAACACTACGAGTCAGGTTGGCCCGGTTTCTGTTCGCTGGTTTCAGTAACAATAGTCCAGTTCTAAGTAGTGTGTTTGCATCTCCCTAGAGACACCAGAGTAGAAAGCGAAGGTGCAATTGAGACAAAAGGCCCCAGAATCTCATCTGCCCAAGGTCAAATATAATCTCGCGTTCCTGTAAAGGAGCTTTTTTCACTTACCAGCGGCAATGTCACCTTTCTTTTTGGTGGTCTCCACGTTGCTGTACATTCAAAGCTACGCGTCGCAGATCTGCGAACGCCGTACTCGTCTTTTAGCAAGGGCATCGTCTTCCGAATGTGACTTGTATGTTGTCTCTGGCCAGGACAACCTTTTCGAGAACTATGCGTTCTCCGACTTTCGAAATCTAAGCAACTACAGCATCAATTGGCCGTCTTCAATCACGGCGGAGGAAGACCAGGGGGGGGAGAACATCACCTCAGCGTACTTTGCTCACCCGCCCTTCTCAGACCACTGGGAGATCCGACGGGGCATCAGAAATGCAGAGTCAGATGTCCCAATGATCTATTCGGCACAAAATGTCTACATCTCACAAGACCCTAGCTCGGACGGTTCTCAGACCTACTTGACGCTGCGGACTACCCGACTACAGGACTTTCAGAGCGTCGTCCAGCTCGTCAGCCGCCCCGACAACCTCTTGCACGCGAGCATGCGCACAAGGATGAAAATAATCTCCGACGGCAAAGATGGTGACAATGTTGCTGGAGGTGCGGTAGTTGGCTTCTTCACCTACGAGTCTGATACCCAGGAGAGCGACATCGAGGTTCTCACCAAACATCCGTCCGATATTGTCGAACTCTCAACCCAGCCGGCATCGTCAACCACCCCAGGAGCAGATGCCAGTGTCACGATCCCGAATGGCAAAGACTGGACAGAGTGGGTCGAATATCGAATGGACTGGTTTGCAGGCAGGAACATATGGTACCTGGACGAAGAAATGATGCTCAATAGCACCGACAGTGTTCCCACCGAGCCTAGCCAACTCATGTTAAACCTTTGGAGTAACGGTCAGTCATTCTCTGGCAGGATGCGGCCCGGGAGAGAGGTGTATGTTGCCGTGCAATGGATTGAGATAGCATACAATGTGAGCAACCAAGGCCAGAGCTTGAATCAGACCGACGGCCTGACGCAATGTTTGGTGGATTCAGTCGAAACAAAAGGCATCCCAGAGGTGATCCAGAATTCTAGTGTCACGCAGAGCGCAGTAAGCACGGCCTTGAAAATGTTTGGCACAATTGTGCTTGTTTTGATCGCTTGGTACTGTACCTGACGTTTTAGGGCAGTGCTTTCTCTAGATTTTGAATTTCTTGCTTCGTTCATAGACGTAAAAGCAATGCAAGTATACTAGCTATATGTTTTATGATCCAAGCTACGAACAGTGTCTGACTAAGTTAGGGCTTCTTCGTACGGTAGATACAAGACTTGACTAGGTATTAGGAAGAATATAACGATTCGTCGGACTATATTTAAAATCTAGGTAATAGATTACTAATGGAGCTAACTATAAATACTCCTATCTAGGGTAGTAAGTATTTAAGGGTTTGTAGAGGCGAAGTGGACGCGACCCTTCGATGTATAAGCAAGAGTAGGCTACTTGGTATTCGACATAGGTTCGGAAGTAGGCTCGCGGCCCTGACGGATATATTGTCGCATAAGATACAGGATCGAACATGCAGCTACTAAAAGTTTGATTTCACCTCTCCGGAATGGAATAGGCTTCGCCTCCACAACCCGGGACGCCCGGCTTGTGGAGAAGATATTGTGTTCCAGCAAAGCAGACCGCTTGTCTGATCTGTGTGGGGAAGTCAACCGGGTCATTCCAGTCACCTTGGTGTGGTCCGAAGCACTGAGTGCCATTGTCCGATCCAGTCGTGCTTGATCATTATTATACATACCTGACGCCGCTCTTCCCGAATCCGCTCAAAAAGAAGGTGGGCACGGAGAAATCTAACTCTTTATGAGCTCGGTAGGATTTTGTGCAACTGTGACGCGTACCATCTACTCAGTCATGACTCAGTTTACCACAGAACGGGACGCGGACGAGATCGAGTATGGCACAAATCTTGGTCACCTCCGTCTACGACACGTTGAGACCAATGACATTATCCTGATTCCAACGCCATCCAAGGACCCTGATGACCCTCTCAACTGGTAAGATGGACTCCAGCTTTTGATCTCCGGAATTTAACCCCCAGGTTAGGCCTAAGTCTCGGAAGATCTATTCGGCCATCCTAGTATGCTTGGCCATGTTCTTTTGCAACTTCCTCGCCGCTGGGCCAACGGTGGCAATTGTCGACATCACTATCGATTTCGAAAGAGTTGCTCCTACAGAGCCGGGCTTTCCAGCTGCCATTGCCAAAATCGCATACTTTTTCACCACCACTGCCCCACTTCAAGGCACTGGCAACATCGTCTGGATGCCGTTGATCGTTAAACATGGACGAAGGCCAGTATACATCATCTCCTTTATATGCTATACTATCACTGCAATCTGGGTCGGCGTCTCCAAGAATTATGCTTCCGAGATGGCTTCAAGGATACTCATGGGTTTCTTTGCCGGCGCTGGAGAATGCGTGGCTCCACTCACCATATCTGACATATTCTTTCTTCACGAAAGAGGCTTTTACATGGCGTGAGTGCTCAACCCAGGGAACCCACGCCTGAAAAGCTTGTTTTCGAGAATTGAGCTAACATAGTGCATAGAGTGTACACCGTTTCGCTGTCTGCTGGCGTCTCCGGGGGCATCATAGTCGCCGGATTGATCACCATCACACACTCCTGGCGCTATATTTACTATGTTGCCACAGCCCTCATCGGCGCTCTAACTATTCTCGTTTTCTTGACGCTGCCAGAAACATCGTACGTCCGCAACTCAGCCTATGGCCCAACCTCCCGCCTGGCTAGTCCGAAAGCCCCCATTGCCTTTGATGAAGAGAATAACACGAGGACCGAGAAGTCACACAGCAACCATCAAGAGAATGAGCACAAAATTAGCATCGACCAGGACACCAATAAGTCTCCAAGAGAGTTTTTTTTGCGTTCGCTGCGCGTGTTTCATGGAAGATTCACAAAGGAAAGCCTGTGGAAGATGGCCTACAGGCCTGTTATCCTTCTTGTGCTTCCACCTGTCCTTTGGGCCACCCTCGTCATGTCCGTCACCATTGGGTTTCTGGTCGCTATCACCTCCAACTTCGCCTCTGCTTTTGCAACCAACTACGGCTTCGAATCGTGGCAATCCGGCCTATGATTCGTCTCCGGAATGCTCGGCACACTGCTGGGAATACTCGGAGGCGGCTGGCTCTCTGACTGGGTAGCTGACTTCTTCACAAAACGAAACGGTGGAGTCAGAGAGCCGGAAATGCGTTTACCTGCCATGACCGTCGCACTCATCTGCTCACCTCTTGCGCTTGTCTTGTATGGCTGCGGCATCCAATATCGCTGGCATTGGATGGTGCCCACTATCGATCTGGGCTTATGTAAGTCTTGCTTAAGCCATCCTTTTCCATGGCCTCTACGCACCATCAAAGACACTGACATATTCTCAAAGTGAGCTTTGCCATAGCCCAAGGCACAAATGTTTCACTGGTCTACATCATTGAGTCCTACCGACCAATTGCTGGAGAGACCATTGTCACTCAACTAGCTTTCAAATGTTAGTCCATGACAAACTACGTAGGGCATTTCCCAAGATGGTATTATATTGCTGACGGGTTCCCTTAACAGCCGCCTTTGGCTTCCTTCTCTCCTTCTATACCAACCCCTGGATCGTGCAGGACGGCTATCGCGGAGCCTTTGGGGCTATGGCAGGTATTTCGTTTGGTGTCATCATTCTCTGGGTCCCCCTCTATATCTGGGGGCGACGGGTCCGTACTACTACATTGAGATGGACTGTGATTCAAGATCTCATCAAGTGGGATAATGACAGAGAAGTTGGAGAGTGACTCTAGTATCACAATGGGTGAATATTCCTTCTTGCTACCTCATCATAAAACAGCAAACAGAGACTTTACATGCCTCCGGCAGGTGTACCAGAGTGATTTGCGGACGCTTATCTCAGGGTTGTGCCCGAAACTTAGGAATTGCTCAGCATTTATACTGCAGGAAGTACTCGCAGTATGCCTATCGTGCCTAGCCGTAGCCTTCCAAAGTTTTCCATCGAACGCTGAGGACCCATGGAAACGTCGGTGGTCCTGTTATTCCCGTGGATGAGTGTTGCCTCAACATTGCAAGAAGCACTAACCACAACTTGCTCCTCCTTTAGCATAGGGACGGATGACGAAAGTTATCCCCATGCCAAAGGTTCCACTTGCTTCTTCTTGCAGATCGAACTTTTCGCGACCGTAACCTTGCTATACCTCTTTTACGCCTATATCAACCCAAATATCTCGTGACCAATTTCATAGACTAGAGTAGAGCTCTAGCTATGAAAATCGCTGCGAGACTTAATGTCGTCCTCGGCCTAAGTGCTCAAATTATTCTCCACCGTTTGGTGCTACTGGTGCATTAGTTTATCGAAGTAAGCCTCATAGATACCGATCTTAGCAGCTGCTCGCAGGGCATGGAATGACAGAGTATAAGTACTTCGGCAGACTGGGGGTGTCGATGGCCCTGCGCATAAGAGCTCCAGCGTCTTCGCCCATGATAGTCCCTGCAAAAATGGTAAATACCTAAAAAAGCTGGCAGAATTGCTCCAGCGTCAATGGACCGTCGCAGGATAGTCTCTGGTCAGCATCCCAGCAGTACGTGTTAACAGCTTCGATTAGCAACTGGGCCTGTTGCGATGCTCTCGAGCAATACAGTCGCGACCCGCGGCGGCATTGAGCGTGGCAGTATGCTACATTGTCAGGGCGACGGTGAGACTGTTGGACGCAACAATTCCATCCTTTGGTAGTAAGTTGGTAGTATTGCCATGGTGTTCAGGCTACCCTTTTCCTTACCACTCATTGACCCAGTCCCAAAAGGGCCAGGATTCGTCATCGAAGCGTCCAAACATACATTTGGCGCCGGTCCGCATAATGAATTGGTTCAAGGCTCCAACCATTGCGCCGAGATCCTGTCAGCTGAAGATCTCATCTGCAAAATAGTCGCAACGATCGCAGATCCTAACTCACAATACAGACTGAACTGGGGAACATTGATGTCTCTGAACCGGACCAGAAGGTGAATTTACACCAGGCCATCCTCCCAACGGCTTGCGTAGAGCCCATGTATTGTATTTTGTTCCGTGGCAGTTGATGGTCCCCAGGGAGCCGGTAGAAAAAGAGTATCTGTACACCTGTGTACATGGCGAACTGATTCTGTTCATAGAAATGACAGTCTTTGCAAGTCTCTTGCATGCAGCTTTGCATCGAGTTCAATGATACCTTCCACGTTTGGCATGAATTCTGCGTCAGCCGAACCTGGCTCGCAATGGGCAGAGGATAGTGCGTCTCGCGGAAAGTGAAAGAGGGGATGATGAGCTGCTGTGATACCGCCGTCAATGTCAATGAGTGAGAGCACTGGAACTAGACTCGTTCCAGCACGTTCTCGCCGTTATTTTGAGTGTATTCGTCAGCTAGGCCACAGAGAAGCTCATTTTCAGAGTCTGTCCGAACCCCTTTGAATCTGTCGCCCCAATACTACCTGATAGGGTTGGAGTGTGTTCGCGTTCATAGGGCTCAGCGCGAATGATGGAGCCTGCGCCGCCAGAGCCTACAGAAATCCTGTGGTCAAGAACACCCGACTGTATATCCACTATATCTGTCTGATCCGGTGCGACTGTTACGGTACCGCAGCGGTTGACAAGCAAGTCCCAGTCGTGCTTGTGAACCTCTCCAGCACGCTTGACTGTACTCTGGAATCCTAGTAGTTAATACTTTCTACTACATTCAATAACTAATTAGCATTCTGTATCTACCATATCTCGAAATAGGATTAGGGCCAGGATATAAGTCCTGCCTTCCGGTAAAGACTCGGACGTAAGAATCGATGACTCGGGAGTTAACAGCGCTGCTTACGCCTACAGCACCTTATAACACTGAACCTAAATATTACCTCGAATCGCTAATAAATTACTAGTATAGGCGAAAATGAACCGTAAGACCCTTACGGCTATTACATTTTTCCCAGAACGAAGGCATGGTTAAATCTTCACCTCCCCAAAATTCCACCGCGTGAGGTAAGATTTATATAGACCAAAGCTCACCCGGTGCGCATTCACGAAGGGCCGATATCGCATGTCTACAGATACTAGTATCAGAATCTCTAGGAATGACTCTGAGGAGCGAATCGGCGGAGCGAACGGAAATGCGAGCGAATGCCAAGGATGCGATTTAATGCCGAGAGGGTCGATTTTTGGCGTGTTTTCACCCACAATTCTATCTCTTGCTATAAATAGTTATAAAATCGTATTAATTATATCGAATTACTTACCGACCTCGTCGTCGCCTTATAAAATAATTTATATAGCCTTTTTTTAGTGTTTTAATAACTCCTCCTCTTTTACGTACTAAAATAACTAATATTACGTAATAGACTACGCTAGTTAGGTACGTTAAGTATTATCGAGGTATTCTTAAGCGCTACGTTAATGCGTAACCGCCTTATTAGCGTTAGGAACCTACTATCGGAGAGGTCTTTAATAATAGAAAGGATACGGAGGTTCGCTTATAATTATAGGCGCTTATCGTAGAGTTTAATATTATTTATAAAGGCGGTAGATCCTCTAAGGTTCTAGGAGGCCTTTTATTAGGAACGAGATAAGCGAGATCTTCTAGAGTCTTTCTATAGGTTCCCTATCTAACTGTTAAGACTAAGCGATACCCTATTAACGCCTAGTCACGTGATTAGGCTTATATAAGCTAGGATCACGTAGTATCCATTAGGCAAGGCTATACTTAAGCCTTACGGAAGATTCTATAAAACGCTATTCTATTCTATAGGATTAGAAATCACTTAACTTGATTTCTAAGCATCCTAGGAGTTAACTCGTATTTACGAATACTCGGTAATTACTCTCGTACTTACGAGATATTATGACGGAGCCTACGCCTATATAAAACAGGCCTATACTCCTTTACTTAGATATATCTTAAGTCATTTAATAAGATAGGAAGCGACTATATATTCTACTCCTTCTTTCTACGGTCTTTAGCTACTTC